ACCAGGGACCGGGAATGACGAATAATGGTGTGAAATATGCGCCGTGGATAATCTTTGTTTGAAATCCTTCAGTCAGGGCAGTCCAGTATGTGGGCGAGTGGAATTGATCAAGAACAAACCTTTACAGCTGTTGCTGCAATTAAAAGAACTAACAGCCATACAGCTATTCTTCCATATCCCAGCTCCATGACAATCGTTGCAGGGTTCTCCATCGTTGTAGAAGAATGCTTGAGGGCAGGGTGCCTAACGGCGGGTCTGGATACGCAGCTCGTCTAGAAACTGAGGCTGAAGGTGATGTTGACCGATGACAGCAATGCAACATGCTGTGATCGTTATAAATAGGTAACGGATTCGGAGTACAATGTGGTCTGCCTTTATATCCTGCATTTCCTATCTTCAAATCACGGGTTCCGTTCAACGGCACGGGAAATGTCAAAAGGCTCTCTATGAGTAGAGCCTCATGGCTACACGACAGTAATGGCGGGACTATTCCCCACAACATCAGCATGAAACCCCCATGCCAGCCAAAGAGTAATGAGGGGAGTTTCCCACTTGTTCCCGCATCACTTCTTCGCTGGGAGTGGAGACAACTACTTCTAGAGAACTTCAACGCTTCAGGCAGTTCCATTCAAATATTCCACCATGAGCTGAAGTTAAAGCTCGATCCATGCCTTCACTACTCTTTTGTTACATTTCTCCTGTGATGAATACATGGATCAACTCTAAGAGCCTCTGCGTGATGCCACTGGTCGTAAGTCGACGAAGCGTTGAGCCAAAAGCACAAAGCGTGCTGGCTTTCATGTCGGCAGCATTTGCGCCGAGTATTCTCTTGAATTCAGCTACCGTGCTGTCCACGAGCTTTCTCCCTGCGGCGTTCGTATTGTCCCCGAGCAATTGAATCTCTGGCAGTCCCTGGAGATATTCGACTGCGCCATCCGATATTGAAGGACTATCCGGGTCCATTGATGCCGTATACCAGGGGAGGTACAGTGTGAAGCAGTACCAACATAGTGCCGCCGTGAAGATGATTCGCGGTGTATGGATCGCCGCAGTTGAATCTACCGTGCTGGACTTGAGCAGATTTTGAAGAAACAGGGCGTGGAGAAGGCACCGTTTGGAGTCAGGAGAGGCCATCCAACTTCTGACACTATCCAGCACTGCTTCAGATATATTAGTACCGTCTCTGCCAACTGCAACCTCGAGAAGGTCGATATCTGCTGCGAGCGTCATGAAAGTGTAATGCCACAGAGGTCGGAGACAGAATGGGAGGTCCGATTCTTTGCTATTCCCACAAGGTTCCGTGCTGCAACAATTCCTCGAGGTATACCAATGCAAAAGGTCCGTCTGTAACCCCGAGATGTGGTCTTGAGACAACACGTTGGAATAGCGAAGTTCGCATATCGTTGCCCCAATCCCCGAAAGGACAGCCCACGAATTCAACATAGACCAACTTTGTCGAGGGACATAAGCACTCATAAGAGGTCGAGAATGGGATTGCGACTCCGGAGTCAGTTGACCGGCGCTGCGGTGGGATTCGCACGAGTCATGTTGACGCTTGAGGTATTCATCATATTTGATAGCCCATGTCCCCGCGTTGGGTGCTTGAAATAAACTCGTAGGTGCAATTTCTGGCAATCGAGTTGTTTTATGCCGAAAGATGGGCTCGTGGTGGAATAGTGCAGCTAGCTCAGCATCATGAACATGCATGAACAAAGCTGCCCTTCGCAGAATGTTAGTAGTAGACTAGGGCAAGAAGTTTCCTCACAACCTTTTCATTTCCTCGTCCTTAGCCCAATCTCTCCATCGTTTTTCAACGTCCTGTGCAGAGGATAGATCGGACAGATTATGATCTGGAAGCGCCTTAAACAATCCTAAATGGCGACCCAGCTGCATGGAGTGGTTAGTCGGTGGTCATGGAAGGCAAGAAGAGATTGGGTCGTTACCGAGAGAAGACCGCCATGGTACGTATCCGCGATTGACCGGTGAGTAGAATCACCTGAAAGAAGTGCAAAGGTTTGACCAATCATGGCTGCCGTTATATTGCCAGGTGTGAGGTGAGGGCGTTCCGAAAGACCTCGTTCCCATGGGCCGAGATTACCCGCTTTATGGACTCGCTCGAAGATCGTGGAGCCCATACGAGCAGCAATTTCCGAGGGCATGGTCGTAAGCCCAGCACAACACATCAAGAGATACCCGAGGATGTTGTTTTCCCTTGGCCTAAAGGTTGGTGCATGGACCAAGGGTAAACCGATATTGAATCGAGTGAAGAACAGGTGGATAGACAAATTCTGTGATATTGATTAGATAGATCCATATGTGCAGACGAGACACCCACCAGGAACTCGATTGATGGTAAAGGCTCAATGCGAGAGGGCGGTGATAGTTCCTCATTCATATGTGTGCGATAATTTTCGTCAATGTCCTTGGTCATAGTATTGTTAATTTGCGGACCCACAGGCTCATCGCGGTCAGAAAGGCTGTCAAGAGTTGTCCGGGCAGGTATATACCACCTTTTCCGGACATCGAGGACTGTAGGCGGTTTTGCTGGAGCTGAAGGTTGGGACCTTGTGTTTGAAAAGTCATTGCCACCAATGTGTTCGTTCCAACTTAAATCTCCCAGCCCAAGGTCCACGAGATGCTCGTCCAATAGCCAATTGGTTGCATCAAATTGCATGAAGTTATCGTTGAAGAGCGGATTTGCGACGAGAGACTGCAAATCATATGATTGTTGACAAGATGAAAACGGCCCGAAATCTGTTGGACTGGGCGAGAACCCAGGATGGAACCCAGGATGGAACAGAGGTGCGGGTCGAGGCAAAGTTTCTTCACCAACACTTGGTTCGGCAGTGATATCAGTCGCGTGCGACGATGTGTTTTGGTTTGGTGCATGATCAAACGAAGGGAATGTCAAAATATCCTCATGAGCCCCAGGAGATAGATCTGATGCGATGGCTGCATCTTTTGGAGCCACCATATGGCCACTTTGAGTAGGACGTGTCACGGAAATTGTGGACAACACATGCAACGCCGCATCTTCTGCTGGCGCGTTCTGGCAGTCTTGAGACATGCCGACCATAGAGCTTGCTGTGGACAGACCTTGTCGGCGCTGTCTTGTCCGATGAGTTTTGAGGTGTCGGAGCAGAGTGTCGCTTTTGATCTCAGTCGCACACACCATCATGACACTATGGGAAACAAAACATACCGACGAGGATAGAATTTCCCGCAAACCCTACATCCATATGGTTTCTCGTTTGTGTGCGATCGCAGGTGACGTTCGTAGTGGTCGTTCTTCTTGAATTCGCGGGAGCAATATGGACAAATACGGATTTTATCTGCTAACTGTGACGCCGCCTGTCGTGGGCTGGACGGTTCTCCAGGCAGAGACTCTAAGCCCAAGACAGTGCGAGGAACGGTTGACATGACACCAGAAATGGAGAGCAGCGTAGATGTCTTTGCAGTCGATCGTATTCAATACCGCTTTTGCTGTGGCTTGTATTAATGAATCGTGCTTGTGGAATATGGCTCGATGGCTAGCATGAGGGGCTCGCTTGGCAGCCTGAACTCATTTCTTTTACGGGGAACTATCGGGTCCTGAGGATTAAGTAGTCGAAAGCATTCCCGGCTTGGGCTCACGGGGCGCGCGTTTCCAGAGATAAAGAACAATTGGTTTTTCCCCTGGACATACTTCAATAAGTGAAACGTCAATCTTTGCTGAATAAATCTGAATTATCTGGTTCAACAGGGGGTAGATATATACGATATTGTACTCCTTCCGAGTCTGTCGTCGATTGCTTACGTATTTCTCCAAAGTCTGAGCGCTAATCATTACACCTAACAAGTCTGAGTCCAAAGCATGTAATCATTTTAATAATTATATCCCATTCCCCATGGGGTGCTGGATCACAGTGGCAGGGGTGGCCGAGGGGCCGAAGTGACTGAGGGGATTTGGAGGAGGAAGGGGGGGTAAGTAGGTAGTTGATCTAGACCTTATAGGCACCAATGCGAACTGCTCCGGGCATTTGAGGCCTGGAACAATAAGTATGCCAGAGTTTGCGGAGACCAACCAGTCTCTCTTTGGCGGGATGAAATTTGATGCTTGCCCTCCAGAATCATAGGTCATTCATCCTTGCCGCCCCAAACCCTCCAGGCTTGAACCTTCTACTCCGTCAACTTGTGTTCAGCTTTTAGTATAAACCATGGTCTCCTGAATGTCTTGAACAATCTCAAGGCTCTTCAAGTCCTCAATGTGAGGGATCTTGTGTTTGCACTGCACAAGACCTATCACATTCATACTTAGATCTACACTTTATACGCTAATTATCTGTTCTTTCGATCCATTACTCTTCCCTCCATTCATCTTTCAGACGAGCAAGTTCACATATGAGGATCTAACTCGTCACTCGAACCCCCCCCCTTCTCCACCCCATAAGTCATGTCACATCATTCACCTCCAATCCCACATATTCGGGTGTTTACCTAGGCACCTATTATGGTAAACTCCCGTCCCTTCGCCGTCTGAATCAGGGAATTCAGTTCGTGGGACTGTGTTTTGCGGGGAAGTGCCCCGCCCCCAGGTTATCCAAACCCCCTTGTCGCTCATTGTCTTGCTGGTCTCGGGGAGCAACTATTCACCCATCAACGTGCATCTACACACATCTATCACATCGGAGGAAACCCCACTTGATCCCACGTCATCAGATGTCGTCGCTCCTTGTCTTTGGAAAGTTTCTATACTTTGATATGCTAGCTCTGATCGCAAGAGGACTTTCCAGCACCCCACACCCCGCGAACGAGCTTCGCTATCATCAGCATGTTGCTGACTTACTATTGTATCTGGCCATCCAGGCCAAGTCGGAATATCCGACTATTGATGCCAAGTCTCTGGGGTCAACGGTCATCGTGAGATTGAGGGTATATAAGAAGGTCTTTCGGCCATTGGTGCATGGGAGCATCTCTTGAACGAATGAAGTACTCATCAAGGGGATTCAAAGACTTAACAAATGGCACAGCTCTCGTTATTCCGATCGCTATGGGCATTTCTCGCTTTGATGTTGGTAGTGGGGCAAGCCACCACCCCAAAGCGACCTAATGTCATCCTCATCATGACTGATGATCAAGACCTTCACTTAAACTCATTGGACTATATGCCTATCACCTTGAAGTACTTCCGAGATGAGGGAACCGAGTTTCGTAAGCACTATTGCACTGTTGCCGTATGCTGCCCCTCTCGAGTTAGTCTCCTAACAGGCAAAATGGCACATAATACAAACGTTACAGGTGAGTTGTCCCGATGTGCTTTTACGTCTTACTGAAGCCTGGCCAGATGTGAATCCTCCATATGGTAAGTCTACCCTCCATGCGAGTGCCTGATAGGCCAATCATTTACAATTTTGCTCAGGTGGCTACCCAAAATTCATTCAACAAGGACTTAATGAGGACTATCTGCCTACGTGGCTTCAGGAAGCTGGCTATAATACTTATTATACCGGGAAGCTGATGAACGCCCACTCTCTCCTGACTTGGAATGATCCTCTCCCCGCTGGTTGGAATAGAACAGGCTGTGAGTCTCACTTTACAAGCCCCTTCTGCTCACAATTGATTTTGACAGTTCTGATCGATCCTGGAACCTATACCTACTACAATACTTGTTGGCAAGCGGACCAAAATCCTCCTATCTGGCGAGCTGGGGAATATAATACAGATATTGTCGCAGACGCATCCTTGAAATTCCTCGACGAAGCCTCGAAGAGTGACCGACCATTCTTTATGGGAGTGGCTCCTATCGCCCCTCATACAGAGGTTGAATTCCTACAAAGTCAACCCCAACCACTAGCCAGGTTCATCCCTCCGGTCCCGGCCAAACGACATGAAGGTCTGTTTGCAGACGCGATTGTCCCAAGAGGCCCAAGTTTCAATCCCGAAGAAGTAAGTTCTAAGCACTATTCCTTTCCTTTCCTTTCCTTTCCTCTCCTCTCCCTTACTCATCATCCTGTATAGGTTCAAGGAGTTAACTGGATCTCCGATCTGCCTCGAGCTAACCAGACCGAAGTCGAGGGGAACGATGAATTTTACCGAGATAGGCTCCGATCCTTACAATCAGTTGACGAGCTTGTTGGAGGCATAGTCGATAAGGTCGAAAAACTTGGCCTCTCTGATAATACTTATATAATATTCACGAGTGATAATGGCTTCCATATGGGCCAGCATCGTCTAAAGCCAGGCAAATCACTAGCATATGAAGAAGACGTTAACGTACCTTTCCTAGTCCGAGGACCGGACGTTCCGAAAAGCCAGTTCATTGATTTTACAACCTCTCACACCGACATAGCGGCCACTATCTTCGATCTGGCAAAGATTCCTCTCCGGGCCGATTTTGACGGTAAACCAATACCATTAACGCTATCGGCGATGGAAAAGGCCGGTAAATTGCCAGGTCATGATCATGTTAGTATCGAATACTGGGGTCTCGCTGCCGCTGAGGGCTTTTTCGGTTCTAATGGTCCGATGGGCAGCGTTGGTGAGTATATTTCCTACAAAACTCTATATTCAGCAAATATCTGACACATGAATTCAAGACGTTTATGACAATAACACTTATAAGGCAATGCGCATCGCTGGTCCACGGTATGACTTACTCTATACTGTATGGTGTAACAATGTTCACGAGTTGTATGATATGAAGGTGAGTTTGACTTCCTATAACGTTATATTGCATTAACCACTCCGCAAACACTAATCATGGTAATTTGGCAGTCTGATCCTTACCAGACGAAAAATATCTACTACAGCAATGCCAGACTCTGCGGCGGTAATTCGGTTGAAAAGGTTACCTCGCGCCTTGATGCTCTATTGATGGTCACCAAGTCCTGTAAGGGCGAAGGATGTATCACTCCATGGAAGGCTTTGCACCCAGGTGGAGAAGTACAAAACCTTGCGCAGGCTCTTGCACCGCAGTACGATGAGTTTTATAACTCACAGGCGAAGATCAGCTATAGTTCATGCGAACCGGGGTACATAATTGCGGCGGAAGGACCCCAGGAGGTACTCGCCTACCATCTCGGCGACTAGATGGCTAGGCTGGCTGCAACATCCAGCTGTACATGGAGCCAGTCTCAAGAACTCTCAAGATCCGGTAGAAATTAGCGGTAAGTAATTAGGATCTCGTCAATAGTGTAAAGGTTGAGAAGGTATTTCGGCTTGCTAGGAGTGTCCTGACTGAGTAAGAGAGAGGTGCCGCAGTCCTGGAGGCAGTTTGTGCCACGATGACGGATTTCTCAAGTGAAGGAAACGACCAAGATAACAAAGGGAAAAGGGACTCTCTTCTGGAGCCAGACTCTCATCAATTAACTTCCCTCAGCAATAACTCGCTGCTGGTTCTGTGTACTTGGTTGCTTACTTATTGCTTGATATCATCCATTCAATGCTTCAGGACCTTATGGACTGAGATGATGCCAAGGCGCTAATTGCTCTAGACTGAGTTCAAAGAAACTCACGTGATCTTATCTGGCTCCAACTCACCCAATACATTAGTAATGGCCGCGAGTTCTTGAAACTGACAGCATTCTTACCAGCCGCCACTGCACTCACCGGGGCGTAACTTGTGGGTTCTCCAAAACCAGGGCATCGACAGAACTCTACACATCCGTGCGATAAGAGTACCAGTAACGTGATAACATTATTGAGGTATCTAGAACCTCGTCTATCTGTGTGCCGGGTAATGGTCCCACCCAGGGCCGTTGAAATTAGTGGACTGAAACACTAAGTGGACCTTGGCGTAATGCAAACACACGGAAAAGGAAAGAGATCTATTCTATGATCTAGTTCGTTCGATAGCGGAGGATTATCGTAATGTCTATTTAGACCCGTACCGTTCTTAAAGTCAACAGGACTATTCGAGCAGTGGAATAAGATACGTCTCTCTAACACCTCATCGAACACACTGCAACAGCCCAAAATGATTATGACTATACCAAATTACCGCGAGGTTTCGGCCATCGCGCAAAAGCGTCGCAACACGAAAATAGCTGCGTACTATAACCCACCGGAAGTTGATGAAGCTTCATTACCAAATAATATCACCGAGTATGCCCTCAATTCAGGTTACTACACACCTGAAGAGCGAATCATCATAGAGGCGGAGCCAGATACTATACTCCAGAATATCGCCAAAAGAGAATGGACCTCACTCATGGTTACAAAAGCTTTTTGCAAGGCCTCAGCATACGCGCAGAAACTCACCAATTGTATCACCGAGGTATTCTATGATGAAGCACATGAGCGTGCACAATACCTTGATGACTACATCGTCAAGAATGGCAGGACTATTGGGCCATTGCATGGGCTGCCAATATCGTTGAAAGATTGTTTCATTGTACCGCCTTATCCGGCTTCAATTGGAATGTCGAATTGGGCAAATTATCCAACAGACAAGGAACAGGTCATTGTCACTATGCTGCGAGAGCTTGGGGCAATCCTTTATGTCAAGACTAATACCCCAACAGCCATGAAGATGGCGGAGACAATAAACAATGTGTGGGGCGAAACACGAAATGCTCTTCATAAGCGTCTCACACCTGGAGGTTCTTCTGGTGGGGAGGGGACCCTTATTTCCTTCAAGGGATCACCACTAGGAGTCGGTACCGACATTGGTGGCAGCATCAGAATTCCAGCTGCTCAGGGCTTTCAGTACGGCCTCAAACCTTCCGTTGGCAGGTTTCCTGGCTATGGCGGTAGGACCGGTGTAACTGGACAGGAGTTTCTGGTGGCGGTTAGTGGTCCAATGTCAAGGTCATTAAAGTCACTCCAGATCTACTCGGAGGCTCTACTTTCGGAAACCTCTGCGCCTTGGACCCGTGACTACAAATGCGTACCGATTCCATGGAGAAACAACGTCATCCAGCCTCAAGGGAGAAAGTTGCGGCTTGGTCTAATTGGCAATAACGACGGATCTGTTCACTGTCATCCGCCGGTAGAACGTGCGCTGAATTTCACCGCTGAAAAGCTCAAGGCTGCTGGACATACGATAATTCCATGGACGCCGAAAAACCATGATGTTATTAACAAGAATTTGGTGGAAGCGTTTTCCAAACTCGGTGGCGCCGCTATCATGAATGACATTAAGCCATACGGGGAGCCTATCTTCCCGTGCATGAAAGGCTATGAGGTTGCCGCAGAGGCTGAAGACATCGGCATTACTGAAATTCGCGAAATGATCACCAAGCGGGATGATCTACAGCAAGAATACCTAGAGTACTGGATGACTGGAGCACCAGATGGCCAGCCTCTCGATGGTATCATTATGGCAACCGCCCCTCATGCGGCGCCTCGATTGCAAGGTACGCAAGGTGATCTATACATTGGGTACACAGGGCTGTGGAACTATGTTGGTGAGTGGTATCTGCCTTTTACGAGTGATATCAACTAATAGTCGTAGACTTCTCTGTCTGTACCTTCCCTGTACTATTTGCCGACAAGGTGCAGGACAAAGCCAGAGATATGAAGTCTTTTAGACCTCTGTCGGAGCTTGACGCAAGAATTCAGGCAGATTACGATGCAGAGTTTTATCATGGGGCTCCTGTTTCGCTACAGTGCGTGGGAAAGCGCTTAGAGGAAGAAAAGGTCCTTGAGATGACGGGGCTGATTGAACAGGCTTTGAAGGCTTAGCGACGCCGACACCATTTCATAAGGGTTGGTAATATCTCCCAGCCCCCTGTACACTGTAGAGTCGTACCTTTGGCTATAGATAGAAGGGCTTTCCGCCTTAGGAACGGGAAGCCCAAACAACTCATTCACCTCAATCTTTGACAGTAGGATGTGTTGTTCTATGTTTGATAGGCAATTCGGCGAGCTCAAAATGACGCACACACTACTGATAGAACGCGTCGCGATTTGGCGACTATGAAACGCAGGTGACAAACTTGTGAGAACCTTGCGAGAGGCTGTGGTCATACAACGCTGGTGGTGGAGTTGTGTTGTTACCTCCGTGGGTAGGTGAAGACAAGAAACACGACAAAAGACAGTTGTACAGAGTGTATAAGTTATGAAGATGGTTATAGCAAAGATAGGGAGATAGGTGGAGAGAAATCCTTGTAGGAGGGCCAAAAGAGAGGGGCTCCATCCTCGGCTCCACGACGTCCTCCATATTACTGTTCTCTCTTGAGGGATCAACAGGCACCCCCAGGTCCGCCCCTTTGTCGTACTACTACAACATATATCTGAAGCTCTTGTTCTTACCATCTGTGCGATCCAACAGTATTCCCTCGTCAGTACGCCCCGTAGAGTTTTCCTCCGATGCCATGGCCCCTTGCTCGCGATCCCGCTTGCGATTTTCAACGCGCAAAACCATACGTAAGGTGAACACAGCAACGGCTGCGACTGCAAAGCAGATAGTCATAGCGGTGAAGCCAGAGGGATAATTCTGTGCCGCTTCCGACGGAAAGAAGAGGAAAGGGCCAGCTAGAGAGAATGGTCAGCTTGATTCGGCTAGGGGTGCTCTTAAAAAGTGACTCACTGATATTTCCAACGCAATAAGCAAAGAACATCATTGCTGATGCCACAGACTTCTTGGTATAGCCAGCGACGTTCGAGGCGATCATTGATTGTCCAATAGGAATGCCGGATCCAAAGACAACGAATGAGAAGAAGCCAAAGAGCTTTGCACCTGTGTTCGGTCCATATCGAACTAGGATAGTGCCCATGATTGCTATAACATTCAATGCCATGCCTACCCAGCACCTGGCATTTTTGACGCGGCTGCAAATGTAGGTCGAGGTCAGCGCTGCGCAGCCATGGATGAAACCGACGGGCATCTGTAAAAGATAAACCTCGAATCGCGAAAAGCCCAGACCAGCAATGACAAGTGACATAAAAGTTGTGACGGCGCCATTGGGAATGGCTATTGCCAGCTGATAAATCACAACCAGCCAGATCTTGGGATCAGTCAACGCCTCTATCGCTTGAGCCCATTTCCAGTGGTGATCTTCGTTAAGTCCAGTTTGATTTTCGCTGATTCTCGCGATGGCTCTACTTTTCTGTTCCGCAGACAAAAATCTGGCATCTTTCGGAGAGCTCGGCAGGAAAAAGAAGAGAAGTACACCCCAGAGAAAGGTGACGATTCCGAGGATGACAAACAACCACTGCCAGTTTGAGAGAACAGACGAATGAATGTGCGCGACAGCATATCCAAATAAGCCGCCAAACATGGTTCCAACGGAGGCACCAAGGAACCAAATTCCTAGACGAAATGGCTGCTCTGCTCTAGTGTAGAAGCTGGCAATGATGAGACCAAAGCCCGGCGCCAAACTGCTCTCAGCAGCACCTAGGAAGAAACGTGTGACTGCTAGACCTGTAAAGTTGCTCGCTGCTGCATGGCAGGCCAACACGGTGGCCCAGATAACGCAACAAATAGCTAGGAATTGCGCTAGAGGAAATCTGACCATGAGATAGGCCGCAGGATACGAGAGCGTTAGGTATCCAAAATAGAAGATTGATCCGGACCAGGAGTATTGCGTGCCTTTGAGATCCAGTTCTTGAATCAAACCCATCACAGACGCAAGACTGAGGGTTTGTTTGTCCAGAAATTGGAGCAGGAATGAGATCGTCAGAAGAGGCATCAGATACAAGTCGATCCTACGCCTTAGTTGCTTGTCGCCAGTGGTATCAGTGATATTGGTCATTTCGCTGACAGTGTCTTTGCTGTCCATTTTCATCGTCTTCTCTAGGTCTTGAGACATTTTGTCTAGCTGGCGGGCTTCTGAATCGCTATCGAAGATCTTTTGTAATTTCTCTTGTTGAGGAATCGACAGTTTCGAGGGTCGACAGGTCGAGTTATATCTATTCGGCCGGATAGGTTTGGCCTTGTTCATCTCCGTAGCCGTAGCCATAGCCGATTGAGCCATTCACGAGGGTTGTTGTGTTGCTAATCTAGACCTCGGAATGGTGAAAAGGAGATCGAGACTGGCAGATACTGGTGGGGTTGCGAATAGATACCTGGGGTTGTAGATAACGTGGTGACCAATGACTGCCGCTGCTGGCTCTGTCTAGTATGCAGCACATCAATATAGTTGAGGCTTAACACTCCAGGCAGATGATATCGATTCATAGATTCTGGGGCGAGAAGACGTATCGTTGGACAAATGTCTGATACATGCACAAAGAAAAGTGAAAAGCACGGCCCGAGTGATCCCTATCTAGGTTTATTGTAGCGGCATAATTACCTAGATAGGTAAGAATTCTATTTCAAGGAGGAGCACGTGCCATAGATTGCTTACCTAGATAGGCAAGACATCTATCTCGCACATGGCTGAAGTTGCCACGGCACCAGCCTGCAGCATGTCACCGTACCTTGGTAATTGTCATTGATATACTACATCTCTGGACACGAATCGTTTGATAAGAAAACGCAAATCATTTCCTGGCACGGTTATGGCTATCTCAAATCCCAATGAAGCATTGCCAGCGGGACCGTGGAAGGGTGAACTTTAAGTGGTGGCTAAGACCATGAGATTGTCTCTTCCTGGATTGGGACTTCCTTCATCGACTTGAGTGAGGATAGTGAGATATTCGTTAGAAACTTAGGACGCGTGGACTTGAAAGTGGCGGAGCACTTATCTTACATGGCTTGTCGTGCATGAGGCATGATAACGGCTGATGCTCTCTGTCGTATTTCATGGCGGCCACGAGGAGCACACCCTCTATTTCCGCAAAACACAATTCTAAGGGGGTCGATGGCGAGATTCTTGCGATAGGTTTATATAGTCATCCGTCAGCGTTCGAAATGTAGTCTTGCATCACATTCAAAAAACTCGTTACTGTTTACATGACAGGAATCTGACTGGAAAGTTATTCAGATATTTTTCATGGTGTAAGGACCATATTCAGGGTTACTCGGCGATGGATGTCGTCTTGACCATTGGTAATTGACACCCCAGCGTCGGAGAAACGAACTTCTTCCAGATTCTGAAATGGGCAAAGTGGTATGTACCCGACTGGAGCTGGAGTTTGGGGTAATGGTGATGATTGCAAATCTGGGGGAATCGAATTGCTGTCAACCGTCTACAACGTGGTTTCGGGGGAACTTTAAGAACCTTTTCCGTGTATATTCCGCGTTCCTCCACCAAGCATGTCATAAAACATGATGAAAAATGCGATCTTTCCCCGTGCTTTTCCGTGTTCAACCAGGCGAGCCAGAGGCGGCTGGCCCATGAAAATCTGGGGCATTGCGGGGCTGGTACTTTAGTCTCTAGGCGCAATTGCCACCGAGTTGCCAACATGTGGCGTGGAATTACTCTGGCTGTCTTTTCGCACCCTGGCATTTTGTGTTTTCTTTCATCCATTATCTTAAATTGTTTTGTTTACCTAGATCCTCGTGGTTTCATCCATCATTCTCAGGGCTACCGAATCCATCTCGTAGCGTTAGTTCGCTTGGCACAGACTGCCACCTTTCTTGTGCATCCCGGCAGTATCTCTCATGAAAGATGTCTGGGCGGCCGAGGAAAGCTTGCAGCACATGTAAACTCCAAAAAGTAACGTCAGATATACTTGCGATGCGCGCCTCGACCATCCAATAACCGTGATATCAGATACGCTGTACGGGCGAGAAGCCTACATGTAAGCGATGCACACGACTTGAACACAGTTGCAGCTATGAGCCACGAAGCAGGCGGAGACCACAGCCAACGGCTCCGAACTTTGTCACGCACAATATCACACCAACACGTGTGAATGCCGCCGTTCAAGGCAAAGGCACCTATCTAGGAATCCCGCGACTACTGATTCCAGAGCTGGTAGAACTCTTCTTTGAAAATGTCTGCAATTCAACACTGCTGCTACACAGGAGTCGCTTCTTGACATCTGTTCAAAGCGGAACAGTAGCTCCTCACACTCTTCTCAGCGTATGTGCCTGGGGAGCACAGTACGTATAGCCAACCATCATAAACAGATCCGCAATTGAGCGTGTAATTATAGCTTCTACAAAGACAGCAATGGGTCCGCAACATTCAAGACGGGCGGCTTCGCGATTGAATGGGCTCAGCAGGCTGGAAAGTTGGCGTTCCAAGAAATCGAGGACTTCAGCAAAGATCTCGTGGTGACCTTGTTGAACTTGGCACTATTCTGGCATTGTCAGGGTTCATGGAAAGTCAGCTCGCTGTACAAAGGTGAGAACACTTGTTGGCAGGCGGAGGTGTTTCTGAAAATCCCTTGCTCACTCGGAATACTTCAGCCAACGCATTCCACTTACTTTGCCTGCATGGTATCGGATATTCACAGCAACTAAAATTGCAAACCTTCGAGGCAGAAGTCCTGCGTCGTCTTTTTTGGTCATGGTACATCATGCATTGCCACAGCACTGAACCTTCGGGTATGCTGGACGCAGTCACGGATTTGATGAGCTTACCTTTGCCATGGCCCGAAGCGGACTTCAGCCTCGGTGCGTTGACATCGCCCACGACGACCTTGACCTCCATTGAAGGATCTACTTCATTTTTTGCGGAATTGTGCAAAATCATGAAACTCTGGTAAGCCATTCCACGGTATTCCGCCGGCTGTTGTGCAATCCGACTCATATTGGCAATAAAAAGGTCACAAGCAGTTAATCTCATCAGGACCCCAGAGACGAACCTCTCTGCTGGCAGGGTTGCGGCTATCCAGGCCTTGGACGAGAGGGTCACGTTCTGGTGGGGAAATGTACCCACAATCCAAAAACTTGAGCCAGAATCTCTCGCCGACGTGCCTAGTTCAACACTCCCTCTTGTCCTGCTTATGAATTTACTTTATCATCAAACCCTTTGCGTGCTTCATGCGGCGATTGTGCCATTGTTTTGCTGGACTGCTGGCGATGATGCGTGGTCATCGACCAGACAATGCTCTGCCCAAATCGCATATGAGCATGCATGTACAGTTTCTGATCTGATCAGAGCAGCTCTAGCCTCGACCGCGAAGATCCCTGCGATGCCAACCTTTGTAGCCTACGCGGCTTATGGTGGTTGTGCAATCTTAATGCCCTTCATGTGGTGCTCAAATCTCAATCTTCGATATCAAGCACAAGCAAATGTGCGAACAAACATCCGGATGATACGTGGTATGGCCGAGTACTGGAAGTTTGCAGAACTACTGGTTAGTACAAACCTTTGATCTCTGCCCTGTCTCTTGCCCATGACTCCGCTAATCTTGTATATGATATGCTCAAGACCGTTCATGTGAATTGCTTGTACAACATTCACAAAAGAAACCCTCCCGCACTCGATAACGAGCCCAAGTACATTGATGTTCGTGGACTTACAAGCTTTAAGATTGAGGCTTTGTATGCAAGAGTCTCAATTCTTACATTCCTAGGCATACTCCAGAAAGGATCAAGCAGTTTTCAGGATCCTGGACAGGAGACCATCGACCTTGGAATCCAGCGAAGTTCCAGCGAAATGAATGACCCTGTTCACGAGACTAACGTTGAGTTGGGTGGTAAGCAACCTCATGGCTTAAGAAGCCTCGAAAACTGATTGTTCTAGGAACGATTGATTTATCCCAGCAAAGTGCCACTCTCGCCGGCTCTCCCCAGTTAAATGTTAGGCATGATGATCTTCCAGATCTGATGCAGTCCCAGCAATGGAACCTGCTTCCACCGGGCGGACCTGGCGTTGACATGTTCTCGCCATCGTTTGCTCTTGATAGCCTGGGAGTTCTAGCAGGCCGCAGCGCAGCTGATACCACTCAATCTGATATTGACCTCGGATTCTTGGATATCGACGGATGGGATTATGGGTCGATGGATCTATCTCCATGGCTAGGTGTCACTGATGATGCCTGACACTCGACCGATTAAATCCGGTCACAATTTGTTGGGACTTGAGATTCACTATCTCTGACTTCGCAAATCAATTCTTGGCATGGCTTACAAAGGCCGAAGGAAGGACCAATTCTTCACAGTCTAGTCATGGACGTTGACACGATCATGGATTTTCTCGACCCCGCTTCCTGATCGCAAGCAGAGCCGTAAGCGTACAGGTTTCATCTTAAACACTCGATCAATGACAGTCCTGAATACATTCAAAAGCGAGTCCAGCCAGACATTACACAGGCTTGAAACATGTGTTATGATTGAAACCATACTAGGTAGTTAAGATGTGACTTGAAGGCCTCCGGTCCGCACGGCCCCCGTGCGGAAGTCTCTCTTCTCCGTGATGCACACTAGAATGTACGCTCTTCCCTGCTGGTACACCTCGCCCGATTGTTTTCATAGCTTCCTCATGTAGCTTCCTCATGTTGCCACAGAACTCCAGTGTCGTTGCTTGCGAGGTTTTCAGTAGAGGTCGAACTTCCTGATGGACCATCGTCTGATTCGAGCTCCATACATATACAATGGAATCGCCGCCAAGAAAACACCGCCTTCAATAAGGGTCATGTATCCCGCCATCTTAACATACCCAGAGTTCAGGGTCCAAGGAGTAACCGTGAAAGACACTGCAAAGGCAAAGATACCTCTGAAAATCTGTAGCACAGTGATGGTATCGGCGCTCAACGGCTTGTAGCTGTCGACCATGTAGGTGATGCCGATGGTTGCCACAGCACAGACAACTGCATAAGAAATCCCAGTACCTGCTATTGCGATGTACAGGTTAAGATGATCCCCAAGTGCGCCGCCCCAGAGCATGAGGCCGATTGGACCAAAGACGAAAGGCCCGATCATGCACCATAATCGATACTCGGGCTCAAACTGTCCTTTGTTCCGGATGGACAGCCAGCGCACGATCCAATCACTACATGGGCCCCCGAAGAGGCATCCCAAGAGTCCACCGATGAAAGCCTGGACAAAACAAAAATTGTCAGCCAGTGGGGTCACTTGAAAACCAGTCGAGAGAGACAAGAGAGTGTTGGTAGTGACCTACTCCAATGTTGATGTTACCAACACCAATGGCCGATGAATTGTATATTTCAGGAAATGCCGTTGCATTAGCCGTGGCCTGAATGACACACCATCCCAGAGTTATACCGTAGGTGAGAGAAGCATACATGACAGCCGGAAGAGGTAAAAGAAGCACCGGCCGAATGAAAAAGGTCCAGAGTGATGTTTCTCTGCTTTTGTCAGTAGATGTACATGCACATTGTTCAGGATGCCGCAAATTTTGAACTGTAAAATACATACCGATCATACCAGCCGGTCAAGCTAAGAGCCTGCCTGTGACTGAATTTGAGACCACGGCGGAGCTCCTCAAATTGGCTGGGAGTCAAGCCTGCCCTGTCAGCTTTGACGGGGCGACGGAAATTTGTTTCTGGAATCAGAAAGATCACAAGAAGCACGCAAACTCCGCTCGGGATCGCATTCAACCACATGGTTGAGCGCCAATTGTTAGTTGCGTTAACTACAAGGCCTCCAAACACTGAACCCAAGGCAGGTCCAGCGCCTTGCATGAAGCTTTATTCGTGCCCATGTCAGTACCACGTATGGATGTCTTCGAACCTGGAAAGTGGGAACTTGGGGCTACTCACGCGTAGAGGCTGACCATGGCGCCACGCTCGTGGAGAAAGTAAAGGTCCGATGCCTTGAGGCGTCAGAGTCAGAATAGAATCTCGTCACCTCTCCTAAAAGGTCGATAGGAGTGGAAGGAAACTCACAATTGCTACCCCAAGTGTCTCACAAGCTGCTGCTGCGAAACCGACGAATATACGACCTGCCAGCAATGATGAATAGCTTGTGGCCACGGCACACCAAACACCTATCACGAAGGGTCAACTTTTGGGGGTATGCCCCTAATAATGAATAGGTGATTGGTTGTTAGGACCTACTACACCCAAAGAAGAGAAGGATGCAACCGATAAAACTTGGTCTCCTACCAAATTTCTGCGCGAGGGGAATCCAGAAGAAGTTCTGTAAGGATAGTTAGTACATCAGCAGTTATCGTACAGCCAATGTCAATGGACTATTCCAACTTACACCCACGCCTGTGAACAGGATGTTAAGAGTAATCAGGCGCGTAGCCTGCTCGACACTGATGTTGAACTCAATGATGATAGGGACTATCAGCGGCGTAATGCTGCCGTTGGCGAATTGGGACATGAAAACAAAAAAGCATGTCGATATCATGGCAAGATGTTTTCGCCACTGGCTCCAGACCAAGGGGTCGGCTGGATCTGCTGACGGGCATGGGACGAGGTACCTCTCAATCACCTCTCCTTTCGTGTTTTCTGTTCAGGATCAGTCGGCAAAGCCACTTGACGGCTAACAAGCTGACAATGATTGAATGATTGGTACCTTTGTACAAATATGTGGCATCTTCTTTCTCAATTGAATCGTCAATTTCAACGGCGAGCTCTTGTTCTTCAATTCCAAGATCTTCCCTAGACATCTTGTCTTCCTGTGTGAGGTCCTTCTTCTCAGACGGGGTAGTCATCGTGATATTAGAGTTGTGCTATAGGTTTAGACACATGTGTGTTTATGGTGAGTACAGCGGCAGATGACTTAAAAGTTATCTCGAAGACTACATTTCAAGGCTATCAATATATGTATCCATATACCATCTACTCAACTATCTACAGCCGCACTACACCGCCGTCCCCACAACTCCACGATCCTCAACACGGGGAAAACATATTGTGAGACTTGTACAAGGACCTGCCTAGACTTTCAGGAATTAAAAAGTTATTTCCCGTGTTTTTTCCGCAAGTTGGAATGTTGGGCCAGGCGACAATCTCCACGGAGAGTAGCATAGATCTCCCCCGACCCCTGAGCTGAAACAGTTCTATCTTGAGAACTTGGTAATGCAAAGCAAACAACTTCTGGCAAAGGCAAGTTCATGTGATTCTGCGAACAAGCACAGAATGCATTTTCCGTGCGTATGAGTGAGTATCTAGGTATAGGATGCTCGTATGGCCTCGCTCCTACGATAGATAGTTCGGAATTTCGGGTTATGTGAAGTGGACGGACGCTCTCATATCGTCCGGTGGAAAGCTCCAGAGGTTCACGTACCCATATTTCATTCCTTCCAAAGCATTAGAAGACCGAATACTGGTAGATGCTGCTCACAGGAAGTACAGTACGTTCAGTGTAGAACCTTTCTAATTGTAGAGAAGCAGTGGTAATTTAGCTTTTGTGAAGTTATGTAGTCCATGTCTTCCTGTTCTACCCCTGCTACGTTTCCATTCGCATTCAAAGCTTATAGTAGTCCTACGCTCTTGTTTCCAACTGCAGCATCAGCTCATGCCTCTGGAATGACCGGCACAGTGAGGTAGTTGTGAGCATCTGCGGCAAAGTGGATGGCGTTCGTGCCGCGGAAAACACCTGGGTTTCTATGGTTCATAAATTTGTCAGTACTGCGAGATCTCTAGAACCTTAACACGCTCGTTCGCTGAGGGATTCTTACCTATCCACTGGGTGGTTATGCTTGAACACATCTGTGTGCTCCGGGTCGCTCGAGCCGATTTCCAGGACAAGACGACCACCATGACCGATCACTACGTTGGTTGGAATTATTTCAATGTCCACTTCGTAGATCTCATTGGGAATGACTGGCTGGACATCGGAAGACAAATAACTTCGATATGGCAACCAGGGTCGATGGTATCGATGATCCGACTGAACCTTGCGATGGCTGACTCTCAGGTGGCCGTTCGTCACGGGAATTGGTTGCCCAGTAGTGCCGGTGTAAAACACCTGCTCGTTATCTTTGTTGAAATGCCGGACAGCCACAAAGATGTCAATATCGGAGGGACACGGATTTTGTATCACACCAGCAACGGACACTCGAAGATGGAGCACCATGTGACCGGTAATTTCGAGTTCACTGGTGAGTGGGCCGGTGCTGAAAGTAACAGAATGTCCCAATTTGGTCTGATTCAGAGCGTCGTAGCTGATTTTGCTTGTGCTTGTCCGCGATGATGGCTGTTCGAATGACAGTCCACGATCGGCCGTGAGGAAGAGCTTTTGGTACTGTGTCCTTGCAATTGGCCACTCAAGCTCTGGTCGGCGAGAAAAGCTTGCTGCCTCCGCAGCGATATCGTTGGTGCCAGGGTTGCCTCTGCGCAAAAGCAGGCTGACAGGAGGCAACTTGCCTTTCTGCGACCAGCCGTCAGGATCCTTGTCGTGCAGAAAGGCATCGAGAAAGCTCCGCTGCACTTCGACTTCTTCGGGTAGGAAAAATGGCAGATCGTGGCGGCCCGTGATGAAACGTAGATACTTGAATTCCGAGACCGCATGCGTGTATGCGAAGATGTTCCCCCGGAGGTGAAGTCCCGTGCCCCCAAGATTAGCGACACTGAGCAATGGCACCGTGATATCATCATAGTTGATGTTCATGGCAGCAAACATCGGATCGTCGGCGTAGGGAAACTTGATGACTTCCTGAGGAGTATTGATTAGGTTGTACGAAAGCTCTTCTTCTGACAAAGCACCTTCAATAGTGTCCGGACCCCATTCTCGACTCGCCTTGCCGGATCGCCCATACTGAGTGGCCTTGACCTGGCGTGCCCACCAAACATCAAAGAAGTAGTTGTTCAGTATGCCGCCATGGCGGACAAAGTCGCGATAAAGGTCGGAGAAGCCTTCCCATGGGACGATAGCAGCCAGTCCCTTGGGATTTTGAGCTGCAGCATACCATTGAGTCGCCGCGTAGTAACTGATTCCGAGGAGACCGACTTTTCCAGTAGACCAAGATTGCTCGCTCGCCCATTCAATGACAGTGGGGAATGCGTGGAGAATCCCTGGAGAAAAGACGTTCAGCACTCCAGGACTCTGACCAGCGCCGATCTCGTCTGTTCGGATGACGATATAGTCATGAGAGGTCCAGTATGATGGAGTAGCAAGCTCAAAAGCTGAATGATCCGATTTCTGCTCTTCAGGTACCTGAGCATAACTTGCAGGATGAAAACTAGACTATGTCAGCCAAGATGGAAGGGAAACCACCAATTGGAAAGTCTGGACTTACTGATGGTATGGAATGTCTTTGCCATATGGGCCGTAAGTTAGAATGACTGGATATTTTTGACCAGTGCGAGTTCTCTCTGGTAAAAAGACATTGCATCGAACCACACCTCCGTCTTTTAATGGCACAGAGACATTTCGTTCAATGATGTAAGGATAAGTGCCCTCTTCTACGGTATGAATATCGCGGATTGGGAGCGGCATGATGGACGATGGACGACACACTAGGTTTCTCCCTGGCGAGATGCGATAAGAAGAGACACACACGAGTCACTGCTGCGAGACTACTGTTCCGAATAACACAGGTTATTTAAGATACCGACAGTTGATACAGAGGCACATCTCCATAGCGGCTGGAGGTCTTGAGACTTGTAAGTTGCCTAAAGTGGACCCACGTTCACAATTCTCTTTCTCCGTCACGGAATGTAGTGAGCGGTGCTCTATTTGAAAAACCTCGCTTCTTCGCCCGCTTCCCTTTCTCCGTAGCGCAATACCGCAGGAAGACTCGGCGTTGACTTGCGCGGTAGGGTCAAGCATTGGCTGGACATCCATTTCAGTGACGTGGGGAACATGCAGTTCTTTTTCCGTTTTTTTCCCGACCTACGTACTCGGCATGCAAGACGTAACCACATCTGGACTACCAAGCACTCCTGTTTCCACCGTTTCCAAGATCTTCTGTAAAGCCCGTGGCGTTGGTGGTCGGTATCACTACTTCCTGCAGAGCCAACTGTTAACATTCTGGCATGACGGACTTGGATCGTTGCGTGTCGATTGTGTCGCGCCGATCACGTTCTATACAAATCCATGTACTTAGACAATCAAAGAACTTGTAATTCCATGTATTTGAGGTCCCTTGTAAGCTACCAGGTACTACCGACTCGCGGTTCCCATGACCTTCTTGCCATCATCGACTTCCCGTAGAAGTTCCACGCAATTCAGCTTGTCATAAAACACATTCACAGGGACCAGCTCTGTTTGAACCCCGAGATGACTGGCGTTGATTTCTGGGAGACCACTAGTATTTTCGAACGCTCGCTCTTCAGTCTCACTAATGTATGCCATCATTTGCCCGATTTCGTTGCCCAGTATGCCCCAACTTTGTTCCAGCGATTGAATGGTACACTCCTCAAATGTGACTGATTTTTGAGTCCCTTGCGACTTGGCCGCCGTGTCCAGGCATGCCACCCATTGTCGGCAGGAGATGCGCTCTGACTCACACGAAACCCATGTGCCTATGGACTTCTCCGGTTGTTCAAAGATGGCCCGGACCATAATTCCAACATTCTCGCTCTCGTCGCCGGCAATTGAAAAAGGGACATCTGGACGGCATGGGAGCCGTATCACATAGTCATCACTGTCTTCCTTTGAAAAGCATTAGTACAAGGTTGAAATCTAAATGAAGGGGCATCCTGTCCTGCGTGCTTTCTGACTTACCTTTTTTATGGGCCTGTATAAATGATTTCGAAAGTTGCTTCCGTACACACCAATGGACATCAATGTGCATTTGTCCTTCAGGGTACCCCATCCTCTGTCTTGTTGATGCTGGAGCCCCTCTTCGTCATAGCCTGTGTATCCACCAAGGATGTATGCATTGGCGAACTGTTTGCTCATGAAGTGCGGTACTTTCCAGCTCCCTTCGCTAATCACATTGCTATCAGGCAAAGTACTCCAGACCAGATGCTTTAATGTTTTTGTCTCTGCTGCCGCGCGCATAAGGTTCAGACCTTGGCTATTTTCAAGTTCCTCGCCTGCCTTTTGACCTTTGTCGAACATGGTCCCTGGATGGAACGCAGTATTGGCGAAGATATGCGTGCATCCTTGGAATGCCTCACGTATGGTCTTGAGGTCGTTGACATCGCAATAAACGATCGAGATATTGGCCTCTTGGCCCAGACTTCTTGCCGAGTCTGACTGCGGTGAAGAGGTCAAGGCACGGATTTTCCACTGGGAAGTGATTGGCGATGATTGGAGCGCCCTTATCACGGAAGCACCTTGGGTTCCAAGGGCACCAACAATCGCGACCGTCTCTGTTGCTTCGGTCAACGGAGCAGCCATGTTGAGGTTCGAGATATAAGCTAACAACAACGAAAGGACTAAGTGGACGCAATTTCGGCGCTTCAGGAAGGTTCTGGGAGCGTTTATTGCCGTTTGTCGATTAGATGTGTGTCGATGCCCCATTCAGGATTTCAAACCAACTTCAATCATTGTTGGGAGATTGTTTGTCAGCGCCAATGTACCAGTGCGAATTTGATTTCTGTTCATTTTCCGTACTTGCCGTTGCGGTAGCAAGTTTTCGAAGACCCCTAAACGAGCTCTAGGTATCTAGAGCACCTGAAAGCAAACTCCGTGTTTACCGCGTGAGGTAGCTGTGGGTCTTGCGGAGAGATGGAGAAACGCAGAATCGATCTCACATCCCCATATTGACAGGTTTTGTGGGGTGACAGTCTGAGTGCCGACCCGAACCAACATATATAGAGCGTGCAAGTTTCGAATCTATGGAAAGTATATTGTTTTCTGCTACTCTTTCACGGGCGAACAAAAGCTCAATCGACAAGATACGTTGTGGGAGCTTCTGTCAAATAAAACCATTCCCAATATGGCATCCCTGGATGGCAAAGTGGTAAGAGGTTCACCAGACATATCTCAGGCTAGGAAGGAGAGGACACTGGCTGACGATGAGTCTTTCGATATAGATTGGAATTACCGGCGGCGCAAGCGGCATTGGTCTTGCCACAGCTCAACTACTTGCATCACGCGGGGCTATAGTGTCCTTAGCGGACACAAATCAAGCCGGCCTCGAAAAAGCCATCAAAACCCTCTCAACGAGTGGATCTCGCAGACATACCAGCGTGGTATTAGACGTGCGAAGCAGCAAAGCAGTTAATGCGTGGGTCTCGCAGATTGTCACGGATCATGGTCGCCTCGACGGGGCGGCAAATGTGGCTGGTGTTCACAAGAACGACAAGCGACTCGTTGATGAGACAGATGAAGGATATGACTTGAACATGGATGTTAATGCCAAAGGGCTGTTTTACTGTTTGAGAGCACAGCTCCGGGCACTCTCGAAGGGTGGCAGTATTGTGAGTACTCACCGTGTTCCTGTGTTTCCGTGTTCCAGTGTCTAGTCGAGGCCCGAAGAAGATGTCTGACAACCTTTCTCCAGGTCAACGTTGCTAGCGCAACAGCCCACATCGGAGCAGCTGGCATGGGCAGCTACTGTGCAAGTAAGCACGCCGTGGTCGGACTGACCAGAACTGCCGCACGGGAACATTCAGACGCTAGAATCAACGTCGTTTGCCCTGGTAAGCCCGAGATCTGACCTGCTCAGCTTATAGAAATCTCTTGCTGACAGATCCTAAAAGGCATCGTATCGACAGCGATGACGGATGAGATAGAAAAGAAGCTGGGTGGTCCCATGTCTACCTCAATGCAGTGCTTCGACAGGCATGGTGAAGCAAGTGAGATTGCAACCGCGATCGCGTTTTTGTTGTCAGACGAGGCCACTTTCGTGACCGGGGCAATTTGGGATGTTGATGGGGGATTGCGCGCTTAGAGGTGTCAGCTACAAACGGTGGACGAATACTCTACAAGCCTCGTTAGTACAGAGCAGAAAGAATCGATGGTGTCCCATATCTTTTGTTCCGTTATGGCTAAAGGCGTGGCATAGTTCCTGTTCCACCATTTAGCACCCGAGGCTTCAACCTGATGCGTGTGCAGCTAAGGGATTGATGTCATCAACATTGGCAAGACGCAAGAGATGAGAAATTCTGCTGTTGGCTTAGCTCGAGGACGTCCTACTTATTACTATAGGGTGATCTGGGAGTGCCGGAGAAGGAGAGCTTAGAGGTTCTTATCCAGGTGCCCTTTCTAGTTATAGAAATAAATAACATGTCCATTTCATGTATCCAAATCTAGGTAGTGTTGCTGGTAAAACATCCAAAAATACCCGTCGTCCAAACATCTAGTGCCAACATCACTGCTCATTCACCGTCTCTCGCCACAAGTCATGTATGATTTTCCAATATCTTTCTGGATCAGCAATCACATGACCAACATGACGACTGCTTCCAAAATCTTCGGTCTGCACACGGTCTTTTCCAATGACATTGATTGCTTCTTTTGCGTGTGCTTCGACATCAGCAGCGGGAACCAATCGATCAGCTTGAGAGTATATATAAAGTCGCTTGATAGTGCCTTGTGTAAATGGGCCCTTTGGATCGTTGAGTTTTCTCCTTATCCAATAATTGAAATTCTCATATCCAAGCGCAGCGCGAATAAGCTCACTGACTACGAGATACGTCCAAATGGCTCCAGATCCGAGAATTCGAACAACTCCTGATTTGGGAAGCGTCTCTGACACCGCCTCGTGGGAGAGATTGAGGTTGGGTAACGAGGGTGTGCTGTCTAGGATAAGCGCGGAGACAGGAAACAGATCTCCAGTTTCCCTGAGATAGTTGTTGGTGAGGAAACTGGCGGTGTATGAGCCACCATTAGAAAACAGGTGAGTGAGGACTCGTAGCTTTGCGGGACTCTTTTTCTCCACCATAGTTTTGACGAGCTTCAAAACAGGTTGCACATTCTTTCTTTGTGTAGCGAAAGAATTCCAAAAGATGTCAGAACCATCTTGCTTATGCAGAAGAATTGGGGTGTTGGGAAATAGCTCCTTGTACCCAGAGATGTACTTTTTCACATTTCTCGATGATGCGTACATCCATGAGCAGATGAAGAGGAGATCTGGCTGATGTGCTGGGTCTGAGCTTTCGCTCCCCGCGTCGCTTTTATCTGGGGTGTAGAAGTACACCTGCTCATTGATCCTTTCAAATTCGTCTAGATATGGATCAGGTGGAAGTTTGTGCCTTTGTAGAGAATGTTGTGTAGTTTCCATTTCCAGGAGTGGTTGGTGATGATAGAATGAGTAGAGGAAGAGATAGATACCTGAATATTTTTGGAGAGTGTTTCTGCAGACGTGAGGAATAATGAGGGGCCGATCAGTACATGACTAAGCCTAGAAAGGTCGACCTTGCAATGAGAATTCGATAGATGACTAGGAAATCGAGTGATGGGTATATGTATAGGTATATATACCGGTCATTGCTAAAGGCACCCGCGTCTATTTGCTGATTTATCAATCGGTATTGGCACCTGTCCCTTACGGCACAGGCTCGGCTTGATCGAGGAGCGGCTCGTCACTCTCTTCTTCTTACCGTGCATCATTTCGGACCGTACTTTGGATAGGCGATGCAATACTAGTCCCTTGGCGGTGGTCGTATTTCGTATAACAGATGATTCGGCTTCTAATCACGCCGCCCGTGGCATCCATGAAAAGGGATGGACCTTTGATTGGATCCGATGGTCGTGCATAGGAGAAGCGACAGACCTTGAGTCGCTGGACAGACATAGCTTTTTGTTGAGAAGAATAAACAAGAGCAACGCCAGCCCCAGATTTCGTGTACTTCCGATGGAGAGATACAACATTCTTTGTGGAGCCAAATAGCTGATTGGCTGGCAGACTCACCTTTTTGCTATGTACATCGGTATTTGATTCGCCCGGCTTTGGGGATCGAGAGCCTCGGTCGAGATCTACCATACTGTGTCTTTCTCTTGGCTATGCGGGATGCAATATGTGACATGAAATAAGTGAGGTTAAGATGAGGTGATAAAGTGTTGGGATGCCAAGGACCACGATGAGATGTAGAGAGGGCAGAAGCGACAAGGGACGATTGACCTAGGCCACTCTTGCCTGGGTACCTCCATGGGGATCAGGTGTACTCATGGACTGAGAAACATAAGGATCGAAGAAACATAAGGATCGCAGGAGACAATGTGTTCCTGCTTCCTTTCAACGCCGCGAGTTACGGGGCCAGTAATGTATTCATTAACGTTGATCGCGGTACAGGAAGACCAGGCCATTACTACCAAGGCAGTTCATTTCCCTCTCGGTGCCAAAACCTCCCAGTATCCTCGATCTGTTTGCTCTTGAGAACATTCCACAGTTTAGTGGCAGCCTCTTCCGGCCCCACCGCCTCCTTCATGTTCCATACATCCGCATCTAGACCAGTCTTGGTGAAGCCAGGATGCAACATACTGACCACAATATTCTGATCCTTCAACTCGACCGACATGTTCTTGAAGAAGCTGTTGACTGCAGTTTTGGATGCTCGGTAGGCATACAGTCCTCCAGAAGTATTGTCAGCGATGGAGCCGACACGTGAAGACACCACTGCGATATGACGAGGTCCAGAGGCGTGCATGATATTAGGCAAGAGGGCTTGAGTCAGGAAGAAAGGACCAAAAGTATTGATGGTGAATGCAGTGTTGACCATGTCGAGCGTTAGGCCATTCAAAGTGTCGGAGGCCTTGTTGGGCATGACACCTGTTTGATGGTTAGGATTCGAGGGTAGTAGAGAAGAATAATCCAAAGTGGCATACCGGCAACGTTCAATAAGACGTTGAGCTTTGTATCTCCAAAGGCTAGTTTGAATTCTTGGATTGACTCGATTGATGCGACATCGAGGCGGCCAACTTGACAATTGGGACCTGAAAGGCTGAAGAGTGTTTCACCGGCGTTGACATCAACGGCGTAGACAAAGTAGCCCTAATGGAGGCAAGGATCAGGTCGTTAACAGGCGGGAGCCATACATCGGGCTAGTCCAGCCAGACTCCATCCGTCAGGTTTCTGGCCACTTACCTCTTTCAGCAAGACCTTTGCAAATTCATGGCCAATGCCTGAATTGCAACCTGTGACCACTATATTGGGATGGAATTGTCAATGAGAATACGAGGATGCAAATGGCGGGGCCTGTAAGGTAGGTCTGCCAGACAACGCGACGACATACCTGCTGTCAGCATATTGTAGACTTGACGTCTCACAGTCTCTGAGATATGTTTGTTTCACTGATACGGGGACTTGCTCAAGTGAATGGAATAAACTCAACGACGATGTGAGAGAGTGTGTACATGTTCCATGGAATGGTCAACGTGAACACCTCCTCTCTTTCTCTTTCTCTCTTGTCACATGGCTCGAATGAGTTTGTCATTGGGTCTGGACCTTGAAATGGCTGAAAGCCGACTGGTCAAGGTTTACAACATCCAATTACCTAAGGGAATGAGTGAGATGTGCTGAGGGGTTAGAGGAGCTGGAGGCGGAGGTGGAGATGGAGATGGAGATGAAGTAAAGGAATGATTAATGACGGTGTAAATGCAGATCGATTGTAGCCTTGCATGGACTACTTAAGTAGCTTGACGACCTATCCAGGTACCTAATTTGTAGGCACTTCCAGGCACTTCCAAGCATGTTCATGCACCCCGCATTCAGGTTTCTTAACTAAAATTAGCTAAGAGGACTTTCTCCAGATCCCCATCTGACACATCTCGTATAACATTATTCTTCTCGGGGCTGCTTGTATCGTGCAATCATCTCTTGGATGATCTGTTTTTGCTCCTGCCACGCATACGTTCGGCTTTTGAGTATTCTGTACCATAAATCAGCATCATCACCAGAACGGTGACCCCAAGCCGCTGCTCGGAGACGAAGTCCAACTAGTCGTGGGGATGTAGGCGTGATGTCGTTTGTGTACGTCTTTCCACCACCTCCATATCCGCGAAGGGGGGCACCGTCGTTGATGTAGATTGCTTCACCCTTTTCACCTGCCATGTCTTCTCCGCGTTGACTGTCAGGAAAGACTTCGGTGGTGACATAGTCGTAGAGGGATTTGACTTGCTCAAGAAATTCGGGTCCATGTTGGAAGCCCACGCCAGGCACAAATTGGTCTTGGAATTGATCAAACCATTTGGTGGGGAAATCGGTGTGGACAGACTTGGAGAATGGTACTGAGCTGGCATGTTTGACATCAGTGGGTTCATTGTCGTTTTTGGCTTGGATCTTGTCGCCATGTGCCTCAGTGACATCTTTCGTGCCATACGTGGACTTAGAGATGTCGTCGGCCATGATGGGCTCATTTGTGTTTCTCAGATCGATGAGGTCAGAGTCGGCGTTGTCGACTTCAGTCTTGATCTTCTTGCTACCAGTTGGAAGTTTGAATTCAACTTCATCCGTATCCAGTTTGCACAGCTTCACCAGCAGTCTCAAATCGTCAACACGTGCTTCGTCCTGAGTGATGCTTGTGGCGGGTGGGACAGAGGTTTCAGAGTCATCAAAGTCATCATCAGAGTCATATTTGACCACCCGTCGCGGCGGGGAGACGCCCGTCTTGTTCTTGCTCTTGTCCTTCTCTTCCAACACTGCCATTACTCGGGCAAGGCGTCCTTCATGATAGAGGCCTGTCTTGTTCTTGTTCTTTATATCTACCGTCCGCTTCTCTTTCGGTTCTGCCAGTCTTGTTAGGATACAGGTGATGTTACCAGGTAGAGGGGGCTCACGAATGGCCCGGACGACAGCAGAGAGAGACTTTGGCTGCTCTGTCGCCGTGGCTCCAAATTCCGTCATGATCGTTGAGAGAGATTGTGGAGATGAGAATTGATAACGCGGTGTTGTAGATGAATAAGTTCAGGTTGTGAGATGGACGTGGGAGGAAGATTGGTTTGTGAGAATGATCAGTTTGTGAGGAAGATTGGTTGGTAGAAAGAGGAAAACCACAAAAGATAGCAGAAATAAATAGGCAAGCGCGGGGCATTTCAGATCAAGTTACTTAGATCAGATCTTAATAGTCACGAGCAGCTTCCAGAATCCAGAAAACAGTGAATGCTCAAGATAAAACAGTCGTTAATGTTAATGATAATGTACATGGAGGGGTGCTCCCTCACCTGCTCCCCTGCCGTCTCTGTCAACGGTGATCCATCTCTACTCCATGTTCTGTTATGTCTTCAGTTCCATCCAGTATTTCCGCTTCATTGTGATAGTCATTAGTATAGTCGTCTCCATGATCATCCTCCCCTGCCACCCTCGACCAGCGGCCCGCTCCACCCCGAGCCATGCGCGGGCTGAGTTTTAAACGTCCTCGAGAAAGATTGTTGATCTTGTCTGCAATCGCGTCCCCAATTCGCCGTAGGACATCAATAAATCTCTCATTGTGTGCAATAGATTCGTCTCGCAGAGCTGCTGCTGCATGCTCTTGTGCTTCAGCCTTGAATTGGAATTTCAGACAGTCTTTGATCGTCACAAGACCCTCCAAGCGGCCATGGTGATCCACCAAGATGACCCGAGGCCCCATCTTTTTGAATAGCTCCATGGCTGTTTCCAGAGGCAGTCTCGGATGTACTGTGATGGGCGTTCGATCGACAAAGGAGCTGAAATCGGCATTTTGAATGGCCATCGCATCAAAGGTCACGGCAGGACTAAGAGGCGCTCCTGTATCTTCCTCATCCTCAGATGAAGTCACAAAAGTACATTTGGCGTCAGAAGATAGGTTTCCCTGCTTTTTCGCTCGGTCGATAGCGTATTGGAGTTCGGTTCTCCCAATATAGCCCAGCAACACCTTGGATTCTCGATCCTCCACCACGGGAAATCCCGAATAGCTGGTGTCGCTCAGCAGCTTTTGGATGGCCTTGATTTCCATGCCTGATGCAGGAAGCAAGCTCACCATGTTCGTCATGACCCGCGATACAGGCACGCCGAAAGAGTGCTCTTCTTTGTTGTCAAGGAATGGAAAGCCGTTGAACCAGATCATCCGGTCTGCAATACCCGCACTGCTAAAGCGGTCGCCCACAGCCTTGGTCACGCCAACAACAATCATCGTGGGCAAAATATAGGTCAGAGCCCCTGTCAGTTCAAACATGATGACAGTGACAGAAATGGTCAAATGCATGATGCCACTCAAGGCTGCGCCGGCTCCCAGGAAGGCGTATGTCCCGGGGGTAATGCATGGGACATCTGGCTGACAAGAAGCAAAGAACTGTGAATCTGGAAATGTTTCATACAGCCATTGCACGATGATGCCCAGCATTCGACCAAATGAAGCCCCGATGGCCATGGAAGGCACAAAAATACCGGCTGGCACTTTGCAGCCGTACGAAATAATGACAAGAAAGACGCGCAATATGGTGGCAACCAACAGGGAGGCCACCAGAGACCAGCGATTCTTGGGCTCACACAGTCCATCATAATCATAGTCGGCCTCGCACTCACGGAACAGCTTTTCCATCATTTCTGTCATGTCGATCCGGAGGAACATGTTGGGGTAACAGAGGAGCGCCGTGGCACCTGCAAGCACAACTGCTTCAGGAATGGCAAAGTTGGACAGATACTTTTTTCTGAAGGACTGGGCCATGAGATTGTACTTGATGACAAAGGCGCCATATAATCCACCAAAGATGCCCAGGATGATGTAAAAGACGACTTCGAAGAAGTGCCAGTCTCGGTCGTACTTGACGGAAAACATGACCAGCTGTCCGGTCCGGAAAGGGTTGATCGCGCTTAACACAGCCGTGGCGACCAAAGCGCAAAAGTAGCTTCGCCAAAGCGTCTTGAGAGGGAAGTGTGTAGCCATCTCTTCGAGGGAGAAAAGCACACCGCCAATGGGACTACCAAAGGCGACTGCCACCCCAGCACCGGCGGTTGCTGTGAGAATCTCCCTGGTCTTGGAAGCGCTGTCCCTATATTTGCTGAAAAATCTTGAGATGACATTCCCCACGCACACGGCGTAGTGGACACTAGGCCCTTCCTTGCCAACCGACAAGCCTGAGGCGATAGCCAGAGGCAAACATATCGACTTGATGAGAAAGGTCCAGAAACCGAGAAATCCCTTCATGATGAAGCCAGCAATGATACATTTGATCTCGGAAATGCCTGAACCAGCAGCATAGGGCGCATAAGCCTTGACGAGAAAGGCGGAGACAAAAGCCAGCAGGACTGCAAAGATGGCGTAGATGAAATAGTTGGCGACTGTGAACGAAGTCCACCTCTTCCACTCAACGCATCCCTGTTCAGCGCCATAACAGCAAAAGCCTTCGTTGAGATACCAAGCCGTGGTGCAGTATCCCAGCTTGACGTCTGATAACCATTCCGTGATGATGTTCAGAGCGGCAGCATTCAACCCAATAACAATACCCACCAATGTGATGACGACCCAGGCTTGTGCAGCATCATATGCTTCCCAGATCTTGCGCCGCCATCCCAAGGCTCCATCCCTGGCAAAGAACTTGCTCTCTCTCCGTCTGGCGCTTCTGCGGAGTTGTTCCTGAGCAGCATCTTGGACCCAATCAATGGTGGTGAAATCTTCGTATCTCTTGATCTCGGCTATCTCTTCGGTGATTGCCTGGTCTTGCGGTGTGATGGGGGGTAGGTCGTCGCCATGCTCGATACTAGAGACGGTGGATTGGCGCCTGGAGAATCGTCGATGGCTTAAGGAGGGACGCGGAGGCGCGGACGAGGTCGAGGAGGAGACGCGCGAGGTCATAACATCGACCCGTCTATCATGGCCCGAAGGATATGTCTGGAACAGTGCTTGTGACGGTACCAGAGAGGGAATTCTGGGCTCAAGTGATGGTCGAGGGATGAGTGCCATGGATTCTCTCCAATTGTTGAAGTCGAACTCCGATCTGTCACCTTTCCCTTTTGGGACATGCCCAGAGCCTCTCTTTTATCACGACTTTGAACTCAACTTTGACATTTGTCCATCATCCTTCCTAGGCTAAGACGAAAACCTTGAAAAACGGTTGAAAAGATCTAGAAACACGAGAAACACGTCTGGAAACGCGTCCAAAGCTGAAAATCCTTACCCTGACGCCCACAGGATTCACAGAACTGGGGATTCTTCAACGCGAGTCTGCCAACAGCGCACGTGAGGACAGCTTCTCGTCTCTCAGCTCACTTTCCACCATCCCAACTTGATAAGTTCATCTCTTGGGCACGACACATATCTACATATACCAATCTTCATCGTTTCTATTACGACCGCGCGCACACAAAAGATCATATCATGCCACAGCAGAATACTCATACGGCCTCCACTGAGGCGCCTACGGGCACAACCGCACTACCCCGTATGTCATCATCCACCGCAACATGCCCCAAGACTCTCTCACTCACTTTTCCGCAGTCGCACGTGTCAAAAAGATCATCGCTCAAGATGATGACATTGCTCAATGTTCAACCACGGCAGCCTTTTCAATAGCAATTGCAACAGTGAGTCCCTGCAAGAAAAGTCCCAGATGTTTTTCCTCCTAACACCGATCTAGGAGATCTTCATTCACTACTTGACAGAGCAAGCACACAATGTTGCCAAGTCAGATCGAAAACCTCGACGGAATATTGCGTACAAGGATGTTGGTAGGTGTTGAACGATATGAATCTGCAAGAAAGTCATGAACTAACTGGCTTTTAGCGGCAGCAGTAGCGAGAATCGACAATCTTGAATTTCTATCTGATACAGTACCCAAAACAAAAACATATCGACAGTTCCGGGAGGAAAAGGCCGAAGAGGCTGCACGTGCAGCAGCCGAGGCAGCAGGGAATCCTGGGACGAGTATCGCCATCGAACCTGGAGCCATGTACAATGGCACAATAACAGATCAACCCAACGGCGCCAATGGAGTAAATGGACATGGAACGTTTACTGAGCCTACCAATGCCCACCGATCAACAAATCAACGTCCACATGGCCATCCGGACCCTATCAGAGATATTGTCATGGCGGATTAGAGATCCGGTGGTCTTTCCTGGAGATTTCAGCAGCAGCCACGTCCAAGGCAATGATACCTCTATGAATTCGGTGGTGCATTGGGAAAATGGACCTAGGACGGTCTTGGGCAATAGCACGGATGGAAGCAAAGCGACGGGCGTTGTTGGTACTTTGTTTTAGGGTGGGATTGGGAGTGGAGGTACATGCATACATATCATGGTTGACACCCAACATAAGGCATGGGGGCGACATATTGAATCAATGTAAATCACGAACTCCAGCGATGCTACCATCAATAACTGTTTCCACCATGAGTCTTTTGTATGACATTTAGTTCATTGGGAGGATCTAACCAAGTCCCAAAACGGACTAGTCCCAATCCCGAGCTTCCAACCAATCATGTTGCATGTAAAGGAGCTTTGGCTTGGCAGGAAATCGTGTTGGACTTTGCTTCCCATCCGACGATGAATTCCCAGTTACTGTTTGCTACTTGAATGAGAGCATTGCAACATCACGACATCCTGTAGTTCTGTCTACATCTGGAGCTCCCCACCACCTCTCTCGCCTCTGTCCACACATACATCCACGTTCGACGATGCGTCCCGTCCCAGCGTCTGCGGGCTCTGCCCTGCGCAGCTGGACCCGACATACTCTCCCGTCCTCCTCGTCCTCATCTTCCCGTCTCGCCGCCCCAGCTTTCACATCAAGCTCCCAGAGACGGCAACAATCTTCGGAAGCTTCAGGATCCAGCTTCCAGAGTCCTTTCGTGACCAAGGACACCACCAAGATCCCAAGCTTCAAAGCCTACCAATCCAAGAACAGCGAGGTTTCGAATCGTGTTTTCTCATATTTCCTTGCTGGATCAATGGGTCTGCTTGCCGCTGCTGGCGCAAAGGCTACTGTACAGGGTATGTCACACCGACGCTCGAGCTGCCAGTCGTGGGAAAGGGTTGGAACAAAGCTTCGGGGCGCGAATACGACAGACATATAAGCTAACCAGAGCTACCAAAACACAGATTTCCTAGTCAACATGTCCGCATCCGCCGATGTGCTGGCTCAAGCCAAGGTGGAAATCGACCTGGGTGCTATTCCCGAAGGCAAGAACGTCATCATCAAATGGCGAGGCAAGCCCGTCTTTATCCGACACCGAACTGAAGACGAGATCAAGGAAGCCGAATCCGTCAAGTATGCACACACCAGAGCAATACTCCTTCTAAATCACAACCCTTGGCTAACCACCACCTATAGAATCGAAACCCTTCGTGATCCTCAGAGCGATAGCGATCGAGTAAAGAAACCCGAATGGCTCGTCATGTTGGGTGTATGCACACATTTGGGATGTGTCCCCATTGGTGAAGCCGGTGATTTCGGCGGATGGTTCTGCCCTTGCCACGGTTCTCACTACGACATCTCTGGCCGTATACGAAAAGGACCCGCTCCTTTGAACTTGGAAATCCCAGCCTACGACTTTCCCGAGGACGACAAGTTGGTGATTGGTTAGAGAAGGACACACACAAGACAAGACAAGACAAGATGTGTGTGAGGGAATAAGAGCGACAAGAGAAAATCCAAGTTTACAGATTCCTACCATGGATTCCTCTCAGACGTCGACAATTCTCGACACCAGAAAATAAAAGATGAAGAAGAAAGATGACACTGGGTTCGCCGGTTGTGGGTTGGTGGAATCCAGGCGTGTACATACTAGAGAGGGAGAGAGCACAGAGGAGTAGTGTGGATGATGGAGACTACAATGAATGGGAACGGATATTTCCATCTACAGTCAAAGCCCTTTTTTTAAAGAATAACATTAAAACGTTCAAAAGAAGAGTATATCTTGATAGAGTTCTTGATTTCTTAACTGTACAGTCTGCACAGTCTGCGCTTGGATCGATGTGTTTGGTGGTGTGATATAATGCTATACTAGCTAGATCTAATACAATTCATAAATGAGTAATGATCATTAACATGGGTTGGGTTGGAGGGTAAATCTTCATTATTGACATGCATATTTATATTTACATGTATATATGTACGAGTATATGTATATATACTTTGGATTGTCTTACATCTAGTGTCTGTCTTACTATACAAGTTGGGATTGAAGTTCAGCATGCCAAAGCAGCCACCCCCACCCCAGTGCTTCATGCACTTTTCTACTTTTTTCTCTCTATCTAGGTCTCAACAAAACAAAGAGCAGACCCATGATAGCCATACCTCCAGCAACACCCTCCATTGCCACGGTGGTCAACTCACGCTGCGTCAACATGACATGACGGTCGTCGCTGAATCGTGCACGGATCCAATCTTCATACCACGCTAGACTCGAGGATGGTGATGTCCAGCGGGATGAGAGTGAGAGTGAGAATGGAGATGGAGATGGAGATGTAGGTTCAGGTTCAGTGGATGTGGGTTCTTGGTCAGGTGAAAATACAGTCGAGTCGAGTTCTTGACTTGTCACGCTTTCAGCTGCGGCTTCGAGTTCTGATATCGAGGGAGTAATCTTGGTGGCGGCGTCTGGTTGTGGTGATGATGTCGAATCTTGATTTAGAGAGGTCGAAGCCAAGGTCGTTGACTGACTCGGTCCATCATCCTCCGTCGCGCCAGATACAGCATCGACAATCTGCTCTGCAATCTTGTCCGCCACTGCTTCAGCCTTTTCTGTAGCCGAGAGTTGAGCAATACCTTCGGCGGTCGATTGATTGGGCTGAAGAGTCTGTCCATATCCAGAAGAAGCTTTGATGGCGGCCAACTCGGCATCTCGCTCTCTCAAAGCCACTTCGACCTTCTCCTCAAAACCCTTGACCAACCTCTTTCTGCGCCATGGCTCCACTGCAATCTGGAAGATGACAAACAACAAGACATTGATACCCATGAGTCCCCATGTGCCCCAGGTCGACATCTGTCGGATCTTGTCGCTCCAGATTTGTTCTTCATGGTATCTCGCAAGAATACTCTTAGCTAGCTTGGTCGACGCTTCCTCATACTGGGCTTCTGCATCGGCCACTTCCTTCTGTGCGACGATCTCAGCTTGCTCATTGGCGTGGTCGGAGCGATATAGGCTTGTGAATCGTTCGAGGTCAGTTGGAGACCAGGTATGTTTCCGGTGGAGCAAGTCGTTGACTTCTCTCTGCGTCGTGCTTCGAGTTGCAATTGCCTCGGAGTATCTGTCCCTGCATTCTTTGACAGATTGTCGCGAGTTTTGAACCTGTGTCTCCAAAGACTCGATTTGTTTCTTCAATGCCTCGATCCCACTGTAGCCCGTCAGGTCGTTAAGCCGCTGCGACGCAGTGAAGATGTGTGTTTGGTAATTGTCCATGAGGTGTGTGAAACGTTTGCGAAGCTCTGAATACCGTTTGGAAAGTTCCGAGGGGAGGAATCTATCGGCTGGGTCGCCATTTTGTGAAGGTGGTGTTCGTGGTGGAGGGGGAGGAACTGCGGATGCTGATGGTGCAGCACTCGAACTTGTAGACTCATGCTCCTTTGTATAGACAATGGAAGAAGACTCTGGGATGGTATGAACTATAGTTTCATCTTTAGGATCCTTCAACTTGTCGTCAGACTGTGCGGCGAGGTCTGCTCGTGCATCGAGACTTTCTTCTATTCGAGCCTTGGCTTCTTCCACTTTTCGATCGGTCTCGGACTTTTCACTACTATAATATCGAGCTTGCTGAGCGATTGACTGTCTTGGAGGACGCAATGCCGAGGACGTGCATGGCGGAACGACGTAGGAGAAAGGGCGGGAGCTGGGTATCGACAAGCGCTTCTTGTTTGCTGGATTAGCAGCTCGAAATGCGGACCACAGAGTCTGGGAAAGCCGCAGGGGAACTGGTTGCATGGTCGAGCAACGAGAGGAGGATCCAAGCCACAGATTCAAACTGTGTGCTTTGGAAATGAATCCTACCCCTGTTCTTCCTCCGGCAAATTCTTCGAGGGAGGGTTTTGACCAGAAGATGGAATTTGGCGTGGGATATACAAGCTGTGCCTTAGACGTCGTTCTCGATCGTTCCCTCGACCATCCTGCCACTCCTGCCTGCCACTTTCCCTCCGTGGCTCCTTCCCCGTCATCGGCGACTCGGCGAAGAAATTCTTGGTGACCGAAAACAGAAAGTCAACCGATCCACGGACCATGTGTTTATCCATTCCGAGCATGGCTCCTTGACCGATCAAGTACTCCGTAGTCGACGCCATCTTCGCGGGTTTCCTCATTCGGTGTCTGTCCCGCCAAAAGTTTCAGAACTACTCGCCAGGACTGATTCTCCCGGGATTTTTACATAGCGGGCAACCAGGCGACCTTTCAAGAGTGAGAGAACCACGAGCCTCACCCACCAGACCCAGTTATAAGTCTTGTCGATCCATCTTTCTACCCATCACAACCCGAAATTGGGTCCCAGGGTCAACTCAACTCACAGTTTTCAAGCCCATCCCCCTTTGCTGATCTCTCCAGCCTGTTTACTTTCTTTTTCACTTTCACGACAGGTGGCATTCATCCGTCTCACTCCGCCTTTGTTAATACAACTTATAAAATCAACTTCCAAGAAACCCTAGAGGACTAGAGATCAGATATATATCCAAAAAGGCCATCAATATATACAGCCAAAAATGCCCTTCCCCGAAACCCTCAACGCGAAACCCCGCGTCATCTTCTTCACCGACTTCGACGGCACCATCACCCTACAAGACACCAACGACTTCATCACCGACAACTATGGCATGGGCAAAGCCGAACGCCGCCAACTCTTCCACGCTGTAATCGACCAAACCGACACCTTCCGCAACACATTCCAAAAAATGCTTGATAGCTGGCACATGCCCTTCCCCGAAGTCCTCGAGATCCTCCGCCAAAACATCACGTTGGACCCGCACTTCCGCGACTTCATGGTCTGGGCACGAGCCCATCAAGTCCCCGTCATCGTGCTGAGTAGCGGCATGGTTCCCGTTCTGGAAACCCTACTCAAACACCTATTGGGCGAGGAATTGATGAGCGATATTGAAATCGTCGCTAATGAGACTCAATTACGAGCACCGGGGAACTCGCTCGATGTTGCGGATGGATGGACGATCAAGTTTCATGATGATTCGGGATTCGGACATGATAAATCACTCACGATTCGTCCTTATGCCGATGCGATTGCAAAGATGCCGTTTGAGGAAAGGCCGACTTTATTGTATGCGGGTGATGGGGTCAGTGATTTGAGTGCGGCCAGGGAGACGGATCTGTTGTTTGCGCGTGAGGGTCAGGATCTCATCACGTATTGTGAGAATGAGGGGATTCCGTTCACGACTTTCTCGACCTGGAAGAGTATCCTTGAGGAGACACAGGAGATTTACGGTGGTGAGAAGACAGTGCGCAAATTGGCGGAGGAGGGCTTGAAGAGGCATAGGACCAATTCTATCGAACACGGCTCGACTATGAGACCTACAGTCCGATAAGTCTCCTCGAAAGTCTGCCTTCAGCGGATTGGCATCGAGGACAGGCACCGAACCATGTTTCCTAGAATAGACAGACAAGGGTGATGATATAGACAGTTCTACACGCCCAAATATAGACTAGAGCCAATGGCTATGAATTATAAAGACCAAAATGAATTCAGTACTTGTTCGCTACTAATTCAAATATCACAGATGAGTCTAAATGGCAATGACTCTCAAACCTCATCTGCTCAGTATGACCTATACAACCCAAATGTGGATGCCATATAAACCTTTCGTCAAACCAGTACTATGCTGGACAATGATCCTGTGCTGAAAACCAGTCAAGACACTCAATGTGCGACATCGACGTACTCATCCAATGCTTTCCTCAATTGAGCTGCATCTCTCGGCACTAGCTTTACTCTGTAGCGCTTGGGGACACTGACCAACTGTGTTTGGTCTTCAACGCCTTTGACAGGGTGTGTTTCAAAGGCAGTCTCGCCGCCGTCGATGCCCACAACATCTTTAATCTCAAATGCGCTCAGCAAACGGAGGTAGATGGTGTACATCTCGCGATTCGCCAGGAGACTGCCTGCACACATGCGATAACCCAGTCCATAAGTGAACAATGGAGCATCAGGCTGCTCAAGCCAGCGCTCTGGACGGAATTCTTCTGGGTCGTCCCACACTTGATCATCCATGTTGCACGCCCAAGCATTCAAGAACACCACGCTGCCGGCAGGGATTGTCGCGCCGTTGTAAACAACGTCTTTGACCGTGCCACGTGGTAGGGACAGGCGAAGGACGGTGTAGTAACGGAGAAGTTCGCGAACAAGTGCGCAGATATAAGGGATGGACTGGTCGTCATTGGCGTCGCAGAGAATTTGGTCCTCTGGATATACGGCACGAATTTCTTTCAGAGCTTTAGCCTGAATTTCTGGTCGTTGGGCAAGTAGAGGCATGGACCATGCAACTAGGGTTGTTAGGGTGTCGAGGCCACCAGAGAGCATGGTCAGCGAGATGGAGGTGAGCTCTTCGGCGTTGAGTTTCGCTTCCTTGTCTAGGATAATATTGGCCTGAATGCAAGGTTTGTGTGAGCCGACAGCCATGCGGTCGTCCAGGTCTTTGTTCAGCTTCTTGAGGTATTTATCTCGACGCTGGCGCATCTCACGTGCCTTGGCACTGCCAAAGCTGAAGGGGTTGAGACGAAGTAGAGGGATATAGTCTTGAAGGTTTCCTGTTGTGGAGCGGAACTTTGAGACTTCCTCTTCGACATGAGTGATTTCACCAAAAAGTTCGTCGTTCTGAGAAGCCATGCGTGTGCCCCAGTTTAGAGTGAGGGCGAGAGAGAGCGAGAGACGTTGAATCATAGGCATGGGATCAACAGCTTTCTCACCATTTTCTCCATATAGAAGAAACTCGTTCACAAAGTCCCGAGTCTCGATATCAATATGTGGGATATAGGTTGCGACGCTCGGTTTGTTGAGAGCGCTGGCAGCACCCTTGCGTCTCCGTTTAAGACTTTCGCTGAAGGGTGAAGTGCCAATGGTGGTGCCCGCGGTTGAGCTGACCACCTTGTGGAAGGTGTAGAATTCGGGTCTCGAGGCGAGTGCCTGGGAATTAGCACCAAAGATCTCTCTTGCAGCTTTGGCCCCGTTGACCACAATCACAGGGACATTGCCCAGCATGATCTGGTATACTGGGCCATATGTCTTGGCCCACTGACGGTATTGTTCGGCGGCATTGACTCTGATCTGATGGATATTCCCGATCATGGGAAGGCCCGTGGGGCCAGAAAAGCCGGGGATACGTGCTTGTAATCGCTGGACTTCTGTGAGGAATAGATAGAGGATTGCTGATGCCGCGGCAAGAAACGCTAAGAAGGAAATGGGTGATGTCTCGGCATGGCTCCGAGCCAGTGTCAAAATCTTGTCGATCATGTTGGAGACAGATGTGGGAAGGAGAGAATGGCGGTTAAGGGTATGGAGGGAAGAGTGTCGAGTAAAGTTAAAGTCTCGATAAAAGACGACGAGGTTTTCATGGCACAGAGAGCAATGGTTATATGGCAACCGCGGGGGACGTAAGTATCCATCGCGTATCCATCGGCCCTTCCGCCTAAGATGTCAATTGTGAGGGGGAAAGTGCATTGTGGGGGAGCGAGGCAAGAGCAACCATTCCATTCCGCTCCCCACAGACGGGGCTGAGGAGCCTGGGGCGGAAAGCGGCCGCGTTGTAAAACTCAACTTCAGAAATGCATCCAAGCTAATTGGTTCATTTGCCTGGAGTTCTGAGGTGGGGGTGTTGCCGAGAGACAAAGAGAGGGAGACACAAGGATAGAGATCATAAAGAGAGGTCGTACTGGCGGTCTCATTCCAGAAACCCGAGGATGTACAAAATGTCGGCAAACTCAGCTGATACCCTGTACATGACCCTGTAGAAGCGGAAACTGACTCTTAACAGCTCTATTTTGCCCATGCCATCTCAAGCTTAGGTTCCCCATCACACCATTGTTACTCTTGGGGGAATGACTGTAGAAATTTGGTTTCTCCCATATCGTGGTCAGTCACGCCGGGAATGGCATTGTTCCAGAACAAGCTACCCATGTTAGGGTTGCACAAGTCCTTCCACAGCCCGCCCTCTCGCCGAAACTTGACACCTATTTCTGTAGTTTCTTCCGTTCCATTCACTTTGGTGCCAATGAGGAATTCTTCATCCACGGTTCCAAGAAAGATGACAATAAAGTCATCCATCCCCTTAATCCGCCAAGTTAGACCGCTTCCGCATTCTGAACAGAATGATCTAATGGCCGACTCGCTGGATTGATACTCTTTGTAAGTCGGCGACTTTGTCACATCTTCAACCAGTTGAGAAGGATGGACCATAAGATCATGTGATATCAGAGCTCCGGTGAATTTTCGACACATGGTACACTGACAAGTCGCCGACTACGTCCTTGTCAGAGCTGGGTATTTGTTTATGAGACTGAGGCCATACATACATTCGGTGGCCAGGATGCAGCGTCAGGAAACGCAATCTTGTATCTGACTGAGCCACAAAGACATCCCCCAGAGATGGATGAAGGATGAGTAGACATGTTTGTATACGTGCTGGGTTGGTTGGCTGGTTAGTTACTCAGTTGGTAGGCTGAATCAACGAGATGATGTCTTGTAAACAGGATAATAGAGATCAACAACTCAATGTCCAAGACTCTGTCCCATTTAAGGTGTTTGTTGGTCATTGTCGTTGTCGAGGGATTAGAAATTGAATGCCAAACATTGCTCAGGCATCAGCCAGTCAAGCAGGCATCAATGTTCACAGACCCACAGACCAGTTGCTTAAGCTCTTGAGCATTATGAGATTCCCACCTCCCAAGCCACAGACAAGATGTCTATACGAAGTTACATCTTGATCTGCTGGACGTGACGGTCTGTTGCCTGCGGGCGAAGCTTTCGCCAAGACCTCGAGACGTATTCGCAAAGGGAAGGAGCATCACCGAGCATCATCGAGCATTTGGACAGATGATGCTCAGAACCAATAAGGTACAGGCTGAATTTATTTCGCTTTTCGATTTCTCCTGGATCCTGCAGTTTGCTTCTTCTCGGAAGAAACTGGTTCATTTACTGACTTCTTCTCCTTGACTTCAGCTTCCTTTTTAGCCAGAGATCTCTTCACCGCCCCTTCTTTTTCCACTTGCTCAATTTGCTTTTCGCTGAACTCCCAAAGTCTCTTAGCAACTTGTTCGTTCTGGACTTCAGGTCGAAGGGGTTCAAATTCTCTGCACTCTTTGATCAACTTGCCGCCTTCACCTCGCCCATAGGCGGCCTCCATGGCGGCAAGGAGATAGCTCTGAGCACCTTGGTTGGCTGACTTGAGAATCAACCACCAGACAGGCCACGAGACAAGATAGAACAACAGTCCCCACAGAGAACCACCAGAAAGCCAGCGTCGAGTTCCTGGCGTGCGTGAAAATCCTGGGTCGACGACCAACACACGCGAGTTATTTGGCTGTCCATCTGGTCTTTTGTAGGCATCGAGGTGTTTCTGGAATGCATGGGCAAAGACCATGACAGCCAGCTTACTGCGAGCGTAAGATGTACTGCCTGATGTGGCGGCAGACTCGGTCTTTTCGAATTTCATTTGTCCGCCAATGTAACTGCTGCACGTGCTGAACAGAATCCTGACATCTCGATCCGGGGGTTGGGCCCTGAGTGCTGGTGACAAAATACTCAGGAGATGGAATGCGCTCAAGTAGTTGATCATCCACTCAGCCTCGAGTCCATCGACTGTGACCTGCCCTTTTGCAAAATATGGTGTCATCGTACTCGCACAGAGGACGATCATGTCCAGTCTTCGAGGAGGAGCATTATCCACCCATTTGGTCGCGAACACGCGGATCGAGTGGAGGGAGGAGAGGTCGACTTGTTCCGCATATATCAATTCGTTGTTCGTCACTGTACGGAGGTCTTCGATGTAATCCACGAGAAAGGGATCGGACGGGGCATGATGGGTCAGGAGTACGATTTGGGCTCCTCTGGTTGCGAGCTCTTTCACCACTTCAGCTCCAACTCCTGAAGTTCCACCCTGACTTAATGTTAGAGACCACAACGAAGTCCTCCGGTGATAAACTCACTGTCACCAAAATCACCCTCCCATGCATCACCCGCTCTGCCCGACATGACGCACCGCCAAAGTACGACTTGAGAAGGTAAATCAATGCAATGCCAACAACCACCTGAGCAGCTGTCCAGATATGTGGAATGTTGGTGATACCTCTGCCAAAACCCTCCGCCAGCAGAGGAACCGGCATTTTGGGATTTGTAACGAATGAGGTGGGATAGAAAATAAAATGGACGCGGTAGAATATTCAAGGGTTTGGACAGGAATCTTTTTGTTGCGCAGCCTGGCCATGGCCTCCCACCAAGCAATCACGTCTGGTGCGGATGTCAGGGGACAAGGGCGCGGGAGGGGCCACTCGGGCCATTGGGGGTGCCATTGGTGCCTGGAAAGCTTAAGTTAGGTAACTAACAATGACGCCACCCGCCCCTCGTCCCCAAGTATGGCTAATCATAAGCGAGGACCGTGCGCCTAAAGATATTATTTCATCAGTGACATGTCGATCCAGATATTTTCAAGCCCGCTTCAAATAATGTACAACCGATGCGATGCATATACCAGTGCTCCTTTCCTCCCGCCAGCGACGATGACCACACAACATGACCGAGACAGAAGCGATCATGGAGATGATGACGACGACGACGAATACAACGTCCCACTTTCCCAACAACGAGTTTTCGGCTCCGGCATAAGACGCAAACCCATTGATTTCGTGCCTGCTTCAGACACCAATGCTTCAATCCTCGCCTCGACAACCACAGCCGCCAAGCCTACAAATGTCGGTGCTAGATATCTGTCCATTGTAATGGGCAAAGACGAATCGTCTGTGAACAACGAGCTCGAGAACAAACAAAATGATATCAATCCGTCTGGCTCTGAACCCAGCAACAACAACAACACATGCGCCGTCTGCAACCAACCCCTCCTCACCACCCACAACTCGCAAGATAAAACCACTTTAAACGCCCATGAATCCTCCATCGCCCATCAAGTCTGTTTAGAACACTCATACCAGCCATCCAACATCGATCGAGATCGTGTCGGGGTGAAATACCTAACTGCATATGGATGGGATGTCGATGGGAGAAAAGGCCTGGGCGCATCAGCGGAAGGGATTCGATTTCCGATTAAAGTCAAAGAGAAGAATGATACGGTCGGGTTAAGGGAGTCTGTTGATCCAGATGACGATGACGAACAACAGAGCAGACGGAAGAAGAAGAAACGTCATGTCAAGAATGAACAAGAGAAAATCGTCAGACTGAATGCGAAGAAGATTCGCAAGATGGATATTGAGGCGAAAAAACGGGCTGAGAAGATACGACAGTCGTTCTATGGACCGGATCTAGAAGAATACTTGGGTCCGAATTCTTGATCTGGTCTGGACTGCTGAACATTCACCGTTCAATCACCATTGATTCACAATCACATTCTTCGATATACTGTATCCACCTCATCGAGATGCGACGGTTGGGCTACCTAGGTACCTGACTATCCCCAAGGCTGCCATACCAGACCACACCACACCGTGCCTCTTGCGGCCGGGCCACCAGACCAACTCCCAACTCCGGGCTAAGGATCAACCAAAATGCATCCGCTAGTGCTTCTTGAAGAGCCCACGATGTTTCTTCTCCTTCTTTAACTTGCCGGAGTTCTGGCTGGCAGCAGCCAATGGATCTGGTGGCGGGACGAACCCAGCCGTTGGTGGTCGAGGACCAGATGCTCCGGGTGCTCCGGTGCCCACTCCAGGACGAATACCGTTAGATGGTTGTCTGGCGCCAATGTTCATCCTCTGCATTGCATCCGTTGGTGGATTGAAAGACCCATTGGACGGTCGTCCGTTAGGAGGTGCCTGAGGTCGAGGCTGCAGGGCTTGAGGTGGAGGATCAGACATCCAAGAGGGAAGTTTGGGTGGAGGTCGATCTGCGGGGAGGTCGAGTTGTCGCCGCCCTGTACTCAGCAGACTGACCTGTCGCAGAAAGGTCTTGGGCGTGACCATGTGTGTGGTGGCAAGGAAAATCTCCTTTCCAGCCATGCGTGAAACCTCGTAGCATGCTCTGGACTCGGCATATGTGGCTCCGCCGGCAACAAATACGATGATACGTTGTCGAGGCTTGTTGGATTGAGCCCGCGTTTGTGCCCATGTGGGCTTGCCAGCATTTCTGAGTGATGTTTGCGATACGCCGGTTTGCATGTTGGGATCATTGAGATGTGGTTTGAGGGGTGGAAAGATGTGTGGATCCAAAGTCCCTTGACATTGTTCCTCGAGCATATATCGAAGCGCCGGTTCGAATCGAGAGAGACTGACTTCTTCCATGGAACTGGAAGCAGCGGCGTTCTTGGGTGCAAATAGCGGCGGCGCTGGGACAACCGTGTCCTGTAACTGTTTCTCTACCCTGACGCCCAGTGTCATGAGGTTGTAGATGGTCTCGCCATCCATTGGCGACAATTCACCGTGACATCTCAATTTCTCTATGTCGCCGCGCAATGTTCCATTTCGGTACAGAATGTATAGAGTCAATAGTCGAACTCGGTCTTCATGGACCACGCTGTCATCGTTGAGGAGTCTCACGAGTTGGTCAGCTAGATTCCTAGGCTTTCTGTTGTCTTCGTCGAGCCCTGTCGCCAGTAACTGCTCCACCGACACGACATCCAATAATTTACGCTCCGAGAACATTCTAGCACACCTTTCGGCCATATCAATGTGAAGCGAGAATGCTTCTTTGCCTTCTTGAAATTCAGGGAGGCCTGCCAGCATGTCTTTGATGGTATTGATACTTGCAGGCTGTCCGTCAGTCTCGGCGAATTGAGGATTCTTGGCCTGGAATTCCCTGAAGCGCTCACTCAACTTTACCAACAAGTCTTTCATGTGCATGTGGCGGTGAGCGACCCACAGGTTATCTCGTTCGCTGATCTCGACATCTAGCTCTTCTTGGTCGGGCTGTCCACGTCGTATCACATTTTTGTATGTGACTTTGTCCTCGTCGTCTCGAACTGGTAACAAGTCCATTGCCATTGCTTGGTATGTGAGTTCGTGGACAAATGGTGATGCCAGATCCATCGTTCGGTCCGTGATAAAGAGTACCGCTCGCGGCCGATTCGATTGAGACTGTGGGGGAAAGTTGTTGCGTTCATCGCGGGCGTACTCGTCGAGGGCATTCTGGACAAAGCTGGCTAGATGATAGCACAAAACGTCGGCCGCGTATCGCCGATGTTCTCCTGGTTTGTAGTATCTGATCAAAGGGTATTCGCCCAGTGACACACATATAGAGACGATCTTCTGGGTCAAAGTATCTAGGTGATTCTTGACCATTGCATCGCATCCTGGGTGATAGAGATAGTGAAAGCTCGAGGGGTCGCGGAAGGAGACAAGATTGGACTCTCGAGGGTAATATTCAATGTTCAGGGCCCGATTCTCAACCACCTGACGTGCGCGGGTTTCGGAGGAGAAAATGCTTTCTTCCAAGGGGCGAGGGAGTTGCGAGGTCCATATCAGGTGAGCACGGCGGTACCTCTTGCGACTGAGATCTGCCTTGAGGCATTCAACGATATGAGGGAGTGGTGAGAGGAGGTAAATGGCATCTGTATCTGATTGAGACTGCCTGCGCTCCTCTATGCGCTCGATGTTGGTAATGTTGGCATTGAGCAGTTCGTCTTCTTTGGTGACATTGTAGATCAGTCGGCGGCTCTGGTCGTCGAGGATCAGGACCTTCCAGTCCCGACCACTGGTGGCACGAAGGGTGTCGAGGATGATGCTCCTTTGAAGATCCAATATCGAGGTGCCCATGGCCGGCGTGGGCGGGTTCGAGGGTCAACGGCAGTGGTGCTCGAGTAGACTGCTGTTCACATGTTACTCTGTGGACAGGCGTGGCAATGCCAGCACGGCCAAACAACTCAGTCTGTGTCGTTTTGAGGCTGCAACAGTAAGATTCTAGTCAAATTTGAGGTGCTGTGGTGATTTTGAACTCTTCAACAAAGCATACAGTGCATTCCAGACACCGATAGAGGCAGAAGTAGAGGTTTGAGTATGAATGTCACCTCGGACTGATCGAGTTTCAAGTTGCCCCTCAACTGGTTGAGAAACACTCCGCCGTACTGCCATTAGCATAAATTTACTCCGCTGAAGTTTATGTTCCGCAGTTTCGAAAATGTTTCTCGCCGTCATCGATACTACAACTTCTACCACCACCATAGTCACTATTCTTGCTTGTCTTGTTGCATATTGGCTAGGGGTTCGGTCAATCTTTCTCAGCAATTGTTGACAGTCTCTCTTATGGGTTGACAAAGGAAAACTTTAAACTTTCAGAATCCCCAGCTCACCTGGTCAAAATATTGCGCGGACTCCATCGACTAAATCTGGTCTGCGCTAGGTACCTCGACGGGATATGCTCGCCCGCCCTAGCAGACATGGACGATGCATATTCTGCATATTTCGAACTGCCACCGCTGGACCGATACGGCGGTCAAAGATAGGCTCGAACGAACGAAACTTCCACTTGAGGTCCATCTCCCGACGCCCTTTAGATCGAAAACAATCAAACAATGAACGGCCGCTCGACAGACCGCGAGAGCGAAGATTTATCCCGGAGACTGTGGTAGAAACCCGAATCTTGAAAGTCAGCCTTCCCGCTCTCAAAACTCGACTCGAATCTACAAAAGCGACCGACGACGGGGATGAATCTCAGTTGACAGCGCTGGATCCTACCGGGGAAAATTGGGATGGTTTCGTGCAGTATATTACAGAACTTGTGACAAACCCAGAGGGCTCTCGGACACAAAGGCAAAAGACCCTCCTGACCGCTATTGGAAATGCTGGTTCGGCAAATTCGTGGCAGAATCAGCTTTCCCGTGTTCTACACTTTAGCTTCATTGACTATGTCGTTGACTCGAAGTCTGGGACAAACGGAACAGTGGCCGACCTGCGATACCCTACAGAATGGTATGCCAGCGCGAGAGCGGCACAGCGGGAGATACATCTACACGTCGGTCCGACGAACTCGGGCAAAACATACAATGCATTGAAGAGGCTAGAGGAAAAGGGAAGTGGGTTTTACGCTGGACCACTTCGACTTTTAGCGCACGAGGTATACTCACGCTTCAAGGCCAAGGAGATCCCCTGCGATCTTGTCACTGGCGATGACATTCGCCTGGATGACAATCTTGATGTGGCTTTGACAGCGTCGACGGTAGAAATGGTGGACACGGCCAAGCCGGTGGAGGTTGCGGTGATTGATGAGGTACAAATGATGGAGAATGATGAGCGTGGATGGGCGTGGACTCGAGCTTTCCTCGGAGCCAATGCGCGAGAAGTCCATCTCTGTGGGGAACCGAGAGTTGTACCACTGATCAAAGAACTGACAGCATCCATGGGGGACTCACTACACATCCACCGGTACGATCGTTTGAATCCACTCAAGGTGATGAATCACAGCTTGAAGGGAGATTTGAAGAATTTGAAGAAAGGGGACTGCGTTGTGTCCTTCTCCATCCTCAACATTCATGCACTCAAGAAAGAAATCGAACTGGACACGGGGAAGCGTTGCGCAATTGTGTACGGTAGTTTGCCCCCAGAAACGCGAGCACAGCAAGCGGCATTGTTCAATGACCCCGAGAATGACTATGACTTTTTGGTGGCCAGTGACGCGATTGGCATGGGATTGAACCTGAGTGTGAAGCGAATCATCTTCCACAGCGTTGTCAAGTACAACGGGTATCAGATGGAGCGTTTGTCGATCCCTCAACTGAAACAGATTGCTGGGCGAGCGGGGCGATACCGCAGTGCGCATCAAGCCACGAGCAAGTCAGGGACGACCGAAGTCAAGTCCGAAAGCAGCGCCGGTTTGGTGACAACGCTCAACGAGGCGGATCTGCCTTATGTGCAGGAAGCTCTAAATGAAAACGCGTCGCCAATCCGAAGGGCGGGGATTCTCCCACCTGGAGAATTCTTGGTAGAAGTCGCCTCTAGGCTTCCTAAAGGGGTCCCATTCGAGTACATCTTAAAGCGTGTTTGCATCGCTGCGGAGATGCATCCACGATTCAAAGTGTGCGACATTCGAGAACAGAGTGAATTAGGTCGGACAATTGAGGAGGTGCGAGGCTTGAGTATCCCACAGAGGCTGGTCTTCACGGCCGCTCCAGCGTCCGCTACCAGTGGTCATCTCCACAAAGTGTTGAAGGCGCTGGCACAGATTGTGGCGGATCGACGAGAGGTGACGGTAGCCGACGTGCCAGAGATCCGACTAGAAGTCCTTGAGATTCCAATGTCGGGAGATCGCAAGTATCTTGAACTGCTGGAGGATCTACACAAGTCATTGATCTTGTACCTTTGGCTCAGCTACCGGTTCCTCAACAACTTTAAAGACCAGGACATGGCGACATATGCCAAAGACCTGGCGGAGACGAAGATTAACACATGTCTAATGGAATTCTCGGCCAATCCAGCGCTCAGGAAGAAAGTGCTGGCGCAAAAGAAACAGGTCATCTCAGGCACATCCACACTCATCCAAGTGCCAGAAGGGACTACAGAACTCAGCCTAGCAGAGAACTCGGAATCTGCGCTACCTGTCGGTTGGACACAGGGGTCATTGGACGGTAGTATTTCGACTGGTGAAGTTGCCAACAACGCCGCGGCGGCGAATGCGTAGAAAGCATGCCGTTGATATAGAAAGGTATGGATGTGTACGATATTGGTTGTGATAACATTAAAATGTGTTCATGGATAGGGAAGACTTGCATGTATATATTGCATAGATGGCTAAGGGTTCTCTCTCTCCTGGTGCCTATACGAAACTAAGGTAGGTATTTATCCCCTGTACCAATAATTAGGTAGGTACCTTAGGTAGGTAGGTATGCCTATCCTAGGTACCTAGGTACCCAAAAGTGACAAGTTTCATACCCCCAGGGCCAAAGTGAGAGAGTGAAAGGGTCCTTAGGGGCGGTGCCCAAGAGCCGCCTCGGCCGTCTTTGGTGCAAAAGGCGGGGAGGGGAGATGATATGCAGGCAGCAGTCGCATGAAAGACAAGACCGCCACTACCTTGGGATAGCGGCCAAATCCACCGAACCAATCACACGATACAATACGACCTTCTGTGACTTTGATTGGCTCTTGTCTATAATGTAAGGAAGGTGCTACCAAGATACGTGTTCTTCCATTCTTTTGTACCATTCCTAGGCATCTAAGTAGGTAACTAACAAGCAGTCGAACAATCTAATACCCCTAAAGAACGAGTACCGATGCTTGATACATGCCAAAAAATCAGGATGAATAGTGTGGGAAATGTCATGAGCTTTTGGCCAGTTGTACATTCATCGCTGAGTAACCACTTTATTGGTGCCACCAGCCTCAGGGTTGGCAGCAGCATATTCTCTCGCAAGTTGATCCTCAGTCTTTTTGTTTCCATGTGAGATCATTCGGTTCAATAGACTGCCAGGTCGGCCTGTGTCGTAGCCTTCTTTCTCGGCTTCGTCGGCTTCTTTGTTGACGTATTCTTGGGTTTCTTCATCGCCGGAGTCGTCGTGGTCATCGAAGTTGGCTAGAAGGAGGGAGGGAGGGTTAGTTATGGTGTATAAGAGGGCAATGGGGGAGGGTTTGATTTCTTACTGTCCTCATTCTTGTGACTGAAACGACGCTTGATCTTTGCTCGTACGCTATCCATAGTGGAAGTCGAGTAGTGATGTGATATAAGGTGATGTGATGTACTAGTATTGATCTTTTTTGGTGTCCAAGAATAATTGATTTGATGGATGATCTGTTGACAGACACACGCCAGGAGAGAGAAAGGAGAAATAAAAGAAGGTCCAGCTGAGGGCAACAAGTCCTCAAATATACTTACAGTTACAGCTACGACAGCTCAGAGGGAGAGGCAGGGCGGGGATGGAGGGGTTTTGGGATTCCCACCTTGTTACCCACCTGTCACCCATCCGAGCCTCAGGACAGTTACGTGGACGATGATGATGTTATGCTGTTTCTGTTACCTGCGCCGCTGGGCTGGGTCAAGGACCGATTCGCCGCTCTGAACCACCAATTCAGAGACCGGCTGAAGGAAGATCTGGACCCTGCCGAGACTCAGATGGACCACATCTTGTCCACATACAGTAGGTTCTGACTAGGTCTGCTTGTGGTTACTGTGTTAGCTGTCGTGCCGTCTTTCTAGATTGCCATCCAGACCATCCAGAAGGTCGAACTATGTATGGAGATCGGCAATGAGTAACACAAGGACAGTTGTTTTTAGTCTCTAAGATGGGAACGGGTTCTTAGACTCCGAGAGAGCATCAAGATGGGGTTATCACTACCGAGCCAGTCCTGGACATGGACATTCTTTGACAGTCCCCTCTTGTAGTTGACGCTAACGAGAGGAATTGTAACAAAGTCCAGTCTAAGGAAGTAGTGATATCGGTTTAGGTGTAATAATAGGCACCATGCACACCCATACACGCCATACTATGGGCGCTACTTTAACCCCAAGTACCTAATCCATGCCTAAGCGAACCCTCGGCCCTCAACCAGACAAGCCCGGGGCGCCTATCATCCTCTCACAGACCCTCCAACCCCTCATCCCTCCAATCAAAACCCTCCAACTCCAACCCCAGACTCCTTCTGCCTGATTCGTGAATTTGCCTGCGCTTTGATTGATTTCAACTCCAACTCCAACCCATTTTTTTACATGACGCCGATCGCAACTCGTCGCCCACCTGCCCGTCAATCACTCGCAGGTCCAACGGCCGACATCGACATAGGCCATGGACGACTTCACATCCCTCGAACTCCTCTCCCTCGTCTCCAAGGTCACGTCCGAACTGCAGAATCATCTGGGCATTAGCGACAAAACCCTCGCCGAGTTCGTCATCGATCAACATGAGAAATCCAATGGAAATCTTGCAGACTTCAAAAAGGCTCTGGCGGCCATGGGTGCCGAGTTCCCTAACAGTCTCGTCGAGAGTATTGACCGTTTAATCCTCACATTACACCCAAAGCACAAGGCGACAAAAAGTGCCAAACAGAATGGAAACCCCGAGGCCGACCTCGATGAATTAGACGCAATTGGGAAGAAGGCGAGGGTTTTCAAAGGCCTTGCCGTCGCGGATCGTGAACCTGCCTGGGATGATTATGAGGATGACATGGTCGGCCAGAAAGCCATTGAAGAGACAGCACCTCCGGGTGTTGAGGAAGACGATACGTTTGCTCTCCTCGAAGGACTCGCTGCTAAACCCACCAATGGGACCAACCACTCAAGTCAACGGAGTAGGAAAAGAAGTCGAAGTCCGGACCGAGATGAATATTCGAGAGACCGACGTCCGCGACAAAAATACTGGTCCCGCAGTCCCAGTCCAGCAGAAGGCAAGCGGTCGCGGCGGCGTGATGACGACTATGACCGAGACTACGACCGCAGTACTGATCGCCGACGTAATGGGCACAAAGATCGGCATGATGATAGCAGAAATGGACATCACAAGAGCAGGCGGCGACACCGCGACGATGAGGAAGACGACGACGACGACTTTCGAAAACCTCCTCGCCGAGAAATTGACGAGATCCCTACTCTCTACAAAGTCTACGATGCCACTATCAACGGCATCAAGGATTTTGGTGCCTTTGCAAATCTTCAGAACGTCAAGGGCAATCCAAGTGGTCTGATCCATGTTTCTGCAATCCAGGATGGCGCAAGAGTTAATCATCCTTCCGATCTCCTTTCTCGTGGTCAAGAGGTCAAAGTCAAGGTTATCAAGATGGAGAACAACAAACTGAGTTTGTCCATGAAGGAGGTGGACCAAATTTCGGGCCAAGATCTGGTTCCTTCACGTCGTATCGCCTCTGGAGCCAACATGGAACGCTTGGACGGCCTCCCATCAAATGACCGCTACGGAAATCTAGGATCGACAGTTCCTGTCATTGAGGATGACTACAATGCCAGGTCACACAAATCCCGCAAACGAATGACATCCCCAGAACGATGGGAGATCAAACAACTGATTGCGTCTGGCGCCATCTCCGCACAAGACTATCCCGACATTGACGAAGAGTATAATGCAACTCTCAACGGAGAAGGTCAGATGGAGGAAGAGGAGGACATTGACATTGAAGTCAAAGAAGAAGAACCTCCTTTCCTTGCCGGACAGACCAAACAATCTCTTGAACTGTCCCCGATTCGCGTTGTCAAAGCCCCAGAGGGATCACTGAACCGAGCCGCCCAAGCAGGAACAAATCTTGCCAAGGAACGACGAGAGTTGAAGCAACAGGAGGCCGCCGACCGTGCGGCTGAGGAAGCTTCCAAGGTCGATCTCAATGCCCAATGGCAAGACCCTATGATCAACCCTGAGCACCGCAAGTTTGCATCCGACTTGCGCCAGACACAGCAACAGTCTTCCAAGGCAACAGAAGCTGTTCCAGAATGGAAGCGCATTACTCAAAACAAGGACCAATCTTTTGGCAGGAGAACAAACATGACTATCAAGCAACAGCGCGAGTCCCTTCCCGTGTACAAATTCCGCAAGCAGTTACTTGACGCCGTGGCAAACAACCAACTACTCATCGTGGTGGGCGATACAGGATCGGGCAAGACTACTCAGGTGACTCAATATCTTGCTGAGGCTGGCTATGGCAACCATGGCATCATTGGTTGCACTCAGCCTCGTCGTGTCGCAGCAATGTCGGTCGCCAAGCGTGTGTCGGAAGAGGTTGGATGTGAGCTTGGAAAGGAAGTGGGATACACCATCCGTTTCGAAGATCGAACATCACCCGAAACAAAGATCAAATACATGACGGACGGCATGCTTCAGCGAGAGATTCTTCTGGATCCAGACGTCAAGAGATATTCGGTCATCATGTTGGATGAAGCGCACGAGCGGACCATTGCCACCGATGTTCTCTTTGGTCTCCTCAAGAAAACCGTCAAACGACGTCCGGATCTCAAAGTTATCGTCACTTCAGCAACTCTAGACGCTGACAAGTTTTCCGAATACTTCAACCAATGTCCCATCTTTTCCATCCCTGGAAGAACCTTCCCCGTGGAGATCATGTATTCCAGAGAGCCTGAAGAGGATTATCTCGATGCGGCGTTGACTACGGTCATGCAAATCCATCTCACCGAACCTGCTGGCGATATATTGCTCTTTTTAACGGGCCAAGAAGAAATTGATACCAGCTGTGAAGTTCTCTACGAACGGATGAAGGCTCTAGGACCTTCGGTGCCCGACTTACTCATCCTTCCCGTCTACTCGGCCCTGCCTAGTGAGATGCAAAGTCGTATCTTCGACCCTGCGCCAGAAGGGAGTCGCAAGGTCGTCATCGCCACCAATATCGCCGAGACATCCATCACCATCGATCACATCTATTATGTCATTGACCCTGGCTTCGTCAAGCAAAACGCCTACGACCCCAAACTCGGCATGGACTCTCTAGTGGTAACACCCATCTCCCAAGCCCAAGCCAAACAACGAGCCGGTCGCGCCGGTCGAACAGGTCCTGGTAAATGTTTCCGCCTATACACCGAAGCGGCCTACCAATCCGAAATGCTGCCCACGACCATCCCGGAAATCCAACGCCAGAACCTCGCCTACACAATCCTCATGCTCAAAGCCATGGGCATCAACGACCTCCTGCACTTTGATTTCATGGACCCACCCCCCACCAACACCATGCTGACCGCCCTCGAAGAACTCTACGCCCTTTCCGCCCTCGACGACGAAGGTCTCCTCACTCGCCTCGGTCGCAAAATGGCCGATTTCCCCATGGACCCCGCCTTAGCGAAAGCCCTAATCGCCAGCGAAAACATCGGCTGCAGTGAAGAAATGCTCACTATTGTCGCCATGCTGTCCGTGCAAACGGTATTCTACCGGCCCCGCGAAAAGCAACAACAAGCCGACCAGAAAAAGGCCAAATTCCACGACCCACACGGCGACCACTTGACGTTACTCAACGTCTACAACGCATGGAAAACCTCCCGATTCTCCGATCCCTGGTGTTTTGAGAATTTCATTCAAAAACGCCAGATTGGACGTGCCAGAGATGTGCGACAGCAGCTCGTGTCGATTATGGAACGCTATAAACATCAAATTGTCTCGTGTGGACGAAATACACTTAAAGTGCGTCAGGCGCTGTGTTCGGGATTTTTCCGTAATTCGGCGAGAAAGGATCCCCAGGAGGGTTATAAGACGTTGATTGAGGGTACACCGGTGTATATGCATCCGAGTAGTGCGTTGTTTGGGAAACCGGCGGAACATGTTATTTTTCATACGTTGGTGCTGACGACCAAGGAGTATATGCATTGTGCGACGGTGATCGAACCAAAGGTATGTTATCCTCTATCTTGTCTTTGTTTCTTTTTGGAGAGATGAACACAATGAACTGACTTGGCTTTTATAGTGGCTCGTCGAAGCAGCACCGACATTCTTCAAAGTCGCACCGACCGATCGATTGAGTAAACGCAAAAAGGCCGAGAGAATTCAACCCCTACATAATAAATTCCAGGGTGAGGATGATTGGAGACTTAGTGCGCAAAAGAGACAAGGGAGAGGTGGTGGCGGTGGGACTTGGGGATAGTCAAACTGTGTCCATACATCTATGTGTATCGATCTATGTGACAATAAATATATCATGCCATGCCGTCGTTGTGGCGGTGTAGTAGAGATAGGATGCGAACTTGGAAGTAATCGTCTCGATGTATCCTTTCAGGGGAAAATGTCGTGTGTCTCGTCTAGATGTTCCTATCCTCCTCGATAACTGAATTTTATGATACCCGCCATCTATCATGTGACGATGGATCTTTCAACCACAGCCGTATCCGTAACTGGATCCTTGAGCTTGAAGATGTTCTTCAGTGGTTTCAACACAGGAGGAGCCTGAACGGCGTCTCTAGCATTGAGACCCCTGCCTCTGGCATTACGACCAATCATGGATCCCGTCGTGGTCGTATTTTTGTTCTTGTCCTTATCGCCAACATCACCGCTCGCCTCTTGAATTCGACGCTGTCGCTCTTCTTGGGCTCTTTTCCTGACCAAACTCTTCCATGGATCGGCCTGGTCCTCCAGTTCTCGACGTCTCATTTTCTTGCCTTTGGCACTTTTCCCGCCAGCACCACTTGCATCGACTCCCAGCCACAGTAGACTATCCTCCTCGCGCTGCTCGGCCATATCGGCTTCTTCGTCCTCGCGCTTGTCTTTCAGTCTCGCGTCGGTTTTGCGCCATTCTGAGATCATTCGGCCGAGCCGTTTGTTGTGTTTTGTCTGTGGTGTCTTGATGTTCACACCCGGGATCTTAGTCCCCGCTGTGTTGCGCTTAGTGATGGATGAGAGGGGTAGAGACTGGTCGACTCGTAGGGCAAAATCTGACAGGCGCTCTGATGGGAGGATGGTCAGAGGCTGTGATTTCGGAGGGCTTGAAGTAGAATCTTGGTTGGCGCTGGTGTCTACATCCCCTTGTTGCTGATTGTCGTCATCGTCCTCGACTTGTACTGCTTCTGGCTCTGACTGGCCATTGTGTTTGTCCTGGTTGATCTTCGCAGCGGATTTGTCAAGTCTCTTTTTCTTGTTGGCCTTGCTGTCACTTGTTCCATCGTCAAGTCCACTCTTTATCTTGCGACCCTGTTGCATTGCCATAAGTCGGGCAAATGCCTTGGGCGTGTCATCTGCAGGTGCACCACCTTTGCCGTGTTTCCGTCGTTTCTTGTTTGCGAATTTTTCTTTTCTGGCGGCATCATCGCTGAATATCGAGGCGGACTTTTGGTGGACTGTGAGGGTACGTGCGCGAGAGGTTGGAGGAAGATTGAAGCTGTGGGTGGTGGTTGTTAGTTAGAGTATTGTGGCATAATGGGTATAGGAATTGGATGATGCGAGGGAGTGATTGACTGGACTTGCAGTACGTACTCTGAATCGTCTTGGTCGCGCTTGCGCTTGTGCTTGTGAGGCATGTTTGACGTCTAGCAATTTGTGAGTTTGAATTGTAGTCGCACTTGATCAAGTATGGAATGTCTCGTCGTGTGGAAGATGTAAGAGAATCGCAGACGAAAAAAAGTTGACGAGGCTGAGATTTTGCGGGGAATCACCATGGTTTAGCCGATCCTTGCGTGGGCACATGTTGCTGTTTTCTTGGGTGGGACGGCGCCTTGATACTTCTTCTCTCCCGCGCTGTCGATAATGCATTCGCACCCTTACCTTGTTACTATATACGCTCGCCATTTTTGGTTGAGAATTGAGGTTTGGTTGGCGTCACTGCCTTTGCTCAATAACAAATTCCCACTCGTTCCTTCCTTAACATGTTACGCATGGTTCCTTCCCGATACAATCACTCGCCTACTGAAGCAGGAGCGAACATGAGTTCTGTCGTGCCTGCTAAAGTAGCCACCTGCAAGTAACCACAGTACAATTCGTGACTTCAACTTCGAAAAATAACAACAATTCCACGAGATGAGGAGAAATTTCATCCTGGTCATGATTATTCAAGCTTGATTCTGCATTATGCCGTAATTTTTTACCATTCTACTACTGTTGTAATTTGGTGTGCCCACTCACCAACAAGCGCCATGACGTGAACTGCATTCCATCGAGGTCCGTTCCCAAAGCAAACTCCACGATGTGACAGGGTTTTTGCCAAAGGCATCATCAACTGTGTCTCAGTGGCCTCTTGGTTGCACAGCGCTGTCTGAAATGCTGAAAATTCCAAAATGCCTAGCCTTTGCTGAACATGAGCCTCGATCTCTAGAGCAGACCACCACTGGTCCATCTTCAAGCCTTTTCTATGCAAGTCGCCCGAAACACGTTCTTCCATGATCTGCCGCGTGGATTCGTCGGCGCCTGAAGAATCTGACCGCATGTAGCCCAATCTACGGAACTCCATTCGTGCTTCGACAAGGGCCATCATATAAGCAATGTCGTGAAGGGGCTTTGAGTGGCCTAGCGATAGGTCAAATGCTCGACGAGCGGTAGACCCTGGGGGTAATGAACTCCCCAGATCACCTCTGTGCGTGCCATCGTTCATTTCAATCATCATTATTGCTTCTCGCAGACACGCATGGCCATAATCCAGGCAGGCCCATGCGATGTGACCTGCGACCGTGTACATTCCGGGCCCGATATACGGACGAATGTCAGTCGGAGGCTCGAATATCTTGAGAAACCGGTCGGGATCAAGCCATAGGCCGTAATCCAACCGTGGGCTGAAGCGACCAGAGTGAGTGCGACCAACTGATTGGCCAGGCCGCGCTATGTCGAGGAGCACTGTCGGCGACGTATGTGTTCCAGAACTTGAACTAGGATCCAGCGAAGTATGAGTATCCTTGGGACAATTCGGGACGGTCGACTGTGAACAGGGCCCCACTTCCACGCCTACTGCTTTGCCAGCCTCGACAATGGCGTGGTTCAAAGAGGTCTGGTCATTGTCTCGCTGAGCGAGCACAATTCGCTCCACAATCGCCGTCAAATTTTCATGTTTCTGTTTCAATTCCAATGCTTTGGCCGCCTGCCTGTGCCTAAACTTGCGCTGTGCAAGTTTGCCACTTTCCCGGCGTTGCTGGAGAGGATCAGGTTCAGCCTGGTGGAGTTTGAAAGGCTTCGGACTTATACGTAACATCAGCTCCGTATCATCCATGATCAAGGACGTCTCGGACTTTGGCTCTACACAATTTCCAAGCGACATGCACAATGTGATGGCCTGTATGACTGTGCAGTCACAGCATGGTGAGATAGTGTGTGAAGTAAGGTGGTGCTGTTCACCAGCGGGGCGGAGGACATACACTCGGAGCAACCATCCTCCCGATCACGTAATACATCAGTGCGTTGGCGGTGATGTCTCTTTGCCGACGGGACGTGTCCCGTGCACGATAGCCACAACCTCTGTGAGAGTGTTGCCACATTACTAAAAACTGCCATGATGGTTTAATCCGACTTATGCTCGGGAATCGGTGTCGTACTGTCAGATACAAGCGCCACTGCTCATATTGGACAGCATGAGTCGGATCTCAGTCCGCAGATATAAGTCGTCGAGGTCGGTCCCCGCCAGGTTTGTTTGATTTCATCCACCGCTCACCTTCGTTCAATATGACCATCAAGGACACGAAGTCTTCCATCGCGAAGCCCCGCTCGGTATTGATAACAGGCTGCTCAGACGGGGGACTGGGTGCCGCTCTCGCCATTGAATTACACAACGCCGGTCTACACGTCTACGCCACGGCCCGAAACCCATCTAAACTGACCCAGGTGCAAGCTCATGGGATTGAAACCTTTACGCTAGACGTAACGTCGCAAGACTCGATCGTTGCCGCCGTTGCTAGAGTTCCCTCGCTTGATATTTTGGTCAACAATGCCGGCGCCCTCTACAGCATGCCCTTTTCGGATATGTCAATCCCCCGAGCCAAGGAGCTCTTCGATCTGAATGTGTGGTCATACCTCGCCGTGACGCAAGCGTTCCTGCCAACATTGATCAAGTCCAAAGGAATTGTTGTCAATCAGACCTCGTCTGCAGGCTCCGAGGCGATTGCATTCCAGTCAGCATATAATGCGTCCAAGGCCGCCATGATTATGTTTTCGGACTGCATGAAGCTAGAGCTGGCACCCTTTGGGGTTAAAGTGGTCAATCTGAGAACGTCCAATGCGGCGTCGAACAACTACAACAACCAGGCTGGGAAAGCGGACATACAGTTACCAGACGGGTCAATATACCAGGTCGCAAAGGAGGCGGTGGAAAGGACAATGCGGGGAGATGGGTTTCCCATGGAGGTCACTGCAGAACAATGGGCTCGCCAGGTCGCGCAGGATCTCCTGAAGCACGATCCACCTCCATCGAACATCTGGCGAGGAACAAAGGCATGGGTGGGGTGGCTTTCCAGCCTTCGACCCTTTGGACTTCCGGAGGTGGTGTTGAAGAAGCTTGCAGGCTTAGATATCGTCGAGAAGGCCGTGCGTCAGTCTAAGAGAGCCTGATAACAAAACAACTTCCATCAATGTTCATTGGCGACTGTCTAACACAACATAGTATATACCTTGCCATGGAAAAAGATGGACACGATGGAGGAGAGGTAGATCTGGGGCATGATGGACGATGGGATTGCCGTTTTTAAGTAATCATGTAGCTGAAGAAATACAATAATCCATCTTTTCATGCGTCTCTTCCGAAACTCAGAAGAGGCGGACGCTCGCTCAACTCTGCGCTTCTGCCGCTACACTCATGATCCAGGCCACCACTTCGCCTGGGGAGGTGTGGTTCACGCCATGGTCGCATGCAACTTCGGTCACTTTGACCTTTGTTCCACTCACTCTCTCAATCATGTCGATTCCTTTTCGTTGGGCAGCCGGAGGGACGCAGAGATCAGCGGTACACAACAGATACGAGACCGGGACATCTCTGTAGCCCGCGTAGGTGAGGCTGTTGGTGAAGCTAACCCCAGAATGTTTTGCCAATTCCCGTATGAGCGGTTCAGACTCCTCGAGAGGCAGCGAACTCAGACAGATCTTTGCGCTGGCAGCCGGATCGGAATGCAGCATCCAGCCGTTTTCCTGCTCGTGTCAGTGACCACGACATTCAACACTTGACTGGGATAGAGGGTAGGCATTCTCAAGTCATAAATTACACATACATCAGTCTCCATTTGCGTTTGGCCCTCTGGCGGTACCTCCGCGAGCACGTCGAGCGCCGAGTGACCTATTTCGGGGACCAGGGCGGTCATATATCCCACTCTCACAATTCCACCTCTTTGACCCTTCCTCTGTCGGTCTGATATGCTTCGACCCTGGATGCTTTGACTGGTAGGCACGCCTCCGTAAGAGTGTGCTATCAATATGACATGTTTGCCTTGGTCCGCCAGCCGATCAACCTCTTGCGCTATGAAAGCGGCGTCGTCATACATGGTTGGCGGTCTCCCGTCTCTGCCTTGTCGAGGGCTCACGCCTACGGTTGGTAAGTGCAAGGCTCGGATTTCGATTTCTTGGCCAGTGACCCCATCCACGATGGAAGCGTAGGCATCCGGAGTGACAAAAGATCCTGTAATCAGAAGAATCGAGATTGGAACCATCTCCTCAAGCCTCATGGCGGTCATGTCTACCACCGTCGGCAAGTTTGCAGGTACTTTTGACCGTGCGGATAGCAAAAGCGACTGAACACGATTTCCATAAGTAGGTCAACACGAGACAGGGATACTCTATATACTAGGTCTTTGCTAGCCACTGACAGAGTCAGAGTATCTCGATCGAGAAGAACGTCGCCAGACCATTCATCTCTAAAGGAACCCAAACTACTCCTCGACTTTCTCGACCCATTACCAAGGGAAATCCACCCATGGCACGCTCTCTGGGATTCATCCAGACACCTCCTCGTGATTTCGGGATAGCCTTGCCCCGATCACGTAATATCACCTGATTCGCCGGAAGAAATTTAGGCCGTATTTCCCCATTCGCAGGGCTCGATCGAACAGTGATTCTTCTTTTCTGGCACGCTCTAAGTTCTAGACTGCGGCAGGGGCTGAAAATGACAGCCTCGAAAGTGGTCCAAAGCCTTGGAATGCATCCAAGATGTTGCGGCTCATGCTGCAGGGAAGTGCTGGTTGTTGAGGCAGGAGCCCACAGCTGGGATCTCTCTCTCTCTCTCTCTCTCTCTGTCGATATAAAGTTTCATCACACAAGCGAAGTTGAGCGACCACTAATCGATAGATCCCCAGGAGCGTCTCTTGTTATCGAAGTGGAGGATCCCCTCTATTCGGATGTCTGAACAAATCAGCAAACAACGGCGATGGAATCGTGTATCCTTGACATCCCGCCTCCTCCCCCATGGGGATGGCGAATGCGGAGTGTCTTCCAAGGTTCACCTTGTATCGACTACATAAAGAGAAAGACGGTTCAGCTTTCGGGAGACGCCCTGAATTTGCCCACTTCCCCATAGCTATACACAGAGAACGCCCTTTCTCCTACAGCTTCAAAACAAGCGGTGCGTCAATATGGCCAAACTCACATCCTACAATATCGCCATCGCTCTTGTCGTCACTCTCGGCGGCTTCAGCTTCGGCTTCGGCAGTTCTTCATTCATCACCAGCATCGGTCAGCCAGGATTTTATCTGTATTTCAATCTGGACCCGGCCAGTTCACGTACGTCCTCGTCCCTGCGCTCGTCATCGGTCGAGGTTCACGCGGCTAACCTGTGCATTTGTAAAGACACGGCCAGCATCATCACTGCCATCAATGCACTCTACTGCTTTGGAGCAGCCGTCGGCTCTATAGGTCAGAGCTGGTTTGCCGACAAATGGGGACGCAAGAAGGCGTTGCTTCTCGCGGGCGTTATCGCGCTCGTAGGTAACGCATTGGTGGCTGGATCAGTTGCCATTGGCATGATGATAGCATGCCGCATCATTCAAGGCTGTGGTCTGGGAGCACTCCTGGCCTTGGTGCCCATCTACCTTGCCGAAGTTGCTCCTCCACGTTCGAGGGGTCTTTTGACGGGACTTACCGTCTTATCATTTGGGTTCGGCTTTGTTGCGTGGGTATTCAAACCAGTTAATCGAACCGGTATTGACGCAGAACATGCAGGTGTGCCTGGATAGCAGTAGGCTGTTATCACGCAAAGAATCTCACCTTGAGCTGGCGTCTCCCACTTTCCCTTTCCTGCGTCCCGCAGCTGTTCCTGCTTCCCGGCTTGCTTTTTGTTCCTGGTAAGCCTTCCTCAAGAGAGTGGAGCTGCCGGGCGTCCCGTCACTAACTATCGATCTCGTAACAGAATCGCCGCGTTTTCTCATTTGGCGCAACGAGCTAGATGAGGCTTGGAGAATACTCAAACGACTGCACCACGACCCTGAGTGTTCGACAGATGAAGACGCTCGCACCGAGTTCACTCAAATTGTGAGACAGGTCGATGTCGAAAATGAAGAGAAGGCTACATTCATTCAAATGTTCAAAAAGCCATCGTGGAGACGCAGGTCTTTGTTGGTGCTCTTTCTCCTGTAAGAACACACACGCCCCTCATTGGAAGCCATCACTGACCTACCTTGACAGATTCGCTGTGCAGTCCACAGGAGTGAGTAGACGGAACTGATCAGATGCTGTTCCACGCTTAATCAATCATATAGGTTAACGGCGTCACCAATTACCTCCCTGTCATATTCGCTTCTCTCGGACTAGACACCGGCATGTCGCTAATACTTTATGGTAAGAGATAGGCGTGCAAAGTCTTCTCAAAATCGCGGACAGCTGACACCCACAGCCGTTCACACAACCTGTGGAACCATTTTCGTGGCACTTAGCCTCCTTGTGGTGGATAAATTTGGTCGTCGAACCCTGTTCAGTGAGTGACAGTCTTCGGAAATGATGGAACGGCACTGACACGTTTCATGACAGTCATCGGCTTTGCCTCTCTTGCGTGTATTGGCCTTGGTGAAGCTCTTCTCCAATGGAAGTACGTCGGCACAGACGACAAAGCTGGGAATGCGGCCTGTGTCCTCTTCATATTTCTCTTCATCGCATTCTACCAGGTGCGCGTCGCAAATCTTCCTCGTGCGAACATCCACTAACCAGTCCCTAAGTGTGTTGATGCTCCATCTGTTATCTGGGCGGCCGAAATTTTTCCCACCAGTCTCAGAGCCAAAGGGGTCAGTCTTGCAGTGTTTGCGTTTTTCGCCGGCACAATCACGTTTGGTGTCCCCGCTGCGGTGGCATTCCAAAGCATGTAAGTGCAGCTGCCGTAATGGATTTCGTCAGCTGATCAAGCCGGCAGTGGCTGGCGTATGTACCTCATCTATGCCGGGCTCTCAGTTGTTTCTCTTGTCCTGACCATCTTCTACATTCCCGAGACCAAACTCATCCCTATGGAGGAGATTGGGGCTCTGTTTGGAGATCATGTCGTAACCCACATGACTGCCAATGGACAAGCTCTAGTTGAGGAGGAGAAGGCCGGAGAGACACATCTCGAAATGGCGAAGCCTGCGGCAAGTTAAGGCTTGAATAGAGTGGTTGAATAGGCGTGAAGGATATTTGCCAAAAATCAGTGAAATGTAGCCTCACTGATCGAAATGCATGATCAACTTCGACGTACTGCTCTAAACGAGCTGACTCTGAATGCTGGAATCAAAGGTGCCTAATTTCGGGGTTACGAACTTGCGATTCAGCAATATACGGTATTGGTGTTGGCACCCAGTGGACCGTTGATGAAAAATGTCTCAGCTTACAAATGAGGAGCCTCACCGAGACCGAGGGTCAGTAAAGGAGCCAAAGTACTTACAGCCATCCCATTAGAGAGAGCGATGCTTCAAACTCGTTGATACCAATCACAATCTACGGCCAAGATCTTCGCAGGGCATGTCGCCTCACTCGCTATCACAGAAGAGCACAAATTTGGCGAGGTTCCAAGCCCATGGAATGGTCTCGATTATCTGAGAACCAGGATGAAATCAAACTCAGCTCCATCGTCGCCCATGATAAAGACAACCCTGTCGTTCAACTTGAGGTTGTCCACCACTCGTGCCCAAGATACGAAGCCTATCAAGAGAAAGCTTGCCCCTAGAAAGTTATAACCTCCAAGACAGCCCCCGTCGACTTGGCAAAAGGTTGAGTTTATCATTATTCGTCGTATAAAGGGATCTAGACGTTAGCAAGCGCCCGTACATTGAAATAATTGACAAAGTAAACGTATATCTTTTCCAATCTACGCCACGCTTCGATGTCGCAATCAGACCCCGCGAAGGTGACAGTTTCGGCACGCTGCCAGCACTTGATGTCGCCATCAAACCCTCTAAAGGCGACACCACCGGCGAACCTGTCATCGGATAATCCTCCAAACGAGACAAGGATTGCAGTTGATAAGACTATTTAACCTCCCGTATGCGGGGTGGTAATGGAAAATATGTGTACCGACCAATTTTGGACAAGATGTCGCATCCTCAAGAGAAAGAAAAGGCTCTCAAGACCTTTGTCGTTGGCGAAAGCGGCCTCGATGCGCCTCTTGGCCTGAGTACGCAGGAAACAAATGGTCAGGGAGTCGAAGAACCGAAGCGGACTTGGAGATCATACATCTGGTCATGTAAGCCTCATCCTGGAAACCCCTACACCCACGAAATCACTGGCTGATCCATCACAATAGCGCTCGATGTCTCCAAGGAAGAAGCCCGCTTCTTAACCAAGCTTGATTTGACCTTGATTTCCGCCTCAGCGCTTGGAGTTATGTGTCGTTACCTTGATCAAGTCAACATCACCAATGCTTTCAGTATGTCATTCTACCACATTCGCAGGGCTCTTCTAAGGCATATATACAGACAGTGGTATGAAGGAGGATCTAGAGCTATACGGTCGCGAGCTCAACTACGCAAACGCTATTTGGAGTGCAGCATACGTCTTTGGTCAAATTCCTTCAAACTTGCTACTTACCAGAGTAAGCCCATCGCTCTTTTCTCTGAGGGACCTAGTATGTTGACGCGGTTCAAGGTTAATGCCCCTCTTTACATCGCCTTTATCGAGCTGTCGTGGACAATCTTCACCTTTGCCACAGCTGGTGTTCAGAACGTTAATCAGCTCTACGTTTTCCGATTCTTGTACGTCTTTTACATGTCCACATCTTTCGTCGTCTCTAATTTGATAACAGTGTTGGTCTATTTGAGGCCGGCCACTTCCCAGCGGTCATGTACGTATGCTCGAGCTACTACAAACCCCACGAGCTGGCCCGACGGAACACATTGATCCAAATCTCGACTGGTATCGGACCTCTCTTTTCCGGTTTCCTGATGGCAGCAGTATTTGCTGGCCTCGATGGAGTGCACGGTCTTGCTGGGTGGCGATGGATGTTCATGTGGGTTGTCATTCTTGATCTCACAAGCCATAAACTTACGCTAACACCAACAGAATTTGCGGCTGCATCTCCTTCCCTTGTGCTGTCTGGACTGCTTTTGCCATTCCTCAACTTCCTGCTCGAGCGAAACCCAACTGGTTAGTATATCACTTCTTCCTACTCTAGCAAAAGCTGATTTCCGGACAGGATTTTCACACAGGCTGAAATCGACCTAGCCAGGGCGAGAATGCCCAGTGAACATAAGCTTCTGACTGGTCTATTCAAGTGGAAAGACATCAAGAGATGGCACACGACTTGGCATGCTTTCCTCTGTAAGCACAATAGTAGTCCCACATCTACTCTGCTAATGGTTGTCGAACAGTTCCATTACTCTTTGCATTCATGGCCCAATTTGGCCAGTCCGGACAGTCAAGTAAGATAGCTACTGAGCAATTTCTTCGGCTTCGGGGACTGACCTATACAGTGATTTTCTGGGTCAAAAGCTATAACGTCAAAGGACAGCCACTTGTCTTTTCCGTCCCAGAGATCAACATCATCCCCCTTGGCGTAAGTCGTACTGATCTGTCGACCGCCAGAACTTAACTAATTTGGAATAGATCAATGTGATCACAATTGTTTGCACACTGGTCAACGCGTGGATATCAGACAGCTTGCCTGGCTCTCTCCGGTGGCCTGGAATCTTTTTTGCCTGCATCATGGCCATCATCTTTCCCACCGCCCTTGCTGCGACGCCGGTTCATCCTCCAAATAGAGGATCGCGCTGGGCACTCTATTGTAAGCCTGCTTCGCACATGCAAATCGACAAAATATATTGACCTGACCATTTTGATAGATCTCACTTCTCTAGCTGGAACAGCCGCAGGTATTACTTGGACTTGGGTGAATGAAGTGAATAGACACGATCAGGAAAAACGAGCATATGTTTCTGCCCTGGTTCGTGCTGACATTTTGCTGGGAATAAAGCCATCTAGCTAACCTGCCTCTACAGATGAATGCCTTTGCCTACATTTTCACTGCTTGGGTCCCGATTTTCACCTTTCCGGCCAACAAGCAACCATATATCGTTGCTGGTAATTATGTCACTGCAGGATTCGGAGCGGCAGCTGCGTTGATTGTTCTCCTTATGCGTCACCTTCATAACCAAGACCTGAAGAGGCAGAAGGACCAAGGGCAAGCTCCGAGGTCGGTCGATTCGAGCGACTCATTCGCATAATGCCCCATGATGTGACGGCTTAGGAAGGGAAGATCTCACGATGAGCACAGCATGTACCTCACATATCTGATACTGTTTAGGTCATCGAGAACAACCAAGCTTGTAAACTCATGGCTACTCTATCAGTTCTCGTAGAGAGAAAGTCCCAGATCTTCTCTGGGATCAACTGTCCTGCCTTTACCATCTGCAACGCCCATACCAGACAGGATTTGCATATCTTCCTCAGACAACTTCTTCACGTCGAGGTTGGACTTGATGCGGGCTGTTGAAGGCACCGGCGTTAGCAATATAACGAAGCCAAGGCCTTTAGTCATTGAAAGATTGTTCGCTCACATTCTGTTTGACTTTTACCCAGAGGTACAGTCCCTCTCTGTACCGCCCAGCTCTGCAGTAGCTGGCCCACATCCATTCCATTCTTCTCCGCCAGCTGCTTCACCACTGGGTCTTTGAGCAACGTCGCTCCGTCTTCCTTCTGTCCGGCAAAAGGAGAATAACATGTCGCAAGGATATCATGTTCTTTCATGAAATCGATTAATTCATTATTGGGCAGCCATGGGTGGACTTCGACCTGGTTGCAGGATATAGGCACGTCAGTTGCATAGGGAAGGATATCTTTCAAATCAGCGATAGAGAAATTAGATACCCCAACAGCTCTTGTCTTGCCAGTGCCGACGAGAGCTTTGAGTGCTAGCCAGGTAGGGACAAAACTCCCTTCATGGCCTGGATCCTGTCAGCGATCAACTCAACGATTCCATATGATGCAACATACCAGCCTTTTGGGCAATATTCGCCGAAGTATGCTCCCAATCAATGACTCGTTTCCCTGTCTTAGGATCCTCCAGAATGCCCTTTTCTTCGTTCGACCCATTGGCTTTAGCATTTTTCAGCGCGTCATGCGATATCGGTTTAAATGCAAATGGCCAATGAGCGAGGAATAGATCAATGTAATCAAGTCCCATATTTCGTAAGCATTGGTCTAGACACAGCTCCACATATTCTGGAGCTGCGAAATGAGGCCAGAACTTTGTGGTGATGAAGATCTCGGAGCGGGGGATTCCAGATTCGCGAATGGCTTCGCCGATTTGTTCATCGACCTTTGCAGGGATAAGTAAGTGGAACTGGTCGATGTGTAGCGTATGAGTGTGAATGGGGGGAAGTCATACCCCATACATCCACGCACAGTCGAGGTGGCGATAGCCAGCTTTGAGAGCAGCTAGGGTGGCGTCTTTACACCAGCTTTTGGAGCCTGTGTCAGGGGTGAGTTTGATGGCTGATAGTGTGTTTTGATGGGATTAGTCAGTCACCTGATGCCCATGTTCCATATCCCACTGATGGGATTAGAATGGTGTTGCCTTCAGCAACTTTCAGTGGGAAATGGCTGGGGAGAGACATCGCAGCTCGAGTAGACAGTTTGGGGCTCCAATCACGTAACGATGTGTCACTGTGGGCGCGGTAGAAAGGGTCGGATTGGAATCTTTACAGTAATATTATGGTCGAGAACTAGGTAATAGAGGCCCGACGTAGAAATTGGGACGACGCAAGAAGACTACTGACTTAAAGTTGGGAGAGGATTGTTGAGCGGTCGCTCATAATTACTAATTCAGGCGTTTGTGTCGACCTGCTATTGGATACAGTGGATTGTGGCTCACTAAATCACAAAGCAAGCCAAACAAGCACCGATAAGCTCCCGGGTCGTTTAGTAGTCGCAAATCATACAAGAAGCTACCTTCGAGAAGACGGGGATCTCTCTTTTTGTTCATGTGTGGGAGAGAAGTTGAGAGGGTGTATAGCAGCACATGATGAAGTACTCCCCCAATGCTTGAGTCGGGTGAAATATTCCTCCACTCCCAAAACAGAATTTTCTCTCGATTGGCTACTAATTTTACTCACCACCTCCTAATATCATAATACTCGCCATAGGCCACCGTTTTGGGACTTCTATGTAAATGATTAGTCTTTGTGTGTCACTCGTGACGTGATGTTCCAACAGGCCAGGCTGAGTAATGCCGAAACTTCACCGTCTGTTATGTCGACATCTTCAGAACGTTCTTCCTGACTGGCTAAACATTGACGCCAGACCATTAATGGCTCAAACTGCCATCTCGACGCCATCATGTTCATCCCAGTATCAGTAATGTGCCTGAGTTGTCTTGAAATACAAAAGGTAGGTTGCTGGCCTTGGGTCACTCGAATCCCCCTCTAGTCACCATCGGCTCTATATCGTTGAGTCTGCTTAATCCCCCAAGATGATCGCTTCCAACCCACAACCTTTCTACACCCTTGCAGAAGGAACTCCTTTACCACGCAATGATACTTCAGTTCAAGTACGCAACAAGAATGGCGGCGGCTTGGTTCTACTTCAAGATACTCAGTTAATTGAGACGCTCGCTCATTTCTCCAGAGAAAGGATCCCTGAGCGAGTAGTCCACGCCAAAGCCGCAGGTGCTCGCGGCTACTTCGAAGTCACACATGACATCTCTGATATTACCGATGCCGACTTTCTAAACGGCATTGGAAAACGCTCCGAACTCCTCACAAGAATCTCGACCGTCGGAGCAGAGTCTGGATCTGCCGATACTGTTCGAGATGTCCATGGCTGGGCTATCAAGATAAAAACCAATGAGGGTAATAACGACTGGGTGTTCAACAACCAACCAGTCTTTTTCATTCGAGATCCGATCAAGTTTCCCTCGGTGAATCGCTCTCATAAACGCCATCCTGCCACCCATTCCACTGACGCAGATATGTTTTGGGACTTTCATGTCAATGCCCCCGAATCAGCCCATCTACTCATGTTTCTCTTCGGCGACCGCGGTACCCCAGCATCACTCAGAAATATCAACGGATACTCCGGCCACACTTACAAGTGGACCAAGAAAGACGGTAGTTTCCACTACGTCAAGATCCACATTCATGCAGACGCCGGCATCAAAACCATCACCGACGAAGAATCAATCCGTCTCGCTGGCGAAAGCCCCGATTATCTCACCCTCGATCTCTACAACGCCATCGAATCCGGCAATTTCCCCTCCTATACCGTGTCAATCCAAACCATACACCCTAAAGACATCGCCTCGTGTCCCGTCAATATCTTCGACATGACCAAAATCTGGCCCCACAGTCTCTACCCTTTACGACCTGTTGGAAAGATGGTTTTCGACACGAACCCAAGAAATTACTTTGCTGAAATCGAACAAGCCGCCTTCTCCCCCTCTACTATGGTGCCTGGAATCGAGGCTTCTGCTGACCCTATGCTTCAAGCCCGAATGTTCGCCTACCCCGATGCTCAGAGATATCGACTCGGAGTCAATTATCAACAACTTCCGACCAATGCCGCCAAATCACCGATATATATCCCTACAGAACGGGATGGTGCATTTACATATGGTTTGAACTATGGCGACGATCCAAATTATCTCAACACTGCTATCGAACCTATTTCATTTCATGACACGTCTGCATCGCAATACAAACCGACTGAGGAGTCATTACATGGACCGATTGTATTCACAAGTGAAGTCACAGACGAGGATTTCAAACAACCGAGGGCGTTGTGGAATGACGTGCTCAGCAAAGATGAACAGGATCGATTCATTCATAACATCTCGAGGAATATCGCTGGTGTCAAGAGAGATTGGCTTAGGGAGAAGGTATATGGTATGTATTACTTTTCTTGATGATGCAATTCCTTCCAAAAGGCAAATCCAAAGTCAATGATTGCTAACGTATACATATTTGCTTAGAATTATTCCGCAAAGTCGACAAGTCTCTGGGCGATAGAATCGAGGAGGCCGTTCGTGCTTTGCTGGAAGAGACAAAAGCATAAGATGTGAGTCTAGTGTAGAACTGATCTGTAGTGATACATATACTCAATATGGAGGAAGATATAATCACCAAAAACACAGCATGATATATCAAAGGAGGAATTGGGGTGGGGAGATCGATTTCTATGATCCTGTCCACCACAGACAAGACGCGCTTCGAGCAGCGAGAGATGAATATTCACGAGGTCCATAAGTTCATTGATTGTGTTGATACATATAAAACGAGTGGCCTGGTACCTGACGAGCTATCTATTATGACGCTACGCTAGGCAATCGTGTGATGTTATATGATATAATCCGACATGACAGGATAGGTTATCCACTCACTTGTTGAAGCGAGTACTACTCACTCCACTTCTCTTCAACAAGGCTGAGCCCCCTACTCTGATGACGAAATCAACCACACCTCCATCCATCCCAAGTTTGATTCATCCACCTCATTTCAGTTCAGCATTTCCTTCATGTGGGGACATTTCGCACGCCGGTTTTCTACAGCGAGTTTGATGATCGATAGCGGACCTTCGACTTCATCTGTGCTTGTTCTTGTTAACAATAATGATGACGACTTTGGTTGTGTCGTGAGTCGTGGGGTTACTATGGCTTGGACCGTCTCCATGGTGGATCGGCCGTCGGTGTCAAAGACTTTGGCGATATTGGAATATCGTAGAGATCCCCTTTTGGGTGTTCTTTTTGTTGTTCTTGTAGACGATGCAGTGTAGGCTCGTGCACGTGCAGGTGAAGGAAATGAAATAATGGTATTAGTGGTGGTGGTTGGTTTGGGGTCAGTGTTGGCGGCAGCGGGAGCGGATCTTGTCTGTCTAGTAGTAGGTGTGATTAATCGACGGTTGGTGGCCTTGCGAGGTGTTGGCTTGTTGCTCTTCCGAGCTGATGTTGGTCGATATTTAGATTTGGATTTCGCTGTCTGTGATGGAGTATCCTGATCTGCTGCTTCGACGTCGATGTCGTTATCTTCATCTTTTGGACGTGATGGATACGCGATTAGTGGAGAGCTTGGGGGATCTTTCTGAGGCTCCTTTTCCCCATCATCTCCCAGGTCGTCCTCCAGGGCCGTCGTGTCTTGTTCGTCCTGAGCTTTCCACTCTGGATCGTCTTTCTCGTGTACCGGTGACGAGTCCGCAGGTGTGTCTTCTTTTAGGTCTGGATCGATCATGGTTGTATCCTCGTCCTCATCTAAGATAAATTCTTTCCTTGGTAATGATGGTCGCCGCTGTTCTGGTTTTTTTGTTGGTGTTGGTGGGACGTTGTGTCTGTTCCTCTCAGAATCCTCATCTGATTCATACATCTCATATGGTCTCGCCTTTATCCATGCCCTTTCGCCGTCATCTTCTTCCTGCTTACTTTGAATTGGTTGATCATGGTCATTTTCATCTTCGGAAACTGTCTCGTCTTGTTCATCGTTCGTCTGTGGATCGGATTGATTATCTTCATTCTCGGAACCAGATCCGTGCACACTGAACGGTGCTTCTGCCTGCAACGCATGGTATTTGCCAGCTTTGTTCCCACGAGGTTTGGGTGCACTTGACACGCGTTGAGGAAGAATCGAGTCGTCAGCGCTATCGTGTCTGGAACGCTGTTCCAACCGTTCACTCGTCCTTCTACCGCCCTTGCTGGGAACGTGGCGAATTGCAGAATCCGAGACAGACCTCCCGCCCGTGGTGACACCAGGCCCACTGACCGGTGCTAGGTTAGAATCTGATTTTGAGGCTTGCATAGCTGAGCTTGCTCGAGACCGTGCATTTGGTACAGATTTTGAGGATGGCGGGTTTTGGACAGATGGAGAAAGACGATGCTGAGCCTTCAATTTCCCGGCTGCTGACTTTGGGGTTCGTGTTGAGCCGTTCAGTGAGTTTCTTGGGCGTCTTGGTTCCGGGCGAGAACCTACGTCGATAGGCTCAGGTACTTGCAAGCTTGACTCAAAAAGTGCTGAAAGGCCAGAAGGACTAGAGTCGGGTCGCCGCACTAGGGCAAGATGTGCAGTCGCACTGGGTTCAGTAGGTCGCGGTCCCGTGGCAGAGATGCGACGTTTAGCATGTTGGCCAAGCGAAGATTCAACCTCCTCCTCCTCCTCCTCCTCCTTCTTCTTATTCTTCTTATTCTTCTTCTTCTTCTCCATTTGACTATGGTCAACCCAGCATCTGCCCTGAGAGTCGAACAAAAAAGCGGGAGAAGTTTTCGGATCGTTTTTGAATGAAATGTCGGTATTGAACAATTCTCGCACATATCGCAACTTGAGCGATCCATCGGATTCATAAGGGTTGAATTTTTTGAGCCAGCCGATCCAATAATTGACCGCATCGATGGCCTTTTGCCGATCATACTCGAACCATTCGCTATGCTGGGTTTCACAGTTACTGTCCCAACATTTTTCTCTCAGGCGCCGAAATTCACGCAAGTCCTCTTTGACGAGATCTTCGATTTGCATGATCCACTGTGTCTTTTCGCTTGTCCACAGCTTCTCATCGCTTGTCCGCGGTCTCTTCTCGCTTGTGTTACCTCGGAAACACATGGGCAAACAATCTTGCAATTGTATCTCACGTGTTTCCGGGTCATTCGATTTACCAATTTTGATATATCGGGAGTACTCCGGGGGGGAATCAGGTAAAGCTGAAATGATGTATATGTACTCCCCATTGGTGTTCTTCTTCAGTTCTGTCGCAGAAGGCTCCTTGTTGTATCTCGTTACAGTTATATGAAGACGGTCCTTGGTACCAGGCTGATAGATTCTGAATGTCGCATCATTATCTCTGCTTTGCATCGCGGGTGGCAGCTGCGAGACTCTCCTCCGGCGAGAGCTCTTGAAAAGAGGATGCTCCTTTGATAAGAACTCTGTGTCATCTGCTCCATCCTCTTGGTCGTCCTCTTCGTTATCTTCTTCGATATCCTCTTCGCTGTCCTCTTCGATATCAGCTTCGTTGTCTGGTTGATCTTGTGGTAGATCCCGGCTCTTTTTGCCCGGAGAGAGTACAAATAAGATGGTGTTCAAGAATGCTGTTAAGATCGTGGTCAGGATTCCGTAGAAAAACGGGAGCCATTGAAGCTTTCCTCGTCTTTGAATCAAGTAGTTCCTTAGTTCTTCAACAAGCTCTGCATTGTATCCTTTGGATGTATGCTTGTGGCAAATGTGTAGATACACGTACTGCCGGAGTATTGGTAGAAATGATGCATGGTCTGGAGGTGTATCGAGAGCGGTCTGTCGCAAACGGTGTAGCCAACGTCTGGTTGCAGAACATCTTCTTTTTTTGCATCTCCTTTTTGGCGAACTGCGATACTTAGTGACCAGGCACTTGAATAGTGAATCTGAAGTCCAAAACCCGTCCAGCAAATATTCAAAAGGCGAACGAAATGACGGCGGTGACGGCGGTGACTTGGGCAGAAGAAGTAGGACATTCGCCCCGCCCATCAGAACAACGAGAGCAAACAAGTACAATACAAATGGTTCGTGTACATCACGAGGAGGACAAATAAGAGGCTCGGCCATGGTCGGGGATTTTTTGATACGAGAGGTTGAAAGAAGGAGAGCGCTGGGCGTGTGTTGGGCGTACTCTCGTGATGTCGGACAGCCTTGAGGTTGCCTTTATCACTGTTCGCCAAGCCCAGGCGCAGCATCAATCTCCAGCCTCCAGCTCTCAGGATATGGAGATAAGGGCATGACCAGGTGGTCGCATTAGTTTTGGTCCAGCGACCTCCTAGAGTCAGGAGGCCAGCCTTGACCCAACCGCAGCAGGAAGGTCGCTAAATGCCTTGGCAGTATAATGAGCTTTGGTAAGGAGGACATGGGAGAGACAGTAGCTGTTACATGTGCCTTTGTTGTATCTTTGAGGACGTGGCTGGCATGGACATTGAAGTACTTGCAATTTGGCTGGGATGAGGGATCTAATGCTGAGCTACTGTGCATCAAATAATGGTCGGTAACGCGAGACCATGTCTTTGCTGAAAAGAGGCCCATAGTTGTCTTAGGTTCATGCATGGGAACTGATTTGGATGTCATTGCTGCTGGTCCATGGACCAATGTAGTCTAAAGTACATTTTAGATGTCGCAATACCTTGGCCCCCAAACTGCCAAGGCGTTACTGCAGATTGCGACCGGCCAGTGTCTTCCGTGCGCCACATGGTTACATGGTCCGTTTGAATGGGCGCAGACAATTACGCGTACGCGTAGAGATTCCGGGCTCGTCATCGACTTGTGGAGATCCAGGGTCTGGCCGGGGATAGAGAACCCGACCGACCGGTCGAGCAAGGAGGACATTGTCGACGCTTAAACCTCGCCATTCGGCAACAGGGTCCTATTTTTGCAGCGGCTTGCACTGAGCGACAGGATGGTGACGCCAACGCGACGGATAAAGACTTTGCCAGCCTGTCGGGCCCAAATGTCGACCGGGGTAGCTCTCATGATGGTGGAGCCCCATATGCCATGGAGGTTGGAGCTACATAGCCTTCTTGCTTCAAGCCGCTAGCTTTTCGAGCTTGCCCCTCTCGATAAGCAACCTCCTTTTCGTCCTGCGCAACGACACAGCAGCAGCAGCAAATCCCCTTGAGACAGTCTCCTGCGACGTTGCCGGCTTCGGTACTCATGTTGTATGTCCTCCGGACCCTTGAGTGTTGTATCGCGGCCAAGATACCATTGATGCCGCACAAGAGGCCAAAAGCAATGCAGGACCCGTTGACCGCCGTATAGCCCAACATGTTGGTCGGATCTTTCTTGTCTTGTCTCAACCCTAATCGGTATTGGGTCCGACCATAGACGATGCAGGGACAAAACAGTCCAGTCAAACATGTCGTTGGCTCAGCACAAGAACCCAGTCCATGCTGCCAAGTGCCTCCTCGAATCACCTGGGGGCTGGGTGTGAAGGAGCTAATGGTATATTGTGAGGGGTCGGGAGGAGGAATGATGGCCATATTGGTGCTAGGTCGATTGAATTTCGGTGTGGTAGGGGTCAAGGGGTTTGCATCTGGTGCAATACTTGCAGCAGGCTCGTCTTTTGGGACAGCGTGCTTGGTGGGTTCCGGAATAAAGGGCATTATGGAGTATGTGGCTTGGCTGCGAACTCTTTGAGCTGGCTGAGGTTGGGACTGGGGAGGGGAAGAGATGGGATGTTGTTGTACAGAGGAATCATTGGCGTATTGTGTCAGTGGCTCGTGACCAGGGTAAGGATATGGAGGGTGTTCGTGATCTTGCTGGGGGGTATTCATGGTCGGCATCGGTTGGGCCGACGTTTCTTCTAACGGTGACAAGGCTGCCGGTGCGGCTATGTTGGAAGGCCTCCGTGTGTTTCTCGTCCACAAGCGATGTTCTTCATCTGCTGTTGCGTCCATCCAAGAGAAACGATTGTCATGGGATGGAAAACGCGGTGGCTGTAAGGATGTAGGAGGTCGGACTTGAGGATATTCATAGTTCTTCATGTCTGCAGGTCACCACGGGCAGCCAGCTGCCGTTTCCAACTCTAGAGTGTGGAAAGTTGGGTGGGAGTAAGCAATGACGTGGTCGGAGGCCTGAACGCAAGTAACCCAGAGCCTAATTGAAGCAGCAACGTCGATCGCAAGATGCTTGAAATCCAACGAAAATGAACAAAAGAAAGACAAAGAGAAGTCATGAAACATGTTACCTTGAAGATAGACAGAACGCAGTCGTTTTTCGGTGTTGCCATCAGGGCGGTCTTTGCACATTGCTAGGAGACGGGCTTGTGTTCAAGTGGTCGTCATCACAAGTGCTTGGAGTCATCACGTATCAACGATTGGACCGTAGGAATGAAGCTTGAGACTCGGCAACTTCGGGGCGCTTACAGTGGGCGTCAATGGGGATAGGTGGATGAGACTTGCAAAGGTCGGTGGAAGCGCCAATCGCGGCTGAGGGCGGCTGTGCTTCGAAACAAGCGACCAAGCAGTCGATTCTCTGCCATTGAACAACTGCAGAGTCCAGGCGTTCAGCCCCAGGTCTTGTTGCTGGTCTGATTCGTATCTCTGAGAGATGGGATGTGAATGGTGGGAGAAAAGATGTCGTCCAGTCAAGGTTTCGTGAGACGCCAGGGCGCCAATTCAAGAGGGACCTTGTCTGACACTAAAATAAAATGCCCGTGATCTGGAGAGAAAGGGCTAAATCTAGTACTTCAGAGACAGCCTAGGAGGTGATTCTGACATGGTCATTTGAATAATGACAGACTCTTTTGGCCCCCGTAACCCCTTCACTCAGCCGCCTGATCAACACCACCATCTCCTCAACTGATTTGGACCTTCACCGCTACAGACGCACATGATCAAGTCAAAGGATTCACGAATAGGAACAGGGGGGGCCACTAGTCCATGGATTTACCACTCTAAAATAGGCCATCAGATAGTCAAGCCATGGACTCTATCCATCCAGCCAATCCAATGCTCAAAACCCATCGCAGGAGTTTCGATCATCAGCTGAATCAGATCAAGGTCTCACAGCCTCTCGCGCCAATCCCTCAAGATCTTGCCGACATTCGTTCTTATATAATTATAATTCGAGTTGGTAATCCCATTCTGCATTGTTTTCGTTTCCATTTCCATCTTTTGGCCGCCACAAATCGGGGCTACCAGGACGAAGGTCCACCGTCGGCAATTCGGCCATGTGCAGCTTCGCGCTTCCATATGGTCTGAGTTCGATTGGGAATGCCCTGCTGGTGCAATTCCTCTGGCCCATCAATGGGGGATTTGGGGCATAGCCACCTGTCAACTTCCAGTCAATCTCACATGCCAGCACTGAAATACTGACTGGCGGTGCCTGATAGCGCCAGATTGGATTGGGCAAGTCTCGAGGGGGATATTCGAAAAGCTTCAGGGTGGTTGTATCAATCGCCAAGTTCCATGATGACCACGGGACAATCTCCCAGTCTCTCGCCTCTGGAGGTGCTTGCGAATCCGGATATCTTCCAGGTCTCGTGTAGTAATAGTCGCCCGCCGGCGACACAGCGTAAAGGAGCGCCCCGTGATAGACTGCTACCGTGTCATTTGCTCGAGGCTCGATGCGTATCTCTGCCCCAAATTTGACCTCAATGTGTGTCAGCCCGGCCGGGACAACCATAGTGTGTAGACCCGTCGCCTCGTTGGGTTTGAGATGATGCTTTGCTCCACCGTCGATCCATACTCCGCTCTCCGAGAGCACTACCCATGATGGCACTCTAAACGAGAACTTGAATGGATACCTCGCCTTGATCTCATAGTTCAAGACGTTGATAAAAGGATACTTGGTTTCACATTGAATGACGACCGGGTTTTCCCCCTTCAATGTGGTGCTCACCTGAGCTGGCCCGAGGACAGCATGAACCAGACCCTCGTCTCCGTCTTTGAGATACATGGCGGGGACGAACTTAGAGTAACCTTGCATATTGACGGTGCAGCAAGGGAAATTCGGCTCCGTTCCAAATGTTTGGCCAAATGGGCCAACGTTCCAGAATGGTGATTGTTCCAGGCGACGGCTGACTGGCTGGTTGGTCTGTGCAATATACTGATGTGCCCACCAGTCAGGCATCAACATAACCGGCAAGGCATTGTACGCAGCCAGTTCGACTCGATCGGCGAAATCTCGATCTCCCAGGGCTTGGTAGAGGTAGTTCAGGGAGAACATGGATTCGACGACACTGCAAAGCTCGGTACCTCTGACAGGACTCAATCCAGCCTCGCGCTCATCGCCCACAATGGCCCCGGAGGGTGTGCCGTGGTAAGTAAACGTCCAGTTCACTCCATTCCGGGCAACGTCGAGCAACGAATCGTCGTGAGCGATTCTACGCATCACGGCGCCCCATTTCAACCCTTGTCCAGCATTGACTCCGTGCACATAGGGAAATAAGGAGTTGGTCAGTTGGACAGGCAAGAGATCCAGATCAACCTTGAGGAAATTCTTTTCGTCAAACCAATAACCCCAATCATATGCCATTTCGTAGAGGTGAACCATGCAATGGTGAATCTTGCGTTGGTTTCCATCAGGGTGTTTCTCGTAAAGCCATTGCAAGGCAAAGACCATATCAGCGGCTCTCGACCTGCCCCATTGCTCATCAAACTCGTCACCTGGCCTCCATACAAAACCTTGATAATTATGGGAGAGCATTTCGTGCATCAAGTCGATGAATCGGTGCATAGCAGGAAGAATGCGAGTCTTAGCAAGCTCAGGTTCGACCTCGATAAGCTGGATTAGTCCGAGAAATAAAGGATATCGACCCCAGAAATTGCGGCGCGAGAGTTGCTCCTCTGGACCAAGCCATCCGTCGGCGTGCTGATGATCGAGGATATAATTTGTGACTCGCAAAACATGGCTCTTGAGCCTTGGGTCGTCGGTGACATAGGCGAGTGGCACCAGGGCATTGTAGGAATAAGGCCATGCCTCATTCAACCCTGCAGAGAAGCAATTAGGCTTGTGAGGACTAAGAAGGGATCACAAGGGCAAGGTTACAAGAGTATTCCTGGTGCCCACCTAACCATGGAGCATCCTTGATCAGACGATAAAACTCATGCATATGGCCCGGAAGGCCATCGGCCATCAATCGCATCTGCTGCCCCAGCCATCCAAGTGGTTTGACGGAGCCCAAGGGCAAGGGCTCAAATGCCAAGGGCAATACTTTTAAATCATCAGCTTCAACCTTGACGCTCGACAGACAGGACAAAAAGAGACATAACACATACATGATTTATTGTAAGAGTCCGGCTCCTGGATGGGCCGCTGGGGATCGTCCTTTGGCGTGCGGACATTGAATCTGTGCCCAGCATTGAAGCTGCCAGGGTGATCGAACCCTGATTTAAAACAGCACACTGGCTCTATCAACAAAAATCAGCCGCTGGAACATGTGAATATTGTGATAAGAGATAACTGTACCTGCGTCATCCCCGACCTGAACCGGGTTTAACGCCTGCTGGGGAACAGGGACCTCGAATTGGTCGGCGGGAATACGAGCAAGACCCTGCCGCAGTAGCAGTGCGAAAATCGCTAGACTAGAAATATAATGCCATATATTGTGCAACATGGTCTCGAGGTGAAGACGACGACAAGAAGCTTCTTCTGCGCCAGCGCAGGAGATGAGATGAGATGTAGCAATGTAAAAAATGCAAGATGATGTGTGTGATCCTGAGAATAAGTGCCGGGTCCTACTGTGTACTTCTAACCTTGAGGAGGGGTCACGAGGGCAGAAAGAGATCAAGGGTTGTGTGTTGGTCTTGGTTTTTAGTTAAACCAGTTAAGAATGCTGCCAGGGTTGGGCACCTCGGTTGAAGCCTAGGGAGTGCTTAAAAGAGTCTTGTGGGGGTTAGCTTTATTGCCATTGACCCGGGGAAAGCCTAGAAGATGATCACGCGTTTGTTAAAAGATGAGGGGATACACATAACTTGGTACCCCAACCCCAGACTTGGCTGAGATCATCAGGGGATGGAACCGCGGAGCAGAGGAACGTCACGTCGCATCTCTAAGATCCGCCCAATTAATCACCTAGGCTGTCTTTGGTTAGACTTGGTTTCACTTCACCCTCATCTTTCTCTCAATTCTCAATTTTTCCTCTAACCTTTTCATTAAACTTGACTACACATAAAGCCTTTCCACCACCTCTTAACCCAATGGGTTCTCTGAGACAGATGCATATCACACCCATAGAGGCAACATTCAGATGAGAAAGATCCATCACAGGAACAAAGCAAGCCAGGTAGGGAAAGACAGGTAGGTCCAATCCCACACACTCCATCACCACCCTTCACCCTCTCAAAACACCTTTTCCTTAATCCCATCCATCCTACCCCCTCCCCTACCTTGACACATATCCACCCCTCCTCCATCATGCTTCTATCTATGCTAGAGCTGGCCGCTTCAAACAAATTATACACCAAAGCGAGTACAGTGTGGACAGGGAAGCCAGATTAAAAACTACCCCTGGTGGCATGGACGAAGCGTTCGCGTTTCGACTCCTCCGTCGTGGGTTCCGCCGGAATCTCTACTCTCGCTTTATTTCTTACATGTTCTTATCGACATGATTGCGAGTTGATGGCTGTGCGGAGACAGATTGTGTTGTACTGTTAAATATTCTTATGAAAGAATGGCTCCCATGCCTGTCTTATGGATCGATGATTGTCAAAATTTCATATTCATCGTTTCTCTTGTTAATTTTCGTAATTGTCACGATCAGGCATCTGGTCTGAAACGATCAATGTCGAGACGTCTTGCTAGTTGCATGGTTCTACCCAGTTTACATGTGCAATGCCACCCCTTACGCCAGCGCTGTCTTTCCCTCTCTACATATCTTCATCTATTCATTGATTGCCCAAAGAATTCACCAACTCCGTCACACAATCAAACCCAGAAGACTAAAATGCCCCTTTACCCAGCAACTCCTCACCCACTTCCTTCAACAAGCTCTCTCCCTTGAATAATGGATTCTTCGCCATTTGAGCCAAACACTCTCTGACCTCCATCGCACGACACAGATCCCAAAGCATATCATCTGCAGGAGCGCCGTACAGCAACACGCCTAGAGCGAGCAGTAGCGCGTGTAGTGTCTCCTTGCCGTTCACATTCGTGCCTGCACTCGAAGCAGAAACAATGCCACCCAATGAACTAATCGACTCGATCAATGCCGCTGCGACATCATCGCTGACTCCCAGACTAGACTCAGGGTCATCACCCTGACTTTGAGAAGGGTTGACTTTTTGATTATGTGAATAAGCTCCGAGATTGTACACGAGAGCAGCCGCCATAGACCTTGCGTTCGCATGAGGCGAAAGAAGACATTGTGCAGCCAAAGTCTCAATTGTCTCTCGGAGTTGACTTGCACCAGAGATGGCCCCGTTAGCGCTGTGAGATCGATACATTTGCTCCTGGAATACAATCGAGCTGAAGAGGTTGCATGCCAGCTGTATCGTGACAGATTGGATGTTGAACTTGGCATCTGTGAAGTTTCCATCCTGCTGATCGAACTTGGGAAACAATGTATTCAAAATCGTTTGTCTTTCGTCCGTGATGAGGAAACTCGAGACGCGAGGATCCAAGGCGGCGACACGTACGAGATCAACGACTGCAAAATGCGAGTCTGCAGGTAATGACGCGAAGCTCGATGCAAGGTAATGACTAAATTGATGGAGGTTCGGCAATGGTGCCTCATTCGACCCCTTTGCATCACGAGCTTTGATGTGAGCCACTATTTCCTGCACTGAAGGATGGGAAGAGAATTCCGCGCCAGTCTTGGCCAGTAGCTTCTCCAACGGTGGGGTGCGTGTATATAGCATTGGTCGCTCGATGAAGCGCTGGAATGAAGGAAGTTTCAATTTGGCATGCTGATGTTGTGGCGGCTTCGCCATTTCGAATAATAATCGAACATTTCCGCGTAGTTGTGATGGATTAGCACCAGACCACTCATCTTGTTTTTTGCCTTTGAGAAACGTCACAAATGTTGGTGTGGCTCGGATTTGATATCGTTGGGCAACAGATTGAGCGGCGTGGGAGGCCGAGATATCGATCTTGATTAAACGTGCCGAGGGGAGTTCACCCGCTTCACCAGCAAGTTCGTCGTATGTTGGATATGCAATCTTACACGGTGGACAGGTCGCTGAGGTGAAGAAGATGACAGCGCAAGAGTCGCGAGCAGTGGCGAGGAGAGTATCGAGTTCGGAAGGTGTGGTGATATTGTACACACGTCCATGTGTGGTGGGCTTTGGTTGGCTGTTGATAATGGCCGAGGAAGACGAGGCTTTAAGAGACGTGGTGGAGGATGTTGAAGGTTTAGGATATCCGTTGGTTGGTGCAGGTGAAGTCGACGGAGGCTTCCTGACAGCATCCCTCCCTGACACGGCATCGGGGGCCTGCGTCATAGATCTCATTGACTGGTCTATCTGGCCTCTCAACATTTGGCCCATAGGGGTCCTAAGAAAGGTCTCTGGTAGACTGGAAATCTCCTCAGGGATGCTCTTGCCCGTGAGAAACATGGCCAGATCCTGGCTGAAGTTGTTGCAGTTATGGACAAAGAGATCGTACGACTCCGGAGTGTAGATGGATTCCAGAGAAGCGACATATTCGTCAATAACATCTGGCGGTAATTGAGTTGACCCCATGCTGATGATTTTCATGGGTGAGCCATGATGGGTTGAGCCGGGGATCTTGCGGTGGATGCCTTGGCCAAAGAAATATTCGACATTGTTATACACTATCGAAGTGTGATAGATGGCGTCGATTTGAACTCCAGTCAGTGCTTGAGAGAATTGTCGGGCCATGCCCTATAGATGGATATCGTGTGAGTATTCGAGCCATCTCATTCGCTCATGTGTTTGGGCAAGGACAACTCGTTGACATACCTGAGATAAGTCATAAACGTAGAGTTGGACGTCCATGATAAGTGAGTGGTGGTGGACATCCACCAAAAGTACAGTCCGCTCTAATGTATCTCTATTGTTATTAGACAGGAACAAGTTGTCAGAGGGGTGGCAGAAAGTCAAGGATGGATTCCATCCAAGGCGGACAAATATACACGTCAACGAAGGTTCCAGTGATATACGCCATCGAATCTGGCGCCTGTGGCCGCCGCTTTTAGAGAGTCACGTGGAAGCGTTGAGAATTACGGCGGAGTGTCTGTGGCACCTCCCAGCCATCTAGGGTAAACGTTAGGGGCCATCAGCGCAGTTTCTAATCTTTAGATACGGAGGCCCTCCCCGTGGACAACGAGGAGGAACAATCAACCTTTCACCTCTCGCTTTGACAGGATTTCCCTCCGAGCCGAGAAAACAGGCACTAGTCGTCCCTCGTCGTAGATTCGACTCCCAACTCTGGCTCGCCAAGGAGCCTTCAACAGGACCGGAAATGGTTCTCTTCAGAGATGTGAACCTCTCAAGGTCCACTGTTCACTGCTTATCCGATGGGTGGTAGGCTTTATAGCATTGAATCGCTCCTGTTACAAGCTGGCCCAACCCAAAAATGAATACCAGAGCAGCGATAATGAAGCCCCATCGACGAGCGGGCTTACGATAGTCCCTGCACTGCTGCATAAAAGTCTGTGGCTCATGATCGTCATAAACATCCTTGAGCGAGATCATGCGGTCTTTGAAGTATACGAGACCGTTAATGTTCCTCTCTAAAGGTTTCAGACCACGCGTGTTTCCAACACTTGGGTCCATCGTTGCACATGAGCCAATTGCTCGGCGGCTCCCTTTCTCAAGCTGTTGCTTCAGCCACCTTCGTGAACTGTTTTCGTAACGTGGCAGCAGCATGCTGCATGTCAGTCGGACCTCGTCCACAAGCCCGGTAGGGCAGAGTCCGCTACGACCTGGTTCAGTCTTGGATAAACAAACAATTGTCGCTACGAACATACCTGCGAGCCATGAGACCCAACATTTGGGCCTGATGAAAGATGGCCACTTGCTCTTCGTCATGCTCGAGAGCAAGATGCTCCGAGAGAACACTCGTCCACCGGATCTTGAGACCTCCGATCTGGTTGATGTTCCTGAGATTAAATGAAACTGGCATTCTGAACGAATCCTTCTGTTCAGTCTCCGAAAAGTGGCTATCCGTAAGCCATGATTGGAGCGTGCAATCACCAGCCCATTCTCTGATGTCCAACAGGAATACTGCCTTTCCTACTAATGTTATCCATAGACGTACGAATCTCTCTCTCTCATGTGGGTTTGCAAAAGCAAGGTTGAAAGAGTCCGTCATGCCCATGATCTCTGTCTGACAGCTGTGATAAGTCTTGGTTCTGATAGGTTCAATTGCGTGCAGAAATTGCTCATGGGATAGTCGTCCCACATCGTCAGTGGAACAATTATGGCAGATAGCCTCGTAATGGTCGAAATACGCCTGGTAAGTGTACAAAGCCGTCCGCAAATCGATCGCCTTCAACTCCAAATCCCAGCAGGCCTTGAGTATTCTCTGTTTATTCGCAATGCTGGCGGAATGCTGGAGGCTTCCTTGGCTCTGGGTCGAGGGAAAGGCCATTTGACCCTCGCCTTTTCAATTCAATGGTTTGATGCAGAGTGGCACTGAGCAGTAGATCAGCGATGCTATATACCGAACTCGTGCTTCAGGCAAACATTCATGCTCCTTGCGCCGAGGCGCTATTTCGTAGTCTCAGCAAGGCTGATGAGCTTCATCCACGGAATTCGGGCGCAGCTGCGCCAGGCCTCGAAATACGAGATATGCGTGACATCAATTTTTCATCACCAAGATCAGCCAATCACCACCGGGTGGCTGCGATAAGTCATCATTACAAGGCAGATTTAATAGCAAGGAGGTCACTTACGTACACCTATGAGAGGAAATCAGTCAAAGAACAAAAGAGGATCTGCCTACACTGCCGCTTGGATTGCTCTCCCCAGCTCCCAAAGTATTAATGCAATTGTTGTCCACTCGTGGCTCGAAACATGGATGCCAGTTGAAATCAGAATGTCCTGTGACCATGAACAGCATTTTCAGACCCCCATACCTGCCCATGACCCAAGTCCAGCTTGGCAATTCTCGTAAACCCGTCGAGGTGTGGAAGACATCCTTTCGTCGCTGGGATTTGGATATCCTCAACCCGCTTCGACAAGCATATTTAGAAGTCAAAGAAGAGGCTGAAGACTGTTTCAGCAGCGACGAAATTCTGTGCCGACAGAGTATTGCTTGCTCGGTTTGCTATATCGGACGGACGGACAGAGAAGTTAAGATCGCAGTGGTCATACACTGCGCAAATAGATACGCTCGTTCTTTGGCTCGAGATATGGTCGGGGAAAGCGACAGTTGGCAGAGGTTCCACAAATCCAATCCAGCCTCAATGTTGATGATCGCGCCCAAGGCACCAGAGCCTTGCACTGATGATGAAATGTCGGGAAGCTTGTCAGCTGTGAGCAGCAACGGCATACTCTGCCCTGTGGGTGCAACAGTTGAGTTTGTTCATACAGCTGATCAATCGGCGAATGACGCCAGTTCGTTGGGGCGAGCCAGGCTCGGCCCGACACTGTTCATCAATAATGAACCACACATCATCTCAGTCTCGCACGCTTTCAAGAAGCTGCAACAGCAGAGCATATACTCGCCGCCAAGTGAAAGTAGCACAACAGCCAGCCCGTCTGCGATTTCGGACCCCGAAGAGGATGACGATGATGAAGTCTGGGAGGTTTACGATGATGAACACGTCCAGGGTGAAACGCCGTCTTGTATCGGGCTTTCATCTCCACCCGAAAATACCCAAGTTGACTCTGGCGCCAATGAGTCTATCATTTCCCGTGTCAGGAGCCTGCCTGAAACGGACGTTATCCAAAGCGTCCAGGCGACATCTCATATGCCTCAGAGCGCTGGAACGACCAACACAGCATCCGATGCGGTCCATGACATGGTCAAAGTAGGTGAAATTGCCTTTCGCAGCTCAGATGAGCCTCTATGGCAGCATGATTGGGCATTAATCAGTCCGAGTGAGAGGTATGGCCAGGAACTGGCGAAATTTGGGGGCTTAAACATGGTCAGTGGCCCTAAACCCGATCGGAAACGACTCAGGATCAATGAGACTGCCAGTACGATCAAGATTGCTCGGGAGGTTTGGCTGGCAACCTCCACCGAGGAGTGCGAGAAAGGGACCTTATACCCTGCTCCTCTCTGGTACAAGCTTCCAGGATCGCAGCGGTTTTTGGAGGTCTTCCGGGTTGATGCACAGAGACCTTTCCTCCGCGGCGAGTCTGGGACCGCCGTCCTAGATGCGGAAGATGGCTCTTGGTACGGCCACATCATTGCAGCTGATGACGACACTAGGACTGCATATATGCTCCTAGCAGTCGACATTATCAGAAGCATAGCATCTACCCTTAATGTCTCTGAGACGAGCCTGAGCTTGACCAAGCAATCGTTGGTATTAGGGGGCCAGACGGCAATCAGTCCAAAACCGCCATACATGGGATCGAGATTGACCGAGTCAGATTCATATCTCCGCAGACTGACCTCGATGTCGCTCAATCCAATGTGGCCTCAAGAAAGCACGGCCAAGACTGCATTGCCCCAACTTTTCAGACATTCGCCATTACTATCCAAAGAACCCTGTATACGCCTCCTGAAGATCCAGTCTCGCTGGGGCTTGGGTGACATCGAGGCTGACATTTGTCACGTCCCATTGGAAGATGCTCCGGCCTATCGTGCACTATCTTGCGTTTGGGAATATGATGTCCAGGTCCAACAACGTTGGAGAGACCAACCCAATGTCCGACGAATTCGTGTTCAAGATAGTTATCTGCCACTCCCACAGACTATCGTCGATGCCATCTTGGTACTTCATTTTCCCGAACCATTCTACCTATGGAACGATGCCATTTGTATCAAGCATGGCGATCCTGCCGAAAAGACGAATCAAGTATCGCTAATGGGTAACATCTACTCCCAAGCTCAAGAAGTTCTCATTTGGCTGGGGAAAGATGGCCTGAATACCAATATTGCTATGGATCATCTTGCTCGGATATCTAAAGCAAGACTCGATGACACTTTATATGATCTCAACAAGCTGGTTTCCCTCGAACCAATTCTCCAGAACGAGTATTGGTCCGGAGTGTGGGTGTTGCAAGATATCATTCTCGCGAAACAGGTGCAAATTTGGTGTGGGCCAAAACACGTTGAGTGGAACGTGCTCGAAGACGCGTTGTCCATCTCAGCACTTCATCAATGGCATCAGCATCGTATATCGGAAAATTTCCCTTTCGGCACCACTTCTGGTGCTTCCGCACATCAAGTCGTGGCATTCAACCACTTGGTATACAAACTAACATCTGATCAAGACAAGCTGAAAAGCAAAAGCTTGCCTCTTGAGGCTCTGCTGTGGAGTTACGCTGGCCAAACAACCAAAGATCCTAAAGATAGGATCTTTGCTTTACTCGGTCTTGCGGAGGATGGTACCTCAATCAAGATTGACTACACTGCGGAAATGCTAGATGTGTGTGTAAACACTGCGATCCATATAATCCGCAAGGGAAAGTCTCTCGATACGATTCTACGACAAGTTCCTTCGCAAGAAGATACCGGTTTTCCCAGCTGGGTACCGGACTGGATGTTTGCTTCGCCATGGAAGCTCGCAGCGCAGGGCAAAAATTCGTCAGCAACAGATTTCCTGGTTGGCGATCCGCTGAGTCAGCCTCGTTACAATGCCAGCGGCAGTATAAAAGCTCTGGGAGGAGAACTGGGGCCCTTTATGCAGGCAAGTGAACCACATTTGATTCGTAAACGAGCCTTGAAGTGGCAGTCGAGATTTTATAACATGCTGGCTAGCAGGGGGATGATTGTGGGGCGGCTCGAGAAGACGATGGAGTGGGAGTTGGGAGAACCCTTCTGGCACCTGTTACTATGGAAAGAATTGGAGAGGCCTGATGCCAAAAAAATGTTCTGCCGAACGATTGTCGCTGGCATTGATCACAACGGAAACCGCTGCACTCCCAATTGGTACGATGATGCATTCACATGGCTATTAGAATCTGGGCATCGCCCCCGTCCAGGAGACGGCAAATTTGCAGTGGAGACGTTCTGCAAGCGTGTTGACACTGCCATGCGAAACAGATGCGTGACCCTTCTATCAACGGATCTGGACCTGGAGAGTAAATTCGCTCTGGTCCCTGAAAAGGCGAAATCCGGTGATCTACTGGCCATTCTCCATGGTGCCAGTGTGCCGGTTGTGCTTCGCGAGGAAGAGAAGCAAGAGGGGTTGGAGGATACAGAGAACTCTTCCCAGGCGGTCTACACACTCATTGGTGAGAGTTATGTCCATGGAATTATGGACGGGGAAGTTCTCAAGTTGCCAGGAGTAAAGTGGCAACAAATCATCTTAGCTTGAAACGCCGTGGGGGCAATGGCCATTAGGAGGGCAACAATGGTCCGAAAGGTTGAATTACTGCAATCATGATAACGTAGGCATACTTATGTAGAAACACCTGATGATTCAATCTCCAGTCGTCAGAGGAACTTTACAAAAAGAGCCTCTTCCATTCATAAAGCGGCGGAAAGGGACGTGTCATGCCTCAGCCTCGTCAGCCTCATGCCGTGACGTCATAACGCTGCCTGGTCCGCCAAGGAACCAATCAGAACTGTCCGATTGACTCCTTCCATCAAACCTCACAGCCTTGCGTCACTGAACGAACATCCATCCATTCTCTCCACGTCGCAGACATCATTAAAACTAGTATTCTTGGATTCCACGAACCGCTGTTGCTAGAAAGAAGAAGTCCAATCCCAGGTCCCCTCACTTCTAGGCGTCAGCCAAACGTCTTCAAAATGGTAAGTTCCTTGCCCAAAATCTCTTTCCCTCCACTAGTCTCCTCCCCCTCCCCAAGGACCACAGAGCCACAATACCCCAGTATCCCTAACAACCAACACAGCCACCGCGGAAATCAACAGCCAAATCATCCAAACCATCAACATCATCAACACCCAAAGGCCGCCGCTCTGCACTCGCCAAAGAAAACGACATCACCGCTGAAGAAGAAGCTGAAATCAAAGAAGCATGGAACATGTTTCGCTTAGACGCCAACGATCAAGATGTGCCAGAGGAATTCGAGGATGAGAAAATGGGGATTGTGAGGACGAGGGATGTAAGTGCGGCGTTAAGGTGAGTTTTCCCCATCCCAGTTATCATTACCACTATCATCCTCATCATCCAAAGCCAGAACAACCCGTCATGATCCCATCCCCATCCCTTCTAACCCCTTCTTCCTCTCATAGAGCCCAATCCCTGCATCCCAAATCCGCCTCCCAACTCACTTCCATTCTCGAAACCCTCGACCCCACATCAACCGGGTACGTGACATACGCCCACTTCGTGGCCATCTGCGCATTACAACTATCGACCAAAACCGACGAAACACGTGCCGAAGAAGTCAATGATGCATTTGCTCTGTTTACTAATGTAGCGGGGCGTCGCACACCCTCAGGTCCGGTCGCGAGTGTTAATGTCGATGGAGAGCCGGTTATCAATCTACATGATTTACGCGCCGTGGCGAGGTTGCTCAAGCAAGATGTTAGTGATGATGTCTTGAAGGCGATGATTTTGGAGGCGAATCAGGGAAAGGGAGTGGGAAAGGGGGTCACTGTGGATGATTTCAGGGGCGTTATGGTGAGGGCGGGGGTTTTTCAGGAATGAAGTTAATGAATGACAATTATCATGATGGGAATTCTGGAGTCCTGGAATCGTGGTTGGATCTCCTGGTCGAGCTTCCATCTCCACGACGCGCTCCCTTCTCATATCGACGACTTGTCAAGGCTGACTACAAAATCACCACATTACGACAGTTCAATTCGCCGGTCAAAAGCACCTCGAAACAAGATCATCCTCACATTGGTATATCTCGGCCAAAATCACTCCACGGGTATTATCATATCAATTATATTACATCCAGACTATCCATCTTCCAGATTTCCACATGTGCGACATCAGACTCGGGAATTCTAGTCACTCTCCTCTTCCTGACAACCTCCTGCGAATACTCCACATGGTCATCCACGATACCCGAGTCACCGCCAGAGCCATCTCTGCTACTCAGGGCGACCGGCGTCTTGACGACATCTTCATACACCTGCCCAATCTCAAACACCTTGTCCCCAAAGCCCACATAACGTATGTGAGGAACGTCGACCGCCGCCTTTTCCATTCCGCTATGGGTTATACGAAATGGCCCATTTTCACCAACTTGACATTCTTCGAAAGATTCTTCGTCGAGCTGGTCGACAAACTGGCGGAATTCACACGCTAGCCTCTCTCCCTCCAGACCTTCGGTTGCAGGAGCCAGGATTCTCAATGCCCACAAATGAGTGAGGAAAGGGACAACCAGGCGGAAGAAGTCAAAGCCCGAACATATGATGGGTGCACTGAGTTGCGTCAAGTTTGGCGCGGAGCGAATGAGTCTGACGATCATTTCCTGAGACAACGGCCACCTGGCGGGGAGTATAAGGTGTTTCAGCGTTGGACCACACACGTCGCAGATGCTGTCCATGTAGAGGTCACGGAGATGGATGCTGGTAGTGTTTCTGATGGAATTCGCCGCAGCGTCAGTGCCCCCATTGCAAGTGGCGGGAGCGATCAACGGGGACTGGTCCCGCGAACTGGGAGTGACGGCGTGGCCTGAATTGCGTGGCACATGCCGAGCATTGACCAAATAGAGACGTTCCAAACCACTTGCGCGAGCCAGATCATGGGTGTGGCGTTTATGTAATTGATCGAGCCTCAGCACCTTGGGCTTTGGAAGAACTTTGTCACTCGGAATCAGCCATGTTTTGTCGAGGAACCACGTTGCGTTTGAAGATGATTTGAAGGGACTCTCGTCAGGGCCGAAACAATTCAGAGCCGTGAAGTCGTCGCACAGACCCGTATCCACCGCATGTAAACAGTCGTTGACGTCCATTTGTGCGAACAAGTTGTACATGCCTACCCTTTTTAGGAACAACTTTTTCTTCTCTATGATATTTTTCCTAAAGAATTGTGCCACGATAACTGATGCTTCGCCCGCGTCGCGCATTCGCGGGGAAAAATGCATCTGGAGCGTTCTCAGCTTTTCCGCATGGAAAAAGAAAGTCGAGAGATCGTCAGGGTTGCAAAGAGGATCAAAATGAGTTATGTACAGTGTTTCGATAGTGGGCATTGGCGGGATAACAGTGATCGGATGTGGAGCGCGACTGGAGGGAAATCGGAGCCAGAGTTCCCTGAGTTTGGGCAATCTGGCGAGGCTGGAATATACATTGGGCTGGATTCGAGTGTTTAGATCCCACCTGTCATGTCCATTAGCTCCCACTTGGTTTGGATGTATTGCACCTCAGCGGACGCAGCAGCGAAACCCACCTGAATGATTCGAGTTGAGGACACCGGTCAAGTGCCGCGCATATTGCAATGTTCAATACCATGCCTGTTTCCGATACTCGTCCAGCTCTTGAATATTCATGGGGTTCCATCCATCCAAAATCGCCTTGTAGGATCAGATTTCGCACGAGCGGGGCAACCTTGGTGGTGACCAGGGCATTAAGACCCATGGAGAAAGGGCTGGCGCCTCCAGAGCCCTCTGGCTCTCCATCTTTGTATCGTATAGAAGGGTGTGACGTTAATGTGACTGACTTCCACAAGTGCGGAAGGGTCATGTAGTAGAGGGAGGCTGAGGTACGGCATAACCGCGAAAGTGATGTGACATCGTCGTCTAACTTGGCGCAGTTAGCCTCAACGCCTCCACGGTCAAAAAGTAGACACGGCAGGCCTTACGTATGAGATGATATGGGCGACCGTTGTCAAGGGCAGACTGGTGACGCCAAAAACATGTTGTATCTCAGGTCCATTGACATAGAGATGAGAACCTCGAAATGTCATGCTGCAGCACCATTGGAAGTATTGTTCCGACTTGATTGTGTCATTGGAGTGCGTCAAAGATGACTGATTGAGGGACGTCTTCGAGCAGTACCTTGGAACCTCTGTGGCTATCGAGGACAGCAACAGCAATGCGAAAAGCCACGTACCGGATATCCAAAGTAATGATCCGAGAGAGTGGGTAAAAGTGTCGTCAAAATTCAGCCAATAAATTATTGCCCTACCAATACGTCGGTGGTTGGAGAGCAGAGGGTGTCAAGAATCTCCAACGGCCGGTGGTCCGACGGGGCGGCGAGGCCAAGTCTTGGCCCAGGCAACTCTGCTTGACGACATCCCTTGGCCTACTGATAGGCGCCAGTCAAAGCGTTACTGCCTTGCTTAGGTACGGATAGGCATGCCCGTGATAAGAACATTAAGCATAAAGCCAGACATTATCACCAGCCCAAAAAATATGCACATGTCACGTGCATGCACATTGTCTGTTGATCTGTTAGCATCACATGCCACTTGGCATTAAACGAGAACAAGACTGATTAATGTATAGGTATTCATGACAACATAACACGACAAAGGGCGGAGTGCGAATACACATATGCCCGAGTCCTTTTATATATATAACATCATCAAGGTGGTCCAGTTGAACCATCCGTATTTCGCTCCTCAGTGGCAGTGTGAGTAGAGGTCAAGGCCTGTGGCTCATCCGGCGAAGGAGGATCTGGCACGATCGTTGTCGAAGATCCAGATGATACCGTTGGCGCATCAGTGCCAGAGCGTGTCTCATCGTCAGGTACAACGGGCGGAGGATCAGCTGGTCTGGTTCGTTCTGATGCAGCGACATCGTCCACCACCGATTCCTCCGGAACGGTGCTTGGAGGCCGTATGTACGTCGATCTCCTTGGGGACGAATAAGCTCTCGAATCGCTTTCCGAAATAATCAGTGACCCTCGCGAGGTGTACACAGTTTGAGATCCATCCAAATTGCGGCTTGTTGGTATGGAGCTCGCTGCTGTCGGAGGCCTCTGCACCCTCTGAGCTGGAGTGCTCTGGCTGCCGGGATTTTCTGCATCCTCAGGAGACCAAGTTCGACCAGGAGAGGGGGCGGGGATAACTAAAATGCCAGGTCCTTGGGCTGCTCCTGATGTCAATGTCTGAGGATTTCCGCCACCCGAATCTGGGCTCTGATCATTGGAAGCATCAGACGGTCGTCCGTCACGAACATCATCTGGGGACCAGGTGCGGTCGTTGGTTCTCGGAGCGGGAATAACTGTAATTGGCAGGGGAGCGACGCTCACAGTGCCTCGATTAGAAAAGCGATCCCTCTGGGCCGATGCAAATGCCTCGAGCCGTCCACGCATGTTCATCCGGCTATCGATTGGTGACCGTCGAATGCCGCTCGCAATTTGAGCATCGGCCACCTCAGCCGGTGGTTCCGCACGCCGTCGTTTGAAAGGGTTGGGGACAGCCTGCCAGATTTGACGAGATAAATTCCGACCGGTTTCAGGCTCGGTTTTGGTAGTAGGTGTGTTGAGAGCCATTTCTTTATCAGCGGCAGAAGGTGTAGTATCTGAGCCCGATGGATCGGAAACAGTCTTTGGGACGTCGACAACTCCAGCACCTTGTTGGGGAGGTTCAGAGACGTTTTGTTGGAAATTGGGGGAGGGGCTGGTGAGGTTGTGATAACGTATTGCGTAGACAGTGCTCGTGGCGCTTCCGGTGTCACTGCGGCTGGGGGTGACGAGCTGTTCGGCCGGGTGGACCATCTGAGAATTACCTGGCATTCGCGACGAAGTAACACCAAGCGCATCGGTCCCTGGTGTGATGCCGTCCGACGGACCCACCCTGCGACGCTTTCTGAGCGGCAGGCGTGCGCGGAGACGGTCATATTGGCCAGCGATTCCTCCAGTAATGCCCTTCCGATGACCTCCATCATCACCCCCATTGTGATCATGACCACGCCAATGGGAGTCATCAGAAGGAGTCATGTGTAACATTTCATCCCCGTCGAAGATTTCGCGTCCTAGAATGCCGTCTTTACGCTCGTCTCTTTCCAAAGATTCGATGCGTTCGACCCACTCCCAGACCACCACACTCGCCGCCGCAGCACCCACCCAACGAATGTATTCACCCCAACCGGCAAGATCTGGCTGAGAAATGTCCAAGACGAAAAAGACAGCTGGAATCGCAACAGATATAAGGGAAATCAAAGCAACCAGACAGATATTCTTCATCTTGGGGTGCCAGAATGCGAAGCGACGTTTGGAGAGGCAATAATAGACGACACAGGAGGCGTATATAATGGAGATGGAAAGTTCAAAGAGATAGTTGAGGGCAGGGATAACGTCTTGGAAACTCCTTGGACGTACTCGAGAGTTGCCACTGACAAAGGAGTCGAGGATAGAGAAGATGGTGTCGAAGGATACCATGGCAAATCCCAGCCATTTTATGGTCACTTTCTCCTTATGGCGGGGAAACAGGCGAATCAAGGTTTGAACCTGGGCAAGCCAGAGAAAGGTGTCGGATATAACGCGGATAATACGGATCTCGATACTGCCGACGACATCGTCCACCAACAAACTAGAGTCCATGTAGCCTTCGTTGTACTGAGACTTGGCTACTTGGAAGGTGTCGGCAGTTGCAATGGTCAAGGACACAGCGACTGTGACGGTGGCGATCTTCTGGAGGAGAGGCCGGCGGCCAACACCAATGATAGGAGAGGAGCCATGAGAGCCTGGGAGCATGCCCCTTCGACCTAAGAATCCAGAACCACCGCCAGGGCCACCGATGAAGAAGGTTCGGGGAGTAATGAAGATGAGGATGACGAGGATGTAACTGATGACGGTGGTGGCAGACAGGACATAGATCTGAGGTGATATAGAGGCGTAGAAAGGGTCTTGAAACCCAATGACCGAGGCATTGCCAGTGGTGTCGGGGCTAATGATGGGATCTGGGTTTTCGCAAGGAAGTTTGAAGGTAACGCGGGCCTCTAGGGTGGTTGTCTCTTCCTCACCAAAGATAATTACGCCTGCAAGTTGGATCAAGTCAGTGAGAGGATGCTGAAAAATGAAGGGGGGGGTAGAATAAAAGACCAACCTCCGGAGGGCAATATCAGCGGCGTACACCATAAGCCTGACTCGGTGGTCGTGGCTGCTATGGCGGTAGCCGTGGCCGTGGCCGTGTTCATCTGGCCCCATAGTTGGCGAGCCGTGATAGGAGCATTATCTGGCATTCTCTATATGAACTACCGGTCCGAGCAGGAGAGGATAAGGTGTCGTGACGACATGGTGAAGAGGAGGATGGGGATTTATCGAGATGCGACGAGGCGCAGGGTCATACTCGCGAGGTGCGCGGCTGGAGAGGGCAGGCAAAAGGGTGGTGGTGATGTTATCTGGTGGATGAGCTGGACGGAGATATTGTCGTCGTGATTGTCAAGATCGAGATGATGTGTAGTGAGGTACGGTTAAGACGAACGCTGGTCGTGATGTTGGGTCGTGATGTTGGTGTTGGTGACGGGAGTGGAAGGGAAAATGGTCTGTGGAGGAGATTCGGATGGAAGATTGAGATTGATCTGGTGTAGTTCAGGTAAGGCAGGCGGCCGAGGGGGCCCCTAAGGGCCTAGGGCTCTCGGGCCCACGGCCCATCTTGTGGGCGCCAGTTCATAGGAGCCGGGAGGCGATTGGCTGGAACGACGGTGCCCCGCAGCAAGGCCGCCTTACCTGGAAAAAGAGACGCAGGTTCAGGCGGATGAGAACCGTAGTACCTAGTACGACTATGCATCTATTATGCAGCGTAGGCCACGTAGATAGACAGACCTGTAATGGCTCGGGAGGACCGAGGAATGACTTATTCGTAAGTATCTCATTAGGTACTTTGCCTTTTGGACTTGCAGCTTACAGCTTGCAGCTTGCACACCCAGCTTCCAACATTCCCAAAGGTCCTAACTCCCTCTGCTCCTTCCTTTGGTTCGTTCCTTCTGTATTACTTCCGAGCTGACTTCTTTGATTCGTCATGGCGTCCATTTTCGGCAGGAACGCGATATCCTGATCACGCGTCCACCAGAATCGGGGACGCAGCTTCTGTGCCGCCTCCCAGAGCCTCACCACGCCCGCACAGTTTTACATACATATGTGCAACTATACTAGTGAAATGAGTACCTGGGATGTACAGACCAGAACCCTTATGGGCTATGTATCTTTGACAGGATCCTCAGTAGTGATCAGGCAAGTCATTTCTTCATCTGGACTAGGTCTCGCGTCAATTTGTGTGTCCCTCGACTCGAGCTGTGAGTCTGGCCAGTGAAAACCTCCCAGATTGTGAGCCTGCAACCCTGCTCGGATGTACCCTGTATGAGTAGTGCCTGCCAAAGGAGCTACCAATTCCTTCCTTCCCAACTTCCACCACGAGTCAAGCAATTGGTTCGGTGGGGTTCCACGCGACGCTTACGTCTTGGCAAAAGTTTAAATCGTTTCTTGTTCAGCCCACTCGATTTCCAGAGCCGTCCAGAGCCGTACAGAGCCTAGACTACGTAGACCATTGACGATGACTTCTGATCATTTTATTCCAGTCATCGACGGCATTTTGTCTTTATACTGGAGGTCAACCTTTACTCAGTAAAGGCTTTTAAAAGTAGATATCCATCGCCCCAGATGCCGACTGTGACGCTCTCACGCGCATGCTCTGCATATCAAACGTTACCTGTGTCGTTATGCCATATCATGTCTAAAACAATCATAGGAATGTGGGTATATCGCACATGCTATCGTCAACAAGGTGCCATGATTGCCTCTCGTTCCATCTCGCAAATACTTTTGGCCTTATTGTAGTCCTGAAGGAAACCCTCCATTCCACGGCATTTGATTGTAGTCTTGGTTGGTCAGCACTTCCAGCATGTCCTGTCGTCCAACCGTCGGTCCAAGCCCTCCAAATCCATTGTCCACCGTGGCATCCGAATTGTGCCAGAGGTTGTCCAGCGGCAACGCGAACCAGTCGGAGAAATCCGTCATCGAAGGATCGAGGCTGGAATCCACCGGTAACGCATGATCGAGGATATCGCCATCCATCACCATGTTTGGCGGAGGGACAAACATTTGCGATTCCAGTTCCGCCATAGGCTTCGCCTCAATCCCCGCCAAAGGATCGCGTAAACTCCATCCGGGACTGAGCTGCTGCGCCAATGTTGATGGTAGGACAGATGACGAGTGAGGAACCTCTGCGTTGCCTTGTCCATTTCCTTGCGGACTCGGCGGCCGAGAGTGATCTCTGCTAGGCCCTGCTGATCCTGTGCCGGGGAGGTGAACTCGGATCAACGTCTGTTTTACGTTCTTGACAATGTTGGTCACTAGTCGTGATGTCGATGCGCTGAGGTGAACATCGTCCACCACCTGCTTAGACATCTCCGTCGTGATTTTTTCCAGCTGATCCAGACATTCTCTCACCATCTTCTCATGCGTTCCTAAACTGAATCGCTGATACCAGTTAGCCAATCGCGTCTGCTTGCACGGTAAGAACTGCAACCTACCTTAAGCACAAACATCATAGCTGACAAGCTGCGTAGGAATGTTCGTACAGGAGCATCTCTCAGATAGCCTTTTGGCCCAATACCTTCCGTCACCTCTCTCAAGATAGCCAAAGCCGCATCAGTCACTTCGCCAATGTAGGCTCGGTTCTCTTCAATCACTTTGGCTAGTGTCGCCTTTCCTTGGTTCGACCCCGACTCGACCCATGTTTCCACCACCTTCTGCAGTCCCAGGGAGTTCAGATACAGCCGGGCATACTGATATTCCATCGTCAGGATGTGTCTCATCACCGGATGAATGTGCTCCTTGGCATTTTCAAACACATTCTTCCAGTGCATCAACAAAGGCTCGAATTTCTTGATAGCCTCTTTGTACCTGCCACTGGATGTCAATATTCGTGTAAACTGTGCCGAGGAGAACACATCACGGTTGGCTCTATTCATCAACCTCGCAATTTGAAGCCAGCAATTCTGCATCAGATCAACTGAGTACTCTCCGGGCTTCGGCTCAATGGTTTGTTTGTTACGCTCCCAGATGGTGTCACCTTCCCACTGCTCGACATGCAAGGACGACTGGACGCCCATCCGGCCACCGGTCTGAGCGACATAGACCAATAGAAGGAGCCGAATCCGTGCTTTCCGTGCACACTCGGAATCGGGCCCGTGTGAATGGCGACAATCTTGGTGGTCAGTATCAAACACCCCGAGTTCAAACGCGAGGTTTTGTCCCAGTCCAAGAAGCATCCATGACATTCTGTCCGAACGCCATGCCGGTTCCAACCAACTCGCATATGGCAAGTTTTCGTAATCTCTGCCGCCCCTCGGCTCGCGCGGCTTATTATCAGTATGCGGCACCAGAGTGGCGTCCAGAAGCCCCGTCTCTCCATCACCTGGAGGGAAATGAAGTGCGCGAGGCTGCCAGTCAGTCAAGACCAGCAGTGCTTCAATGGTGCCAAGAGTGCGCAAGCTGCCAGTCCATGTCAGCTGCCCGGATTGAGATTCACGCAAGCTTGAGGCATTGCCGCCGCCAGAGAAACCGCCCCCAAATTGTTCCTGGCCCCAGAGAAGGCGTTCTACCTGACGTCGGAGATTGTTCCATAACTTGTCATGTATCAAGTACGACCGATATAAAGCACCATGCCCTGACAGTCGCATATGACGGGAAGCAATTGCAAGCATGGCAAGTGCCAGAATCGGCTCATTGACGAGAAGCTCGCGGTGTTTGAATGGAGATCGATAATCGGGAAGCACGACAGGCGTCATTGGTGCAAGCCTTTCGTAGAAGTACTCAATATAATCCATCGCTTCCCACGCAGTAAACCAACCGTTCCTGACAAATCGCATATCTGTCCATGCGTTGATGCCGGCCTGTTGCTCAGCTTGCTCTTCTGGAGTCATCCCCACATCCTTAGGCGCGTCCGGTCCGATGTGGTTCATATTGGAGTGGGTTCGCTTGCGTCCAGGCCGTTCCGAATGAGGACTATCCTTTTCAATCGGAGTTGCATTTTCCGAGAATGCATTGGCAGCATCCACCAGTAACATGATGTTGTCTTGCGTGCTTGACATAGGGGCATTAAGAGTCGCCGCTGCGACCTGACTGTGTAGGTGAACATTGGAGTGCTTGTTGGACGAATTGCCAATTCCCGTGGAGAGATATTCGTCCCGCGGTTGAGAGGTGATGGATTCGCGAGCTGACCAGCCTAATCGGGCGCCACCAGAGTTTGCGACATGAGGCGAAGTGGCATTGGTCAGTTTTGCTGCGATGGGAGAGATCGCATCGTTGGCAGGTCGGAGGGTGTGATCATGAGACACATCTCTTGCAGTTCCATCGGATTTCTTTTGCTTTTTTCTGGTCGGCGCAAACTCGCAAGGAAGTCGCTCGCGCAAGCAGCGCTTACAAGGAGGAGTAGATGGGGCATCGACACCTATGACATTACCCTGTCAGTCTCGAATCTCAGGCACGCAAATATGATGTCACCCCCACATACTTCCAAGATCACACTTGACTTTTCTTTCGCGACATCGCTGGCAGGCCTGGTAGCCACGTCGGTGTGGGTGTCGCCCACCGTCCCGGCCTCCCTGGTCAGATGGCTCTGGGGAGAGGGAATTATCGATTGGCTTAGAGTAGCTGTTTGGCTGCGCCAGGGGGGGGAACTGGCCAGAAGATGCGTAAGACATCGCAGCGGCGTCGCAAATGCAGACGCAGACGCAGACACGCGGGTAGTGGTGGTGAGTGGGATACAGGGTGTGGTTACAATCCAACTCCGTGTCTTAACGAGGCCGAAATAACCGGCGGGAGAGGTTGAGTGAGAGCCAATCGGATTAAACCTTTACAATCCAGCTCCAGTCGGACGACGAGAGGGAAGGAGGGTTGGCCACGGCTCAAGGTGGGGGCCGAGGCAGCGGCGTTGCTGGCCGCTCCTGCCTGCTCTGATACTCCTTCTTGAGGTCCTCTGCCTTGGTTGTGAGACGTCTCAGAGTCGGTAGAACTTCAGAAGAAAATGATTATGTTGTTTGCACTAAAAATACAAGCTGAAGCTTGCTTAAGTTTGAGATTTTGTGCGCGTATTGAGTATGAATAACAGGATGCAGAATATTCTTAGTATATTTAGACAACGGCTTTGGCATATCTATGTCTTGCCTTGAGTGCTTCGTGCTCTGTCATTGAGATGCAGTCATCAATTCCAGTCACTATGAGCAAGGGTGACGGCTAAAATCCGACGACACGCGTATGCTAGTCCCCGTGAATCACACTCAGCCAAAGTCCTGAGATTGCAGATATTCATTGGAGCAATTGAGTCCATCTCACCACTACACTCACATGTCGGCATCATTATCAGTGAGCCTCCATAGATTACGTGTGGCAATTCGCTACGTCCTCAGAACATGATTATACAGGGTTCTCTAGGTATGTGTCTTTGCAAGTCTTGTTCTACCCGGTATGGAATGGAAGTCGACTCCTAAATGGAAGACCTTGAGCAGGAGTACTTGTGAGAAAGGGATCTGCCAGATCGCTTTCTTCGCGCTTCTCTTTACTGAGCATTCCTGCGTGTGTCCTGAGATCGATTGATGCCTTCTTCAGCTCCGGCAGACTCCGGACACTATCTTCGCTGGTTCGCCGGGAGATATCAGGCGTTGGCCGGCCTCCAAGAGCACGAATTCCCCCGGCTTTCCGTGCTGGTAGTTCGCCGGTCCCCGCAGTCAAGACGTACATGAGATACTTCAAGTTTGGTAGCGTGTGCCGGATGTCTAGGACTCGCAACCCTGAGCGACTCATCAGAAACTCGATGTCCTTGTTCAGTAGAAATACCCCGTATTCAAACTTGTACGGCACGTTCGTAGGGTGCAATGGAAATCGTCTCTGGCTCAAAGCCACGGAGATGGGGTCGGAAATATATGAGGCCGATCCATATGCCTCCAAAGGGTATGGCAGCGGCACTGAAAGGTAGAGGGACAACTGGAGGACCATTTGAGCAGTGAATCCAAGCGCTGCTGCAATCTCATCGCGGTTCGTGTCGTTGTACACAGAATTAGGAAGGTGTATTCCACGCATGGTAAACTGCAGCGGACGGTTCTTGATGGGCTCGATAGGGAAGATGGACAGCAACCCCTCACATATTCGACGCATCTGGCCGACCGATTTCTTCTCCATTTCTTTGACCTGGGCCTCAACTTCTGTGCAAGACTTGACCCGTTCGTGGCACACCGCTTGAATCTGGGCCTCGAATTGGTGACCTTCTCTCAATGCATCACGTCTGTGGTTTAACGAATCCTCTAGCTCATGTTTGCGTTTAGACAGCTGCCGAAGATGTTTTTGTTCGGCAGCGAGTGCAGTTCTGGCCTGTGGCCCGTCGTCATCGTCAGTCAAGTCGGCCGCATCATCAAGGCTGGAGGCTCGACTGTTGCCATCCAGACTAGCATTGATGTCGTTCTCCAACTGCGTCCTCACGTTGATCGCATCACGAATGCAGTCGTCCAGATTAGCAAGCTGCATGAGCGCATCAAATGACGATGTCGTCTTGGTGGCAGATTGGTCACTGACATCACTGTAAGGGATGAAGCCGGAAAGCGAGCTGGCTGGTAGGTCTGTAAAACTAGTGTAAATACCATCAGAGAGATGAAGGAGGACACAGTTTTGGGGTAAGGGATGATGGAATGTCTCCAGGTTTTTGCCTATGTAATGCAACGATCGAAAATTGACGTCGAGCTCCACAAGCAGCGAGTACTCGTCGGTGGTGGAAGGTGTTGCCCACACTCGAATGACACATGCATCAGATCGAGAAGCAACAGGATCACAACCATCCAGGTCAAAGTAGGCGTAAGTTGGGTTCATACTGCGCTCAACAACCTCTGTGATATAGATGGGCTCCTCAGCAGCAGAAGAGTGGACGGAAATCCACGTATCAGCCAACCGATTGAGCACCATGTCTTCGAGCTTGGATTGGCGATCCCGTGGACTAGCAGAAGTCCAGTGCAGGGTACTTCTTCGCCGAAGCCTACCTTCGGGCCTCCTCTTGGGGGACCCATCGTTCTTTTCGTACGAGGTTGAGGCCTTGGTTCGACTTAGAGGAGAAGGTTGTTTTTCCAAAGACGCAGTCAAATCGCTAAAGGAGCGAGCGTGTTGCAGGTGATACACATCGTTCTGTAAGGCGCGCTTAGCGGGAGAAACGAGGTTCAGAGGCGCGTCGTCATCGGTGACGGTCTTTCCGCGGGTTCGAGAGTGGTTGGACGTGATATGGAGATTTCGCAGAGAGACGCCATGGAGATGTCGCAGGCGGCGGTTCTGTGATGTTGCGTAAGCTTAGACCCCGACAGACACGCTTGATCGCTACTGACCCACGAGTAGAGGAAAGGTCGCTCATGTTGACTGGCTACGGGAAGATTGGTGGAGGGGTGCCCATGCTCAGACATTGCCGTTGAAATTGAATGGATGCATTGCGATCAAAACATGGAGAGTTGGTTTCTCATGAGATTGATCCTGGGGTCAGTTGGAACGTGCTTCACGCCATGGATCTGAACGATTGCGGGCAAATGGCAATGGAACTTTCATCCGGTATTATTAGGCGGGAAGATTTTTATGAGAAGTGATGATGGTGGACTTCCAATCTCATAAGGGACAATTGATTGCGATGTCGTGTCTGGCAGCCAATAGCCATCTAATTTGGGCATCTGGATCGCCAAGTATTCATTGCAGGGAGACGTTAAGGACGGTTGGGGGCGTGAGGGCGAAAGCAACAGGCCGAGGGGTCACGGCATTGGCATGAATGGGTCTTGCGGGAGGACTTCTAGGGAGCCTTAGGTGCTACTTTAGCAGCCTCTGGGCATGTTCAACTGACTTGTGCGTTGTCTGGAGAAACCCCAATGTCTAATTACCGCACACCTTGGCTATGAAGAGATGAAGAAGTGGTAAGAAAGAAAGACAGCCATTGTTATTGAGCTGTCTCGTTATTGGACGCGACTATAATCGAAGTGAGGTTCTGGTGACTTAGAGCCGTCCCCTAAAATACCTCTAGGTAGTAGGTAATCATAGCACGCTTTGAGGGCGAGAAGAGCTCTACAGCAGCGAGTAATCTCAACCAGGCACCAGAGAAAATGCTACGGAGTATAAACAGCCTCAGCGACTTTTCTCACGTGATGGTAACTCGTGGCGCGGTATGTGGCAAGCGCGACTGCCGTTCTTTCCTTGTCCACCATGGCAATATTTGTCAACGACTACCATCGTTCACTTTCGAACTTCTACCCTCGTGTCGCAAGTCGCCGTTCTCGCTGGTCTTTGCAGGCCCAAGCTATATTGCCATCATATGACATTGCAATTTTGCCTGCAAATAACAACAAAGACTCTTCTGGGAGATGATCGACATTGCGTGCATCAACAAGGTGTGGCTCAACCCACAGACCTCGACGTTGGACGCCAATCTGAACTCGGATCTCGGTAGAGACATGACCATCTTCTCAACGCCCGCAATCCTTGGTGAGTTGAGGCTCAGTGTTATTATCTTGGGCAGAGGGCTACATTGAGAATGACGATGTGATCAATCTTGGCGGCTTGAATGCCCAGTGCTCCCTATCCAGGTACAGCTTGGTGCCCTCTTCTGACAGCTGTTGACAGATCCTGTGTCCCAGCTATTAGCCTGACACCAAGTCCTCCTATCCCCTACCATCAAAGACGTGTCGTGCAGTCTCATCCGTCCAATCTCTCCTATATTCTCGATGTCATGTGTCAAGACACCATCATTGGCAGATGCCCATGTGTGTCTAGCATCTACAGCATACTAACCAACCATTTCTGCATCCTGTGTTTGATCTGTCGCGTTGCACGGAGTCCAAATACTTCCTCGGCTCGACACCTTCTGCCTTTCTTGAAGAATCAGAAAATTACCCTGCTCGTCTCCAAGCTCGCCTCCTGTTTCCACGCTCTGGACCCCGTCGCAATGACAAAATGTCCCGCCATCATCCTCTCCTCCAGAGCTCAAATCCTATATCCATCATAAAGTGGATCGGTTTGTCTACAGGTGGCTCGAGCGCCCCGTGCCACTTTGCCTACCATTGAGTTGTGATGACAGCAGTTCATCTTGCTGTCTAATTTCCCACGAGCTGGCCGGACAACGCTACCGCGTTCAACCTCAGGTTGACCATGGCGCCAGTCTAAACCACTATGGCCCCATGACGGTGTCTGGGAAACATATACTTCCAGACCGCCGCACAGGATTCTTTACCGTCTAGGTGTCGTTCTTTTCTTTCCTTCGCAGCACAGACATACTCACCATAGTCACTCTCTTACTCCTGCGCTGTTGTCACTCCTTTTTACGTACTCCTTCTTTCCTCCGTCGCATTCGCTCGACCTTGCCCTAACGAACTACCATATATCGAATTCTACTCAGTCAAAATGAAGGTCACCTCCAACGCGTTACTGGTGCTAGCCACGAGTAGCTCAGCTTTGGCGGGCTCCTGGAACGACTGGCTTCCATTCAAAGATGCCACTGTCACCGAGACCTTGACTCGAATAACTCAGGTCTGCCCTTGCAACGGCGAGGTGCGCGTCACTCCCGCTCACGCCGCGACCAAGCCTGTCAAGCCCGAGGATGTTACCCGATATACCGTCACCGGTGCCATCAACCCCGAGTACAAACAGCCTTTGACTGTGACCAAGGCTGGACCCATCGTCGTTGTCTTCACGACCGCCGGAACCTTGACCACCAAGACTGGTATCAAACTCGAACTGAAGCCAACCAGCGGCGCAGTCATCACCAAGACTGTCTGGACTGGCCCCCAACCTACCGACAACCTCGAATGGGTCGACTGGGATGCTGAGGATGACAGCAACGGAGGCACCTTGACGAGATCTCATACGAAGACTGTCACCGTGATCGGACCCGCACCGACAGGTACGGAGACTGAGCCATGGGCTGACTGGGTTGCGCCAACCAACACACGCAGTCGTACTCGCACGTACTCCTCTTCAACTACGTCTCGGGGAGTCGGACCCATTCCTGGTTCCACCACATCGCCCGGCTGGAGCCACAGCACATCCACCACGTCCTCCAGCTCTGTTGCCGGCCCCGGTGAGGGAACGACAAGCTCCTCCAGCTCTGATGTCGGCCCCGGTGAGGGAACGACAAGCACCTTCAGCACAACTTCCAGCATGACGACAACAACCTCCTTCAGCTCCTCCGTCGACCCCGGCGAGCAAAGCACTTCCTCTTCGTCGTCTGAGGATGCTGTCACCTCGTCATCGTCGTCTTCCTCGGCTGATGCCGTCACCTCGTCATCGTCGTCTTCCTCGGCTGATGCTGTCACCTCAAGCTCCTCGTCATCCGAGGCCGCTGTCACTTCCTCGTCTTCGTCTTCCTCCGAAGACGCCGTTACCTCCACATCTTCGGTCATCGACGATATCACGACCACAACAACTCCTCCCACAACCACAACAACTCCTGTGACAACCACGACCACTTCGCCTCCCGCAAGTGGGTCAACTGTCATCGCTGACGTCCGTGGTCTTGATTACATTACTGCTATCATTCAACAGCACAACGTCCACCGTGCCAACCACTCTGCTGCGGATCTCGTCTGGTCTGCCGACCTTGCTACTATCGCTGGCCAAACTGCTGCCAGCTGCGTCTATGCTCACGACGTGTAAGTACACATTCAACCCACCTGTGCCCCTCTCTCTCGTTTGAGACGAGAACTAATCCTTTCTATCAGTACCACTGGCGGTGGTGGCTACGGCCAAAACATTGGCGCCGGTTATACGCCCAACCAGGCCGGTGTAATGATCACCAACGACATGTACAACGGCGAAATTGGCTACTATCCTGGTCCCTACGACACTGATAACATCGATTTGACCAACTTTGGACGATTCGGCCACTTTACTCAAATCGTCTGGAAGGGAACTCAAAACGTTGGCTGTGCTACACAGTACTGCCCTAACGGTCTTGTCAATGCCGAGTTCACCAACTGGTTCACCGTTTGCAACTACAGCCCTCCCGGAAACATCCGTGGAGCATATGCCAACGTTGGCGCTCCTCTCGGAGGACCTACTGTCGTCGTTATCGCCAACCCTAACTAAGTGGTTGCGATGGCAGTCATGTCGGAAGACATGGTTGCTTCGTATGATGGAAGGGCTTGATAGTTTGGAGAGATTTTGATTCAAGATTCAACTACAAAGGACTTAGGGAAAGGCGAAGAAAGCATAGCGTTAACGGTCGTTTCAGGTCTGGATCCGAGATACATGCAGGCACAAGTCGATATATAGGCCAAATATCATGCATGGTTATCACTTTGCCAACCTGGTGAAAGCCACCATTGGGTATGGTTGGCTCGCCACGGGAGAAACGAATGGGCTTCTGACTCAACCAACTTTCTCCGCTAATATGTAGTTACGTATATATCCACGTATTTAATGATGATCCCGCTTGTTTGAGATTAGCACCAGAGATTGCACCAAGGCAAACGACATAGTCATGTTATCGAAGCATTCTTTGGTGTACCTAGAAGGGGTTGGCTCAAAAGGACCCATTAGCATTGGTGCGGAATCGTAGTGAGCGGTGACAAGAACGTATGCTTTCTGCGAGACAGATTATGTCAGGTATTCATACCCCTCCCTCCAGTCTGAGCAGAGGCAGTGAGTGCAAGCTACACATATCAACCTTCTCGTGCCTTGACTTCCAAACGCGAGCAGATGTTGTTTGTCTATAAACGAAATTTCCAGAACACCATGCTTTGACTGCAGAGACACACATGCAGAAAATAAAGACTGTATACCAACCGCGTCCAGAGGGATCCAGCACTAGCATCATCCCTAACGACGTAATGAGTCTAGACGGGCTTGTAGGTCGTCATCGTCCCCTCCACCACCACCAATAGCCTGTGCGACGCGTGTCTCCGGTACAGCTGCCTTCTGTAGGCCGGTTGGTGTCTCTCCCATCTAAAAAGAAGAGTCAGTACTGGTCGTTGCTCTCGCCGTAGCGGACCTAGGGGTTTGACCAAGGAGTATATTTTGGAAACTTACAGCATTGTTCAAATCGACTCCAATCTCATCGAGGATCTGGTTGACGACTTCTTCACCTTCCTCCTCGTCTTCCAGCCCTGTAACATCATCGATAGCATCATCCATCATTTCTTGCCGTTGATCCATGATATCGTTCTCTCGTTCAAACTCCATGGCTATCCGCTGCAGCGCGGGGAGGTTCATCTGTCGGTTCATGCTTCCCAAGAGTTGCGTCGCACCCTTCATTGATTGCATCATTTGTTCATTACTCCGGACGGTCTAGACAGAAGCAGGCCTATGTCAGCGCACAGCCTTGCATATATATCGTGGAGAGCAGTCTGTAGAATTACCTGTATTCGCAATGAGATGGCCTGCAGCTGGGTTCTCATCTGGTAGAATTTTTGAATATACCGCCTCGTGCGGACAAGGTCTTTGGCCTGAATCTTGCATGCCCCAATCTGACCGTTTTTGGCGGATTTCTTGATATCTGCGACCAGCTTCTTCTCTTGATTTTCCAACTTGACTCTCTCCCGATCCAGTTCTCGTTGTGTCTTTTCGAGGGCTCGTTGATGTTTGCGTAGACGCTCAGCCGGCGTCATGCGCTTGCCAAATGCCCATTCGATAATCTACGTGTCAGGGTTTAGTTTGGCTGTTTGTCCATTTCGCGACGTGGTTTAGGCAGACAGGCGGGGCATGCACGCTTACATTCATGGTCAAGCCAGGTGTGAAGGATGTGAGTGAGCTGGGAGGGGAGTAAGTGTGTCACCAGCTGTGGTGTGTCGAAGAACAACTCCTCTATTGAGATTGCAGTTGATGCTATGGATTGATAGGTTTTGTCACGGAGGTTACAGGAACCCAAAGATGACAGGCGGTGCAGTCGGGCGTGGGTTGGTTCGGAGCGATGAGTGGAAGAACGGACCAAGTCTGGGAGCAAGGAAGTGACGTATTATTGCGGTTGGTTGGTTGCCAGTCCAGGCGGGCAATTGATTAGGCTGCAGCTCCCGCAAGGTTGGAGAGCCAACGACGCCTAAAATCTGCTGGCTTTTGGCTAGAGAGGCCCGGGACTGCCCGGCGTAACCCCCTAAACTGGGTCCAGCTGCCGCCCATGAACCCAAACAAGGCTGCACCCGATCTCATGGTTGACATAAAGGCCGTTGTTCTTGGCTGGAGGCGTCCATCTGACCAACAGGCGACTTTTTCAGGATCTGCAACCAAAGTGTCACTCCATCATCAGTATTATTATTGTCCTTGAGTTCCTGTCGCCGCCGTGAAACCAACGACCTCATCTTCACTCAACCTTCCCTTGACCAGTGCAAAGGCCCTACCCTCCTTCAAAGGTCTTTCTCAGGTATTCAATGCCGCCCACATAGATCCCTCACCTATTGTGACCCTGCCGTCATGAGTCCACCTTCTTTGCCTGCGGACTCGGAAGTCCCAGGCAAATCAACCTCATCTTTACCTTCCACCTCAACCGACCAGCCTGACCTAGCCTTGTCGTCTCCCGAACCCATTCATCCTCCTCTATATCATCTGCCTCAATATATGACCGTTGGCTCTGGCGGACAATCCTCCCACGCCGGTGCCCTGATGCAACAACTGGAAAACGACTCTGGCTATGGCAGCATGCCTGGCGATGTTCAACAGTCCGGTGGCGAAATGCGCGCGTGGGAAGATGAGCTTCTCAGAGACAGGCCCACGCCTGCTCATACTCCACAGATCAACGGACAGCCTGCCTCCATGTCAGACAACGAGAAAAGAGCTCTTGCCAGTCATGTTCACCAACTCTATTATAATCAAAATCGAGTCGCTTTAGCCAAAGCGATTTCCCAGACTGTCGAAATGTTAAAACAACTACAAGAGATGAACAGTCAATGGCCAGCTCATTATCCATCCACACAGAAAACCGACACTAGCGCACCCCCGGCTCGTCCAACTCTTGCCACCGCTCAGTCCACTCGAGATCATTCCGAATTCTCCCTTCAAGACGCCCAAAAGAGACCTCTCCGTCCTGGCGCCGCCAGAAGATATGGGACTTCCATCGGAGAGATTACCTCTGGCGAATCAAGCGAACAGCCGATCATCAATAAGACTCCCGAACCACGCCTCATCACCCCTCAGATTGCCCAAGAATTCTCTATCCTCAAACTCGACCTCAAGGTAGGCGCACTGTCGCAAACAGAGCTGGTGCATTCTCTCGAGAAAAAGTCCATCGCGTCGTTGCTTGATGGAAAGATCAGTCAGAGCGTGCGCCATCTTCTGTCATTGCGGGATCGGATAGAAGACACTTCGTCCAAAGTTCTGGTCACTGGAGATCTCAATGCTGGAAAGTCGACATTTTGTAATGCTCTCTTACGGCGGAAGATTCTCCCTGAAGACCAGCAGCCCTGCACCAGCATTTTCTGTGAAGTTCTTGACGCAAGGGAGAATGGTGGGCTGGAGGAGGTGCACGCCGTGCACAAGGATGCCATCTACGATCGGAACGATGAAAGCACGTACGACGCTTATTCCCTGCAAGACTTGGAAAAGATTGTTGTGGACAATGAGAAATATATGCAATGCAAAGTCTACGTCAAGGACAGCAGGACGATAGATGAATCGTTATTGAACAATGGCGTTGTCGACATCGCCCTCATCGATGCTCCTGGTTTGAATGCCGATTCTGTCAAGACAACCGCGGTCTTCGCCAGGCAGGAAGAAATCGACGTCGTCGTCTTCGTGGTCTCGGCCGCCAATCACTTTACTTTGTCTGCCAAGGAGTTCATCTGGCAGGCAGCTCACGAAAAAGCTTATATGTTCATGGTCGTCAATGGTTTTGATAACATTCGAGACAAAGAGCGCTGTCAGAAACTAATCCTTGACCAACTAGCTAAATTGAGCCCGCAGACTTTCAAGGAAGCTCAGGAACTGGTTCACTTTGTCTCGAGCAATGCTATTCCTACACTGCCTGGCGGAGGTGGTGGGGACGATAGCGGAGGCTCTGGCTCTGGCTCCGGTTCGTCCGGATCGTCACCCCCGGACGATGGCGATGATGGAGACTCCAAGGGCAAAGGCAAGGACAAGGAAAAAATACAAGATTTCCAAGTTCTGGAGGCTGCTCTCAGAAGATTCGTCCTGGAGAAGAGAGCCCGGTCTAAGCTGGCACCAGCAAAGACGTACTTGTTGAACTGTCTGGGCGATATGAATGTCTTGGCCACAGTGAACCGAGACGTGTCACAGGCCGAGCTTGACCGGGTTTCTAAAGAATTGTCGGAGATTGAGCCAGAGTTTGAGAAACGCTCTAAGCTTCGAGGCACCATCTCAGAGCAACTCGAGAAGGATATCGAGTCGACGGCAGTCGAAGTATACGACCACACTCGGTCAACGCTGTCAAGCACGATTGCCAATGTGGGCAAAGACGATCACGGGGTCGAGTATCCCGGTCTTTTCTCTGCCTTCCAATATGCGGAGGATCTCCGTGTGGCGATGCTTGACCAAATCGCTGAAGCAGTGGCCAGTTGCGAGGCCTATGCACGTACCAAAACCGTTCAGGGAGTCGACATGGTCAAATCACTTGGCCTATTGCACGTGGGCCAGGATTATGACAACCTCTCATTCCAGGCCGACAAAATGTTCCAACGCCGCAGGGACGCACTGGTGCGTACTGTTGACACGAACGTTGAGCTTTGGGATTTCTTCGATGTTGCTGGACTCTGGGAACGGCAAGAGAAGACAGTTGGTACGGGGCTAGCGCTGACGGTGGCCGGCACAGTTGGCTCGCGGGCAATTGGAGGCGTTGGCTGGGTGGACGGGGCTTTTGGCGCAGCCAAAATCGCGGGGAGTCAAAACTTGAGACGAATGTTTGTTCCGGGTGTTGTTGCTGCTGGTAAGTTTATTGATGTTTGTCTATTAATTCTGGTGTCACTAATGACTTATTTGCAGCTATTGTGGCTGTTGCCTACATTCTATCAACAATACCTCAAAATCTTCCCCCTCGCCTAGCGTCCAAACTTTCGGCCACGTTGGCTCAGATGGACTACACGCATAGCAATTCAGCACGAATTGCGGGTGAAGTACGACGAGTACTTCGTTACCCAGCATCACGGTTGTCCACTGATCTCCAGTCGGGCGTGGAAGAGCTGAGACAGAAAAAGGAAGACGTGGCCAAGATTCAGAAGGAAAGCGAAGTCGCAAGAAAATACTTTAGCAACCTGGTACGAGACTCGAGTGAGACACGTCGACGGGTGTCGGTCATCGACCTCGAGGGACCTATTCCTGGAGCAGCTGCGGCATATGTTTCTTGACCACCTTATCTGGACAGGGGTTTGTAAGCTTGATTTGGTGACGATGAAACGAAAAGTTGACGCCTGGGACAATACTGCATTGAAGCGGACGCATGAGGATTTCAAATCTCCACTTGATACCATCGACTGATGCAGAGCGGTTTATTGCAAGCAACGCAACTCTTGTTTGTATATTGATTATGGTATCTTTGGTAATGCCGTTGAGCGACGAGTTGTACATACTGTAATACTCCCAATTTCAACATTTGGTTTTGACAGGGGTCCATTAGATTTGTGCCAATTAAGGAGAGTTTCGTTTCATTCATGGTTTGTACAGTCAGGGACATCGACGTCATCGCCTTCCGTCACGCCGGCAAACACAAAGTGGCGGGAACTTTCTAGGCAGCCATGGATGGCTTCAGGCTGCGGACTATGGAGTACAGGAGGTCGATAAAGACTCATAGATGGCATAAACACAGATCCCATCATTTGGGGCTATGTATAGGTATACACGCCATCATTTGCCGCGGGAATGCTGGAACGTGGAGAGCAGGATTCTGAGGGACAAGAGGACCACGTGTTGTGCTCCGGAGCTCCGTGATGGGCAGTGTCCAAACATCTTACAAATGAATCTATTCAGGGACCTTCTTGGGGAACCCCCAACGCCCGGGGGGGAAGTCGATCGAGCCAAAGGGCCCTTAGCCTAAGCCCGAGGGCCCAGGTGTACCACCCCCGAGGCTCATCGTAGCCCCACCACAATTCTACCTCGGGCTTCCTGACAAAACCTACCCTGCAGTCCACGATGAGCAGCGATTCTAGCACTTTGTCAAGCATCTTTTGGTGCGACTTGACAAAGAGGCTCGTAATGATAGGATCGAGGCCCTGGTCGTTGGTAGGGCTTCTGTGTGACTTGGATTCTTCTTGGGTTACACGTGTGGCATGGTCGGCCCAACGACCTGTAACTTAATTAAGGCAGTTAGCGGCTGTAGAGACCAGTTGGTGGAAGGAAAACTGTATGTAAAAGATGCTGCGCCATCGACATCCATCAAATCCGACTACCCAAGAACCCCATGCATATCGAGACGCATGAATCTGGAGAGATCAATTCCATTCTTTTCGAGGGTCATGGACTGGAATCTGCCGTCCTAAACATGTACGCTACCGAAGCGGCTGGAATTGGTCCGTCTGGACAGACTGCATCTTGCAGTGCGCTTGTGGTTGCGCTTGACGTCCAGTCTAATGCTCAGAGCATCCATACCAGGTTCCCCGCGCTAAACGCAATCCCAAAACTCAACGCCAGTGGGTGCCAGTTGCCAGTCGCCGTCAGTTCCAGTACCAGTACCAGCGTCAGAGCCAGAGCCAAAGCCGGTCGGTCCCTCCATCCCGCAGACAGGATTGTCTTTGCCACGCATTGCCCTTGCGCTTGCGGAGCTATTGCCCCTACCACGAGCCCACGACCAGTTACGCCAGTCGATCACTGCTGGACCAAACTACTGCGACTCCCAGGTCCCAAGAAGGAGTGTGGGAGTTCGTCTCCAAGCTTCCAAGGTGGTGACGGAACAGTCCTTTGTCCCCAGATCCATACTCGGTGGTAATCCATTCCCCAATCCTGTCTTGCCTCCAAGCCTTTCTCCCCCTTCCCTTGAGCATCCAGTCATCCAGTCATCCACCATCCACAGTGACGCCCACGCCCGCACCGCACTCCATCTTGCACATACTCCTACTACTACCCATACTCCCGCTCCTCTCTTTCTCTGCCTCAAGCCTCGCACATCCTTTCTCACAGTCATACCTTGATCCTCCTTTTACCACATACCCTCTCGGCACATCTACACTCCTCCAGACCTGTCGTCACCGATCTCCTCCTTCAAAGGTTGGCTCATTGTTCTTTTGCACCTTTACCACGCTTCCTCTACTCAAGCACCATACCTTGCGCCGTCCCCGCAATCCGCCACTGCTGGGTTCCGCCGCCCTTGATTTCCAAACACGAGTTCTAGCTTCCTCCCTCGCCTTTCTTAGGCAGAGTCCACCACCTCCTTCGCAAACCTCGATCGCATGCTCCAGAGGTGTCCCTTCCCATCCATCTGTCTTCTTACCCCACCTCAATCGTCAACCCTCGCCCTCGTCAAGCCTTCAAGCTGGCGGGAACCACCGATCGAAGAACTTCCACACATGGAGGCTTCCTCAACCGAGTCTTTGGTAACAAGAAAGACAAGGATGTAGATTCGGACGGTACCACTCCCAGAACCAGTTTTGAGTCCAACAAATCAGTTCCGAGTACAAACAGCTCCGACGAGCCTGCGGGCCTCGTTGAATCACCCACCAGCCCCACGGGCCAGATCAATACCCCTCGAAAACCAGAAGACAACATGGCTTCATCGCCAACTACCGATGGCAAGAAAAGGCGAAGTAGTAGTGCCAAAGCAAAAGAGATATTCACTCAGGCCAAGAACTCTTTGATTCATGGAGATCGTGAAGGGCCTCAGACACCCATGCAGAAACTATCAAAAACCGACGCCGCTCTGAGCGTTCCCCAAGGCTCATTGAACAATTCCGCTGGCGAGTCGCAGCCTACCCCCAATTCCTCCTTTTTGGTTGGCGTCACCGAAGACAAGAACAAAAAGTGCCGTCGCACCATGGAGGACACTCACTCGTATTTGTACAACTTCCTGGGTACTCCCGCGCCCACTATCCCTTCAGATACATCGTTGACCAAGAAATCATCGACGGAGGAGAAGCCCAACTTGTCCACCATTCCGTCAGATCCTAGTCAACATGTGGTTGAGACCGACAATGGCTATTTTGCCATTTTCGATGGCCACGCGGGTACTTTCGCCGCCGAATGGTGTGGCAAGAAATTGCACATCATCTTGGAAGACCTGATGCGCCGTTATCCTAACACGGCCGTGCCAGAGTTACTGGATCAGACTTACACCTCGGCTGACAACCAGTTGGAGAAACTTCCACTGAAGAACAGCGGGTGCACCGCCATCACAGCAGTCCTGCGGTGGGAGGACCGAGTCCCAACGGCTCACTCAGCTACAGGGTCGCAAGCGATAGCACCGCTGGCGGCACAGGCGGCGAAAGAGGCAGAAAAGAATGAAGCAATCAACGGTAAGGACGCAACACCGCGGTCAAATTCAGTCGCTGAAGCTGCGGCAGCAGCTATTCAAGACGCCCGACAGAAGGCGACTCGTCAGAGAGTGTTGTATACCGCCAACGTCGGGGATGCACGCATCATCTTGTGCCGGAACGGTAAAGCACTTCGTTTGTCGTACGATCATAAAGGTATGGACGAGAACGAAGGCCGCCGCATCTCCAAGGCAGGTGGATTGATTCTAAATAACCGAGTGAACGGCGTGCTTGCGGTGACGCGTGCTCTGGGTGATTCATATCTCAAGGACTTGGTGACTGGTCATCCCTACACAACCGAGACGGTGATTCAGCCAGATCAAGATGAGTTCCTGATTTTGGCATGCGATGGGGTGAGTCGACTCGACGGCCAATCCTGTCTACTACGGACGCTAACAGGGTACAGTTGTGGGACGTATGTTCCGATCAAGAGGCAGTAGATCTGGTACGAAATATCGATGATCCTCAAGCGGCGTCGAAGAAGCTAGTGGACTATGCCCTGGCTCGCTTCTCGACGGACAATCTTTCTGTGATGGTGGTTCGATTTGACCCACAGAAGCTCCAGCAGAACACCAAGATTGACATTGGAGTGGAAAGCGAGAGCAGCAAAGACACGCATGCCGTCAGTGAGGTGGAGATGATAGTGGCCGAGGCTCGTCGACATTCTGGAGTGGTGCCGGATGGAGCGCTGTCAGATCAGGAATCAGAGGAACTGCGGCAAACCGTAGTTCAAGAGCATGAGAAAGAGCAACCAGAATCTGGACCTGAGCTCACACCGGAGGGCCAGGTAGAAGCGAATAAAATTCTGTCAGAATCGCAGCAACAAGAGCAGGAAAAAAAGGAAGGAAGTTGACCCAGGTGAGGACGGTGAAGACGATGACGAGGTGACGAGCATTGGATTGGGTGGTTAGAGCATCTTGAGGAGAGCGTTGCAACCATGCTGACAAGCTGGGATGGGCTTCCTACACTCCTTTTCAACGACCGGTTGCATGATTGACGAAAAGAGAAACGAGTGGCTCCGGCGGGTTGGAAGCTGGGTGAGGTGGGAAATTGGGTCACAGGAAGGTAGCACGGACATGGTACGAGGATCCCGGTTGTTGTAGGTTATATCGCGTTGCGTCTATGAAGCATTTGGGAATGACTAGCTCACTTGCTGCTTTGGACATATCATCTCCCATATTGCTGCTAGACCCTGAACATGTTGGATTTAGACGCACAAAGGCTTTTACAAGAGGTCGGGGGACGAAGAGCTGGGAGATGCCTTTCGGTGGATGACTCTGGTCTGCGAGTTATTCTATAGCCATGCTACCTAAGATGTGAGATGTTGATCGAATACGAGGCTGATGGAGCTGGATCAATGTACGAGGCTGTAGTATGCATATTTGGTGTATGGAACAAGTACAGAAGTAACAAGTTGCAAACAGCATACGTCATATCACGTGACTTATGCTCTTGTCGCCATGGATTGCTTAGGGAAGGTGCCACGATACCAACGGCCTCTCTTTCTCTCCAACTATCTAACTATCAGTCAGCTGCAACGTTGATGAAAGAGAAGGCACGTGACACGCCTGCGACTACTAGCAGTTTATGATCGATGCAAGGTTCGGTTCAATTAAAAACCCGTAGAATGGACTGTTAACCTCAAAGTACCGAATCTTACCGAATCCCCGAAACCATTATTATTGCATTGGGATTTCGGCAGTACCAGATCGAGAAAGTCCGGTGGAGTGGATGGGCAGCACGAAATTCAATAACTATGATTTACTAGAAGAGGCAACTATATTGCCCCTATCAATCACAATACTGACGGGATTCTTGACAAGGCAAATTAATTGAAGACACATCTTGAGTCGCACAATGTAGTGGATGTCATGTTGAGAAACTTGTGTGTGGCTTTGGAATGCGTCACAGCAGCAAAATGGTACTACAATCCCTTACCTACGGAGTACTGTGGTTACTTTTATGCAGGCGGTTTAATTAAAGAACATGTGCACCGGCATGCCAGGGGGGCCGGGGGGGCCTATCATTGTACTTTAAGTGCTAAATACCTAAAGCTTCCACGATATCCATAGCCATTCATCCATTCGCCCATTATCCACACTTCCATCTCACCGTAGAGGAACAACATCATTCCTTTGATCCTGAAGTCGGGACCATCCGCTCCATCATTGTCACTAGTAAGTTGCAATCCTCAGAGCCTCTCACTGGTCCATGGATTGATACGTACCACAGAAATTTAAAGAGGTTCCCTTCGACCCATGTGCTTGAAACTTGAAGAAAACCCCACTTACTCAGCTTTGGAAGATAAGCTTACCCAGCCGACGTTGCCACCAATTGGCACCCACCCATTCTACGATCTCTTCTCCCCCATCGCGTCTATCACTACAGCTTATTCCGGCCGAACCAGTCATACTCAAGAATCCATAGCTCCGTCCAAGCTCATCCTGAGTATTATTGAATAGCTAGCGATCACACTGTGTCAGCTTCTGTTTGGGACACTAATTAACCGGCCAGCTGCTCCCATTTAGACATTACTGATTGAGAGATCCCTGGAACTTGGAAGTTCCACAGCTTTTGATAAAATTGTCGGGCCATCGGGGTTCACTTCCTTAATCAGAAGCTCCATAAGGAAATTCTCCGGATCCAAAAGCATCCAGCGATTGTTCCTTGTGTCTCGAATTCTCAGTTGAGTCATTCTTGGGGGGGGCGCCACGGAAAACCCGCTGCACCCTGTGGCCTTAGCACCGGGACCCGCCAAAAAAAACAACCTTTGCTGAGCGACCACCTCGATTATCACCACCACAAGTCACGCCCCTTCTATTCCTTCGACCTCAACCACCATTCTTTCTTTTGCTTGGAATCTCCTCTCATATCGACGGCTGTCTTGCACTCTCATCTCAATGAGTTCCCCATAAGCCCTGTCTCGTTGACTCAACCTCCTCAATCCGAGCAGCCGCAGCCATCATAATCATGGCTAGCAAGCTCCCCAACATGCGACTCACCTCGATTGCGTCACACAGGACCTTCTCCTCCCTGGCGACGCGATCATCCCCCGCCAACACCATACTCAAGTCTCGACCTTCGAATCCCCTTCACAGCTCGAGATCTCAAGCTTTCCTTCCTAGACCTTTTCTTCAACAGGCTTTCCGTCGTTCCTATGCAGATGCACCCAAGGTTGAGCTTTCTCCAAAGCCCAAGAAACGCTTCAGGTTCTTCCGCAATCTATGGCGCGTCACCTATCTCTCGGTCCTGTTCAGTGTGGGATACACCGGTTATCTGATCTGGGACTTGCGCAACCCTGCTGAACAAGTCGATCCTGATCCGACCAAGAAAACATTGGTTGTCCTTGGTATGTGAACCCCCATCCTGCATCGCTTCTCCTCGTCACTTTACTGATAGCATCATGCAGGCACCGGTTGGGGCTCAGTCTCTCTATTGAAGAACCTCGATACCGAGAACTACAATGTCGTCGTCGTTTCGCCGCGGAACTTCTTCCTCTTCACCCCTCTCCTCCCTTCCTGCACCACCGGTACCATCGAACATCGCTCCATCATGGAACCCATCCGCAACATCCTCCGGCACAAAAAGGCATCTGTGAAATTCTACGAAGCTGAATGCACAAAGATCGACTACGAGAAGAGAGTCGTCTACGCAAAAGACGACTCGGACGTCAAGGGTGATACCATGTCGACCGAAATTCCTTTTGATATGCTCGTCGTTGGCGTAGGAGCTGAGAATGCTACTTTTGGTATTCCGGGTGTCCGTGAACATGCCTGCTTCTTGAAGGAGGTCGGTGATGCTCAAAAGATTCGCAAACAGATTATGGATTGTGTCGAAACTGCCACCTTCAAAGATCAATCTCCCGAAGAAGTCAAACGCTTGTTGCACATGGTTGTTGTCGGTGGTGGTCCCACTGGTGTCGAATTCGCCGGTGAGCTCCAGGACTTTTTCCAGGAAGATCTTCTCAAATGGGTGCCTCAAATCAAAGATGACTTCCATGTCACTCTCGTCGAAGCCCTTCCCAATGTCCTGCCCATGTTTTCCAAGCAATTGATCGAATACACCGAGTCCAGCTTCAAGGAGGAACACATTGATATCCGCACAAAGACCATGGTCAAGAACGTGACCGACAAGTACATCGAAGCCGAGGTCAACAAGCCAGACGGAACCAAAGAGATTGAAAAGATCCCCTACGGTCTCCTCGTTTGGGCCACCGGAAACGCACTCCGCAGCGTGGTCAAGGACTTGATGTCCCAGATTCCCGCCCAGGCAAAAGCTCGTCGTGGTCTTGAAGTCAACGAATACCTCGTCGTCAACGGCGCCGAAAACATCTGGGCCGTGGGCGACTGCGCCGTTGCCAACTATGCACCCACCGCTCAAGTCGCGGCCCAAGAAGGTGCATTCCTCGCCCGTCTGTTCAACACCATGGCCAAGACCGATGCAATTGAAGCCGAGCTGCAAGAGCTTTCTGCCAAACAAGCGACCGCAAACCCCGACGACCGCAAAGTCATTCTCGCAGAAATCTCCGAGCGCCAGAAACAACTCCGCCGCGTCAAGCAGATCGGCCCATTCTCCTACTCCCACCAAGGTTCCCTCGCCTACATCGGGGCCGAAAAGGCCGTCGCCGATGTCAGCTGGTTCAGTGGCAACATCGCCTCTGGCGGTACCATGACCTATCTCTTCTGGAAGAGCGCCTATCTCAGCATGTGTTTTAGCAGTAAGTTCTTATCCCATCATTTACACTCCGTGCCGCCCCAACCAAACTTCATTCCCATCCCCTCGCATGTTCTGACATGATACTAATCTCCTCTTGCACAGCGAGAAATCGTGTCCTCGTTCTCTTCGATTGGGTCAAAGCCAAATTCTTCGGCCGCGACGTGTCGCGAGAGTAAAATCAACCAAGTACCTACCTAGTATCACCAAAACCCTCCCGGGAAATTTCCGCCTGCCATTTCGTATGTCTGACGGATTTTGGGCTGGGCTAGGAGAGCCCCCAGTATGATGCTTGCTGCTATCTTCTCTATCTGTAGTGGTGAATATGGCTTGTGACTTGTGACTTGTACTCCGGGTGGCCCGTTGTCCCTAGCTGGATACATGACCTATGTTGCGAAGGGGTTAGTTGGTTGGCTGGGTTGGTTAGGCGGTTGGTTGGTTGGTTCCAGCCAGACTGACAATGATGAGAAATGGCGTGGACCTTGGTTCTGTACTCTGTTTTTGAGGCTATAGGCTATAAGCTACTATAAGGAATGCGCCTCATCAAAACTTTCATCAAGAACCAAGAGTATTTTGTATTTTGAAATGGATATAACATTATTTCGGTACTGGCCTTCTTCATTAGGATCGCGTGGTTTTTTGCTTCTTCACGTGTCTTTTCGCATATCCGTGGGGATATATGAATGTACTCAGTCGATAGAGCAACTCACATGTGGATTAAGTGTCGTTATGATCGGTTCCTACCTAAGCATATGGTCACATGGTTTGATTGATATAATGTATATGGTGAAATATGCGCATCGAGTTTACTGGCTGCAATTGGTGATTCAGCCTATACAGAATTCTGGTTCCCAACCAGCTACCTAACAACAATACAGCTAGCCTGTCTGCTCCCTTCTGTCTTTTATACATTTTGACGCATCTGGCCAATGGTGTTGGTGAATTGGTCGAGAGATTCGGTGACGGGTGGTAGGATGGCGAGGGGATACATCGATACCCAGTCATGGTTGACATCTTCGACTAGTCGTGAGCTCCCAATTCTACCATCATCATTACCACAGTTTATTATCTGATTCCCTCTTCTTGCCCGCCATATTCTTGCCCGAGGTACGTCTCAATTCCTTGATCTGTTCCAAGGTAACAGCAGGCTTGAAATACAGGCTAGGCAACTCTCCTTCCTTGACCTCATGCGCCAAGTATCCGCGATGTTTTTGGTCACGGTAGTATTCAATGTCACTACGCCCACTGGGGTCAGGTAGTCGGTATGTATATCCCATAGCTTTGGCTCGCTCGACGAAATCATCTGCGCCAGCGACCGTCAAACCTGGTCGACTCAGCATTTTCTGATCCCATCGTAGACTGACGAACGGATGCATTTCGCCGTCGAGGATCCGTCGGATTGCTGAAGGTGTGTAGAATCGTGTGACAACGGTGCCGCCGATGGCTTCGACTGCGGCGATTGCAGATTGAGAAGCTCGTGATACCACAATGTGGATGGGGGTCTTAAGGTCAGAGGCGCCGTCTCCGAGAAGCTTGACTCCTCCGTCGTCAACCCCGTGGATGATGTTGCTAGAGACAATTTCTCGTACGGTGATGGGTTTGCTGGGATCAAGTCGGCCACTGTCGATCCAGGTTTGGATTTTTCCGAGGTTTAATGGAGAGAATGTCGTGCCGTGTCTAGTATTGGCAGGCTCATGTTAGTGGGAGGTGGTCTCATAGCTCCAAGGAGATGAACGAAAAAGTGGCAGGGACAGGTCTTGGAGTTTCTGTGGCCTCGACATGGTGATGTCAATGGCAAGCGAGGGTAAACATACACATTCTTGAAACCATATCTTCCGTGAACAATATGTTCAGGCGTTTGACCACCATTGAACCCAGCAGGAACTTTTCCGTGTTGTTTCTGACCATCGCTTCCTCGTCCGGATTTTCCTCCTTTGCCGGACGCAGGTCCTCGACCGCGTCTGATACGTCTGCTATAGGCTCCAGGCCGATCGGAGAGACTCGCTAGAATTGATGCATGGCGCGACTGCGGCTGTAACTGGGTCTTGCTGTGAAGGAATGGCAGGAGGAAAGATGGAATGGAGGATGGGGTTATTGAAGTTGTGGTCGCAGGGGAGATCGGGGAGAGGCGGAATGGGAGTCGCGGTGGCATGGCTGAGAGAACTCCACTACTCCGTGAGAGCAGGATGTCACAGAGCGGACTGACACCGGTGGTGAGTTTGGACTGGCAAAGGACTGGTAAGCTGGTGACGGGAGGTGTTTGAGGTTTGGGAAAAGTTCCAAAAGTCCAGTTGCTCCAATGCCAAGCAATTTTAGGTAGTTCTCCTTTGGGATTAAATTGGTGCCGCCCTAACTATAACTATTGACCCGCTGGGCCCACCATCCACCTGTCTGAAGTACTTACACGATGGTCTTCGAGGAATAATATTATTGCGAACAAGTCCTTCGTCAAGACAACAATACCGACGGATGAAGTTGTGTGTTACCTTAATTTGGAAGGATAGATGTCATTGCTCTATATGTCATACGCCCTCCCTAGGCGGAGGTAGTTTTCTACTTCGTCTGGTGGATCAACCCTTGCGCTCATTGCGCAGAAAAGTTCCAACAGGAGCTCTAACGGAAAGGAGAATCTAGCACCACCCTTAAATGGATATGTGGACAGTTCAGGTGGGCGTTCAAAACCTAAACGACCCATGAGGCGCTGCAGAAGATGAAGCTTATGACCTTATCCGGTGGTCTCTTAGACCAGGTACAATGTCCAGTCTTTGTGGGCGACGCGGAGGCTGATCTCTACGTTGCTGCGGCTCAGTCCCCTCTTGGGGCAGTGGCCTCGGACAAGAGGGCGACGTATAAGCATTTTACGAAGGCTGAACCTGCTGATGCTCATTGCAATCTTGGTGCCATGGCTTTCCAGAACCAGGTCTTGTTCAAGTGGTTGGACCAGCAGATCAATCTGCCAAAATGACTGCTTGTCACGTCAAATGTGCTTACTACATTTAGCATCTGTTAGTACAGGCAGGGCTTCTGTAAATCCATTTCCAATTACCAGATGTGATGCATAGGTAAGTTCTCTTGGCGACATGTACTAATGTGACTGTTTGTTCCTTATGCTGTGCATAAAGTGTGTTAAAGCAGAACCAACACATATGAGTCTATCTCTTCAAAAGTGAGTCGGACCTCGGAGTTTCAATTCTATGTCCATCGTGAACCTAAAGTGTTCGCTCAGCCTTACCAAAATAGGGGCCGAGGGGCTCCCTCCCTCCAACACATGTCGTACAGACTTCTACCTAATTGATTTCGAAGGGCGGGCAAGTAGCAGGTCTAGACCAAGGCCATAATGACAGTCTATCCTTAGTTTTGCATGCGTCGGCACCTCGGTGCACCAGGCTTGTTGACCCTCACGCCCTGTTCCTGATCATTCGTCTTTCATGGGCCGCTTCCACCGGAGTCGACCTGTCGAACATGAATTGGATATTTCTTGGACTGAGCAATTCAAGAGCAAGAAAATTTGTCATGAGGAGACTGGCTGAAGTTAACGAACGAGATGACAAGGACCCTCGTATTTTGATCCGTCCTTTGTCCGTCAACGCTGGCATTCATTCCGTATACGGGGTTCGATACACTTTCATGGTTAGCCTCTCAGAGCGACCCCACCATCCCCAGATCCATTCCTGTGGGTCTGGGGGCATCAGAGCTGGGGCCGAGGGGGCATGGCCGAGAAGATGCAAGTGTATTCAACTCTCCTGAAGTCTCTGCTCGACGCCGTCAGGTGAGATGTGCTTTCCAATATACGTTTGTAGTGAAAATTCTGGGCACCGTAGAGTCTATATATATATAGACATGCCTTTCTCACAAAGTCGGAGGTAAAAGGTCTGACCTATTTCATCACCATGAATACCGCTACTCCATGCCAGCAGCCGGAACTGAATTATGCTGATGAAAAAGACCCTACGGTCACCGAAATGGAGGCTGCTACGATGTCTCCAGACGAGGACCGGAAGCTTATAAGACGACTTGACTTGTGGTAAGGGTTGTCCAGTCCAGCAGAAAGGGGCATTTCATCCTTTGACCGCAAATACACACAGCCTTTGTCCCTCAATGCCACCTTCAATGACACTTCAACATATGGACAAAAAAGCACTTCCTGCTGCTTCTCTCCTGGGCATCATTCAAGATCTCGTAATTTGTTCCCGCCTCTCGTCCCAACATCTCAGCACTCACATACCCACACAGAACATGGCTGGTGGTCAATATTCATGGACCAGCTCAATCTTCTGGTTCTGGTGTCTTTGCTTCACATATTTTACGCCGTATCTCATGGTCCGCTGGCCTATCGGCAAAGTTCTCTATTTCACCTTGTGAGCTAGACCAGCTCTTGCGGAAACACTCACAGACTCTGACAACTGTATTATTGGCTGGGCAATAACCATCGGATGCCATACAGCTATCAAGAACTTTGGAGGTCTCATGGACGTTCGAGCTTTACTAGGGGCAGCGGAGGTAGCAGCTATCCCAGGCTTCAGCCTCTTGACAGGCATGTACTATTCACGAAAAGAACATGCCCTCAGACACGGCTTTTGGTTCATAGAGAACTCCCTCGGTATCATGCTCGCCGGCATTCTTTCATTTGGAATAGCCCATATCAAAACAAGTATTGGTGCCTGGAGGGTGCGTCTCTTTCTAGAATTTCGCTGGTCTCAATCATCTCACGGTATAACAGTGGCTTCTCGTTGCTCCTGCCATTATCACGTTTATATAGGCAATTGTAATATTCTTCTTCCTTCCTGACACCCCTGGAAACGCGAAGTTCTTATCGGGACCCCAAAAAGTGCGTGCGGTTAAACGGCTCCGTTGTAATCAGATGGTTGTTAAGAACAACGAGTTCTAATGGAATTAATTTCGAGAGGCGTTGCTGAACCGGTCTGGCTACTCTGCTTCTACCTCCTTGCTGTGTTAATATATCGCAGCTCCATCGCCGCGGTAAGACCCTTTAGCTTGAGCACGAATGAGTAATACCTACTGACAGAATCTCAGTTCTCTCAGATCATTCTCGTCGGATTGGGTTTTGATGTGTACCAGGCCAACCTGTTTCTAATCGCCATAGGTGCCATTCATGGTCTCTTCGGCATCATCGCCACCTATATCTGCTCCAGATTCCGAAACATTCGGTGCATCACAAGTGCCATCCTGTGCTCAATGAGGTTTGTTGATCCAGTCGATTGAAAGATGACGAAGCTTGTCTGATCAAATCAATAAGCCTTATAAGTGCTCTGCTGGTGCAGTTTAGCCCAAATCTTAGAAGTAGGCTCTTTGGGTTCCTGATCTTTTAGGCCTACCCTTGCACGGTCGCCATTGCATTTTCCATAATAGCCTCTAACGTCGCAGGTTTCACCAAGAAGAGCGTTGCGACGTCTATGGCGACTGTCGGATATTGTGCGGGCAATATGATCGGTCCATCCCTGTTCTTCCCTCGGGAGTCGCCCAAGTATCTGGTATTTATTAGTCTAGTCAAAGGATCACACAGGTGCTAACGGCTTTCCTTAGAGTGGTTTCACTGCGACAGCTACCTGTTTTGGCATCGGAGTAGTTATCATGCTGACATTGTTGGTTATTCTGCGACATGGGAACAAGCGCAGGGACAAATCATTTGGCGTGGTCGATCAGTCCACTCTTGCCCGGCTGGAGGAAGATGTTATCGCGACTAATCGCGCTGATATTGAAAAGAAATCTTTCCGATACATGATTTGATAGTCAAATGACCCGCATCGGGTGACTAGCAGCAAACTCTGGCGGCGAATAGTGGAGGTGCCAACACGGTCGTCCAGCGTTTAAATGTTGGCTTGGAGATAAGAGAAGTCGATCTTAGGAGGAACGATTGAGGTCAGGGTTCTGAAGAATGATTGATCCGTAGCCGATTGTGAGGCGGAATTTCTGATACATCGTCGAAAGCGTGCGAACGCAGAGCACGCCAACAGTAGCAGAAATTCTATCTACTGATTTAAAACTGCGTAGTAGCAGCATCCCAAATTACAATACCTAGATCAAGTGACAATCATGCTGGATAAGTTATCCCTCAGAGAATGACACGTGTCAATGATAGACGAGAGAATGACAGATAATGAGACTGGAGGTGTTTCATGACAGATTTCTTGTCCCACGAGCTCCGTGCGACAGAAGGTTCAGATTTTGACTGCGGCCAATCGCCCCTGCCGAATTTCTTTTGGACAATCAAAAGCAACCATTTTTCACGACAGCCCCGAACCCGGGGCGTTTCCACTCAGCACTGGATGGCTGTGTTGTCCGGCAATAGAAATCAGGCCATTCACCAAATCAGCCTGTTTTGGAGCTAACCCTCGTCGGCTCGGTGTCACTCCGAGAGAGCATTCTCAGGTCATCAGTATGTGGTCCCAGTCTCAGGGGAAGGAATGCACCCTTTCCAGTGTCTTTTCAGACGACCGGTCTGGTTAAACTTCAGGATATGCATGGCCCATATTCGTCCCCGCCATTGACATTGTGGAGGCGAAAGGCTTTTCGACACTCAGCAAGGAAAGTCGAGATCATGAACAAGGGTCTAACTGGGGACCCCTCTCCAGTTGTTAGAGCATAGCAAGATGGAGGGAAAAACACCACCCAGCCCGACATGATCTTGAATCTGTGTCCCCGATGACATGCCCGTCGTTGCACTGAATCTGGCTGGGTTTTCCATGTGAAACGCTGGCATAGTTGCGCCTAACGCTTGAATCCTCCATTCCGCCGAAACGCATGGGTTATAACAAGCAACCTCGGTGATCTTGAAGTTGAGATCTATAGGCGAAACGAAATAGTTCCACCACGGGTGTCCCATGTGTGGCCCGTGGCGTATTTTCCCCTCTTTTTCTTATAGAAAAAGGCTGCCAAACGGTCCAAAAGGGGGTCCTGCCCCGGTCATACATGGCCTTGGTTGCGCTGCATAAGACATGTTATCAATGCTGCATGGTATATCTCGGTGAAGATGACCAATCCAGACTTAGGAGTATGAAAACAATAACGGATTCTAGAAGAAAACGGTCAAATAGCCCTACTGGCAATGCAAGTTAAGGTTTGATTGTCAACCATGATACTCATTTCCGTGCCATCTATCTGCCGCGAACGGACTTCTGACTCCGTCCCCAGCTTCCCCCCAGCGGGAGGGCGTTCGGATGAATGGAGAGGACTGAGATAGGCGGTCATACCGCGGGGCCAAGAATCCATGACCCAGTAAATGATAGCAGGAGAGCATGTCCCAACAGATTCATCACACGGCAGTTGGCCACGGAGATGCTTTCAGCCAAAGGGGGAGGAGTGCCAAGAGGACATCTTTCTAGAAGTCGACCCACCTCCGACAGCCAACATTCTGGAAGGATGCCTGCCTGCCAAGGACCCCACTCGGCCTGCACTCTCGTAGGTTGATTACTAGAGATCATTGGAGAAGCCTCTAATTCGAACGTCTTTCTGGCAATTGCTTCTTGGTCAACACAAGGCTCAGGCGAATCTTGGCCCACTAGGATCAAGGAGTTGATGTGCTTGGTCAGATTTAGCCGCTTGAAAAGAGGCTACGGACCTCCGTGCATACAGTATTCAGATCTGAACTACTGTACATAGTAGGACAGGAAGCCTCTTCCAATTGCAGCGAGAGACTATACCAGAACAGTGATTGGCCGCATTATACTGGTCTATGACATGGGTCCTATGATCTACGCGTACTCCGTAAATGTACCTTCCACCGCCGTTAGACGTGAGCGGAGGGGGAAGGCGCTTTACTGGTAAGGGGTTTCTTGGGGAATCACTTCTTGGCAGCATTGGCGGACTTGGCAGTCGACAGACGTCACAGCCTCCTCCTCCTCCTCCTCCTCCTTGAATCTTCATATCATATCAACAAGAACTGTAGCAAAGTGTCGACAACGCGTCCTAAGATGAATTACGATGAGAGATCATGTATTGCTTCTACACACTCTACATTTGACAAGGTTGAAATGCCATCCTTCGTTTCTGTTGACCGACAAATTTGCTGTTTGCACCATTAGCATGCCCAGTCCAGAGCCGAGACTTGTTGCTCCTCTTATCATCTCTTGGCTAATCACCAATGATGCAACACGACAGGAGGATCAGATCTGCTGCAACGCTGCTTTTCCCAGTTCGCCTACGTAGGAGGCTTCTTCCTTTGGCCCGTCGAAGCTCACCTTGCTTGGCCTTTGACCCGGCGTGGCACTCAACAATGTCATGGGCGGGAGTTCATTACAGCTGCCAAGCTATCCCAGACCCAGAGACAATCACTGTGCGGAGATCCATATCGTCATTAGCGCGATCCCTGCCTCAAATAATGCGACCGTGGAACAGCATGGGGACGGAGGCAAAACCCATGGCGATTGCACTAGCGTAAGCATCAAGGTGGGCACGCGGATAGCAACATGGACGCCGTGGAGATTCAACAGACGTCGAATCTCGCAATCTTTGTGTTCATGTTGTGTCATATTGGTTGTTGATGTGGATCTCTGCCTCAAGGAAACCCTGAACACCCATGTCCTCGTCTTTCGTCCATTGAGCCCCCGGTCGTTTGCGAACAGGCGTAAATGATGTCCCGTGAATCCCTTGATTCATCTGGGGCCCCAGAAAGAGACCCCGTCCCTCCGTCTCAAGGTTATCAGTTCTCCCCTACCTCAACGGTCTATATAAGAGAGGCCTCCGCCTCAGGACCCTTTTCCCATCAGAGAGAACTTTCTGGCTATCACCGTCTCTGTGAACCAGAACCAATCCACTCCACTTTGAACAATGACGGCACCAACACCATCGGATATGACAACGCCAGATTTCTCCAAGTCGCACGCGATGGCACCAAAGCATAAGTCATCGGACGACGCAAGACCAGAGTATCATCCGTCGGATTCGAATGAGGGCACGTTGAACAACGAGAAGATCGATATTCCCAAAGATGAGGACGACTCCTCAGTCCATATCGAGGCTGCCTTGCCTAGTGCCGACCGCATGGTGGTCGATAAGGCTACTGAAAGAGCTGTTTTGAGGAAGTTGGATTACCGTATCGTGCCCATGGTCATGTGGGTTTATCTCATGAACATGATGGATCGAGGTCAGTACTTCAGTCATCGCAAGCCATGGAGCCAAATGGACTAGGCTGACAATATTCGCGCTACAGTCAACATTGGCAATGCTCGTCTCTTCCGTCTCGAGGAAGATCTTGGATTGCAGGGGAATCAATTCCAGATGGCAGTATCACTGCTCTTCGTCACCTACTGTGTAAGTTTTATCCTCCTCCTTGACACCATTATCAGGTAACTGATTCACTCAAAAGCTGTTTGAAGCCCCATCCAACATGATCATCAAGAAGCTGCAACCCGCACGCTATCTTGCAGGGTTGACCATTGCATGGGGTTTCGTGGCGACCTTTGGCGCCTTTGTCAACAGCTTTGGCTCGCTGGTCGCTGTTCGCTTGCTCCTTGGATTGTTTGAGGCTGGGTTCTTTCCCGGTGTGGTTCTATATCTGTCCATGTTCTACGGCCGCCGAAGCTTGGCCCTTCGCATTGCCTATTTCTACTCAACGGCTGCGATCTCAGGTCTTTGTGGTGGTATCGTGGCCTACGGCATTGGTCACATGGACGGTGCCGCTGGCTGGAGCGCATGGAGATGGATCATTCTCATCAACGGTGCTCCTACTATCATCACCGGCATGGTCATTCCATTCGTGCTCCCCAACTCGCCCGAGACCGCCAAGTTCCTCTCTGAAAAAGATCGCGAGGTCCTAGTCCAAGTCCACGAGGCACAACTTGGTCGTGCCAGGAACCTGCGCCATATGGAATGGCCTGATGTCAAGGACGGTATGAAGGACTGGACTACCTGGGCATACTGCTTCGCCCTTTTCCCATTGTTGACTATGCTATACTCCTTTGTCGTCTTCCTCCCAACCATCATCAACGACATGGGCGCTGGCTGGAGTCCTACTGTGGTTCAGGCAATGACTGTTCCCGTTTACGCTTTCGGTGCCATCATCTACCTCATCTGCGCACGCGCTTCAGATGTTACACAACGCCGGGGTTACTTCATCATTGGCGCTATTATCTCATCTATGGCCGGCTATGGCATGCTACTCTCCAACAATGGCACCGCCACCTCGTATGCCGGAACGTTCTTCGTCGCCGTCGGCATCTTCACCGGCGCTGGCATCTCATTCGCATGGGTTCCAACCAACAACCCCCGCTATGGCAAGCGTGCCTTTTCCACAGGAATGCACCTGACAATTGGTAATTCCTCCGGCGTGGCATCTCCCTTCCTCTTTGACAGCAGCTTCGCTCCAACATTCAGAGTCAGCTATGCTGCATCACTTGGACTTCTCAGCGTCTCGCTCCTTCTCAACATCATTCTCCATCTCCACTTCAAGAGACAAAACAAACTGCGTGATGAAGGCAAGCAAGACCATCTCATGGAAGGCCTCACAGACATTGAAATCGAGGGACTTGGCGAGAAGAGCCCCCGATTCCGATTTGCAATTTAAACCCGACGGCGAAGGGAAACCATGTTGTTAAATCTACTTCTCCAGAATATGATGCCTTGTCACAGAGGCATGGATTGGGTAGCGGGACACCCCTCCAGATGGTGGTATCTATGAACTGGCACGCACCAACAGATTGTTACACAGCAGAGCGTACATGATGGCAGGCAAGCAACCCCACCACGGGGTGGATGTATGAGGCATGCCAGACGATTTTCTATCTTCCTGTCTGTTTGACTTCCCATGACCCAAATCTTCTGCAGCTGGGGACGTTGAGGCACAGTGGCTATTCAGACTAAGTTAAGCGATAGACGATTTTTTGATACAAATTGCAACTATCTGAAGTTTGAACCCAGATCTTCCGTTCTGCATGTCTTGGTCAGTGGCTTCTCTCTCGCCATGTGTCCCGCAATCTAGCGGTAAAGCGTGTCTCACGTCGATCAATTACGTCACTGGGAGATTTCCTACTCTTTTGAGGCTTCGCCTCGAGCCCACTGTCGCAGTAACCCATCATAGAAGAAGCGAAATTGGGGGCCAATTTGACAAGGCTGGGCAGTCCAACGGCCTTCAAATGATCGCCCAAAGTGTGGTTAGTTAGTCATACTGGTCTCACTACTATTATGTTTTGGTTTTCGTGATGCGTGCTACTTTTCGATGGTGGAAACCCATGGCTTTCGTCATATTAGGCTTTGGTGTTGGTAATTGGCGTTGGTAGCGTTGCTTGGCCGGCTTGGAGTGTGGCTCTGTCACAGCATGAGAACAGAGAGGGGAAGAGAGAGGCACAGAGGGCAGTGAAAAAAGCCAAGATGTCAAGAACTCGAGAATTCGAGATGAACAGAGATGTCCTCGATGGATAAATAATAGCCTGAGAGATACAGAGTTCGGGCATCGAGTGGAGTTTCTGTGACGCCATATCCATACAAAACCTCATACTCAAATAGTACAAAGACGTTTGAGCCTCGTCGATCATGAACTCAAATCGGTGTGGATTTATGTGTGTGTGTGTGCATTTTTCGGGATCGGAGATCTAATTGAACGAATTGAATATGTTCAGCACTTGGTTTTCACCTCAAGCATCCGTTGGCATCGTGGAATAATGCGTTGACGACCAATTTCTAAGCGTCTTCCTTCGCTTGAACCAGTGGCACGAGTGAAGTTCTACGAATGACTCCATCCTTGTCGTCATATGTAGACTGCCATGACCGCTAAGCAAAGATCTGGCTGGTAGGGATGTAGGTAAACATGACTTTTCTTTTCTTCTTTTCACTGTCAGGTGTGCAATTCCAACCGATGGCAATCGAACATCACCTATTTCTGACGTGGCCCACCATGAGGCTCTGACAAACGTTTTCGTACTGCACCCCATGACATCGCAGAACTCGCTCTAGAGGTGATTTAGACTGCCATGAGGTCTTCAGGAAATGAGAAACTCAAAATCATGACATAATCAAGAAACAAATTCATCGTTGATTCGTCCTTTCGGTGGGTGAGGTCTCAACTACCGGTACGCAAGTGCATACGGAGTACATTCTCTCAAGCCATATCCGGAAGCTACAAAAGTAAAACCTTAGTTTCGTGAAAGTCTGTCTGGGGTTTCTTTCGTCACCTGGCCCTTCCCAGACCTCTCCAAGCCCAAGACTCTGAACCTGATTCTGACCTCATACCTACTCTGTCTCTTTCACAAGATCGAGCCCCTGACTGATCGCTGGCTCGCTGGCCGAAAAGAGTATGGTACACTTCTTACCTAATTAGCTCAGGTACTCTGGTACTGTACTGTTTGTGGCAATCACCAGAGGATGTGACTGAAATCATTGATCATGTCTCCCTTGTCTCTTCCAGTGCTTGCTACGACACGAGACTTGTGTTGTAGAGAAAATGACTACCGCTCTAAGCTTCTGGTCGTTGGCCTGCACCCATTGCCCATTTATTTCCCCATCGAGCTATCTTGAATGAGCTTGGCGGACGACATGGTATAGAGGTCCTTAATTGGGACCTCCAGAACACGGTGTAATATGATCCACGTAGAGATCTAGACTACGTTTTCTACGAATGTTGTAAGACCAGGCGTTTCATGCATGTCTCCACCGCAAGGATTTAACTTTCCTACTCCTTTGGTGGCCTGATCTGATCCGGCGGGGCGGAACAATCGGCGGAGCGGATGGCGGAAGGTTTATTAATATGGATCATGTCATGACTACAGTCCTTCGCGCACCAGTAAGACAGATTTTACACCAAAGCATCGCTTATTGGCTACGACTAAGTACAGAAGGGTATGTATATAACAATCGACGTCAAGGGGTTTTGGACTGCTCAGTATGCCAAACATGAACATTGGCAGGAAAATCGCCCTTGGTTTTAATGATAAACAGACGATCGCTCTCGGCTAAAGCGGTTAGCCGAATGATCCAAACATGCGTTGCCGTTGTAGGTCGAGAAACCATCCTATAATTGGGACTTATCCCTTGATAATGCACATCATATTGTATCTTCATTTCCATCCACCGATGCCCCATCGGCCCTCTTCGCCGGCATCGTATTTGTCCAATTCACTTCCGTCACCGGAATACCCAATATAGTCGCGGTTATCATCAATCAAACGTCCGTACTCGAGAAGTAGTCGAAACATGTATACTTCAATGTCTTCGCGCCTCAGGGATTTGTTGGCCCATTCTCGGCCTTGCTTGGCCAGTGTTTGAGCTTCTTTGGCATGTGGGGGAACGTAGACTTGAGGGTTGGCATCTCCAGCTTCCAAAGCATGTTCCATGTTGGGACTGCCATAGCCAATGAAATACGTCAGTAGAGAATATAGATCATCATAGCGGTTGTCGACAGGGACAAAGTGACGCCAAGCAAACAGTCTGCTGTCGTGCCATTCTCGGAAAATAGTGGCCTTTAATCCCAAACTCTTGCTTTGTAAGAATGCATGCCATCTACCCGAGAACGAGTGACCGTCAATATCGATCAAGTATCTCGACTTGAATTGTGATGTAAGAGGAACCTGGGGTTTCCACGAGAAGATGTTGTTGTAGAAACTACAATTTGGCACGCAGCCCCAGGCTTCCACAAAGCCTATGTCGCTATGTTCGTTGGCGAATTGGGATGGCTCGAAGTTTGCCACCGGTTCATAGGAGCTGTTTTGAGGAGTGGTCCCAGCCCGTTTCTGAGACAAAATCTTGGCTGTGACACCAGCCTCCTTGACATAAGTACCGTTGGACAATTGCACTAGTCGCTGTCGATGCATGGTAGCCCAATTGCTGGATAATTGGACACCGCCTGAGGTGACTCCACGCCAAATAATGTCGTTCTTCTTATCACGCCAATCCACATCATCCTTCGGGTCGTAGTCGTAGCGGACGTCATGTCGATAATACATGTTGGCGGGGAATAAAATGTCATTGTTGACGTTGACCTTGCATTCGCCAAATATGGGCACGAGTTTATGGGATACAATCATGCTGCTGGCGGAATATAGCATCCCATGAAGATCTTGGATGGTAGGGCCGACTGTGCATAAGTCCGATGAAAGATTGAAATTCTTGACAATCCCAGACAAGGGATCTTTGTACAAGGCGTCCGCCTCTGCAATGGTCAAGTTAGCCCTGGCCGGAGATTCTGGGGGGCAGGCTTTGGATGCGACATCCATGTACTGCTGCCCAGGTCGGAAGAACCAACCACCGTCCAGGCGGGTGGATGGGTCGTCCTTGGGATCTTCGATGGTAAAGTCCAAAAATTCCGACTGATCAACGGTGAAGCTGTCCAAGACTTCAGGAGGCATGGCTCGAGATTCGTATTCTCGATTGAGCATTTCCTGCAGATCCTCCCAAGGCACTAGAAGACGGGGTTGGTCGAGCCGGTTCATGGCAATGTCCATGTCTGGTAAATACTTGATAAAAGTATCGATCACCTTGACCATTGTTTCTGATCTCCAACTACCGTTCAGAACGTTGGCCACCTTGTGCTTGCGAATGCTGATGACTGCAGCCCCAAATTTAGGATTCTCGGCCATGTGAGCTGCATGGATCCGAATATCGGATGCATTGACGGACCAGAATGGACGAAGATCGTCCATGATTTGTTGGAAGTCGTCAATATTGAAGACATTGCGCTCGCGAGCAAACTTGTACCAGTCCTTGAATCCTGGAGGAGGATGTCTTCCATGTGTGCTTCGGTACTTTTCCACTGTCTGTCGAAATGTGGTAGAGACACTACTCTCATATATCCTCCATTGTTTGTCGGCGTCTTCCATCATCTGCGCGATGGGATGGGAGTCGAGAGTCGCCTTGACGGGAGTCGCAGGTTGCTTGGGGTTGTGTGGAGGAGCTGCGCCATCGTCGGATGTTGATGGTGACGAAGGCGCAGGAGGTGGAGGCGGCGCTTCAGCTTCGTCCGGATCGTCAAGATCCCAGATATCGTCATCATCCTCTTCGAAGGGGACATGTGGTGTGTGGCCAGTAGGGGTCAGGTTTATGGGCAGAGGAATGTGGGCGGCCGCGTCTTTGAGACTGTCGTGAAAGGTCAAGCCGTTGAGGAGAATGACAAACGCGATGACGGCTGCTACAAGGATGAGTATCCGCCTTTTGTTGAACTCGATAGGACCCATGATTATTCTCAAGTAGTATTGTATCCGTAGGTTGGGGCAGGCCCTCTAGGTTGGGGTTGAATCAGGACATGCGAAGGATTGATCGTTCGAGGACGGGAGTGGTGTTGGAACCAGCCAACAATTATGACGATGGTACCATGACTCTAATGGAGACTCTCACAGATTTGAAGGAGGTCAAGAAATGAGGCTGAAAATCCCAGTTAGGGTTGGCGAGGATGAGGAATGAATTGTGTCGGAAATCTGAACAGATACGACGTAGCTTGATGGAAAAGGCCAAAATCCCTCTGTCTAGCAGCCCCTGATGGCTATCAAGCGATGGCCTAGGGGGCCCATAAGAGCCTGGAGTCCCAATTATGTAACCCCTCCGAGAATTTTCTGGGGGGAGTTGGAACTGGTTCAATAGGCGTGGCAGGCGTGGCAGGACAAGCCCCTCGGCCCAACCACAGGACCCAGATTTTGCTGCTTAATTCTGAGCTCTTTGATTGCTCATTGGCCAAGGAGTTGACCAGGTGGCGGCAGCGGAGGCGTGCCTGAGTTCGCCTGGGCCTTGACATGTTTTTATCCACGAGGGATCCAATTTTCAAATGTGGGGGCTGTTTTGCCGCCTACTTATTAGTATCGTTAGAAAGCTTGCTCTTTAGGTCTGCACGTAGGCGACGGAAAGATCCCCTTGGGTACTCGGTAGCGCTGGGTCGTGGCCTGATCTCCCCACATCACACACAACCCCAGAAGAGGTAAGTAGTCCACTACCTGGTACTGTATAGTATCTACTTAAGTAAGGTATCTACCAGACTCATGAGAAAGAAAGACATGGCTTCACAGCCTGGCTATTGCTCTCCAGAAAATATTCATCATCATCATATCTCATGTCAATATGCGCTACTTCTTCAACTTTCTTTTTAATCGCTTTTCGGCCCTGACATCCTTCTTCAATCGGGGATCCACAATCTTGTACTTGCCTTTGACGCCTCGAGGTCGACCAGCAATACCGCGATTGCCACCACGTGCAACCACCAACTTGACCTTTTCTTTGGGTTTCCCCTTCTTGGTTGCTCTCTTGATCATCCTCTCAATCATGCCAACCTTGTCCTTCTCGCTGACTCCTTCGTCCTCCATCAGCAATGCCGATTTCTTCTTCAACTTTTCTAGACGTGCTGCCGCCCTCATCTTCTTCCTTCCCTTGGCTTCCATCACCTTTTTGATCGGCCGGGCGTTCAACGCTCGTAGCTTTTCCTTGATTGCTGCCGCTGCGGCGGCACTGATGGGTCGATGGGGCTTCGAATGATGGTTTTCATCGTCCAAAAACCACTCTGGTAAACCATCCGTATCACGTAACGTGTACTTGTTGAACCCGTCGTCAATAAGATCGGATGCTTTGACCTTTTTAGTCGCCAATGACTGCGCTAGAGTCATGGCCTCTGCCGTGATGATGTCCACATCAAGTTGACCGTTGGGGAGGAGAGGGTCCTCCGGTCGATTTGATGGCACCGTAGCCGATGGAATCACACTCTCATCTTCTGAATCAGACTCCTCCGCTGCAGATTTGCCGGACGATTTCAAAGCTGACTTGAGAGGTTTTGCGGTCGCTCCTGCTGTTGGCTTAGTCGATTTGCTGGCCCCAGTTTTTGTTCCTGATTGGTCGGACGATTCATCTTCCAGTTCAATCGCACTATCGTTGTCTTCTTGATCTCCTTCAATTCCCAGATCTTGAAAGATATCTTGGTCAAAGAACATGGCCGCTTTCATTGAGAGGCCTTCAGCAGATGGGAGTTGATGCATCCCGTAACCATCCTCATCATCAAACTCTCCATCAGTTTCAGCGCCTTCTTCTTTGTCTTCATCTGACAGACCTCCCCATTCGTCTGTTTCCTTTTCCTTTCTCGCCTTCTTCGCCCTAGCCTTGGCATCGTTCTCTTGTCTCTTTTCTTGGAAGGATTCATACATGGCGTCAAGCTCTCGCTCCAACCGGTCGCCGTCATCGTCAGAATCCTCGTCGGTTTCTTCCATCTCTGAATCATCCGAGTCGAGGTCTTCTACATCTTCCATCCTTCCTGTGGAAATTCTGGTCGGGTCCTTTGCTTTTTCTGCCGATTTGATTTGAAACATGGACCCTTCGCCTGCGGGACCTTGTTGTTCAAGTCCTATGTCGTGCGGGGTTGTCATGTGCATCTGCATTCTGATGATCTCCTTGCGTTTCTGCTCATTCTCCTTGCGACGCTCTTTTTTCTTTTCCTTGGTGTTCATGTCCCTGATGCGTTGCAATTCTTCCTGGACCTTGAGTTCCTCGTCCATCGACTCTACCTCTGCTACCTCATCTCCCTCGCCACCTCTGTCTTGTGGCTTTTGGGCCTCCTCTGCTTGCGCCTTTAGTGCTTTGCTCGACATGCCGAACTTGTCCCGGACTTTGAGACGCCATCTGAGTAATGAGCGGAACTCTTTCTTGCCCAAGACTTTTAAATCAGCGCAACACTGGCGGATCTCGGCTGTGGTCTCTGGCAATCGGTCTAGAGTTGCAAGTGCCAAATCACCGTTGTCCGTTTGTTCAAAACTCAACTTGTTGACTGTGCCGAGGATGGCGATAGGATCAGTGGTGTGGATAAATTCGCTCACGGGGACTTCCTTATGCTGAGTGTAATCTCCTTCCTCGTAGCCTTCTCGTTTCCGCTTCTTCTTCTCCGGATTAAAGACTTTGGCTTCGTTATTGGGAGTGGGAGCTTGTAGTTCTGCAAAGACATGTTTGGGGTCGAGGAATTTAGGATCAAGTCTCTTAGGTGCTTTGAAGCCTCTACAGACGACAAATATTTCGGCCGAGACATTTCTCGATGAAGGAGGCTTGGTTGCTTCGACCGTTGTAAAAAGCTGCTTGAACACCCATAGAAGGGCATTGTAATCCTTGGATCGGAACACCTTTGTTACAAATGTACCTCCTTCTTTCAAAAACTCAGTGGCCAACTTCATAGACTGTAAAACGAGTTCTGCCTGGGAGAATGCATCTTGCACCCAAGCGACACCAACGTTGGGGGCGCCATCGTGCAAGACCGTATCACACTTGAGATGTTTGATGTGTTGTCTGATGGTGGCTCGGCATTTGTCTGTAGTAATATCGCTCTGGAAGGAAATGACTCGAGGAATGGCTTTGATGGGTGCAAGGTCGACGCCAATGATGAGACTGCCTGTCGGCATGGTCTCTGCAGCAACTTGACACCATGACCCTGGGGCGGCGCAGAGATCGAGGAGGACCTTTGACTTTTCGAGGAAGCCATATTTCTTATTCAGTTGGATCAACTTGAATGCTGCACGGGCTCGGTATCCCTTCTCTTTGGCTAGTTTGTACCATTTGTCTAGAAATCGTCAGTAATTGCCCTCTGCAAGTTTGCGGTTGCAGAGAATTTCAACATACCGAGACGACCCTTTCCGTGCTTCTTCTGAATTGCCATGGCTGTAGATAAGACCACAACAACTACAGAGTCGGCTCTCAAATGTCCACTGGTTTGGGTGGTCCTAAAGGTGGGCTGCGTCAAGAGAATCTATGGGCAAAAGTTTCCCAAGCGACAGAAATTTGAGAGTCGAAGTCATGTGGTCCCGAGGATTAGCCGCATCGATTTTGCGCAGCCTTGCCAAACCTCAAGGCTCAGCCTTATGCTTCCCCTCCTTCTTTACTCTGAAGTGTCCTTTGGTCCTTCCAGTGCCTGTAAATCTTAACGCCAGGTGGCTGTCACCCCTGGCATACCTTCTATCTCTTATCCGACAACATTTTTACTATTCTCTCCATTGTTATCCTCCCTTGTGTTACAAGATATCTGAAGAACCGTGATTGGAGACTCAGTCTATCAAGTGGTGGCTATGCACTGTGCTCTTGTGCAACACTCCCAGAGACTATTTTGTTGCATTAATTCAACGTATCACCCTTTCAGAGTCATGAGAAATTCTCATGATCTGGGATTTCAATCATCATAGATACGTGTCTTCCCGTCTTGACCTCAGAGTAGGGGCGCCTCCATCTGCAAGTCAATAGGGGCTGCGTCTGACAATAAGTTAAACCCTCTTCTTGTTGGGAACACGCGTCAGGTTCGACAATTCACCGCGAGGCAGAGGCCGTTCCTTCCCCTGAATGCTTGCCCGCACCCAAGTCCTGGTCTTGTCAGACAAATACTTTTAATTTCCACATCTCCCCAATTCTCCCTGCGCCTTCAACTTCTTTTCCTCGCAATCATGCCTGCTTCCAAACCCGACGACCGATCCGGAATCTGGTCTTACGTTCCTTTCGGTTCCTCTCCTCGACGACGCTCTGTCTCTGGCGCTCTGCCTACTCGCAACGGCTCAGCCAACACTCCCTGGGACCCATTCGAAAAGTCCGATCGTCAAGTCGGCCGCCCACCCTCAAAACTGGATTCCATCAAACACGCCTGGATGACGCAAAGTCGTCAGGCTCGATACCTCAAGACAGGCGGAGTCCTTTCTCTAATCGTCTTGTTGTATCTTTTCCTCTTCAATGGCGGTTCCAACACTTATGCGGGCGGCAACAATGTATATACTTCGGCCACCTCCCCCACCTCCAAATGCACAAAGCCCCATGAGCTTTCCAAACCTCTGGTGCAATATGCCATCATGATAGATGCCGGGAGCACAGGCAGTCGTATTCACGTGTACAAGTTCAACAACTGTGGGCCCACACCAGAATTGGAAAGTGAAGAGTTCAAGATGACCGAGAAAAAGCCAGAGGGTTCTGGCTTGAGTTCGTACAAAAGCGATGCTGAAGGCGCAGCAAAGAGTCTGGATCCCCTGCTCGAAGTTGCCCTCAAGACGGTCCCAGATGATTATAAAGCGTGCACTCCAATCGCGGTCAAGGCCACCGCGGGTCTGCGTCTTCTGGGCGACGAGATGAGTCAAAAGATCTTGGACGCAGTAAGGACTCGTCTCGAGACTGTCTACCCCTTCCCCGTGGTGTCCAAGGAAAAGGGTGGTGTTGAGATCATGAAAGGTGAAGACGAAGGGGTCTTTGCCTGGATCACGACTAATTACCTCCTGGGCAAAATCGGCGGCCCAGATCATACCCCTACAGCTGCAATCTTTGATCTTGGGGGCGGCTCAACGCAGATTGTCTTCCAGCCGACTTTTAAGGGTAGTCCAAACGGAGGAATGCCACCCAAGATGGAGGAAGGAGATCATAAATACCGCTTAAGTTTTGGGGGCCGAGAATTCGAGCTATATCAACATTCCCATCTCGGTTATGGCCTCATGTCGGCCCGAAAGGCGTTGCATGAGTCTGTTCTTGATCATATGCACAAGCAAAATCCCGAATCTCGCGCCTGGCTTTCCAAACCAATTCCCAACCACTGCATCACACCCGGAGTGCAGAAGAAGATCGACGTCACCATGCCTCCGGACCACCCGTTGGCGGGCGACCACACCGTCACCATGGAAGGTCCCACTGACGCCATTCCAGCGCAGTGTCGGGCACTTGCAGAGGGCATTCTCTACAAAGACAAGACTTGCACCCTGGCACCTTGTTCTTTCAATGGTGTCCATCAACCCGCATTGGAAAAGACTTTTGCCCGAGAAGACATCTACATCTTTTCCTACTTCTACGATCGTACCTCGGAGTTGGGCATGCCCGAGTCCTTCACTATTCGAGAACTTCAGGATCTAACCAGCAAGGTATGTGGAGGAGAAGACAAGTGGGTGGGTGCATTCAGCGGCATCGAAGGGGCTCTCGCCGAACTCAAGGACAGGCCCGAATGGTGCCTTGATCTCAACTTTATGGGAGCCCTGCTCCACACAGGTTACGAAATGCCCATCGACAGAGAGGTCAGGATCGCTAAAAAGATCAAGGGCAATGAGCTAGGCTGGTGTCTGGGCGCCAGCTTGCCCCTGTTGGAGAAGGAATCAGGCTGGCAGTGCAAGATTAAGCAGATTTCTTAGAGACTTCCCACTCAGGTGACGTTGATCTCAGAATTCGGTGTTGTGATAGTTGGTCTGAACCATTTAGGGGCTCAACGAGCATTGCCCCATGGCGTTGAGGTGGTTGACTGATTAGCATGTCGCTCAGTCGGTCTCGGGTGATGATGAGCAAGAAATCTTCAAGCAGAAGGTCTGTGGAAATAGAAGCTAGCGAGGTTTGTACAGTAATGAATTTTGATGTGTTTCAATAGCGGTCATGTTGGAAACCTTGAGAGGGGATTTCGTGTCAGTAGTAATTACAATAATGGATGGTTTACCTTCCACCAGAGAATTGCACTGGTTAAATGTTCGTTGGGTCAAAATGCTTGGACGTAGCGTCTACGGCGGTACATACATCCAAACCGCAGTTTGGCTATCCTAAATCCGTTTTGAACCTCAATGAAAGTTTTTGGAATTAGTGCATAGAGAGGACATTGACCACTACAATTTCCATTCCATCCGAGTGCGAGGAGAGATCTAGTGATGGGACATCCCTCTACCACTAGAAGCCTTTTAGGCCTTTCCAGAAGCTTCAAACGCCTGAATCTCTCGGACCCTCTGACGGTTTGTCTCTCTACGATAATCCGGCCTCGTTGTCGCGCTGACTGACCTTTATAACAGCAATGTCTAGTGCCTCGGTTGACCCGATCCTTCGCATCGGAAACTCACCTTCCAGTCGCGGAGCTGACCCGAGAAATTGAGGCAGAAGTTGCGGCGTCTTCAACCAAAGCAGACACTCCTTCCAACACCTCATCGACAAACACTCCCAAGCTCTCCTTGAATGCGTTTGAATCACCCGTTCTGGCGACGTTGTACAACTTCCCGAAACTCGAACCTTCTCGTTATGCCCTCTATCACCCCAAATTCCTCGACGTCCCCCTGAGACGCGACATCCTTCACCGAGCAGTCATCTATGAAGGCGACAAGACAAGACAAGGTACCGCAAGCACGAAATGGAGAAAGGACGTCCATGGCAGCAACAGAAAGATCGTTCCTCAGAAGGGAACAGGACGAGCTCGTGCAGGTGACAAGAAGTCTCCGACCCGAAGAGGTGGTGGTGTCGCCTTCGGACCCCATCCCCGGGACTTTTCTACCGAATTGCCGCAAAAAATCTATGCTCGAGCAGTTCGAACCGCATTGAGCTATCGCTACAGAAAGGGAGAGTTGATCATTCTCGACAACGAGATCTGCTTACCCGACAACATCGGCGACGCACGTGACAGCTGGCTCAAAGCGGTCATGACACGCAACAGAATTGGCCACGCCAACGGTCGCAGTCTTCTCGTCACCAGTACGACGCAGGATGCCTCACCGGAGTTGTTTGAAAGTATGGAGACAATCGGGCGACATGGAATGTTGAGAAGCCTTGAGAACGTGGATGTGAAAAATCTCCTCGAAACCAATCGGATTGTGATTGAGCGACAGGCACTTCAATCTTTGCTCTGGATGCACTGCAGCGACTTGGGTCCCGAGTATGACACCGAGTTTGAGGCGGATTCTCCCTTTGTCCAATATTTTGACCAGACTTTGTAAATTAGTATTACAGCAGGTGTCAATGATCATGGTTCTACAGCCAATCTCCAATAGCCAGAAAGAAATCGAAGCATGTCATCTTCGTTTGGTTGACATGTGGTCACTCAACGAGTGGGAGAGATCAAATTTTTCTATGTACCAAGCTATCAACCAGCACTCGTCATTCCCAGGCTCTGTTCCAAATGATTTCCCCCCAGATCATATCATTCCAACGCCCCTTACACATTTGTCTCGTACGCATCCAGCATTCTGGCATGGAGGTTTGTGGAACCCATGGGACAAGTTAGACACAGTCCATTGCTCGGGACGGCCAAAACGAGACGATTCTTGAATATGACCATTGCTTGATAAGGGCCTCTTAGAGGAAGCCCGTGGGTCCTTCATGGGTTGAGCCAGGATAGTGTTGGGCCTGAGCAGGCTGCTGGGTATATCCTGTCTCTGGCACGGGTGACTCTTCCTCACACGACGGAGTGTCTCCAGCCTTGTCGAGCTCTGGTGTGCTTCTGACCTTGGCCTTCTTGGGCGTGTTGGCTCTGTTGCGTTGAAGGGCGCCCGAGTTGAGCACCTTGATATCAATATGGTACTTCCTGCGGAGAGCTGAGAACTTTGGTGGGATAGTCGACAAGCTCATGCCGAGCTGCCTTGCCATGCCTTCCGCGTCCACCTTGAACGGGTCAGTGAAAGGGCCTCGTTCACCTATGCATTGCAACACTTTACCTGGATTGTACCCACCGAATTCTGGATCGCAGCGACGAGGAATGCCATGTCGGCTTCCTTGATCACGACTCTATCCATTGTTGCTATTTTGACCAAGGACTCTTTTTGACGAGGCTTTGTGGGAGATCTGGAGGGGGTATAGCTTCTTGGAAGACGAGACATTGTTTTTTGAAAGCCGGGGGAGCTGGATTTATATGTCTAAGGCGGAAGATCTGTTAAGAGCAGACAGCAAGATCCAGTGCAGCCCAACTCAGAGATCAAAGGATGGCGACACTCTCAGAAAAGAGAGACCGACATGAGGAAACCATGGGGGTATCTGCACGGTATTGTCATACAATCATTTTCAAAAAAAGGCGTCCGCGCCTATAACCAGGAGGCGGGGCCGGAATCCACACGTTCTGTGACTTTCTTTACCGTTTGCAATTCGGTAAAAATGGGTCGAACTAGGTGAGATTCCATACGGCCTAGTGCAAAGCGAGGATGCAATGCGTTTGCTGATGGCGTTGTGGCTTGGAAGCACCTACGCCTATCATCCCTGGCATCGACAAATGCGATTTATACTCTGATGCCAGGACTGGATCAGCGAGAGCTTCCTATTCCCCGTCCAATGCTATTTCCCATTTTCGTACCCTTGCTAGCAAACATTTTTTATCACGCCAGTCCTGCGGATTTGCATGCGTCTGATGACAGGACGACTCCTGCAGACCCTTGAAGACCCGTCAGCACATCCAGCTGGCCATCTTTCGATCGCCTTCCCGACCCGCTATAACCCTCTCGAACACAGCTCAATCTCTGGCTGGCTTGAAGTCTACCTCTGGGAACTCCCACTTTTCTGTCCCGTCTTCTCTCCATGTTCTGCTCTACTTTCTTACTCTACAACTGTTATCTTCTCTCCACTTCCCTACCACTTGGAGCATCATTGTCCTCGCCATCTTTCTTCCGCCAAGTACGTGACAATGCCCTATCAATGGAACGCAGAACGTGAGCGTCAGATGCTGTTGCTTGCCATCTCACGGGCAAACCTCAGGCCTTCAGCAGACACATGGACTGTCGTGGCTGCTTTGCTCGGTGGTGGGCTGAGCGCATCCGCCGTCAGGTAATGCACCACCCACTCGTACTGCTCCCTGTGCCAGAGCTGACAACTCTCCAAGCCAAAAGTATTACAAGCTCCGAAATGATGCGGAAAAGAAACTCCTGAGTGGACAGATCTTCACAACACCAAAAGGAACACCCACCAAGCGCAAAAGAGAAGATGATGATGTGAAGCCGTCGGTAAGGCGAGTCAAGAAGTCGGCTGATCATCCAGTCAATCATGAGTATGATGGCCAACGCTTTTCTGATGACGGCAACTCGGTCTCCAACATCAAGACTGAGGAGACATCCTTCAACTCCCAGTTGGAACAACAACTGCCAGTCTTCTATGGTATCAAGTCTGAGGTGATGCCTCTCGACTTTGAGCTGAAGTGCCTGGCCGTCAAAGAAACCATGGAAGCTGGCTCCCACCACTTCAACGGCGGATATCAGGGCCTCATCTCTGATGGCCAGTGAGTGATTGAGCTATGGCATCGTGGACTACGAACAAAGACGAGGCACTCCTTGGGATCGTTGGAATCGAGAATGGAATCGTATCAATGCAAGACATAGATTGTACAATTTTGTGGAAAGTCGAGCAAACCGAGACTTGGAGCTGTTGTGGCGAGTCGAAAGGCAGAGAAAGTAGGTAGAAAGCTGGGAGGGGGGCGGTGGTGTGGGCACTCCAATCCTTCCAGCTCGACTCTTGTAACTCATTGGATGCTCAAATTTCCCCTTTCGGCTTGCCCCTCTTGATGACGAGGACTTCTGCAGGCACTTAGCTTATCAGTCTCTGCCTCATCTTGAGAAAACAAGTGATTCGTACAAACGGGCCTCAAGCTGGAATACTTGAAGAGCGAGTATAGAAAGCGCCAAGACTTGTCGTTCAATTGTGCGCATTTTGGCTCGCTTAGCCCCACCTTGGCATGTCGTCGCCTGTCCAACAAGCCCTCCCTGACCAATCAAATTGTCGCCATGCCACTCATCCCAAACCGGTATCCTGCATGATAGTCCGTGAGCGTGTCTAGATCACCACGTCTCTCTTGACCTGCAACCTGCAACCTGCAACCCGCAATCTGCAATCTGCTCAATATGAGAAACCCTGCCCCGACCGGTCCCTCAACAATATGTATGTTGCAAAGGCTTCATAGCTACAGGAAATTGCTTAGGCTGTCTCCACAATGCGTTCGGGGTACCAGGATGCTCGTTCCGCCATTTACTTCTTCGGCACCGCTAATGGGGGGCCCGCCCGCGTTGTACTTTCCCGCTAATGCGGGCACTATGTGATTAGGACCCAATCCAGTCCAAGGACTTTAGGGATATCCCTCTTCTAACCACGCAACCTCAGCACACCTTTCCACTCCTCCACGCATCCACCACGGTTCAGCAGCTCGATGCGGCTCCGCCAGCCCCAGCCCCCTTGAATGTTTTGTCTGGCGGTCAGCAATCGGATTTGATCGCACACTGTCCCGAAGAATAAAGTTTCGAAGAGCTCATGGCCCTGACCAACCTCTCCGCGTTAATGCTGACGTATGTATGTCGCCTAGAGAGGGAGAGTTATGTTCTGGTAATAATGGTGACAAAATGACACGTGTAAAGTACAGTACATCTTTACTCTACATACATCCACACAAAAGAAGCGAGATTGTAGGACCTTTTGTACCTTAGTTGTAAACTCATTGGATGGTAGGCGAGGACACGAGACAGGTATCTGCTCTCGGGTTCCGTTCTGCTGTGGTGATAGTGATGGGTGATAGTGATGGGCAACAGATTCCATGCCTACATCCGTATATCCATGCCTATTCGTGCTTGGAGCAATCCAAACCGGTAATTTCTGTGTATGTCTCTCTCTTCGGATGATGAATGATTCTTCCTGTCCGCACTGCATCGCCTTAGTCTGGCATACTGGCGCTCTTTCCTCCTCACTGACCTGAAAGTCCTTGCTTGTGCAGGAGGAATGCCTCATTTGGGCATAGAGGAGAGGAAACAAGTCTAGGGAGAGAAATGCTGTAGACCTCATTTAGACCATTTCCCTTCGGTGAACAAATCAGGGGCCTTTAGAGCGAGCGACCATCACACAACAACAGCGCAGATGGCACATACATGGTGATATTGGCCTCGATCAGTCTAAAACAACAATCTCTGGTGCATGTGGCGCTCGACGAGGTCTTTTCCCACTTGCATCTGGCCCGCCACGGTCACTGACATGAGTCTTCGGTCTCGCCTCGCTACCCAAGCCATCTTGCCTGATTGTAGAGCTGTTGGGAATAGGAGGTCCTTGGCCACCGTGGCCTCGCTTTTGTGCCTGCTGCTTCCGTCTCTCTCGCTCCTCATCCACTGCATGCAAAACCTCAGTTATTCCCATACTTACACTACGTGATCCCACACCGCCATCTGCGCCCCTTGATGTGGTCGATGCAGCGGTGAATTCTCGTTGAACCCGTCCCATCGTCTCGGCTATTAGGTCAGGGTGTTCTGCCATGTAGCTCTCCGCCAATCGGATTCCCGTCAAGCGAAGGATCTCTGCCACTTCCAATGGCCGAAGGCGAGGCTTTGGTTTGGGTGCTGTTGCTTTCGTGTCACTCGGACCAGGTAGTGGGTGGCGTTCGTTCTCAGAGGTTTGAGGATTGGCATTGTATGGTTGGTCTGGGACAACTGACGTGGTCTCTGAAACATACGTCTTGTTTGGTGGTCCGTAGTGGCTAGCCGTTGGGCCCCCGTACGATGTCGCCCGCTGTTTGCCTTTGTCTTCTTTTCCAGGTTGAACTTCTTCAGGGGCTTTTTTTGGCCCTCCTCCGAGTTCTGTGGCTTCGGACGGAGGATCTCTAGATAAGTGAGAGACTGGATCAATTGTTTCGACGCTACTTGAAGATTCTGGGGCGGCATCGTGAGATTGCACTCCAAATAGATTTCCTGAGCTCGGATCTGAGCTTACGGCGGTGTCAGTCCAGCTTTGAGCATTGGTGTCTCTAGGTGACAACTCTCTCGTCGCTACAGCGGTGTCAAACCCACTTAGTTGAAGTGGCCGGAATGTAGTCGGTGAGGTAGACGCTTGGTATGGTCTATGATTGGGAACTGCTGTGACTTGGGCGAGTTTGTTCCTTCCTTGAGACAACATTGAAGGGTTCTGAAGGTTCCTCAGGTGCAGTTTACTCAATTGCTCGTGCTTGTCCAGTGCCTGCTGGCTTGGTAGCTGGCTGAAACATAGTGCGCAGCGGTAGAAACCAGTGTTTGTCACGTATCCAAATGATTCTGTATCTTGCGCTGATGGCTGGCCCGGTTGTGAGGACGACGAGGCAATAGATTGATCAAGGTCAATGTCAACTCGTGCGATCGACCTGAATGATCGCTTTTTGGGGGCCTTTTGAGGCTCCACGGGAGGTTCATGTTGTGGGCTCGGAGACGGAAAGTATTCTGGGTCAGTAGAATTTGAGGGCGACTCTGTTGGCCATCGAGGAAGTTGTGGTCTATGTGGCGTGAGGTCTCGACGTTGGGCATTGAATGTCCTTTGTTCGTGCAAACCAGGCACAGAAGGACCGATGTCTATCGTATCTTTGGCAACAACATGCGGCACAAGCGGTCCTGGAAGCTGAGGCGATGGAATAGTGCGCAGCCGCTTTGGTGGTCTCTGGAGAGCATGTCGTGAATGAACCTCAACCTCTCTCTCACTGACAAAGCTGAGATCCTGGTCGTTGAAATCCAGGTGTAGTGTCCGACGAGATGACTTTGTTTTGGGAGGCACTTCTCTCGATGTGCGTTGATGACTAGGGTTTTGGTTTTGCAGGTCTTCGGCAGCTTTGGCGATCTCCTTCGCAAAAAAGGACTTCACGGAGTCGTAGGTAGCGTCTGGGCCATAGAACTTTGCGATGCTGCGATACCGACCCTTGAACTGAACCATATGATTAGACATGGCTCCTTTTGATATCTCTACGGTGCAAAAGACTTACTGCTACGTCGCCCATCTCAGCGTAGACAGCAGCGAGTAACCTGAAAACATTCTCGCGCTCTTTCCAGTTGATTGCCATCACTACTACCTTAGTAAAACAAAGAAGAACCTAGTTGAGTTCACGACGGAGTTTTTCAATGATGTTTGGAGGTCGAATTGAGGTCAATATGATTGTCCCGTCAGCCCATTTGGCCGCTTGATGAGGGATGTTCAGAAATGGTGAATTGGAGGAGACTGAGTTCACTCGTCGCAGCTGACTATGGCTAGGGCGGATTCTGAAGTTTTCAGATGATTCACGTCGGATGCGAGCGAAATTCGATGAGCATCATTTCGCAAAGGCAGCACACAAGGGGCCTTGGGTCTTTCACTATGGAGGGTGGGTGCCTTGGAGGCCCCGCTCGATACAACCGTCAATGTGTTGTGGCTTGAGTGAAGGGCTTTGACCAGTTTCACTCTCAAGGGTGGATTGGGCTTAGGCATTGGATCTTTCAATGCCAATGAGGCAATGCGGCATTAGTGGTATTCATATGTAGATGTTAAGTCTCGGTCATTACAACGACTAGTAATATTGCCCACGCTCCCTCACACAACGAGCCACATGGTCAGTGTGGTACATGGTTGCACTGATTTGTCCTTCAGAAAAAAGAAGGGCTGAGTCTGATCCAGAGTCTTCACTGTGCAGATGGTCGGATGCTAGGAGAGAAAGTTGGTCAATGGTGATCATGATTGTACATCGCGTCTCGAATCGAGGAGCCCCTAAAGGGTCATCCACTATAGATTTTCAGAGTCGAGCAATAGTACACACCCGTAAACAGTAGCTTCTAAATTCCCAGAAGAGTCTTTGTTCTCGGTTGTTAACATATATCTGGTGTCCCTAGGTCCCAGCGAAAGAGTTCGCCGTGGACTCGAGGCAACCTTCGAGGCCGTGAGGCTGAAGAACAAGCGGTTAACGGACTTTAAGGTTCGCTGTAGTCTTGGCATCTCTCAATACGGAGAATCGGTAAACGGTGAATGGCAGCTGTGGGGCTCTCCTCTCACCCTTCTTCCTCATCCTTGTCTTAACATCTGTCATCCGTCATCTTAGATAATCATCGATTCTACAATTCTTTTTGCCCCAGGTCATTCAAGACCAGCGGAGTGATGTCATCGTGCTTCTTCTGCGCGCAGTGAGATTTGCCTATCTACCTACTGACTATGATCTCTACCAGACCAAACAGACACATCTCACAGAGACGTCCCATTCGACGGTTCTCAATTGCAAATCCAAAATTCCTTTGTCGGGCACAAATTGTCTCTGAAACCGCTCCACCTGCTAGAGTGATAGTACGATCTGACATAATCCACAGCCCTTTGCCTCCTCGTCCTGATCACTAAACTTGCCATCTGGAAGCCCGGGAGTTGACGATGCTTCGACCAAGGCTAATTTAGTCATCCGTAATCGCTGCCGAGCCTCGATTCAACACGAGGAAGCTTTTGAGCTTGTCTCTTGTTCTCCACGCTTCACCTGTTCAGATCCTTCTGAGTCATCATGAGCTTTCCAAGAGAGCCCTGAATGTCCACTGCAAGCCAAATGCGATTGCCTTGGATCGATGCGTCGAGCGTCTGGAGTATTCGTTGACCTATCATTGATTAACAACCATCACCAACGAAAATTTGGCTCTCAGCCTTCTTTTGTATCTACTACTACCTATTGCGGAAACTCCAGTCTGGCATCTTAACCGAATACGAACATGCCCTGTAGCTGCTCAGCAGTCATTTACAAACTACCAATCATATAACCGCTTCCTCTAGGGGACCCAACCTTTGTCTGATTGAGGGAATTTACTGGTCGTCGGACTTAAATTCTAGCCTTGTCATGCAACGCTCAACTTTATCAATTATCAAGCCCATGGCCCTGGTCATGGGCCGTTTACAGTGGGTTGCTGACCCATTGCATATTACATTATCCATTTCGACACGCTTCTGTCCCAGTTCGTCCGCCGGACCCGCTCCCCCCTTGAGAGCCTACTCGTCCGTCGTGGCGTCCTTCAAGTATTACTGATACTACACAATTATCCTCGTCCCTTTATATAGCCTCTGGTAAGTCCTCTCCGCTTCTTCTGCTTGACGAGTTCCACCAGTCTGTACCAGAGAATTCATATCGAAGCAGGCATCTGTTGTTTACAATGAAGGACATCATCAGAGACGCCTGGCTTGGCCAAGCCATCAGGCTCATTTTCAACAACAAATACCTTCAATATCCTGAGGAAGAGGACAGCTTCCAATGGCCCTTGCCGGTAGGAATTGTCTGAGATACGATTCATAAGGAACATGAACTGACTGTATAAAAGGGAACCAGCGAACCAGAGAAAGAACAACACCAATCTACCGCTGCAGCCAACCAAGGTACTCAAACCTCCCAAGGTTCGTCCGAAGAAGACGTTACCTTGCAAGAAAAGCAAGACGACCATATTGCGAGACGATCTGTTGAAGATCAAACAGTGCACCGGCTCGAGAGCAGGCGCACCGTGGCAGATCACAGTGCAGATGTCGAACGTATCTTGACCAGGACATCTAGCTATCGATTCAGCGCCGAACGTCTTGAAGAGGAGCGTGAAATGCAGATACAAAGGACCAAAAGCGTCCCAATCGCTCCGACCAAAACTTCGGATGGCAACATTCTAGTCACTTGGTACACTACAGATGATCCCGAGAATCCACAGAACTGGAGCAGAGGCAAGAAATACTTTGTCCTCTTTCAGCTCGCGTACGTGATCATTCCGCTTGCTTGTCACACTACCAAGAGAAGGCGAGCTGACCTTTTCTCTAGGATTTATACGTGTTCCGTCTATGCTTCGTCGAGCATGTATGTTGCTGGTTCAGAGTACGTCAACCACCATAAATTCCGTGGATGCAAGACTGATAAACCCGCAGAGGCGTCATGAATGAATTTGGTGTCGGCCATGCTGCAGCTTCTTTAGGTCTAGCAATCTTTGTCGTTGGCTGTAAGTCTTGTTTCGAACCCCAAAATACAGTTCTACAGGTTTTGACAATGTTAAAGATGGTGTTGGCCCTCTTCTATTCGCTCCTCTGAGTGAAATAGCACGCTTCGGAAGAAACCTGGCTTATATTCCAACATTCTTTCTCTTCGTGATCTTATCCATCCCGACTGCCGTCGTTGGGAATTATGGTGGACTTCTCGTACTTCGTTTCCTCCAGGGGTTCTTTGGCAGCCCATGTCTTGCGAATGGCGGTGCCACAGTTGGCGATATGTTTGGACTTCTTGAGCTTCCCATCTACCTATCCACCTGGACAGGCGCAGCATTTTGGGGACCAGCACTGGGTAAGTTCTAAGGTTCTCTATTACTACCTACCTTCTTTGTCGTTTTGGTGGGAAGGCGATATATTGACGCGGTTTTTTTGCAGGCCCGGCCATTGCGGGCTTCGCCGTTCAGGCCAAGGGATGGAGATGGGCCCTTTGGGAGATTGTTTGGTTCACAGGGCCAATCTTTGTTCTATTCTTCATTGCCTTTCCTGAGACATCATCCGACAATATCTTACGGCGACGAGCAGCACGACTTCGGAAGCGGTTGAATCGAACGGACCTGAAAGCGCAGTCTGAGATTGACCAAGCCGACCTAACATTCTCCAAGATCTTCTGGGATGCCATCATCAAGCCTATCGAGATCTTTATCAAAGATCCCGCGATCACTTACGTCAATCTCTATACGTCGTTGATTTACGGCATTTACTATTCCTTCTTCGAGGTCTTTCCCCTCGTTTACCCGCCGTATTATGGATTCAATCTCGGAGAGACTGGACTGACGTTCCTTACCATTGGCATTGCTTGTCTGATCGGTGTTGCCATTTTCAATGTCTACCAAGTCAAGTATCTTATCCCCGACATCATGAAGCGTGGGTTAAGAGCACCTGAACATCGTCTTGTGCCGGCTCTGTTCGCCGCAATTACGGCACCGGCAGGATACTTTATGTTCGGTAAGTCCCGACCTAACTCACGAAGTACTAAATCTAATAGTTATACCTTTAAACTGTGTCGCATTGCGGTCTGCTAATCAATAAAACTGTTTCAGGCTGGACGGCTCGATCTTCGATTCATTGGATCGTCAACATGATTGGCGTCGTCATTCTGGTTGGGTCTAATTTCATCATCTTCCAGTGTATCTTTGTGTACATTCCTCTCTCATACCCACAATATACGGCATCCTTGTTCGCCGCCAACGACATTTCTCGAGCTCTGTTTGCCGCTGGCGCCGTTATGTTCTCGAGACCGATGTTCATAAGCCTCGGCATCGGTAAAGGTGTCAGTCTCCTCGCTTCGGTCCTCTCAGTGATGGGGGTGGGCGGTATGTTTTTCCTATGGCTGTATGGTGCCAAGTTGAGAGCCCGAAGTACCTTTGCGGCTAAGTAAGAGGTGGTCCTAATACCTAATTACTAAGTACTTAATGTAATCTGGCAGCTTCTCTTATAATACCTATATTTAAGACTTACCCAACCAAACCTTATCGATGCTGTATCGACACTGCATCAATAGTACATCAATACCGCATTAATGCTCTATCAATTCAGTATAGATATGGTATCTAGAATAGGTACCTAGTGTTAATACCATACCAATATCGCGTTAATAAGTGGTACTACTAAGTAAGTACTTACCTATATTAAGTGCTAAGGTAAGTAAGTAAGTAAGTTAGTACTCACTTAAGTACTTAAGTACCTACCGTATCCATCCTATATAAGGAATTCGGTATAGATAGAGTATCTAAGGGACTTCTACTAATAAAGTATAGCATGAAGTTCTATAGAGTGCAAGCCTAGTACTTAGTAGCCCGAGCCAGTCTAGGCTAGAATTGAGCTGGTACTGGGCTAGAGTGAGCCAGCCCGGGCTAGTACCAGACTAGGAAGTAAGGTACCGTAAGTCCTTACCGCGCTCAGCCATATATAAAAGTACTAGTAAGTACTAACTTAGGTACCTACTAGTAGGTACTACTTACTTTACTTACCTAAGTTCTGGTGTTATGCTATAGACAAAGTATACCTTGATATAAGAGCTTATAGAGTAGACATCTTTCGTTAGGAGGGTTCTTATATTAATCTCCACGTCTACCTGCAGAACGTGCTAGTGACCCGTAGGCCATCTCGTAGAGGCCGTATATACTAGCCCGGGCCAGGCCAGTACCAGCCCAGTACCAGCCTGAGCCAGCCCGGGCCAGCCCACCTCAGCCCCCCCAGCCCGGGGTGGCTCGATCAGCGGAACAGGCACCTAGCCCGGTGACAGCTCCGAGCTAGCCCGGGCTGGCTCAGGCTGGCTCACCCTGGCCCGGCACCAGCTCGGGCTAGTACTAGGCTGAGCCCGGGCTAGCACCCTCTAGAAGGCTTGACTAGTAATAAGTACTTACTATAATTTTCTTCTTATACTCATCCCTAAATCTTATCTAGGGGTACTATAATAGGGGTACTATAGCCCTCCCATCCTACAAGGCATTTAAGTAACGTGCCACGCACCTTCCTAATAGAGACTAGTTTCAACGCTATACCCTAATTGGACATAGTCTGTTCAGCTGCTCATCGCTCATTGGCTTGTTGACCGTGCTCAGTAAAAGTTGAAGACTTAAAGTGGCAGGTCATTTCCCCCTAAGGTAAGTAGGTCCCTACTACCTAGAAGCATATCGTGTCTTACTATTAGACTAGGTATCGCTCCGACGACATCAACATTGGAGAGTGGCCGACTGCTCAAAAACGGAGCGGGGCTTGGAACTTTCAATCCATTGAATCCTAAAATCAGAATCTTGAATGCTCAGGGCCAGTCGCCCACGCTGGCTGAGTGGAAATAGTGACTCAATGTCGCCGAACCACTACAGAGCTGATCCTTTCATGAGGGTTAGGTATTCGTCCAGCAGGAGGAGCACCATTCCAGTCAGGAGGATAAGGTACTGACTTATGAGTAAGGTAAGTAGTACCTAGCTAGTACCTACTAGACTTACGTGCCTATCCCGCATAGGATTATAGCCCTATTTGCCACGGCTGAATAAACAGGCTCGGATGGGGAGTTGGTATGGAGCTTGACCATTAGGTCGGTACCTAGGAACATAGTAGGTAAGTATCAAGTAAGTAAGTACTTACTTACCTAGGTACCTACCAGTAGCAATTGAACTTGAACTTGGGCAAATGCATCAGGCAGCTTCTACTTACTGGCCAGGCTCATATATCTTTCGTGACATTCGAAATATTTACTACCCATGGACCCACCTAGGTCAGGTAGGTAATAGTAGGTAGGTACTGGTGAGGTACTTAAGTATCCGGTACTTGTGCCTGGTATCTGAAGTGGGAAAGTGGCTTGAGGCGCGAGAGCTCCTTAAGGCGGTGGACTAAGGCGGTTGGGTACCAGGTAGTTGGATGAGGAAGTTGGATGAGGAAGTTGGATGAGGAAGTTGGATGAGGAAGTTGGATGAGGAAGTTGGATGAGGAGTTGGATGATGAGGGTGAGGGTGAGTGATGGAGCCTCGTGTTGGGTGGGGAAAGTGGTCGGGTTGACTGTGTGATAATCCTACGAGAATCACACCGTCAAGTCTTGGCGTTTAGAAAACACGGTAACATCTGGAAGTTGAAGTTGCATGGTCATCGAACAGATTATCTGAAGGGCAACAACAAACCTTTGCTGAAGATCGACTTTATTTTTGAACACCGTATCCGATGCCGCATCTGAGTTAGTATCGATACTGTTCTTAAATTGCTGAAATTGTCAGGTATCGATACTAAATCGATGCGGTGTCGATGCGGTGTCGATGCCGTCTCAGAGATAGGTAAGAAGTATTCACACTAGATTGATCGAGTATCGATGCGGTGTTGATACGGTGTTGAAGCTATATCAATGCCGGGTTGATGCTAATTCGGATACTGTGTCTACACCAAATTGATGTAGCATTAATGTAGCATCGAAGACACATTTATACGGTGTCAGATAAGTCTCAGATATAAAGTAAGAAAAACTGTCAGATTGTGTTGATGTACAGTAGGTCAGGTACCTGGCTTGAGAGCCCTAGGTGTACGATTCTTTCCAAGATCAGCAGGAGTGCGGCTACCTCGTCATGGAGGTTGTTTATGCACGGCGAAAGATCAAGAAACTTTGACAGACCCATGACAGCGAGGAGTTTGACTCCGAGCCTTCGATCACTTCGCAGCTCAACGCTCAAAGAAGCCCGGACCATCTCGTGCTCTCCTCCTCAAGGAATCAGACCCTCCTATATTTGAGACGGTCGAAGAGATCGCGCAATGGCTCAATTCTACCTACTTAGTAAGTACCTAGTATTTGACAACTTTTCCGAGGAGTGAACCTTTCGCTTCAAAGCTCCGAATTGGTTTCTCGTCACCTCGACTTGTTTCCACTAAAGAAAGAAGTAGTATCTTATGTCTTCATACCAGTTACCTTACACACTGTATTTGGCCTCAGCAGGTCACCACTAATCTAGTACTAAGAGAAGGGGAATCCATTGCCAACACCAAAGAACAGAAAAACACAGTACGAAGGTTAATGAGAGAAAAAGGTAGGGTAGAAGGGCATTGGTGTAGCCTACAGGGGGTCTTTGTTCGAACGAAGTAGACATAGGCGTGAAACCCTTGAGAATGAAAGCAGACCTCTGTAGGCCTGTTGACATTCAACGAGATCTCTTAAATTTGGACATTCGAAACCGAAAGTACTGACTTACCTACCTACTTGTCGGACGCCAACATCATTGCATAAGGGTTGGTAACATCTGCCAGCCTCCTGTACACTGTAGAACCATACATTTAGCTATAGATAGATGGGTTTCCCCCTTAGAAACAAGGAAGCCCTAAGTAATTCATTTCACCTCAATCTTTGACATTACTCTTAACTTATTCACACGAATCCTGAGCCAAGTAGCACTATCTTCCAAATTCCAATAATTGAATGCGAAACTGATCGAGTGGCACTAATATCGAAGACATGGGGAAAGATATGCTCAGCGGTTTCATCTGTACGTGATATCCTACCAAAAGTACCTGGTATTGTCTACTACAATTTCGCCAACTCTGATGCAGCATAAGAAACCAAGGGCGGTATCCCAAGGTTGATGTATCGGTTCGAACTTTGGACGCCTTCCAAGTTCTCTCGAGTCTCCCAACACACACGACCCTCCTGCTGATTTCTCAGCTGCGTTGCTGAAGTCTTACCTAAGTACCTACTTCCTGCGATTTCGCGAACTTTGGAACGTACCCTTTACCATATCCAACGGAATCCGGGGTTTGACAGCGTGGTACCGATAAAGAAGATCGGGCCACATGGTTCTTGCTGCATCGTCCACGAGCCAGCCTTTTGCGCACCAGTCGCTCAGAACGGTGTACCTAGAGAGATCAGTCATATGTACCTTTGTACCAAAAGACCAGTTGGTGCCACCTTCACCCACCACCGACATCCAGAACCTCCTCCTGACATGTCGTACAAATGACGACGAGTCTCGTAGAGAAGTCTTGCTAAGTCACATACACGTATAGTTACTCTGACCTCAAAATCCCAGTGCCTAATTGCAGAGCTTGAGCGCTGATAGTCGTGGTTACTCCACCGAAGTTCGCCATCCACGTATCCAGGCTCCGCTGCCATGTTGACCCGAACCGATTTCCCATCGTGAAGCAGGAGGAAGATAGACCAATGGTTGTCGCTTATAGTCGGTCCTGCAGCACCAGTGGTATGGACAATAATTCGTACTGTCCTGACTGTTCGCGTGTCTTGAGTTGCCTGCTGGGGGGTCAAGCTACTGGACATGGCGTGCAAATCTTGATGCTCTTTGCATGTAAACCGGTATAGAGACACTTAGATGCTATCCGCCTAAGGAGCGAGGCTAGCAGTCTGAAGCCAACGAGGTATCTTGCCAGCGGACCTTCGTGAGATAGAAACATGACTGCTCTATACGGAGGGCCTCTATTGCTTGCTATATACTGAATCCGAGCTACATGGGTAGAGTGTAATAGACGAGACGATAGTGCAGCCCCCTGCGAGGTGTGGGTGGCCCCACCCCTCGAACTGTTGCTAGATCGTCTATATGAACAGAACCTATGGCATCCTCACAGGAAGCAGCGGGGGACAACGAACGAGAAGAACTCCTAGAGCATATCTCAGAGGTAGTGTGTTACGAGAAGGAAGCGATACGATTGCTGCTGAGCCGACTACTGAGGTGACAAGATGTGCTTTGAGGCAGGATCCAGCCGGACTGGCCTCTTGCGAAATAGGTAGACATCACCTTTCCTCTCTCCTGGTGAGAGAGGTCAGTTAGATAACAGAGAACTTCTTACACTTACTACGTCTACTGTCAAGCTCGACATGCCATTCGTGTTTAGGGCGAGAGAGAAATTGGAGCAACAATGAGGCAGGAGACGAGCGAGCTCCGAAAAGACCACAGCAGCGTACACAACACATCGGCCGTGACCTGATTTCCACGTCCAAACAAGTTCGCACGTCCTCGCCCTTGGCCTTGCTTTTACTATGTTACCCTGGCCATTATTTACATGTCTCCAGTCCGGTAGAAATCGGGACGTAGCAATGCCCCCTGCTCTATAAGACATAACGAACCGCTGCGCTTACCGTCTCAATCTCGCCGCCGTCGACAAACATCACAAAAATGCTGTCTTGGAAAGTCTCATCGAGATAAATTAGCACCAGGGATGAAAGAAAGCGACTCTGTTGTCTATCGAGAAGAGTTTTCGACGGCGCCGCCCGGCGCCGATGCGACCGAGAGAGAAGACGGTTGGTTAGTACGTAATCAAGTCAGGCCAGCTGGGCATTGACTCGTCCGAAATACCAGATGCATACCAAAAGCCACCTACCAAACACGCACAACGTGGATAGAGGAGGTCTGTTTGATTTTTTTCAGAGAATCGACGTTTCATACGTATATAACTCCCTGTCACTCTGATCGCATGTTCTATTGGACAGAATTTGCAGTACAGCAAACGCGCGTTTGTGATATCTTAATGGGTTCGGACTTTATCTCTGGAGGACATTGAATCTCTCATCACACTCTATAAGAAGGTGGAGGATAGCTTCACCAACGACGTCTGAGCTCGGAGCTAAATCCTCTTCGCTACAGACAACCACAGGAAGACTTTGTTTCCTTGTTCTAAGCGTTAAGCCAATGATTCTGTTGCCAGATCCTGACACTACCCGACCCAAGCAGGGCAATAGCAGCTCCAAGGCCCTGTTTTCCTCAGCCTATGGTTGACTGCGAAAGAAAGTGGTGGCAATGAATTTGGGCTTCCCGTGATACAACTAGGCATTTGGATGTAACCTACAACCTCATCACAGAAGAACTGAAAAGGCACTAAGACGATGTGTATCACAGGATGCTAGTGCTCACTCGTTTGACCCCATGGTTGAATCTTTAGTATAGACTACTATCAGTGGTGGCACAATGCCGGAGCAAGTATGGCAACAGCCAAACCCGCTCTTTGTATGGACCTTCGCCGTCAAATTACAGCGTCGGTCCCCAGGAGGGAAAGGATACAAGTAGAAAACAAGCTATTGCCGTTCCCATCTATGCAATTCGAGAAAGCAACCTCTCGCCGAGAAATTTTTCATCGTCCCTCAAACAAACTCCATCAGTGAGTTGTCAATCGATCTCTCCCAATCTCAATCAAAGGCGAGAAACGCCAGGCTTAATTAATGTGCTTTAGATGCCTGTCGAGGGCGGGGTGTTCCTCTGTGTCTCGAGCTTTTGCCAGTGTATGATCCGGTTGAACTTGGTGGGCCACTGGGGTGGCGTCGCTGACCATGACTCGCCTGTGCGCCTCTCACAGGAATGTCCTTCTTGACAGAGCCTGTAGTAGAAAGCGGTAATCGAATGATGGCATATTGTGGCTTGGGTGGACCACGTGGTTCAAAGAGGTTGCTGACCATGTAAGCCGCCGTAGAGATCGCGTCCACAACAGGGGCTTTGATGGTTGGAGGGCTTGCCAAAGGCCCTGCAAGTTCCGGTGTATCGCGAGGGAAGTGCACGGTGGGAAGGGAGCCGGCTTCTCGATCTTCAAAAAGGTCTTCTTCACTTTCAACATGTTTGGTGCTCGCAATTTCTTCTTCTTCGGCCACAAGTTCGAGCACTGACTCCAGAGGGAGTGAGACAGAGGCGCCTGGAAGAGTGATATGATGCACCTCAAGAGGTTCTCGAGAGGATGATGTCACAGCCAAAGCTGCTCCCGTTGGAAGTGCATGGGCCCTGACCGGCGAAGACTTCTTCCCTAGCAAACCATTGAATCGTTCTTGCCAAGAGGCATTTTGGGCGACTGGTGTGGATACCGATCGATGCATTGCCACCGGAGCTGGAGGTGGCATCGACACTCTGGCAGCCCAACTCAATGGAACTTGCAAATCTGGCTGAGGCGTGGCTTGTGCGTCGACAGGGCTCGGAGGAGTCGGTGGCATGTTCGGCGGCAGTTTGACGACGGCTTTCTCTCGCGGAAAATGGACCACAGGCCGATCCGTATCATGATCAAATGCCGGATGATGGCTCGCAAATTCTTCCGCTGGAGGAGGTGAAGGCGTCCTCGGTGGTTCGGGGTGGCTGTACGTAACAGCACGACGATCTTGGCCTATATGGCCACCTGGTTGCTGAGGGAAGAATCTCGAGCCACGCCCAGCCTGGCCGTTGATCGCTCTGGAGGCCGAGTCAGGTGCAGGCTGTGAGCCGACAGCACCAAAGACGTTCGAAGCAGGAATGGTAGTTTGGGTGGCGTTCGCTAAGTGACGCTGGTTGGCTTGGTCACCTACCTGAACCTGTTTCCAAGTTTCGTTGAAGTTGTAAGAGGGTCCTTGTCGAATTCCAGTGCGTAGCTCTTCCTCCCGTCTTGCTGCGATCTCACGCTGGATCTGATCACTTTCGGCCCGCTCTTGCTGGTTGGCAACTGTTTGGAAATTGTTCCAGGCTTCGAGGCCGGTAGAACGATTGCCATTCTGATATCCATTGATTGGAGCATGAGTCTGTTGAGGTTGCGGAGGACCGATAGGAGCAGGTGTCGTAGAGGGAAACAAAGAGTCTGCCTCACTATCGATAGCTAGAAGGCCCCGATCCTGGGAAATAACGGATTGAAAAGAATATGTTCGGTTATCCGGGACAGCGTGGTTCGCGTGTTGAATTTGGGGAGAGCGTCCAGTACGGGGCGTTCTGCCGTTCATCCAGCCCTGGCCTGTGGAAGAGGTTCGAGACAGGTCTTGCGGTGCGTAACCTGCAAGACTTTGGTCAAAAGTACCATTACCTAATGCCTTGTTGTTAGACACGCCCCAGAGATTCCCTGCCTGGACGGGACGATGTTCAGGCCGAAGGTCATGCCATCCACTCCGCGCATCATTGCCCGCGGAACCAGGTTTTGAAACTTTAGGACTTGCTTCCGGTCCGGTTGGGCCCTCCTGGCCGCTTGAGTGGCGCAGGTCGGGAATCAAGGTTCTCACACCGTTCACTATTGGGGCTGGTGCTTGAGAAGCTGCCGCGGGAGGTTCCGTCGAATGAGATGATTCTGTTTTTGAAGTCGGCGTTTTGTGGGCATCAAAGGCCCGCGAGTTGGAAGCAACCAACTTCTTGATCGAATCGAGGGGATGAACTTTCATCATACCGTATTGCTGTGGCTCACCTGATGCCAATGGCTGGGGCGGTTTAGGTGGAGAGTGGCTTGCCGGCTGATGACTTGGAGCTGGTGCAGTCGACGAAGTCGGCGCTTCTGATTCCCGGCGGCTAGCCGTGGTGCGAGAGTTTTCATCATTCTTCTCGGGCCCACCACTGGGACCAACTCCGAGAGATGCCAATTTTGCCTTGATACGTTCCTGCTTTTCGGCTTCCATGCGTTGTTCCTCCTCTTGCTTTCGCCTTCGAGCGCGTTCAATGTTCTCCTTCATGAGGGCCCGTTGCTGAACACGTTGGGCATCGAGATCACCATCAGTGGCAGACTGGGCACCTGCATTCATGTAGTCATTCTGACCTCGCGGTTGGTATGCCGGGGTCTGTGTCTGCGAAACTGGATCCTCCCGCGTAACTGAAGACTGATCAAAGTCGCCAGCTCCGTGCTGATTATCGAATACCGGATGTACAATGTCGTTGGATTTCATCGACAGTCGACGGGCGATTTGACCGCTACCACCGGAAATGGTTGAAGAAGCCCTTCTTCTTGCAGAATCAGAGCTGGTTCGGTGAGTCTGAAATGCCGGGGAAGGCTCGGCGGGAGCGTGAGAATCAGGTGGAGCGGGTCGCTGTAGGACAGCTGCAGCACGAAACCCGGGGTCGTTCTTAGAGAGGCGCCTTCTACCATCAGGGACAGCTTCATATCTCCCCGAGTTGGGTATGTAGAGCTCACGAGGTTGCGAAGAAGAGTCTCTCCATGCACGATTGAAATCATCGGCGGAAATCTCCTTGGTGGGAACTGGTGCGGTGGCTAACGGAGGAGCTTGTGGATATGCGTTATTTGAAAGGAAGCGATTAGGCGGCGGCATGGACGGTTGAGGGTTGACAATGACGGGTGAGACTTTGTCCACGGGCGGTAAAACGGCCCATGGCGACCTCGCTGGTGCGGGTGCAAGACCTTTGGTTGACGACAGTACGATCTTTTCTGCTGGACCTCGTGAAGTGAGTGTTGCGGCCTTTTGGGCTTGCCTCTCAGCACTTGCGCCAAGTTTCAGTACGGTGGCATTCGGTCCCACAGAGCTCGTGAATTGAGGAGGTGACGCCTTGGGAGGGACGGTTGCTTGTTTTGGGTCTTGGTTCGTTGGGACAGTAGAGGAGAGATTCGGAGGGGCCTGAGCAGTGACTTCTGCCGGGGTGAGAGTGCTCTTCGTTCCGTCGTTCCATTCAATAGTTTCAGGAGCCCAGTCGTCTTCATCATCGTCGATATCGGCCCACTTCGCCTCTTTTCCTTCACCATCCTCTTGAATTCGAGACGTTAGATGAATCCCGTACTGTTGTTTCAATTCTTCATCGGTCAAGTGCTTCGTCGAAGGTTGGGGGGTAGCTAGAACATTGTCAGGGGGTTGTGTGGATTGAGTCGCAAAGAAGAATACCTCTATTTTTATTCCAGACCTGCATGGGATCGGGCGATACCGTCTTATGGGGATTGCCCTGTGTTTGAAGCGAACTTGTTGTTTTGGCGACAAGACGGGGACGACCAGCTAGGGTGAGAGATGGGGCTGAAGAGTTTAAAGAAGCTGCTGTTGGGGCAAAGGAATATCAAGTCAGTCGTGTTACCATAAAGGACGGATTGGGAACTGAAATACCTTTGTCGGCAGTTTTGGAGTTGGCGGTAGTAGCGACCACTTTTGGGACAGAATATTTGGCGAAACTGACGGGTTTGGTGACAAACTTTTTGAGGGTTTTACTCTCAGGATTCTTGTCACCGGCGACGCTTCCATCAGCACGACTGGTGTCGGTGTCGGAGCGAACGGACGCATCGGCGTCATCGAGATCATCGGATTTGAGAGAAGACAAGGTATGGATTCCATTCTCTTTATACGCAAGCGCAACCTCCACTTTACCAGACTCGTCCCCAGAAACTTTGATATCAGGAGTGGAAGTGGTCGCAGGTGCGTCGGAGGGCGAGAGGTCGCCGACCGACTGAGATTGGTTTACCACATCTTGTGCTCTCTGCTCTGCCATAACAAACTCGGATCTGAGGCGGAGGATGGTTAGACTTGAAGGTTCCGGCGTGATTGAGGATGCGCAGGGAATGAGTGTGTACCTGTTAGAGGATGTAGTTGGCCACGATTGCCAGGCTGTCAATCACGGATGGGTGGAGGATTGAGGTGGTGTGGTTTTGGTGCAGTCCCAGGTCGCTAGGCCGAAGTCTGAGAGACGATGACTGGACCGAGACAAAGACGGCCGGGGTGTCTGAAGGGGCCTCTAAGAAAGAAAGAAATACAGTGAAAGGGAAGAGGTTAGTTGTGGCTGCAAGAGAGGGTTAGATAGGAGGCTGCGCAGGTGAGGCAAATGACCACAAGGCAAGGTGGAGACGATGCGAGGCCGGGGGATGGGACATGTAGAGAGAGGCGTGAAGGGCACAGAGGGCAGTTGCGGGAGTTCTGTGGCAGAGTCAGAGTCAGAGTCAGCGACAGTCGCAACTGGAACTGGATGGTTGGGTGCGTGGGTGCGTGGGTGCAGCCTGTGAGCCACTCAATCATCTCAAGCTCTGATCTTTCGGCCTGTAGCGGCGGGACACAAGCACCCAACACGCAGCACGGATCAATTGGCGTCTTCATCGGACTGAGGTCACGGGTCTTGGCACCAAATTCAGAGGCAGTTGCGCTGGATTCGAAACCTTCTTTCTTCCGGAAGCAATCCTGTGCTCGTGACCTACATCATCACGTGAAACACGTGATGAATCTTGAGTGCTTATGCCCCTGTGATCTCCATGCCACGGATATTCTGTTATATCCATCCACCACCTCTGCTTATGTCCATCCACGTACCCTTCTTATACGAGAGTCTTTTATCGACACCCTTGGTTGGTTGCCTTGATCCCCTCCACTCGCAGACTTTGCCCCATCTGGAAGTACAGTAGGTTGCGCTGGACTGGATCAGGAGCAAATCAGTACCTGATTCTCCCCGTGTTCGTCATCAACAGTGGCACCATGTACCACTATTCCCAATCGCTTTGGGGCTATAGTATGGCATTTCACTAATGCATGTGCAGGCCATTATGCGTGGCATAGATCAGTATCCAGTTAGGTCGTTCTATATAAACTACTTACTTCCACAGTGCCTACGTCCTTTAACCGCTATAAAGCGTCACACTTCGACCCTTCTGCCATCCCGCTAACTTGCTGCTTTGACTGTTGCTCAGTATACAAGCAGGTCTTGTCAATTTCTCAATATTTTACAAACCCTTGACCAATAGCCCAGAACCAGTCAAAACTGTCCAGCCCTCGCTCGTGCGGCATGGACGCAGAGACTCGAGTCGCAGTCGTAGGGGTAAGCGATTGATTGTAGACGACCTGACCTCGCAAAGGCTAACAATTCTACTCTTCTCAGATCAATGGCACACTTGGTGCCCCTGTCATCAAGTCACTGACAAAGACCAGTTTCGAGTTGACGTTACTCACTCGTGACAAGAACAAAACGCAGCAGTTTGTTGAGTCGACATTTCCCTCAAGCGAACGGATCCACATTACCGAAGTTGACTACACGTCCAACTCTTCACTCGTGTCAGCCTTGACAGGCCAGCACAGTGTAGTCATCTTGATCAGCCGGACTGTGGCGGACCCTCATATCAAGGTCATTGACGCCGCGATCGAGGCTGGGGTCGAACAAATCATTCCTTCTTGCTTTGGTCTAGATACACGAATCCCCTCGATACGGGCTAATCCGGCATTGGAACAGAAACTCCGAATGGAGGATCATGTCTTGCACCGGGCTGAGGACAAATCCAAGAAATGGTCCTACGCAATGATCCACACTGCCGTGTTCCTGGAATGGTCTCTGACGGCCGGGGTCTTCATCAATATGAAGGGCGGTGGAGATGCTCCAACCATGGTCTTTGATGACGGTGACAGTAAATTCGCCTTGAGCTCGTTCAACGACATAGGCACCGCAATAGTCAATGTGATTCGAAAGCGCCATAGCCCGGAAGTCAGGGACAAGGTTCTTCTCATGTCTTCGGTCCACACCACACAAAACGACTTGTTGGCCTACGCTAAGGGATTCCGGCCAGAGAAAACGTGGCCGACAATCCGCATTGACAGTGCAGACGCACTGCGCAAGAGCCGAGAGGCTCTCGCAAGAGGAGACAGGACCCCTCCTGCAATGTCTGGCTTTCTCGTTAGAGCCTACTCCGCTGACGGCAATGGGTGGTTTCCTAAGCTCGATAATGACGTTTTGGGGGTTTCACTCAAGGATGAAACATTCCTCAAGGACGCTCTGAGAGACGCTTTGCAGGCCTGAATGGCCATTGCTGGGAACGCATGGCATTTCTGCAACAGATATAATAGTAGTCTTGGGGGCAGCCATGATAATTTCATTGCACTGTGTTCCCATGAAAGCATCAATATGCAGCGAAGGTCACATAGGTTCAAAGCAGGAAAGGTTCCGCATTCCACTGTTTTTTTGATGGTTGAATCATATTGGACGCCAGTTCTTGGAGGCATAGTTTATTTCGGTTTATGTACACTCTTGTTCAATCACCCGACGCAATCGAATTCATCTTAATGGGCGTTGTTCTTGTGGTGTCCTGCGATCTCGTTAGTCGACAAATCCAAGCCACGCATAAAGATAGCCGCTCTTACTCAGATGGAAGTAGTATTCCATGCTGTAACCCACAGCCATGATACCGAAAATAGCATGCCAGATTGCTGTGTCCAGTTAGTTCGTCTATATCCCTCTAAATCGACCACATGAATAAGACGTACGCGCTGCTGATGGGTTCTCGCCGAAGTACTTGGCTTGGTAGCGTCCCAACAGACCAGTGGCTTCTCTCTTGGGGGCCGGTCCCTTTGGTAGTTTTTCGTAGAACTTGACTATCCGAGCCATGCGGATGGCATCTTTTGCGGCTCCGAGTCCCTATTCATTTCCCCGTCAATAATCCATACTGATCGATGTGTGCAAGAATTCGGTCTCAATTGAGGGTGATTGCGTGGTGTCCAGTTTGGGTCGTCCGCGCGAGGTGATGACTGCCGTGTGCATCAAATTCGAGGTGGGCTGGAGCTTACCTGAGGGTTTGCAACCTGTTTGAGCGCGTCAGCAACTATTCATCTTTTCTCGAGATAGCTTTTTCCTCACCTTCGGGGGGACCAAGGTTGAAACACTTCGGCGAATGACAAACGACATTGTGAGCTGGAAAGCGGGTGTCAGTGTTGGGGGGGGAGATTCTGCGCCGGTGGTTTGATCACGTACAGGAGACTCAAACAGTCGGAGATGAGTTGGGAGTGAGGAAGAAGCTGTTTGATCGTTCAACAGCATCAAATCCAGTAGCTCCTGTAACTTCCGTCAATCGCAGCAAGGATGCCAAGAGAGATTTAAGCTAATCCTATTTTGGAATTACTGAAGGACGGCGAGGAAAGAATGGTCACGTGATACAAAATCAAAGACTAGACACAAATATTTCACGTTCATTTCAATTCGACTTTTCAATTAAAATAGAATCAAGAATTCTCTAGGACTGAGGTTGACGCTCCCATAATGCTGAACTTCCACAAATTTCACTGCTTTCTGCATATTCGCCCAGGTTCGGAGTCAGGTTCGAGAATGAGCTTTGCCGCGTGAAGGTGCTCCATGCCTTTCCACAACGACATCTTCCCGCCCGAGACTGAGAATGTCACATAACGGTAGTCATCTAGGTCGCACCCGGGCAGTTGTTGCGATGGGCGTTGAGACTTCGATCTTGTAGCTCGATATCGTCGTGCTCTGCAAGCGAACTCAGGCTTGGCTGCCAACAAGGGATTTCGTGTAGGTTCGTGGAAGGCGGATGGCTGGCATCAAATCTCGACACGACCATATGCTTCGACGAAACCGGTGCAGCCTCTGAGTCAAGGTTTGAATGGGTTGAGTTGGATGAGACCAATGTGTCAGGTTTGCTCGAAAGGCATCGACCAGACGTTGCGTTGCTTGGTATGTGAAATGTAGACCTTCTGGACGGGAAAATTCTGGGAAAAACCCGCTGAACCGGCGTACGCAGCATTGGCAAATTTGCACAGATAGTTCCCAAACCGGCTTCGATGGTGGTCCATATTGTGGAGACGAGAGAGCCTGCCGTGGGATCATTGCCATATGCTGAGGAGTACAGGGTTGTCAATCTTGATATCGAAGCTGCGCAGACAATGATGCCCAATCCGAAAATGCAAGTCAAGGCTAGTTTCTGACGCCAGGAGATGTTCAAGTTGAAGATGACAGGAGGTACCATCAGAATGATGATGAAATCCGTGAGAATATTGTAAATTGCATTGCTGTACCAGAGGGCATAAATGTTGATACAACTCGACTTCATGTCCCATCGATGCCAGGCAGATTGAATAGGGTTGCATTGCATGACCGTAGCTGTCGTGAGGCTGACACAGGCGAGTAGGACGATATAAACCAAGACCCGGCATGTGCGCACAAAGTACCTCTTGTCGACAAAGATTCTTTGGTAGAGGAAGAGGATCGAAAGCTTGGTGAAATTGATGGTCAATTTGTAGAATATCTGCACCATAAAGAAATACTGAAATCAAAACAGAGATTAGCTATGCACTTGTGACTGGAGCAGAGCTGAAGAGATCGATGCACTTGCCTTCAAGGCTTCTGCAGCCTGGTCAGTGTTCATGGTCTTCAGAGGCCGCCCGTAGCCATAATTAACCGCTAAGATTGATGCGCTGCACTGAATAATCAGGAAGATCTGCCTTTACTGTCAGCATCCATTCGTCCCACACGCAGAAGACGATAGTTACCACTGAGAGGATGGTGCAGTAGTCGTCCCATCCTAGGCGGCCAAGCAGCTTGATACGCCAGTACAGCCGGTTCAACACAAGACAGGAGGAGAGAATCGGAGCAACCAGGGAGGGGATAACAAGATGAGCTCCTCGTCCACCGATACCGAAGCTGACGATTTCGCAACCAGAGCATAGTTGAACAGCCATTGTGTAAGTGCAACAGCAGAGATTGTGTGAATGTTTGTCTTCTTGGGAGCAGCCGATCTGAATCTTATTCACTGAAATCCTCGACGCTTACGGCGGGTCTGTCCATTGAAGATGAAGCAGACTGTGATTGTTTGCGGCTCGAAGACGGGTGAGCCGATGCGGATGGATGGGTGGGAATTGAATTGTGAGAGAGTCCTAAATGTTAGATCCATAGAAAATAGCGAGTCACATGGTTGGCAACCAGGCTTAGATGAAAGAGTGGACACAAAAAGCAATTGATGCTCTGAAGACGAATGTCGAACATGGCAGCATGCCTCAACTTTGAACATCTGCTGGTTAGATGACCTGCCGAAACAATGTTTATGTCATATTGACAGTCGAAAGCGAGAATTCATGCCTTGCATTTTATTCTGCACGAGCGAGGATGTCATATACATCCAGCGTCGCGACATCCCCGGCCGGTCGGCTGCATCATGCAAGAGATGAAGAGAATTCCGGGTGTAGAACCTTGGGAGCAGGGGAGATTTTCACACGAGAATCATTGTTTCTGGTGGCAAGTTGGTGGTATCCATAGTCAGATTGTCGCACGCTGCAATGACAAGCCATAGGTTTACAATGGTCGCTAACAATGAAGCAGATAATGTCCTCACGTCGAAGTAGAGAATGTACTGAAGATCAACATACCTGCTTACAATTGCTATGCTGGGTCGATTGGAAACTGCAACGCAGTGTCCAGCGTGGACTCGACTAAGAGAGGGCTGATGATTGGTCGGGGAGAGAAGCAGGAGCAGGAAGCCGGCTGCTTGGTCATACAGGTCCAGGGAGATGCTCGTCTTCAGGTTGGACTGTATTAGCGTCCAGGTCAAGCAAGTGATGGACAAACAACGCGACAGATATCGCATACATAAGATAGTCTCCACTGAGGGAAAGCAAAGAAGAACCTTGAAGCCTTAGATGTTTGTCTAGGGATGGATGATGGAGTCTCATAACATCAAACGTGGACCTAATGATAATGACTGACGACATGACTGCTGATCGTAAGTACCTACGTACCTATATCCTGTACCAAGAGTGTGTAGGTATGCAGACACAGGTTAAGATAAGGTCAGAAGAGCCAAGGCGCCGCCAGCTCCTGAGGATAGGGAGCTACCTCGGGCGTAGCAACAAGGCAATTTGCAAGGAAGGGCACGTGTGGCACGTGTGGCACGTGTGCCCACGTGTTTTACGTACCAACACACACAACGAACCCCCAGTGCCACGTGCGAGTTTCTACTTGATCTACCTCCTATCTTTCGGTAGTGCATATGAGTACCTAAAGTACCTAGGTAGGTAGGTACCCCGTTCGACTTGACCAGGTTGACTCGACTAGTTGGTCTTATTCCAATGGTCCGTACTTGCCAAAATTGATGATCACTTCAAACGTGGAATGCAACTCTCCGAAACCAGAGGAGAGACAGGAAACCTGCAAACACGCGTACTTGTGGATTGTCTCATCTTCTCTGCCTTACCCACAGGTCATGGCGGCGGTCTCGTGACGGGTTGATGATTGTGGTAGGAGGACAATCGTTGTCCTTTACGCGGCATGCGCCTTGTGATTCAAGACAGAGTGACAATCGTTCCTGCCTTGCCTACAAGTCCAGATCTGCTCAACCTCCTTCCCGTGCAGAGTTTTTCGGGCCTTGATCTTTGCATTTCGCACACAATGAATGGACAACCAGAGGTCTCTGTGGCCTCATCAGTGCTGCGCAGCGCAACCCCAACAGTCCGCGGTGAGGGCACCTTCAAGGGGAAGATCGGGCTAGGTATCATGACTTCTCAACCCACATGGAGTCAGTATGAATGAGTATGAGGACGTTGATCAGATCATCTTCGCTCGGGCAAGAAACAGCACGATAATGGAGGCTGTGTCTATGGAGAAAGCTAACGTACAGTCCTATATGAGCCCCCTTCCCTCCTCTTCCCTCCTCATCTGCACCCAAGCTCTCATCAAGCTACTCGTCAGGTCAAGTGGTAAAAGCCGGTGCAGTGACAACAGTATCTCACGAGGAAGGGGACGCACGATGGCTACGCCTCAAGTGTCGATGCAAACAAATCTCATGAGTACTCACTCACCTTTCTTTCCCTGCTCAAGCACCGCCTTGGGAACATATTCCGCTCCTCAACAATATGTACTGACCACCATTGGGGATATATTGACTGTCTTCACTGTCGCCTCACTGGCCCACGCATTGTCACCTTCCATTATCACGGCAATCGCGTTTCCTTCAAACCCTTTACCCTTGTCGCCACAATATCTTCACGTTCATTTCACCCAGCACCTATATGTATTCTTCAACTCAACCTTGTTCATCCTTTTCATTGCTTCAGACATCCTCAACCGCCTTTCCTTCAATCTCATTAGTCTCGGTAGCACACTACTATCCAGGTTCTTGCCATCCAACACCTGTTTATATCCTTCACGTCTAGTTAACGCTGTTCAACAACTACAGATACCTCGAACATCCTCAAACCCCGTAAAGACTGACCAGACCAGACGATCCCAACCCTAACCTCAAGGCGATCGATCGAAATTAATAAGACCTTACATGGATTGTCGACCTACCTCGAATCTTCAGAGCTGCGGAAACAACCACATCCAGAAAGCCCATAGCTTGCCTCAGGGGACCGATCTTTCTACAGCTTCTAAGTGCCTATCAATTAGCACTTGTATCCCAACTCCTGACAATCACTCTCCTTCACATGGGGAGCACAGCACAGAAGATGACGAGGCTCATGAAGCTCAGGGTGGCCTGAAAGACGTATTTTCGCCGTCGTCCTCAACGAGGAGTGCGAGTACGAGCCCACCCGCTTACTCAAATTCTTCACATGAATCCACCACAGACGATCGAACAGATTCCCCAGGGAAACCAGATGCGCCTGACAATCACGAACTGCGCTATGACTCTGCAAATGGTCAACACACCATCGCGAACCTGGAGCAAAATGATTTTTCAGCCACCAACATTGATTCGTGCGACAAGGCGATGATGGGAAGCGTCAGACCTTTGACATCAAATTCTAACGTACGCTATCACTTGATCCCTGGCCCTCGTAACTTCCATCACTTGAGTTACTTCAATACATATGTGATGCAGAAGACGGCTACACCTCCTGCTGTGAGTCTGGTGCTCATCAAGACTGATGCCGGAAAGCCAGGAATGGATGAAGATTTCCAACTGATCAGGATTGCCGTGGCGCGCAATGCGATGCATTATATCGACCCTATTATCTACAACGGGCCCAAAGAGCATCTATACACTCTATGGGGGACCAAACTGCAAGAGGCAGTGACAGGACATTGTAGGAAAGTGTATCGACCTGTTGGTTCTTGGATGCACGATAGCTACAAGCCGGGCGAAGATGTCCCCGTTATGGCACCGGAACTTTACTCGAGCACCGAGGTGATGCTCAACAGCGTTGTTAAACGGCCCAACTTTCTTGCTTGTGCTGCGCACGAGTGGCAAACCCGTGACGATTGCAAGGCATTTCTTCGACCTCGAAAGAGGGAGCTCGAGAGGGACGAGAATTGCCAGCTCAAATATCCATTGCCAAAGTCACGACTGAGCGAGTGCTGGAATGCGGTTGAGGATGACTTACTCATTGAACAGGAGCACCCTGGAAATGACTGGAGAGATAGGCTTGCGGCGCTTGACAGTCGGAACGCACCCTTGAGCGACTGGGCGGATGAAGTTGCAAATGAGGTCCTTGTTGAGTACCCTGCGCAACAACAGAGACAGTCGGACTGGAAAGCCAAAGTAGCAGTGTTGGATGAATGGAAGGGTTCGTTGGAAAATTGGGCAGACGAAGTTGCTGATGGGGATGTTGTCGAACCTCGATCACAACAACGGCCATCAACGTTGAATGGGCAGGACGACAGAAGGCTCAAACCTTGGCTGACTGGACCGTGGCGGAAGGTGAACAAATGATGGCAGGCACGGTGAGAAGGGCAATTTGTTGTTCAATAGTATATCTACGAGTTGTAGTAGTACATACAATTGTGCGAGTATATATCTGTACTCCGTACTGCGATTTCGCTTCGAAGTCTGTGGTGTTCATCCTCTGGGACGATCAGGGTCGTTTAGGTTTGTGGATCGGCAAACTTTATGTGGCAGACGGTCACTCATCAGTGGCGAGCAGGTGGCCATTCGTTTGGTTGTTTCAGGACAATATTGGAGTTCAGGATACCGTTGTTAGCAACGAGGCACAGGATCATGCGAGGACACGATGGACAAACAATTTAGAACGCTCAAACAATTCTGCAATTTCCCCCATGCCTGTTTCAGCATTTTTGACTCAAAAGAGGTGGTAAGAGGGTCTGTAAAATTGCCAGACATGGGGGCGAGGAGCAGTTGTGCCTCGTCTGGCGCAAGAGGCTTGAAGTTTAAGGTCTTGGAAGCCACATACTTTGCCCAAGGGGGTTAGCGAAGTAGGAAACTATCCCTGGGACATGGGTAGATCTGCGTCGCGATCCCGCTAGTTTGTCACCATTGCACGCTTGTCCAGCTGGTTTGGATCTCATAGATTGGTCACCCAGAGTGACGAGAGGAGTGAGGAGACCGATGAAGAAGAGTCTCACTGCAGCATAGTATTATTGTTTTATCACTTGACAATTGACATCGTTGCGTCGTGGACAAGATGAGTGTGTTGGGGAGGATGGGAGGTGATGACCGAGTCCCTGATTCACACCTGCATTTCCAATACATGCAGTGATGGTAACAGCCAGGAACAGGACTAGTAGGTGGTAGGGCTAATGCTAGGCAGTTCTGCCGGCGTGGATTGGTGCAGACTCCCAGGCAAAGGAGTGACAGTAAGAGCGGCAGAGGCTTCGAGCGCACACTACGGAGTAGGTTGCTAGCCAAAAGTAGGAACATACGGAGTAGGTCCCCAGTTTGCGTTCGTCGACACTTCTGGGTAGCTGTCAAAAGACACGGGCTTCCGTAGGTGGCACCGTCCAAGCCTGCAGGACATCGTCACACCTCCAGTTTCTCTCCCAATCGTGTCAGTCTCAGCTAACCCCGGGCCTGGGATCGCCGCCTCTAAACTCCAAACCCCCCCAGAAGCCGAAAGCTACGAGAGTCCAAGTCGGCGGATGTGCCAGTGCGTCGAATCCACTCTCCTGCGTTTCTGCACCTGCCCACTACTGCCACTGCCAACCCATCCTGCGACTTTGGGGGCATTGGGTGCCGTGGGTGCCCATTTTGGTCCTGGCACCAACGCCTCCCGTCGCTGCTGCAGCTTGCCCTGCCACACTCTCCCAATCATCTACCAAACCTCGCCGTCCTTCACCTCGATTCTTCTTCCTTTTGCCTTTGTTGTTACTCCATCTCCCGTTTGCTTGTTGTTGTTCCATCCCGCCACAGGGCCTTTAGACCTTCGGGGTTTTCTTCTACTACTCTGACCATCAGTCGCTCTTTTTCCCTATTTGATTTTGCGTCATCGCCATCACCGCTATACAAAGCTTCCCACTCCGCCCTCCCCAGCTCGGACCTCACCTTAACTTGTCGGTCGCACACACTGCAGCTTTCCACCGAGCCCCGACCCGGCTCTCCCTACACCTGTCAAAGCTCGAACCACCCGTTGCTTAATTCGAACTCCTATCCTGCCACTACGTATCCAACGCCCACGTCGCGTGGCACCTCGACTCAACGCGAAGATTAACAAAGGGGCTCCCACGGAGAGGATGGATTCAGCATGAGCTTGGGAAATTCGATGAATCTTGGGACACTGGGAATTCTCTACAACTCTTGACAAGACCTCTTTTCAATCATGCTCATGAGAAGATATACCTTGCTGGGCGCTTTGGCCTTGTTCTCTCAGGCGGCCCTTGCGCAGCTGTGCATCTCCCTTGAGGGTTCAACCACTTGTCCAGCTTTCAGTGATGCCGCCATCTCAACAAACACCAATCTGTCTAGTCGATTGTAAGTCGTTGGATCATCATTCGCAAACCCATCACTAACCAGGACCAGTCCATTTCTAGCTTTCGTCACCACCACCGAGTCGTTCGACACCCAGTTTTCTCAGTACTTGTCACAACAATATGTCTCCTCCAAGTTCACCGACGTTTTTGGCTGTGACAATGTCGATCTGGCCAACACCTCCAATTACTACCCACGATACACCGCCAGCTTCCTCTGCAATGCCATGGTACAAATCACTGGCGCCGCATGTGACTTGTCGGGCGACCAACTCCGACCATTGTGTGTAGACTCGTGTGCTGAAATGGCACTCAGCGAGTCTCAAATTGTTTCCAGCGACCAACTCTGCCCTGGACGAGCGGCCAATTACGCCGACGAGTTACGCGCCGATTTTACCAATTGCGCGCTGCCAGCAGAATCCATCAGCGGGAGATGTATTGATGGTTCAGCCAACGAGCCTAATGACTGTGGCTTTGGTCCCAATTTGATGGGTCTTTGCAACTTTTGTCGTTCCAGCACTACCAATGGCACCGATTCGTGTTGTTTCACAGCCAATGCCACGGGTCGTTGTGAAGATGTCACCTTGCCTGTCTTTTCAGCCATTTCAGACATCATTACTGGCACGACCACCCCCAGCACTCCGACCTCATCAGCTTCCTCGTCGGCAACTGCAGGTGCAGCCGCAGGCGGGAGCGGTCTGAGTGGCGGCCAGATTGCAGGAATTGTCGTGGGCTCAGTCCTTGGTTTCCTGCTGCTCTTGGCTCTGATTATTCTCGCGATTGTCTGTCTCCGCCGCAGACGGGGCAACAACAATGCTGGGAGCCCGTTGAATCAACCATCACCTCAAAGGCGAGGAAATTCGTCAGCCTACAATCAGCCCATGACACAGCCTGGCTATGAGGTCCTCCCTGGCGGGCGTGTGACTCGTATGTCTGCTCTGCAAGATGAGCCTGGGGTTGCGGGAGCTCAAATGGCCCCTCAGGTCGGGCCTCGCAATTACACATCCCACACCGATCCATACGGCGATAGCCCTGAGTCCAACGAAAAAGCTCTTGGCGTGGGAGCAGTCAAGGGGTCACTCAGTGGGTCGCAGCAAGGAAGCTCTCCGGGCAGTAACGGGGATTTCTCCTCGCCAGATGGAGTGGCTAGTGGCCAGTCCGAACAACTTCCGTTCTTTAAGGATTATTATTCGAATGAGGACATCCACCCACAAGACAAAGTGTCGGTGTTATGGGCATACCAACCTCGAGCCGGCGATGAATTCGAGTTAGAAAGAGGAGACATGCTCAAAGTGGTCGGCATTTGGGACGACGGCTGGGCTACTGGCGTCCGAATCGATGATCGCGCTGAAGACTACGAAGGCAAGCATAAGCTCCAGAGAGACAGCGGAGTTTCGAACGGGACACGCAATCGAGAAGAATCACCTGCGCCTCCTGGGGAAATCAAGGCATTCCCCCTTGTGTGCGTCTGTCTGCCAGAGGCGTGGAGGAAGACGGTCGAAGGCGATACTTCGACAGAAAGCGGTTCGGGTGCACTCCCGCCGTGAGAATGTCGCAGTCTTGAATTCAACCAACCACCTCGGAGATTATGATGATATGCGATTAGCCAGGCGTTTGACATGTGTGCGACCGTCCGACCCAATTCACCCTTGACACCTCCCGATAATAACCCATAATATCAACCTACCACTTGTCCACAGGTTCCAAGCTGACACCACCTGTGGATGAGAGTCCTTCTTGTCGATACCTTTGGTCGACCATGACCACCCCGATTTCTCCCGAGACACACCACATACCGGAATGACTGGCATGGATGGATGTGTCTCAACTTGGATTGATACCCTCTTGTACATAGTTTCTGCTTGCGCAACATTGAATATCGGCGTTTGTGGAAGTTGTTGATTAATCAGAGGGGTGGTTTGATTGCTTGCATAAGCCCACGTCGATTGGACAGCATGCTTGGTGAAGAGAGCTTAAGTGACTCTGTTGATCTCGAGATCCTCCATTCAGATGCAATCGACTGCATGTTTTACAGAGCATTGCATGTCTGAAAGGAGAATATGATAGACGGTGATCATAGTGCACCGGATGAAACAAAAAAGAAACAACAGATGTTTAGAATTAGCTTGCTGTACATGCTGCGTTGCTAGCAGGAATGTATTGCATGACTTTGAAATGTTCTTATTCTTTGATCAATCTTTATTTCGCCATGATGGTGTGCCATGTGGGATGAGTCGTATGCCAGTGCCATGTGGCATATCTGTCGATCTTACATTCGAAGACCCCTCGAACACAGCAGCACAGAGTCAATCCTTTTGCGGTGTCGTCCAGGTACATGAGTACTTAGGGAGAAGGTGACACAAATAATCGCCTTGGTTGACGCACAATGAGAATCCTTTTCTTCCCTCACTGCCTAACTCCTATCTCGTGCGAGTGCACACCGCTACACTCCTACCTACTATCCCTACCTTTAAATTCATATTTGGCAGTAGGTCGTACCTGACCACAGTCACAAAGAAGTTATTTCTAGAATTAGGATCGTAGGGTTGCAGTTCATCTTACATTACCTACCTAGGCAGGTAGGTAAGCCAGATAACCCAGATAATCCATCAGGATGCATGAAGTACTCATACTGTACCTAGGTATGTAGATGGACGCCTCGTGTCTGTTTGGTCTCCTTTAAGTTTACCCACCCATCAGCCTCGGATCCAATATCAGATTCGGTTAAGGTACATTTCCTTGATCGTCCAGTTCATTATTACTTCCTAATCCCCCCCCCCCCCAACACCCCTCATTTTGGATCTACCGTGGTCTAGTCTAAATCCAACTACTCCATACTTCATCTGACTATCTCACCGCTGACTCGCTGACTCGGCGGAGCTCGCTCCACCAAACCACCACTCAGAGCATGCGAAACTATTGTCCAACTTTGATCTATCCTGTCCTGTCGCGGACACCGAGATCATGGACCTAGGTTCAGGATCATGGATATATAAGAATGCACTTGGCACCCGACCGAGGGAGGAGGGGAGGGGAAAGTGTAGAGTACCTTAAGTACTGGATAAACTGTGAAGAGTCCAGATAAACAAGACAAAGACGTCAGAAAAAAGCAAAAGTTAGGGCGGGGTTGGTTCTCGGTACTCGGGTATCTTTATCCATCATAGCACTAACTGTCGAATACAGTGACAGGAGCTGAGGAGACCACCTAGGTACCCATCTACCTATTGTCAAATCGACATTTTGCACACTTGCTAAGGTCTACTTGAGTGTGTGGTTGATTTGAATAGGGTCATTTCATCGACTGGTTGATTGACTCAGACCTCGAGGAACAAAGTGGTCGCCGACAATTGATATAGATCAAAAACAGATCTCATTCAATACTTACAACATCCACCACCAACACCAACACCAACACCAACGAACAAACACACTCCTCAATTCCCTCCTACAACATGACCACAAACCGCACCACCACACCCGTCGCGGGCCTCCCCTTGTTGAAGCGACATATCGCCAGCCACGACGCAAACGGTAAATCCATCTATACGACGTCGCCCGCCCAACAATTCATTGCCATTCCCGGTGTTGGGGGCCTCGCCCGCTCCTATTCCGTGTCTGGTGTTCCAGCGACATTGACCGACGACGCCGACTTGAAAGCATATCTTTCCTCTGACGCCAACGAGGTCACTAGCTGGACTCAACCTAATATTGTCACTCCCAATGGTGTTAATCTTCTGATTGTGGACCTTGAGCCAGGTGGAGTCAGTCAGATGCATCGCACGGTTTCGATTGATTTCTCGGTCTGTGTGTTGGGTACGATTCTGCATGAGTTGGATTCAGGTGAGACGGTGACGTTGAAACCTGGGGTGAGTACTTTTTTTTTTCTGTCTGTCTGATTTCCTTTGGGTCGCTTTTGTTGGTAGAAATTGCGAGGGTCAAAAGGAATATGCGTGTTGAGGAGCTTCAAACTAACGTATCCTCATCTATAGGACCATATCGTCCAGCGAGGCACTAATCATCGTTGGCATAATGCTTCCAAGACGGAGCCAGCACGTTTTGTTGCCACTACAGTGTCTTGCGTTCCATTCGACATTGCTGGGAAACCACTGGAGGAATATCATGCGCCAGTGGAGACAGAGAAGAAGGATGGCAATAAGTTGTAAAGCTCTGCAAATAGATCCGTTTCCTAGCTTAGCTGCTATGTTGAGAAAAAGAATTTCCAATTTCACATTAATTATTACTATTCTCACATTTGTTACACAGATTACATGTTGGCAGGTGATGACTTCTCAAAGAGATAAGTAGACTATAAACAAGACCCGCATTTGACCAGCCATTCGTCATTTGTCGTGCAAAGCGTCTGTCATCTCTCTGAGTTAGGTATGATTCTTTCCATTCCATTCCTGATTTGTTACGACCCAACCAGCCAAGTATTATTCAAGGGTATCATGGGAGTAAGCTCGCAAAAGCGCCATCATCTCTCATGCGAAAGACGGCTTAACGAGTGACATTGTCGTGGTATGTCTTATGGGTGCTTCCATTGGTAATACCAGAAACTCCATTTGTACCAGCGACGCCCAAAGGCTTGTTGGGTTCAAAAGCTTGGTCGACTTGGCTGACAAAAGCACCTGTTCCCGCGCCGCCCGAAGCGGGTACCGTGCCGATGGGGTTGGTACCCAGGGTTCCAGATTGACCCAAAGGAGCCATGCCAGATTGACCCAAAGGAGCCGTGCCAGTCTGACCCAAAGGAGCCGTGCCAGTCTGACCCAAGCCGCCTTGGGTGGCCGACTGACCTGTGAATCCTGGTGCTTCACCGCCAGCGTAACCCGAACCTGGGTGGGACGAACCGAGGCTGCCAGTGGATGGCTCAGCGTTGGGGTGATTCCCACCTCGCACGGTGGCCTTGGTGACATTGTGAGGCTTGCGGCTGACGGGAGTGAGCTTAGGGATGTCGGTGGATGCCTTTGCGCTTCCAATGCCGAAGACGGGGGATTCCCACTTATCACCCTTGGCAGCCAGCTGCTTGTATTCAGTGGCCTTGGACGAGATTCCTCCAGGAAGAGAAATGTTCTTGAACATGGAATCTTCTTTGGTGACAGCCATGTTAACGTTAGTATTGGAGGCAACTTGCTCAGCCTTCTGCTTCTTTTCAGTGAATTGCTTCTGGATGGAGTTGACCCAACTCTGGTAGATGTTGGGAGCGTCCTCAGGATTCTCCTTGGCGGCCTCGACGGATCGCTGTACGTCTTGATGCACGGCATATGCGAACGCATCACCCTTGGCAAAGTTGTCTCGAATCTGTTTCTCAATCACCTTCTGGAGGACAGGTCGCATGGTCTTGAGCAGTAGGGGCTTGGCGACGGCGAACAGCAGCTTGTGGTTGGACTGCTTGATCTTGACGCTCAAATTCTTGATGTTGACATCAACATTGTCAACCACGACAAAGTGGCTGCGGTCAGACTTCTTGGCGTTGCGAGCAGTCAACTTGAAGCTGAAGCCTTCACCACCGAGGAAGATGTCCATGACACCTTTGTCGGTGATGGAGGGGAAGCCCTGCTTCTTCTTGATGTAGTAAGCGACGTCCCTCAAATCCATTTGAATGCCAGAGGCGGCCACGGTGATCTTGTTATCTCTCTTGTTGGAGATTGACTTTCGTCCCATGCGCCAGTAGTTGTCACTGCCAAATTCAAACGTGTTGGGGAAGAGGTTGTCGCTTTCAATGACCAAGTTCTCGACAACAACATCAACCATTGGGTCGGAGATCTCAATACGAGGAATAGGAACGTAGCGTGTGTTCTCGAAGATAGCTGGGATAATGACCTCGGTCAGATCCTTGACCAAGTGAGGCTTGAACTTGGCCTTGCCATTCTCGTCGTTCCCGAGATCCAAGAAGAGTTTCTGCACTGCATCGCCAAAGGCCTTATTTTGTGGGTCTTGGTCGAATTGGTCGCCGAGGAATTTGAGCTCGTCGAGGATACGGTCGGTGTGGTTGCGATAACGGTCGCGGAAGAGGTAGCGACCTTGCTCGTAAAGACGATCCCATTCTTCGCTGGAGCTGTCGCGGAGGATATATCCTTGTTCCTGAAGGGTGCGTCGGATGAACTTGTCGGTGGCCTTGAACCAATTCTTCAACTCTGGATCACGATCGGCATCTCGGTAGATCTGGTTGAGTGAGTCGAAAAGATCGTCGGTGCTGGTAGAGTTGGCGAATCGTTCGATCAAAGTCTTCAAGTTTGTCAGCGATTGCTTGTTATCGTCTAGGAGACCTAACGCACCCTTAGATCAGTTTCTGCAGATCTCAAACTATTGTCATCATGGGCACCTTTGACAGTTCCAACAGACTGGTTGCCAACATCGCTGGCATGGCCTGCATATGTTTCTGCAAGAGAGAGCAGAGTCTCAATGGCTTGTTGGTCTAGTTCAATGTTAGTTCACCATCGGCAATATTAAAACGGCGGTCGACTCACAATCGGAATGTCCTTGAATCTCAACGACCAACTTCTTCAAGCGCCAGATGGTTTGGTCGCGTCGCTCCTGGGGAACCTTCTTGTTAAGGTAGTTCTTCGAATTCTGAATGGCGGTTTCCTTGGCCTTTCTGGCATCTTCTTGTCGTTCTTCGGGAATGTTGGCTTGAGCTTGAGACTTGAGGTTGTCAACAGCCTGACCCACACCAGCCTCGGCAGCTTGTCTATTGTCCTGAGTGGGTTGTTGCTGAGCAGTGTCGAGTCCTTGCTGTGCAGCCTGCTGGGCTTCTTGTTGGTCGAATGGTTTATTCTTGTCATAGGCTGCGCGAGCTTGGTTCTTGAGGTTCTCTCTTGAGAGATCAGGTACGTCATGCCAAGTATTGTCCTCGGCAGGCTCGTCGATCTGGCGAAGACGATCCTCGGACGGGTTGACACGAGTGGCAGCTTCTTGTGCAGCATCACCTGCGATGTCTCGTAGAAGGATTGTAGCGTCACTCAGGAGTTTTCGGAACTGGCCGTTGGAAAGAATCAGACGTCCAAGCGTCTTCAGACCGTCGAGAGCCTCATCACCGTGCTGTTGAGCGGTAGCCTTGTCTGTGGGCGCACCGGGCAACTTGGCATTTCCGCCGTCGAGGTGTTGAGTCTGCCAGATGAAGTCTTGAAGGAGGTTTCCTTCGTTCTTGCTGAGGAGGAGAAGCCTGGCTTGGTTGATGACCTCTTTCAGGTCAGCAACGAGGCCTTTACCTTCGTCGGAGAGTCGTTTTGAGGGGGAAGACAGAGCTCTCGAGGCGAGGGCGCTGTTCAGAGCGACATCAATCTGTTGGTTGGAGGGAACCTTGCCGTTGGAAAAGGCTTGGTAAATCCCATACAGCTGGAGTTTTTGGTTAATGTCCTTCTCCTTGACAGTGGTGTCAGTAGGACGGTTGACGGTAGCCATGGTCAAGGTCAAAGGTGTCGCAGGGAGGGTATCACAGTGTTAGGAGAGTGTAGAAAAAAGACAGGCTCAGCGGGTATCACAATGAAAAAAAGTGCTGGGATAGATGTGGGAGAGATGAAAGATGATGTAAGGACATGGGCAGATTGAGCGGGTTAAAAGGACATGGACGAGGCGTGAAGGGAGGATGATGTGATGTAAAAACCAAAGTGGCTCAGGCATGGCAGAGGGAGACTAGCACGCGTCAACGTCAACCTTTTGAATTTCCAAGGACAGAACCACCAAATAGTCCGATCGTCAGTACTAGACACGACGAGTGGTTCAGTATTCAGGTGGCTTTGTTCAGCAAACGACATCACTGATGGGACGAGTTGTGGAGAAAACCATGTAGCAGACAACTGCGATGACATCGAAAAGTCGACAAGCTGATGTCATGTTCCCCCTGCCGTCTGCCTTGGCACCTGGCATGGACCCATTGGGTCGGCGGGCAACAGCCGCATCCGCCAGGGCCTGTCTCAATTCAGATGCAATTTAGATGGAATCAGATGCAATTGATGGTCTGCCACTCAAACTCTGTGCTGTTTGGGGAAAACTAGGGGGTCACTGGGGTGTTTTCTCCATCAAATCATCAACCACTCCAGATGCGGCCATCAGCTTGATGATAAGCGAGTGGCAGCTAGAGATGGCCTCGGATAGCTTATTTGAAGCACCATGGATTCAACATGATCTGGATACCATGATTATTGTACTACCGACATACACACATATGATAATAACAAGGTACCTGTATCTATGAGTCTGTTTTCCTGCCTCTCTAGTCGAAATGGGAACAAAAAAGGACGAGTTGCGATCAGAAGATCAAGCCGCTTACGCTTACGCGTACCATTATTGTCGATGTGGTCAACTTCGGCGAGGAAGCCACGACCCACGGTACGGTGACTATGCGTAGACTTGTAGCGCAGCCGCCCACCATGTGCGCGTGTGTCTCTCAGTTAGTGCTGCGATGCCAGCTCTACCCACAGCCCTGTTTCACGAATAGGACACCAATCCAACTTGGATATCGTCATCATGACCAGGTTTGTGTGCATGGGGAAATTTTCAAAATGTAGTTTTGTTGATCGAGATCCATTGAATGACGTTCCGGTGGGGCCATGGAATCAACTGGATCTGGACTGCAGAATTTCCTGGACATGACATCCTACCACTCAGAGCCCGAGAAAGTGTGGCACCTACTCCGTAAAGCTCCCGTGGCTGGTGCCCATCGCCTCACCTGGAAGGTGCGGAGAAGCGAGGAATCTGCACCTCCCGTAACCAGTTGGCGGCCAGGGCCACGCAAACATCAATTGATCAAAATGTGGGAAACAGGGAAATCCGTGCTCATTCGGACTGTGCAACCTTTGCCACGTCTTGTCCAACAAGTCTCACTGCTGGACTCTAGCTACAGTACACCGCGAGGCGCGTTTTATCCCGTGACTAAGATTTCCTAACTACAATTCAACTTAGCCGACAAATTTATGTAGGATGGGGAATCTCGAGATTGCTTCTCTTGATGTTCAGTCGCCTAACGATGCTACATTATATAAGTACAACAAGTAATGATAAAGAGGAATATGAATACTTAGGTAGTATATTAGGTGAGTTGGTGCCAGACAAGGTCACGTGAGTTTTCGGAATCACTCCAGAGAAGTTGAGCGCCTTGGCATCATCTCAGTCCATAAGGTCCTAGAGCATTTATGATATCTAGCAACAACTAAGTAAGCCTGGTAACAAGGTCTTCTGCATGTCTCTTGCAGTTCTAAGGAGTATCAACGTCTCCCATCCCCATCAAGTTCGCCTTGCCCGATTTATGGATGCTGGCGATCATTATGACCGGAATACCACTTTGGAGGCAAGTAAGGCGAGAATAGTCGCGGTTACGGCTATGCTAAGGATACTGGGCGGCCGCCGTGTGGTTAAATGAGGCCATGAGTCTGACGCTGATAAATTCGGCTAGAATTCCTACATGGTTACATGACAGAAGATCCCTCGATCTCAAAATGCTATGCCTTTGGCCTCCGCCCAAGTTTGACATGGATCCCTCTTTGTTTGTTGAACCACAAGTCCTCAGTCTCCCAAGGCCGTCCAGGATGAGCCAGCTCAAGATCGAACTCTCGAAGAATCGTCGGAATGAGCTTGTGGATCTCGCAGATCGATATCTAGGGAAATGTCAGGAATTCGAATGGCACACAGTCAGGTCTGAACAATAAGTCCCCCAACAGCTCTTTGTGGTAGAAAAAGGCCTGGTGAAAGCCAAGGGAGAAACTTGTACAGGTTGAACTTACATTCTTGCCAATACATGTCCTGGTCCCTGCCCCAAAGTGCAGCATGTATTTGTCCATATTTTTGGAGTCACCGTCAATCCATCTTGACGGCCTGAATTCATCGACCTCAGGGCCAAAAATCCCCGGATCACGCTGAACGACAGCCGCATTCATACCCACATAATATCCTTTGGGAATATAACGACCACAGAGATTGAGTCCTTCCGTCGGCGCGATTCTTGGCATGGTGAGGCCGACGCTGGGATGCAGGCGCAGTGCTTCCTTGATCGAAGCGCACAGATAAGGGAGCTTTAGTGCCTCTGCATACTTAACCGGAGAACTGAGGTCGCCAGCTGTGGCAGCCTGGTCGATCTCAGCCTTCACTTTTGAATACTCGGCGGGATTAGTCATCAAGAAATAGAGAACTGCCCGCATGGCAATGGCTGTGGTATCGGAACCGGCGAATCTATATTGTTTAAGCGCTGTCAGTACAACTTCATTTCATGTAGGGAACCATGCAAACTCCGGGGATATCTTACAAACCCACGTAGGCTTCAAATTCGACTTCGTGCACACCAAAATCAAGCTTCTCTCCTTTGGATTGGACGATCTCCAAGAGCTGGTGCATGAGGTCTCGTCGAGAATTATCTTGAGAATTGGCAGCTGTCTTCATCCTTTCCGCAACACATTTTCTAGCCGCATCTCCAATGTGATCGAAGGCCTTCAAAGCTCGCCTGGCTTCCGAACTTATGATGGCTGATCCAAGGATAAAAGGCCGAATATAGGTTGGCGAAACCGCCGAAGTAACAATTGTGGGTATCAGAGTGTCTAGCGACTGAATATAGTTGCCGTGGTCTCGAGAGAACTCCATGAACCCAAACATGCGGCCAAAGTAAAGTTCTCCAATAACATCAAATGCGTACCTAGTTGTCAAGGCTTGTTAGCAGATGACCGTACTGTGCACTCTAGCCGGGGTAACTCCTACCACTGCAACCATTCTCCCAGATCGACTTGGCTTCCCTTGTCCGCATACTCTCCCATCTTCTCAACAAACAACTTCGAGCATTTATCAATGTACACCTCCGACTGTAATACATTGGACAAAGTATAGACATGATTGACGATTCTCCTTCGTTCGGAATGGAGTCTTTCGTCTGTTCCGCTGAAGTTATCTGGGTACTTGGACATCGAAGTGTTTCTCCAAGGCGGATAAAAGTCCGTTTTGGTCAAGGGTGCTTGCGTGCGGTAGATCTGTTTGATGGCTTCTGGGTCGGAACATGCAATCTCATTGGGAGCAATTCTGATCAGAGGTCCGTATTGGGCATGGAGGGCGCGTTGGATCTCGTCCATGCGGCCACGACGTGTGTTCAGGACAATCCACACTCTGGAAACAGACGCAAGCCACGGGCCGGGGATTCCCGCGAGAGGATGCAATGTTCTTGCATAAATGATCCATAGGATCCAGTAAAGACAGACAACTGGAAAGAGGAATAGAGCAAGGACGCAAAGCCTCCAAATCAGCTGGACGTCGAATAGCATTGTGACCAAAGAGCTTTGAGTGAGAAGATTGAATTCGGCAACCCTATGTATGTCATCCACATTCAACGGAAACACAATGGGCATACTCTGCTTTAATACCTTTACATTTCAAGCTCTATGGTGAGTAGGAGGTCAGGATCCCCAGAGTGACGACCACCACAATCTCCGCTCCCCGGACCCCAGCTTCACATCGCGGACATTGTGGGGGTGGGTCTGGGGGATCCACCCTCCTTTCAGCCCATCCAGTAAGACGTCAGTTTACGGCCAGACTAATCGGAAAATCCCCCTTTTATCTTCTCAGAGACCGATTTGTGGCGCTGCTAGGTGATGAGGGGCACAAGCGAGAGGGAGGAAGATTCTTCTCCATCTTTTCATTCTCTCAAATTTGTCACTCCATACCACAGGCAGTTTGTGGTGCGCTTCTCGCTTCCTTGAAAGACAGTCATTGTGTTGTAATCACTGAGCCAAGAACGACCAAGACGCATCTGATTCAACAAGCGGAATAGCTCTCGCCTCGAAAGTAAAATCGTCTCTAAGACCCGCCCTTACAGAATCATTCAGCACACAGAGATCAACCTGGATTCAGCCTAGCTGAGATTGCCATGTCGCATGCGCCGCCTTCTCAAAGTGATAGTGACTCAGGAAATGGCGCCTCGAGCCGTCATGGCCACCAGTGCCCTGTGTGTGGGCGAATCTATAGCCGTATGGAACACCTGGATCGACATTATCTGACTCGTAAGTGTTATTACCGTCAAGTTTCTGGAGGCACGGAGGTGTCAGGCTGATCATACTCATGTTGAAGATACGTCTGTGTACCCATTTGCTTGCGCCCTATGTGGTAAGCCATTCAAAAGGAAGTCCGTCCCCTGTCTAAGTTCACGCCGCGGTCTAAGTCGTGTTACTGATCGAACGTTCAGTGATGTCCTCAAACGCCATCAGCGCAACTGTAAGCCTGGTGAGACACTAAGTCGGGTCTCAATGTCGCGTCGAGCATCAGCCGTTCGGAGAAAAGCTTGTCAGCATTGTGTCAGACAAAAGCGACGATGCGATCTGGAGTGGCCATGCAATACTTGTACACTGCAACGGAAGGCCTGCGAGTACCTTGATACAGACCAACTATCTAATGCGAAGCAAAAGGCCAGTGGAGAAGATCTAGCGATGTGCAGCCCGCCTGAATTGGCCGCCGCCCGTTCCTCAGTCGATGTTCTTCCAACCGAGTTGGAATCTAGTCACGAGAATACGACAGATCCCTCCTCTTCACCGAACGCATCAAGCTTCCACGCAGATGGTCAAATGGGGGCTTCGAGACCAGCTGCCCTATCTCCGACAAGGAGTGTTCAGGTTGCGTCGAAAGAAGACTGTTTTGAAAGCTCTGGCCTCCCACTTTATCATTTCCTGAGACCCCCGGCGCGACCACCTGCCGAAACGCTTTACTTCTTAGCCAACTTCACCCAAGACGCCGGCATTGTGTTCGTGTTTGAGTCAGACGCGATACTGCTGAGTCTAAAAGATACTTGCAGGACGCTTTTAGGAGACCCAAAGTATCCCTTCGACCACGACTCTGAAGGTTTGGATCAACCAAACACCGACGTAATGTTCGATTTACCTGAAATCGATCTCAATCATTCTCAAATTTTCAATCCGCAAGATCTAGAAACCGGCGCTTTTCCTTTTGATGCCGGGGTCTGCCACCCGTTTGAAATGGCTGCAGACCATCAGACCCTTACAGCATTCACGAATTGTCAGACATCCTTGATTCCTTCTGTGGGGAAAGATTCCTTGCATTGCGTTCCTGATGAATGGCATGATGATGAACTACTGGCAAAAACTAATGAAATTGTATACGGCATCAAATCGTGCGCGAAATCTGACGACTTCGGCTCAACAGGTCGTTTGTCATGGTCCCCAATATTGGAAGTTATGTGTCTCCGGTTCTTTTCCCCTAGTAAGCTACGCATTTTCCTTGAGGCATACTGGACGATCTGGTCCCCCAACTGCCCTTTCATCCACCGACCAACGTTCGACCCTTTATCAGCGCCTGCACAACTACTTGCTGCCATGGTGGTGATGGGCGCTTCTCATTCTCCAAATCCTACTGACCGAATCAATGCTCGACAATGGTATGAGTGGGTGGAGGCCATGGTGTTCGATACACCCCATTCGTCGTGTAGCATGGCAAACAATCTTGGGCATCAACCTCGAAGCTCAGCGGAGCGCCGAAGTACGGTGCAGGCTCTACAAGCGGCGTTCATTGTGTGCGTTTGTCAGAACTGGGCTGGCACGTTGTCTGCAAAGCAAAGGATTCGCCGACAGCGATTTAAATTACTCATCACGGTACCGGATAAATGCCATTTGTCGCATTGATGGCCTCACTAATTTTTCTTTAGACATTCAGAAACCTCGTGCAATGTCATGTTAAGCATGACGATCTCTCTCTACTGACCATGCAGAGTTTCAATTGGCAAAAGTTCGTCGAGACTGAGGAGATGATCCGGTACGGTATTTGTCCAGCACCTCAATTTTCAACAGTCAGTCACTAAAACCCGCGACTGCAGAATTCTCCTGTGGGTATTCTTGCTCGACACGGCATTTGTGGTCTTCAACAATACGCCACCGCACCTTGCATTGAGGGAGATCTCCATTGGTCTTGCAAGCAGTGAACGCTGCTTTCAAGCTGAAAGTTCTTCTGCTTGCCTCGACCAAATCCAGCGCTGGGTGGCACGGACGGGGAACGGAAGGTCTCCGTCGATGTACTCCCTCTTCCAACGCTTTTGTAGATATGAGATGGACCAAGATGATATAGGTCATGTCGCCCATGAGGGATTCATCAATCTTTGGTGCGTTGTGTGTGGTAAGGACGTTTCATTAGAGATGGTAGGATGATGCTGAAGAACTATCGCAGCTTTCCTTTCGATGATCTTTTACCTCGACCCTCTAACCGTCAATGCATACTCGTTCCAGTCCGTCCAGCGAGGCCTGACAAATTGGAAGTTGGTTTGGAATCGACGTCTTCTGAACGGGGACGAACGTTACTTTGATGTGCAGGTTACAGATCAGCAACACCTACAAACTCCTTCAGATGAGTCTGGTATGTGGAGGAGACCTGGCTTTTGGAGACATGCGTCGGAGTTTTGGCTTCTCGCTCAGCTGTATGTGGATCGACCGAGCCACTCTCTCAATCACGACAATGATGCAGGTTTTTATGACGATGTGTCCATGACTCGGATCAAATCGTTCATTGCAAAGTTTGGCGATTTGGGTCTACAGAGCTAATCAGCTTTCGTCGCTATAAAGAACGTAAAGGCTAGATTATCCACCAGCATTTAGTGGCATGCAACAATGCCATTTCTTAGTGACCAAGCTCGAGAAATACAACCAGTCCAGCTGTTGTCTCAGGGACGAGCTTGGGAAATGCCAGTTTCCATGCCATCAGGTCTTGCCGTCAGATTCATTCAGAGGAGGGTTGTATTACATCGGAAAACTGGCCTATGGTGGCAACGTCTAGTGTCCCACTTCAACGGTTTCCTCGCTGCTTCTTATTCACAGAATCCCGTATTTCTCTTGCATGCACGAGCACGACCACAGACGTGCCAACTTCTGCACATCCGTGACAGGGCGAACTATCTATCCTTTGGTCCGACTCTCGTTCTACGCCAATCCCCACATAGAAGGCTCTGTAATCCGCCTCCGAAGGCGCTCTTTTCGACAACTGGGGGAGATTCCGAAGCGGGGTGTAATGAAGTGTCGATCCGATAGATCTTTGGCACTCTCGGATGTGAAACAATTGAACGCCTCGGCTATTGCAGTGTTCTCGGGCAGAAGGACTTTCTCGTGTACACGTACGATCCTTTAGCTTGCTTACAAGCTCTGTGCAACTCCCTCACCTTCAGGTACCTTGCTCTACTATGACCTCGCTAGAACCTATCTTAAGCTGTTTAGTGTTTAGAGGAGAATTCGATTCTTAGGCGCCGAGCCTTCATTAAGACCCCCGAGGCCTTCGAGGCCTAAGGACAATTCCGTGGTTTAGCGCCTAGGTCCCACTAAGCCCCTATATAGTATATAGTCAGATAGCTCGCTATCTGCTTCTTCGAATGGCCAAGAATCCGATGAATCACACCTCCTTGGTGTTACGGACAAGACCACGGCAGCGACCAGCGCTCGCCTTATGCATCAGCCATCGCTTACAGGACAGGATGGAAGACAGGTGACCCGACGACTTAGTATAGATGCTAGGGGAGCCTGGGGGATTAGTCCTGTGACTAGCATACTAACCTATAGTAATCCGTTGACCCGTACCCAGGTCACTTATCACTTCATAAGAAACACACCAACTATGTAGGAAACCAGCTTCTTCCGAGCTTTGGCTGCGTCTTCGTAGTCAACTTCAGTCTTGAACACAGAGATACCATTTGTGTTCCTCTTGATCATTACTCGTTTTTTTTCATACACTTTGATCGGGCTCTGGACACTTGATACCTACATGAAAGTTAGGTATTCTACCCTGTTATTTCAAAGTCAATCCGATTGGGTCACATGCTTGGTTCGCATATTGACCGTGATAAGTTAGGAGTGGGAAACTCTGGGCACACATCACTGTATCCAACTGAAAGATCTAACACTCACTCACATCAAGAGAGTCGAACTGGGCAGTTTCAAACAAGGCTCCTTCCAGAAAACCTTCTGAACTCACGTGACCACGCGCCAGCTTTTTCCTTTTACGCGTTGAACTAGTCAGGCACTTTAGGCAGTCATGCAGGCAACAGCCGCCAACCTACAGTAGAACGCCTTGGACAAGGACACCAGTGATCTACTCTCCCTCCACCTCCACCATAATCACAACCTGGTACAGTCACGAGATATCAACACTATACATTTGGGATAGTATATTTTTCAATATCTTTCCCATCTCCTCATTTGTTCTCATAATACATTAGCACTACTCAGTCGCACCCATGCCCCGCGCAACCCTCCACCCTTTCGTTCAGTATGGCTAAGAAAGCCTACCGTAACCGTCCCAAGCAGACCACTCTGAGATTCGCGGCTCTACCTTCATCTTCGCCAGCAAGAGATGGCTACAGTGAAGCCGTGCATGACCGTCTAGCGTCTGTTCGCTATACTGGTCCCTCAACGTCTTCTTCATCCAAAATGTCCAGGCTCTCCCGCGCCAAACCTGCATTGCCCACCCCAGAACCATCTTCTCAGCCTGAGATCGACCAGCTGAAACGAGATCCCAATGTCATCTCTTCATCAGAAGACTCAGACGAGGATGAGCTAGTTCTTCCATCTCAGAAACGCCGCAAAATATCCCAGACACCCTTGTCCGCTCCCACTACCTCCCCCACTCCTCAAAGATTCACCCGTTCCTCTTCCAAACCGACCACTCAGATCTGTCTCGACTCAGACGATCAAGAAACAGAAATCACTCCTGCCTCACCAACAAGACGATCTACACGGCTGAGGCGGCGAGAGCCTTCTCAATCTCCACCTCATGACAATCTACATCCTGCCTCAACTTCTCCCCTCTCCAAACCATCCTTGGATTTCGCCTCAGCCGAGACCAGTGATGAGGACGACGTCGTTCTCGCTTCTCGCCCTCTGCCCAGCCGCCGCCGCACAGGGTCCATCCCACAAAAGGATTCTTTCATTGCCAACGATGACGACGTGACGTACATCTCGGATGATCTAGACGCGAAACCACGCAGACCCAATCGACCAAAGAGATCGACAGACAACTTTATTGTATCTGATGATGAAGTCAGTCCCAGCCGCCGGGTTGCAACGACCCAGAAGAGGAGAAAAGCACGTCACACCCGAACGAGGCAAGAGCAAGATGAACTTGATGATGAACTTGAAAATCTCCAGAACTCAGATATCGACGAGTCTCCTGCAATGTCCCGCACAAGAGGTGGACCTGTCACGACGAAACGAGACAGCACCAAAGAGCATTTCGAATTACTTCGACGTCGGCGAGCGGGCGAAAAGATACCACGAATTCGGGACTCTGAAGACGAATCAGACAGCGTTTCAAACCATTCTAGTGCCGTCAACATCGATCTGATTGGAGAATATGATCCTCAAGGGGACCTGTCAGACGATAGTCTCCATGAAGTGCCTGATATAGACTACCGAGCGGAAGATGATGATGACGACGATGTGGACGACTTCATCATCGATGATAGCGAAGAGAGACCCGGTCGCCCTCTGCGTGACATCCCATTACAATTCACATCATATGCTTCTGCCAAACCGAAAGAATTGTTCTTCTACATTATCGAATGGCTCGTCAAGAACAAGATTGCCCCCGCCTTTTCTCGTCAAGATGAGTTGTACAATCTGGCCTTTGACAGAGTAGAGGACCAAGTTAAAGCTCAAGCCGGCAGTAGACTCATCTCTTCAGCCTGGGGTGCCGAGTTCAAGCGAGTCATCATGGCCCGACCGGAAATGAAAGTTAAGCTACTCCCGGGCTTCGATGAAGACCACATTAGAGATTGTGATGCATGCAACAGAACCAACCATCCGGCCCGATATGAGTTCATCTTCTCTGGTCAGCCGTACTGCAAAAAGACGTTGGAGCCTGTCGATGATTCTGACGAGGAGGATGAAGACGCAACTGGGCAAGACCACGATGAACACGGTTATGCCCTGCCAAGTTCTGCTAAGCGATACTACTTGGGTCGGACTTGTGCGGCCAATGCTCAAATGGGACATAAGCTAACCCACTGGAAGCATCATCTGAACGAGAGCTTGATGTCGTACCTTGAGGAGCAAGGCGTCTTGTCTGCCGAAGCCATTGTCGCCCGCGAGAAGATCAACAAAAAGAAACGAGAACGACAAGCCGAGCACGTTGTTGAAAGCATGGATAGTACGGGCATGATTGATGAGCTTTGGTCAGCATTCAAATGCAACCTTGAAGACGCCCGCTTGGGTATGGAAGCGTAAGTCGTTTCGAGGCAACCATCACCAGAGAAAGTGGTGACATATCGTCGAGGTTGGAGAAATCACGCATATGCATTGGGCTCCCAGTTGACCAGAGACATGGGTCATGATTTTCTAGCGTGCATAGAGCGAGCTAAAGCAACCACAAAATATGCTTTTAAGACATGAGATTAATTATTGGCCTGCCTTGATCACATTCGTTTTCGTCTCAAACAAAGACGGCTTCTGTGATTAACCAAGTATGGACAGCCGACATTTCAAATCTCCCTTGTCCACCACCACACTGGTGATCTGACGGAATTCGAGCATCCTAAGCGACAGTTTTGACGTTTCGTCGTCGGATGTGTGATCAACTGCCCTCCAATATTGTTGTTGTAGTGTATTGTACATAACCCGGCCAGAAACGTCGGTTCCCAACAAATCGCAGCCTGAGCGCCGTCGAGTCCGCCGTGCATCGGTCGAGTGAGGACTGAACAATTTACAGAGCCGGTTTGGCCTGGCCTTGCTCACCAGCAGCACCACCCTGCTGCAACAGACCCTGCGCACCCTCTTGCATCATGCTGCGCTGCCTCTCCTCTTCAATGTACTGCTGCTCCTCACCGAGAGCCAAAGCATAGGGAATTCCCAGCAACAAGATGCTGGTGGCCAAAACCCACAGGCCTTTGCCGGAATATGTGATAGTGGTGCTGGTGGCAGAGTATATCGAGTGCGAAACCGATGAGATCTTGGCCCGCGTCTTGGGAGGCACGATGTCCTTGAGCGCGCTGATTCGGTCGTACAGTGTCTCGTCGATTGTGCCGTCTAGGTCTGATGCATCCGAGATTTCAGAGTCTATGTCGTGATTCGATCATGCCGCAGTCAGTCAAGGATGGTCTTGGATTGAAGTGGATTGGGGATGGTTTTGCCGCGACGAGCACTTCAGAGGGTTCCTTAGAGATTTTGGGTTTCACGTACCTGTGTCGGTATAGTCATCGTCGTCGTCCGCTAGTAGGACGTCATCTTTGCTGGTGGCCGGTCGGTTGATGAAATGCTCGTCTTCGAGTTCTTCCAACTTGACCATCTTGGCGGACTGGCTTGAGGTGTTTTACAAAGGTTCGTGAAGGTGGATGTGGCTTCGGAGGAATTTGGCACCTCGATTGAGATTGTAGGGTTGACGATGGTAATGTGGTGGTTGATTGACTGTCAATGGTATGAAGCTTCTCTCCGTCTCGAGAGGTTTGCAGTCTGGCCTGGGAAACTTTTGGCTTCGCAAATGCCAAATGCCAAGCTGTCACGTGCGCCAGTGCAAACATGCCAAACATATTTTACCCACCAGACGTACTAAAAGCCCCAGGCTCCGCAGGCTGCCCTCGGGCTGTTATGTCTAGGTACCTATTCTATACAAGACGCCTGATACGATGAATACGATCATCACGGCACCCGCGGGCGCCGAGGATGTTTCGAGGCTGCAATATGTATCTAAACGCTTCGCATAACTTTGATTTTAACACTGTTAGGTCAAGATGGTCTATTCTGCGAGACTGACACAAACCATATATCGACATACAAGCTAGGCTCATAGACTGTCATCATAGCTTCGGCGCCAATGGCGGTTCTCGTAACGAAAATCACATAATGAGAACCATGGCCCGATTCCCTGGTCCTCGAATAGCTGGACTGACTAAATGGTGGCTCCGGTGGCACGAGATCCGAGGTGAGATGACCCAACGGTTCTTGGTAAAGTTTTCGTGCTCAACCCAGTAGGAAGACGGGACCCAACCATTGAAGTCCTACACAAGAAATATGGTCGCCTAGTGCAGATAAGTCCAAAACAGATCTCGGTCAAAGATAATCATGGTATCAGAGACATCTTCATGGCCAACAGACATCTCAATCGACCCAGTCCTTTACTGATGCTGCACAATTACAAGAGCGAGAATCTTGTGTCCACAGTAGATGGTGAATTGCATCAGCGACGAAGGAAGCCGCTGAGGTCTCTCTACTCGGCTCGAGCTGTGGAAACACCAGAGAAATACGCTGTATTTGCCAGTTGTCTGGATTCTCTTACTGGATATATCGACGGAGAGATCAAGTCAGACAAAGTCGTTGACATGTTTCCGATGTTTCGATGGCTCGGTGCTGATATCTCGACCCAGTTAGCACTTGGCAAGGACTACTCTCTGGGTATATTTGCTGACGAGGAGCGTCGTGCTCAATTGAAAGGAGATGTGCAATTATTGGATGATAGAATCTTTTCTGTTCCGTCAGCTCTCATGTTGTTTTTTCCAAGTATGTCACTACCACATATGACTGTGTTGATTTTGACAGGACCTAGGATTCATAATGTGGCTGGACAGAGTGCGGACATTGCCAAATTGGTTTGATTTATCACCTTCGGAGTCCTCCATCTTTACAAGAAGTATTCGAAAGCATATCGCTCAGCTTCGGAAACATGAAACAATCGCAGCTGCCGGGTTCGAGACTCATGCTCAAAGACTCATGAATCACGTCCACGCCCAAGGATATTCAGATGCCATCCCTGACGATAAATACATCATGAGCGATACCTTGGATCATATTTCAGCAGGTAAGAGATTTACATTCATACAGTCAGGATCATGGGCTAACCAGGCCAGGCACGTCGACCACAGCAGATGTCCTCTGCGCTGCTGTGTTTCACCTCTCACACCCGAAAAACATCCATCGCCAGCAGAGACTGCGAGACGAGTTGGCTCAATCAGGAATCACATCTGCTGCAACGCCTTCATTCTCTCAGGTCAAGCAGGTTGCATACCTCGAGTGCGTGATTCAGGAGACTTTGCGACGCAACCCTCCAATCAGTGGGTCTATTGAACGAAAAGTCCCACCCCAGACTTCAGTGCAAGTACAAGGCCATACACTGCACGAAGGAGTAAGTCCTACACACGCTGTGTATAGTGTTTGAATTTTAACGACTAATTCACGAACAGATGGAAGTCAGCGCTCAACCTTACTCAGTCCATCGCAACGAAATGGCCTTCTCCGACGCTGAATCATGGAACCCTGAACGATGGGACATCCCGCACCACTCGGAGAGCTATGGTATGATGCGACGACATATGATGCCCTTCGGGGCGGGCCCTCGCATGTGCATCGGCATGAATGTCGCTCGTGTTCAGCTTCGTCTCACCTTGGCACGAATCTACTCCTCTTTCCGGACCGCGCTTGCACCAGATTGGTTTGATCAACACGGTGCGGTCATCGATTTCGATAAGAAAAAGTCTCTTATCCCGTCGAAGAACAGTATGCCTATATTCTTCGAGCGATTGCCGTCGGAGGGCGAGTCTGTGGGATAGAGGATGTGTGTGTTTGTGTTTATTGGTGTTTGTAAGATTTTGTGCCTGGATGACTTGCATCCGTTGTACACCACTCACCCATCGACCCGAGGGGAAGCATTCCCCTCGGCTGTAAATATAGGTTAAACCTGTCTACTCATTCAAACTATTGTTCTTGGAAGTTGCATTGCACCTGCGGTAGAGATATATTATTCCACGTGACTGTGGAAATCCTATTCCGAATTAAATACAAGTTTTGTATATATATAGAAGAAAGATAACTGATTGGAGTGTCGCCCCAAATGCTGCCTCCTGATCCGTAGGAGAACGACGTCGTATAACCAGAAGACCGCAACTCAACACTTATTTCGGCTTATTTGCTTCCACCGCTGCTAGAGAAAGGACCTGTGGCTGGAGGTGTGATGGTAAAGCCAATGTCGAGAGCCCAAGCCAGCCCATTGAACTCGACATATTGGTACGCAACCTGCTTGTTCTGGTCGACCTCGATGAGCGTGAAGCCGCGGACGCGGTATTGGCCTGTTCCAATACCGTCGAACTGCCACTGCCAGACCATATCTGTGCAACCGTGGACAATTGCGATAGTCGTGATGGATGGGATCGGAGGCGATCCCAACGTTTCTTCAATGTACTTGGCCTTGCCGTTTTCGACCTGAGTTCCAAGCTAGAAGGGGGAAGTCAGTCCAGCGAATTGGATACAGTGGCACGGGGGATCACCTACCGCGTCGCCGCGCAGAGAATTGATCGAGTCGCCAAACTCCTGGAGGTTCTCGGCGAAAAGACCCTGTGCCGTGGCGTTGGCGGCGTCAATATCGAGATGCTCGAGGAAAATTGTCGACCGGTCGGCAATTGACTGTGCGTCTTGGTCTGACAGACAGTATCCTTTTCCGTTCCAGGCGCTGACAGTCCATGCGGACAGGGCCAGAGGAGTGAGGAATGTTAGAAGTCTCATCTTGGGTTCTGGGGATCTTGGTCGCGTGGGAAGAATCTCGTGTGAATGATGTACTTGCAAAGATGGATCTGACGAGCTGACAAGCTGTCTCCCCAGACTATATGTGAGGAATTCAGCTGTCCTCACCTCTGTTGTCTGGGGAAAAGGTCGAGAGCTGATACAGGATGCCTGATGACCCGAGGCACGTCCATGGCCCACTTCACCCGCGTCTCAGCGGCCATGGGAAGTTCAGGTATGAAACATCACGAATTGCACGAAGCATCGACAAGACCATTATTAGAAGTCTTGTCGTCATTAAGCAGTCTGGTAGTCCGTCTTATTCCTCGTGGCAAGGATAAAGGTATGCCTCAGAGTGTCTGAGTAGTGCAAACCCAAACGAAAAGACAGCTTATGGTTGTTGGGCTAGTCGCTGGAAACCCCGGACAGTAAGCACGTTCGGACAAGGTTGTCTAAGTTCTAGATGGTCGAGATTGAGGAGAAGTGTCGAAGATGCTCTCGATGTTGGCATCATAGAGTTTTTGACTGGGGTGGTTGATTGGCTGGTGCTATGCCGGCCAGTGTCGATTGGTCGGACTTTCAAAGTTTGTCTATCCAAGTAAATGTCACCTTGTAGCTCAGCCGCTTTACTCCTTTCCTATATTGTTAGCTTGGAATAAAGCATTATGTTGAGTTGTTTGTCCTCAGGCTTATGCTCAGTGACGCACCAGCACTTGCAACGGGCTTGGACTCATGAGCCTGTTTCTGAACATGGATGACATGTTGTTGCCCTTTAGTTCATCGATTGGGTCGCGGGTCAACAACCGTGGTTAAAGATCTTTCTTCACTTGGAGACAGCTCGCCTTCTCCGGCGGCGTAATATCTTGGTTGATGAAGAGAAGGTAGAGGCGGGTATCTCTCGACATGCTTCGCTGCCAATTCTGGGGCGTTGAACTATCAATTAGCGGCTTGGGTAATTCGGTGCCCCATTCTCGAATCTCTCAGCCGATGGAAGCAACTGGGGAAGGATATGCTGATGCTTAGTCGACTCAACGTCTTTCAGAGCCAGCAACGACCAAAACCAGTGTCGGGTCCAGGTCTGCATACACTGAGACACCTCATACCGATCTCCAGGCTCGACCCCTATTTGTATTCTGTGATCAATGCCAAATCATCACGCCCTGATCTGAAAACATGTGACTCGCTGCCAGGATCACTCACTTCACTGCCAGACCCCCAGCTGCAGCCACAGCCCCCAGCCTTCACTTCACATGTCCCAAAAAAGAGAAATAATAATTATTAGTTTCAGAAATCCTGTCACAAGTCGCTCCGATACCTCCATCATCTGTCCCACTCGTAAGCGGGGCGGCTTGATATCGTGGTAGGCCGGGGGGCCCTCTCGGTGTCCAGAGTGGAGGGACAGATGCTCTGACACCCGTAACAGCTGCTCTATAATTGTGGAGGGTAGATAGCATCAAAAAACAAAAGGGCAATAAAGAAGATCCGCATAGAAACGGCAAATAAAGATCCAAAAAAGAAGACAGAAAGGACAAAAGAAGTTCCTGGGAGAGAAAATCTCAGAACTCACCATCAGAGAGAGTGTGCGAAAAAAAGAGAGGGTAGAAAAGACGGCCGACCACGATTTTTTTTCGATTCTTGAAGGGATTCGAACTGGGGTCCCTCTTTTTGATCCGGACTGCGTGTAGCTGGGTAGGTGGCATGTGGTGAAGGAGTGAATTGAGGCTTTGACGTTGCCCAAACTGTTACGACCTGGTGTTCAGGCATACCCCGTACATAGACTTACTCACCCCCATACTCAATGACGTTCCAGAGTGGCACTCACGATAAAAGTATGCAATGCTCTCATGCCCAACCTCTGGAATATCATTTCTTTGCCTTTGATCCTCTTCACGGCAGCTGAGGAAGAGTAAGCTTCTGCCTCTCGAATATGCAGATCGCAGCGATTGTGTTGAATATGGTCTTGGAACTGACTGCCAATCAACCTCAGACATTCCTTCGAGCATTTTCCCCATTTCGACGTTGTGTATTCTCTTCCAACATCAAAAGTAAGGACTTGGATAAAGGTTGTCGTCGAGTCAAGAGTTGATACCAGCGGCACTAAGCTAGTCCTGTTATGGGAAGATACCTTGATTAGATAATCAGCCAAGACAGAATTGGAGAAGGAGCGGGTCTTGGAGTCTGAATATCAAAAAACATCAGTTCAAGTCAAGCAATGCACACCGCAGCCAGACGATTAACCTTCGAACCAGTACTCCTTCAAAAGGCCGTGCCATGATATGTGAACATTTTTCCATTCATGAAAGAGCAGTCCTTCCCATCTCATGACAGATCGACGCCGGATTGTTGGCCCTCCCGGCGCCACTAATCCTCCCGTCTTCACCGTCGCACCTCAACAACACAAGCCTACCCAGCAGCAGCGTCAAAGAAAACCTAATGAACTTCGCAGGATATGTATGACATGTTACTGGCATCATATTACTCGCACTGACCATACTTAGTTTTGCAGACGGGAGTTGTTCCCTCCGCCAGTGGCTCGGCCTACCTTGAATTAGAAACCCCGCCTCACTACAAGACCGCGTTCCCTTCTCCTCCCTCGACAATAAAACTATCATGCACACTTCATGGCCCAAAGCCACTTCCGAGAACGGCAGCGTTCTCATCAAATCTACAGCTGACAGCATCAGTCAAGTTTGCTCCATTCGCAACTCGAATTCGGCAAGGATACGTTCGCAATTCGACTGAGAAAGACCTGGGACTGCATTTGGAGAATGCTCTGAAAGGAGCCATCATACCAGAGAGATGGCCTAAGAGCGCCTTCGATATTGCTGTGATTGTATTGGAGGGTGAAGAAGATCCAGGCAATGGAGATCGAATAACCGGGGTGGGTTTGTTCAATATGTTAGCTGGCTGCATAAATGTTGCTATGGCGGCTATTGCGGATGCTAGGATTGATTCTCTGGACCTCCTATGTGCAGGCGTCGGCGCTATTGTATCTGGTCCCCTGAAAAAACCATTCAGAGTCCTGGACCCGGTGGTCGCTGAACATGACGAAGTATTATCCATGTGTATGGTTGCATACCTCCCATCACGGGATGAAGTTGTTGAGATGTGGACCAACGGCGCGGTGCCGGCTCAGGGAATCGAAGGTGGCCTGGGATTCGATGAGCTTGTTGACAGTGCCGTTGCCGCAGCTCGTGGAGCGCAGACTGTACTGAAGGATGTCCTGCTTGAATCTTCGAGTCGCGGTCAAATACAGACGAAGCAATCCGTCAATACTGGAACCACCGATACTGAAATGAGAACATGAGATCCTCAACTGTCCTACAGAGGAATATCCGGTCAAACAAAACCCATTGAATACCGGCGTGTTGTCTGGCACATTACAGCCAAACTGCAATTTCGAACAACGGAGTCACCCCAAAGCCATGATTGGACCTATCACATTATCAACATTGAACTTGTCCCTTGGGCGTTGTGACCATTTTCACGTGAAGGTGCCATTTGAGATCGGGCCTGAAATCCGCCAAGACTTGACGAGGAAGATCAGCTTCCTTTTTGCTATCTCATCAGAAAGATCGGGACTCTTCTTCATCCACCGACCTTTTTCGTCTTTTTCTCCTGGTCATCAGTCTTCCACTTCACCCTCTGACGATCGGATATTCTCAAAGTCAGGTCAAGCGCTTGACACAGCTGTCATGGCTCCAAAGACGTCGTCCGATGCGAATGTGCTGTTTCTGTACAGGTGCCTGCAAGCCGCTGGCGGCAAGGTGTGCTCGTCCTTCGTCAGCCTCAAGATTTTATTCTGACACGCTCTCACAGATCGACTACAACATTCTGGCTGCCTCCACCGGATTGAACCTTTCGGCTGCTCGCATGCGGTTTCCAGATTGCGGGACAAGATTGAACAAGAAGGTGGCGATACACTTGACATTCGGGACTCAAAGTTGCCAAATGCTACACCAGACCCCACGAATGGTGCTACACCCAAGAACAGGAAGCGTGCTTCAACTACGGTGGCAGGAAACACCCCCAAGAAGCGGAAGACTGCCCCTGTAAAAACCGATTCCCCCAAGGCCAAGAGCAATATCAAGACCGAGCCCGGTTTGGATGGAACGCAAGATGTATTGCCGACTAAGCGCCAGACGAGGGGCAAAATATTGAGCTTCAAACACCATTTTCACTCTGACGACTCTGGGACCGACGAGGATGCTGGCATCGACAGTGACAAAGAATACGATGTAGTTCCTCGGAAGGTCAAGAGCCAGGCAAGTACCAATTCGCCCACCTCTCCAGAACGACCTGTCAAGATTGGCGGGGCCAGCAAAAAGCAAGCACCCATCGACCAAAAGAATATTCCTCTTAAGACCGAAGTCGATCCCCTGAATGGTCCGGTCAGACCCCTCGAGATTGGACCTCCGAAGAAAGCAGCTGCCGAGTCAGTGCAAAAGACGTCCTCGCTTTGTCCAGCCGACCGACCTATTCCAAGTATCGAGGTTTCACTACCTCTTTCGCCGCAAAAGCAATCACAGGCAAATATTCCCATGTCCCCTTTCTCTAACAGCTCTGATTTTGAAAGTGATGTTGACATAAACACCTTCAAACCGGGGACCATCTTTTCATTTGCAGCCAAGCGGTCTGAGCTCGATGGTCAAGGTTCAGATCACAGTGTGCAGATGCCAAGAGCTTTCCAGGATAGTGACGCTGCAAATGCTCAAGTTGGACGCAATGAATGTCAGGGGCAAGTTGTTCAAAAAGACGAGCCGATGTCTCCTCGAAATGGTGAGCAGTCCGGCGCGCTGAAAACGTTTGAGGTCTTTACTAACAAGGCCTGCTTCCAGGTCAGACGATCCTGCAGCGTTTCAAGGGCTTCTTGACATGGCCGTTGTTGAGCAGAAGTGGAAATGATTGAACAGAGCCAGGGTATTGAATTTTAAACCGTTTACTTGCGTCATGCGTACACATCAACGACTCGCGTGGGGTCTATAGAGCATGGAAGAACGTGACAACCCAGATATCCTAGGGCCCTTGGAGGAGTTGATCTTGGTTACATGTCGTCAATGGCGGTTTGGTGTATCTCTGCGCCAAAGCAAGCTTCCAAACGAGAAGTATGCGACAATGCATCTTGCTATTTTAGGACCAGACAGATGACATCGTCTTCGATATGAGCAGAATAAGCTAAAAACAATCTTATGTGATCACGTTTGAACATCGCTCTTCTCAATTGCAGAAACAAAAACAAGTCATAGACTTGGTTCTGGAAAATATCTTTTCATTTTTTTGATTCTCAGAATTATCCTGGTGATAACTCAAGCGCAGCATTGACTTTTTTAACCCCTCTCTATGTTTCCCGCTGTTGCTGTTCTTTGCACGCATCTGATAATACTGCCGAGGACATTGTGCAAATGATCATTACTCTGTGTGTGCGTGCGTGTGCCAATCTCCTTGCGTCGGCAAGAACAATTTTCCACCTCATGGCACCTTTGAGTGTCACGAACCGAGTTCCTCCTCATACCTCATCAATCATGGTTCAAGACCAAGTCATCGGAACAAGGACATCTAATGTCACCGAAGCGAGTACACATCTTTGCGCACCAGCACTCCTGCCAACAGATGCAGAGATGAGCTGCCTTGTAATCTTCAATGGTCATATGGCCCTGATAGTACCGATACTGGCCGACAACCACACCCTCAAGTCGAGCCATGGCACACTCGAGATGTGTTTCACGACGTAAATTCTCCTCTGCCTCGGAACCGACCTCGCCGTTGGCAGACTCGATCGCTAGATGCACGGCATCATCCTATGACGCCTTGCGAAGCCGCGGTCCGTAGTCTAATGTGACTTGATCGTAGTCCAACACCTCCCAACTCGGGTCGGGGATAAAGTTCGTATGAACGATGGTGCTGTGTGGATGGATGGCGTCGCCCATCACAAAGGGGTTTTCTGATGGGCTTGAGATCTTGAATCGCTTCAGTGCATCTGATTCGGGACTCTCGAATCGGCCGGGGTAGTCACAGATTGTGCCATCGCTGAGTAGAGATGGACTCACGAGCGGCTCATCGTTGTTGGTAGTGGTGTTGGTGCATGGCTCTTCGATCACGGGGCTTGTCACCTCGCAGTCATTGATTGAAGGGCATGTGGATTGTGTGCTGTGGTGGTCTTCCAGACGAGGCTTCTTGGATGCTTGCACATGGTCAGAGTCGTCTGTTTGAGGTCAGTGGATGGTCGAAGACGGGGAGGACTGTGAGACGAAGTGTGCTACTGACCTTCAACATGGTAATGGTCTGATGTTGCATCATCATCAAGGTCAGCAGGGCGCTTTTGCACTGGATGAATGCCATTAGTCAAAGGAGACCATATCGAGGAATGCCCTTCTTACCTTGCATGCCAGTAATGCATGTGTCGAAGACTGGGGTCTTGAGTTTGAGATCGCAATATTGGCTGGAAGGGTCCTCACATTGGCAATCCGAAGCATGCTTGGGTTTGGTAGCGAAGCCCTTGCGAGTCTTGAGAATGCGTAGTCGATTGGAAGCATCCTCGGACTTTGGAGACGGGACCGGGTTCAAAGAGAATCTCTGCTTGTACTCAGAGTTGGTCTCAATGCCTTCGTCAAGATCCATGAGATCATCTTGTTGAGATCCTGAAGTGAATGTTAGCAGAGCCCGATACCAACAGACTTGGATTGACCGAGCTTACCACCAAAGACAATGTCGACTCCTGCGTTGGCAAAGGCGAATTGCACTGCAGACACATTGCCGAGGGTAGATCCAGTCCAGCGATCTCCGGATGAGTCATGCGAGACCTCTTGAGCCGTGGTGAATATGGCTTGGGATCCTTCAGAAGACTGGTCTGAAGGACCTTGACCAGAATGGCAACCGGCATTGAGATCCTGGTTGCTAAACATGGAGTCGTGGCGAGACTTGCGGTTGTTTGTAGGAGTGTCTTGCAGGAATGGTAGTGGCTTTTGACGGGCAGTCACAGAATCAACACGCTTGAAGTTACTGGTGAATATGGTGTCAACAAGACCGCGTTTTCCTGTTGGTTGTGTTAGTGAAGTTCGCACATTGATATTGACGATGTGCCTAATCTTACTCTTCGGCTTTCCCTTGCTGTTCTTTCCATAAAACCACTTGTGGCGGACGTTGGTGGGAAGCATTCCCTCCGGATTTGAGATCGAGTCTCGCATCTCCTGCAGTTCGACTCCGGAGATTTGGTTGACTGCTCCCGTCTGGGAGGCACTGATTTCAGCCATGGCTTGCAAACACTGGTAAGTCTAGGGGACGAAGATTCAGGTGTCAAGAAAACGACAGCGAACAGAGCAAGAAGATGTTATTGGAACATTATCTTTGAAGCGAGTTGAGATTTGAGAATATTTGATCAAAGAAGACATCGAGGCGGTGAGGCAAACTGATGGGAGATGGATTCTGATTCTTGTGGGAGAGGGTGGCTGGGAATGCGATTGAAGCTGGGTTGAATAGAAAAATGTGTATTGAGCACAATATCAAGGGCGAGAGCTGGGTGTTGAGAATGCGGGTTGGAGCAGAATTTTCTTTTATCAATAGGATCAAGTCCATTCGAGGACAATGATCGATGCCATCAATGCTCGAAACCGAATGAAGCAGAAGAAAGAGAGATGAAAGTCCTCGCATTTTGACGACAATGAGGATGACGACTGCAGCTACGAAGAGATCATCCTCGGCGATGTTGGAGGTGGAATGGAGTTCACACATGCGAGGCATACATGTGAGGTGGATGTCGCATGCATGCCGAATGGCTGTGAGATACTGAGCACTCTCAATTCATTCCATAATGTCAAACGACCACCAGATATCAGGAGAAGGATTGAGCTTGCCTGAAGGATTGAGCTTGCCTGTGCTGCAGAACTTGGCTCTTCCTCCCATGGCCACAACCCAGCATTTCCATGATCTGCAAAATTTGACAGACTGAGAACAGATTGAAAAACAAAGATGGAGGTGTAATTAAAGAGAAAGTCCCTTCAAACAAAGTCATGGGTATGACCCACTGTAAATGAATCAAGCTCCAACACCAGATCATAGCATAGCCACAATGCCATATGCACACATGGTACAGTGCTTGGAAGACGGTCGACAGGCCCACAACATATGGCGATGCTGGAAGTTTCAATTTCACAAGGAGCAAACAAGCCCTGAGGGATTCAATTTCAAGTGTAACGGCTAAGCACCAATGACGATATGGTAAACTCGAAAGGTTCGAGGTAGAATACCCATATTTGAGAGATGAGGAAACAGGGGGATTCTCGTCAGGTTTTGATCAGCACCGACAGCATAGTAGATATTCACATACTGTACATGCACACATGCTGTACGAGGACCAGCATTATGGACCCTCAATGCCGCAAAACAAGCCGTGCATTGGAAGCCTGCAACATGCGCAGAACCCTACGTCCTCTGTGGTAGCACCTGGCAGATGAGACACTTTATCAGACTGGGAAAAAGGGATGGTTCACTTCAGGGACCCTTTCAGGTACGTGTCAAGGGCCGAGGGGCGCTTCTCGGCATGTCAACGCGCTATTAGTGCCCCTAAAAGAGCCGAGTGCGAGGCCCGGGCCCTCTGGCGGCTGACCTAAACAGCCGTTAACTGGTGGCCTCCACGATTATAGTGGGCTTGGACGTGCTGGGCGCTGGTAGTCTGCTACTAACAACCTTGTACGCAGATCAATTCAACACCCTGGAACTTGGAACCATCCTGTCGTCCCTTGAACTGTGGCCACTCTAAAGTCCTCTACAATATTTCTGATCAGCCACCACCGACCTTTTTGTGACTACCTTCTTTTGTTATTGTCACTGATATCCTTCTCGTTCTCTCCGACGCTCCTCCCGTTCATCTCTTCGAAATTTAATACTTGTCTTCTCTCCGACGCTTCTTTCACGCCAACCTATTGAACCACCCTTTTCGGACGGTCTGCCTAGTCTGACATTGGCAGAAGATGTTAATAGCTCGATCGCGACTTTTTCCTTAATATTCTTTCTCTCCTTGGTCTCAAGATGAGGACACCCTCACCTACACACTTCCGGACATGGCCGCTTCGGCTCACGCGGATTTTGCCCTGGGCGTTGGCTGCGCTGTTGGTCATGTCACACTCTACATCTGCGGCGGATAAGACTGCATCAGACTACTATGTCAAGTCCCTTCCTGGGCAGCCTGATGGGCCGCTCTTAAAAATGCACGCAGGGTGCGTTCGACCCTATCTGCTCTTCAATTATGCCAGCTGACATCAAGATAGCCATATTGAAATCACCCCCGAACATAACGGACACTTGTTCTTCTGGCATTACCAGAATCGACACATTGCCGATCGATCGCGAACCGTTATCTGGCTCAATGGTGGACCGGGCTGTAGTTCAATGGACGGTGCGCTGATGGAATTGGGCCCATACCGTGTGCAAGAGGGCGGAAAGCTTAGGTACAACGAGGGATCCTGGGACGAGTTTGCCAACCTCTTATTTGTCGACAATCCCGTCGGCACAGGCTTCAGCTACGTCAACAGTGACAGCTATTTGCATGAGCTGCAAGACATGGCCGATCAATTCGTCATCTTCCTGGAAAAATGGTTTGCGCTGTTTCCCGAATATGAGAACGACGACATCTACTTTGCTGGCGAATCCTACGCCGGTCAGCATATCCCCTATATTGTACGAACCTTATTGCAGCGGAACAAGCGAGCGAGAGCAGCCGGGAAGAAGACATGGGATATCCAGGGCTTGCTTATCGGCAATGGTTGGATCGCCCCTTCAGAGCAATACCCTGCATACCTGCCTTTTGCTTACGAGGAAGGTCTCATCCAAGGCGGCACTCCCAATGCACAAAGGGTTGAATCGGCACAGGTCAACTGCCTGGCAGAACTAAGCAAACCCGGTGGGACTGAAAAGGTTGACATCAGCATCTGTGAAAGTGTGCTTTCGGTGATTCTGGACGTCAGCAAGGCGGATGGCAAGTGTTTTAACATGTATGACGTTCGTTTGAAGGACGACTGGCCATCATGTGGTATGGCATGGCCTCCTGACCTGACCACTGTGACGCCGTGGCTGAGGCAACAGGACGTCGTGGATGCTCTGCACATCAACCCGGACAAGCGGACTGGCTGGACCGAGTGTTCTGGTGCCGTATCGTCTGCATTCCGAGCTAGTCACTCGAAACCCAGCGTCGACTTCTTGCCTGAGATTCTCGAGGCTGGAGTCCCCATTCTCCTTTTCAGCGGAGCCAAAGACTTGATATGCAACCACAAGGGGACAGAAGATATGATCAGCAATATGAAATGGGATGGCGGCACTGGGTTCGAATTGTCTCCTGGTGTCTGGGCTCCGAAGCGCGACTGGACGTTTGAGGGCGAGCCCGCAGGCATCTATCAGGAGGCACGAAACCTCACGTATGTGCTCTTTTACAACGCCAGCCACATGGTTCCGTTTGATTGGCCTCGCCGAAGCCGAGACATGCTGGACCGGTTCATGGGAGTGGACATTGCGAGCATCGGAGGCACACCGGCCGATAGTCGCATAGACGGCGAAAGGGCAGGCAGCGAGACGAGTGTTGGGGGTCATCCCAACAGCACGGTGGCGATTGAAGACGGCAAGCAAAAGTTAAAGGACGCAGAGCTCAAGGCATACTATCGCAGCGGAGAAGCGGCGCTAGTGTTTGTACTGATTGCGGCGGCACTGTTTGGATGGTGGGTCTGGCGTGGTCGCAGAAAAGCTCGTGATCAAGGCTACATCAGTGTGCCCCTTGCCAATGGGTTCAAAGGCCGAGACGTGGAAGCGGGAGATTTTGATGAAAATGAACTGGACAATCTCCCCAGTTCACGGCGACGAGACATGGAAGCGAATCATTACGACCTCGCCTCCGACAGTGAGGATGAAGACAAGGGATCTGGGGTTGCACGGAAGAACGAGCGATAAGTCTACTGTGGTCTCCCTGTCTCACGCTTCGCCCAAGTTGAGGTTGGAAGGGACGATTTGTAATTTAGTCACTGTTTAAGCCGGCGCAGGGTGGAGGAGTCGAGGACTAGACTCTGGCCAGGAGGTCATGTTGCCGCACGATGACGCTACAGAAATGAGTAGATTTGCCCAAGCACGTACGGAGTAGTACTACAGAAGGTACTAATCTTTATTGCATTTGGTATTTGCGCCGAAGTGTCGGGATCTTGGTCTCATCTGAAGCCACTTGGCCCTCGTGTTTGGGGAAGACATTTACGTATAGCGGCCAAGGGGGGGACGAGGAGGGGGGTTCTTTCTACGGAAGGAATAATCCGTCTTGGCAGTTCGTGTTCTTGGGTCTGATGCAATTGCTCAGATTTGCTCCAAGTACGATTCCTTACTGAGCTGGTTAGCTACGTACCTATGCATTTCTCGCATTGATGAGCCCAGGTGCCTCAGAAATAACTCGCAAATTTCTGGTGAAATGTTCGGCTTGGATGAAGTCATAAACGTCGTGGTCCTATGCATATACTTTTGACTATGGTGGAGATAAGTACGTGGATGTGCAGTTGAGTTGGGAACTCAATTTATTATTATTGGGACAAGGGAACACACCTATGAGCCTACTCCTCTACGGAGTACATCACACCTACCTAACAAGGTCAAGTGAAGAAACTCTCGGCCCCTCGGCAATAGCCCCGCCTCTAAGTACTCTGTACGGAGTAGATATCAAGTTACCGAGTGGGTTCCTGCACCTCTCCCAGAGACTCCATGGTGGCTGCTGTAGGGGTTTTTCATCTAGAGTTTGTCGGTAAGAGTGTCGGGGATTAACTAAGGCGAATAACAATCCTCGACCTCCTGATTCCATTGCTCCAGAAAAGTTGCAAGCTGGCGAGCTCTGTAACCTCTAGTCAGGTCCTATTGCTTGGGGAGCAGGACTCTTGTGGCGCAAGTATAGAATTTAGGTCCTTGGGTAGGTCTTCCTTTTCAGGAATACGGCCCTGCCATGCCCAGCCATGCCCCATGTCTTGTAAATCCCCCCCAATAACAGCCCGAGGGCCCCTCGGCCACCCATGCAGACACTCCAGGGTCTTGACCACAGCGCTCTCCCTTGGCATGCTATTATTTTGCCTTTGATGTTCACTGAGTACATACAGCTGTCACTGACTGTCAGTTGTCATTGGCATCATGGCATTCACACAAAGTTCGGATATGATATTCGCCTTTGTAGTTCACAGTGCGATCCTGTTCTCGTATCGAGCCTGAGATCTCCAGATCCCCGATCTCTACGACGATCATCGATCATGTTGCAAAGCGATTTGTCCTTCAGTTCCAATGCCATGCACACATGCACGCGGCTCGGGGAATGAGCCTCAGATTTTAGCCTCATCGACATGTTCTGTTGACCCACTGCTGTCGCTTAATCTCGTTTCCATTGATCATTGCCTACAAGGTCTGCGAACACTGTACGCAGACATTGAACGTATCCAGTTTAGTAGCAGTATGTAAATTCTGACTTTTTGTTGTAGAGAGTTGCTCACCAAGTCTCTTGACTCAAACTCAACTCTCCAGCCACAACTCTCTGCCAACGTTACCAGGTGCAAACTCAACGCGAATTAGGGACCCTCGGGACCCCAACTACCACCTACTAGGTAAAGTGTAGCCTGGATTTCGCCTATTCTGGCCACCAGGGCTTTGGTACTGGGGAACTGGGAGAGAGGCGTCTTTAGTTAGAAACCAGAACTTGTACTACAGATCTCGACCATCTTGGCTTGAGCCTTGGACCATCATCTCAGGTTTCTTTCATCTCTGCAAAATTGATTCTTGCTCCTCTTCTGGTCTTGCCCCTCGGACCAATTCTCCCCGCGTCATGTTTCTGGTCCATCAATGCTGCTAACGTTTCTAACGTTGCTTGGAATGCTAGGCCGAGATTCATCGTGCGATCGTCCCTACCCTCCCGTCCTGTCACCTTTTTGACATGTTGTGCCACTTGCACCTATCACTTCCAACCGTTCTGGTCCACACGAAGCCTGCGTCGAATCAGTTGTCGAGATTTCTCTCCCTCGCGAGCGATGGATCCTCTGTCAGTCCCATATTCAACGTCTTCCACGCCTTGTCCCCAAACCCAACTCTCCAAGATCCTCCACCATCCACTGTTCCAAGATATCTGTACACATATGTCAACTATATTTCAATGCAGGCGGATCCTAGCGCCACCGCTGCTCTCTATTCGTCCCCCTACATCTCTACTAGCTTGAACTGCATCCCCGACCCGCCGCCGCTGGCCTTGGTGTTGATGAGCACTTGACACATTGAGATGCCCGGCCCATCTCGCGTCGTGCCAAACCCTAAGCAAACTCTTCCCTTGCTCTAATACTCTGAGACACTCACGATGAGATCATTCGTCCGAGTGGTAGCGGACGTCGTTTCCACTGTGGTGAACGGTTCTTGTGAGCTCTTGCCCTTCTTTAACAAGTCACCACCTCTCATTCCTTCACCGTCCATTTCCTGATGACTCGTCTCGCCCTCACCTGACTTCTGTCGTGGCACCTGCCCAAGGCAAGTCGTCGATATTCTTGAACGGCCGCATATCAAAAAGGCTTTGAGCATATCTTCCTGACATCAACCCTCAGCCTCGCTCGTTATTTTCCTAGCCTTTGCCCATCGTTCCTATCCCCTCTGATGGGATGGATCAGAATGGCTTTCCCCTCGTTTCATCCTTATATACACGGCAGGAACTTCCTTCACATGTCTCTTATGCTGCCTGGCACATTGTCCTTTCCTTTTTCACATCTTGTATAGGATGTATCACAACCTTGGAGCTGCTACAGCGGCGCACCTCGATCCAAGGAATCTATAATTGGTCCGTCCACGATCCAAAACTCGTACATGTCGATATCTCCCCATCACTGACCCCTTGGCAGGTATCTTCTGTGTGCCGCTGCCATCACCATGGGAGGCTTTGGAATCTGGGCAATGCACTTCGTCGGTAAGCCTCCTGCTCAACTCTTCCTCCATCCTCGTCATCGGTCCCGTCTCGATGTTGACACAATTATAGGCAATAGAGCTGTTGTCTTGGAGTACGGTGTGCCCGAACGTCAGATCCTGTACAATCCCGGATATACCGCTCTGTCCTTCTTCATGCCAATTCTGGTTCTCATCCTTGCTTTCTACACCCTTGGTGTCACAAAAAGAGCCCGCCAGCTTCACGTCGCCATTGCTGCATGTTTGACCGGCGCGGCCGTCTGTGGCATGCACTACCTGGGTCAGTTGGGCATTGAAAACTATCACTGCTCCTACAAGGTCGGCAATGTCGTGGGAGCAGCTATCATCTCCGTCTTTGCCAGCTTCGTCGCTCTAAGCGTCTTCTTCCGCCTGCGAGAAAAATGGACCGACACTTGGTGGAAAAGGGGTTCGTGTGGTGTGGCATTAGCCTTGGCTGTGTCGGGCATGCATTGGACTGCTGCAATCGGGACCGAATATCGATGGAAGGGAAACCTGACTGTCCATGGAAGTTCGAGAAACATCACCTCCATCATTGCGTCCACTCTGGTCAGCCGCTATCCTGCTTTCTCTGTCGTTGCTTCTGAAATCCTGACTTTTGTATAGTCGATTGCCTCATGCCTCGTGCTGCTGGTAATAGCCTTCATCAGAGGTCGCAACCTGATGGCCGCAAAGCACAAAGCGCAGAGGCTCGTTCTGGCTTGTGCCTACTTTGATGCTGAAGGTCGAATCATGGTTACCCAAGAAGGTGTGCTACCAAGCCAAAAGATAACAAACCATTATGTCGAAAGGGTAAGTCTATATCCACTTAGCAGGGCATAGGCCTGACTCAGTACAGAAATTCGGCGACGACGATCTCGGTAGATCACACAGTACATTCGTCTGGATCTACCGAGCATCCAGACATTGGAGCACAATCCGAGAATACATCCCAGGAATGGCCGACTATCTGGAGAAGGACCCTATCGCACGCCAGTATCGACCAAGTCAGACGCATCCAAACATTTCAGACAACCTCACCGAGAATTCCATGAATTTTGCTCCCATTTTCAAACAGCTGTTCTGCGTCGCTGCTCAGCAGCTGGCAACGTTGATTCACGAACCACTCGAGCGGGTAGGAGTGCTCTTCGAAGAGCCACTGGAGACAGGAGCAACGCCTATTTCTGGGACTCAAGGTAAAGGCAACAAAACTCCCGTCAGTGACACCTTTGAGTATGGTTCCGATGCCGAGGGCGGTGCAAGATCCATGACTGTTGCGAAAGGCAAGTATCTGTTCCTCAATCGCCGTCTCACCGAGGCTGAGACAGCTAAATTCGCTGCGCTTGGCTATCGATTTGGTTCCGTGAGCCAAGTATCGGAAACCTTGGCCAAAAACATGCAAACAAGCCGTGAAAGGTTGGTGAAACGCTTTGAAAGGATGGATCTGGGCACCACCGAAAAGTCGCTTCCACCTCCGGGCGTTCATCTCGCGTGTTTCATGCTCCGACCCAGCGTCTACAAGAGCTTCGACGTGTTGGTCGAGAAAGGCTGTCAGAGTCAACTCCCCTATACAACGATCCAGTCACACCAGTTTTCAAACCAGCAAATGTACCAGTTGCGATATTACGACGAAATGGCAGTGAGCGATGTCATGACGGCCCTGGCCAATCGAGCCAGTGGAGGACAGTTGCAAGACGACGTGCGTTGGAGCCTTTACAATGCTTTCGTCAAGCTTGTGGACATGATTGGCGATCCTTCGACCATGATGGGAGCCAAGTTTTCTGTCAAAGAATTCCGCGTCCGCTGTCGACGAAGCTTACAAACTGAAATGACTTCTTGCACACTCCTCACCGTGAGAGTATTGAGGGACATCCATGCCACTTCAGCGACAAAAGACTTGACCTATGTGCCATTATCCTTTTTCAGTGCTCAACAGCATGAGTTGGATATTGGACACACTGATGAAGACTTTGCTGAGGTGATGATGGATGAATTCGGCCATCTGGCTCGGGGAGGGATACGCAAGCGCACAATCTCAAGTAGCATTCACAACTTTCGAAGGTCAAATTCGACGGCGTCGACAGTCTATGACAACGAGTCATCCCGGTCGGCGTTGTTCAAGAATCACTTGGGTGTTTTGAAGTCTCCACGTCGGCGGAGTGACGAAGCAACTATGGTGGATCATGAGAAGAACGGTATTGACGTGGAGCTGACCACCACACCGACTAGTGAGAGTAGTGGAGGATATGACGGACGCTCAGGGGTCTTACAGACCGGGCTGTTGGACATTGAACCAACAGGTCAAGACAGGTCAACATGGGTGACAGAGGCATTTGGACTTTTTGGCCTTCGACCGGAAGGGTGGTCATCGATCAAGATGGGGGGATGGAAATGGGATATTACTGTGGAGAACTCGTATGAGGTCGGCGCTGAGGGCAAAACGGGTGGGGCACGTGTATAACGACCAAAGGACCAAGACGATACACAGGACAAGATGTATGACCAATGACAGACCCAAAGCTTGTACAGTATGGTGGTGTACAGTACAATACCAATTTCTCCATCTATATCTATATCTATACGCGAGGAAGGCGAATTCGAAGCATGTATAGTCCTTGTGTTGCTATTATCGATAATCGAGAGAATTTATTTGTGGTGAGGCTGGTGTGTATAGGGGCCCCTCGGCCTCCTGGGTCACGTTGATTGGCGGGGCTTCGGAGAAATTCATCTGCCGTTCCGACAGATTTGCATGAAACTGCGTCACTGCATTCTTACAAACTTATTGTGACGGACGGTGGACGAGACAACTCGGAGCAATAGTTTCACAATACGTGTTCACGAGACCGGCGACAGAGGGCTGACACAGTAACCTTGCTCCTCCATGACCTGATTACCTTTCTGACTATATAGAAATCAATGCGCCATGACTGCACCCACCGAATCACCCGCTAAATTGCAGTGAGCGCAGCAGACAATCACCGAGTCCTCATCGACCCTAGCATCCACAAGAATTGGCTGAACTGTGCGAGATTCCTCCTCCTCCCTACATCTGTTGTCATACATACGTACGCACGCACGAATCTCGAGACTTGCGACACAACCAACGCAAACTACACGACGCAGAGCGAGCGGCCTCCGAACCGTACCAGTCGGAGACAAGACAAAACAGGAGAAACAACCATGCCATTCGCACAACTAGTGATTGGTCCACCGGGTGCAGGCAAATCGACATATTGCAATGGAATGCAACAGTTCATGGGGGCGATAGGACGCAAAGCAAGCATTGTGAACCTAGACCCCGCTAACGAGTCGACCTCATACAAAGCCGCAGTGGATGTACGCGAGCTGGTGACGTTGGAATCGATCATGGGCGATGAGGATACCATGCTAGGTCCTAATGGCGGAGTCCTATATGCGCTTGAAGAGGTCGAGCATAACCTCGACTGGCTGATAAATCGTCTTTCTGAACTTGGTGACGATTACGTTCTCTTCGATTGTCCGGGTCAGGTGGAATTGTTCACACATCATGACAGTCTGCGGCAGATTGTGAATGCATTGGTTAAGAGAGCTGGGTATCGTGTGAGTTTCCAATATCCTCCTTTTGGGTTCTACCTCCTTCGGGGTACGACTGAGATAATGGACGAGAAAAGAAGGCTTTGCTGACAATTGGTCTATTTTTCTAGCTTGTCGTTGTCAATCTAATCGACTCCTATGCCCTAACTCTCCCGTCCCTATACATCTCTACCCTCCTCCTATGTCTACGCAGCATGCTACAGATGGATCTCACCCATATCAACGTCCTCACCAAGATGGACAACCTCCATAAATTTCCCGCCCTCGACTTCAACCTCGACTACTACACCGAAGTGCAAGACCTAGAATATCTTCTCCCGAAACTGGAATTAGAGTCACCCATGTTCGGACAAGGCAAGTTCCAGGCCTTAAATGAGGCCATCATCCGGCTTGTCGAGGAATTTGGACTCGTCGGCTTCGAGACTTTGGCCGTCGAGGACAAGAAGAGTATGATGTCGTTATTGAGGACGATCGACCGCGCTGGAGGGTATGCCTTTGGAGGCGCTGAAGGTGCCGGCGACAGCGTCTGGCAAGTTGCCGTGAGAGACGGCATGGGTAATCTCGACGTCAGAGATGTGCAGGAGAGATGGATCGATCAGAAAGACGAGTGGGATGAGATTGAGAGGAAACAAGAGGAGGAGGAACAGAAGAAGAGAGAGGAAGAATGGAATCAGGGAATGCAGAGTCAAGGTGGAAATGGTGGCATGTCTCTTGGTGATGATATGGACTTGGATGATTTTAGGAAAGATGTCCCTTTTGATGGAGGGGTCAAGGTTCGGCGGAAAGGTGATAAAAGACAGGAGAGAGGACCTTCATGACATCCACTGATGTCGGTTGGTTATATTGCCACTTGAAACTGCTGTCAATTAATAGATGTGATACCCCACGGTAAGATGCAGCCTTGTATCATTCATCCATGTCGCTCATATCGTCGTCTAAGTCTTCGTCGTCCTCCTCCTCGTCAGGTATATCCTCTATTCCATCCGACCCTGCGATATTAGACGCCAACGCCATTCGACCTTGTTGTCCCCTAGTGGCAGCACCACCGGTAACACCCTTTAATAGCTTGCCATCAATGTCGACTTCCTCACCTGTAGTATCCCAACCCTCCATCTTCGCCCTCACAATATCCCTCCTCGCTCTCCTCACCAACTCCTCCTCACTCTTACGAATCGTACCACTCACACGCACCACCTGGACCACACAAGCGACATCGGCACCCCCTCTCTGTGACCCTGGAAACCCGTCCAAGAAAGTCAAACCAGCCCACACAAGCCTGACCTGAGCTCGAGGACAGCGCAGTATACAAGTCGAGGTGGCAGGAGAGAAATACACGACGCGCAGTCCGGCTTGCACGACGGCCAAGCCGTGGTCGCCAAAGTTGTGCGCTATCGTGTGTCGCAATGTCGATAGTAGGAGCTGGGACGTAAGATGAGAGGGGCTGGGTCGGTGGATGGTGATGAATGAAGGTGTTGGTCTTGGTGTTGGTGTGAGGCTGGATGTGTGGCTGGATAATGTTGGTGGTGTTGGCGTTGGCTTGGGCGCAGATTTGGTTGTGGCGGAGGGCGTGTGATCGGCGTGATGATATTGGGTAGAAGTGCGAGTAATTGTATGTTCAAATGGCACTGCGGAGACGTCGGTCGGGTAGAGGATGTTGAAGAGGAGGTAGCGATGTTTGATGCGTACCATGGTTTTTTTTCCAAGTTATGTCATGGTCTCTCATCGTCGTACTAGGTGATGTAGAGGTGATCGATCAAAGATTACATATCTATGATTGTAGGGAGAGCACGGTAGAGCTTTGGGCAAGTCGGCGACTTTCAAAAATGCGCAGAGAAAATAATTGGAGAAGCAGCAGTCGCGAGCACTGGCACTGCACTTGGCAAGGCCACGAGGCTGAGATTAGCGTACGGAGTAGAGTTTCATGCCCCGGATCACATGCAAGATGGATATCCTTCTTCCTCATGGACCCTCACTCCGACTTCAACTGGGCACAGCTGGACGTTTACCATATTTGATCATTGAAGTTTGGACCATTCTTTAGAGCGAAATACTTAATTCTCAGGTATGCATCCGTGGCATTCCACAAAAATCAACAGCCACTCGCCTCAAGTGGTGACCCGTGACTCGTAAATGATGAAACACCAACCGAAGTCTTGTATTCGCGCCAAATTAACCTTCTGGGGCTGCTGTGGGCTGCCTCCCGTGCGTCCCTCAGGAGTTTCCCCATACCAGCTGCAAAGCTCAGGTCAGTGACCCACATTCCTCGTCTACAGTAGTACGAGTACAACGACGACTCCTCAAATGGTGAAACGAGCAAAGCATGCCAGTCGAGAAATATCGCCCAAATATAGAAGTCGATAAACCCCGCAATCGTGGGCTCTGACGAAAGAACCCCTGAGATAGTGATGAGAAGGTTCTACGCACGAGATGATAAGGATGGGACACAGCGACGTTACGGAGTAGTATGGATATACGGGTACGTATGGCTGTCTCCCTTTTGAGGGGCAGAGGGGCCGATTGCCACACTCATGCATCACGGTACTGCAGTCCAGATCGAAAGTGACAAGCGTTGTGATACATGAAAGGAGAAGACTCTGCAACCTCTGCATATTTTACGCATGTCATCTGTACATATGTAACATGACTGGTTTTGGGTGTAGGACAATTCTGGGTCCTGATGGAGAGAAGTATGTCCTGTAGGTACTTAGTTCTGCAGTACGAAAGCGCGAATGGTCAAAGGTCAGGTACGAATGTAGAACTGGGTCACTATGTGATCCTGGAACGAGCGGCGTGATGATATACGGTACATATGCTGTTGTAATTGTACCTGATTTTCAAGTGCTCTCATGCCAAAAGCGGAATCGATCCATCTGCAAGCAGTCCCTGACTTCGTACACGGTACTCCATACAAAGACGCAGCCAATCGTGGAGATGTTCTCTATAGACTTCGACATGGCCATCATGGCCGCAATTGATTGCAGGAGTCTTCCGGTTGAGAAACTTGAATCATTGTGTCCAGTCAACTACAGTACAATCATGATAGGCTATGCATGGCAAGTCTTGACGATCATGGCAGGTCAGTCTTCTGGTCTGTGACGCTGTCACTGTCGCTTCTTGTTACAGCTTCGCCACGGCCGCGGAACTCGCTTCTAGCCTCCGGACAGTGGTGAACCGTGGGGATGGAGAGCCATCATGTCATGCGTATGACGATCACACAGCGAGCTGGCGACATTGGAAGTTTGAAGAGGCGCGTGACATAGGTTTGCGAGGCATGCGAGGGGACCAGTTGATTTGCCGTGTTGCCTGATGTGGTTTGTGATGGCCAAGTGCTTATGTTCTAAGGGCGTTTCATGTTGAAAAGCGAGCAAATTCCCTACCAGAAGGACAAGGGATTGGCGGCTACACAGACAATTTGGCGGCTGCGACTGGCCAGGTCAAGTCCTGTAAAAGCCGAGGGCATGTGCATCCATCCCCTGGAACGTGGCATGGGCAAATAATCATGGGAGGCAAACGCGTTAGAGTCCCGAATAGAGACCCTTGGGCCGTAGACTAGGACCAGCTAGGTAAAGAACCTCAGGCACGGGACAGGGATAGACGGGTGACAATCGACTCCCTGCATGAAAACTGTCACGCCGCTGCTTCATGTGAGCTTGGGCGTCGATCTGAGTGGGCAAAAGTCCCGATGGAGGGCAACCTTTAACGGATTGACCTCGCGGATCCTGGTCAGTGAAGGCCAGTAGGTACCCAGTAGGCATCCAGCAGCCCATCCGCTATCCTCTTTGCCTCTCCACCCAACAATCCATCTGTACTTGTTCCGTAGGTATACGCGCCAGCCCGCAGTCTTTTCCATTCGCCTCGTCTGGTTCCCGTCCCCCCAAAGGCTCCAATCTTCAAAAATCTCGGTCTACTTTGTCTACTCCGTAGACCATCTTCTAGTTAGAGTTCAGGGAACGCTTCTCCAGCGCGATTCTGGATTCCACCCTCCCTCGCCCCTGCGTGTGTACCTTTGATCCTCGCTCCTGTCACGGTGCAGCTTGCATGTCTATCCTTCCATACAACTTTGTCCCAACACATCCATCCCGTCAAATCACACCTTCTTCTGCAGGCAAGGAAAAGTCTCTCATTTGACCACCAATCCGTCCGCTCTTTTCTTTTCAGCTTCTCTTCCAACCAACAATCACACGCACACTTTCCTTAACACGACGGTCGATTCGTCCTGTAGCCGCACCTCGGCGTCCTCCATTCACCCGTGTGTTGGCTGGCTCTGCGAAGCCATTCTCTCCTTCAGAACTACATCCAACTTGACCATTCCAACCTCTCCGATCCTTCACATTTTGCGTGGACTGCGTCCCGCATTGACACTCCCTTGACCAACTAAAACTTCCATTCTACAACCAACACTACATTCCGGTCGACTAGGCACGTCGAACCTCAGGCAAACGACCCTACTTCAATCTATACCCCATTGTTACACGGCAGTCTAAGTTGGGCGTTGATTGGGCACAGACTCTCCAGACCACTACATCGAGATTCTACACACTCTTCGTCTAGAATTGAGTCATGTCCAACTCTACAATGGCGCTTGCCCGAGCCTTCACCAGGCGTAACAAACGCAGCGTTGATCAGTCGTCCTTCCAAGGCGGCTTGTCCGTCAAGTATGCCCCGGGTACCATCAATCGCAATCAGATTTCGCTCCCGACAGAACTCATCTCGACCACCAATGTACAAGCATTGAACGCCCCCGATATTCGATCCATGTCTGGTTCCTCGACTGGCTCGATCAACTCCAACTTCGACTCCGATTTCTCAACCATCGATCGAAGTTTCCTCACCAACGCAGGAAGTGACGCTTCCTCAATCGAGAGCAGTGGACCTGCTACACCCATGACCCCTTCCAATGACGAAATCAAGTCTTTCTTTGATTCCAAAACTTCACCACCCGTCCTACCCTCCATCGCCTCGCCATCTGTCCTCGACACACCGACAGTTCCACAACGTTCGCCTTCACACTCCAAAAAGGCACATGTTGAGTTGTCGCGGAAAAAGTCAATTCAGCGAATGTCGCCTCCTCCCACTACTCTCAACAAACCAGCTCGCAACAGTGCGGATATCTTCAACAGGTCAACAGATCCCAACCACCCGTTCGGAAGGGAGTTGGCTCAAGTCAACGAGATTGCTGAAGAGTTCGGCGCCACTGCGAGAATGATGGATGAAGAAGAACGAGAAATCATGGACAAGGGTCTGTGCAAGTTTGGTGTGGAGGATTACTTGGACGAAATCGCCGAGTTATACGGCGGTATCTTCGAGGACAAGCTCACTTCACTGGCCAAGCCGTGGATCTGAACAAGATCAAGCTCTTTGCGAGATTCACGACTGTAACGACTGGGGAGCATTAAGGGCACTTTGGCGATTTCTTCCTGACGGGAAGGTGGCGTTGAGACATAGCGGACAAACGGAACCCTGCATTTTATGGGTGTATCCTTACAACATTTCTTTCTTTGTTCTATGTGAGGACACCCCTCTTGAATGCGCGGGGAGAACCCGCTCAAGATGGCGGAGAGAGCTTTTGGCGTGTGCTGGTATATGAGGGTAATCTCTCGAACAACGGGTCGAGTCTGTGACTGGTCACCTGTTCGACTTGGGAGATGTTCCACTAATTGACGATGATGCCGTGCCAACTGATTTGATCACCATCTGGGTGGCAGCGGTGGGATGCTGAGGAAGACATCTGCAGGGGGTTTTGATGTGAAGTGTACTGATCGAGTTCTACACCTACCTTGCACGACAAAATGAGACATGGGGCTATTTCAATTGGTGCCGGTATCTTTGTGTTTGCTCACGACATTTCGATAGAACAAACAGAGCCATCCCATCATTCGAATCCTGATTGATAGTAAAGGCACAAGGAGACGTTTTTCTCTTCATTAATGCCGTTTGATGTCCTTTCTTGACTTGTTCTATAATTTTGACGAGAAAGTCCACATGCGTAATTCTGAGAGGAGTTTGACGCCACAATCATTCTTATCCTTGACATGAGTGCTCGGGTCATTCATCCACGCTGCGCACAGACATGTCATCTCAGCCACCGCGTAGCTCTGATCCCATTCTGAACTTAAATTCGAGTCCCAGGCGGAATCAATAGTCAATGAGCAGCGAGAGCGGGAAGGCGAACGATGATCTTGTCCTCGGTGAGGAAAGTTGAGAACTGAAATTTTCCCCAACCGATACCTACTGGTTCGTTGCACCAATGGCCAGTGCGCGTGTGGCGTGGTACCTGACGGCGGATCACACAGTGAAGATGCACGTGCATAGGATAGGGCATGAAAATCCTGGCACGCCTGCTAGCCATGGGTAGACACGAGGTCAATGGTCTGTTGTTCTCAGAACAATAAGGAAAGGGATTTGAGTCAAATGGGTGGAAACATTGTTGTAGTAGTAATCGTCGTGTCGTCTACTGAATATGGCTTTGGAGATGCAACCGTGAGGATGCCGGGTATTTCGGGGGTTTAGGCACAAAGTATCAATCCTATCAATCAAAAGTTCAAAAAGTACGTATAGTAATGCGATGAATCGATTCTATTAAATGATAAGTATATACGTGAACCATCTTTGATCAGCATAATGAAAATCTCCGTCTCATGGCGACTTTCAACGAGCTGGGAAAATCGTCACTCTTGTACTGGATTCACGGAGCCACGTGGTGATTCTCCGAAAAGCACGCTGATTTTCCGGTTTGCTTGCCGGGACCTCGAGTTCGAAGCCTTTTACTACTATATACTCCATAGTCCTCATAAATCTTCAGGGACTCGTAAGTTACCGGCATTGATCGCCAAGGCCGACGAGGAGATCACTTCAGCTTGTGTGAATCCATCTCGACGCCCAAGTGTGAGTATGTGTCCAGTTGCCATTTGGGCTTCTCTTTAAGGTTCAGGGCCTAGGAGACTGCCAACAAGTTTGGTGCCCGAAAGCGCGGAAAATCGACGCCGGCGTGGGCCGAAGGCGCCAGAGCCACCTACCTAAACGCCATTGGGAGATTTGTTTTGCAGGAGTAGTGAAAAATTAGGTATGGTGCACTCAACCAGCGTACTTAGTTGAACTTGCAATCGAAAGCTGCGATCATTCACAAGAAGACGAGTGAATGAGAATGAGCTTGCATTATCTAAACTTTATCAATGATGGGAAAACGGCATCCTTGATTCCAACGTGTCGCCTTCGAGGCCGTGCACATGAACGTGATCATCAGATGCACACGCGTACTTATTCAATTCGCCGAGGCTTCAAGGCTGAGGATTAGAGGACCAATCTGAGGGACCCTTACGTACATTGGGAGGGGCTCGACGACGCCCAAGGGGCCCTGCCGTCGCAAACTCAATTTCATCTTCTACGGTCTGACTCCTCGAGACATCGTATCGCGTCTTTCAATAATAGACGTGTTTGTATACATTGCTGCGGTTGACCGACAGCCTGTTGTTCTAGAAAACAATAGAAAAGGAATGTTGCCATACTCAGCTATATATGTATACTCCGTAGTCTGTAGAAGTTGTTGGTGAAATCCAGTTTCCTATGGAGGAAAAAGATGACAAGGCCCGCTGCAGGTGGGCAAGGATTAGAGGACGTGGAGCCTAGAAATCTTAGGTTCTCTAACCAGACGACTGCATACCAGCAAACTGTGCCAACAAGCTGCACATCAAACCACCCCCAAAAGCCCTCTAACCTAACACTGATAGCGCCTACGAATACCAATCCAGACCTCTGATCGCCCCCAAAAAACAAATAATAATACCCAAATGGCTGTCATTCAGGCACAAGCTCGAGCAATCAAAGGAGCATCAGGCTAGTTGACTGTCACAAGTGGACCATCTTGGATCCACCGTTAATCAGTAGTACTCTGTAGTAGTCCTCAATCGACACTCGTGACTCCATCTCTTTTGCTGTCGCGTCCTTTCGCGCCCTATCGAGTCTCAGCTGGCAAGGACCGATCAAGGCTCGCTAAGCCCTGCAGGTCATCGTCATCTGGCATTTGGACCGACTCGTTGATACGCAAACTTGGCTCGTGAAACTTGAACTGGCAAGTGTCAGAGCCACCACCAACATGGGGTAAATATGGAACAAAACCACTTGTTCACCGTCTATGTTCCAACATTCGTTGCAGCCACTCTCTAACCTCCGACAACACCGTCCAAAACTTTGCCATCGATTCGAGATTTCAGCATACACCAGATCTAGCCTTTTCCTTCTTTGATAAAGGGACGCATCCCAGCTCCACAGTCGTTCTCCCTCCCACCCTCCCACCCTCAGACACACGCGCCTTGACCACCAATTTGTCGTCGTCTTGCCTATCCTTTCAACCCAACCTTTGGGCAGTCCCTTTGCTGGGAAATCATACCCAAAGACATGGATGGGTTTCGCGCCCACGCGCTCCTGGCTGTTCGTCAGTCCTTGAGCACCGACGCCAACGACGATCAAAATATTGGCTCGTCTAGAGGAGGTTCTCCCTCGCTATCTGGCCTCGTCACGACACTCGTGCCCACTCTCCTCATTTCTGTCGCTTACTTTGCCACATTCCTTCTCCTGCGGACTAGATTTCCCAGACAATATGCCCCAAGAACATACTTGGGAGCCTTACTGCCCCAGGAAAGGACACCCGCTGCTCCCAACTCTCTGTTGGGCTGGATCCCCTTCATGAGAAAAGTATGCCCACAACCCCTGGCATAGTCATTATCCACCCTAACCACGCATTTGATAGATCCCCGACGAATTCGTCCTCCAGCACAACTCTCTTGATGGTTATTTCCTGCTTCGCTACCTCAAGCTATCCGTTGTCATCTGCCTCGTTGGCTGCCTCATCACCTGGCCCATTCTGTTCCCCGTCAATGCCACTGGCGGTGGTGGTAAAGTACAACTCGACATCCTCACCTTTGCCAATGTCGAGGATAAAAATCGCTATTTCGCCCATGTCTTCGTCGCCTGGATTTTCATTGGTTTTGTCTTCTTCATGGTGACGAGGGAATCTATCTACTTCATCAACCTTCGACAAGCCTACCTCCTATCGCCTCTCTATGCGTCGCGCATCTCCTCTCGCACAGTTCTGTTCCAGGCCGTTCCCACCGAGTATGCCGATGAGAATAAGATCCGCCGCATGTTCGGCGATGAACTGAAGAATGTTTGGGTTGCATCAGATGCTAAGGAGTTGCCAGACCGCGTCGAAGAGCGCATGAAGATCGCTCTGAAACTGGAGGCCGCTGAGACAAAATTGATCAAACTTGCCAACGATGCTCGCCTCAAGTCTCTCAAGGAAAACAAAGACAACAAAGATGCCCAAAATGTTCAAGACAGTCAGGCCCAGAGGTATGATGAAGATCCTGAATACGGCAGCGAATCTGGCTCGGCCGCCGCACGCTGGATTTCTCCCAAGGATCGTCCCACTCATCGCTTGAAGTTCTTGATTGGCAAAAAAGTAGACACCATTAATTGGTGTCGCGAGGAAATCGCACGACTGAATCCGCTCATCGAGGCCGATCAGACTCGCTATCGTGCCGGTGATGCACCTCCGAAGAATGCCGTTTTTGTCGAGTTCTGGACCCAGACACAAGCTCAAGCCGCCTTTCAAAGAGTTGCTCACCACCAGCCTCTTCATATGGCTCCTCGAATCGTCGGCCTCAGCCCTGAGGATGTCATATGGTCCAATCTGGGCATCACCTGGAAAACACAGACTCTTCGCAACTTTGGCTCGCTTGCTTTTATTACCGCTCTGGTCATCTTCTGGTCTATCCCCGTCGCTTTTGTTGGCTCCGTTTCGCAGATCTCATATTTGACCAGAGTCGCGCCATTCCTGAGCTTCATCAACAACTGCCCCGACGTTATTTTGGGTGTCATCACTAATCTGTTACCTGTCATCATGTTGTCTCTTCTCATGAGTTTGGTCCCGGCCATCATGCGATTCATGGGCAAGGTTGCCGGAAAGGCTACTTTGTCCATGGTTGAACTCCGATGCCATGAGTCTTTCTTTTGGTTTCAAGTCATTCAAGTCTTCCTCGTCACCACCTTGACCAGCGCTGCCAGCGCTGCAGTACCGCAGGTTATCAGAGATCCTGGTTCCATTACCACGCTACTAGCCCAGAACTTGCCCTTGGCCTCCAACTTTTACATCTCCTACTTCATCCTTCAGGGGTTGATTTTCTCGTCTGGAGAATTGCTTCGCATTGTCGGTCTAATTGTCTTCACCGCACTATCCACGATTCTCGACAATACCCCTCGCAAAATGTACAATCGATGGTCCGGCTTGGAGTCAATTGGATGGGGAAGCGTATTCCCTATCATCGAGCTGATGACTGTTATTTCTATCGCCTACTCAGCGATTGCGCCTTTGATGATGGGGTTTGCGACAATTGGTCTTGGACTGTTTTACTTTGCGTATCGATACAACCTCCTGTTCGTTGACAGTTCCGTTATCGACACCAAAGGACTTGTTTATGCCAAGGCTCTTCAGCACACTCTGGTCGGCTGCTATCTGTCGGTCATTTGTCTCATTGGCCTTTTCGGCATTCGAGCTGCAGCAGGTCCGCTGATTTTGATGGTCATCTTTCTCGTCGCCATGATCTTGTACCATATCTCTCTTACAAATGCGATCACCCCACTTGTCCACTACCTCCCAAAGTCTCTAGAGGCCGAAGAACTGGCGTTGTTGTCAGCCGATGCAAATGCGGCGGAAGCAGACTTGGCTGGCCCGGCAACGAGAGGAGAGTTGTCGGAAAAGACTGCGGCCGAAGATTCACAGAAGGCAAAGAAAAGCGGTGGACTCGAAGATGTCAAGATTGGCTTCATCAAGAAATTTCTCCGTCCAGATATTTACTGCAGTTACGCAGAACTGCGCAAATTAGTGCCACAGGACTTTGGAGAGATTCGATATGCTCGAGAAGTGGAGAGGGATGCATATCAACACCCAGCGGTCAACGCAGCAGCGCCTCTGCTGTGGGTTCCTCGTGACGAGATGGGAGTTTCAAGACAAGAATGCTCACATACCAACAAAGTGACTCCCATGACCGACGAGGGTGCTTACTTCACCGACAAGGGCAAGATTGTCTGGGATGAGGAAGCAACCGGTGGACGGCCTCCGGTTTATGAGGAAAAGATCTATTATTGAAAGAATATGAGTGAGACCTCAGTGGTGGTGGTAATATAATAATGGAGAGAGAGCACCCTTCCATATTGAATGATGGCGTGATATTGCATGTGTCGTCTCTCGTGTGGATGGATTATGATCATACATCAAGATTCTGTTATTGATACCCAATGGAAATCGATTTTAATCACTTGACACGTCCAGATATCAACAGTCGTTACCGGCAGTGATAGTACTAGAAGAGCTCTAAGCCTTTGAAGACATTGCACTTGGCAGTGCGGGACATTTTACAACCGCAGTTATCGGCTTTGAAGGTAAGAAGTTGATCTAGATACTACTTACTTCAGTAGATTGTTACGAAAGGGAGATAAAAAGGTAACCTAAGTCTTCACAGTGATCTGTGAGATGTTTTGGCCAATGCATAACACGAAAGGTCAAAAAGAGGACTGATAGATTACTTGCTAACACAATGAGAATCTGTTGTTATTACTGATACATGATGAGAATAATGATACAAAACTCAACATTGTCAAATATTGATAACAGGTTCGTTGACAAAACAAGGCGTGTCTCATAAGGGTGAAATAAATATTCACGCTGCTGTTGCTGTTGCTGTTGATGCTGTCGGTGTCGGCGCTGGGTTGTTGGTTGTCGGTGTCGCTTGTGATGATTTTGAAGCATCAGCCGTCACTGACAGGCATGCTCATGCTCATTCTCTTCCGTCTTCTCTCCCATGCAATGACCTCGTGTCTAGTATCTCCGCCTCTGCTGCATGACTGGTCGACCACCACGACCACCGGTGCGATGAGTCTTTGTGGTTCGCACCGTCTCACGCCGCGAGATGATGTACCATGCGTGAATGACGCCAGGAATCCAGCCTAGCACGCACAGAAGGATGTTGATGAAGAAGTTGGCACCGCATCCGTCACGTAGCAGCACTGCGACGAAGGGTAGGAAGATGGCGAGGAAGTAAAGGCAGACGTTGCCCTATCGAGAGAGACTGTTAGTCGGATGCTAGCACTACATGAGTTGTCGCTAGTGTGCGCGACAGTAAGGTGGTAAAAGACTTACGCTGGATGATTGTCTGGTCGTCATGTTGGAAGGTTGATATAGGGTTTGTTAGGTGTTGGGGGTTGTATAGATTTGATATTTGTATATCAAGTACAGTTTCGCGATGGGTATAGTATATGGGATGGAAAGAATCAGACTAAAGATGGAAGAGACAGATTTATATCTTCAATCGATATGACATGATGGGGGTCCTGTTCTTGAGTTCTATGGCATCATACCAATTACCCACCTGGCCATGCGAGCCGGCACGAGAGATCCGGTCACGCCAGTCTTGTCTACAAGAGATGAGGTCAGCCCTGGAAATTTTGATACGAGCAAGGGACGATCCAAGCTCCCGATATAGACCTGGTAGGATGCTATTACCAGGGAAATCGTGTGCCAAGGAGCAAAAGACTCGTCAGCAGTTTTCTGGAGTTGATGTCGCAAAAGTGTAATATGACGTCGCGAGGCTCTGATGTTGTGGCTTGACAGGTGGCTTTAGAGCCAGCGACGTCGTGTAATGGTGAGTGACGCCACTTTGAGCCACACCTAAGTGTCTTGGCACCATCTAATGGCGCTCTTGGATTTTCCCCAATGACGCACTGTAGAGAGCCTCATCGTTCCTCGATTCCAATCAAATCTCCCGATCGTCTTGAGTCCTAAGAATTTGACAAGATTATGTCCATTTTATTCTGTTGCTGAAGACACTACTACGTCCTGAACTGCTTCGGAAAATGCCAACGACCCGATATTTTCCATGTCACTAGTATTTGCTCTTCGCCATGGCTCGGCGCTCATCTTGTCACGGGGGATAGCGTCATACTTCGAGGCATTTCGGTGGGAATCAGGTTATTGGTACAGCTGACACATTTGTAGACATCCAGGCACTCTTGGGACAAGCACGGCGCAGCATGTCCCGACACATCTCGATGGTTTCGAGAAGCCATCGCAGTTCCTCTTCCTTCCCTACCTTTCAGGTACCTTCTCAGTTCTTTGCGTCTGTTTGCCAGTCGTCCTATCATCCTTTGAGCGAGTGACCGGCTCGTGCCCATGTCGAGAGATCGGATACGTGCTGCGCGACGCCAGTGTTGTCACTGAAAGACTGCGGATGCATTGATCCCAGGATAAGTTTCCTTGAATGCCCCTAAGAGGATGGTACGGCGTTACGAATTGCGCTCATGCAGAACGGCCACCCACGTGGTGTCCCGTGGCTCGTGGCGCGAGGCCCGTGGCTCGATCTGCACCTTTCCCTGGTGCTGTCTCTGCCGTGGTAGAAACGGGAACTCCAATGCAAAGCAACAAGAACATTCAAATCGTGCTGGATGTGAGACATTTCCTGTCATTCTGCGCTGCTGCTCACCAACATCTCCCCACGAACCCACCAATGAGCAAACAAGACTCCTTTGCAATGTGCGCCTTTACTTACCTGTGACCATGAGGGGCTTGCATTATAGGCTTCTGCGATGGCGAATCAACGCCAACTGACTGTTTGACTCATAGTTGAACGAAATCCCCAAGACGAAGTCATGGCCATGCTTTGTCCTGATGACCTGACGGAAATCACGACTGGTGTTGGAGCAAGATTGTCTTCTGGAATCGCGTATGGCTCAAGCTTACAGTGCATCCCTTTCGGATCCGATATCAACGAGCATAGTACTCCCTTTTTCGTGACAGAAGCCCTGACCTGTTGACACATGGCTACCAGGTGGTTGAACAGCTCGCCTCGAAATTTGCCCCATTGTTCAAAATAGCACACGTCCACTAATAGTGAAGCCGACTTACTATGGTAGGTCAGATGTTCAAGTCACGACTCGAATCACGAACTTCGAACATCTCGGCATTCGAAACAATGTACTGCGCATACGCGACTTGTTTGGAGAAAGAGCAGTCTTGAAATCCGACCCATATCCCCGCCAATGCACACCATAATATTAACAAATATGCTGGGGCCGGTGATTTCATGCAGTCTCTGCAGTCGGGCGTGTCTCTCGGTTGCTTTGAAGTGAGCATTAGAGAATTGATCCATGCCAAATTCACATCAAGAATGGGGGCCTGGAAAAGAACTTGTGGATTGCTTCATTGACCCTGATTTGGTCTTGTGCAGTTGGACAAAGTTGAACGCGGACCGGGACGGAACGATCGGTAGATGTGATGTGTGATTTGTGCCTTTGTTTGACTGGCCAGGGGATTTCAAGTCTACTTGCCGACTGTCGGTAATGCAAGCCGCAATCACCCCCCAAGAAGAAAGACCCTCGCAAATGCACCTGTTGACAAGGAGCGCCGCGTTTTGGAATAGGCTAATGGCTACGGACAATCAAGATGAGACTGGTGTGCTGTAGTCAGCAGCAGCAAGACTCCCCCCACAGTAGTACATATCGCACAACCATCTTGATAATAAATGGGGGAGGTGTCGCGGGTTTCTTGGTGTGACTGAAATTTTGCCCAATTTTGGCATGATCATCGTTTCACCTTCAGCGTCCATCACCAAAACTGTTTACCATGATTGCTGAATCGGTTCGCTCTAGGTCAATCATGGACAATTGGTGATAGGGCGGAATGTGACTTTTGATCTGCAATGATCAGCAGAGCCAGATCTTTTGACAAAGACTTGCAACAACACAATTGAGATATGTGGATACAAAATGGGGGTAGACCGTGCACGCCGTGGCAGGTTTGGAGCAGCTGAAAACTACCTTACCTACGTACTACAGGCATACCGATGGTAGTGATTGGGGTACTGTTGGTATAGCCAAGAACATCGAACAACTGTTCTCGACGACGTTGTCAGCACTGGCAGTACCTGAATGATCGCCATGACCCTGCTTGTCAAAAATAACAAGGCAGCTTTCATTCATCCATGGGCGGCACGCATGCTCATTGCTCAGACCTCAGAAACCCCCAGGTTTGTTAACGGCCGTAGCTGGGTAGTGCGAATGCCTAATGGGGATCTGCTCCCCACCAGGTCCCCGAGTCCCCGCTTGTCATAATCAGAGCAGGGATTGGACGAGATTGACTACCGAAAATCGGTAGGGATCTTGAGCTTGGAAAGGTGACTTTTTTACTGTAAGCCGACTGGCGGCTGAGGGGCAGGCACGCAGTGGCTCAAAGGGAGGCACTAGGCACCATGCGTAGGCACTAGCTACCTACCTCCCTAGGTAGGTAGGCATGCAGCAGGGTAAGGCTTCGTTCGATCTAATGAGCGAAACGGCCTCGGGGGCGCTGGAGCAAGCCGATGGGGGTGGAGGTCAGGCGAGGCTAGAGAGAGGCACGGTGGCTGCCCGGCTCCCCCGGTGCCCCCAAACATTGTGCGTGCGCCAGTAATGGAAGGGATAGATTGTTCTGGAGGATACGCACAGATAGTCGATGGCAGCCTAGAAAGAGGAGCATCAGCAAGACGGTGGACTGTGCTCTCTATGAGCAATGTCAGTGTTCTTCTCAGAGCTCTCAATTATCCAACATATACTTTTTGTGACTTCCCCTACTGGGAACAGTCTGAAGGTTATTCTATCTGCCAGTGACGCAGTCAAAAAGGTCGTTAATCAGAATCGACATCAACCAAGCAATCATTACTGAACATGACAATTCAACAAATGGGGCTTCACATGTCGAATACTCCAGTCGAACTCCCTCAAGTACAAACACAATATTGCATCCACCTCTACAGGGCTGTAAGGATCTAGTTGATAAATAGATACCTAGCACGATGGTGGACGGGGTGGAGGAGAGATTGGTCCAAGCCACAAATCTGATGCGAAAGATTAATCCCTGCTGGGCGATTGAGAATGACGGCTGTTCCCTTGGTCCACGTGGCCGCCAGTGGCTCGCCTGTGCTCCGCGGACCATGCTACGCAGACTCCGTACGCACTCTCTGTCCAGCGTTAAGTCCGACCTTTAAGTATCCTCCAGGCGTCAAAGAGGCCTAAATTGGGTACTCTAGCACTCCAGAGGCACCCCTAGCTGATTTACTTCCTTCCAAAATCTACGCGGTTGTTTGAAACCCCCACGCTGGTGCCTGTTCACGCAAGCAATGGCCTCGTCTGGTTCAAATGGAGCATCTTTGAAGCAAAGCCGAGATGAAAGCTTTACTACCGTGACTTGGCTGTCGTTTGCGTTGGCTAGGCCACGGGGTCACAGAAAGTACTTGCTACAGCAGCCTATGCCTGCTACAGAAAATATAGCCGCCCAAATTGCCGAGCTATTGGCCCCTCGGCCCATCCCTCCACTGCTGGTAGCCTACTGAGTAGTCATTTGTCCCATTGCTGGGTTCTTTGCAACTGCTTCTCTTTTCTGACACATGATCTGGATGAAACATTCCATTTCCATGCATCTGTCGACTGTCACATCGACTTTAGACACACGATGCAACAACGTGCGCTTCTACTACCATGATGAGGTGCATATTTTAGGGCCGATGTACAGGAGCCAGAGTGGAAGTTTTGTGGCTTGCGAAGAGACGCAAGGATCGGCGACTATCGCTGGCTTGGAGAAGGTGGAGGCCTCTCGAGGGGGGAGGTCTGCACAAGGTTCACACTTCAAGTCTTTGACGCGGCGCCTGGAAAGGGTTCCACCCACCCACTACTGCCAGTCACCGAATCCCTGAGTAGGCCAAACGGCGCGATGATGGGGGATTCCTTTGTCCATTATTGCAAATGTCTCTCCCAAGGGGTATCCCACTCGGGTTTCTTCTGTGAGAAGGGTAAAGCGGCCGATCTCCTTGGCCAAACGGAATGTCCCTCATCCACCTGGATCCGGGCTGTGCCCGTTGATCATACATTTATTATACTGTGCTTAGTTAATAACTCGGTCCGAGGCTTGGATATTGTATATCTGTGGGATTCGTTGGCTGTAGCAGTACAACTGGTAGCTGCCAAGTCAAACATGTGTCAGTGAAGCAGAGCACAGGTACATGCTACTGTATGGCATCACATTCGATGGAGGTGGCTGTCGACTCGACTGCTGTCGTGATGACTCTTGACGTGTGACCCTGCATTGTCTGAGAGACAAGCCCCGCCTCGTTCTGACGTTTCGAGAGGCCTCAGATAATTCCATCACCATTCACCTGACCGCCATGGTTTGGTCTTTATGCAATAGATGAAACTCATGGATCAACATGAAGCGTGTTTGCCATTCGGTCATGGCATCCATGATTGTCTATTCTTACTCGGTCTTTTCCTTGGGGTTCTGAGATTGCCCTCTTACCCCCAGCTGGCTCAGACTGGGTGTGACACATGTGCGTAATCGACCTATCGCTTCTATCCGAAGTTGGCAGGGATGTCAAAATCTGCATGAAGGATTCTGCAACTCGTTCCGCAAACGTCACGAACCCTCGAGCATTGAGAAATAACAGCTAAAAGTATAGGGCAAAGCTGACTTAAGGGCTGCTTCCAGTCCAGATTGTATCCGTTGTTTGTTAGCAGTTTGACATTTCGTTGATTGAAGTATCCGGCCAGCCCAGATAGACCTTGCCGTCTGGAAACCAGTGCTTGTACATACAGTCTTGCCAGTGTTCAACAGCTATTGCTTGAAACAAGCTGCGGGCCGTACGGTAGTTCACGCCAGAAAGTGGGCTCTGGGATAGAACGATCAACATTGCCATATGAAATCAAGTTCGATCTCAGATTGAGGTACTTCCAGGCCAAATCAGTAGCAGTGGTTAGAGACTCGTGACTAGCTCAAAGCCCCCGCCAAGCTGCGTAAGAACTTGGATAATGCCTGAATTCGGAAGTCAAGTCAATGCTTGGCCCCGTCTCATTGAGAGAGCATGTCAGGCAGGAAAGTGACTTGCAGCAGGCACGTGAGCACACAGTTCATTCTGCACCAAACAGAGTCTTGATGGACATGTCGCTTGGTCCTCATCGGCAGGTCAATGGAGCAGCGATGGACAACGCAACCACAGCCTGTATGTACAGCAACTGTAGGAATTAAATCATGTGCGTGTGGCCAGGACCGCGTAGGCATAGACCCCCGCCCACAATATGCCAACGCAACTCTGTCCTCCAATCCTGTGTTTTCGCGGGGCTTCTCAATCTCTGACTTGACCAGCCAGAAATGTTCCCACAGTTACACCTACCAGTGTGGTTCTCTGTTTAGAGACGATCAGGTCGATCCCCAGTCTGATGGCTGAGAAGCCCCCTCGTGCTTCCAAGGACCCTGGTCGTTCCGACTGAGCATGAAAAATGCCACCTTTGCCATGCCACCAAGCATCCTCTGGGTTGCACTTTCCCCTAGCCAAGTACAAACAGGTGAGTGATAATAGTGATGTGTATTTCGGCTCGACCTTCAGTTCTGGGCGGCACACTCAAGAGCCATGGCCTGTGCTCACCTGCGGCTGTAGCCAAACGACAGTGGAAGTTTAACAAGAGATTGTGATCGAGAATTGTGAGGCATAGCCGGAGGATCCCGCCGACGGACCCAGTAGCGTCCACCTGTCAGGCATCGAGCGCCGATGGGGGCCTCATCGGCCCTAGAGGCGCCCCGCTAGAGGCTAGCTCCAGTGTAGGTGCAGCCCCACGGCCACCAGTTTAGGCATACCCTGGTACCTGGACATGACTCCCACCCTCCAAATTGTGAAGCGTGCATAGGCACAGGCACGACAGGACAGGCGACAGGCGATGCACTTGGACTTGCGTGCATCGCATCAACGCACGCACCAGTGTGACTCTTTGCGCCAGTCATGTGTTACGAGGCCACCCCCGGCTCGAACAAGGTCAGGTCCCTCAGGTCCACTGGTCAACGGTTCTTCCTTCTCTATCGACCGTTCTAATGTACCAGGGTCGCTCAAGGTCACTTTACGTACGATGTGGTCCATCTCCGCCCACTGACCAGTAGTTTGAATTCATTATTGCACTGGGCATCCCAGGGCCTTCATTTTCCCTCTCATCCTCTCTGGACCTCTACTCCCGGACCGATACCAACGCCGGCCGGCTGCGTTGTTAAGCATCCCCCCTCGACTTCCTCCCCACCCGCACTTTCAAAGACCAACTTTTGTTCTGGCTTGATTGATCAATGATCACCCCCCGACCCTGCCTCTTCACTAAGTCCAACTCAACCTGGCCGTTACATCTACTTCCACCGCCTTACTCAAATCTCCTCCCATTTGTCCATCATCGGCTTTTATTGGAAACTCTATGCTCCTCGCAAGACTTCACGCTGGCTTATTCCTGTGACAGCGGGCAGCCCCAGATCTAGACACCGCTTCCTTTCCACCATCTTTCAGATTTCTCCCTCCCTCCTCATCTTTGTCTCAACCTCACTTACGTCCTCCATCCTTCCTCCGCACACTCCACCTCGAAAACCCTACCCAGTCTCGTTACCCTACCCGCCTGTGGTTTCGACGAATCCTCTATCTCACACCACACCGAGCATCTTCAACCCATCATCCTTGAATCTTCAAACCCTACGAACCCTGCCTGTTTGGATCGGTCCTTTCTGACGATTGGCACTTCATCGGCATCTGTCTTGGAGTCGATCATCGTCCTTACATCACCAAGATCTTCACCGCATTCTCTTTAAACCTTACCTCCCTCTTAATATCCAATCCTGCAGACCAGATTATCGACTTCTTTGGTTACCCCATTGCATTCGGCCTCTCACCGATCCCAGATTTTACACAGGTCATGTCTTAGTCCGGACATTCGAAAGGTCTTTGACAGAATAATCGATCAAAGCTCTCGCTGCCTCCACCATGGCTCAAATTATGAGTGCTCATTCGAGCTTTGTCTACCTCGTCGAAAATATTCCAAACTGGCAGAGAGAGGTCAACACTTTGGCCTACCGGGCTCACGTTAAAAACACCGAATTTGTTGCTGAATATGCTCGTTTAGTCAATCAGATCCGACCGAAAAGGAAAAAGACACCGTCTCTTGCTTCACTCAACAATGGCGATGGAAAAGCCATTGATCGCCCTGAGTCCGTCAGCTCTTCTTCGTCGTCCCTCGACCGAGTCGAAATCGATCCCTTTGAAGCCGGAAATAAATATTTGTATGCACAAGCCCGAAGGAAGAGAAAGCCAGGATCCGTCATCCGCTCTGCAGCCTCCGGACCCCAGAAGTTCAGGAACAAAAACCAAGTCGTGGTGTACTATGACGGATTTATGCAAGAGCACTTGGACGCCTTGGTCCGACTGGTGGGCAACGGCCGCAACAACCTGCGCAAGGGCAAAAATTCCCTTGTCGCCGCTCGTGGATTCCAACTCCCTCGACTGACACGGACTTTGGTGAGAGACTTCAATACCCTGGACGACAACAAGTCACGGAGTACGTCGGCGTTACCGGGCAAGCAAAAGACGGAACCTTCGTCCGAACAAGAAGTGACTAATCACGAGGCCACTTTCCTTCAGGTTGACAAAGAACTTGAATCCATCCAGTCTCTTTGTGAGGTTGCTGCACATCAGTTTCTTCGAGACGGAGATTGCCAAACGGAGATGGATATACTCAAGCAAAAACTCAAGGATCTACACGTGAGGGTCAAGTCCACGGCTGAAGTGTTGAGTAAGTTCGAAGCCACACAACAGTCCCAGTCCGAGGCCCTCGATTTATCACTGTCGGATTTCCCCCGCGGGAGTGACTCTGACGCCACACTCTCGACCCGACCGTCTTTAGATGTGCTTCATACCCCGAAACTCGGGGTTGGCTCTCTTCCAGGCATGCCTCATTCACTTGGTCATAAGCTATCGAGGCCAGGCTTTTTCAGTGCTCCAGATATCGGTTCACATGCAGAGCCTCCGCTCTTGGTCGCCGATGACATCGAAGTCGATGATGACAGTGACCCAGAGGACTTTCTAGTCGACGTGACGTCGTTCCGTATGGCGAGAACTCGAGCCTGATACAAGGCCCTTATCGTCACCATCAACAACAACAGCAGCAACAACAACATCACCATCATTTGTTACATCTTAGCGTTTTCATTGTCATTTTGTCGGCATTGGTTTCCTGCACATTAGCGAGTTCTTGACTATAATACAAAAGAAAGCATACGGTGCGAGTATGGGAAGCTCCTGCACCAAGGATATGGAATATTTGGTTGGCGGGCGGAGACTCGAGTGGCCGATGACGCGTGCCACCGCATGTCAAGATGACATCTTGAACAACTCCGCACCCCAGACCAATGGATCAACGGCTACGAGACCGGACATACCGCTCCGGGATCTTGAATAAGCCAATCAAGCAGAATTTTATGAATGGAGAGTGAAGAAGAAATGTGCACGAGACTGTCACGGCCGCTGGATTTCCTTTACTGGGGGGATATTTTGAGATATTGGGAAGGGGGCTCTCTCGGGATGGGATGGAGCGCGGGGCCGATGGGAATCAGTCAATCTGGGAGGACGGGAGTGAGCGATTTGAGCGATGAGAGGTGTATCTATTTGCCTTGATTTTCGACACATGAGAATCGGCCAACTACAACAACCAAACAACCAAACACCACCATACTAAACCCATCAAGATGGAAGTCAAATCGATCCGCAGAGCCATTATTGGCCATGTGAGTCAGTCTCCTGCGTCTTGAATCGGTGATGGGAAACCTGGGGGAACACGAGAGGAAGAATGGGATTGTGAAGTTTCCAGGGAATGAGGGATCTCAATTAAGTTTCCTTTTGATCTCGCCAGCCAAATGCCTAAGTAGCCACACAATGTTGGGAAGCACTGAATACGCGTGTATTCCCAGTCAATGATCATTCTTAGACCAACCCAGTATATGGCTCATTTGATGGTTCTGAGTGTATGTAGCTTCTGTACGCGTGGGAACGTGCAAACTTGGGATTCACGTTATGTCGAGTCATCTGAACATTGATTGATTCGCCGCTTGTCTATTTTGTGCATGTGGGTATCTATCTCTGTCTATATCTCATCCTCACATATCTCCCACCCCTCACCGACCGTACCAATGCGTTGTGAGTGGGGGATATACGAGACAAGTGTTTTGGAACCAGGCCACCGACATGTCGTCCACTTGAGTACAAGGTGACTGCTCTGTGAGTGTTACCAAGTCCAGACGCGGACTGAAGAGGCAAACTGCTTCAAGTAAGACATGTGTTCATGGGTATGGCATAGCATGGTATGGCAGTGGCCCCTTCGTATTCTAAACGGCGGAGAATATGGTGATGCATCTGAGATTCAAAGCTCTCTAGAATATGAGCAGACCACCGTGACTCACATCTTCAAGACAATGTCGCCAATTCAGTTGTGGTGGTTGTTGCAGCATCGCGACAGTGGCCTGACCTAAAGCGTAGGATCATTTCCCGTGACCTGACTTGATGCCTCAAGTGTGTCAATCATGACATGATGAGCACAACTCGTCCTCCTTTGGGTGCGGACGCTGGTCAGATGCTTTAAAGGTGTCAATTTTGGAGGATCCTGTGGGATGCAATGGCCTTGGCCAGTGCATGGATGGTGGTATCAAGTCATCAGATCGGGTGCAGTATCGTTGATTTTGTGGTGAAAGCAACAGATCACCCGCCATTGCTCACCGACGCACTAGTGCCCGCTGCGGTGGCTTGTGATTGCCCTGTCTTTGATCTTGCTTCTTGGACTACCCCCCAGAACAGTTGTTTCTTGACGTCGCTTGCCAGTAAACCTGCGGCTTCTTCTCCTGCAATCTTGCTGCCTCCTCTAATGACCTTTTCCAAGGAACCATCCCGCACCACTTTGAAATTTGTCTCACCGTTGCCGGCGAGTTCTGGTTGCTGACGACTGATGGTGGTGCCAGCCTTTTGTCTCTTTGCGGCTTCATGGATTTTCACTGCATGGTCGGCAATCTGCTTGTTGGAGTAGCCACGGTTGGTGAAGAGTGGAGATTGAGAGATGGTGGAGGTCCAGTATTTATTCCAGAGCAGGCCCAATAGGTGAGAGTCGAGGGTGGATTTGTAATGTTGGACTTCAAGGGCATAGTATGAATTGGCGTGAGCTCCAAAGTCCTCAATCTTACCAGTGGGGATGGCTTGAAAGTCGTCACTGTCGTCAGTAAATTGTTTATTTGTGGGACGCTGGCTCTCGGTATATGTCCTAAAGGCACCTATCTCGACCTTTCCCGCAGAGACGGTGCGGTCAGGATCAATGACAACCGCAACAAATGGATCATTGACCATCTGATGGGTCATCTGAGTATTGACATCAATCCCAGAGAGCCAGCAGCCGTAGCCTGGATGAGAATGGTACCATCCTACAGCATTTTCCAACTGACCACCGCGATCTCGAGCTGCGATGCCAAAGTTGACCATGTATTCGTCGGCGTCAGCCTGTGCGTTCACTCTCGTCTCTGTGCCTTCGACGGGGAGTCTAAAGGCGTCGGTAATGACGAGTGATTTGCCAGAAATATAGCCAATCATCAAACCCATGATCTCAATGCTGCCGCCGGAACGAGCATGTGTGGTCATCTTGAGTAGAGCGAGGGCGGAAATGCGGACTGAGGTGAAATAGTTGGGGTCTTTTTTCCATGGTGCAGCATTTTGCAGAGCTCTGTAAGCCTCAGAGTCAGGGAGATCGTAAAGAGAATTTTCGGTAGGGTCGATGGTGATGATGTTATTTTGGGCCTCCCATTCTCGGAAGGCTGCGAGGGTAGACATGGTTGATGGTGGAGGATGGGGATGTCGGAGAGGGAGGGGTGGCAGACGGATCTGAGGATCGTAGGATTGTGACCAGTACGGAAGGGTGTTGATGAGTTTGTTTGAGTGATGGGAGTTTGTAGAGGAAGAGTGGTCGAGACTAGTGAACGGCGCAAGATGGAAGCTGCAATGAGATATTGTGGCAGATTGTTGTCAAGATCGAGGAAGGAGGGCATTTGGTGCTGAATGTCTAAGGCTTGATGATGATATTAACCACCTGCAATGTTCTGTGCAGATTGGCCGGGCGCTGCCGCGGTTGCAGTTGGTTCTCCATACCTAGGTACTTTATAATGTCCCAGGACCAAAGATCCTCCGACCCGACAGCTTGACTTGGCGAGTCAGTCCCCCATAGAAATCGCCTGGGTTCTGAGTCGGGGGCCGAGGGGCGTGTTTCGAGGTCAAGGGCCGGGGGCTTCTCGGACTGCTGGTATGCCTTTTCCCCCCTAGCCCGGGGGCCGAGGGGCCTAAGGCTGTAATACTGAACGACCGTTAGTAACCTGTCTCTTCATTGATGCCTTTGATATGGAAGTGCCTTATACTTATACGCTCATCTCGTCATATTCTCTTCTTTGCCCTAAAAGTACCTAGTAATAGATCTTCGTCATATCTACGTCGCCAAAGTCGACACTGTCTCTCAGAAGACTGCTCTCTATGCCCCTCGTTGCCAACGATTGCGCCATCGGTGATATTCCTGGGCAACACCGTCAACAATGTAAGACCACCCACAACAGTCTCAGCACTTCTGTAAGCTAGGAAAGTCTGAGTCAAAGCCACAAATCTTGGGAGTATGCCTGACCTCATAATTACTTTGAAATTCCATGTTGGCTAAGACTTCTTGGTCCGCCCGGACAAGCACGACAAGCTCAATCTCGAAGCTAAGCATCCAGTGAGTGCGAGTGAGACATACGAAAGGTATCACGGACATGCATCAACCCTTGAACATGCTCGAGGTCGTCTGATGGTACCGATATCGCCTGTCCTTAGAGCCGAATTTTCTTCTCAATGTCACCTTGTGGTGCTGGCCAAAATTTTGCTATGGTATAATCTAATCCCAGTATGACGAATAGCCTTCGGCCCATCTCGACCGCGACCGCTGTGCCCCAGTCCTAGCAACCAGCACCACCACCAATGTCTTTTGACATTCGAGGAGAAAAAAGAGATGTGGAATCCCGGTCCTTCTTATCTGAGACCAATCAGTTCCTAATCATTCGCTTCGGTGTTGGTTTAACATCCAGTGATGGAATTGCGTGCTTTGGACTTGTGTTGGCCTCGACCGAGAGGACTAACCATCATCCATATATAAGACTCAAACGGTCGGTCAAGCTTTGCCACAATGCTTCGTTGGCGATCATCGTATTCTCTCCGATTCGAACCTCTTGGCCTTGTTCTTCGCTCCTCATGGCTACATCAAAAGAAACACAGGTCAATGCGTCGACCCTTGACGTCGAATCTGGGTCCTCGACCTCAAATAGCTCGCAAGAACATGTTCAGAAGACTACCTCGACATGGAAGGGCTATCTATGGGATACATGGGATCTTCCTAAAGAGGAACGATGGCTTCTGTTCAAAGTCGACGCTTTTGTCTTGACTTTTGCTTCGGTAAGATATCTTCCTCCTGTTTACGTACAGACTATTATAGCCACTAACGAGGTTCTTGTGAATTTGGTAGATTGGCTACTTTCTCAAAAACCTTGATCAATACAACGTCAACAACGCATTCCTCAGTGGTATGCAAGAGGACCTCTCCATGTATGGAAATCAACTGGTCACAAGCACTTCCATCTGGACCGTGGGCTATGTCATTGGACAGATACCCTCCAATCTACTGTTGACAAGGCTGTCACCTCGGATAGTCATTCCCACTGTATGTCAACAATATTTGCTGTCTGTCAAAACCTGTCGTCTGACTTGATCACCACAGCTCGAACTGGGCTGGGGAGTCGCAACAATCGCTACCTCCGCCGTGAAGTCATACAAGGCGCTGTATGCGTTGAGGTTCCTGGTTGGTCTATTCGAGTAAGTCCCTTCTCTACAGCGTAGGTCTCATTCAGATTGTTGATTGTACTCTCCTCAGGTCTGGCTTCTACCCTGGAATTCACTATCTCCTCGGCAGCTGGTATACTCCTCGTGAGCTTGGCAAGCGAGCTATGATTTTCTGGCTGGCCGGCTCTATGGGACAACTCTTCAGTGGCTTCCTACAAGCTGCCGCATATACCGGCCTCAATGGAGTTCATGGAAGAGCCGGATGGAGATGGCTTTTCATCGTTGATGGCATCATTACCCTACCCCTGGCACTTGCAGGCTACGCCTTCTTCCCAAACCTGCCTCAAGAAGATAACAAAACATGGTGGACGACACAGGCAGAGCATGAACTGTCAGTGAAGCGTATGAATGCCATCGGTCGTGCTGGCAAGGAACCCTGGACGTGGCCTAAGTTCAAGAGAGTCTTTCTCAGCTGGCATCCTTATGTTCTACGTGAGTCTTTTGTGTGATTTCTCCGTTCCAAATGCTGATTACCAGATACAGCCATGCTCTATGTTATCTGGAACAACGGTGGCTTTCAACCAGCCATGGGTTTCTGGCTGAAGAGCTTCAATAAAGAACCTTATCCAGTTCCTGGCACGCACTTCACCATTCCCCAAATCAATTACCGTGAGTCTTTCTCAGTTCGCCTATGTTTACCCTCACTGACTCTAGCTTAGTGCCCAATGTTACAATTGGCGTGTTCATCGGCATGGCATTCTTATGGGGTTGGCTGTCCGACGGGCCCCTCCGCGGTCGACGTTACCCGTTCATCTACGCGGGTGCTATAATCAACGTACGTGTGCCAGGGACAAGGTTTTCCGCTCTACAGAACGTACTGATATTTGATTGCAGCTGATCTTTGCCGTTGTTCTCCGCCAAATGCCGTTGTATGACAACATACAGGGTCGAAAAGTGGTTTACTGGCTGAGTCAAATCGGATTCGGAGCTGGCCCACTCATCTTGAGTTGGATCAATGAAATCTGCTCGGCCGACACGGAGAAGAGAGCATTGCTCGTGGCAGCAGGCAATGATTTTGCCTATGTCGTCCAAGCAGTAGCTCCGAACTTTGTGTGGAAGACCACCGACTTTCCAGCCGCAAGAAAGGGTTACACGTGGTCGCTTGTGCTTCAGATTCTCCTCGGTAAGTGTTCCTCCTTGCACTACATTCTCGGACGTTCGAGACTCTTGAGAACTGACCGGTACCACTTGCACAGTTCTGTGGACCGCTCTTATCCAAATCTTGCTTTGGCGAGATAGGCGAGCTGAAGCAAGAAGGAAAGTCAGTCAAGTCGCTGAGTCGGAAGAAGAAGGAGAAAACTCCATTGGACACAGGGATGCGGATAGGAAACGCATTAGCTTTGACGCGGTGGCGATCACGCCTGCGGCAGGACCTATCAGTCAGTAATGACAATACATATCAGGCATCTCAAGTAGTATAGCATGAGGTGCCTGGTCTCTATACACCTTATATGAGGTCGATGAATTTCAAGATGTGAGGACAGCGATAATGAATATTCTTCAGAGACTCCACGAGCTCCCAAAATCCGAACATTCCACCTATCCTGATCTCTAACGTGCTGATCGTTAGCGGAGTTCAATCGAGAAACCTACGCAGGGCAGCGGACTTTGTCCTCAACTCCTTGACAACCAAAAGTCAATGCTAGATATGGGATAGATTCTTCGAGCTGAATGATCACGCAACATTAAGTTCGACAACAACAACATACCAAGCTAGGCAGTGGAACAAAACAACAAACCTACCCACCCCCATCCATCTCCAAGTCCTCATCTCCAAGTCCTGGAACATAGCTGCAACCAGTACATTGATGAGGGGCAAAGGTATAGATAGACTGGCACGTCAAGTCCTTATATCCAGCCTTGCGCGCGCCAAGCCCCAACAAGGCTGGCGGGGTACGGTTGCTCGGCCAACGCGATCGTGTTTTCAACCAAGTCCAATTCGAGATGCTTCTGATGTTGTATGCTTTGCAAGAGTACCTCTTGAACGACGGTTTTTCCCTTCTTCGTCCAAAAGATTTTGGAGACCAAAACGCCATGACCTCCTGCTGACCCTTATCCATGCAAACCTCGTTTTCCTGTCTGTCCATCCATCCATCCTATCCATCCAATCCGGCATACTATCTCGGTGTACACACACAGCTACCTACCTACCTAGCCACCTACCTACGATCATCGTCAGACACCTTGCCGCCAGCCCACCAACCAACTTCGACCTCTATTGTTGTCATGCTTGTCACCTCGTCTGAGGTTGCTTGTCTAACGGCATAGATCTAGATCGATAATCCTCTTGCTTTGCATTATATACTATTGCACTGCATCAGAACACATTACGCAACACGCGCCGCGTGAGCTGGTCGACCAAGGTTGTCGAGTCTGACTACCACACCACCTGTCAACCCATCATCATCCACCATGCCTCCACCAATGGATACCAGCTACCTGACTACGCAAGTGACGACCATCATCGGCCAACTTCATTCCATCTTTGACGAGATCGGGGTCCCCAGAAATGAGCGCGATTCTCGAGAGACGGAGCTATTCGCAGCTCTGTCAGAAACCCTACATAACCAGCTGCGCCTGGTCAACTCGTACGTCACAACTACAAATCCCACAATACGCACCTACCCTCCCACCCTTCCTCAAGCTCATATTATACTGACATTCACGCTCCTCTTTTTTTCTTTCTAGTGAGAAAAATGAAATGACCGAAGAAGCGCAAAACATCATCAAAACCATCAAACAGATGGAATCGTCGCTGGACGACGAAAAAGATGCTGGCTATGATCTCGACACCAACGGTCTTCGCGTCACATACCCTCTCATCGATTGCCTACGCGACCTCAAAGAGAAATACAACGTCGTCAGCCGACTCCACCGCGAACGATTCGAACAAGTCAAGAAACTCGTTCAAGCACTCCAGTCATACTCGTCACATCTCGAATCCTCCTTCGTCAAGATCCGTCTCCCACCGACCTCATCCAACACCTGTCCTCCAAACTTTGATCTCTCGCCTTCATACGTCACTACACTAGACGAAGAATTCACGCGTGTGTACGATGAATACAACAGAAGAGTTGTCGTCGTTCAACAGACATCAGAGGAGATCGTCAGGTTATGGTCCGAATTGGGAATTCCACAGGCGCAAACCGATTCGCTTATTGTGCAACATTATCGTGATTCGCCGGAACAGTTGGGTCTGCATCAAGCGGATGTGGATCGTTTGAGGAGTCGACGCGATAAATTGTTGGACGAGAAAAAATGTCGTGAAAAGCGGTTGGCAGATATCAAGAAATCGATTGAAAATCTCTGGGACCGGCTCGGTATTGAAGAAGGTGATCGAAAGGCCTTTCTCGCCGCGAATCGTGGTTGTGGGTTGAGAACAATCAATGAATTCGAGGATGAATTGGCGAGATTGAATGAACTCAAGCGACAGAATCTACATTTGTTTGTGGAGGATGCTCGAGTCAGATTACAAGAATTGTGGGATTCGCTTTTCTTTTCGGAAGAGGAGATGCTCGACTTTACACCTGCTTTCTCCGACGTATACAGCGATGCTCTTCTTTCGGCACATGAAGCAGAAATCGAAAGATTGGCTACACTCAAAGAGCAACGCGCCCCAATTTTGGAGAAAGTGGAAAAATACCGGTCGCTGGTCGCGGATCGTGAATCGCTGGCCGCATCTGCCAATGATGCCTCGAGACTGCTGCTGAAACCTCAGAAGGGCGAGAAGCGTGATCCTGGCAAGTTGTTACGAGAGGAGAAGATGAGAAAGAGAATCGCAAAAGAACTTCCCAAAGTGTCGGCGGATCTGGCAAAGACCTTGCAAAAGTACGAAGATGAATATGGCCGACCTTTCTTGATCCATGGAGAGCGATTTCTTGATGAGCTCGAAGAAGTCGAGGTCAAAGCTCCTCCAGCCCGGTCAAAGACTCCAAACGGACTTCCACCCAGGACCAAAACTCCCGCCCCAGCACCGACGACGACGAAGACACAGGCCAGTGCAGCCAAAGCTCCCCAAGCAACACGGCCTGCAAGTGTGATGAAAGCGCCAGCCCCGAGATCCAATGCAAAGACGCCCACAGGAAGCCGACCAGGTACGCTGAGACAACAGGCAGCGCCTTCTACGACAAGAACAGCGCCAGCTTCTCAGAAATCCCCCTCTAAGATCCCCGCTCGAGTTCCTTTGAGTAATCTCAAGAACGGAAACCATTCTCCAGAAAGACGAAACGCAACCCAGCCTGCCATGCAATGCCCTCCCTCAGAACCGGTCCAAAACTATGCTTCGACGGCGAGAAGCATGGGACCCCCTCGTGCGCCACCTCCCAAAATGCGAGATTTGTTCGTTCCACCAGAGCAGCCCATGACCACAGAACAACACAATCTCAACCCCTCAACCCGACCAGCGTCAACGTTGTCTTCCGAGTCAAATGAAAGCAGTCGATATGTGAGACATACGAGCCCAGAAGATGTGTATAACGACAGCGAAAGAATGTCATACATGTCTGCGTCCCTCGTCCAACGCGACCAACAACAGAGGCAAGTACTTGGATATCAGCAACCCCCTCCCCAGCTCCATGACCAGTACTATCAGAGCCATAATCAGCGGAGCTATCCATCATCTCAGACTTCGTCACATAGTCAAAGTGTGTCACATCGTCACAATCCCTCGGCTCCAGCGTCTCTCGCAACAGCATCTCGTCAAGCATCAAACTCATCCTCCAACATGACAACGGGAACGACGGCATCCGGTTCCGAGAATTGGGAGACTTTCTCGGATGGATCCGAGGTGGAACCTGAGAGGGATATTCGCGACGTCTACCAATCTAAATCGCAGAATCATCCACACACGGCTCATGTGTCAACCACAAATGCGTTGGGGATGAACCACAATTTTAACGGTATCCGGCCGGTGACGGCGCACGGCCATGGCAACTTTGCAGGAACCATGGGGCCACCGCCAGCCAAGATGCGGATGCATGTTAACAACCCGCATTCGCAGCAGCACCATGGCCATCATCAATTCCGTGAAGTATCGGATGAAAAAGCACGGAGGATAGATGACAGTGATGCGGCTTGGAGCACGGAGCTCGAGGAGACATATTGAAGGGTGTAAGACAATTGCTCAAAGGCGTGTAATGACCTGTTGGATGGCGCTGCTGGGGGTGTGGATTTCGGACGGTGAGGACATTTGGTTGCTCGGCCGGTACAGAGCGAGCTGGAACAGAGATATCACAATCTCACTGATGACGCATTAATGACTTGTTAGATCTTGCCAACATCTCTCGGGGAGTGTGCAAGTTGTTATGTATGGGGCCTAGGCGTTGGAAAGTTTTCTTGTGTGATTCGTCTAGCTCGTTAGTAGAGCCTTTCCAGGGTGTATGATTAACCTTGTTTCTTCTTGAACCCACCCTTTCATTTTGCTGTCCTGCTCTGGCATGTTTTATGAGATAACATTGCGAATCGCCATGGTGTTGTGGCCACTGCGCTTAACGGTGCTATGGTTGCCCACTTGGCACTTCCTGGCCATGGCTTGGTCAAAGGCACTCTGCGCGAGATTCTCGATACTCGCAGGCCAGAAGAAAGCCGCACTCTCAGCTCGCAAGGACTTCCAGACCCTACCCTCTGGGTAGCAGTCCAGCAAAATGGGCATGACAGAAGGCCAATCACAAGGCGGGACCTCGGCGAGCTGCAAGGTGGTGCCAATAATGAGGTAGCACCACAGATAGCACTTATGTTCGGCGGACGGGTGAAGGTGTGACTTTTGGGCGAGTGCCACATCGGTGATTCTTTTAAGAGCGCTTTCATAGAAGCCGTCGATGAGGTCGTTGAACAAGACATGGCGGAGCAGGAAGCAATACGACACTAGGGCGTGGACAAGAAAGCGTTCCATCTCGGTGACCTGTAAGGTTTCGAGTCGGTGCAGATCCTCAATCAGGTTGCGGATCTTGGGCTGTATCGTGCTTTTTTCGTCCTTGTCGAGGTCTGCCAGGCTCGGTGAGGAGGCTAGGGTAGTGAAAATGGTCAAAAGGCGGATGATCTGCAGGGACAGGATGCCTGTGAGACCTAGGTCGGAAAATCCACGGGGCAGCTTTGCGAGCATCTCACACGCCTCTTGAGGAAACGGGTGAGACATGTAGATGGGGAGCTGGGTTTTCTCCAGAGTATCACTTGTGGTTTCGAGGGATTGAGGCTGGGCCGGTGGAGTGACGGTGGAGGCTTGGACAAATGACCACAGGGCTTCATAAGCGGCGACATTAGTCTGAAGAAGCCTCTCCCAGGGCGTGTTAGATTTGAGGTCGCCTCGAATTTTGATTATTTGTCGCATTCCGGAGAGATGAGTGCCAGCTGAACTGTGGTCCCCGAGGATGTAGTCGATGCTGGTGGTGGAGTCAAGTGTCAGTAGTGTGGCTTGGGTAATTAGGATGGACAAAGTGACTCAGGAGGGAGGGGGAGCAAACTCACGTGCCAAGGGTGGCGACGACGAGGATGGTGGTATCATTTGCGCATAGATCGGGACACTGGAGTCGCTGACGGAGTTTGTTCATGACATTGTTTCTGTGGGTGACGAACATGGCATCTTTGTGCGAAGGACTGCCCAGAGAAATCAACAAGGCGGCACGACACAGAGCGATAAGGGCTTCGAAATAGATGTCATTCTGTAGAGCAAATGGCCAGAGAAGGCTCAGGTATGGATTGGCATAGCCTTCGAATGCAAAGCCTCGTCCATGTTGAGGAGCCCAAACTTGAAAATCTAGATGGCATTAGTACGGGTTCGTCAAAGAGAAGAAAGATGATAGGGATGGCATACAGTATTGGGCTGCATGGACAACTTGGGGGTTGGACTTGATGGGTAAAGTATGGAAAGGGTCGAGGAGAGAGCCATTGGTAGGAAGTTTACGCATCTGTGTTTGGGCATCGCGCAGCTTTTTCAAGTCAAGGCGTTTATCAGAGACAGGTTTGGACCGTTGTTTGCGAGGAGGCTTGAGCAGTTGACGTGTGCGCACAGCGGCGGAGTCAAGCGCGAGAGTAGGAGGTGCGTGGCGCTCAGCCCATATCTTGGGCGTGACAATGTCCAAGGCAAGGGTGTTGCCTTGGGTCATGGTGGGATGTTACACGCAGCGGAGAGCATGGCTGCTCAAGCGCTGGAGGAGGGAAAGCCGTGATTTGCCAATGGATGGCGGCATGATGGATCAAAGAGGTAGATGCTGGGAAAGAAGGGAGATGATAATGATCATGATGTTGATGACATTGATGACATTGATGGTGGAGATGATGGTGAAACGCAGACTAGGAAAAGAACCTGAAGTCATTGGAAGGCGAGGCGAGGCGAGGCGAGGCGAGGCGAAGACGAAGACGATTCAGTCCATGTCCATTTATTCGGAAGGTGCCACTGTGCCTGAGGAATAAGGCCATATCTGGTAATCATGGTCAAGTGGCAGGCACGGCGCCTTATTGTGCCGTCCGTGCCCTCCTACTTACCTTAGTACCTTGGGTAACCTCGTGCGAATATGGGGTATGTGGATTGATGAGTGAGCATGGGTCGTTTACTAGCCTGGAGCACCCAGAACTCTGGGACTGGGAGGGATTGCTTATTATGACCGAGTCAACCCTGGGGAGTAAGTACCTACGGAGTACCTACGGAGTAGAGTAAGACAAGATCTAAGCTCAGCCTATCATGCCTATGAGACAAAAGTCCAAACTAATCAGACGACTTGTGGCTGTTACTGGCCAAAGCCTATGCCTTAGGTATCCTGTCAGACGGTTAGAGCCGCAAGGCTGAAAGTCAGAGACCCTTGGTCTATTTGTGTTTGCAAGCAGGGTTCGAAGGGGGATTCAATAGGTGCCTGGGGTAATCAATTAAACCTACATGTGAATCTACAGGCGACATGCAGCGTTTGGTTAATTAGATACCCTATCAGTGGCATGAGGTGCGAGTTAGCTGCCAGAAGCTCGAAGCCCTTATTCTGAAGCTAATTCTGAAGCGTTGGCGACATGTTAGGGGCATGTCAGGGGCATGTCAGGTAAAAGCAAGCCCGAGGCAATTGGCCGAAGGGCCTCGAGGCACATGACTAAGGGCATCCAGGCAGGTACCTAATTGAGCCTGTGACACACCGCAGGTTGGCCCCTTGGCCCCTCGATCTCAGCAATAGTCAACCACAAGGCAGCGAGCGAGGTTTGAGTCTTATTGAACCTGCGTTCTCTATGGATAAAATCAAACACTCTTAAGATCAATCATTTTGATAATTAAGAAAAATAATAACCTTGCCTCTTCCACCTCCAAACTGACACTTTTTGTCCCCGAATTCCAACTTATTACTCAACAAGTCAATCAGTCAACTTTCAAGCCCTGTCATCTCCACACTTGGCTTCCTCGCTTCGCTCGCCTGTCCAATCGTCCCTCCAAAAGCTCTCTCTTATGACAGCACCGTCGTCATTGCCTGCGTCTTGTTGGTCATGGTTCTCTTGTTTGGCCCATTCTTTCCCTCCTGTCTATTGATGCCAGACTCTACGTGGTATGTACTTGAAATCCCAACACTGCGCTCCCTCTACCAGTTCTCGCCCTCCAAACTACTCTCATCCTTTGTCGCTTTCTATCTCAGCAGCAGCCTTTTGCTATCTCTCCCTGTCAATTGTAATGGCCACTTTATACACTCGATAATGCTTCTCCCTCGCTCAATTCGACAATGGCACAGACGCAAAACCACCAGTACCATCTTCCAACTACTCGCCTTCTTCTCCCTTCTTCTCCTTGTCCAAATCTATACCCACTCCTCCCCAGTCAAAGTCAAGAGCCATACTCCTTCTACATCTCCTCCCGGTGCCAATCGTCCTCCACACCCCTTCCTCAAGCAGCAGGCTGCCTTTTGGAGGGATTTGTACCTCATCGTCCTCAATAACGATCCCAATTGTGACCATCCTCCAGATCCTGTCCTGCCACATAAGCTCGATGTACCTTATGACCCTGCCCACAATCATCCCCGTCCTGATGTCCTATGGCTTAACCCTGCCGATGTAAAACGCCTCACCGAAGCCCATTCCACTTTTGTCGCCGACCTCAAAAGAAACCCTCCTGCTCTTGTCTATGAACCTGGTACGCGAGGTCTGGTCATGACCGCTGGCTACAATCAATTGCCCGTCTTGGTCGTCTCCATTCGTATGCTACGTCGCACCTGGTCCCTGTTACCCGTCCAAGTATTCCTGGCCGATGACTCCGACTACGACGATGACATTTGCGAGAACGTACTTCCCACATTAAACGCAAAGTGCCTCGTGTTGTCAGATGTCTTTCATGCTGCCAATTCAGGCGTCGCCATCGACCGCTACCAGTTTAAGATTATGGCTATCCTCTTCTCCTCCTTTGAACAGGTCCTTCTTCTCGACTCAGACTCGTTTCCTCTTCATGATCCCGAACAACTCTTTGATCAAGAACCCTTCAACCGCACAGGAATGGTCGTCTGGCCTGACTTTTGGTTCCCCTCCGAATCTCCCTATTATTTCGATATTGCCAAAATTAGCCCTGTACCTCCCTTGACCGACCGACCCTCCGTCGAATCCGGAGAACTACTCTACTCCAAATCTAAACACGCCATGTCAATTATGCTCGCCACCTATTACAACTACTGGGGTCCATCGTACTATTACCCTTTACTTTCCCAGGGAGCACCTGGTCAAGGCGATAAAGAGACCTTTGCCTGGGCAGCCGCTGCTTTAGGCTTCCCCTTCTACGCTGTTCGTGAGCCCGTCGCCGCTCTCGGTCGCTCCGATTCAAACGGGAACTACATTGGCAGTGCCATGGCTCAACACGACCCCATCCATGACTACAGGGCATCTAGACGTACCCAACAACAACAACCTCCGACATCTGACGAAAAGAGCAAAGATGAACTCGGTGATATTGTCAAGGCTTCTGCTCGACTAAGACCCTTTTTCATTCACGCAAATGTACCCAAGTTTGATCCTTCGACCATCTTCCAGCATCAGTCCACGGGATTCGCCGGTGAAGTCATTTCTTCAGGTGGCCCTACCACTGACAGCAATGGTACCTCGGTTCGTTGCTGGATGAGCAGAGAGAAAGCAATCGCCCACTTTGGATTTGATGTCGAGTACAGGTTTTGGGAGGAGATCAAAGGGACCGCTTGCGAATACGAGCACCGATTTGGTTGTTGGAAGGACAAACAGGGCATTTGCGATCGCGTGACACAATACTGGCGCGACGTTTTTGAGCCCGTGAGCCAAGTTTCATGACCCATAAACATGGAATTGAATTTTTGACGTTCATGATATGAAATACCATCCACGACGACAATCTCATGACAGACAACCTCTAGCGATACCATGAACGCAACTCAGCAGATTCATCATAGTACTACTTGACTTCCGATAGACGATTGGGCTAGTTGCATTATACATATACTCATCTCAACTTGCAGGCAGCATCACATAGGAGTTTCTATCACAGAGGTTGAATGTTTGTATTTGATCTATTTCCAAATCCATTTCCTCCTCTATTGATAACCATCTCCAGTTCTCCACTCATGATCTGTGACTCGGAGTCCTCACTTATGTCCTATGAGGATTGCTCACCCCGGAAGATCAATCGGATCGAGGTCTCCACCCGAGAAGAGGCACATGTTCCTTGACATCGTAAGTTTTGGATGCACCCGCGGATATTCTTATCTTCCCGACAACGCAGAGAGGACGATGGCCAGGGGGAGGGATACCTGGATACCCTCGTCGCAGACCTCCGGATCCGACGGGAGTTGTCATTGTGGACCCCCGGACAGTCTAGGGTCTGGTCGTATGCTCTGCCTGGATTCACCTCGACTTCAGCATCCTGGTTAGGGTGCTGTTCTCGTCGAAGACCCAAATCGCATTTCCGAGGCAAATCGTAAAAAGTGGCGCAGTCGAACCAGCCCAGAAATATGCCGTAGAAGTTCTGCACAGAGACAAAAGCCACAGTCGTATGTGAGAATGTATTTTACATTCCAAATATCACAATTTTCCAGGACAAGGGCAACCAGGTGTCTCGAACTCGATGAAGCCGAATCCGTGAGTGGTTGGCCAACCAGCAGGGTTCTGTTGATCCGGTTTTGATGAGCAGGCGAGCCTGCTTCGTGCACCTGAGCGAGGACCGCCCGTCGATTGAGTCCTGGAAGGGCGCAATCATGGTGTATTGGTCTGGCAGAACCCAAGGATGTCCACCCGAAGTAGAATAGCCTAACTCAGAGCCAGGCGGAAGAACGTAGTGACTCGCTGATTGACTTTAGAGGACCGAGCAGGCCTGCTTCGTGAACCTGAGTGCAGTCTCGACCATGGCCTTGCCAGTATCAGAACATTGTGGCACCAGTGGCAGTGAGATTCCTGCCGAGGTACGAGGGAGAGGTTTAGCCCATCGTGACTCCATGAGATCGCTGCCGCCGAACGAGAAAGAGGGATGGGGCCCATCTGGAGTCCATGGGCGAGCCTCCAGCCAGTCAGCCAGTCACGCATACAGCAGTGATGGCTCTTGAGGATGTGTCATCCTTTGAGTGGAGCCTGTGTAGAAAGCCATGGTTAGTCTGGTTCATTGTTCATCCAAAGAATGGGGTCTGCAGTGGAGGAGGGAGACCAACCTGGTAAGTTTATATATATAAACGGATTTTCAGTGTGGTCCTTTTTGGATACATCTTCTCCGAAACTTGCCATTTTAAGCCTTCTGGAGGATTCTCAAGGACCTACACACCACCATGGGTCATTCGAAGAGTGGCTGAGCGAAACAGCGACACGCAATGTCTCTTGTATTTCATCATGATAGATCAAGAGATAGAAGTACCCCAAGGCAGGCATCTCTCCACAGATCATTTCAGGAATCTCTGGGAAACGCTTTGCTGGCCCGTACTTCGACAATTTGCTCAGGCTGAGAATCATGTTACGTATTAGGTGCAGGCCCATGTATGATGCCGGGGTTAGCGAGTCTGCCTGCATAGGGAACTTTTGCTTCATCAGTGCCTCTCGACGATGCTGACCACGGTCCAGTTCAGGGGTTTCCGGGAGATCGGGGTCCCAAAGCAAGATAGGACGTGTCGCCAAGTCCTTGATGGCCCGAGTCTCAGCGATTTCTTTGTACATCGTCATGAGCGTCTTCGCCGAGTGTCGCTCCTTGATGAGTCCCTGCTCGTACCACTCCTGGTACTTGGCGGCGGTGTATATCGCATTATGCTCCAGAAATCGGCGAGGGAACGAGGCAGCGAGTCGGTCCTTTGCCTGTGTGCGGGTTATGCCTCCGGTGCCCAGAAAACTGGAGGGCAGACACGGTATCTGGCAGTCGATTGCAGTCGAAGCAGCGTATGTGGTCGACTCCATTATCTGATCCATCAGAGCGCCTCTCATCTCCCGGACTTGGGAAGTCTTTCGCCGCTTGTTCATCACACCCTGGCCATGACTATGGACGACAGGGACTTCCCAAATGCCATTGATGTGTGGGAATGGTATACAAGCCCCCCGATGGACAAAGGCACGAGGCAAACAGGACTGTGAATCGCAGCTCAAGAGGCAGAACTCGAGGCCACACCAACCCAGAGGATGGTAGATCTGGGTAGTCCAGGAGATAGACTTCCAGGGTCTTCACTGCTGTCGGGGCGCAGGCAAGAACACGCAATGTCTCTCGTATTGAGAGGTAGATTTCGATTCCACCCCGACCAAAGGCCCAAAGGATGCCATCTGGCAGGTTTCCTCAAACGGCGCCGACCTCCATTGTCGGGTCCAGGGAATGCCTCCAGTCATTTTGTTTTTATATATATAGTGGATGGCACTTCGCCGTTGCCACCACACTGGAAGAGCGCATAATAGCCTCTCTTTGTCGAGGAGATGATTGTAAGGCGAAGGACGTGCGAAGCTCAGCCCCGGGTGTCCTGTCCAGGAGAATGAGGGTGAGTTCTGATTCTGTTTCCTTGGAGCCCTAACCGATAGGATTTGCAAATGAGGCTATCTCCTTCACTCCTCGACGTTCACCATTCGGAGTTCGTATAGCAGATCGTCTCCCTGAATGGCCATACACAAGCATCCGACCAGGATGACCTTGTAGAGCAGATCGTACCCATGCATATGCGGCCTCAGCCTCGGCACGCGCAACATGCATTTTGTGTTGGAGTTGCATGGCCTCAGCCACGCCACCAAACTCGTCGTGGTGAACACGGACGCGGGCCTCTTGCCGGAGTAATAGCGATTTAACCTACTCCTCGGTGAGGAGAGGTCGGCGTGACTCGTCGGCGGCGGACCGAGCAGAGGCCTTTAGACTATTACGTGTTAGCATAAGACGGTTAGAAAAGACGACGCGGGCAGGGCGGAAGGGGGGGCCATAATCTAGGCCTAGATTATAGCCCCCCGGGCCCCGGGCCTCTCGGGCCCTCGTCACACTACTTTAAGAAATAACCTACCTTTAGTCTAGTAAAGTCGGAAACGATGGACAATACGGCGCTGTTGCCATCGGGGTTAAATAGGCCATCAACGCCGGCAGCCTTTTCAATTTCGATCCGTCGGCTAAACTCCTCGTCGAGATCTGCGTCGGCGTCGAAGCCGCGGTCGTCTAAAAACACGGCGGTAGAGGCCTTAAGGGCCGCGGTGGCCTCGCGAGGGGCTATCCGCACGTCGGAGCTAATGGCGGCGACCTCGTCGTCGGTCAGGTAGCGGACGGGCTTGGCAGCTTATCGCCGAGAGAGGGTAACTTCTTATGGTTCGCGACGAGGAACCGGAGTACGCACATGGCGCGATTGACATTCTCGCGGGTCACGTCCCCAAATTTCATGTCGGTGGCATCGGCCGCCGGAGGGGGGAAAAAGTCGGGGTAGGTGTCGACGATGTGGAAACACGCGGCTATATAGATGGCGCGGGCAAAGGAGGCGCCTTGGATCTTGCTGGCCTTCCAGCGGGCAAACACGTCGTACTCCATCAGCCCCTTTTTGGCCTTGGGGTCGAAGGGGGGAGTTAGAAGTGCCGCGTATAGAGGGTCGCCGCGGCGTAGGCCCGCGGCCATGTCTTTGAAGGCTAATACGGTCTTGACCGGGGTCTTGTCTTCGACGCCCCGGACGCCGAAACCCTGGGCTTTGGCCGCGACAAACATGCCAATGAACCGGTCCAGCTCTTTTCAATTACAATGCGTTTACCGAACTCCTCGTCGGCGTCCGCGTCCGCGTCAAAGCCGCGGTCCGCGTTGGCCTTAAGGGTGGCGGTGGCCTCACGGGGGGTATCCGTACCTCGGAGCCGAGCGAGGCGACCTCGTCGTCTGTCAGGTATCGTCCGTACACAAGCCCCCGGCCAGGCAACGGCAAGCAGAAATGTAGGATGGAATTATTCGTTGCCCCAGCCAGCGGAAGTCGGAAATGAAGGATAGAACCCTCGGGGTCGGCCCAGGCGTAAGGAGGAACAAGATATTCGAGGCTGTCTTGAGATGGAGCACGGTTCAATGCTTTATCCATTTCTTAGAAAAGCTCGTCTGCCACATCCATCGACCACTCCAACCACTCTGATCGTATGGACACCTCAGAATTTGTCTTGATAGTCGGCATCTCTGATTCCATGGGCATGGTCACCTCATAGCACGACCCATGGCATATGGAGTATTTGCGGCGCTGTCCTGGTGGAACCGAACCAGCAATTGGGGACGCCAGAACTTTTTTTTCACGGTCGAAACTCTCTGATTTTCTGGGCACCGTCATCTCGTAGTTCAACTCTCTGGGCAAAAGCCCACGATCAGGTATGGTGCTGGGCGAGGACTGCTGTTCATAGTCCAATCTAGAATACCCAAAGTGTTAGTAAAACTCTATCAAATAGACATAGATAGAGAAGGTGAGAGGAAATACTCACTCCATACAAGCCTGGAGCGATCATCAACCGGACGGAGCCAGTCTCCTCCTGGAAGGAGCGCCAGAGGCCAGAGGCGCTTCTGATTTTTATATATATATACGCACCAGAGGAGCAGGGGTGCGTAGTTGGTAGTATTTGTAGGTGTTGGTTCTCATGAGCGTCACTTGCCGATGTTCAGGGGTGAGCGCCTTGCGACCAGATGGGGAAGTGGTGAAGGAGAGCACATGCTGTGTCTCAGCCAGTGTTCAAGTGGCAGCGCCATATGATTAAGGTGGAAATGCTGGATGAGAACACATGCTGTGTTTCTCTGGTCATTCTGGTCAGTCTTCAGGGGTAGACGCCTTGTGACAGGAGAGTACGTGTTGAATGAGATCCCATGTTGTGTCTTTCTGGTCGTTCTTGCCAATGTTCAGGGATGGGTACCTTATGTCCAGAGTGGAGATATCAAAAGGACAACATAGTACTGGATGTTCAGTTTTTGTCCAGTATTTGGGTCGAGCGCAGGTCCAGATGGAAATGTTGAAGACGAAAGGTACTTTGTCTGTCCAGATGTGTCTGTAGACCTTCTGGGAATTCTGCAAGAGAAGGTATTGATTCTGAATTGGAGTCTGATCTTCTGACAAGAATGTTGAAGAGCTATCTTGAACCCAGAAGAGGAGGCCTGTTGGTATTGTCACCTGCCATCACTTGCAGTATCCAGGGGGTGAGGGCCTTGTGGCCAGAGTGATATCATGGTGACATATGCTGTAACAATATGTTGACCAGGACTGCCTGCACATGTTCTGGAGGTAGTATGTATGAGGACATGGTTGTCATGGACAGGGACATACTTGGACAAGGATCCTGAAGAGGTATGTGCAATCCAGAAGAAGAGGAAGAAGCACAAGGGCCTGGAAGAAGTGACAGACACATGCTCAGGGTGCCAGGCCTGCTGACCAGAAGGTGTCTTCCAGAAAGGAGATGTGATTTCATGCTTCAATCCAGGTCCAGAATGTAAGGATATTAGAAATCATGCATTTTCCCATGGCCAACACATAGACTCAGGGGCCAAAGGCTTGACATAAGTAAAGGTCCAGATGGCATATATCGCAGGAAACATTGGAGGTAATATGTCCAGGAAGATGATCATAGGCATACACTTTGGGGTGGCAGCCTTCAGGGTGAGTATACCAGAGTAGACATGATGTGATTGAGGTAGCAGTCTTTGTGAAATAGACGGTGAGATTGAGGTTTGCAGGGGAGGATCTGGAACTGTCTGCCTTTGTGAAAGATTATCCTGAATGGCTTGCTCATAGCCTGCTGAGTAAGGATTCTGTGATTTGTGGGAGACTGTGAAAGCGCGGGTTGATCTGCTGCCTATACAAAGTATTCGATTGAGGCAGAAGATAAGTTTTCTGGACTCACTTTCCAGCCTTACAAGGCGCGGAAGAAGTCAAAGTGAGTTGAAGAGAGTCCAAGAGAGTGAAAAGGAATTGAAGAGATGAGATATGGACAGGAAAAGAAAGGATGAGAGAGTGGAATGAGGGAGAGAAGTTGAAATTTGGCGCGGGCAGAAGGAGATACTTATAGGAATGTGGTGCGTCATAACTTTGGTCCTGTACGTTACTCAACGACAACGATGACTCCGAAGGCTGATGACGAAGTCTGAGTAGTAGTGAGTCCGACTAGCGGGATTCAAGACAGGTGGGGACATGAGTCCGACTGGCAATGAGTCCTCCATCTCAGATAGGGACAAGCACGAATTAACGCTTTTCTTCACGATCAGTATGGCATGAGTCCGCCATTTGAGACAAGGTGGGGTGTATAGGCATGAATCCACGCTTCGCTTCACGATAGGTATGGGCATGGGGCCGAGATTCACGATCAGATAGGCCTGAGCAGTATCAGCACAGCTTCATTGGAGTGATGGGCAAGACGGGGAGGGTGGATCGTGCTGGGGATCAAAGACTCTGAAACTCTCAGGGTACTGCAAGGTCCATTAAGGTAGTGATTTTCTACGAGATAAGTCTGATCAACAGTACGAGCAGTTAGACCTCACTGGCGTGCTCAATTTGCTCGGTCTTGTGGTACAACACATATGTCCCATCATGTAGAGGGCTCGATGGTGGAAGGACAAAAGTGAGACACAAAACATCTCGAGATATCGTTCGAAATTGTCCAAGTTGGCGAATGATTCAATTACATTCTTGCCTGGTGGCTCTCTACCTGGCCATCGTCTTTGATCAATATCTCGTTATGCACGTCTTTGATATCATACATTAGAGGATCCATCATCCTCTAAACCCGATGGGAGTATTCCATTCCCACCCATTTTCCACCCCAACAGAAAGACACAACCACCAGCCCGTAAGGGTCTCGTAGCCGTGAGATTGCATATCATGCTTTGCAAACCCAGCCGAGACACACCAGCTCATGAGTAGATCAACCTCGTCTTCATCAAGAGCATATCCCAACAATCGGCTGAGTTCCTTTGCAGTGGAGCCAGGAAGCTGAGTGATACTCCCTAGCACACCTGCCACAAACATCTCCCATAACGCCGGCTGAAACGTACCGTGGATATCGATCCAAGGAGGGATGAGGCCAGAATCATCGTCAGCTTGACCGCGTGGGATGGGATGCTTACGAGTCTCAGAATAGGCATCTCCAAACTCGTAGACATCGGTTGGAACGATGTCGACACTGAAATCAAGGCGAGACTTGTCCATTTTTCTTGTCTCGTACCCAATTCGTTCCCAATCGAGTCCGTACCGAGTGCGTGGAACATCAGCCCCGGCTTTGGTTCTGACACAGCCACCGGCAAGAAGATTCAACATCGCAACCATTTCGCCGTCGTGAACAATAGCTCCTTTGTCGAGTGTGACCTTGACGTTGTTCATGAATGCTGGGTCGAGGATATTGAACTTGTGCCATGCTGCTCTTCGAAGCATAGGCGCTGTAATCATGCGTCGCTCTTCAAATCGCTCAAAAAAGTTTCGAGATATTTCATACCCACGCAACTTCGCCCCTGGGTCCGCCTGATTATGTCTCGGACATTGCTGGACGATCTTTTCTTCTTGTAGCAGTTTGAGAGCGCGGTGTAGCAGGCTATCGACATCTCTCATGGTTGAGGCTAGTTTCTTCAATTTGATCTCGGTGAGGCTGGGATCGTAGTCTTGTTCCGGTGTCAGGACGGTTGCGAGCGCCCAGGATTTGGCGAGCCTCGTGGCTGCATCAATGGCGTGAATTGAGGAATTTGATCGATGGTGAAGAACTTGATTTGCAGGGTCCTTGAGTCTGGAGGCGAACACTATAGAGCCCGCGAGACTTTCCTTCATTGGCCCAGTGTTGGCGACATTGTACGCCAGGATGCTGGAGTAACTTTTCGGCTCAGGGAAGGACATCTCCTTGGCCTCGAGCAGATCTGCCCGTGACGGAGGCAGCTCGTCTGTAGTTCTTGCCGTAAATCTATCGACGGTTCGTAGTGCCCAAGCAACAATACCCTCCCAATCTGTGGCCTTCAAGTCAGCAAAGTTGACAGATGGTACCTCATTTGCTTCAAGGGCTTCAAGGTATTTGGGTTGCATATTGGCCACAAAAGCAATCAGTTCCTTGCTGTATTTCTTCGATATTGTTTTCCAACTGCCTCGGACAGAATCCTCAGGCATATCCGGAAACAAGGCGAGTACCAATGGCCAGTCGATAAAACCCTCAATCCCTCCAGCCATAGTTCGGACGACCGCGACAGATATGGCGATTCGATGGATTTGATCCTCACTCATCGATCGGAGATACTGAGTTCCCCTGCCGATCTTGGCTGTTAGAGTCCTTGGGTAACTTGTGACAAAGTCCTGAGCACGTTTGTTCGTAGTCTTGGAACCAGCCTTCCGTCGCTTTGGCTCTGGAGTGTAACCGTCGTCTTTGCCGTCGAATTTGCGCTTCCTTCTGGTCGTGGCGTTCCATATCGTATCAGATTCCAATCCAGAATCTGCCTCGACTTGAGAACCGCGCATCGCTATCAAAGCATGACGTTCTTCATCTTTGTTTTCCAAGGCTGAAACGAATAGCGGTAGTGATTTGGTTGGCGGGAAAGGCTGTTCATCACATTGGTCGTCTCCCGAGAATTGTAACAGAGCATGATATGTAATCTTGTTGTATTCTAGCCGTCTGGGATAGAGGGCTGATGGGACCGAGTGATTGATGAATGCGTATCTCATTCGCTGAGATTGCGCGGATGCTATATCACGCTCTTCCCAACGCTCCACGCTCTCAATCTCTCGAGCAAATCGTTGCCAGTTCATGTCGTCATACTCTGGGTTTTCAATCTGACCCACAAAAGGAAATTTGCTGAATAGGTCTTCCAATGAGCTGGGGAAGTCTGCAGTATTGGTCCAGACTACCGAACGTCCAGATCCACGAGTGGCTGCTCGCCGTTTATTCTTCTTCGCCCATGACGCTATCGAGGCGACTTCGGAGAACGTCGGGAGATCTGTCCACCATTTCTGAAGCTCAACGACCGGCAGTGAAGACAATGCGGGTACACTGAGGGTCACGAAGCCAGTAGATGGTATACTGTCAAGGCGAATGTGTTCGGGACGAGCGTCGATACTTGCTGTCGACAGATTGTCGTCTAAGTCTCTGGACTCGGCGGTTCTTGACATCCGTCGCTGGCGGGAAGGCCGAGGCGACGGAGAGGGCTCACTGCTGAGAGATCGAGCTCGACTTTCTTTTCCAAGTAGTGGTGCACGCGAGGCTTCTGCTATCCATTCTGGTGCAATGTAATCCATGGGCTCAGCATTAATGATATGCTGCCTAAGGGATTGGACAATATCAGAATCGGAGTCAAGTTCAGGCAGATAGATGGCCGATCGCTTGACCATCGCACCATCTTTACCCCGAAATGAGAAGGACATTTGCTTCAACTTTCCAGACGTGCAAAGACTCTTGATTGCGTTTTTCACAATTTTTAGCTGAGGACCATCTCCACCTCCTCTTTCTTGCCAACGTGGGACAGAAGTTCGTCGTACGGTGAAACTGTCGTTAGGTGCAGCTCCGTTGGTCAATGCTATCAAATCAAGCACAATTTCCCGGCATAAGGAGCCTTGCCGTCTTCCGGTCAAACCAGTTTCTGTCTTTTGTTGTTTGCGGGATGTCTGATGTTCAAATTCGTCTTGTGATAGTGTCGAGTCGAGTGATGGCGACCGAGCCCTCTTCCTCGAAAAGGCAGGCTTTTTGGCTGTGCGTCTTCCTGTAGCTGTTCCTGGTCGTCTTTGTAAAGTAGCAGGCTCGGGCGTGGAAGGCTCAGGAGGAGCTATAACATGCTCCGGGTCGTTCCTTGTCGATGAAGAGCCTTTCACATTATCTGTGGCCTGGTCTTGCCGTTGCGGGATCGCCGAGGGCTGATTATGTGTGCCAGACAGAGGAAGGTGATCCCTGGGCACTCCTACCATTGTAGATATGGTAGATGACTGAATTGACAATACACTTTCCGTCAGAAGGGAAGATCTAGGAACCTGTTTAGAGGTCTGACCTGCCGAGGCTGCTGTCATGCCACTGATAGGGAGGCCATTTGGTGGAGGACGAGACGGAGCATTAATCTCGCCAGACGGGGGCGGAATCTCCCCTGGAATCTGCGTACTGCGTCTTCGTACGGAACCGACGTGGTCCTGAGAAACCATAAATCCCAGCTGCGCGGTTTTTGAATCATCCGCAGGAGCATTATCCAGGGCCTGCTCAGATTGTAATGGAGAAGCCGATGAGGTGTTTGCATGATTGCTCTGGGGCGAGGTGGTGCCAGTTTCTAGATCAATTCTTTCTGCTGTGGCCTGATCGATTTGTTTTGTGATGCATTTCGGAGGTCCGAAGCTTCGTTTGGCTGAAACATAGGATCGACCATTTCGCCCCAAGAAACCCGCCGACCCGGAGTAATTGCGTCGATAATGAAAGCTGTGAGCGACAGTGGAGGTGATGAATCGAAAGTCGTGTATTTTGTTGCGATCATAGAAATCAACCTCATTCAATCGGGCAGAGCCAATGATCATGATTTGAGATGCAAGTTTCGTGCTCGAGGGTCGAAGGCCTTTCGGCGAAATGCGAACCGTGAGGTCAGACCGATTGAGGATATCTTGAGTGGCGTCTACCCAGGCCACGTTGATGTCTTCGAACCTCCATGGTACTGGCAGGCCAGCATCGATCGCTCGGACCAAAAGCTCATCAAACCCTTCTGGACGTTGAGCAAACAACCTCAGAGACTCTGGATCCTTCATAGCACTCACGGCGTCTCCATTTCTGCGCTTTACATTGGCATCAATCTGGGCTTGCCCGAATATCCGTTTCCAAAATTTCTCAGTACCTCGAAGATACTTTCGAGGTCTCCCAGTTGGGCCGTCCTTGAGTACGACTGGGCTTGCTTTAATTTGCACATTGACAGCATGACCTACATGGTCATTTCGCTGCGAGCTCGTGCGCACCTCAGGATCTCCAACAACGCCTCTACTTTTCCGTGGTAGACGACTGGTTGCCTGAAACATCTGACGGACGAGATCGGAAAAAGTCACCTCTCCATGGTTCAGCTGTCGAAATTTGTACTCATGTGGCGGGAAACCAAAATCGTCTACCTTGATTTGAGAAGGGAGTTCTTTGTCGGCGTGACTTTGGCTTTGAGTACTGTTAGCCGCCTTTAGAACTTTCTTAGCACCTGGGACTTGTGAAATGTCGATCCTCTTCTCTGCCGCTAATGCTTTAAATGCGTCCCATGAAAAGTGGAGATACTGTGCAAAGCCATCAAATCTCAAATTGCAGCGGACAATGGCAAGATGTCTTAGATGAGGAGGCTGCTGTACTAGTGATCGGCATGATATGCGATTCATCAATGCCTCGACGCTGCGACGAAGTATCATACCGGTGACTTGCTCTCTTGCATTCTGTAACCAGTCAGAAGAGGGCAAAATGGTCGAGCACGTACTTACAAGGTTAGTGAGGCCGTTCTCACCGGATAGACGGACAGCATCGCACAAGATATTGGGCATAGAGCGATCTGGATTCCAGGCCAAGGCAGACGAGTGTGACAAGGTCGATGAGGTGTGGTCATTCTCCACTTCAATGCCTGGCTCTGGTTCCAAGGCCTCGTCTTCGGGACTTAAAGCCAGACCTCTGATTTGCTGATCCAGCGACAGCGTATCCGTATCGAATGATTGGAGGGCCTTGTCATCCAAATCCCGCAATTTCTGGATGCATAACTTGAGATCTCCAGTGATCGCAGTTGGACCAAAGGCCATTCTCACTCTTTTGACTAGCTTTACTTGTTCGAGGCGACGAATGATCTTCGCAAGGACTGTGGATTTGGAGGACGATGACATGTTCAAACTCTCGGCCAATTCGGACTGTGGAAGTAGATTCTGGCGCTGGAGCTCCTCAAAAACTCTGCGCACCACATCGCGAACCAACGATTCGCGTAGGGAGGCGCCCTTTGAATCGCCAGTCTTATTCAGGCTCGTTGTAGAAAAGTCAGCAAACTTGGTGAGAATTAGACGACTTGTCTTGGTTCCATGGTGATAGACGGTCTCCTTGACGATGTAGCCCTTGCGATAAAGTCCATCGGTGCGCTTTGGCACTGATCGCTTGTCTTGTCCCGAGACTCTTCCTAGAGGACCCTGAAGAATCCCGTCTGATCGTGCTGCAGCGATGTGGCACAGAAGCTCGAATTCCAGCGGAGCAACTTTAGCAGGATCTGGAGCGTGACCACATATAGCGCGGTAAGCACGTTCTTCGGCGACGGTGAATCTAGGGCCAGTGTCTGTGTGAGACGGAGATTTTCTAGGGCTTTTGTCCAGGTCGTTGTTGTTTAGTGTTGAAGCCTCGTTCAATTCGGAGGGGATATCGATGGGTCTAGACTGCTCCTGGGAAAGGGCATAAGCTGAGTCGAGATAATGTGGAAACTTTGAGATTATTTGAGCCAGAGATTCGTTATTGTATCTCTTGTTTTCTCCGATCGAGATATCAGGGTGACGGGCAAGCCATCTCCAGACACATGCCAATAGATCTCCATCAACTGTGACGGGCAAAGGTTCATTGCCGTCAAGATGCGCGGAGTGAACGTTAGGACCATTGTATAAAGTATCGACGCGCTTCCCAATCTCGTTAATGGTCAAACCTATTCCATAGCAAAGATTGGTCAGTTTCGGCGATGTTGAAGGATGAATCAGAGGGTGGATGTGTAGGAAACCAAACATCGCGTTTCACATTCTTGCCCATTACGCCACCGGAGAAATTGAATTCCTTTACTGACCTTGACGACCCCCGATCGCTATCTCCTCGAGAAGACAATCGATCAACTCGTCCACACTGTTCGACATTGTTTTGCATCCATCTCAGTTGGCGATTGGGGCAAAGTGAGAATGGGTTATCAATTTTGGACGAGGTTCGAATCAGTGACTTGGACTCGACTTTTTGCATGAATAAGTTACTGTCACGAGATCTGTGACCTGCACGTGCTGAAGGCTTGGCATGTGATTTGATTGGCTGCAACTTGACCACCATAATGAAACGAATGAAGTTCTACATAAAGGCCTTTCTCTGCGTTTGTCTAACTTCAGGCCCTGAAATGGTTGAGATAATAGAATACAGATGTGCCGTGTAAGCTCAAGGCGGAAGTTCCTGTAGGTAGCTCAGGATGCATGGCCCTGTAGCAGGAGTGGCCGCATCTGGTGTCACAGCTGAAGCAATGGCTGCCTCAAAAGGCGACATTTTTGCCTGCCACAGCAAATCAAAAAGATACCTGTGCTTTGTAAGGTGATCTGTTTTCTATGATCCATCTAAAGAGCATGCAGCTCAAGTACACAGGCGAAGCGTGATTGCTTTTTCAACTTGGACATCACTGCACAGTCTGGCTCTGTCCGCAGCAGCAGCGCGGTTGCCGCGGGGCGGCCTACCATTTTCCCCCGTTGACAGCCAGGCGCAATCCCATACTTTTTCCCAACTCCGTGATGCTGAAGACGTAAGCTAAATCCATGAGAAGCGTGATACAGAGGAGGTTCGAGCGGGGAAGTAGCCAAAAATCGCACAGGTGAACATGTCTGGTCTTCGTCGCTCACATGTCTACCACACATGGTTCGACACAATGCAACGCTGGTCAAAATTGTTCATCCCATCGTCGACATCGTAAAAGCCATCCTATGCAGGCAGACGTCGCTGGGGATACGTGTCCGATTAAGAGGCAATCGCTCGAGGAGCCGCATTGCGGCGGTTATTGCGCTGCTTGGTCGGTTTCGACACGGTGCTCCAGCCATCTTCTTCCAGAGCAGCTGCGGTGGTGCTCTCATTTCCCTGGGTAGGCTTGGGTCCTCTCCAAGATCCATTGGCTCGGCTAGGTGTGTTTCGGACTACCTCTCGCGGCTTCACTGCTTTGTCGTCTGTCGGCTGTGGCGTCTCAGTCTCGTCGTCAACATCGTCGTCGGCAACCATATCATTGGACTCGGTGCCAGCTCGGCGCAAAACATCAAATTTGGGGGTCGGCTGTGCGGTTTCTTCATCCTTGGTCTCCCCATCATCCTTTGCCGCGGTCTCCTCTTTGCTGGAGGGCTCCTTGACCTTCTCAGCTTCGGCCTTTTCTCTTGCTAAGCGCTTTTCCTCGGATTTCTCGGCTCTAGCTTTGTCATCTGCCTCCTTCTTTTGCCGTAGGGCAAGCTGTCGCTTTTCCTCGACCTCTTTCTCCTTAGTGGCGGTGTCAACTGGCCGTGCGGCGCCGAATGGGCTAAACTTCGAATCGGCTGGGGGTGATTGCACTTGTTCGACAGCCTCGGAAACGGTTCTCTTTTGCAGATTGAGCTTAGGACGCATAGCCGGAGCCGATGGAGCCGGAGAAGAGGGCTCGCTTGCCTCTGGAGTTGGGGCCTTGGCTGGAGCATCAGGGCGCATTCTAGCCCGCCATTGGTTGTCGAGCTCAGATGCCGTGGGTTGACGTTCTGGGGCGGGTTTGTCTACCACATCTCGTCGTGGTGGACGAGATCCATCCTGAGATCTGCCTTCACCCCAAGCGGGCGAATTCTTGCGGAAGCCTCCAGGGCCGTCTTTGCTCTGTTGTCGACCACCCTCACGAAGTGATAATGGTGCAGGGGCAGCGGGTGAGAGTGGTCCCTTTCTCTCCCAGTTGGAAAAATCGCGCGATTTTCCATCGCCTTGTTCGTAAGCGCCGCGTCGGTTGTTGCGCTCATTCGAGGCATCTGAAGCTGGATCTAGGTTTCGACCTGCGAATGGTGGGCGATCTGAAACGCGACGTTGGGTTTGCGGCACATCAGGCAAAGGACCTTTCCTTGACCAGTCGCTGAAATCACGGGTATCCTGGCGGTCCTTGGCTGATCAAAGATTAGTTTCGGGAACGAGAGCATGTGCATCGCTTTTGTGGCGGTCAAGACTTACGCGGCTCCGCGACGCTGACACGAACCTGTCTCCCGGCTAGGTTGCTGCCACTGAGAGCCAGGGCAGCCTTCAAACCGTCAAGTGTGGCGAATTCAACATATCCAAAGCCCTTTGGCTTGCGGTCAAGTTTGTCTTCGACGATGCGGACATTGGTGACAGAGCAATCCTTGAAAAATTCATTCACATCACCTTGGGTGGCGTCGAAGGATAGATTGGCAAGATGTGCAGTGTAAGGAGGCTGGGTAGGAAGAGGGAGTTGCTCTCGGGGAGGATAACCATCTCGTCGATCTAAGGACGTCACAATTAGGCCATGCATGACAAGGAAGGCTGATATGGAAATTTGTGCATACCAGAGAAACCCGCTCCACTGGAGGAGGGACCGAAGGTGCGACGTTCTGAGCCATAGGTAGGTCTAGAGTCAGATGCTGCAATTGGAAACCAGGTTAGAAGTGATGTAGCATGAGGTGAGGTGAGCGCGGCTGCCCGGGGAGTCCATACATGGTAAAGGCATGTCCTCCATTTCATCAGCCCAAGAGCCGTAATCTGTCAATGGTCAGCGCGCGTGGTGGGATTGCAGCTCTCCACGTCGATTCTCACTCTCATCTTGTAAGAAGGTCCCGAGGGACATTTTTTGGTTCTTTTTGGGACCTGTGAAACATCGTAAGTCGGATTGCCTGAGACGTGGGAGGGTGGGAGCCTTGTGCAGTAGAGGTGCACCGACGACGTACCCATGTTTGCAGGGGCGGCAAGAGCTGGATCGAAAAAAAATCTAGGTGGAAGGATAGAGGGGTACTGAAGTAGCCTTCTCCCACGTATGCGCCGTGATTGAGAAGGGGACCGAAATAGGTGGGCTGTTGATAGAGATGAGCGCCTTGATGGGATGCGCACTCGCACTCGCACTCGAATAAAATCCGTGAAAAGGGCTCTGGCGTCCGCAGTCTGCCAGTCTTGAGTGAGAGTGTTTCCCGAGTCTTTGACTTTTTGGGACTAGTATGCCAAGATAATAGGGCCAAGTGTAACTACTATGTCTGCTGGCAGAATCAACCCGGCACCCTGACACCTGGAAATCATCATTCACATCTTTTGTCAGGTCCTTCACTGGTCTTCTACAGTTCAATGGCATACCGTCAGATGTTGACAAGTACATTTGTTCGGCCCAACTAGCTGGCGTGTGGGCTTATTTCCATCATCGCGACGCCGCCATGACCAATGTGGGCGAGGTTGATGTTACAAGACCACAGGCAAGACCAGGATGGAAACACGAGCTCTTTACCCTGTGGGGTCCATCATTGGGCGTTGGTATTGCTTCTGGTGGGTGCAATTTGAACTCTCGATACTTATAGGGAAACTCACATGGCATCATAGGGGCGCTAGGATTTGCATATGGCAGTGTCACTGGAGTCTTGATCCAATCTAGCAATCCCCGGCTGTATACGGCTTTGAGCAGTGTTCAATTTGGCGTTGCTGGGTCCGTGTTTTTCTGTATGTTCAAGCCGCTCCGTCTCGGTGCTCTCGACATGTCTGATGTTGCCAGTCGGTCGGACTATCCTGCTCGACAGGACAAATGTTCTGTCACGTGACATTGCATCACACAGGGTCATGGCAAGCGGGCTTGCCGGGTCTTTTGCTGGAATTGCCTTTGGTGCCTTTGGTGAGTCTCCGTGATATTTGGACGAGGTTGACGCCCCAGCTAATAAGAATACAGTGCCCCAGGTCAAAGGCATTCAGGGTGCTATCATCGTTGGCTCACTCTCAGTTCTTGGGCAGGTAGGACTGAACGCCTACGACAATATGAGGAGAAAGAGACAGTCCACGACGCCCGAACAGCAACGGCAGCAGCAGGGTAAGAGTTGGAATCCCTTCAAGTCTCTTACCGACGAGGAATACCACGACATCCTGCAATCTAAGCTATTGAGAGTCAAAGCCGAGATCTCCATAGTGGATGACCAGATTGCCGACTTGAACCGTGCCAAAGCCCAGCAAGATACCAAAGTATAGATGTATGGGGAAATGCGGTTTAACAGATTGAACCATATTTTTAATGTGTATATAATAAATTCAATTTGCTATCTCAGCAGTGAAGATGCACCGGTTGGTAGTTTTGGCAATCTGATTGATCGATTTGTGGGGGTGAGTTGGCCAGTAAATATTGACATTGCGTGGGACCCTCGGCCCAAGTATGTGAAGGGGAGAAGGTCAATAATAGCGGATGTGAGGTGCTGCCATTGGCACCTAATACTGACAGTAGGACCCAGGAACCTACAGTTGGTCCGTAGGAGAAGATCGGGACTTAACCTTAGAATGTAAGTAGCCTAAATCAACATGTACAGATGATCCCCAAGAACGTGACGTGACGACTTGATCTAGAATAAAACAGGCAATAATACATGTGCTTCAATTATCTGTCAGCGCGGTAAGCCAAAGCCAAAATCGAAGCCAAAAGAGCCAAAATCAATCAGGAAAGTCTCTATATCCAATGCTGCCAGGGTATTTCAGGACAATGGTTCTGGCATTTCAGCCGATGATACCATCAGCATCAGATGCATTAGCGCCATTGGCTGACACAGACTGAGTCAGGACTCTGGACAGAAGTTATGGCTCTAAAAGGCTTATGGTGATGCTAAAGCAAGCTACCGTCATGCCGGGTGGCCATGCGGCCATGCATGCCATATTTCTGATAGCTTTCTCGCTATTAGCTGGGCGTTCGCATAATGCCTGTGGAGCAGAAGCTCGTGGCCCATGGGCGATGTTAGTGACACTGATCACCCGAAAGGGTTTTGGGCCTAAACTCCCCCACCCTCGACTATCGTCTCGTAATTTCGTAACTTTTACTATACGAGTGCCCATGTGCAGATGCGAGAATTGGGTGGAGATGAGGTTCTTTTTGGTTGCGCTGCAGATGAATTGCTTGTAAGATCACGAGGCGCAGTCGCTAAACAAAGCAGGAAGGAAGCAACAAGCATTAGGCAGCATTTCGGAAAACAGCAGGAGCGTTGAGCGTTGAGCGTTGATCTTAGAGGATGGTCGCACCTTCTTCCGTTGACGTCTCTGCAATTTTCTCATTCTTCGTTGCTCGCTTCTTTTACGAGCTCTGAAAGTTTGACTCAATTTGACTCGTTTCCGTCCTTTTGGGCAATTCGCTCGTTAGACAACCTGACTACCTGGGAACCTCCGACTTGGGTGCGGGAGCTCGGGCCCTTCGAGTGGCATGTCTACCTGTACGAGTACGGCGTAGCTCCCAAAACATCCCCACGCTGATTGAATGAATCCTAGAAACCCACACGATCACAAGCCGCAACAGGCCAATTGGCCAGTGCGTGTCTCCGCAGTTACTAAGGACGCGATCCTCAATAATCCATCCATCCTGGGCCCGAGGGGCCCTGGCGGCCTCGCCCAACTGCGGCCACTTAATCCCCGAATCCTCCAGATCCCAATTCGATCACCCAGATGCGCTTCCAGCCAACACAATTCAGTCTACCAAGATTCCACAGATTCCACAGATTCCACAAATTCCAACCACGGCCTTGGTTGTCGCCAGTTCTTAATCCACCGACCGGTCCTCCTTCAGTCGCCTTTTGTTGGCCCATGACATCCATTTCAACTTTTCTGGCCCGGCTTACCATGAACAGCTGGAGACTAAACAGTGACAACATCCGATAGCTGATCAGCGGTTGTCACCAGCTTCCACCATATCCGATTCTGATCCATTGTCGCAAGTTCGCAGACAAGCTATCACGGGATCTTCCTCCGCCCATGGTTCCTTTGTCCTTGAGTTCAAAGCCCCAGATTCAGCTGTCCATGACTTATCTGCCTCGATATGTATGGATCTGATCCCAACTGCGCAGGCTGGCTCACACCCAAGATCCCCCGGCTCATCTCCCTTTCTCAATGTTCGCGCCAGATGACATGACCTCGATAACATCTACAAACCTCAAGAGCATTCAGGCCATCTGCTCGATCTCTTCCTAGCTCCACGATGCCTTTGGTCAACCCAACCTCCGTCGCTGCGTCCATCCTCATCCTCTACTTATCCACATTCGTTCTTCTTGCCGTCTTGCGCATTATTACCGGTGTCTCTATTCAGCGGATCGGCTATCTCAGCTTCAGACACATTTCGTATACTCCAAGAGAAGGCCTAAGGGTGGACTTGCGTGGTATTGGTCTCAGATTGCACCGCCCAACCTTTGCGCAGCCGACATGGGTCAGTCTGGTCTTCGAGGAATTAAAAATCACCATCGACCCACCAGCCTTTGAGAGCAACCCAAACTCTCAGGCCGCTTCACAACCTCCTCCTTCGACTCGGACTGAGGACAAATCCTCCGCCGACTCGTCCAATGGCAAAACGAGTTCGCCTAGAAAGAGCCTGGTGTGGAAAAAGCTGACCGATGTCAAGGAACGTATCAAACGACTCCATCGCAACATCCATCTACTACGGGCTTTCGATATTAGTGCTTACAACACCAGCCTCGAGGTCGTCGGCGTCGGCTATGTTCAAGTCTCTTCTTTCACCGCCGCCGTCTATACCCGGCGCAAACTTCTCGACCGCGGCCGCCTCTTCCGTCACAAAAAGGATCCCCTTGGCGGCCAAAAGCCTGCCGAATGGGTCTTCACTGTCAGAAGTATCGTCATGGGAGTCGGTGGCCGTGAGCCTATTGAAGTCCTCGATGCCATGACCATCAATGTGCACGGTCTGCTCTACAAGGATCGCGAAGGACTCCGTGACACCTCCATCGCCATCAAGGCCGGCCGCCTGTACGTGCCTGTCGACGAGGTCGTTCGCTTTTCCAACCGAGGCAAGAGAGAAATGAAATCCAAGCCAAAGACCCAGGTCCTGAGCCCCATTGATGAAATGTCTTTCGAGGATGTTGTCGGAGAACTTGATGATCCAGGCAGCCGGGAAGCTTCTATTGTCCAGACTGTCGCTGACTCCAAAGAGTTCTTCAGCTCTATTCTTCAGAGTGTCCAGGAAATCCAACTGGGCATGAGTTTCGTCCGCATTTCGAAAGAGATTGACTCATTGCGACAAGCCAATCTCCCCTTGACCGCCAACGTTGTCATCCATGAAATTGGCATTGACCTGCATCGCCTGGACCAGAATTCTCCCTCTCATCGCACTTATTTTGCAAGAGATGATGTCGCCCATCAAGCTCTCGTTGCTGCACTCTCCATCTCCGTTAGTCTGGACGAGGATGACAGCCGCACGAACAGGATCATGTACATCCCCATGGCCACCACAACCATTAGGACTACCCTGCCGTCTAAGACTATGAGTTTTACTCTTGAACGTGATGTTGCTGAAAGAAACACCAACATTCTTTACGCAAATCTCGTTGTAACATCGCCTTCAGTCGATTTGGTCCCTCAACACCTCATTAGGCTCCTCGCCATCGCACAGCCTAACGAGCCCCAACACTCCCGACCTCAGAACCGCCATCGTCTTATCTCGAGACTGCTTCCAAAAGCGAGTATAAAATTCTCCATCCATGAACCCGTAGTCAGATTTATCCTCCCTCCCGCAGATTCCTCACATGCAGACCCTGGGGATTACGACATGATTATCTCCTCCATATCTTCAATCTCTCTAGATGTCGAATCTTCACATTCCACCGGAGGGGAGCTCTTGTACTCCTTGTCTTCCAACTTCAGGGTTATGTCACACCAACTATACTATCAAACAACCACAGGGACCAGGCATGATCTGGTTCTTACCGAGTCCTTGGAGCTCAAGATCCAAGTGTCGGCTTCCAAGACAGTTTCGGTGGTCATTTCTGGCAATTTGCGCACATTTTCAATCCTGATGGTTCGCAAAGAAGTCTGTCAAGGTATCTACAACATTGTCAAGCATTTTAAGCGTCATGGCTCGACCGACAAGGTGCATGGACCTGCAAAGCCGTCGCCTACAGCCTTCCTCAGAAGACTTCCCGCATGGCTGATCGACGTGACCTTTGAGGGGTCAGGATGCAGTGTCGAAACTGCCGGTGTAGATGAGAACATCTCTAGCCAGACCCGCGGTGTTGCGTTGGAACTGGAGACTTGGACTGCGCATTATCAGTCGTCGCGAACGGAGAGTCCTCGCAAACCTGGTCTGACACGACGAAAGACCAGTACTTCCGCTCGCTTCGATGAGGCTTTATCAACTGGGAAGCAGAATTCGCAACCCATATCTCCTCCACGACGTCATCATCATGACCCTACGGACGGACGGCGTCTTGCTGTGCACATAAAAGGTTTCGAGGGCTACATCATCGAATCCGTAGACACTTGGGAATCTCGCCCATTTTTGTCTGTTCCCCGTTGCGAAGTTGCGCTGAGCACGTCTCGAGATCAACAAGGGCCTTTATTCCACGTCCACTCGATAGTACGGTCGATCTATCTGGAGTTCTCCCTGTACAGGTTTTATTCCTTTGGCGTTGGAGCGTCCTTCCTCAAAGATGCCTTCCTTGGTCCAGCTTCTCACACCCCAGACTCACATCGACCTTCTCCGTCTCAAGTCCATGAAGCTGAGCGACTAGCTCACCCTGCTCCTCTCGGCTCCGAGGTGATTACAATTGACGTCAAAGCAGATTATGTTCAGATCAAAGGCCAAATGCCTGCTGATCCTCCAATGCTCCTGCAGATATATGGCGTTTCTGCAGGCCGACACAGGTGGTCCGCACCATTTCTCCGGTCTGACCTCATCAGATTGCACGCAGAAGCACCCCATCTCAAGTGTAGTTGGGCTCGGATTTTGAGCGCGAGCAACATTCGACTCGATCTTCGCCATAACAAGAAAAAGATGGCTCATGGGACCACCGAAGAACGATCGATTGACCTGTCACTGGATTTCATCCGCTTGGCTGTCCCACACGGCCTTCAGATGTACAAGGTGTTTGACAATTTCATCAATACTGGGAAAGCCATGGCGCAACTGAGTCATCGTTTTAGGACCCGGACAAATGACTATATTCTTCGAAAGGATCCTGTTGCGCCCAAAAAGATCCCTCGCGTGTCTCTGCGGTGCAAAGCTCTTTGTTTCGAATTCGAAGACGACCCATTCGAATGGAAGCTTGGTATAATATACCATATTGGACGCATCGAACAAAAGCAACGGCTGGCACGGGAAGATGCTTTTCGGTTAAAGGTCAAGAAGCTGAACGAAGAGCGCCATCCTCGGTCGTCGTCAAGATATCGGGCGCAGTCCAGTCGTCCGACGTCTCCGAGCCATGCAACTGGCCGAAATCATCGTCGATCCAGAAGTGCAGATCCCAGCCCTACTCCTCGAAAGAGATCCACTTCAAGGGGCCGACGTGGACGGACCTCTGCGCGAATCCGCTACGACCGAGACGGCGTGTGTTCCTTGACAAACAGCTCCAAGATTCAAGCGAGTGAAGCGTGGGACAAACTACAACACCACAATGCTCGGAGCTGGAAGCGAAGAATCGACTGGATGACCCAACTTCAGAACAAGACGATCAAAAACATCCGACAAATGTTCAGTGGAGCTGATATGGCGCCGTCCGACCATGATGGCGACGAAACCATTCTTGGGATCCCCAATCGACCCGGTCTAATGACCATGATAATCAGTGACCTCCACCTTGTTGTCGACAAGCCGTCTTTTCCACTGAATGAGCTGCCAAAATTCTTGCACGAAATCGGCAAGGGTATGCCATATGACACCGAATATGCCCTATTGATACCTGTGAGCTTATCGCTTGACATGGGTGAGGCAAGGGTGCTGCTTCGGGACTATCCCTTGAACTTGCTTCATATCCCAGCCATACGTCCAGGTCAACCGCCTCGGCTGCCCAGCTGGTCCTTCCGCTCCGATTTTGTAATCGCCGAAGAGTTTCGTGACGATGAATCGACGAGACACATCAAGGTTGACATAGTTCCCAAAGGCCAGCACGGTGTAGATGGCGAGGTTATACCTGGCTTTGCTGTGGACGTTAGGAGAACAGTATCTCCCGTCAAGACGATTTCAAAAGCCGTCGTTGACATCAATACCAGTCTGCCAACGACAATTTCATGGGGAACCTCGTATCAACCGGTGATCCAGGATATGATGATGATCATTGAAGGTTTCACCAAACCTGAGATCGACCCGTCAGAAAGGGTTGGGTTTTGGGACAAGATACGGCTAAGCTTTCATTCCCGCCTGACGGTGAACTGGAAAGGAGATGGAGACCTCCAGTTGAGACTTAAAGGTTCTCGAGACCCTTACGTTGTGACTGGCTATGGTGCTGGCTTTGTGATGTGCTGGCGCAGCGACGTTCAATGGTCAATACATTCGAGCGACGATCCCCGCCAATTCATGACTGTAAGAAGTGGTGAATATGTGCTTGCCATACCAGATTACAGCCATGAGGCTCGAAACTTACCGGAGCAGAAGGCTGGCCAGGACGCTGACAGCATCTCAACCAGCAGTTCTCGAAAGAATGCAGCCATCTTTAAAAAGGTCATCATGAAAGTCTCTGGCAATGTCCAATGGACTGCGGGTTTGGTGTTTGAGAGAGATTTGGACAATGGAGGCCGAACATCTCTATTTGAACCTCACTACAATGTCATTCTAAAGAACCCGACGCAGATGCACAACGTTGACCTCAGCACTTACGACGCATTCCGCGGCTTCCGAAGCCACCACATACATCTCTCAATTGGACTGGCAGCGCCGTCCGACCGCGACTGGCTCAGCAACAACCTCTCGCCATCCGAAAGCTATAATAGTGTTCACCTAAGTCCGAGATTCTTCACCCATTTCTTCAACTGGTGGTCTCTCTTTTCTGGGATAATGTCTCTTCCTGTACGACAAGGACCTCTGTGGCGGGGCCCGGAAAAGTCAAGCAAGAAATTTGGCAGACATTTAGCAACCATCAAGTATGGGCTTCTTCTGTCACCGTTGTTCATAGCACATGTGTACAAGCACAAGGATGCTGAAGATTACCAAGAAGACATCGTGTCTGCAACAGGACTGAAGATTAAGATTGACAGTTTCATGCTTGACCTCCATCAACGGCGAGAGTATTTCGACACGTTGTCCAAAGGCAAATCCGAGCAAATGCGGACCAGTGCCATGAAGATCAACAAAGCCGAAGTTGATTTTGTTCGAGCTGACTTGAGAGCTGTTGCTGCCAGCATCGCAGGTACCTCCGCAGCAGACCTCCAGAAAGCGACCGACGAAATGCTTTCCTCTTTCCAGGAGACACCAGCAAACGTTGATATGTCCCAGTTTACCATTCCCGATCATGACTTTACCTGGATTGACATGGATGATTTTGTGGAGCTGGATTGGGTGCTTCCGGCTGAATCAAATCCCGAGACAAAGATACTACCGCTCGCTTTCACACCTCGCTTCACCTACTTCCGCCAGACCGACCACGGAGACGCCATCCAAGGAGATGAGTCGCGGACCAGTCCTTTTGGAGAGGAAAATACGCATATTTGCGTCATGTCTCGAAATAACGATCCTCGGACTGTGCAAATGAACCTGATTAAGGAACGCCTTCATGACCTCGAAGAGAAGCTACAAGCTCATACACGCATCACGGCTGACCATGAGCTACGCTTGGTGCGTGATGGTGACCACGACAAATCCATCCGAGAGAAGCATGATAATCTAATTGCTCAGCATAAAGAGCTGGAAAACAAGCGAAAATTCCTGGAGCATGGACTTCGTCGACTTGCTGGACGTGCCAATCCAGGCGAAGTCCCTGAACATGATGGCAATTCTCGGCATGGCAGCAATGCAACCTCAACAACACAACTTGACGGATCGTCGCAGCCGACATCTCATGTTGACATCGATGGTCTGTATTCTTCTACTCATGACGAATTTGCGAGTGACTTCAATAATCGATTCATCATACACAATGTCCAACTGAAGTGGAACAATTCATTGAGAAACATCATTCTTCGCTACAGCCACCAAGTCAGTCAGCGCCGAGGCTTCATCTACTATATGTCTCGACGTGCCGTTAAATTCATTCTCGACATCGTGGACGAGCAATCGAAAGCGAAGGAGCTTCGTCGAAAGAAGGAGAGGAAACATAATGACATCCCAATCCCCGCAACTCCGAGCGTCATCTCCCCCTCCGAGGAAAAGGACGAAGATGCAGTTATTGAAGATAGAATCAATCAGCTCTTGAACGATGCCAAACGATTTGTTCATGTTGGTGACGCCGAAAGTGATGATCAGGAATCTAAACCAGAGAGCGAGGAGGGACGACGAGCTTCTATTACCAGTGAAGCCAGTGACAATATTGCGGAAAACTTCCAGGCCATGAATGCGTACCACATACGACTAGTTGCACCACAAATCCAGCTTCAAAGTGAAAAGAATAAGAAGTCAGTGGTCTTGGTATCAGCTAAAGGAATGCAGTTCAAGGTGGTTTCGATAATGGACAAAGAACGAATGTCTGACGACGTGAGTGGCTTAGTTCAACGACGCTTTGCCTTGGACATGGACGGCGCCCAATTCTTTGTCGCATCGCAAAAAACTCTGGCAAAATATCATCATCTGTACTCAGGTAACCGATATGGCAATCCTCCTGGATCCTCCTGGCCGCCATGGGTGGCTCTTGAGGCCATGTTTGACTTCCACCTTGATCCCTTCGGCTTTCAAAGGGTCATACAAAAAACTTCTGCAAGCCTCCGATACGAAAAGTACAACCAACTCCGGCTCAAATACAATGAAGAGGTCGAAAATCTCCAGTCCGGAGGATCTAGACGTTCCTCGCGAAAAGAGAATCGCATCGATCACTTATGGGTCGATTTCCCACGCATCCGCGCTCGATGCGACTCTGCTCAATACTATACAATGTACATCATCGTCTTGGATTTGCTTTTGTACAGTGAGCCTCTTGAAAAGACTAGAAGCGAACGACTGGAGAAGATCATGCTCGCGTCTGATTTCAGCGACCTGAGAGGCGCACCTGAAATGGCTGAAAGTCTTCAAGAACGCATCCGTCAACTTGAAGACATCAAGTTGCACTTCCAGATCAATGCTAAGTATTTGGATAAACAAGGTTGGCAAGATCGAATCAGTCTGGAGAAGGATTTAGCCAACTGTGAGGATGAATTGTTCTTCATTATGAAAGCCATCAACACGTCACAACAGAAGAATGATGACCGCAAGTCCAACGAATCAAGCGGCCTCTTACGCTGGTATCTCAGCGCATCTGAGGTCGTCTGGCATCTCATGCGAGACAAGGATGACCCATTACTTGAATTTCAGCTTGGACACGCTGCATATGAACGTATCGACAACAGTGACGGATCCAACCACAATGCAGTAGAAATCGAGCATATTCGAGGTTGGAATCTGCTTCCCAACGCAATTTACCCGGAGATCATTGGTCCCTACTTCGATCCCGAAAAGCGAGCCAGCACTGCCGATGTCCGGAAAATGGTTCATGTGAATTGGTATATGCTCGAGGCAATTGCAGGAATTCCGGTCCTGGAACAATTCGAGGTCAACGTTTTCCCCATTAAAGTTCAACTCGAGCGTGACCTCAGCAAGAAGCTATTCGAGTATATTTTCCCTGGCGTTGGGTCCAACGCATTTGACAATGGTAATTTCTCGCCGCTCATGGTCAAACATATGCAGCCTCTGGACGATGCTGAGGACGATGATGAATTGAAAGAGGCACGTTCTTCTTTATTGCCAGAGGAAGGTCCCCGTCAATCGAGCAGCATTGAAGTCAAGCGTGAGACATCACCAGGAGCAATGGCCAGGAGATTGAAGCCGACTTATCACCTTGATTACGCTCGCAATACCCCACCGCCTTCGCACGGCAAGAAGGGTCTGGGAATCTCTGGTGACCACCATAAATTTTTCAAGCACTTCAACAATTCTGGTGCCATCTCTTCGAATCCACGTGCTGCACTAGGTGCTCTCAATCATGGCCCAGTGCGCAAATCCTCGGCGAGCAGTCTCCGTTCCAGCAAAAAGAACGATACATCGACGTCTAGCCTAATAGGATTGGGCCATAGCGAAGAAAAGAAGAAGAACGGGTTGCAACGTGTCTCTAGCAAAGAACACGGGGGCAAACACAAGAAGGAGAAAGTTCCTGACGATCTGACTCAAATGATGTCTCGTGCATCCAACTACATGACACTAGCTCACGTGAAGCTCAACAGTTTTGTCGTGTGTCTGAGCTACAAGGGCAAAAGCGATCGAAATTTTGAGGATCTGCATGATTTCGTTTTCCGCATGCCGACCTTGGAGTATCGGAACAAAACATGGTCGAATTTGGACTTGGCTCTTCGATTGAAGAAGGATGTTATCCGAGCACTGATTTCGCATACTGGTGCTATCATCGGCAACAAGTTCTCCCACCATCGGCCCTCAAAGAAGCAGGTTGAGAGACTCAAGGAAATTGCGCACGATTCGACTTTGACCACTTCGGATACAACTTGGGTTCCAGATACAAGCGAGAGCAACTCATTGTATTCATTCTCACAGGATGGCAGGGACGATGATATTGAATCCAGTGGGATCTCATTCCAGTCACCGGTAACCAGTAAAGGACCGCAGAATGGTGGCTTCGGCGGACTCTTGCTGCGTAGTGGCAGCATCGGCAATCTCCCGTCGTCCATATCAGCAAATCCACCCAGAAGTATGACGAGTGCGAGTATGGCGGCACCGACATCTCATTCATCTGGTTTAATGGGGACAAGAGCAGAGCGATCATCGAGCCTAGATCCGACCAAACGGCCTAGCACGGCTAGTGGGCACCGGAGTCTACTCAAAGACACCTTTGGACGGCACTTTTCGGGTGACACAAGCAAGCGAGGGGTTCATTTTGGACCGTTGAGCTTGGGACGGAGTGATACGCACGTCAGCAGCGGGGGAGAGCGGGATCGAGAAAAGGACAAGGAGAAAGACAAAGACAAGGAGAGGGAGAAGGGCAATGGCTTCCCTGGCCATCATCGTATGCCATCGAGTCAAAGCCAGCAGGAGGATGCCGGCGGCGTAGAAAGTGACCCCGAAGGATCCAAGAAGAAAAGTGTCCTCTTGTTGGGCAAAAAGGTTTTGAACCGGTTGGGTTGAGTTGAGATGGTACAGGACTGACGGGGCTTGTTGGTCTGTTGGTACAGTACCATACTTTTTGACAGACAGATGAGGACTGCAAAGCGATGATGTTTGTTCACGAGATTCTTTGGCCAGGTTTATGAATAGATAATCAAACTACCTAGTACTTAGTGGCACGGGGTGGTAGAGTGGGATTGAGTCAAAAGTAAACAGGCGATGATCATCGATCATTGAATATTATTATTGCAACGCATGGGCCCAGGGACTAGGATGTGCAATGCAAAGCAAATCAGAGGAGTGAAGAATGGTATTAATATGATACATACATGCCTTCTTCAATAATCAATATTCATACCCATAGCCATACCCATACCCGTGCTCATGGTCATGGTCATACTTATCGATGTATGTTTTGTCTTATTTTCTATTTTCTATGGAGGACCGGTCATCACATCAGCGAGCGAGCATATTGAGCCCTAGGCGGCCGAGTCCAGTCATAACTTGGAATGTCAAAGGATGCTGTTTGAGTTCTATGTACTCAATTCCAACCAGTTCCAGTCATTCCATTTCATCCCATTCTGTTCATTGGTTTCAGTACATTTCGATTCATTTCTCGTCGAATGCAGCATCGCCATCGTCATCATCAGCCCCGGCAACAACATTAACATAGTCTTCCTCACCATCACCATCACCATCACCACGACCATGATCATCTCCAGCTGTGGGATCAACCTCAACTGGACTTTCATAGTCGAATGCACCCTCAAGAGGTCGTGGAGCTTTCCAACCAGCCATCAGCTCATTGGGCAAGTAGACGTCAAACGAGGGAAAGATGGCGAGACAAGCGTCGAAAAACATGATGCCGCAGTTGAGTGTATGGACAGTTGCTTGAATCTTTGTGCCGATGCGCAGGTAGCCTTGTAAGATGGACTCGACGAAGAAGAGGTATTCTTGTTCGTTGTCAGAGACATCGGGGTCGATGGGGCGGTTTTCGAGCTCTTCTCGCTCAGCGGCCGTCAAGTCCTCGGGCGGTGCTTCTGGGTCGGCCCATGGTTTGGCGAAGACACGGCCGACGGGTCGGAAGTGGGTTGAGTGAGTGGTGTAGATGGCTTTGCATTCTGCCGAGGGGTACTCGATGCGTGTGATCTCGAAACCGGTGTGTGCCGTGACGGAAACGACTTCGAGTGACTTGGACCCGTTGACGGCCGCAAGATAGTGGGCAAAGACTTCCTCGTCGGCGGCGCCAGAGACACCAAAGTGTAGAATCTGGCGGGCTTCGTCCGGTTTCATGCCGACATAACCAGCTTCTTTGGCGGCTGCCTCGTCCGGTCCCCACCAGGCCTCGCCATCGTCGTTGGCATGGCTACCTCCAAATAGGGTCGAGCATGCAGTATTGAAGTCGCCGGGGAGTTTTCGAATCGCTTGTGCGACATCCCACAACTCCGAGACAGCTTCACGGCAGAAGTTTCGGGTGGCTAGGACGTCGGCTTGGTATTCGACACAGACGTCGTGCTGAAGAAGATAGTCCATGAAGCGTTCTAGGGTAGAAGTGACAAGCTCGACATCGGTTCGACTCTCAAAGCCATGACGGACGACGTCTGGACCGTGTCGAGACAGAAAACCTTTCATACAACCGAGAAAGTCAACAACCCAGACGCTAGTTTCGGAGTTGAGGTTTCGCTTCTCCTCAGCGAGGGCGGCGTTGATGCTGATCTGCACCATAGTGCTCTTGTCCATGCCATTTGTGTCCTGTTTCTTTTGGAAGTCAGTGGGACCGGTGTTGACTCCTCCATATGTGAGATATTTTCGGAAGATCTCGTTGCGTTCTGGAGTCATTTTACGGGTCCTCTGGAAGCGTTCAATGGCAGTCATGATGCGGTCGAAGAAGGGGAGAACAGGGTTAAAGAGTTCTTTGTTTTGAGCATACTGCTCAGGGGTGAGAGGAGGGTCGGCGAAGAAATCCTCGAAACCAGTAGGGGCTCCGAGTCCACGTTTGCTGGCTGGTTTCTTGTGCTTCTTTCGTTTCTTTTTCTTCTCAAGTTCGGGTGGATGGCTCGAGATGATGCCATAATCATTTTCTGGACCAGGATCGTACTCGTCACCGGCATTAACCTGCTCGTTGGGTGGCATATCGGTGTTTTCCTTGACCCTCAGTGGGATGCCTTGGGAATCTGGAGTTGGGTGAGAACCTGAGGTTTGGGATTCGTTAAGCCCTGAAATGTCATGTTCGCCCTCGCCTGGGGTGTTCATGATGATTTATGAGACATGAAATATCGTGAAAGACTGGTTGGCGGTGGGGAGGAGTTGAGGCGGAGGTCCGAAGGGCCACCAGGACAGAAACAAAAAGTGTAAGAAGGTGGGAAGAAATGAGGACCAACGAAAGGGAAAGTTAATGATGTCGATCAAGGCTATTGAAGGGCTTCATAAGAACTGTGCGGTGTCCATCTGACTCAGAAAATGATCAAGTCACTTCCGATGAAGTTGAATGAATGTGGCTATTGAGGGTTGAGTTTGGTGAAGATACAGAGAGAGTGGAGGCAGAGTTTGGGTGTACAATCTCTGTGTCACCATAGAAGACTTGAGGCTGGTCGATCATTCACTCAGGCTAGAAACGCATGTACCCTTACCCTAGTGATACGAGGTTGAATAGCGAAAGGTGATTGTGTCATTAAGATCAGGCTGATGAAGTGAGGTTGAATGAGGTTGAGTTACTGAGACAGTGACTTAGACCGACTTCTCACTGTGAATTTTGGATTTTGGATGCCTTCCCACGTGGGAGTTGCCCATACACCTGTTAACGGATCCCTTGAGGGGCAAAGCAGTCTCTTTAGGCACAGCCCGGCGCCTCGCACCGCCTGTCCTCCCGTCCGACCACGCCCATTACCCTGAACCTGGGGGAGCTTAGAAGCCTAGAAACGCCTGAAGAAGACCCAAAGCACCCAATCATCTCCTCCAACCCCATCCACCACACGTGCAATTGCAACAAGTTCCTCAAGTTGTATCCCAAAACTCATCATCGTCATCCTCTGTGCCATGATTTGACTTGCACATTGGCCCAATTCTCATCTCATCCTGTCTCAACGCCACCCTTGATCTTGATTTGGCATTTTCAGCTGGATCTTGATCTTACTAAAGCCTTGTTTGATTCTATACACTACGATAACTACATAACCTGGATGACCCTGTCTGAAGCCGTCTGACTCTTCTGTTCACTACCTACACTACCTCAAACACAGCTCCTCCTTCTCCTACTCCCACCCCTAGCACCTTCAACCCTTGATCCCTTGGTAATTTCAACATCATCCTCACCACCACCACCACCACCAATCCTGATGGCAGATACACGTCCTTCTAAGAAACTGGCCATGCCCAGTGAATCCGAATTAGTCTCCTTCGAACATGGCGCCGCAGGACAGTAAGTTCAAGTTTCTTCCCACTCTCCAGCTCCCTCTCCCTCTCCGTCTACCTCTACCTCGTCCGCCATGTCCAGAAACTAACCCCCTCACCAGCGATGGCATATCCTCCAATGCATCTGGATCTCTCCTGATCAAGCCATGCGTACAAGCAGAAATTGACTTTTACGAATCTGCCAAAGACCATCCAATGTTCCAAGCCCACATGCCAACATTCATTGGAGCACTAAACCAACACGACGACCAAGACGCCGTGGCACCATTATTAGAATCAAACACCAACGGAGTAGTTGCTCCTCCTCCCCCGGCTGAAGGCGTCGACACCACCACCAATGATCCAATCCCAACCCCCGGCCCCATCAAACGTGCATCTACATGGAAACCCTCCGGCGGACAGAAACTCGACACCGGCCTCGCCATCGTACTAGAAAACGTCACAGCCGGATTCACACGACCCAATGTTCTGGACGTCAAACTCGGCGCTCGCCTATGGGATGACGACGCCCCGATGTCGAAACGCCGTCGACTCGACGAAGTTGCCGCAGAAACCACCAGTGGGAGTCTAGGGTTCCGGGTTGCGGGTATGAAAATCTACGTTGGCCCAACCCCGTCTTCCGACTCAGAAGAAGAACCAAATGTCGAGTTTAAGGATGGATATATGTCCTATAACAAGAATTACGGCCGTGGATTTGATGAGACTAATGTTTCCAATGCATTTACTACTTACCTTGGCATCAATTCCAAGAATCCCGAGACGGTCAAGCCACGGGCAAAGTTACTGGCTAGCAGGATTTTGCGCGAGTTGGAGAGCATTCAATATGTTTTGGAAAATGAAGAGAGTCGCATGTATTCGGCTAGCGTTTTGTTCGTGTATGAAGGGGATGATGAGGCGTTGGAGACCGGGTTGAAGATTGAACACGAGGCTGCTGAAAAAGGAAACCAAGAAGGTGTTGACGAAGACGATGAAGAAGAAGAACCTATGGAGGATGAAGATGGAGATGAGATTGTGCCACAGAGAGTTCTTGAGACCAGACTCATTGATTTTGCTCATGCTAGCTGGACACCTGGAAAAGGTCCGGACGAGAATGCTCTGCAGGGCATTAGGAGTCTCATTGCTATTTTCAAACAGTTGCTGGATTCTTAGAGACGCTGACTGGGTTTGTATCTGGGGGAATAGAACCCTATCTACCATCCTGAATTCATGATGTCTCTCGGTATCCAATATCTTCTATCCTGTGGTTCTACCTAATTGTTGCGGCGTAAAGGTGTCCGTGTGTTTCTAGGCCATCTAGTCGAACGCGAAGCAAAATGAAAATGCCGATACCGATACCGGTACCGATACCGATACCGACGCCGGTGCCTTGCGGATGGTTCTTCTAGCTCCTCCTACGAACGATCGAGCCCGAGCACGCTCTCGGGCCATCCGGCCCAAACAATAGCTCGATTTGGCACTCTTCCGGCAACCGGGCTGAGCAAGCTGATTCGACTTCTTGCTTCGTCTGTGTCCGTAACATATAAGAAGCCCATGACGCTGGCGTCTCGAATCACCTCCTGATCCGCTTCAGGTTCGCAATTGAGGACCGCCAACACTGACTGTCGCATGGCAGCAGCCGGTCCAGTCATCCTCTCGTAGATCTGTGATGCCGGGAGCGCGACTTTTGACCCAGAGGCGTTGTGTGAGGATGAGTCGTCGTCGATGCCACCAGGTAGAAATGACTCGTCATCGTCGTCATCGAGGCCCACGCCGCCAATTCCGCTGGTTGGGTCCGGAGTCGACGATATGCGTCGCCAGACTGTCAGAGTAGAAAAGTCGACTTGTTGTTGTCGAGGTTGCAATGAAATGCCGTTGCTGAGCCGTGGGTTTCCGTAGAAGTAACTTCTGATCTGCGCTGCACGTAGCGCCTGCATGTACGCCTCGTCCCGATCGACACATCCTCCAGATTTGTTGAGTTTGATCACGGCAATCGTCTCGGGAGGATTGGTCGTGGTTCTAGTAGATGTGGCTTGTCCATCAAAGCGTTTGACCATGTCGCTGTACAGCCGTTCAGATCCGAGGCAGATGATGGCAGACACTGCAAACTCCGAGACGATAGTCTGAATGATTTCATTCCCAATGGGACCGGTTTTGGTAGAAGTAAGGCTCCCAGGGGTATCAATGATCAAACCACTCTCTCGAGCGTCCTGATCTTGGGCTATTCGACCTGCAACAGCAAGAGCCAGTCGACTAGCTTGCGCCTTGTACACGGCTCCATCCTTTTCTTGTGGTTTGGAATCCCCAAAGAAGTAGACCAGAGGCAATTTGACCGGAATGGCGCCATTGGGTCCACTCATGGGCGCCGCGCCCCAACCTTCCTCGACATCCATGAGTGTCTTGAACACGGTGGCCGTGATGGTGCCAGGGATGCTCATGACGCCTTCTTTGATATCCAGGTTGGCCAGGACCGGAGACCGTGAGGCTCTTTGCGCGTAGCCTGTCAAGATCTTGGCCAGTGAACTTTTGCCTGCATCTTCGGGTCCTACGATCAAGACTCTGGGTCCCGGTCTTCCGCTCGCCTTAGCCTGATCTCTTAAGCTCTCAAGTGCAAAGTGGACGTTGATGTATTCGCTCATCGGGGTTTCTTCGGCCGTGTATTCGCTCTGCAAGGCATCCCCGCTGACTTCGAAGGAGCAGCCCTGCCATGTGTAAATCGCGGCTTTGGTGCCGGTGAAGGTGTAGGTATTTCCCGCAATGAGTTCTGTTCCGAAGAGCTCGGCCGTTCCTGTCAAGATCTATGGGCGAATCGGTCAGTACAAGGAAGAGTCGCGCTGGTCATGGAGAGAAGCTGTGGTGTGCTGACCTTGACTTGAACATACTTTCCCACGGCGACTTCAAAACGCCATTCATGCTCCTTGGCTAGGTCATGTTGAGTTGTCTCTACTGGTCGTTCCTCTTCTGGCTCGTCTAGCCCGAGACCAGGTAGGCCGGGTAGCGACATGGCAACATTTTGAAGTTGAAAGAAGAATGGTTGGAGAGTGAGGAATGTAAATAATGGGTGGGAACTGAAGGCGCATGCGGGGAAACATTTGAGATTCAGACGCGGCTTGGCAGGGACAGATACAGGGACAGATACAGGGACAGATACAGGGACAGATACAGGGGCAGATACCGCTTCAACTGCAGGATATACCACACCATCAATCCTAGCTACGCAGCCTAGAAATTTAATCATCTCGAGAATTTCTGATGGAGCACCTCAATCTGTATCAACAGGTTCTTCTGTTTGCACCGGCCGGTGTTGATATATTGATGTTTTGAGAGACTTATGCTAAGGTGCCCAAGACATCTTCAAGGCAGTGAGCTTGAGCTCAGACTTCTCTGATTTGCAATCATTGCATCTTTGGACCTGCCCTGTGACCTTGAAGATTGAAACTAGGTAGTTTTCAATCGTCTGTACGCCACGGTGATGCTTGTCTATCCTTCAACTCGGTAGAGCTGGGATTTGTGTTGAGCAAAGAGCTCAGTGAAAGGTTGCCATTGACATCTTCAGCACGTTCTTCCTCGTCGCTGTGAAAGTATCACAACCGTCCAGCCCACGAGACTGTGCGCTGTTGGATCACACGACCTCCACAGGACCTCCGCACGACAGGGAGCCATGCTCTTGCCTCACTGATAGTGGTGAGACGGTGACGAGAAGACTGACCCGAAGAGCTGGACGGCGCAACTCAACCATACAGTGATGGTCTGTAGTGAGAGATATGTTGTGAGCATAAGGTTGATATAGGTCAAAGAGGTCCCATTGAAGAGCCACTATGACACGTGACTCCTCGGACGTCGTAATCTTTGGCTGTAAGTGGATTCTGGTATGATATCATTCAACGATGATACCAATATCTGTAAGGCTCAGCCGGTATTCTTATCGATAGCCCAGCGAGCCAATATCCGGTCGCTATACTGTTGGGTCCTCAGCCACTTCTCACGGAATATCAGAGAGTGCGAGAACTTTCTGAGTTTGAGGTCAATTTCATCTTCATCGGCAAGGTGCATTGCCTCGAGCCCTGCACGGAGATGCTGTTCGTAGTCATTCTGCACCCAGGGACGTTGCCTAGTGTTTGCAAAATTGTGGTGGTGTCGATTTCTGATGAACTGGAGAGCATGCAATGCAAAGACGGTTCCCTCATCGACGTGCTGTGACCTCTGTAACAAATCTTCATATTCTTTTTCCGCCGCTTCGTAATGCCCTTGGTCAATGTGAATGTCTGCTAGCCTTCGCGCAGCACGACGAGTGTCGGCGTGATACCATCCTCTAAGATTCTCCGTCTCCATCAACATCTTTTGAGAAACTCGCGATGCATTTTCAAAGTCGAGAGACCTGCGATAGATATCTGCCAACGCGCGTTTCATTTGACAAACTTCATAATCGACAATGGTGGGGTATTTTTGCTCATAGATGTCAATCATCGCCTGCATCATGGCTTCGGCGGTGGATTCGAGGACGCTGACCGATTTCAGCAATTGAAGGACGCTGGTCAGGAAATGGTGAGGACCATGGATCCGCGACGCGAGCGAGGCGAGATATTGCAGAAGGTGCTCGCGGAGTGCTGGCAGGATGGACCATCGGTCGTCGGTGAAATTCATGATCAAAAGTTTCAAGAATCCACGATATTGTTCTGTGAGGACATCCGAAGCCATTGCACATGCTTCGTTGATCAAGGTCCAACCAGTGGGTGATTGCGAGCTTTCTTGGGCGAGGGTCTCGAGTCCGAACAAGAGCTTCTCAAAGAACGAGGCAGCATTTGCAGCAGGAAGCTGATTGCGTGCCGCAAGTCCAATCGCCGGCGCAGCGTTCCATCCTCTGGCTGGCTGAAATGAGACGGTGCCGTGAAATGATGTATCACAAGCAAAGTGCCAGGATAGGTATTGGAGGACGTGCCATACAGCACGCTCGCTGAGATCTGTTGACGTGGAGTGGGACGGGGTCAGGATCAATTCGAGTGATGACTGGTACGGACTTCGATCAGTGGATGCTGAAGGAGGTGTAAGCAAGACTTGGTCTCTGTCGTCTTGACTCGTGGCTTGGTCATCATAGTCGATTTCTTCCTCGCTTTCGATGATAATGTTGGGATCGGTGTCTGACTCATGTTCGACCATGGACCTTGAGCGCTTCACCAGCATATTCTGATCAGCTTTGGCTGGGAGACTGTCGGCAATATCCGAGTGGACCTTGGTCCTTTTACAGTATCGCCGGACGAGGTCGGCACGAATAGGACGACCTTTGTAAGATAGAGTCTGAAGGTTAGGACCAGAGATACCCTTTGCAGAAATGAATTGAGCAATGACTTCTTTTTCGTTGGCTTTCATGTACTTGTTGAGACCCCAGGATTTGATTCGGCTCTTGTACATCTTCCGACTGTTCGATCAGACAGTCAGCAGGAATAGCGCGACATGCGGACAGGGTTGGCAAGTCCGACACAGAAAACGGAGGCACTCACGTGGCATAAAAATTGTGTTCGTTCAAGAGCGTCTCCTGCGTCTGGAGTAAGGTCCATCCTCGCTCCGCGTAGTATTTGGTGAAGATTGGGCGAATCGCCTCCCATTCTTCAGAGGTGTGGGCTCGTTGTTTTTCCATGACAGGAATGTGGACGGAACTGTCGCCTGTTCTGGACGAGGTCAATCCTCCACCATCTGGAGACAACGTCGGGGTGAACTGTTCTGTCGTGGACATATTCTTGCCATTTGACTAAGAGGGACTTTGGTTTGAGGACCATAATATCATAATCGTCGGGGGAGGTGGAGGTCGAGGTGGTAGGGTAGTATTTGATCTCGGAGGCCCTAGTACGGAGGAGGGTCGGGTGGGGGATTCTCACGGCCAATCTCTTGGGAGCGCCGAGAGCACGAGGGGACGAGGGACGAGGGACGATGCGGCCTTGCGTTTGCCTCCTCGTGGAGGGCACAGCCGAAGGCGGCGGGGAGGCGAGGGATCGACCAGTGGTGTCGCAAAGATTGGGGGCTCTGGCATCGACAATTGGATACAAGCTTCAGGCCGTGCCACAGAGACCGGGCGTGCCGGGGACTTTCGCACAAGGCAATCTTGTGATATCAGTGTGCTTATCTTGACACTACGGAGTAGATTACGGCAGCCTTGTTGTTACTGGCCTCCGTTTCCACTCAGGCCACAGTCTGCAGATACTCCTTGACCTTGCAAACTTGCCCAACTGGATGATGATAACCATGTGTACGGAGTAGAGAGGACCTTTAGCGGCCACAAGCTTCACTTTCTTCTGCGCCGTGTGGAAGTGCAGCGGTTGCCTTTTCCCCCAGTCGCGCTTTCCCCAACAAGATGTCTGGAGCAAATCGCCCGAGGGCAGGTGCCAGCCTTTAGCATCAACACGACTACTTTGACTTCCACCGAACTGCCACCATTTCCTTTCCTCTCATCTCTCTCTTCATCTTTACCATCATATCGATCAAGCCCGTCTCTCCTTCAGGACGTCTCTCCCTCAGGACAAGTCCAGAGCTGATGGGGTCTCTTCTGTTGCCATGATTATTTTAGCACCCGGCAGAGCCAGACAAGGCAGCTTTTCCCATCACACAGCCGATTGAACTCCCTCGTCCTTTGTCTCACGTTGACCAACCTCTGGTCGGCCAAGCCCGCTGCCATCGCCTAGTTGATCGATGAGCTATGTGATGACACGCTCGAACCTTTTTGCTTCAGTCTAGTAGACACGTGATACTTATAGGATGACCAGAGCGAGCATGGAAGCTTCTGAGGCGAGGCGACGAGTTCGCTCGAGCCAGTAGCGGCTACAAAGTTGTGCCAACTCCGATTACAGGTATTTCAAAGGAACTCCCTGCTTGGCTGTTTCGGTATCTGCAGCGTCTCTACTCATACAAGTTCTCAGTCTTGACGAGACTATCAGGTGCACCTGTTGCAATACTTCCTGACGATTCCTAATGAATGTGCAGCGAGGATAATCTTGATCCTGAACATCCACTCGTTCACTTAAGAAGCACGCACTATATCGTGGAGTTACCAATCATCCACTGCCCATCACCTCATCCACGCAGGAGAAGTCCTCAAGATCCATTCGACCCTGCAAAAGGCAGATGATACCATCCCAAAACTTATCAGGAGCTATAGAGGTGGCATTGCAGTGTGTGGTGCCCAATACCCCACGCCTAGTCCTGCCTGGCTTACAAAATGTAACCCAACCCAAATCAATATAAATCCAGGTGGAGCACAGCCTCTATGATACATACATTTGCTCTCAGGTGATGTCGATTCGGTCTTGATATCAACAGATCTCTAGCTCGCGACTGGACTGGGTCGGTGAGGGTACAGCCGAGAAGCTTGTTGGTTTCGAGATACTCGTACCATGTATGCATCAATCCCTGTAATCAGGGTCTGTGTATCATCTCTAGCCTTGAGACTGGACTGGCCCCGACCATTCTACTCACCTCTGGGGCACAGGGCTAGTACCACAAACCAACCAACGACATGCAATCAACGCTTCCCACGTGGGACAGTCGGTTATGTTGCTGGGTACCACCACCGACAAGTTCTACCAGGTTGCACCAACTCTGGCTTCGTACCTCGCATTGATGACAAAGGACCTGCCAGGTCGTCGGGAGATCGACGTAACCGAGCGACGACTACAAGATAGGTTGCTGGAGACTTCACCAAGCAGGCGAAAGCACTTCTGATACGCGGTCCATGTGATGTAACCGAATCTGTCAGTTCGTTATTTCCGGTAGTCCCCACGATCAAAAGCAAAGCTATATATATATATGCCATAAAAGCCTGCAAGTGGCTAGTCAACCACCAGTGACAAGCGAGCTCTGCAGAGTAGGAACAGGTCACTCCCGCTAGCAACACCTTGTTCAAGTCGAGGCCGGCTGTTCGTTCGCTACCACTGTTGAAACGGGCCGGCATTAGAGCGTCACTACACGAATGATATTCCACCGTCCATTAACTCGCTTAGGGGCGATTGGGCGACGACTAGTCGGTCCAACCATGCTCGAATTTTACGGGCAAACCGTGGTCAAGTCCTTCGACGTGAGAAAGAGGCGAATGTCGTTAGAAGCGTGACGACCCATTGACGCTCTCTGGTCATTGGCCTCGTCCTGCCGGTAGTTGATGCCTAGACCGCCACATGAGTTGAGTCTAGCCCATCGATGGAAGTCGTCTGACGGAAAAGCACGGTACAGGTGAAGACAGCATGCCACGACTGACAAGGGCAATAGAGTTTCATCCCAAGGGCAAGGGAGAAGATGGATGGGCAGAGAGCACCATACTCTCCTACCAGTACGAGTACCTTCTGACAAGCAACACCCATGGCTTGCTTATTGACCTGATTACAGCAAGTAGTCAATGCTAAAGCCCGACAACTGCCCCTCGACCCCACCCAGAGGGACTGGTAACTCGGTACCAGCCAGTGTGCCAGCCGTGCCAGCCTAATTATCGATGCCCACTTGACCCCTCGGCCTAAGTACCCAGTACTTCATCCCCACCGCTCGCTACCGGCTCATTGTTAAGTACCTAAGGACTCGTCCTGCTTGTCGATCCTCTTCCGGCTTGTCTACTTAGTGGCCTCACAAGTCGCACTTATTACCCAGGCACGGTTACTTTCGGCTTCGAGGTAGACAACTACGAGTAAGTAGCGTGACGCACTTGTCGCGCACCAAGCAGGGCAGGGAATGAATGTCTGGTACCCAGTGACAAAGTCCAGCTCGACCATTATTATGCCCTAGTGCCCCGGTAGCTGGGTTGTTACAATGCATCCAAGAGAAGTCACTGGAGGTCAAGACCTCCACTGTGCTGGGAAACAACGCCGTTGATTTGACACTGGCCGGAAACTATCCCTGGTCGTGCAGGACGGCTTGGACCTCAAATCCCTGTGCGTCTTCGGTTTGGATGGCGAGTCAAAGCTAAGGTCGACAAGAGTTCCAGCGCACAAATGGGCTCGACCCGTCCCTCGAGATGCCGTTTTGCTAGTAAATTGTGGCACTGATGGTCATCGTATTTGAACATCAGCTTCCATCTCCTTTGGACCAGATGCATTCAATCCTCGCTCTGGAGCTCTCAAGTCGAATAACTATCTCGTTAATCGGCCGTCGTCAGCACCATGGTGGTGCACAAAGCATACTCTTCGCAGTATCATCCCATCCACCCCAGCGTGAGGGATCGACTCGATAAGGATTATGTGGACCACTACAACCGGTACCTGATCAATCAACCACTCGTCCAACACTTGCCACTCGCCGTATCCCGACAGGGCGGACAAACTCCCCCAGCTCACAGCACCCCCCTTGCCGTAGGAACCACCCAGGACTTTCGCATCTCTCGCCGAGAGACCTTTGGACCCAAAATTGAAGTGCGCTGCTTTACCCCACATGGAGCGGCACCGAAAACCGGCTGGCCGCTGGTGCTCTACTATCACGGTGGTGGTTGGGTGTTTGGCGACATCTCGTCCGAAAACACCATCTGCACAAACCTGTGCGTTCGCGCTCAGGCCGTAGTGATCACAACCGGTTACAGGTTAGCATGCTTCCTGCAGCGAGCCCCCCTCTGATTTCAGCAGTCCCGAATTCGCGATTTGGTCTTGTTGCAAGCATCCCCTTCTGACTGCAACCCGTCAACAGACTTGCCCCCGAGTGCCCTTGGCCTGCGGCCATCCACGACGGCTGGGAAGCATTTCTTTGGGCCACCTCCAAGGGCGCCGAGCTGCTCAACATCAACACCCGAAAAATCGTCTTCAGCGGGGCTTCGGCAGGATCCAATATTGCCGCCGTCATGGCACAGAGAGCAGTGGCGCACCCACAGCCCGGTGTCTCGATATGTGCGCAACTTCTTGTGGTGCCCATTACGGACAACACTGCGACGCCGTTGACCAACCCGACCTGGCAAAGGTACGAGTTCACCGCAGGCTTGCCGGCCGAGAAGATGCTGTGGTATAGGCACCACTATCTGCCAAATAAAGCGGACTGGTCACACCCAGAGGCATCCCCTCTGTTTGCTTCTGACGAGATATTTGCCCGCCTCCCCCCGACATTGGTAATTGTGGCCGAGCTCGATGTCCTCCGTGGTGATGGGGAAGAATACGCGAAGAAGCTCAGAGCCAACAGGGTGTGCGCCGATGTGATGGTCATGGAAGGAATGCCCCATCCTTTTGTAGCAATGGACGCCAAACTCGACGCGGCCAAGCGAGCCATCACCATCATGTGTGAGAGACTGCTCAAGACTTTTGCATAACGGGTTTTTGCGTGCATTTCCGGCGCTGGAGGTTGATTTGATGGTCAGTCATTTTCACTTGCAGTCAGTTTGGGCGGGTGCGATTGTCGAGCGTGCCATGTACTGAGAGAGGCACTTTGATTATACATTGATACCTACATAGACCTTTGGACCGAGGCTGGGCTAGGCTTCGTTGTTTTGTGCGTATCAAAATTCAATTCATTATGCCAGACACGGCTTGAAGAGGACCAGTGTAAGAATCTTGTTCAATTCCTCAGAGGAATCAACATGTTGGATTGTCGTTCAGCCTTGCTTTAAGAATTCATTCATATGTGCGTGTGTCTTGGAAGCGCGCTGTTTGCGTTGAGCGCCTACAATGATCCGCCATAGAAAAATTTCCCCACATTGCGGCCTTTCGGCTTGACTTCGATTTCATAATTGAAGAGAAATAATAGGCCAGCCTCTTAATCATCGCCAGTCCCTTTCATGGTTCCGGTTCTGATCGAATGAGTTGTCACCATGGATCTAGGTGACGGCGGAGCAATGCCAGTCATCCTCGCCGACTGGCTGGATCGAGGCCTCACTGTCTGGCATGAGAGTCGAGTGATTCTGACTGCGGTGCTGGTCGTCTGCTTCTTGACGATTCTCGTCCAACGAAGGCGATCCACAAGACCTTTCACACAAAGTTCCTCCCCGGCGCTGGAAAAGGCGGATGCTCTTCAAGGATCACAAATCGAGAAGTTGTCCATTTCAGAAACTTATGATGTCGACAACAAGACAACCCTTGCTGCGGCCCCAACACAGAAGGTCAAGACTCGACCTGCCGCCGCCCGCATCGTCACCGGACGCAAGCCAGCTTCAACGGCAAGAAACGGAAATTTAAACCAAGTTCAAGAGGAAGTTACACACATTCAACCCTTGATATTCTTCTCCTCTCTGACGGGTACCACTGAGCGCCTGTCCAAGATTGCATCAGAAAGTCTCCAAGCGCTGTCCACCCGAAACACTTCAATACTTCAACCAGAAGTCCACGACTTGTCCTATGTCGACCTTGATGACTACTTCATTTCTGGTCCCAAGACTCCATCGCCGCGGGACGGGACAGTTTTCTTCTACCTCTTGTTAATCCCCTCATATGATATCGACACCATATTGAATACCCTTACTGCCCACCTTGATGAAACCCACAACGACTTTCGCATCGATACCTCTCCTCTTGCGGTCCTCGCTGGGTACACTGTGTTCGGCATCGGGGACAAAAGTGGCTGGCCAAGTGAAGAGCAAGGTTTCTGCTCACAAGCAATCGAGGTTGACAAGTGGATGGCAAAACTGACTGGCAGGAAAAGAGCATACCCACTGGGTCTTGGAGATGTGAAAGATAACGCAACCCACGCACTCCGTGAATGGACTGACGGTGTATCTACTGTGTTGGAAGAGCTGATTTCCACGGGCTCTCTTGGAGAGGGCGTTCCTGGTAGCGGCGACGCAATTGAAAGCGAGAGCGAAGAGGAACCTGAAATGGTCGACGAGGAAGAGGAATTTCCTGATTCTGGCCGGAACAAACGCCGCAAGATCGCAAACACAACTGACCTTGAAGATGTTGGTGGCAAGACTAAGACTAAGAACTCGTCGTTGGCCGTCGACTTTACCACATATTCCTCAATCCAGGTGACGCAGCCTGTACTCAAGGCCATGGTGCCCAAAGAGTCTCCAACATACGCATCTCTGACCAAGCAGGGTTACACCATCGTGGGAACACACTCTGGAGTCAAGATCTGTCGATGGACCAAGTCTGCTCTCCGTGGTCGTGGTTCCTGCTACAAGAACTCATTCTACGGCATCGCTTCGCACCTCTGTATGGAAACAACACCGTCTCTGTCTTGCAGCAACAAATGTGTCTTTTGTTGGCGTCACGGGACCAATCCTGTCTCCACAACCTGGAGGTGGCAAGTCGACGACCCAAACTTGATATTCGAAGGGGCGAAGGAAGGCCATTACAAGAAAATCAAGATGATGCGTGGTGTGCCAGGAGTGCGCAGCGACCGGTTTGAGGAAGCGATGCGCATCCGCCATTGCGCTCTGAGTCTTGTGGGCGAGCCCATCTTTTATCCACACATCAACAAATTCCTCGATCTGCTGCACGGTGAACGTATCTCGAGTTTCCTGGTCTGCAATGCCCAGCACCCACAGCAGCTCCAAGACGTGAAGCGAGTTACACAATTGTATGTCAGCATCGATGCCAGCAACAAGGAGAGTCTCCGCAAGATCGACCGTCCACTCCACCGAGATTTCTGGGAGAGATTCCAAGCATGTCTCGACATTCTCCGAGAGAAGCGCTTCGTTCAAAGAACTGTATTCCGCCTGACTCTGGTCAAGGGATTCAACATCGAGGACGAGGTAGAAGGCTACGTCAATCTGGTGGCCAAGGGATTACCATGCTTCATCGAAGTCAAGGGAGTCACGTACTGTGGCACAAGCACGTCGACCAACGCTGGTCTGACGATGCAGAACGTACCATTCTACGAAGAAGTGGCAGCATTTGTCGAAGCCTTGAACGTGGCGTTGGCGAAGCGTGGCTTGGAGTATGGTATCGCAGCCGAGCATGCACACAGCTGCTGTATTCTACTCGCCAGTAATCGCTTCCACATCAACGGAAAATGGCACACTGTCATCGACTATGACAAGTTCTTCCAGCTCCTGGAAAGTGGCCAAGATTTCCGCCCTGAGGATTACTGCAAGGAGACTGTCGAATGGGCACTCTGGGGTAATGGTGGTTTTGACCCACGAGATGAGAAAGTGGACCGGAAGGGCAGACCGAAGGAGGCTTCAACAGTCACTGGCAAGAAGATTGACAGTAGTAAACTCGATTTTTAGTCAAGAAGCAATCAAAGAACGAAATCACAAGAATATCAGCATGTCATATGGATGCGAGAGATCGAGGTCCATTGTAAAGCGTCTTATTGCATCCACTGGCGATTGTGTAGACCGAGCCCTGTGTTTCGTTTTCTCTGTGTGTAGCAATTGAAGAGGTCACGATTTGGTGAGTAGTCAACAAGATCAACTGCAAAATGTGGTGCAGTCAATCTATGTATGTCCTGATTTTGGCTCCCACTGAATCTACAGCATGACTTGTGATGTAGGCCTTGCAATATGACTCGATTTATGAACCTGTCTGTGTGAACCGCCTCAAGTTGAGATTTGACTGGAGTGTTTATTCTGCAGCAACCCGTTTTCTCTGTCTTCACCTTTCTTCTGACTGATCGATTCTCTTTTCTTCTCAAACTCCAACCAAGCAAGGGTTGAACAAAGTTTATGAAAAAAAAAAAGGACATAAGCCTGTCAGAGTATGTCTGTCGGTACCTACCACGCTGAGCGGCACGAAGCCAGAAACCCCAAACGTAGGTCAAAGATCATCACCACTCTCTGTTTCTGACAGAGATGACGAAAGAAGCAGAACCTCTTCCGCACCCTGAGAAGAAAAACTGTCGAGAGTAAACCCTCCGAAGAGGGACATCTTTTCACTCTAGGATACCGAAGACTTTTTATCGTCAGCCAGGTTGAGGATTCTGTGGCTTCGGTGAGAAGCTCAGAAGAGGACGTTTACTATATGAATAGATTCATTGAAGTACTGTGTAAACGCACTGTGTTAGTAGAGGGACAATAGACATGACAAGAGGGACAATAGACATGACATGAAAATGTAGGGTGGGTGGAGGGAGGCTTACAAGTCGCATAAACAGGTGGAAAGAAATTGGGAGGAGAGTGCAGATACTTATAGAAAAAAAGTTCAGAGGTGCCAAGACTGCGACCCACTGAGATTTTCTGAGTCTTGGCGGCTGTCAGGGAACGATTGGTGGAAACTTTTGTTGTTCCTCACTCACCCTGCACTTTCGTTCATCACTCTTTTCATGCTTCACCCTTCGCATGTGACTTATGACTGTCGTAATCTTGGTGGATGATAGATTAGGAACTCTGTATACTCACTCGGCGCACCAGAAGCCGTAGATCTGTGCTCTCGTTGTGCTGTCTGACTCCCTGACACGGAGAATGCAGTACAAAATTTGTGTCACGTGATTCTAATGCACATGTTCATGGCCAGAACAAATGTGCCAAGGCCATTTCGGCCTTGGTCGATTGGTTGAATCCCAGCTGCACGACTATTGTTTGTCTGGGGGAAATTTTTGACTTGAAGTCGAGTCATGATCTAAGTCACTACACCCCGGCCAACAGAACATCAAAGATGGTGCTTGCACAATCCAAATATTCGAGTACGCGGTATCATGACCCGACTCTGCAGGAGTTTTTCAGCTTTGAGGATGTGGTGCTGAAAGGACTAGCCTCGGACGGTGGACTGTTTCATCCTCATCAAGTCCCCGACGTGAGATCCAAGTACTTGGAATGGAAAGATCTATCATTTGCCGATTTGGCTTTCCAGGTCATCAGGTTATATGTGGATGACCATGAAATTTCCAACCAGGAGCTCAAGTCTATTGTTGATCGCAGCTATTCTACCTTCAGGCACCCTGAGACGGTACCCCTGGTTTCCCTGGATGACAAGAAGGATTTGCATCTTCTGGAGCTCTTCCACGGACCGACTTTCGCCTTCAAGGATGTGGCACTCCAGTTTCTCGGCAATCTGTTTGAATTCTTCTTGGTGCGCAAGAACCAGAAGATCCAGGAGGGCCAAGCACGGCACCACCTCACTGTGATCGGAGCCACTTCTGGAGATACTGGTTCAGCGGCAATTTATGGTCTTCGCGGCAAGAAGGATGTCAGCATCTTCATCACCTTCCCTGACGGAAAGGTGTCGCCTGTGCAAGAGGCACAAATGACGACCGTGCTGGACCCCAATGTGCACTGCTTGGCCGTGGAAGGAACATTTGACGATTGCCAGGATTACGTCAAGGCATTGTTTGCTGATGCCGAAATGAACAAGATCCATCATCTTGCCGCCGTCAACTCGATCAACTGGGCCCGTATTCTGGCTCAAATCACATATTACTTTTACGCCTACTTCCAACTGCTGCGGCAACGGCCCGACTTGAAGCAAGTCAAGTTTGTGGTCCCGACGGGTAACTTTGGCGACATTCTCGCCGGCTACTATGCTCGTGCCATGGGACTCCCAGTCGCCAAGCTTGTCATTGCAACCAACGAGAATGATATTTTGCATCGTTTCTGGCAGACTGGATCCTACTCTAAGAAGCAACAACCTGCAAGTGAAGGCCATGAAGGCCTCAAGGAAGACGGAGCGGAGGCCCACGAGGACGGGGTCAAGGAGACCTACAGTCCAGCCATGGACATTCTCGTGTCTTCCAATTTTGAACGACTCTTGTGGCATTTGATCCTGGAGAACGAGGTGAAGAAGAACCCTGGAGTCAAATTCGAGGAGTCGGTATTGAAGGCGGGCAGTAAGTTAAACGGATTGTTCCAGCAGTTGAAACAAACCGGATCGTTCACTGTCGAACCTGAGGTTGTTCAGAGTGCACGTGAAATCTTCACCACACACCGCGTCAGCAATGCCGAGACGCTTGAGACAATTCGGGACAGCTATAAAGGTCAGGCCATCACCAACAAGGGATATGTGCTGGATCCTCATTCGGCCATCGGAGTCGCCGCAAGCCTGCGAGAGATTGCAGCAACCGCAGCGTCAGACGTGCCTACCGTCTCTCTTGCAACGGCACATCCAGCGAAATTTGCCGGTGCAGTAGAGTTGGCTCTGAAGGAAGAAGCCGACTTTGACTTTGGCCGCATTCTCCCAGAGCAATTCGTCGGACTTGATGAGCAAGAGAGAAGGGTGTTGAAGATTTCCAGTACAGAAGGTCTGGCCGGGCTTCGGAGTCTTATCACCAAGGAAGTGGAAAAGGAAAAACAGGCTAGATAAAAATTGAATGCGTCGATCTCGTAACAGGGTGCCAATAAAGAATTGACCTGTTATGGCAGTTTTCGTTTCCAGTGTAACCACGTGACCGATAAAAATCAGAAAGAGGCAGCCTCAAACAGGCGAACTGGCAGCGTATGCCGAAATAGGGAAATTCAGATGAGTGGAAAAAATCCTTTATTCCGTTTTGTGCCTGGCATCGGCGTAAGGCGGACTTCAGCAACGAACTGCGAGTAAGAGGTTGCATTTGGGGGCCATCACAGGCTTCTTGGGCGTCTTTTTAAGGAATAAGAGGAACAATAACGTTGCCCCCAAGTGCTCTCGGACTTTGGTTCCCCTCCGCCTACATCATAAGCTTATTTCCAATTTACCAAACTGTATTCTAAGGTAGGTGACTGGACATACTGCGTGCATATCGTCTACACATGTACATGTGTAAGGAGTACTACCGTTTCCAGATGTTGCAGGGTGTTCATGTGGCTTCACGGCTTGCAACTGGCAGGTACGAGAGCACTGAGACCCGCACCTTCCCTAGTTCCCCCCCTCAGCAATCACGGGTTCTTCTCAAGTTCTCACCGTAAAGTCGCAGCTGCGGTTCAGGTTGCAGTCGATTCGGCCGAACAACCTCAGCTTGGGGCCCATCCCAACCTTAGATTCATCACCCACCCCCTTTCCCATCGGTGTCCGAGGGTTCGTCTTTCGAACCAAAAATGGATCTCGTATCAGGTGACGCTCAGAGTCAATCTTCCGGTAAAGTCTCAGGGCAAACGCTGCACAGCCATTTCCAGCGACTGACCACATCGTGGGGTAGGAGATCTCTGGGAACCTGAATCTACCCCGTAAGTACACAGATTCAACAGAACACCCTCCGTACCAGGGCTTTATACAATCACAATGCTAACCGACATGAGCAGCGCCAAGTGTTATCAGTCCCACCACCGACTTTCCGTGATAAGCAGTGCTCACGGCCAAGCTCACTTTTCAAGTTGGTCATTTGCGAGCACGCCAGCTAGCAAACGATTGCTGGTGCAAGCGAAGTCCGTCCAGCCAGCCAAATGGGTCGAGGGCGGCCTGACCAGCGATACACCCTTACCTGAACAAACCAATTCCCCATGTCCCCTCCGGCTGAACAAGCTTGCTACACAACCTGGATAAAGGACGGAGTAACATTTCTACACCTTATCCCTGCCTCGGTTTCTCCTCTCAAGCCACTGATTGTCCCTTAGTGGAGCTGATGGCTTGCTTCGTGCTTACCTAACTAACGCTTGTGAGTTCTATATCCGGACAACTCTATTGTGATGCTCCCCATTTATGGTTCCTGGCGAGCCCAACTCAAGATCGTGAAAACTCCATGACCCGAAATGCCCCTTCTGTTCTCCATTGCTAGTCCGGCGCCTTACTATCACCTTTCACTCATGGTAAGCACTCTAAGTAGGTGGGTAGTGCATTCTTGGTTTGTCACATCTTCTTGACTCGACTCTATATGCTCCTACGGCCTACCTTTGCTACTGCTCATGTAGCGCAAGCGGCCTAACATGGAGTCAAGTGGTAGAAGGTGAGTTTCTTGATCAGACTTCCAACCTAATCTGGTTGACTGACGCGAAAATGATAGGCGAAACATCCCACTTTGGCCACCGTTCAAACGGACATATCAGAACCTAGGTTCGACGGAAGACTTTCATCTCACCCCTCTTCCAAGTACGGGACGAGGTCCTCCTTCAGACCATCCGAGTGCGCGCCTCTTCAGCCCAGGCCTCGATAGCTCGACAGCATATACTCCTGACTACATTGCTGCGACGCCCAACCCATACTCGCCTGCCCTTTTGTCCTCTGCGAAGCCTGCAAAGAATAGATGGATCGGAAGGGGATGGCAAGCCAGCTCCAAGATCGCACTCACCTGCGCAATTCTGGTATTGGTAACCAACATTGGCCTGACTCTCGGCATTGTAGGTGCTGGTCATACCATGCAGGATGGCGTATACATGGTATGTTGATAGCTCAGAAGCCCCCTCCACCTCGTTCTGATGTGTTTCTCTAGGTTTACAAAGGTAGTTGTCGAGAAATCGAGACCAAAGATGCTTGGATTCACTTGGCCCTCAATTTCGTCGCAACTGTCCTCCTGGCCAGTTCCAACTACTGCATGCAACTGCTGTCATCGCCGACTCGTTCAGAGGTCGATAGAGCCCACTCGAAACAGAAGTGGCTCGATATTGGCATTCCAAGCCTTCGCAATTTGACCTCGTTAAGCAAGAAGAAGGTTACTTTGTGGTGGATTCTTGGACTTTCTTCAGTCCCCCTGCATCTAGTGTTAGTCCCGCGCCTCACCGTTTTGCGGCCGTGGCTTTGCTAACAGCTGCAGATATAACTCGGTATTTTACTCCGCTTTGGCCACCAACAACTATAACATACTCTACGCATCTGAGGGTTTCGTGAACGGAGATGCCTACGACAAGGAGCTGTTTCCCGACGACGAAGACCGAAATGTAACCGATATCCAGGCTCGCATAGCTGTTGATTTCGAATCCTTGACCAACGAACAGTGCATCGCCCGCTACGCCAAAGACTTTGTCGAAGACCGACGAAATGTTATCGTCATCGTCAAGAACCCCCCAGCTAATCAGGGCTCTCTCTTTAAAGTGGCATCTCAAGAATTCCCCGTCGAGTTCACCACAGAGTACAACGCCTTTGCCTGGATTTGCGATGATCCCAACGTTGTCAATGTAACAAAAGCGTGTTGCGAAAACGAATACGGCTTTGTCCCTTGTTCGAAGATCACGCCCAAGTTGATCGATATTGCCGACCAATGGACCACGGGAGGATTCGAAGTCGATCACTGCTTGTCCGAGTTGGTCGAATCCGACTGCCATTTACATTTTTCATGGGTGTTGATGACAGTGGTATTGGGCTTCAATTTATTAAAGGTGCTTGGGATAGCCTACGTGGCGTTCTATCTGGGCGAGTCTCCGCTTGTGACCATCGGCGACGCAATTCAATCATTTATTCGACATCCTGATCGTACATCAGAAGGTATGTGTCTCGCCAGCCATTCCAGTATAACGGCTTCGACCAAACTCGGTTATACAACGACCTCAATGCGATATGAGCCACGACAACAACGGTTTTTCGAAGCGGCCACCTGGAGACAGTTGGCCTTTGTGTTTGGCTTATTCACCTTCGCCGGCGTTGGAACCTTTGTCTGCCTTATCCTAGGCATCGACGCCCTCAAAGGCGACAAGACCATCGATAGCCCCTGGTCGATTGGTCTCGGAAATGTCAAACCACAGAACTTGGTCATGGGATTCAATCTGCCCGGGTACGGCAACACATCGATTGCCATCAGCACTCTTATCGCAAATACCCCACAAGCATTGTTTTCGTTCTTGTACATCTGCTACAACAGTCTTTTTACTGTAATGTTCCTGTCCCGAGAACTGATGACCTTCAGTGTCACGACTGGAAGGGGTCGAAAGTATATTCGTGTCAGCAACCCCCAAGGTGAACAGAAGTGCACCTATTTCCTCAATTTACCGTACAAATACGCCCTTCCTCTACTCGGTGGGTCTGGCCTGACGCATTGGCTTGTGTCCCAGAGCGTCTTCCTGGCCAACATCTCGATTATTCCACGCGACGGCGACGTGCCCATGCAGGATGAGATCACGACTGTGGCCTACAGCCCCCTGGCAATGCTGCTCCTTCTGATCCTTGCGATCGTCATTCTCGGCTTCCTCATCGCCACATCATGGCGGAAATTGCCCTATGGAATGCCTCTGATTGCCAGTAACTCGATCGCGTTGAGTGCAGCCTGCCACATACCAGGCTACACACAGGCAGAACGGGACCAAGCCGTGCTGCGACCATTGAGCTGGGGCGTGGTTCCTTCGGGTGGAAAGCCTAGCGACTTGGGCATCAGGAGTATGTCGACGTCGCCGGACATGGGGGATGACGGGGGAACTGCCATCCAGCACTGTTGTTTTTCGGACCGACCCCTCGAAGCGCCCTTGTTGGGAAATTTGTATTCGTGATGATTTGGCTTGGACCTGCGTCCATGGCAAAGGCCTGTCATGGCCAGAATGTTGGGAGAGAGGTCAAGTGATATGATACTTGCACTGGGTTTAATGGCCTTCTGATAAAGGACGACTGGAACGTACCTATTTAGCACATCGCCTAGCAGAGGATTAGGCTGATGATTGGTCGTATTAGCATAGCATAGCATAGCATAGCATAGCATAACACGGCGTTCTCGAGTGAATCGGTGGATGATGGAATGAACGATCAAGACAATTCTTGTGAGACAAGTATGATTGCAATTTTTTGGTTCTTCATCTTCAGATACTTGATTCTATGTCCGAGACGTCGTTGTAATGTCATGACATCGTGTAACTTTTCGTGGAAGATGCAACATCATGACTTCACGGGAGAGATTAGTGACAACCTCATATCAACCTGAAACTCCTTCGCTATGCCAAACATCGACAACCCAGACGACACCTTCTGAGGGCTCGCGACGAGCCTACGCATGTGGAGCGATCCCCAGTGAAGGGCCCGAACCATCAAAGACGACAAATTGGGACTTGAAGAACACATCGCCGTAAATGGCGAATGGAAGACCTTGATTCGATTGAAGACCACCGAAGCAAACTGGGGTTTTGTGTTAGTCATCATGGTTCAAGGGCTCAGTTGTACTTCGAAGAGGATCCACACTTACATTCAGTTCCTGTGTTTCTGTCTCTGCCAACTTGGGCAAAATTCATACCGTTGCCCTGGACGGTGGCAAAGTAGTCGTCGCCGATGGCCACCTGGAGATCTGGGAGAGCAGTGTTGCACGGGAAAATCACTCCGCCTGCATCTTGGCTGAGTTGCGCCCCGGGGACAGTACTCCAGTAAGCCACCAACATTTCGTCACCAACAAGCATAAGAGATGTGCCGGTGTCAATGATGGTTCGCCCGCTGGGAATTTCAACGGTCTGGCCTCCAATGATGGCCGACCTCGAAGGGACTTCCCAGAAACCCCTTGAACTATCGACAGGAACAGTGCTGAGGTTGCCAACAAAGGCGGTGGTGTCGATGTTGCCGAATTCATATGAGCCAACCTGGCCTGAGATGAGTTGTGCGGTAAAGACAGGGAGAGTCAAATCGGCCATGATGTTATCGAAGAAGGTCTTTTGTTGTTGGGGACGAATGGTGTTGAGGCGAGAAAATGCAAGACCAACGAGGCCGTTGGAATGCGAGTCTGTCACAAAGGACTGGGAAACAATGTCGGGTAAGCCAATGGCTTGGGCTTCAACTGTGGCGCCACCAATGTCGACAGTTTCGAAACCGACAGGCCCTGAACAAAAAGAGCTGTCACCGTATGTGATATTGAAAGTGCCTTGCAGGTTTCGAAATGTGGTAGATTTGGAGGGGTCATAGATGGTATGACCTTGCTGAGCAGCAACTGGTAAATTGGTATTGAAAACCCACCTGGTCCAAGTGTCAGAGCGTAAAGCAGACTATGTTACACGACATCCGGGCAACTCACGTATCCGACGAACCACTGTCAAAGTTCATGATCAAGGTCTGACCACCGATAGTAACAGGGGATAAGAATTGAGCATCGTTTTGAGTGGGAGAGGCGTTTGTCGCTCCGTCCGAATTGCTGTCGTCGTCCACAGCAGCCTCTGTTGATGCTTTGATTCTGGTAGCGACTTCTCCGTCCGGGAGGAAGCTGATGTCCCCAAGCCCGAACTTGAACAATGCTCGCTTGTAGGCTCTTTTGCCATTGGGCTTGTAGTTTGGGTTTGGGATTTGCGGGATTTTGAATGAGCGTTTCTGTTTTTGCTTAATGGGGCTGGCCAGCACAGCGGCAATGCAAAAGAATGTGAAGAGGAAAAGATCAAGTCTGGCCATCTTGATGACGATGATGGATATCCAGTCACAGGCCAGGTTCAAGAAATGAGGGTTGTTCTCCTGGCACCAGTGCTTTATGAACAAGTTTTGTAGGAGAGAGAAGGACGAAGGGCCTGCCTTGAACGTCGAAATGAGGGACAATTAAACAAGTCTAGATGAGACCAGGCTCATCAACGATAGAAATGAATGCAAGGATAAGAGAATGGACTGAAAGCAAACATGTCGAGCGGATGAATTGCGATGAGCGGTAGTATTAAAGAGCATGGGTTGAGGGAGAACTGAACAAGGAAAGCCACGGCCTGAACTGGAATGAAGCTAGACGACATTGGGAGGACGCCATCTGCACGTCTCAGGATTTGCGCGGCGTTTTCAATGAGGACAACTCAGATGGAGAGCCTGGATCGGAGCAACCCGTGGGTGTCAGAAGCCACCTTCTCCACAGAAAGCATGGGTTTCGGTTGACAATAAGAGGCAGGCTAACAGCGCCGAGAATGGGCTTACACGAGGCCTACCGGAGGCTTGACCGTGGCAGAGAGATCACTGGCTGAGAGGGACGGTTGTCAAGTCGAGAGAGCCATTGACGACGTTTCAATGAACAATTGTGGTTGAGATGGAGAAGAAAAATGGGAAAGGGGTAACAACATGAAACACAGGATGCAGGGAAGGCGCAATGGAGCCGTCGACACGTAATGGGGAAAGAACCAGGAGGTGGAACCCGTATCCGGTTTAGCGTCACGTCTTTTGTGGTTTCGAATGCAGGAACCAAACTTTGGGCCTTTCGGGGTTGAGCCTCGTTGGCAACTTGGCACCTGCCATAGAAGCGCTTCAGCCTTGGCAGACTCCGTTCGACTGATTCTGGATTCTGGCCATCCACTCCATCTCATCAGATTCTATTCGTATCGTGGTAGGGAGAATCTTGGCTAGATCCCGAATTCAAGTGGGCTTATGAATTATGTACGGAGTACAGACCCATAATAGGCTGCATTTGGTGAAGAGGACTCTCCCGTAAACGCCGAACGCGGAACCAAGTAGGAAGACTCAAAAAGGGCACTCTCTGTCTTTTGCCTAGTAGGGCAACGTCAGCACTGCCTCTGGATATCTGAGATAACTGAACTGGGATGACTGAATTGACTCGGTGTTGGACTGACTGAATTGTCTGTGCTATGATTGCTTACTCATCTATCCTACTGGAGGAGTATGTACGGAGTAGTGCTCAGGGTCCCCCCACATCTATTGTCATTCATGGCATACCTCAACCACTACTTAATGGAAAGCCGCAATCGCCTCACTACTTTGTACTACTCAGAAAGCTAACATTGCAAACACGTGATATTATAGTATTGTAATTGGAGTTGGAGTTGGAATGCCCACCACGGACCGAATTAACAGGGTAATAATGACAGCAGTACGTTGTTATCAAATAACCATCGTGAAATACTAGACAAGTACTTTGCAATACATTTCCTCACTAATACAAGATTGTAGTTTTCTAAGAGCATTTGGAAATACAGTATAACACCTCTTCTGTGCCACCAGGTACAGTGACTCTCTCCATTTTCAACCTAGCTAGAAATGTTCTGCTCCCTCGTGGGTGGGAGCATCTCATAGTTTGCATTACTGCTCTTCTTCGCTCTGCCCACCCACCAGGCCCACACCAGAACACCCAGGCTACAGATCTCAAGCACTCCAATCGCCAGCGCACCGAACCATGAGTAACGCATCTGAAGACACAGACTGCCCAGGTTTCCGATCGCTTTGTCTAGATTCACGTCATGGCGGCGGGCACACGTAAATGAGATCATATCCCATTGCTCATTGGGATTCAGGTCGTCAACTTTGTAAAAAATGGCGATTGCAACCCATAGGATAGTTGTGATGGTTGTTACTATGGCCGCGATGATCGTAGAAACCGTAGTGATGCGGCGGATCTGGCAAGGAGGAACAGAAATGGTGAGCAATCTTGAACAGGTGCGACGAGGGTTAAGGAGACTTACAGCCTTGGAAAAACTGCCGACACAGATGATACCGCTCAACAGTGTTGCCACAGATGCAGAGCCCAGTAAAAACAGCGTTGGCTTCATCTTCATGTGGAGGGGCCAGATTCGCACGTCCATGCGGAGGCTGTTGTCGAACATTGTGTTGTCCTTGGATGAGTAATAAACAGACACGGCATGACCAAGAACAATCACGAGTGCCAGAGAGAGGACAAAGGTGAGAATGCGAAGAGTCAAGCGCGTCCGGTAGACAAGTCGCTCATGCCTCTCACTAATTGGCTTGCGGCGAAAGGGTACTCGCCCGCTCGGTCGAGGAAAGGTTGCTGCGCCGGGAAGAAGAGATTCGGTCTGTTTGATGTCACTCTCAAATCCTCTAAGGGGCTCCATTGTTCTCGTCGTCGTCGAAATGCGTTGGCGTGGCGGGAGGACCTTGAAGAGATATAATGGTAATGGCGGAAGAATCAACGTGTAGTCCCTCTCAGCGGTTATAACCTTGCCTGGTGGAGTTCACATTATCACACACTGCAAACTGCCAGCAGTTGCAAGGGCCGAAGCGCCCCTCGGGCTCATCATTGCTCCATTCTTTGGGCATGGGTCGAATCCTTCTGCTCTGTTAGAGACATTGGGGTCTGCCAAGATGAACTAACTAGTGCTGACTGCGAAGGATTTCGCTCGAGGCACTCATGACAATTAAAAGCAAAGCCATGTTCGTATTCCTGCGCAACCCTTCAAATAGCGTGATTCCAATACCCGCCCTGGTCATCATGGGGTTGCACTTACAGTAACCGCTTAACCAGACTTGCACCTTAACTTACTGACAAAATGCTGACTGATGCTCTCAAAGTCTTGGATTGGCCACGTACATAAACGAGTCGCCCCTCGGCCGGTTCCCCAGGCATGCTGGCCAACAGCCTGGTTGCTGCTAAGCAGCCGACTTTCCTACCTAATTATCAAATCGGCCCCGTTGTGATTTGGCATTTTACGAGCTTTATAATGGACAAGTGCATGAGAGAGGTTGCGGTGAAAGCAAGTTCCTCCAGCTGAGGTGGAGATCGACTTCGCCCCCATTCCGGGGTCTAGAAACCAATATGCATGCCTCAAATTCAATGCATATGCAACCATCCCTGGTCGAATTTCGGTGAAAGAAATCATGAGTGATAGTCAAGACGCCTTTACTACTGAATCCTGCCTCAGACACATAACCCTCTCTATTGGATATTTGCCCAAGAAACCCGTCAACGGTCTCAAGGATAGTATATTTAGCATTAATGGAAAACTGCGGATCCCTGCTTAAAGTGAACTCGAACATGATAATCCGACAATCCTTGCCCACTCCGCAAGACGAAACGCCTCAAGTCGCCATGATCGGAAATCAATAGGCTACTCATAGTAAAGAACAGCCACAGCCGCATCCTTAAAAGTGTTAGCTCCCGGGCAGGGCTGTTTGGTCTGGGTGACCAGCACACGAGTAAATCTAAGGTCGACTACATAGCGCCGCCACGCGCCAGGTCAGCAACCAACTACTAGGTACTGTATAACAGAGCCTAAAGCTGCAAAGTCGATCAATTCTTTCTCTCAACTGGCTTTGATTTTTCTGGTCAACGTCAATCCATCAGCAGAAGGCCGATCTATCCACGATGAATTTACTATCTTCATGGCGGCACTTGGCATGCCTTGTCCTCCTTTTCACAGGTTCAATGAGCCAGAATGCTGTAAACTCGGACATTCTACAGCCGCAACTGAGCGACGAGCAGAAAAATCTTAACCAACAAATGTGTAATCTGCTTGCCGATTCCCCGTCAGGGCTACCCAACTCCCAAGGCCCGGTCATCTGGGAAGGCATCGACATGAACAATGTCCTTACCCAGTTCCTGACTGCAAACCCGCCAAGTTCGTCCAATCCTCTCATACATTGACGGGTGTCTCAACTGACCAAATCTTCAAATAGTCGATGATTGGACAGGCCGAATATACCGAGATGAATTGGTCCTTGTCACCCCTCCCGCGTTCAGTTGTCTCGGAGAGGACGATCCTTGTGTGGTGGAAACCAGGTGCGATAGATATGATAAATTCACCGGACCATGGCTTTCGATCGCCTTACACAACCTGTGGAGAGTGATGAGAGCCGAGATCAAAGGCTATGATCGAGCCATAGAAAAATTCGATGCCAAGTAAGTATTCCTGGCTCCTCCTGATTGCTTGTTTTACCCAGACTTACAAGTCCATAGTAACCAGGAGCTTGTCAAAGTCTTGTTCGGTCAGACTGCCTTCGGCCGCGATAGACAAGTCTTTGATGTGGGCGCCTTTTTCTCCGGTTTCTTGTTGGGTGTCCAGCTAGTTTTACCGGTTTTCTCGGCAGGTGGCAGTTTCGCAGTTGCCTTGAAAGGCCTCATCAAACAAGGGATCAAAGTATACCAACTGATCCTTCTTCCTCCGCTTCATCTTTGCTAACTTTTAGTCCTTAGCAAGCCGTTAAGGAAATTCCCATCAACGTCGGTGATGATCCGGCAAATGACGGCACACCATTTGTCAACTCTCTAAGATCTAATTTCAAACCAATTCAGGATAACTTACGCGGTGTTCTGAGGGGATACATGGACACAGGAATCACAGATATCTTCTTTCAACCTACCATAGCCGACACCGTCAATTTCCTGCAAAATGGGGCACTTCTCAACGCAATCACTGAATCCGACGAGGAGCTTATAGAGGCCGCGGCAAGGAATATTGTCAAGCAAACTGTATGTCAAGAGACATCTCATAGAGGATTTGCGATTTGCCAGAATCCTCTTCTTCATGATGATCCTATCTAATGTCAGTCTTTTAGGCCGCAGGAATTGTTGCTGGAATTTGGAACGAACAAGGGGTTCGTGTGGGAGTCCTCAACGAACGGCGCTGCGATCGATCGCTTTGCGCGATCGATCCCGATGGCTGTGGAGAATTCCGGTTTTTGGCTTCTGACTTCAATGTGAGTTTAGTAAATGAGCTTTTCTGAGAATCGTGCCAACTCTGACCCTTTGCAGCCTGTTGTTTGTCTAGAGTTGGGTATTGGACGCGATTCAGACTTCAGATTGAGAGCCACTCTTGCTCAACTAGAGCTTAACGTCGAGGACGTTACCAAAAATGCAGTAAGTCTCGATTTAAGCCATTCCTCTATCATTTCGTCCAAATCTGGTATATTCATACAGCCGCTGATGGTTCAATAGGCCACCTGTCCCCAAGAGTCGCGAGTCTTTCCTCCTCCGGACACAGATATTATTTCATTTGGCTTTCCTCAATGTACTTTTCCACTGCGATTGAACTAAAACTAGATCAGAGGCATTAGGGCTCGCCACATGTCCTTTTCTCCGATGGGTCAGGGAGGGACCCGAGGGGGTGATAGCCTTGCAACTACTCCGTAGTTAGTTAGTGTAGGTCGTTAGCTGAATCTTAATAGCTAAATCCCATAATCGGCAAGTAAGCCGCGATTGATGAACGACACTCCTCCTTCTTGCACGAAGAGGGTATACAATGATGATCTCTTCATCCAAGAATATATGGTCATCGGCGATAGTATGTCTATGAGAATACCAAACCAGACTCACCGCCTGCATGTGTACATACATCTCGTCAACCAAACTAACGGGCCTTGGCGGCTGATCCGTCGGCTCAAGACCAAACGCCTTGTTGCCTTACATATGGATCAGCCTCACGACGACTTCATCCATCATAATCATGTGCAACTCAAAAAGCGACTCAACACCGCCGTAACCGATCAGGCAGTGGTCCCCCCGGGCAGAAGCACACGTCAAGGACTGTCAACACACATAACCTTGTTGGACAGGAGGCTAGACAAGATGAAAGCCTGCGGCCCCCAGCCGTCAGGAACCGCCTCCCTGTGCAAGCTGCACTGAATACCCAGCCGATCTTGGGTTAAGGCTTGGTTTCCTCCTTTCCCCCCTTTTCGAGAGAGAAATCTGCCCTAAGTGATGACAGGTCCAATAGACTCGATGTCAGCCAATTGCTGTATCACGTCGGCGCCATCTTGATTGGATTTCAACAAACCGCCGAAGGACTGATGAGTGGGACGCCAAAGTGATGTGCTTGGTTTGGATCGTCAACTCATTTCCAATTGTGTCGATCAAGCAGATCATTAGGATCACAGTAGTGTAGCAGATTTGGCCGGGTGATCCCAACGACTGTATGATGTGCCCAGCTGGAGATCATGGTTCAGCCAGGGTGATTCGTCGGACAGAGTCTTCAGGCTGTGACGATGAACAGATTTGCAATCACATGCAGTAAATGTCCCAGGTGAAAGCCAACGCGGGTGTAGAGTTCCCCGTTAGCAACTTCATGTATCAATATTATCAGATGAGATCAGATTGGACCATCCGGTAGAACATCGTCAGGGTCTTCTCCCACCAATTTACCCACCGTCCTGACCACGTGCCGCAAGGCTTTACAGGCCGGGCTGTCAGGGAAACTGTCCATAAAACTTTCACCAAAATCACAAGCCATGCCAATCCTCGGATCAAGAGGGACGGCACCAAGAAATGGAATTCCCATGTCTTGACACAATTTCCGCCCTCCCCCTGTGGTGGGCCGGAATATCTGGGATTCATGGGTGCATTTTGGGCAGACGAAGCCCGACATATTTTCAACCAAACCAAGAACGCGAATGCCTGCTTTGTGGCAGAAGTCGATTTCTTTGCGGACGTCCAACAATGATACTTCTTGTGGAGTTGTGACAACGACGGCGCCATCGACACCTGACTCTTTCAGGAAAGTGTTGACCGACAAATGCTCATCCGACGTCCCCGGCGGAGTGTCGACAATTAAATAATCTAGGTCACCCCACTCGACATCTTTGAGGAATTGTTTGATCAACCCGTTCTTTTTGGGACCTCGCCAGATGACAGCATCATCTCGATTGGGCAGCATGAATTGAACACTCATCACTCCGAGATTGTCGGTCACCCAAACTGGGCTCCATCCTGCATTGGTGACATGAATGGTTTCGTTCTCGACGCCCATCATCTTGGGGATGGATGGGCCGCAGATATCGGTGTCCATGATGCCAACGGTTGAATCAGGGTTGGCTGCGAAGGCATGTGACAGCAAGGAAGAAAATGTCGACTTTCCCACTCCGCCTTTCCCTGACAGGACCAAGATTTTATGTTTTATACCAGCTAATCGTTCCGTGATGATGGGAATATCAGGATCGGGCCCTTTTGGGGCGGATGCGCAGATGGCTTGATTTGGACATCCTGCGCATGCGTCGCCTTGGCCTGCTTGTTCGGACTCTGGACCGGGACAGTGTTCTTGAGAGATGTATTAGTATATTGTACAGCAAAAACCCCGTTGTCAAACAAGAGCGACTCACCAGGTTCGGGTGCGACCAAGTCAGGCTTCTTCTTAAGTGGGGCTTCCAGAGCCTCAGCGAGAGGCTCTTCGAAGGACGGCGCCATTCGTCAGCTTTCTTATACAGGTGGCCAGTCGTGTGATGATTTGATTCTCGAATGCAAGGGGTTGAGGATGTGATTGTTGTAAGTGGTGATGGTATAGGATAGTGGGATGGCAAAAGGCGCATGGGCAGAGAGAAAGATTGGTAATATGACTGGGCCAAGCGGAGAGTTTCCACGAGGCTGTTGACCACCAGAGCCGCCCAAAGAACAAACGAATTAGAGGCAAGTTTAGGCATGAATGGTGCAGGGTCCAGGCGGCAGTTGGGCCCGGGGCAGGCGGAGACCGGCCCCTCGCTATTGGTCAGTCAAGTTCGGTGACATTCCACCAAACAGTCTGTGGATAGAAAACTAGTCCTTGACTTTACACATACTAAGGTTATGAGATGTGAACAATTCTTAATTCTTGTTAGGAGCGACATGGGAGAGGTTTGAGAGCTAGTCGTTGAACATTGATGAACAATGCAGACTTGCACCAGCATAGGTAAGATACTACCTTAGGTACCTATATGCAGTGAATTCTAGCCCTTGGTGTAAAGTCTTGGACATAAAATCGTATGGCGTCATTTGGAGGGAGAAAGTGAAGTGCCGGGAGTTGGAGTAGGATGGTGCCCCTCTTCCCTCGTTAATGCCTTTGGTGGGATGGATGCATAGCGGTGCCTCGGCCACCTCCCGTAGGCACTTGAGGCATACCTACCATTATTGTTATAGGCTATGTGGCTGTCTTAACCCACCTAAACAGACACTAACAATGCCTTGGCCGTTAATATGGCAATTATCACTGGCACTGGAATGCACGGCATGGTTCACCTGCACGTGGGTCCAAGCATAATTCGGGGCTCTCGGCCCCTCAAAGAACCGCTTCAGCCTGTCACGTCTGCGCAAATTCACCCAACAAACTCGCTTCTGCCTCTGCGAGTTACTCTCCGTGCTCTCCCACTCTCTCCGTACGCGCTAATTGCTGCACTCTCACATGGTACCCACAGAAACTCGTCGAGGACACTTCACACACTCTTCAAAATTCTCCTCTGTTGATTTATCCGATTCAAGCTCCAGTCCACAGTCAAGAGAACTCCAAATACCTTCCTCCAGACCCCGCCTCCAAGGCTATGTGCGCACTGTGTGCAATCCAGATCAACTCGACAATGTCTCCTTGATTCACACAGACTTTCTTTCTCTTGTTCCTTTTTCAGCCGTCTTTGTGACATCCGACAGGGCTCCACCTGGTGACATCGCTTGAAAGGGCCCAGAACAAGTCGAGTTTCTTTTCTCTTAGCATCTTGACCTTTGTCTCAACCATGGCGACTTCAGTGGACATGGCCGCTGATGGTCTTCGGAAGCGCAAGGACTCAAATCAGAAGGCCACCGAGGATGAAGCTCGACAGGCTGTCTTGCATCTCAATGCCTTGGAAGAGAACTCCGACAAGGCAGAAAAGGATAGGAAAACATATGGCCGAAGTCCCGACGGCAAAGTCTTTCTTGTTCCACAAACTCATGACATGGTTACCCAGCTGCTGTCCCCTACCGAACCCAAGAACTTTGGAGATCTTCTCGTCCTCTTCATTCTCTTGTTACATTTCATCTTGGCCTGGAAATTGCCCACGCAGTACCGAACCTTCGTCCTTGGAGCCGTCTTCCTCGTGTGGAGAGCTGGCTATAATATTGGCATCGGCTGGCTGTTGCATATGCAATCCCATCACAAACTGATGGTCCGTTGGGCTCGCAAGTCGAAACTCTTCCCCAGCGCGTCAAATGGAGAGAATCCTTACCCTCGACTCAGAGCTTTTGTCAAACGTGAACTCGAAACCAAGATCGCCGAGGACTATAATTTCGACACTGCCCCCATCGAGTACAACGCCTGGCTAGCTTTTCGTCGAATCGTCGACCTCATCCTCATGTGTGACTTTACCTCATACATGCTGTTTAGCATCTGTTGTGCCCACACCCCGCCGAATGAATCCCTCATTATGACCATCTTCCGCTGGGCCCTGGGTCCGCTGCTCTTCATTTTTAACCTCTGGGTCAAGCTGGATGCCCATCGCGTCGTCAAGGATTACGCCTGGTACTGGGGGGATTTCTTCTTCCTCATTGACCAAGAGCTGACCTTTGACGGTGTCTTTGAGATGGCCCCTCATCCCATGTACTCGATTGGATATGTTGGTTATTATGGCACTTCCATCATGGCCGCGAGCTACAAAGTACTCTTTATCTCCATAATTGCTCACGCCGCACAGTTTGCTTTCCTTCTTGCTGTCGAGAACCCCCACATCGAACGCACCTATAGTTCTCCTCCGCCTCGACAGTCGGTCAACAAGCTTCCCCTAGGGCAGTCAGAATCTTCCCAAAATGAGTCAAGCCTTGCGAAAGAATCATGGCCTGTCCCAGGTCACGCTCAACCACCCCAGACGCACAATCTTCTAGGACTCCAAAACTTTGATCTCTATCGCACCACCGACACTTCCATCGCCATCATCTTGCTCCTCTTCTTGGCATTGACCATTGGCACACCAGACACCACGTTCTGGAAGTTCTTTTTCGTCATGTTTGCCGTGGTCTGTCGGCTGTGGTATTCTGTCGGACTTGGCTATCTCCTCAACCGTCAATCCGTCAAGAAGAAGTGGACTCGCCACTTTTTGAAATATGGTGAAAGCACCGGTGAGGCTTGGCGACAGTGGAAGGGCACATACCACCTCAGTATGACTCTATGCTATGCAGGCTTCGCAGCTGCATCGTGGAAAATGTACACTTTGCCCACTGATTGGGCGTATGGCCTCGTGCTCCTCAAGCATGTGATCGGTCTCAGTCTGGTTGCGTTGCAAGTCTGGACCGCATTCAGTATTTACGATCAACTGGGCGAGTTTGGCTGGTTCTTTGGAGATTTCTTCTTCGCTCAAGAACCCAAGTTGACCTACGGAGGCATCTATCGATTTCTCAACAACCCCGAACGCGTCTTGGGCCTTGCGGGAGTTTGGGGTATTGCCTTGATCACCAACAGCAAAGCCATCTTCTGCCTTGCCCTACTCAGTCACACCCTCAGCCTTGCGTTCATCCAATTCGTCGAGCGCCCTCATATGCAGAAACTTTACGGCCGAAGCCTGCGACAAGATGCCGGTCTGGTTCGTAGCTTGCGAAGATCCCTTCCCCCACCACTCCGCCAGTGGCAGGATGGCATGGACAAGGTTTTGGGGGAGACTCTCGACTACATGGAAGACTTTTTCGACGCTGCACGACCCAAGCTCGCCGCTGGAGTCAACAGCATCGTCGAAGACACCAAGAGCCTCTTCCCTCGCATCACCATCACCACCCAAGAAACCGAGGTTGTCGGTGTCGACCCGAAAGACTACGCACTTGTTGTCGAAGGAACAGCACCATCATTCCTCCCTGATTCACCATACTCAAGCGACCAAGGCGACCATTTCGGTGGCTCACCAGCAGAGCGAACCGACGACTTCAAGCCTCTTCTCTTCGAGTACGGAGCTCCCATCACCGTGAAATGGACCGCCCCACTGAACCACAGCAAGAAAGATTGGGTCGGCCTATACAAAGTCTCCGACAATTACAGCCGCGAAGTCACCAAGATATCATCCGCTGGACGGTGGATCGCGACGAATTTCGGAGAATACGACCTCTCGGAAGAAGGCCTCATCAAGAGCGAAGTCAAAGTCACACAAAAGACCAAAGACGGAATTGAAAAAGAATACATGAGCGGCGAAATGGTCTTTTCAGGCGACAAACTCTGGTGGACACAAGGAGTCTTCGAATTCCGATACCACCACAACGGCAAACACAATGTAATGGCGATTTCCTTGCCGTTTGAAGTCCGAATCCCCCGCTTCAGCGAAGATGAACTGGAATTACTCGATAGTAACATCTCATTCTCGACGCCAATGTCATCACATAACGATGCGTTGATTCGACGAGCTATTGAAAGTACATTGCTGCCTCTGGTGCAGAACTGCTTTGATCGTGATCCGGATATTGCGCCGAGTACGGCAAAGGAGGCATTTGGCGGATTGGTGGATCGGGATGGCAAGTTTGCAAAGAGGGTGGTGTATGCGGTGAATCAAATGTTTGGAATCGAGTTTGCCCCTCAGGTCGTCAAGGTGGATGGTAAAGTCGAGAATCTGGCTTGGCGTATCTGGGAGGCCAAGAAGGTGTTGGCTCATTTCAGTATGTCGAGGTCGAGAGGTAGTACGACGCCGGTGGAGGTAGAGGCGGAGAAACCCATTGCGGTGGATTGAAGGGTTGAGTGTGGGTTGTGGGTTAGGTATGGATCGGTTTGAAATTGCGTACAGTAAGTACAGTCGGAGGTCGGAGGCGTTGTCCCAATATACATGGCTGTTGAAACATACGAGGAGTGGCGTGGCGGGTGAAGGATAAATCAAATTTGTCTCGGGTTGGTTGGGACTAACAGAAAATGCATACAGTTTGCATAAACAAGTAAATAAGGTACGCACGTACATACAGAGAGCATTGCATTTTGCATACACCTGAAGGGAAGGAGTTGCTCAAAAAAAATGCGAATCAACGGGTCTAGTTTTATTGAAAATCCCAGAATCTTCTATTTTTAAAGTATCTTTACATCGCTAGCCCGGAGGCAGGATTGCTCCAGCCAAAAAGTCTATCCGAGCCACAGAGCAAAAGTCAAGTTCTATGTAGCCTTGTCCAAAAACACGCCGTGCATTGCTGAGTTTTATCGAGGTGGGCTTTTCCTGCAAAAGAAAGGAGAAAAAGAGAAAAAGAAAAATGATGGATGAAGATGCCAGGATCCTCAGTAGTAGATGGACCTGGTCCGGTGGTGAGGGAGGATCTTTTCGTCGTCGATCTCGCCTCTTGCTTCCATCTCCTTGCAAGTGTCGTAGAGGAAGAAGTCGATCAAGACTGCATTCAGGCGGGCCTTGGACTCGGGGTACATGGACTCGATCTGTCGGCGCAACAGCTCAACGCACCAGATGCTGCAACCGCGGATCTCGACCTCAGCTGGCTCGCCTGGTTCGAGCATTTCGAGCCGGGCAATGCGACTCTCTAACCGTGGCGAGTACCACAGACAGTTGAGCGACTGTAGCATCTGTGGGATGCGGTAGTCGGCAAACATGGTCAACGACCCAATGTCCCAGAACTCGCCGTATGAGATTCCGTTGAAGCACGCCCACAGGTCCGCCACCATAATCTGCGCCCGTTTGTAAAGGTGCACCCGTCGCGCCTTGAAGGTTGTTTCGTCCTGAAAATTGGGGAAATGTTGTACAAGAAGGTTGACCAGCAGGGAAGCAGAGTGATCGGCTTGCTTGATTAGTGTTGCGGGCGAAGACTCGAAGTCTCGGCACAAGATTGTCCCTGCTTCACGCAAGATAGAGATCCGTTCCTCCAAAAGGGGGATTGGCTCAGCCGTTGCAGACCGGAACACATGTGCCAGCAGTGTATCCGGGCAAGCGTCGATATCTTGCCAGAATGATGGAGTGGTAATGGAGATGCCTGTTGGAGATTGAGTGAGCCAATGTCTGGGAGCGAGGGGAACTAAATTCCAAATACCTTCGTCTAACGCTCTCTGGAGAGCAGCAACCAAAGACCAGTAGCCAGTCCAGGTGCGATCCTTGTAATGCACCGCAAATCGTTGGTCAGCAGGCAGCTCCGACCAGAAGGAGAAATTGAGTAAGTTCATGGTGAAAATAAAGTTGACGGTGGCTTCGTCCTTGGTCTGGGGATGGAGTTCATGTTCGGACCAGGTCTGGGTAGAATAACCCTTCTTCTGCATCAATTGCCATACTGTATGGGCGGCGGCTTTTGTGCCCGACATGGATATTGACACATCAATGGCATTGTCGCAGATGTACTCGGCGGATTTCAAAACTCCTGTGTTGGGGGGAGCCGTAGGAGAAGTTGGTCCCAGACCAAGGGACTGCCGGATCAGAGCCAGGAGTTCCGGGTCGGCTTCATCATCGGACATCTTCTGCGGTGACAATAGACATGAGGTAGCCAAGTTATCGTTCTGGCTTGAATGTCACTTGTGCTGGGGTAAAGTTTTGCTGGGAGGAGTTTTGATGCTGGAAAGTGGTTGCATGCATGTCCGATTTGGGTTTAGGCAACAATTTGCGGCCGATGCCATTCCATGCAGGAGCCAGGGAGAACTACAACGGTGCAGTGCCGCTTTAACAAATCCTCACCTTTGTTGAACCCCTTCGTCCATTACTGGCTTCAAGAAGGACGCTTGAATTTCTCCTGGGAATGGTGTGTTGAGGATCATCTTGATGTCGATCAAAGTGTGGGCCAGGAGCACCAGGATTCCCGGGAAAAGCAGAAGGTGGTCGGCCCTACATGCATGTCTTGTACCTGACCTATACGCCGTTGATAAATACCTAGGTAACATCTGCCAAAAGGCCAGGGCTTGGGCGCCTAAGAGATGATGAGTGATAGGCGCAGGGGCGGTTGGGGTTACGTACCTACCTGACCCAAGTAATTAATTATTCTTCTAGGTGCAAACTCCTTCTATATCTCCCCTTGACATACTCATCGCTTTTCCTACTCGGGCACGGCAGTTCCAACAAAACATCCCATCCATACAGTAGCACGAGCAAATACCTATACTGGTTACTGGTGATGCCCACGCGGCTTAAGCGAGCAGAACCATCGATTGTGGGGTTAATCTTTTCCCTAAGAGAATCTGGCCTCCCAATCGATTCTCGCTTCTCAGCCTCAGGCACCGTCGCACCACAGAACACAAATTAACTCTAAACTCCGTCCCTTAGCTACCTCGTCAGGTCCCTAGGAAGTCAATTCCACGCATAGTTTGTCAATCGTGTGTCGTGCTTAGATCGGAACTTGGGTATCCGCGGTACCACCGTGTCACTACATCACTGTACTCGTACTGTATTGTCGCGCGCCCTCCAGTACAGATACTGGAAAAGGCAATGCGCCCTCAGCATCTTCCCGCAGCGCAGCGCAGACCATCATTTGATCATCCATCATCTGCACCTCAACCTCTGTGTCTCTCCAATACTTCTATCGTTCCATCAACGGCAGCCTCGCCAGAAACGGCATTGATTCTCCTTCTCTTCTTTTACTTTCACCTGTCTCTATTTCCCTTCTGCGCCCTCCATCCTTTGAACCCGTGTCACCATCTCTTCGCCTTTTCCTCTCAACAGTCTTTACCCACCTCCAATTGGATCTGAAGATGCCTCGCTCTTTCTCGGGCTAGCGATCCACCATCACACTTTCTTCTCCAAGCTTCAACCTCCAATATGCCTCGCGAAACGTGGGCCAAACAGTCCTTGGGTGCCACCCATCGTCTTGTCAAAGAGGTACCATTGCACAGATCTGTTGTTTCTCCATGTCGCAGACTAACAAGCCTACTCTAGTCCCGCGTTCTACTGGTCGGCGCAGGTGGCATCGGCTGCGAACTCCTCAAGAACCTCGTCCTCACTGGCTTCGGCGAAATCCATATCATTGATCTAGATACGATCGATCTCAGTAATCTCAACCGTCAATTCCTCTTTCGACATGAACATATCAAGAAGCCCAAAGCCATCGTGGCCAAAGAGGTTGCTCAAGCCTTCAACAAACATGTCACCCTCGTTCCCTATCATGCCAATATCAAAGACAAACAATTCAACCTCGAATGGTTCTCCTCCTTCAATCTTGTTTTCAACGCCCTCGACAACATGGACGCCAGAAAACATGTCAATAAAATGTGCCTCGCTGTCGATGTTCCGCTAATCGAATCAGGAACTACCGGCTTTAGAGGCCAGGTTCAGGTCATCAAAAAAGGCCAGACCGCATGCTACGATTGTACCTTCAAATCCACCCCTGTCACATACCCTGTCTGCACAATCCGGAGTACACCCAGCCAGCCAATTCATTGCATCGTTTGGGCAAAGAGTTATCTCCTTCCAGAGCTCTTTGGAACTGCAGAAGATGAAGCCCCCGACCTTGACACCGCAGAAGATTCAGAAAATGCAAAAGAGATCCAGAAATTGAAAGAGGAAGCACAGGCTCTGAAGAAAATTCGCGAGTCTATGGGCTCTGAAACTTTTGCAAGACAGGTGTTTGACAAGGTCTTCAGTGAAGACATTCAAAGACTGGCCAACATGGAAGACATGTGGAAAACCAAAAGTCCCCCACAGCCTCTTTCGTGGGACTCTCTCGAACAAGAGGCTTCGTCCGTCCCTCTCACCATCCTAGAACAGAACCAGACCGTTTGGTCTCGCGCAGAAAACTTTGTCGTCTTCAAGGACTCACTTGAGCGACTGGCAAAGCGACTCGCTAATGATCAAGCCGAAGCCAGCAAGGCCAACCTCCCCGCCCCTCTCATCACTTTCGACAAAGACGACGACGACACCCTTGATTTTGTCATCGCCTCTGCCAATCTGCGCGCAATCATCTTCGGAATCGATCCAAAATCAAAATTCGACACCAAGCAAATGGCAGGAAACATAATCCCCGCAATCGCCACCACCAACGCTATGGTTGCCGGACTCTGCGCAATGGAAGCCTTCAAAGTCCTCAGGCAAGATTTCGCCCGCACCAAATACCTCTGGTTGAGGAACGGCTCTTTATCCACCGACCAACTGGAAAAACCAAATCCCGAATGTCCCGTCTGCAATGTTGTATCCGTCATAGTCCATGTTGACTTGGAGAAGGCGACCTTGAAAGATCTGGTCCATGATATCCTGAAGACGAAGCTCGGCTACGGAGAAGAGATCACCGTCATGAACGATGCAGGTATCATCTATGATCCTGATCTGGAAGACAATCTTGAGAGAAAGCTGACAGAGCTGGGAATTGATGACGCTAGCTTCATACTTGTCAAGGATGACGAAGATGAACCACGAGTGGACCTGCAATTGGCCGTTCTGGCTAAACAGGCGACAGAAGGTCAAAATCCAATTGCCATTGCTGAGAAAGAAGGCCATACCGTTGAACTCCCCAAAAAGCCAAAGAAAGATTCGTCCGCCTCAGCAACTGACGTGCCTAAGAATGACGGCGCGGAAGCAAGTATGACCAACGGGATCAACGGGACAAATGGGAACGATGTTTCGGTCAATTCAACAACCAAGAGGAAACGAGCTCTCTCTGACGCAGGAGAGAGTGGCACTCCAGTAGCCAAAAAGCTTCAAGGCGCAGTGGGCCCAGCAGCCACTAATGATGCTATTGTGATTGATGAGGATGATGGTACTCTTGTGATTGCGGACGATTAGAATGGGCCAGAGAATGGAAGAAAATTCATGATACCCCAGCAGGCGGAATGATTTGCTGAACCTTGGATGAATGACTGGAGGATTCAGCACATGATGCTTCGTGGACCCTTTGGAAGTCCTAGCATCAGCTTGGATAGACCAAGGTGGAAAGATTCAATAGACACAGAATCTCAGAGACACTGGGCCTTGCAGTGCAGATATAGCTTTACAGCTCCTAGGACAACCTTGAGAGCCTGTACAATACAAGCGCTTTGACGCAAATAACAACTGAGGATGATTGAAGTTGAGTGATGTGGCTGATGGGGGTAGAGTTTTGTCAAATTATACACATGTCAATGCCAGACTTGAACCAAAAGTAAGTATGGTGTCGTGACAATTATAGTCATTGCTTGGATAGTATACATGATGCCAGATCGTGCTCTATACGGACGAAACACAATCTCTTAAGTGGAGGATTGATGGAGCCATAGGACCAGGATCGACGAGATGGTTCTGGCGTGACGCTCAGGTGGGATGTGGGAATAAGTCACAAATGGTGAGCTGAAGGCGACAGCATTAGCGACGACGCGACCGGGGTCAAATCGCGCTGAGACCTCCGTCCAGGTTGAGGACACAATTGTTTGCGTACTCGTTTTGGAGAAGGAAGCCCACGGCGTGGGCCACTTCATGACACTCTCCGAGTCTTTGGAGGGGAACTCGGTCCTTCATTTTGTCCCGTTTAGTTCGTGAGTATTGAGCTGCAAGATGAATTGTCAGCAGTAGTATCAATCATACGTTTTGTTCCTCTGAAAGAAGAGAAGACAGAAATGGGGATCGGCGACATACTCGCCAGTTCTCTGGTATTCATGTAACCGGGCAAGACGGCATTCATCCTGATGGGAGGAAGCACCTTATCATACCGGGCCCAGAGATTTCTACACTCGACAGTCATGACACGCGTGAAAGCATTCAGGGCGGCTTTAGAGGCGGCATACTGAGCGGAGCCTGCGCCGCCGTGGCTGGCCAATATAGATGAAACATTGACCACACACCATGACTTGGTAGGGCGCGTTTTCGGTTGTAATGAAGATCCGGTCCTCGACTTTTCGGCGTTGAGCAATCTCGCCTTTTTCTGATAGGCTCGCATCATGGCTCTGATTAGGTGGAGCGGCAGGTGATAGTTGGTCTGCCATTGCTCCTTTACAGATTGCAAAGTTTCCAACAGGAAGGGCAGCGTCCCGCTGACATCGGAACAATTGATTAGAACGTTGTGGTCCTATACACACGAGTTTGATTCAGTACGCCTTTACTTTCGATGGAGAGAAAAAAGAATGACCTGCAGGTGACTGACCAGGTCGTCCAAGAAAAGGTGTTCCCCGGTCTTGTCGTTGTAACAGTAGTAAGAGATGGGAAGGGTTTTCCGTTTCCACCGCCCTAGTAGAGACTGGATGGCGGCGATGCCTTCTTTGGCGGAACTCGTGCCGAGGATGAGGTGACGAACTCCACCAGAAAGAAGTTCATTTGCGACGGCTAAGGAAATTGCTGACATGCCACCGGTCAATAATACCGTGAGTTCTCCGTATGGTTCTCCGGTGGCAGAACTCGTTTGCATCTCTCTGACCCGGTCCACATTCGTGATATTGTAGAATCGAAGCTTGGTTTCAAAATCGGCATCGTACAAGTGGTGAAGAATTCCCTTTTCATCTGCATCTAAAGGAGAAGAGTCAGTATCCTGGGACTGGTGGCATGGCGAAACTGCTTTGTTACCATTCGAAGGCAGCATAAACTTGAGACGGTCTACATTGAGCGAGTGTATGCTCGCCTCGCGAGAGGTCTTAGGATATACTGATTTAATGGGAGGCACATATTCCGCGTCGAGTTCATCAAAATCGATGTCTTCTGAATCGACCTCCTTGTGCGATGCTTTTGGGCCCCGTGAGGTCGATCGGTCATCGTGTTGTCGCAATCCAACTTGAGATGAAAACTGCCGAGGAAGACATATTGTGCTTGGTCGAGCTGAAGCCAGGCGACGACATACTAAACGACCAAACCGGGCCATGAGTGATAGGACGTTGTGGAATTGATTGAACATTTGAAAAAGTACTTGATCGACCAATTGGAAAAAAAGGTGAGCCAAACGGTCCGAATGCTCCGCCGTCTCTACCCTACGGTGGAGATATTTGATTGAGAAAGCACTCTTGGCATTCCAAACTTGGCGCGTTTGTGACTTCCGACATTTCTTTTCTGTTGATGCGTCGAATGTCTTGCCTGTCTTCTAACCCTACCGTTTTTCTTTCCAACATCTTCCTTCTACAGTGTTACGGAACGTGTCATCTTCTCTTCGACCATGGCTGCCAACGGGGTCACCGCAGCTCCATCTCCGTTCGTCACCCTTGTCTCCTCCGATGGATTTGAGTTCCATGTTCGCCGATCTGCTGCCTGCGTTTCAGCCACGATTCGTCGAATGCTAGATTTGCAGAGTAGGTGACCCATGATGCGGGGGCGATGAAGCATGTTCAACACTGACAAGCTCGTCCTCTTAGGCAACTTCAGTGAAGCCCAGACCGGAGTTTGTCACCTGGAGAACATTAATGGCATTGTCCTCGAAAAAGTCGTCGAATACTTTTACTACAACGAGAAATACCGCGATAGTGTCGGTGTCCCAGACATGGATATTCCTTCAGAGCTTTGCCTGGAACTGCTCATGGCTGCTGATTATCTCATAACTTGAGATGTTTGGCAGACCACCCTTGCACTCCACAAGTGCTTTACGAAGTCCCAACATCCCATCACCGTGGTCACCCTCGGATGATGATATCAGACGACATTCTCAGAATTAGCGGGACATACTCTGCAGTATTCGCCGAACCATACACGCCCAGAGTATCGTGTCACACAAAGGCCATCCAGTCGCCACGGCAATCGCACCACATACTGCATTATCAGCCTCGTATCAATTGATCGAGCGCCGAACTTACATACACGCAGAAGAAATCCGACCAGCATACAATCATTGCTTAAGGACAGGCGACGGTATTTCTCCCTGGAGGAAGGGACCTGCGAGGCATGGACAAGTGTCTACGTGGCAGGATATCCTCAACCTAATTCAGATGGTTAATGCAGAACAAGGCATGATGTGAGCTTTGTCTATGTCTCAGGTTCAGCCAGAGCTGTTTCGTCTACGGCTACTGAGATACATGTGTGTCCTCGAACCTGGGATGTACGCTCAGGAAGATCCTATACCAAAAAGGTCAGCGTTTTGTCATTTTCAGCTCTGATCAAAGGTTTACTTCTCCCTTGTTCATTCCACTCCATCCTTATGATCATCAGCGTTTCGTTTCCACCTGGCAAAATGAGCACTATGAAAGCCACCCACCCATCAAACCTATCCCCGTTATCTGCCTTCCCCATTCCTCCTCCATCATTCCACCCATCTCAAGCATATACGTCGCGTAAAATCCACCTGCCCTCGTTCGAGGAATTCCTACAGGCCGACGTCTATATGAGATGGCAGATCAGATATCACGACCCTAGATCATCAGGCAGTCCGCGGGCTTTTTTTCTTCCGTGCCGATATCCGGACGTTCTCTCACGGGGAGACATATATATTTTTATCTTTCTATGTTTTTGTATTGTAAAGACGAAGATTCAGAGAATAGGGCATTGTGTGTGCTCTGCGATGTTATCTGTTTACAGTCATCGGTTGACCCTGACTCACTGAATGAATGTCTGACATGAGTATCGTTGAATAGACCATACGTGAGGTTGGTCTTCATGTAATTCTGGTGTTTTACCTGTATAGATATCTTATTTACGTTGATGCGACTTTGTCGTGAAATGAGATACTGTCGTAACCTGAACCTGGGTCCTAGGAATTTGCTCTGAATGTATATATGTATGGGTATCAAGTCTATCAGTGGACCTAGTGTATCGGTATCTAATATATGTGAATGAGGCCATTCATTCCATCTCCAGCCCTGGTCCTTACTGGATCTATAGTCATAAAATCATCATGCACCAATTTCCCCCCCCTTCTGTGAATGTTTCATCCCATGACCCCATCGTCATGATATATGACTTCCGATTCTCTCTCTCAATTCTTTCCAGCAAAGACACTCCCTCCCGCTGCTGCCCGTACACCTCCAACTCCACCAGCACCTCTTCCCCGTCCCTTCCCCCCTCCCCCTCGTCCACCTCCACCTTTCGAACTCCGCGCCACTTTCTCTTCATATAACTTTTCCCTCCCAAACCCGGCATCACTCAGCCGGAGATAACTCACAATACCGGAGTCAACAACCGCGAGCATAACGTTCCGAGTCCCGTGTTTAATCCGCGCCTCCAGCCGAGGAGTCTTGGTCTTTGACGAGACGTCTAGAGCTTGCGAGTCGAGAAGATGTGAGATCTCTGAAAGAGTGGGGATCGTGCATGTGTAGGGGTCTCGTGCGTCGATGATGCAGAGTCGGTAGTCGGGTGGTGGAGGGGCGGTTTTGCGGTATGTGCTGGCGGTATTGGGTTTCCAGATGTTGTAGGAGATGCGGTATGGGGAGGGTGAGGAGGAGGGTGAGGAGGATGAGTGGTGGTTTTCGTTCTGGGTGGTGGAGTCGTGGAATGGGACAAGGGCGAGAGAACGGAATATGTCGGCATAGTTTCTATAGAGTCCTGGGGCGACGAGAGGGCCTAGTGAGGGACATGAAAGTCCTCGTTGAGGCCGGAAGAGCCAGGCGCAGAGTCGGCGGATGAGGGTCGTGGCAGTGAAAAATGGTTGGATTCGAGAAGGCGAGGAGGAGTTTGGATGTTGGAGTGAAGAAGACGGTGTTTGAGAGGTGGAGTGTCCGTTCGCGATATGGTCATAGTCATCAGACACATCGTGATGCCAGGTCGGTGCTCGTTGAACAATATATCCTGCTCGCTTCAATGCGGCGTACACGATATATCGTTCCAATGTAAGACCATCCTTTCCGATGAGACTTGCATATGCGCCTTGCAAACTCATGGGGAGTTCGCCGACTGTGGGCTCGTTGGTGGTAGTGGTGGTGGTGGTGGTAGCCTGACTTGGACCCTGCTCGTGAACATTGTCTTCGTCTTCGGGGTCATCATGTCTCTCTTCTTCTTCTTGTTCTCCTTGGTCATGGTCTGCAAGTTGACTATCCGACATAGTCAGCGTCTCATATTTCTTCCTCTCCCCTGCGTCATGCGATTCGATCGCAACGGTATTGTCCTGACTACCACTAGCCACCTCTGACCGGTGCTCTTCAACATCCTCCCACCGAATATCCAAACTCCCTCTCTCAAGTAAATACAACGCCTCCTCTGGCAACAGCCACACCCAATTATTTCTGTCCGCCTGACCCATGACTTTCATATGTGCACTCTTGACCTTGTAGATGACGACCGGACGAGCGAATCCTCTTGCATCACCTCCACCACCACTTTCACTGCCAGAACCACCATCTTTCGCATCCCATTTCCATAACCTCTCGTCCGCAAAATACTGTCCCACGACATGATTCTTCTTCGCATGCACTCTCACAGCACTCAAGGCCGTATGCATCGCGAGTCGCGAAGCATCGAGGGCAGATGCCTGAGCACGTGTCGGGTTCGGTTCAAAGTCTTTGGTTCCACGTTTAGGCACACTTGACTGTGACTGGCCGTGTGCTGATGAGGAACCTTTGGTGAGTTGGGCGAGGAAGCGGAAATCTTGTGTCTCGTCTTCCAAGTCATCCTGGTCGTCGTGAATGTTGGTTGAGGAGGAGGGCGGTCTTGTGGGGATGAGGTCTTCGTCGGCGTCGGCCATGATGGCGGGGACGGGTTGGGAGGTGGTGTGGTGGGGAGGAGTCCCCGAGAGGAATGCGGGTTATATATTGTTCGGTGGGTGATTATGAGGGTTTGACGGTTTGCAGCACTCGTATGCGACGAATATAAAAGTGAGGATTTATCATGGTCTGATGTTCGTTGATTCAGGCGTTGATCATGCGAATGTGAAAGTGAAAGTGAAAGTGAATTTGGATATATTTTCTGAGTCAGTGTTGTAAAGATAATTGAGATACTTGAGTCATGAAAGGAGAAATGAACTGAGGTGCCCACGCGGGGAATATATGATTACTGCAGTATAAAACCTACTCCGTATGCAGGCCAGGGCAGACGCACTGACTTCGATTGATCAAACTTGTCATTGGGATTAGAATGTCAGAGCCTTTATGACACTTATTCATCCCATTGGACTTTGAATCCATGACAACCCCATCATCCAAGTCCAAGAATGAGTCAGCCTCAAAATCCCTCGACGCCATTCTTGCAACTATTCGGCTCAACCTCTCCAACACACTTGCGACTTTCGGTGCCGAATCGCAGCAATACTATTCTGTTCGGCAATTGATGCATGAATATCTGATAGAAAATTTACGCTTGTTGGACGAGGAGACTGCAACGAAGAATGATGGTCGAGAGGAGGTGAAGACTCCAAGCGAAGAGCTAGTGGAGGCAAATGCCGAGTCTAGTTTTCAGGCGATCGAAGATGAGGTATTGAAACTGATGTCCGGATTGTCTTTGCGGTAGATTCGACATGGTGATGGTGACACTGGATGAGTGGTCAAGTGTCGTCGTTTCGGCACTTCATCGACCCTAGAATCTACAAAACAATTCTCACATCTCGCCTCTTTCTACCGTGTATAGCCTCGGTTAATTAAATTCAGGGTATGTTTGGCATTAGCTTCATATCGTAACTATCCTAACACTATCCCAGCTTTCCAAATACTGCCTGGACCGATCTCTAACCCTTCAGGGAGATCAACGCCGTGCCAAAGAAAAGACATCAAAGGTGTGAGAAAAGGGAAGCACCGTAGCGGGATTTAAGCCCTCCGTCTCTGCGTCGCTATTAGGGATCGCAGTTTGGTACGGCCAAAGTCAAAGACATCATCGCCACCATCGACGACGCCATAACCAGAATGACCAGGTCGTCACCAATTCATACAGGTTCGCTCAGGACACTTGTTCAAGGCCCTCTCAAGTGTCTCTGATCGTTAATTTCCGGGAAATGTGCCAAAAAACCTTCAATGTGTACTGACACCTGCACATCTCGTTGACGTCGTTGTAAACACGGGGTCGGTGGTTTGGTGGCCCTCGCGGGCAAGAATCTACCAATCCTCATGACTGACATCGCTCATTCTGGAAACCATGTTGTTTCCAATAGCTGAAAAGAATCGTGGTGGAATATGGTGCCGTCCATGTTGGAATTTCCTTCCAGCTGGAATCTCACTGACGACAGCAAGCCGCGAATCTGAGGTTCGGCGAGGTGATGTGCTGTAGGCCAGATATGAAATCTTGGCGGAGGAATTTCCCGCAAATGGTGTAGACGAGTCTCTCGTCTCTGGTTGTGACTGTAGCTTTGTCAGTCAATGAGTGGTTTCTTGGCCGATCCAACTATGGCTACTCCAATACAATTCAGAGCGTTGGGATCGGATGCGCGAATGATGGTGGCGAGTGGTAACATGGGGTTTTCGGCGTTGATGTGTTGAGCGTCTCGGGCGGCTTGCTCGATGGCCTCCATCTCAGCTTTGCAGGCGGCATGATCCAGAGGACAAACTACTATTGGCTGTCTCAGGATGATGTCTTTGGCGCCTGTCATTGAAGCCTGGTGGCTGATTAGCTTGGGATAGGCGATATCATCAAAGTCAACACTCACCTTGATAGTCAAGTAATATTCGACCTTGTACAGGCCGGCGGTTGTGGTGAATCCTGGAACGGCATACGTTGGATATGCCGGTCTACCACGAGGCATCACCCCGTCGGCATCTCGAAGGTCATTCGCGGGGAAGACAAGGCCTAGATTGGTGAAATATCCTCCTTCTGGCATCTTGACGCCAACTGTTTCTACCTTTCTGACCAAGGTTTTGGCCTTTCTCTGTGGTTCGTCGCCTTCATGATTGTAGATTACCTCCTCGTCAATGCCAATTTCAATCTTCTTGATGGTCACCTTTCGCGCCTTGGAAAGCCAATCCGGGTTCGGTGACAGTTTGATGTAGACGCTCACAGGATCTAGAGGGCCGTATGACCACCTGGGTAAAGAGATTCCTAACGTGACCAAGTGATCCGTCACGCGCTCGGCAGTTTCGGGCCGATTGTACATGCCAAAGGTGGAGAGAGTGTCGTACCGAGTAATGGGAACAGGGAAGTTGTACGTCTTGCGGTCGTTGGATCCATAAGCCACTGTCACGACCATCTCATAAAAGGTTTCGGCGGTCCTTCTGGGCAGTTGGAGACTGGCAGGTGGCACTCTTCTGGCCGTCTCTTGACCTCCGCGACCAAAGGGGATGAATATGACAAAGGGCAAGTCCATAAACATGATCTCTTCATATTCTCTGTTTGCGGGACATCGGAACAACAGCATTTCTTTGCCCACAGTCTCGGTGGACTCTCGCCTGGGGGCGGCCAGATGTTTCTTCGTGACGGAATCGGCATGGGGATGGATGCTTTCCCTCCTTTGGAGGGCGATGGTTACGACGGAGATATTGACAGGGCTGGATATGCCGACCCCCGGCCTGATCTCGACTGTTCCTTCAATGCGAGGCTAAGGATGGGTGGTCAGTATCGCACATGAGGTGGGGCAACACATCAACACAAAAGCAAGGGCGGGCGCACCAGTGTAGCAGAGATTCCCGGGTAGCCGACGAGAAAGTTTGTATTGGGGCGGCCGGAAACTCGCACGAAAGCGCTCATCTTCTCGTGAAGGAGGCGCCTACAATGTGACCATCAGGTGTAGATATACAAGAGCAAGGCCTTTGGTAGGGAGTCGTCAAAGAGGAGGATACTCGCGGGGGCCTTGTCCTTAGAGTGGATAGTGGGCGGCCCATAGAGACGGACAATCTTTGTCAAGTGCTAGTGTTACATGAAAGCTAGCAAACGGAGACGATGCTGGACTTCTTTGTGTTTTGATATGCGCGTGGAACAGAGGGTCGGAGACGATGTGGTGGGTAGGATTTGTCCACGGTGTAAATTGGATTGGGAGGGTGCGGACTGGAGGGAGGATTCGAGGATGACTAAGGATACAGGCTGAAGTTGGAGTCGATGAGGGACAATCGATTGGAGAGGATAAAGGAATAGAGGACTGAATAAGAGAAAGCGAGGATATAGGACGCGGGCGGAGGTGAGTTGCGTTGGGCAAAGGGATCGTGAGATGGGCTGACAGAGTTGACGACAGGACAAACAACGGGTGACGATGTAATGATCACAACAAGTAGTGAGTAGTAGTAGTAAGGCAGTAGTAGGAGAAGAATTAAGGCGTCTTAGTGACGGATGATGCGATGATAGACCCTGGAGACTACGGAGATACAGGCTGCAGGATGCAGGTCGCGGGCTGGCCGCAGGCTGGACAGGCAAGCCATGAAGTATGTCAAAAGCCTTGGTGATACTTTGTCAGTTGAGAGTTGATACCTAGAGCGCCTAAATTATAGGCTGAAGGTACGCCCGAGGGACCCAGAGTCCCGAGAATCCTGCAGGTTCTCGACTGACTCACTTAGAGTTGCGGAGTAGGTCAACTTAGGCTTCATGACTGTTGTGCACGGGCGACTTCCGGGGCCGTTATTTGCCAGCCTTCTTACTTGGGGCTCTCTGATAGGTGCTCCAACTCCGGACTTGGTTACCCAACACGCTTGGCCCGCCTTGGTAGAGACTCTCCCGTCAAAGCACATGCATCGACCCTTATGCATTTCAAGATCAAGGTAAGATGGAGGAGAGGTGGGTTGACTCGTGTACAAGGCACGTGTGCATTTGAATTACCTCCAATCTTATCATTCATGACTTGACTATTTGATCGTGGAGAACAAAGCACGACCCATATCATTTTGTAAAAACCCGCATTGGGCGGCCCCCAAATGAAAGTGATATCTTTACTCGTTGGTACAGCCTCTTCTGGACGCCTAACAGCGACCGTTTGCGGCCCAGTGCCTTTATTTGTCCAACTGTGTACATCAAAGGTCAGTAGTACCACAGTATTTTACTACTGATATTTGGCTTGACTTCTCACGTGCCTTTTACATAATGTACTGAGACAGGGATGTGTATATCTGCCTGAACTAGCGATTTCATATTTCCAGCCCCTCAGCCTCATCAGCTTCTCATAATACGTTCAGCTAATATGATCGCAAACAACCCGTAGATAAGAACAAGGCTCTTGAGCCGTTGAATTTGATTCAATTACTACCGTATTCAGCTGAAGCCACGTCCAAAAGCCAAGGCCTTCATGATAGCGGTGGTACACCAGAGCAACCCTGACAAGTCATGTGCTCATACCAACATGTCCATATGACAGATGCACAGAGCCGTTAGTCAAATACGAACAGGCAGAGCCCATCAAGCCTTGTTAATATCATCCCCATAGCGCTCTCTAGGAGTGCAACAAGCCACCAAAGAGAGGAGCTGTGGTGCTCATGGAGGATGCCTCGTAATTTCCTGGCATCTTGAGAACTTCTCCGCGTCTCTCGATCCAAATGCTTTCTCGCTATGTGAGAAAGCAATTGCAGAGTTTCACAAGATCGACATCACAACGCGGGCAGCATTGTACTGACCCAATCTCGTATTGTGGGGCTATTTGGCAAATATCGTGATGTTCTTAGAGATGCAGAGATGCGTTGTGCCATCTGCACACGGAGAGGAGATCCTCCTCCCTCAGGTGCTCGTTGGACGGACGAGGTCGCAAATCGGCGCTGAGGACGTCTCTCTGGCGTCCCGGAGAACTCGTGTTCGGCATGGTTCTGCATGGTTCGAAATCGCTAACCGGGTTGCATCAGGCTGGAGTTGGGCTGGCAAACCCCTCGTTCGTTCTTCCTTCATTCAGCCAGCGGGTTTGCATGTATTGTGATAGACTCCAGAATAATCTTTTCGTCCTTTGGCCTGTATTTCTTGTCGACCTTAACGGCCTCGATGCGATCCAAAGCACCTCCGTCTTCCGCACCCTCGATGACACGCCCAAACACGGTGTTCTTGCCATCGAGATGTGGTGCCTCTTTCAGCGTGATGAAGAACTGACTACCGTTGGTCCGGGGGCCTTTGTTCGCCATCGATACCATCCCTCGGCCAGAGTGTCGTAGTGCAGGTACTTTAATCTCATCCTCAAAGTATTCTCCCCAGATAGACGTGCCACCCTTGACGACCGTAGTCGTGCCGTCGCTTGCATTCTGTCGCTGCGACTGTGAGGTATCTCCTCCCTGGACCATAAAGTCTGGAATCATTCGGTGGAACGGTGTTTTGTCGTAGGCGCCAGAGGCAGCAAGGGCTAGGAAGTTCTCCGCCGTCTTGGGCACGGATTCGCAAAAGATCTCAATTTTGATGTCACCGTGTGTGGTGTGCAACTATCAAGGCGCTCGTGTCAGTGTCTATTGGACCATCATTAGGGAAAATTCACCACTCACCGTGACAGACATGATCCATTGGCTGTGCAACCGCTAACGGCGGCCGCAGCGCGTCTGGAGAAATGAAGAAAGCTGAATTGGAGGATATCCACACACCACCCTCTGCACCACACTGGCCTCGTCTAGGGGTGAGGGACTGCCCTTGAAGTTGTCGTACGTTGTAGAGTGGAAGAGTACAACTCGATGTCCAACACACGGACGTGAGCAGGATTAAATTTATCCTTCCTGCGTCGCATCCTCCCGCATGTACTTTTGGAGAAGGAGGGGGTTGACGTTCCAGTCACGTGTGAGATACCAAGGAAATAGAAATAACTGACACACAGACACGTCAACAGTCAGCCTCGCTGGGCTACTTATTCATACTATCGAATGCAAGGAGAACAATCATCATGTATCAATGCCATTCGTGATGGATTAGATTCCTAGTCGCCGCTGTCCCAACCAAATAGATACCATGAAGCGTCCTGGAAATACCCGACTCCATCCATGACCATGACCTTGTTTTTCGATATCAAAGTGTCTGTACAGTGTGCCTCAGCTCAATATTTCATGCCTTGAGGCTTCATGGCTCGTCCTTCCTTCAATCCGAGCTTGGTCGTCAGTACAGAATCAAAGCAAGCATTCATCAATGACTCTTGTTGTACACGGCGAGCGATTTCTCTGGCATGCCGACAACTGAATCTGCAAAACGATTAACCCCGTGCACATCGCATAAATCGTTGGCTAATTCCTTGATCCCCAATAATCATTGTCATTATCATCCCCCAAAACTCGAACTCGATAACAGATTCGAATTCTTCTTGCCCATCCAAGTCATCAACATGGTATCAAGTTGCGTTTGCATTTCTGCCAACCTGGTTCGCTCATCCACGAATAGATTGCTCATCAAAGGATGATCAGGCCCAACTGGAGTAACATTCGACTTGTCATGCACAATGATGAGGAGGTCTTTAATATCTTGGTTATTCTCCATGTACATCCGCAGTGATGCATCAGACCATGTTGGCGTTGACCGAGCCGTAGATGGTGTATGTGTCGCACTTGATGGCGAAGGCTTGGACGAGCTTGCACTTCCTTCAGAATCGGCAGGATTGGTGTCAATATACTCCGGCCCCAATGCTTGTGCATGAGATTTTTGGGCGTTGAAACTCTGCGAAGATGGGTCCATTGTTGAGGGCTGGTTTCTCAATTCTGATTGCACAGACTGACCTTTACCAGCTGTCTCGAACGATAGGGATTGAGTCTCCTGTTCTGCTGCCCTTGGAGTTGGCTCATCATCATCTGATACGTCTGCTTGGGTGTCCAACTGTTCCTTGGATCCTTGGAGATAGCCAGCCTTGGCCGGAGAGGTGGTGGTCGAGGTTGACATTTGCGTGGGTTTGAGGGTGGTGGAGGTATTCGATGAAAACATCGAGCGTTGTTCCGAGAGAGATGGGAATCGCTTGACTTGGGCGACAGACTGGTTCTGATTTGTCGCTGCATAGGGGTCATCCGATGCTTGACTAGATTCGCTATCCACCTTTCGGAGAGTACTTGACAGGGTCGCAGAAGCGGGCCCGGCTGCTGCTGAAGCTGTGTTCTGCGTCGTTCCAGTAGCAAAACTCTGGGGATTACGGTGATCCGTTGGGGAAGCCTTGGGTGATACAGACCGGGGCGGTTTCTGCAGCTTGCTAGGCTTACGTTCCGGTCCAACCTCAGGTCGAGTATTGAGCGAGTCCAGCGATTCTTTGGATTGTGGTGACTGGCGCGCCTCTTCCGACGGTCTTTCAGCCTCTTCCTGAATGGCACCCTTTTTGCTGCGTTTGAAGAATCCACTCAACATGCCCTTCTTCTCCTTCTTTTTCTCCTTCGATTTATCGTCCACCGCCAGCACCTTGTCAAAGGTATCGATGCTGGGTCGTTGCCGATCTTCCTGTTCCACTGATGAAACATTGGCGTCCGAATCACCTCGAAGCAACCGAGGGGTAAGAGAGATCTTCTTAGTTTCCGCCGTGTCGTCTCTGAAGAATGAGTCGGTGTTTCTAACATTACCCTTCCGTGACCTCGACACAGGTTCTTCAGCCTTGGATTGTTCGATACCAGATTCGGTCGCAAGACCTTTGACTGGACTGGCTGACAAATTGCTGTTCAGACTCTCATTGCTGGTCATCCGCTGCACTCCATTGGTGGTCACTGCAGTGCGCTGAGCCTGTTGTTCGACTTCTCCAGTTGACTTGTCTTGCGATTCCTCTGCTGCATCTGTATCATCGACATTATCGTCGCCCATCTGATCCAGTTGACTTTCGTCAGCTTCGTCTTCCTCGTCAGAATACTCATAATCAGAGGGCTCGTAATATGTTGGAGCTGTGAACTGCACAGTCTTTGCGTTTCTTCGGCGCATGGCCTTCTTTAGAGGATTTTTGGATTTCTCCGGATTATCTCCCAACATTGAGGCGGATAGCTATTTGAAGGTTAGCCAAGTTCAATCTGAGGGGTTGATAGACGAACATCGATGTTCCTGTGCTTGTTGAGGCGGGCCAAACGTTCCGTGGGAGTTTCAATGTGTTCTGCAGGAAGATAGCCTTGACGACGTTAGTTTTGGAAGAGGACAAGAGAACAAATGAGCCATACCAATACTGCCGTCCTTGACCACTCTAACCAACCACCAATAACTGTTACTGTCGTCTAACAAGACCATTGTGTCGCCTTTGGTAGCATTGGCTTGGCCTTCGACGGTGGCCACAAAAGTGTGTAAAGCGTAGACGAATTCGAAATCAATGTCCTCTATGTCTCGTAAGCATTCTCCTCCCCAACCAGAATCAATAAAACGATCATCAGCTGTAAAGGAAAAGTCTTCGGTGTCATCATCAGAACTTGAGTCATGGTCCAGGATATACACATTTTCATCCTGCCAGTCTGCGTATTGATTGTCGCTGGAGTGATAGTGGGCATGCGCCGAGTAATTCTCGTGAGACGTGTCACTTTCGTCCAGGAGTAGGGGGTCGTCCAAGGGTAGAAGATATTTCTGGAATTCTTGGGATTCAGATAAGGGAATTGAGATTCCGAGTATGGAAGTTGGGAGTACGGAAGTTGAGTTTTCGGAGTCCAGATGATTATGATGGCCAGTTTGATGGTCTTCTTCCTCGGTATCCTGGTAGACCTGGAACTCACCAAGATGACTGGTCGAAGTAGAATCTTGTGAAAGGTTCAAGGGGAAATGATCAGGGGTAGACGAAAACGGTGAGGATGAAGGGATTTCACGATCGATCGGTGATGAAGAAGCTGGAGAGGCTCCACACATGACCGAGTCGACTCGTGGGGGCCACGCAGGGAGGGGGTATTTACCATCATCGATTGAGGGTGAGCTTGATATCTTATCCAATAAATCGTCGTCCATGTCTTCATCGTGGGAATCAACGCTCTCGGCCTCATCAGTGTCCTGGGGATTGTAGCTTGAAGTCATGGGACCATTTTGGGAACTCCCTCCACCAGGCTCGTCTTCCGCATCGCCATAGCCAAAGGCCGCTCCAGCAGACTTGTCCTCCGAGGCTCTGGGGCTGGAATGTTGTTGTTGATAAGCCTCGTGCTCGGCTTGTCTGAGAGTTTGGGCTTGGTGTGGAGCAGCAGGCCCATAACCATATGGGGAAGGATGTGTAGGTTGGCGGGAATGATCTTGAGCGGAAGGGGTATTGTGATCTTGTAAGTCAAGAGTATCTATGTGTATGGCATGTGAGTCAAGGAAAAGGTTTGGTATGGGAGAGTGTAGTTCTTACCAGCTCTCACGAGCTGCGGTTTCAATGTTGTCATCGCACGAACCATTTGCAGGGAGATGTTGAATCTGGATTCCCGTGCAGGGCCTTGGAGATCAACTGCCTGTTGCGCAATTCAGGTCGCATAGAGACAGAGGCGCAGGATGAGAGATGGCCCGGGGTTGTGGAGGCTGCGCGGAGGGGAGTCAGGGCGGATTTAGTGAGGTCGCAGGAGGTGGTTCGGGCAGATAGACCAAGGCGTGTAAAGTCAGGTTCGATAGCGAGACAGTAAAACAGTAAGGAGCGACGCGTCGGAGACGATTTATGAAGGATTGACAGGTTTTGGAGGGTTTGCGCAGATGGTGGGCGCGGGTCCAGTGTGATGGTGTGTACGGAGGATAAATGAGGAGGGTGGTCGAGCAAGTAACAGCAGTTCAATGGCGATGTGGGTTATGTTGACATGGACGAGGACAAAAGAATGTCGAAACCAGAACCAACAGTCAAGAAACAGAGTTCCAGAATGGAGTGGTGATTCTTGAGTCCATGATTCCGAGACTTGAGTACCAAAGAATGAAGAGCAAGTCTGGATAGCGCTGTAGTGGTTGGTAGTGGTGTGTGGTAGTGGCAGACTGGACTCACTCTGTTCCATTCCCCTGACTTGAAGTGCCAAAAAAAAGCAGGTCCCTGGCAGCTCCCGTGCACTCGGAGATCCAAGATTGTTTCAACCAGACACCCAATCATACGAGGAGTGTCTATCAATTAACATTATGTCTGACCAAGTTGGCGCCCCAGATGATCTTCGCGTCATACCTTTATCATTGGGGGCCACATGACCATTCACGCCCTTTAACTTGTGGTCAGACCGATGACAATGATGCTGGCCTTGCGATGAGTTGATGGGGGTTGGGACCCCCGCGTTGCTGATTGGGGGAAGCGCCGTCCTGCATCCGCGAGTCCACTGCCCAGAAGCCAGCCAGGACGCCCACTTTAGGCGGAGGACATGTCCAGTCAGCCAGTCTCACATACGGAGGACTATAGGAGTCGGCCGTCGGCGGTCACGGGCACCTGGTGCCGCTCAAGATTAGCGCCTAAGCAGCTAGAGCCGCTGGATCATTTTAAAGTGCCACCCCCGAGCACCTAATCTGACAATAAAGTCGGACGCCTATATCGGACTCAGTCAACACGACCTAGAAAATCAGGGAGGTAGGTATGGACTTATCCCTGATCATAATTTGGGGGCTTCTGGGGGCGGCTGTCCATATGTAGATTCCTAAATTACAGGGTTGTTTATACTGTCCTGTACACCCTCAAATAGTTTAACACTCCAGATAGGCCGCTCCGTGTTTCTCGTCTTGACCACCAATAGTTATCCTCGTAGAATGAATCATGCACCCTCCGGTTCCCTGCAGAAGATAGAATACAACAGGATTTGGCTTCTGTGGAACCTGTTACACGCGGGTGCTGCTCGTCCGCGTCAGGCTGTGAGATGATGCAATGGCGACCAATATTCCATCATGCGACGGTGCCGGCATCAACTACTTGACGTGCCCTTCAAAACAAAGGTAAAAACCACCTTACATCGATCCCTCCAACTCCACACGATCCCCCACCAACAGAGGATGCCGAGAAGTGTGTACATCTCAGAGGCACGAGTCGCCACAGAGTGCACATCTTAGCATGCAGGGTTTGTTTTTGCTCCTCCTTGTGATGTGCGAAGATTTTCTCTGGCGTCTTACTTGCTCGGTACCACGATCAGCGATCTATGGCGGGGAAACAACCACTTTGTGAGCGCGCACTGCGTGCAAATGACCATCACGCTTGGGCCATTGAGGCCTGTTGCCGCAGCCTTTGCCCAACCATGGATTTTGATTCTAAAAGTACGTGCAGCTAATTAGCCTCGATGAGTCTCAAAGAGTCAAGACCAAGCAAGGCCAAAATTCCTATGACCAACCTCTTTCTTCGTACTCGGCTGCGCCCACCCTCGGTACTGCCATCTCCGCCTCCCCACGCCCAAAACAAGGTTTGTTCAGGCTGGTCCGCCTAACTTTAAGGCTGTTGTTCGGGGCGTCTTAGGCCACTACACACGCTTCTATAGGCCTGCCTTGCCCCGGAAGGGTCTTGGCCCACCATGAACAAGGTACCCACCCGGAGGCATCCACCCTCTGGCTTCCTGTCCGCAGGCGTTCGCACGTGGACCAGAAGACTTTTATCACTTGATTGCCTTCACCTATTATTCAACTTGACTTCTCACTCACAACACTCGTGTCTCGACTTTGATCTGGTGAGAAGAATACTCATCCCAGTCAAATGATACTTGGTTCTGACCTTGAGCCTTTGAACAGTCGCCGAGCTCCGCCTTGCGCGGTTCCCATCTCCCAGTGTTCGAGGACATCGCACCGTCAGCTGCGCAATGGCGCAGGCTGACAACGACTTTCAAAACTTCACCGGACTGCGTTTGACCACAGACGCTGCTATCGAAGACGATATACTCACTTCGGCCCCTCATGGACAACGTGATTCAGATCTTCATCTTGTCATCGACAACCCACGGGGCTCCCGCCCTCCATATCGAGGGTCTGCCACGAGTCAAGATACCATCCGAGCGACCGCGACACCACCTGTAGCTATTCCTCAGCATGGGGACGCCACAGCTATCGAAGACGATCCTTCTTCACCAGCCACATACATTGACCATTACATGCGCCATCGACATGCATCCAACAACTTCGACATTCAAGAGTCCGAGGAGCCCCAACTTATTCCAAACCCTCTGGTCAAGCCAGAAGGTGACCGCCGGCGAGGAAGACCAGTGCTGAAGGCTATTTCCGACTCAAGGCAGTTTACTCGGGCACAGAGCGAATCAGAAAGCGACCACTATGATCCGAATACCGGCCGTCGCATGTCTAAATATTCTACTACTCCACCTCGCGAACAAGCTCGGGTTGGCGAAGCCCGATTCCCCCTTCTACAAAAGACGGTGGACGAGATGGCTAGAGAGTCCGACGTCAATCTTGCTCAGCCCATGTCGTTGACTTCGGAATCCACCATGTCTCCTCTCGCACAGCCCGTAACTCCCCGTGACGATGAGAATGCCCTCCTCTCACCCGCCGTGGTTTCGCCCCTAGGCTCCCAAGGATTTCCATACGAAGAGCCAAGGTCATTTCGACGCACAGCTTCGCAGCGGTGGAAGGACGGCGAATTTTCCGCTTCACCACAAGATTTCTTTGCTCGCGCTGGGAGCTTGCGCAATCGAAGCCTTCGGGACATGGCTGGCCGCTCTTCCCGCCAGGACACAATGGGATCGACCAAATCTCCGAGATCTACAGCCTCATCTTATCTTCGGTCTTTTTCCATCAGCAGCGGAGGCAACGGGGATGGCAGCGACGGTGGGGGGCCGCCAGCTGTCGATGCCGAGGGACAGACAATTGGTGATGATTACGTTCTTGGAAAACAGATTGGGTTTGGTGGATTCAGCACTATCAAGGAGGTCACTCAGCTCAAGGATGGGCAACATAGGAAATTGGCCGTCAAGATTGTCCGTCGCAGGATCGATGGCAAATCTGAAGCGGAAAATGATCAGGCCCAGGCTGAATTCGAACATGAAGTGGAACTCTGGCGGTTTCTGGACCACCCCAACATCCTCCCTCTAGAAGCCGTGTACAAGCTAGACGAAGCGACATTTTGTTTTATCCCTTTGAATATTGGAGGCACTCTATTCGATCTCGTGCGGGCGAACCGCCAAGGACTGCCGATGCACGTTGCTAGAAGCTACGGGTATCAGTTGGCGGTTGCGCTTTCTTATCTTCACTACGATGCTCGTGTGGTGCACCGAGACGTCAAGTTGGAGAACTGTTTGGTTGAACCTACTCCTGATGGTCAGCCTGGACGACTCCGTGTGTGCGATTTTGGCATGGCGGAGTGGCTTTCCAACGACAGCGGGTCAGGACCACCGAGCCCTTCGCTTCATGACTCAGATCGCCCACCACAGAAGCACATTGGTCCAGCCGACACTTCATCGTCGGCTTTTACTGGGGGCAGCCTGGAGTATGCTGCCCCAGAAATTCTACGCATTGCGGCTAGGAACGAAGACGAGAGGCCTGCGGAAAGGTCCATCGTATCAGCCTCGGTGGATGTTTGGGCATATGGAGTTTGTGTTTACAGCATGATTGTGGGATCACGACCATTCCAGGATGCATTCCAACCACGGGTTGTCATGGCCATTCTCTCCGGTGATTGGGACCGGAATAAACTACGCGAAAAAGGAGGTGACGACGTTTATGAAGTGGTGAATGGCTGCCTGGAAATGAATGTCACCGATCGCTGGACGATATCCCAGGTTATTGATTCAGCCTGGCTGGAGGATCTCGCGAAAGAGGATGATTCACAACACAACGACAACAGTATATGGCGACTCTGATGCAGGAATCATCTGTCCGACGTCTCTCACATGAAGCATGATTTACTGGATATCATGGGGCACTCGACGATTTTGTGATGGATCCATATACTTAATGAGGGTATTTTTCTTCTCCCGGTTGACATTACCGCTAAACCTTGAGGCGTCATGGTGCAGACGCACATGGCTATTACGGACGATTTTGACGAGTTATGACACATTATGGGATCAGGATGTCTTTCGCTCATATTTTCGGGCACGGTGGCAAGCCTCTCGAATGACAGGAGGAGGGCAAGGCATTGATATTCGACTTTTGGTTCCACTTGTTTTGTTGTGTTCTTGGATGGATGTATGACTAGAACTGGGTCTCTCTCGCTCGAGGTTCTTTGGATTCTTGTATGTGATATTTTGACTTGGAAGTACTGGAGCGGATTACTTGGTTAGGTAGCCTCTCTTTGAAAAGTCAGAGTTAGTAATGCGGTGCAGCGCAGCCTAGGGGGGAGGATTGTTGTCTCTCTCCCGTTGGCTAGACGGATGATACCCCCGTCTCAAATTTGTAACTGATTTCTTCTTCGATCTCTATTTTTATTGCATTATGGCACATTGAGATGCTGATGAAAGAGTTGTTAAGAAGGAAGAGTGAGTCAGTGGGCTTGGCAATGGGAATGGCAATGTAAAGGGAAGGCACTCGCGATGCCACAGCAAAGAAAGCCTATGCCATCAACACATGTGACCTGCATGTGACTTTGGTGAATCAATTTCTCCTTACCACTACTCTACACTGCAATACACCATCATTTTAGCCTCTATCTCCCTAGAATGTAGAATGCAACATCTGTGCTTTGGTTTGCATTTTTATGAGCTCTGAACTCCGTAGGTGAAGCTCAAATATTGGATGATCAGGGCCTAGTGACAGAAATCTGGGTGACGATGTTGCCCAAGCTCGGATCTACTGCCTGGAAGAAGCATGGGTCGGGGGGTCCAGATTCTACTCCGTAGCTACAGAGGGTCGAATGGTCCCTTTTAAAAGACTCCACTCACGGCGACGGCGGCAGTAGGAAAAAACTGGGGAACTTTGGCTTTCATTATCTTTCGGTTATCTCCATCACCATTGAGAGAGGTCTTTTCAAGGGGATTCATCATAATAACAACAGACCAACGAAACACACACCCATACACACATACACATACAACAATAACGAGCTCATTGGATACTTACAACATAAGCTACATCACTATATTTTGTCAAATATTCAATACCTATCTCCCGAGCTTCCCTCTCTAAACAACAAACTTGGCACGGCGGTGAATTAAGGAACCCTAGGACAAAATGACGATCGAGATCCGACCGATCCAACCCGAAGACATCTCGTCCGTGGTAGAATGCATCCAACTAGCATTCGCCGAAGACCCGTATTTCCAATGGGCATTCGACCCTAGCAACTTCAACCGGGAACGCAACTACATGAGTCTGAAAGCCAAATGCGAATGGGGGATGCGACACGCCTTATTCCACGTCGCCATCGACACCGAAGACGAAGTCCCCGGCCGTGTGGTCGGAGTCGGGATGTGGATGAAACCGGCGCGAGTGGGCACACCAGAGACATGGCTGGAATGGTGGGACTCATATGTCCTATGGTTCAAGCAAGGCTGGAACCTTGTACGATATCAAGGCCGAGGCGGCCTCAACACTAAACGCTACTATATCTGGAAGAGGGAACAGGCGGAAGCTCAAAAAGAACTATGGACCGATCCAGAGGGGTATTACTTTTGCAACATCGTCACCGTCCGTCCGGGTATTCAGGGAAAAGGAATCGGTCGAAAATTGTTCTCCGTCGTCACTGACATGGCTGATCGTGAGGGGAGGAAGTGTTATCTCGAAAGCTCGCGCGACAATCCAAATATTGCCATCTATGAGAAACTTGGTTTTAAGCTGGCGAAGAAGATGGTCTGTGATGATAATGGGGTTGCTTGTGATCTGTTTTGTATGATCCGCGAACCTCAGACTAAGCCGTGATGGGCGGAGGATGATCTGGGTGAGAGTGAGTGAGTTGATTGGTTGGGGAGTTAGGGAAGACTAGTGGCTCAGCATCGGATCGTGGGCCGGAAATTCCGATTTCTTCATCAAGATGAAGCTGAGATTGGTGAATTGATGCAAAGGGTCTGGCTTAGCACTGGCACGCTGGATGCGTTGGTCGGCCTTGGTTTGCATCATATCTCCTTTCTCCTGATGCTTGCTGCCTCAGGCCCGACATGCCATGGCTTCAAGTCCGACGGTCAACCCTTGCATCAATTGGCAGACCATCTTGCCAAACACCGTATTCTTCGACCAAAACGCTCATACGATCACCGATCTGTAAGCGAGGTCTATGCGAGTGTAACTGTCCAGCTTGCTTTGCAGGACAATGGGCATGGGTTGGCGAGCTGATGGAGGTCGATGTTGGCAGGATGTACGTCAGTCTTGTGAGCCACGAAGACCTGAGGATGGGAAGGACGGCGAATTTGGAGCCATTGTTTGGTTTGATGTTGGTAGAGATAATGGGTGGATAGTTGGTGTAGTCATTTTTTGTCCTTTCAAGTACCTAGCAATAGCCAAATGATATTGTAAACCAAGCATACCAGTAATCACGTGCGAGTCACATGTTTTGCATTCGAAGCCCAGCCCGCCTGACTAATCTTTCAGTATTCAATCTTCTCCAAAGACACGTCAGCCATGATCAGCCTTGACGTGATTATCAAATAGTACATGAACTCTGAACAGCGGGGTTAAGAAACAGAAAAAGCAGAGGAGTTTATGCTTTTCCATGGACTTGACGCCGAGGGCACAGTAATTTGTCTAGATGACTAAACAAAGTACCTGCAGGTCTCTTCGGCCGGCGTAGTGAAAGCGGGCCCAGATGTCCATCTTGCAATTGCCCAACTTGGCAATTATGGAACCCGGCCCAATCTATCCCCGGCGCGAAATCCAACTGGTCGACCTACAACCGCATGTCCCAGGGTCTTCAATGTGAACATCCAATAATTGATTGAAAATCTGCCAGAGGGACATGTAAGTGTGGTGAACGCATGTCGTGGTTAAGTTTTGGTCTGGAATTGTATCCAATTAGAGCGATGCCAACAATGCCAATACGGTGTATATGGTTATCTCCCTGTCTGTCTCCTCAAAGAGGCCCCCCATGAGATACGTACGGGAAAAAAGCCATCAAAACTCTCTCTCATTATTAATTCCGCCCACAAGTGATGCGCAATGACATTCTGCCTGTGAGAAGCTCCATTTTATCCCCGAAATGTCTGTCTTTTGGCAAGTTGTCATGGCCGACAATCCATTCCTGTCTCGGAAGTGCTTCCCAAAAGAATCATGTTATCTATGGCGATATGCACATCCCCGAGAAGGCTCGGCGTTTTCTGAGTTCAGACAAAGACCATGCTTTCCAACGGCTGTCAATCCTGACGTAGTTGCGGCTGAGCAATATCCTCGATGACTGTAATTCCACCAATCTCCGTCTGTCAAGTCCTTGAACTAGATAGAGTATGCTCTTTCTTTGCGACGTTGCTGCTAGCTTCACTGTCAAGCTCTTGCCGATCGTAAACTATAAGACAGCGCCCAAAGTACTTTTGAACTTCGTCTCAACAGTTCAACCTTCACAGCACAGATAAAACAACGAGTTCCATCTTCATCAACACAACACAAACACACCAACCAGACCAATCTCTCTTCAACTCGACAACATGACCACCAATTTGCCATCCGAGTACAAGGTCGCTCGCTTCGAACAGGCCGGCGGCCCTTTGGTCATCGCAACGGTCAAGCTTGAGATGCCAAAGAAGGGCGAAGTATGTTTCCTTTTGGTGTTTCTGAAGCATCTCAGCCATTGACTGACATCTCTGTCTCTAGATTCTTGCCAAGATCCTTGCTTCTGGCGTCTGTCACTCGGATGCCATTGTTCAATCCGGCGGCTGGGGAAACCCATTCCCCATCATCCCTGGCCACGAAGCCATCGGCGAAGTAGTCGCTGTTGGTCCTGATGAGGATCATTGGAAGGTTGGCGATCGGGTTGGGGGCGCATGGCACGGCGGTCGTAAGCTTGACCCTATTCTCCATTATCTGACAGCATCTGTCGCTGTCATCAGACAAAAGATTGCTAACGTGTTTCCTGTGTGCACATAATAGATTGCGGTAAGTCTTCTTCATACACTCAGGTCAAAATTCCCTCGAGAAACGTACTGACATGTATCTGCGTCAGGCCACTGCGTATCCTGCCGCCGAGGTCTCTTCCAAGCCTGCGACCAGGAGCAAGTCAATGGACTCTCAAGGAACGGAACTCACGGCGAATATGCCATCCTTCGAAGCGAGGCTGCTGTATCAGTGCCAAAAGATATTGATCCCGTCGCCTACGCTCCATTGCTGTGTGCTGGAGTGACTGTCTTCAACTGTAAGTCAACCACCGTACTGCACTAGAGAACCATCTCTAACAACACCCCTCAACAGCACTACGTCAGCAAAAGATCTTTCCAGGACAAACTGTTGCGGTGCAGGGATTGGGAGGACTGGGACATCTTGCCCTGCAGTACACTAGCAAGATGGGCTACCGGACTATTGCCATCTCTTCCAGCTCGGCCAAGAAGGAATTTGCACATAAATTGGGCGCACATGAGTACATCGATGCTTCTAAGGGCGATATTGGCGGGCAACTTCAGAAATTGGGAGGGGCGAGTGCGATCCTGTTCACAGCGCCATCGGGCAAGGACATCCAATCACTTTTGGGCGGCCTTGCACCCATGGGCAAGCTGGTTATCCTGGCGGCGGCAGAACCTACGGAAATCAACACTGCATTGATGATTCAAAAGGGACTCGGGATCCAAGCATGGCCATCTGGGCATTCTCTGGATAGTGAGGAAGCAATCAGCTTTGCTCATCTGCACGGCGTCAATTGCATGGTGGAAAAATTCCCTCTTGACCAGGCCAACGAAGCCCTCAAGCACATGCTTGAAGGAAAGGTCAGATTCCGAGGTGTATTGGTCCCATGAAGCAACCATTTTGAACGGTGTGTTTCGTTAGGAGGGGAGGGGGACTAGGGTGGGGGCCTAGTTCTAGTTTTACTGGGAATTGAGTCTTTTGTCTCTAGTTGCAGCGGAATACAAACAAGGTGATATCAATGAAGCTACGAGATTTGAAGACTTGGAAATGGCAGAGCGTTGTCTTTAGCTTGACGAGAGCTCAATGATGATGATGGTGAAGGGAGTTGACAGTGTATGCACGTGATGGGAGAACCCCCGAATGTCAAAAGCAGCAAGGATGATGCCGAGGGGAAATGCAATGCCAGTCGCACCTGCCCAGATCTCTGCCTGAGGAATCGACTGATTGAGGCAGGAGCGACTACGGAGTAGTAGTGGGCCCTCGGTCGACGGAAGGTGCGCATGGTATGCCGTCAATTTTATTTTCGATGTTCGTCTATCTCAAGTTCGGGCCCCACGTTTCCGAGAAGCATCTGTATCAAACAGAGTCCTACAGTCCCAGATGATTTAATCCCCGAAATCTGACTACCCATGATGACTTCATCGTCATTGCGGGTCTGGGCCGAGGGGGCCTGGATCCACGCTCCAGGGAAAGATGAAACAAGCCATTCCCCTGGGCTCCCGGGCTGCCAATCAACGCCAAATCCTCACCCTGGCACCCCTGTCGATCAGACTCCATCTGCTTCATCTTCTCTTTCTCTCTACCTCCGTTGCCCATTCACACCATTCTTGCTCACTCATCTTTGACATGGCCTTCCAACAAGCATCCGCAGCCTGAATGCAGGGACCCCAAAGTGTCGCATCATCATCTTGATCCCACATGGTGACCTGCTTTCTGTGTTTGTCTGTAACCGCCCATCAGACCACACCCAATCACCCACCACTCGAGGCCGAGTCCTCTTGCCGGTGTGCCTGGGGAACCTCTGCTCTAGACCATGTAGGCTGAAGATGACGCCGGATGCGCTCACCTTTGCTCGCCGGTAGCAGCCTCAGCACAAGATGTACCCCCTGTTTCTCTCTCAGGGTAGTTCGTGCTGCATGGTGAGTCCTGGTACCAACTCCGTATTTGTCACAGAGATGGTCACCAGGCCACACACATTCGACGTCCTCATCAACGCACCCTGGCCCTCTAGTGGAATGACTTTCCTTCTCTACTCGATTTTCCCACCGAGGCCTTGGGAGGTCCAAGAGTCGAGATCACGGACAACCGTCGACAAGATTCCTCATCAACGTTGACGTTCGACTTGTCGAGTCTCACACGACAACATCATCCTCTACTCCAATCAAGCGTCTCTGTTGTTCTGTTTCAGACCGACGGATTTGCCTTTCTATACCCCTCCGCCTGCCGATCCACCGCTGCATTCTGATTAGAGGCTATGCAACTTTGATTGCGATCAGCACCAAGCACCATCTGCACAGCATCCACATATATCACTTCATTACCTGTTAACTCGTGGACTGGCTTCACCATTTGGGACTGACGTAGCCACCGGTTGATCTCACTTTCGGAACTCCACCACGATTAACGCGATCAGCCTTTACCAGGATCAGTGTGGTAAGCAGGAAACACAGGGACAGTGGAGAAGGGGTTCATCAAAAGGCAAACATTCAGCCTCGCATAATCAAAACCACATTGCAAACCTTGGGGCAGAGAAGTTTGTATTGAGAAGGAGGCCTCTCGTTACAGTTTGCTGGACGAAGCATTAAACACGACAGAGTCTTCCATACATATCTCGCAAACTAAGGCTTTTGAGATTGTCGAAGGAACGATGTTGTGTTGTTGAGAAACAACCAAGGATTTTTGGGGACAAACAAGTCACGACTTAGACGAAGCTACGGTTTGGCGCGATCCAGTCACTCACTGGTACGGCTTCGTCATCTTGTGCAATTAAACCACCTGTTCTGCCACACCTCAACAACAACGACACCTCTCCTCGACCTCGACTATTCTCCGGCACAAAACAAGATATCAACAGCCACCAACCAAATCACATTGAGAATGGATTCCCTATTTCAGCGCCGGTTCGCAATCCTTGTCTTCCTCTTGACCTTGACGAATCTATCGAATGCCACCATCTCATTCCCTGATATCCAAGTGATTGTGGGATTCTCGTCATCCTGCACCCAGGCCTACGCGGTACCCGTTCAGAGTTGCAATTATTCAGACCTGTCAGGCATTGGTGGAACTGGAACATGCTCTACAACATGTCGCAATAATATCCATAGCGCACAAACCAACATTCAGCAAGCTTGCACCCGAGACTCGGCCGATTCATCCTCACTATTGGGAATGTTCTTTGAGGGAAGTGGGGTGATCTTTCTATGCGGAGCAACGTCCACGACAACAATGACAACCCGAACCAGTTCAGCCTCGACTGCCAGCGCAGCCTCCAATACGAATGCTTCCCAAACATCGGCAAGCCAGGCTTCTAACACCATGTCTTCGATGGCTTCATCATCAGTGTCATCCGATTCGCAGTCCTCGACGGCGACATCCACGTCAGAATCTTCGACGACTAGTTCTGAAGAATCAACATCAACGTCGATCTCGACGTCGACCACGACCAGCACAGTGAATGCCTCTTCAACGACCAGTTCGAGCGCAACAGCTAGTCAGACGACAGGGCCGAGATCGAATGGAGGCAATTCAGGAGGGAATGGTAGTCCGTTCGACCCTCCTGCTCCGGCTCGGTCAGCGAGCGACAGGCCAGTATCTGGTCGACCATGTCTAGTGATCTTAGCGTGGGCCCTGGCGTCGATGATTTGAGATGAGCCATGAAGCATGTCTAGAAAGATGTCGAGGACATATGGCCAGCTCGGCCCTTGTACAACACATGGGTTTTTGTCTAGGGGGCAGGAGTCGCATGGGCACGGCGTGGAGTTTGACAGTACACTAATAATGCAACCTTTGCCTTAAAGAGAGCGATACCCAGGCGCGATATGGCGTCTTTGAAGTTACGAAGAAATGAAATGATGCTGCCCATGTACAGACAGAAGCAGCAGGGCATGTTGGAAGTGCCAGAAAGTCATGTGAGGTGTATGAATGACTGCAATTCCCAAGGGGGAGTACACTCACGGCTGCTAATAAGTCCTGTCCCAGATCGTGATGATGGAATAGCCCACGTCCGGTGATGACACACAGCCAAGTGGTTTGTGTGAGAATCCAACTGTATTCTCATACAATACGTATGTAGTGAATGAAATCAAAACCACACATTGCAAACAAGCATACAAACATACCTTCTCGTTGAATCAAAGCCTAGACTAGACTAAAAGCGCGGAGAGAGAAACCATGCGGTTTCAACGGATCCGACTGGCCTCGGCCTGGTCTCGGAGTGGCACATGAGATGGTCGCGGAGGTGGTGAGACAGCGTCGAAGTGTGGTCTTGATCTTGATTTAGATTCTTATTAATCTATTTACGTGTAGCAGGCAATGAATGGCTTTGCTCTGCCATGGCTGGAAATATGTATATAAATCCCATCACAATCTACTCTTTACAGCATCCGACTTTCCATCTCCATCTGCATCATCATTTGCATTTTTCGTCGTAGTCATCGTGATACTAGGTTGCACCACTGCTGTCTTGGGACGAATATTCAAAGAATGTTTCGGCGGGGTGATGGGAAACCTCACCATGCCATCCTGAATCGTAGTAGCGACCACTCGACCGGCATAGTAATCCCACAGATAACTATTATGACACCCACGTTTGTCACCGTTATGAGTCGTCCACGCCTCCTGCACAAACCATTTCGGATTCCCTTGGTCGTCAGTCATGCGCATTGTATCAGCCACACCATGGAAGACGACCGTATGGGACAGTGAGGCCATGCTAGTACGAACGTTTTGATATCCTGCCGCGTGTTGGATCATGAAAAGGGAATTCCGATCTGATGCATATAAATGTGCCGCGGCGTGGAGGTTGAGGTCGACGGGTTGGGGCGGTGAGGATGGATCAGAAGGAGGATTAGGTTTGTCCAGAATGATGCGATACATGATCAACTGTCTCCACCGCGAGGTGCCTTCACCATCTGGCCCTCCACCGACAGGCACAACAGGATTGTATGCACGCATATTGACTTTCCGAGTCTCAACGCCAGGGAATGCAGACGCGACTTTCTCCCATGCCTCACGTTCCTCTATCTCCCACCAGAGGGCGTCGGCGCCAGGAGCGAGCGGGTGGTCTTCGGGTTTTTTGCCGTCGAGGACACTGTGGTATGTGGTAGGGATGTGGTCGCGAGGAACGTGTTGATGGGAGAATTCGATGAATTTGCGACTGTTGTTCTCGGGTCGTTTGAATGAGACTGTGGCGATGAAACAGGGCGATTTGCCCCATCCTCCGACTTCGGTTTCTTGGTAGACGTCCACGGTGCGGAGGCTGTAGACTCCTCCGTCGCGAACGCGTCGTATGCGGTAGATGAATGGTGTGTCGACCTCCCCCGGCAGGATGAAATAGCCGGTTACTTGCTGAGTAGGGGATTATATGTTAATGGTGGACATGGGGGCTGACAGGGAGAGGGGAGGAGAAAACCGGGTTCATGGGGTCACGGTTTTCTTGATTGAGGGTTGAGGAGTGTCTTACATGAACAAAGAACCCGGGACTGATAGTCTTGCTAGCGGCATACACGGCCTGGGCGTATACATGACCTCCAAAGGTCCGTTTAAAAGGAGCAGGTGGCCAGGCTGGGGTGAGTGATTCGAAAGTATCTTTCCCCGTTTCCCGCAATGCCATCAATTTCTTCCATGATATGGGCGTTTTGTCCAAAGCAGTGTCGAATTTGGGTGTCATGATTTATCCAAGGTCTGTGATTGGACAGTGTTGGGGTGTAATGGAAGATGGGGAAGGCGGCAAGAAGAGAGGCTGGATTTCAGGCAGTCACGACGTTGGTGCCTGCTGTTTGAGTGTGTCCCAGTGTTCGACTAACCATGTGACTGTTGAATATGAGAATTACCTGAGTTACTTATTGTGGTGGATTGGAAGACATGATTATCGATGGTTTCGGCGATGTGGATGTTCGAAATATAAAACCGTCAAGATGAGGAGGGTGTATGGACGTCTCTAATATTTCTTTTTGTTCCTCTGAATGAAGAAACGTACCAGTCCCGTGTAGCTGACGACTGATATACACAAGGTAGATAAATATGTCCCTAATATAAATAAATATCAACACAAAGACCGACAGACAGCCGAACGAAGCGAACCAGGTCAGCAAAGCGCGTATTGCGGTGAGTTCCAATTGGGGATCACATCGTTGGGGAATATGCCTCGGCACTTCAAAGGTATGGGCTTGTTGTTCAGGCACGTCAGGGTCACTCTGCCACTGGGGGGGGGATTGGCGGCGCGGGGAGTAGCACGGATGGTCCACCCACGTGATTGCCCCTTGGCATCGGCCTACCTTCCCGTCCACATCAGTCTGGGGATATTTGGTGCCACTTCTCACTACTACTAATAAGTACTAAGTACTAACTGTTTTGACTATGGACTCCTGTAGTCAAAGTGACATCATCAACAAAGACACAAAATCAATGCGCGTCATAATATTGGAAGACTGGTAGGCAGTAGGCAAATGTATTATTGCCAACCCTTTACTATAGATATAAACCACCTTTATATAGGTACCTATAACTGTGATATATCATCCAAACACCCCCTATAAACAAACCATCATCATCACTAGCCAACAGTTTCATCATTCAACCTCTACCAAGTTTATATTCCGAACAATGTCTTCTTCTTCATCAACAACAACAGACAACTCCTCCTCTTCCACCAGTGACTCCAATCCTTCACTCCTCGGTGGACATGCCAAGGTAAGTTTCAATCAATACAAATCGACCTATGTATTGTTCTACATCATTCCAAACAATCCTTACTAACCACCCACACCCACAGTACGTCCAAGGCGCCGTATCATCAGCACTAGGCTATCCCAGCGGCGAACAAATCAAGGACGAAGCGGTTCAGGAGATGAAAGCCGCACATTCATCATCAGATTCTGGTCCCCCTACCAAATCGAGTCTGTTGGGAACAGTCGAAAGTGCCGCTGGATCTATCACGGGGTGCGAAGGTATGCAGGCAGATGGTCAGAATAGATTGCCTCATGGTGCGGGATTGGAGGAGACGAGTGGGACGGGATAGGTAGTTCGTTTGGCTGGTTCAGAACTCAAGAATTCAGAAATCAGAAGAGGAAGTTTTGACTCTTTGCTCTTTTCATTCCAGGACTGGTCGTTGCGGTTGTAGGGGGGAATTGGATTGGCGATTACAATCGCCACTCCAGATTCACCTTTATTATCGCACTTCACCGTTACGTGCTGACTTGGAATGCTTTTCTTGCAAGTCATAAGCTGCATTACTTCATGTCATGTCTGTCCTGCCTTTAATATCATGTCATGTCCATGTCCCATGGCGTGGAAGAGATCCATCCACGTATGCCGAATCCCATCAATTCTAGTGACGTCGGACTCGCGTGTTGCTCGAGCTCGAAGTCATCCACCCATCCATTCTGAATGCTGGAGTCACTCATAATCGTCGACTAAAAACCACCGTCTTCCCCATTGTCGCTCAGAATTCCCATGCTTCACAAGCCCGTGTTGTTTCTCGGCTTGGGCAGAGGGACTTGACCATCTGCAGCCTTTTCCACAATCACACTGTCTTCCAAATCCTCGTCACCGTCATCGTCTCTCATCCGGAATCCATCTTCCGTGAGATCTTTGTCATCACGTCGCTGCGATTCCACTCCTTCCCAGTCGTTAGGCATGAAATTTTCCTCATAGAATCCGGTGGAATAACCGGTCTGATCACGCTCACGCTCCTTGGCCTTGATTTCTGCATCCGCGTAGTCGGGTTTCTCCCAGCCATCTCCGATTTCTCCCAGAGTGGCACCCTCGTCTTTGGTCTCATGAGACGGTCCCTCGCTGCTTTGATACCAGCCCTGATCGACCCATGAAGCCAGCTTTTCCTTGGCCTTGTCACCCAGTGCGTAGAATCCTGGATTGTCTCGTGGGAAAAACATGGAAACGTGTCCTGTCGTCTCGTCCTTGGCCTTGTCGTTGGTGGCTTTGATCCATTGCATTCCGCCACCCTGCACATCGTCGTCCTCGCTCTGTCTTTGGTTTCCTTGGCTGAGACGTACCGGCAAGTTGCAAAAAGTCCGTTCCTTGCCCGCCAGGCTAGCTGTGATTCCATATCCATCCCTCGCTCCTTTGCCGAGATTGGTGTAAAAGTTGGCCCAGCCGACGTCCCGCTCTCGACAAGCCGCTTCGACATTATCGACCCGGCGGCGGAGGAACTCTGGCTTGAACAATTCGCCAACGAACAAGAGATGATCCCCAGCCCATTGCCATCCGGCACTTAATTTTTCCCGCTGCGAATACAATGCAGCCGCGCCACCAGCAACGACTGCACCTGCAGCACCAGCAAACATGGCGTACTTACCCCACGACTGCCACTTGGGAGCTGCCGCCGCATCTGCGGTCGACGATGTCGCCGGGGCCGGCAACGCACCAACTGCTTTCCTGGTCGAAGCAGAGGTGGCTGCATTCAAGCCTGGCTCCGACTTGGATCCCCAGCCAAACATGTTGGCGACATCTGAGTATGTGTTGTAGGCATTGGCCACGACTTTATGTCCGCCTTCTAAGCCGTGAGCAACCATGCCCGGAGCGAGCCCGAGGTATGGAGTGTCAAAGGCGAGAATCCCTTGGATATGTGGGAACATGAACGATGGAAGACTGGCTGAGTCGTTGTCGACCGCATTGTTCGGATGTGAGGTTGAAGTGGAGGAGTTCAGGGTGGTGTTAGATGGGTAATTTGGTCTCTCGGGGTTCTGTCGTGAGTGTTGCGGAGGAATGGGTTGTTCATTTGCGAGGGTAAGAAAGGTCTCGGCTGCGACTATGCCACCCATGGAGTGGCCGACCAGCATGACATGGACAGCTGGGTCGACAGTGGGCGATGGTGTCATGCGTTCGACCTCGAGGTCAATGACTTTGTTCTGCAGCCTGGCGGATGAATCGGTCAATTAGAAGAGATTCCATTATGATCTTGTCGATAAGCCAATAACCCAGAACGTACCATTCGTGAAATCGCTCGACGCAGTCTTTCAATTCACCGCGGGTTTCAAACTTGGGGTAGGTGACGGCGAAAACGTCGATCTTTGGCAGCGCATGGCTAACAAGAGCTCGGAGATGTTCAGGAAACGCCCCAAAGGTATCATCGCCACCCTAGAAACATCCATTACATTAGTATAAATTGTAGATCAGTGGCGGGAGGTGAAGCGTGGTCCGCGGGGGCAGTTCAGGACTTCTTCTATTCACACTCACCTTGAAGCCATGGATGAAGACGAGAAGTAGTACTTTTCGCATCCTTTCGGAATGTGTCGCAGGCTACTTGCTGCATCATCACTTGCCAGGAACTGAGATGTCAGGGGGCATTGGGCGAAAGGACACTGTGAGTCTGTGATGCTGTTCATTTTGTCATGAGAGACGAACTTGGGTGAATGTAAGCCGCAGACGTGGCCGGAGCGGAATAAGGATACTCCGTAACACCCCAGATTCACAGGTCATTCTCTGGTCGTGATTCATCACGCATGACTCAGGGGCATCCATTCTTTGCAGGGGTTTCTAACCACGTGACTCAGACACGGATGTCGCTCCCTGATAGTCTGCAAGTGGTACCAATCTCTCATATCAACGATTAAGTGATAGTCTTTCACTCTACTAGGTATGAACGATCTGGTATGCAAAGAAGAAAAACTTCTTGTATTGAGAGCTAGCTCGTGAGCCAGACTTTGGAGCAGGGCAATCTAGCCTCAGCTTCTGACTTGATTCTGTACAATATGGATCCATGTATCTGGCCCTGATTGTCCCATGACAACCATCCAGGGCTTCCGACGCCGTTGAATGCTTTGTAAAGAAAATGTTCTGTCTGGATTCCCCCCAAGCTAAACATAAAACACCGCGCTATGCATCGAAAATGTAGAGCATGCCTGCCCATATGAAAACACTTGGCTGACCGTCCGGATGTACTTCAGTCTTAGGCTTGATATGAACGGTGGTGTGCCAGAGGCGTCGAGACGTTGCTCTGTGGCCATGGGTCAAACTGCATCATTGGGAGCAAACCAGTATGACGCTCTGTGTTGACCTTACTCAAAGGCTGATAGTGAATCTGGTCGGTGGTGACGTGCCGAACAGGTGCTTGGAGTGCTCCCGAGGGAGGTGGAATCAGGAGGGTGTTGACAGATCGCACAGGACGATAGGGCGAAGTCCGATTCGTCAAAAAATACGAAGGTGACAACCCAGGAAGTGTGGGAGTCGTTGTATGGTAGCCGTTCGAAGGCGATGTGTGCGTCGAAGCATAGCCAGGCATATGTCGAGGCACATCGCCAAGAAGAGGGATAGGATTTTGGTAAAGATTCTGTGGGATTGCGGAAATTGGAGTCATGGTCTGGGAGTATGCTGTCGTTGCTGGATAGACAGTGGACATGGACCGGCTTGAGGGAATGGATAGGGGTGCTAAAGTAGATGAAGTTGATGGGACCCGCAAGGCATCTAATCGAGGAATTTCCACGTTGCTAGGATAGGAAGGGAATTCGGTTGAGGTACCCCGCGACAGAGGGGAAACTTGGAGGCTATTGGACGGAAATGGCCTAGAGAGCGGTAGATCGATCCCAGGTTGCCCTGAAAATGCTTCTGAGTGGTTATGACGCTTCGCAGGCGGTTGTTCTGCAGCGAAATCCATGCTTCGTTTTCGGTCAAGCTGATGAGGGCTGGCACTGTGCTGCTGACGCAGGGGAGAACTAGGCAGGTTGGGGACAGTGGAGAGAGGATGTGGAAGAGCAGGGAAGTAGTTATTGGTAGCGGGTGCATTGGCAGCAAAGTGGTTGGCGGTATAGTGCGATGAGGGTGGTGATGGCAACTTGTGTGAAATGCTCCGAGTGATGGGTGTGACTGGGGGAGGGATCTGACGGTGTTCGTCTACCACTGGGAATTGGGACGCTTTGTCATAAAACGCGCCAAACCTTCCTAGCTTGGCCTTCCACTGACTCCACTTTTCTGCCGAGGCGTACAAGTCATATCTCATGTTGCTGAGAAATTCGACTTCCATGATGTGGATTTCATTGACTGGAATCCCCGACACTTCAGCCCAGGTTTTGTTGGTGTATGTGTTGTCATCGAGAAACTTGTTTCCCAGCATCAGAGCTACTGTCAAAAGTCGGAATTCACTCCCTCTTTTACCACTGACAGTTGGGTTGAATCGCTTGAGTCGGTAGATGAACATGAGAGCCAGCAGGATCACGTTTTTGCCCACCTGAGTTGTACTGATGATTGTAGTGACCCATTTTCGGAATCCTACGGATGGAATTGCATCCCGCAGGAGCCCACTCGTGTAGGGCTGGTCAAGGGGAAGATCCTCTGCATATTGGAGTGCTTCCGCAGTCTCGAACCAGAACAAACATGTGATTTCAGCCGCAAATTCGGCCAGGCTTCCCTTGCTCTTGTTGACAGACTCTGGAATCTGAAGATGGGGTGCAATCGTGTTGGTGCTGTTCTGATCCACAGATCGACCGTAGGAGGTACCAACGAGGCCCATGGGGGGTGCCAGTGTGATCTGAGAATCACTTGCCGCCGTAGATGCCGATCTCTGGTGAGCAATGTTGTCGTAGGCACGAGGGACACATGCCCTCTGCTCCGTATATCCCTGGTCTGCAAACGTGGTGTAGTTGTTGCCCAAAAGGACACCAGGCATGGCTTTAGACGCTGAGGGTGGAGTGGGCAAACCGTTCAGGAAGATGTTTCGTCCCTGATGCCAGTTCTTGTCCGTGCCCTGTGCCGGTGGAGTGGTCTTGAAAACTGAGGCCGTTGGGTATATCCTCGAATCGAGGTCACAATCTGAGCGATTGGGAATCGACATGGGCGACATGAGGATGATGGGGAGAGGAGATGGCGAGGAAGATGGACGGTGGTGGTTTGGGTTGCGTGGTGAGCATGGGTGAGTGACTGTGACTGTGACTGTGGCTCAAGAACGGGTGGTGGAAGATATGACAAGGCGAAGACAGTGAATATAGGTGTATATAGTGACGTGATATAAACAGGCAGGTGGATAAAAAGGATGACTCCCACCAAGAGGAAGGGGATCAAGGTTGACTTGTGGGTGAAGTAGAATTGAAAAGCATGTTCAACAGATTGATGAATGTTTCAGTGGGAGTCAAGTGAGGAACAAAACGATGTTTGGTGGTTTGACTGGATTGGGGACTGGAATGAAGGAATGGACATATGGTGGTGGTGGATCCGCGAGGCAAGTCAAGGTCAAGTGGAGGGAGAAGCTTCAACACAAATGTCGTGCTTCCGGTAAGTCAGGCAAGTAAGGATGGACCCAGGACCCAAACAGACAAAACGCCTCCAAGAGGTCAGAGGTCAGATATGGAGAAGGAGCAATCAGCAGGAGACGCAAATGACAAAATGAATCAGGACGCAGTCACCCGAAGGTCGGCAAGGTAAGTTTTGTGGCTGCGCCGGACAGTTGGGCTCAGATGGCTGACCGACGATGATCTCGCTGCGGTCGTATTCCATTGATAGACGCTCGCACAGGAATTTGTCTTGGAGGGAAGGGGCGGCTGGAGGCTCGGCCGGTACGTTGATGTCAAGGGCCCCAGTCCGGAGCAACAGGAGCGGGTTAGCAGATGAGCCAGTGCAGCAAGAGACGAGGCAAGAATCAGACAAGAAAGGGAGACACCAGAGGGTGGGAAGGTAACTACGAGACTGGGTACACGCGGCCGAGCCAATCAAGGCGGAAGCACAGGGACCCAAGTTGATGGGAACAGACTGGTGCGATGAATGCCAAAGTGGACTAAGACGGGATGGCGGAGTGTAAGTGATGGCATGTTTGGGACAAAGAAGGGTTGCTAGGATAGATGATGAAGGCGGAAGCCAAAAAGAAAACCAACGAGCGGCAAAACCAAAACCGGTGGTGCGTGGTATTGTGACGAGCACAGTCGGCTGGTGGAAAATGGCCGCAAGCATTTGCCATTTAGCTCGGCTGGCTGTCGTATCTGATCATTCACTTTCACGTCCGAGGCCTGCATCATGACTGGTGGTGGGGACTTCCCTGGGACATCCAAGGCCACAGGACCACTTACTGGGCCACTGGGCCACCGAGTCTGATGGTGACTTTTGTGACCTCTGGGGCTTGGAGCCTATGGAGTCAAGGGGATCAGTCTGGCCTTGGTGCCAAGGGAGAGCCTGGAAGGATTTGGGCAACCATCCGACGGCACTGGCTTGGGTCTGACTACTACTAGTTGGGGTGGTTATGCACCGTCGGATGGAAAAATTTGGGACACCTAAGAGAATTGAAGAGAGTTGTGCGGATTTGCAGACAGGGCCCCGTGTGTCAGTCGTAATGGGGCCTGTGCCTGTGCCTGTGTCCAAAGTTCTGACGAGGGCCCCGGAGGTAGAGGGGGGCACTGGGGGCCAGTGGTCACTGGTCAAAAATGGTCAGGACTGGTCAATGGTGATCGGCGAGTTCTGGCTCTCCGTCTGTGCAAGCCAAAGTTAGCCTCGTGGATTGACTTGGGTGACTTGACCATCGGCAGGCTAGGAATCGGATCGGTCGAACATCAGGGACTCTGGACTCTTTGACGCGGGTATCGACTCGCGCAAATGGCACCAAACTCTGTGAAAACTGGGCGTTAGGGAGTGTCTTGCAGGCATCTGGTTGGCCATGACTGGACTGGAACTCGTAGTGTGGGGACCCGGGCTGGAGGAGCATCATGAGGTACGGGTACGGTACATACTCCGTAGGCGAGCAAGCAATAATATGAATTTTCTTACAGGATGGGCATATCCACTGGCGCTAACGGAATACTGACATGGAGTCGAGCACGGTCAGGTCTGGGTTGATTATTATTGTCGGGCTCTACAAACTGAAATTGGGGCCCAGGGGCGGCAGAGACGTTGGATGAGAGGATTAGAGGATCACAGACCTAGTCCTCGTTGCGCTTGGGGTGTGTTGCGAACTTGCTAGAATGCAATGCAAGTGGATGCGAATGACCAGGACCGAAACCTGCGTGTTGGAGTCCGGCCAAATTGCTCTACGCAGACGGGAGGGCGTGACTTGCTGTAGTCCGTAACCTCACGGACGTGGCCCCCGTGCCCCCCTAGAAGTTCTAACCAGTTTTGCCGGGGCCACGGCGGATCAGCAACGACTCAAAGAATGAAGGGGGGGATCCATACCCTTAGGCAGAGGCAGCCACGTCTTTGGTACTGGCAGCGGTGGTAATATTTTATTGGGTGGATCATCCACTCGAACATGTCTCCGTGAGTGAGAAAATGAGGGGCGGTCCAACATTTGATCGAGCCTGCCAGGCTGCTACTGGTGCCAGTCCGGCGTTGCCTGCACGCCTAGGGATAGTACGCACACACAAAGACGCATCCGCAGACGTCGCTGCCGCCGCTGCCGTGCAAAGCCGAGCCCATTTACCTCCTCCAGGTGACATTCTTTACCGCTTCTAGCATCTCACTCAACCGGTAGTACCCCGTGCGCACCCAACACCCACGTACGCCAGAAAACAGAGTTTCAAACACAACATGCTCTTGCAAAGTTTGCTGGTTTAGTTACGCGGCGGCTGGACCTGGTCGAGGGGCCACATTACATGCCCTGAGACTGCCGATCGATAGAAAGTAGATTTGAACCGATGCTGAGCTTGGTTGGTGGTGGATAATCGTTGCTTTGACTAGCTACTACTATCCCGGCACTCTGTGCCCTTCATATTTTAAGACTTTGCATGGCTTGGATGGCAAGACCAGTCGAAGCTAAACCTGGTCGGATCGGTCTTCAAAGAGCTCTGATGCCACCTGCCACGCCACTCGCGACTGGCAAACCACACAGTAGGGTACTGTCCTGTCGTACTGTGTGTAGTACTTACTGTCGTCGTGGTGGAGATGACCGGACGGCTGCGCTGCGCTCCCTGACGCAGCGGCGAGTTGCACCCGAGTCGAGAACGCAATCCGGGCAATGTACGACGGCGAAGCCACATATTGACAAATGATATACATGCAATGCTCAAGGGGTAGACATGACGGTGATGGTGTCAAGACTAATTAGCGAAGTCTGACTTGGATCCTACAAAGGCTCCTCAGAGAGGCTCCGTTTGTGGACAGTTTTAGCGGCACACAATTCAGGCCCGTGACCATGAGCTATGCAAGGTATCAAAGGCAGGCAAGGGCAAAAGGTGAAAGGGTCGAAGATCAAAGGTTCAAGCTAGGGGGAATGCGGACGTCCAGTCGTCCAGTCGTAGTGGAGGAGTTGCAGTACGAACGGCGAGAACGCAGACTGGTGGAAAGCCAGAGTGACGGTGTTGGAGGTGGCTGATTTGCCCACTATGATTGTTTGAAGCAAGGAGGTCAACAGCTCCCTGGGCCGGAGCAAGGCTATTTGCGCCAGGTCGTGGCGGGGTCCAGGTTGGACATGTTTATTATTATTCATGAAGATGATTATTGGAGACTTGACTTCGATAAGTCCACCCAGGGCCACACCTTACAAGTGGGCGGCTTGGCCACCACGACGATGTGGTTGATAGTCAAATGTGAGCATGCTGATTATTGAACGGGCTACCTAGTCATGAGTGGACGGAGCTGGCGCAGGATTATCAGGTTCTCCATACTGTCATGGTGGACTACGGAGTAGATACAGTAGTAGTATGCGTCAAAATGAATCTGTGGAGCATCTTCCATGGTTGCGTTACCGAGGTGTGACCATGCGACGCAGTTGTGAATGGCGTTGATGCATGCTTTGAAACCAGCTTGTGCAGGATGGCTCGGAAGACATGCCATCCTCAGTGAGGGTTCTTGACTCTCAACAGGCGGCCCATGGGGGACACGTCTCGGGAGCGAGAAGGGTGTTTTCTTGCGTAGAAGTGTACGGGCAAGTGGAGCGGATTAAACCCCTGCTCGTTGCTCCCTCGTCCACTACGGAGTAGGTGACCTTTCACAGAGATCAAAGGCTGGAGGTTGACGGTCATCGGGTGGCGTGGATGTTGGACCTGGTATGGGGTCTGTTTCGTTGCTACCAGGTTCATGAGTGGCGAGACCAGGGTGGAATTTTGAGGCTTACCAACCGCGAGTTACGGGCATTCTGGGCGACAGACTGGCGTACGGAGTACTCTGGAAATATCATGCCAGACTACGCTATGACAGTTTGCTAGTGAGCTAATCATTTGGGCTGAGAGCCTTAGCCACTCGAAAAAAGTGGACGGTTTCTCAACACCTGTCAAATCCGGCAGGTGACGACAATGAGTAGAAAAGAGAGAGATTTACAAGAATAGCATCTCCAGCTGACGAGCCTCGAGAGATGATTTCATGAATCTAATCGAATCACGATCGAAATTGGAGCCTGTGTTCGTGGTTGTTGGGCGGCCAGCGGACTTTTGGCGGGAAGGCTGCCACGCCTGCTCACAATCATATCTTGGGGGGATGGACCGTATCAAGAACCAGGAGTACTCGTACAATAGTAGTACGAAATATTAATAAAATGACATGGGAAAAGACTGATGAAATGCAGATCGAGGTGCAAATTTTCCTCAGGTCGGGCCCTGGGTAGTCGCAAGAGGAGACAAGTGGAAAGTCACAACTCACAGACGCAGCACTTGATTTCTTGATCTAACCACAAATTCTCGTTTTGCTCCTTTCGAAAGGTTGTTGGAAGTTTAGGATTGACAGTGCCACATTGCATTGCCTTGCCTCAGCTGGGTTGGCACCACTGACCACTTATTACCCACTACTTCATCAAGCCATGGGTCAGTTGGTCACCCAGGGCCACTTGGAGCTGCGACGCGCCATGATCAGCTGGTTTCCCATTCCGGCGAATCTAGGCCGTCTGATATGCGCTGAATATGTCTGACCTCATAACTATGTGCGGCCGTGGGCTCCACATGTGGCTTCGATGCAATAATAATAGTGAAGCAACAGCATGACGAGCAAGGTGGATGAAGGGTGACGAGGACGGGTGACTGTGATCTCCCGGCCCCCCTTGTGACAGTGCATGTTGCCTTGGAAATATGTTTCTTGAAGTCGAGAACAGACTGACAGAACCTGCATGGATGGGGACTTTGAAAAGCAGGCAGACATGCAACATGGAAGAGCCAACCCTATGCGAAAACAATCGGCGAAACGAGACACGGAACAAGTCACAAGCAGGCTCCAGAGCCACCAAGGCCCAATGATGGCCCTGGGTGCCTGCAAGGACTGTCGGACTCATTATCACCCGGCGATTCTTTTGCCTGAAGGCCTCTACTCCATTCCCCGTAGCAGTGAGGATCCAGGGCCCTCGGATCTTACAGGCGTGCCGGGCTTCGCATCAATTCACCAGGCACCAGGCAAGCTGGACTCGCCGTCCTCCGATTCTGCCACACACGCTGCTCGCTAATAACTTGGGCGTAGGCACGCTAAGATACCTACGCATACCTACCTAAGAATGTTATTGGAGGGTCTCATAGGCCCGAGGGGCCCAGAGGTCGATGAATGACTGGTTGATTGGGGACGCCAACAAGCCTATCGCTACCCCCGGAAGTACCTCAAGGACTAGAACTCTTGACTCTTGACCCTTTTGACCTTCTTCTTCTGCGATGGCCTGAAACCCAGGTTCCTGATCATCACTCCCCCGGCCTCCTTCTTACGCATACACGTACGGAGTACGCATATGCGGATGCATCGTCTCATTTGCCCTCTCGCTAATCCCACATTGTTGGCCTGACGTGCGTTAAACCCCCAAAAGTCCACTTCAGAGAATGGCCCTGCCCACCGGTTCACTCGGCAACAATATTCGTTTCTGTTGCCTCTTTTTGGTGGGCGGATCAATCTATCATCGACTCATCCCGCATGCCGATGCTCTATCGATACTTGGCCACTTGGTCTAGCCACTTTTCATCACCGATTCTCGCGTCTACCATCCACGACCTTCATCATCACCTAGACGAAGGCGATAACACCTGAGAAACTCATCTCTCGGTGTAGACGGCATCGCGGGCTGAGTCTCAAATCTTCTACTTTCCTTTTGCAAATTGCTACGCAACCAGCCCCTTGAGAGTTCGAAAGCTGATTAGCTGGCGAATTCCGGACTGCACTATCACCACGTACCCTCATGCTGTTGGGGCGAGACTTCGTGTTCTGATCATGCTGCTTGCTTGTTCCGTATCTTGCCCACTTTGACCAGCTGTGATGATGATTGGACATAGTATGCTTTGATTTGCTCTAGGACTTCCCTGTCATGGGCAATAAAGTCTACCTGTCTACTCCGGTCATTCAATCCGTCATTATTCTTGTCGTCATCCAGAGGCTGGCTAGTCTTGACGAGAAGAAGGCAAGGTCATATCTCATTGGCATTGTGCCGCACAAATTACCATTGATCATCACCGAGACACGAGGACAAGAAACATGTCCGCCTCACCTGCCAACCAAGGTCCACTCCTTGCACTTCATTTCTGTGCAGGACCTGAACAGCCTACTTTTGGTTTTTATCCCAGACGCTAGACACATGCTGAGGCTGCGATTTCTGTGTGGCCCCAGTCACACAGTCTCACCAGCCATTCATCAATATCATCACTGGTATTGAGATTTGACAATCTGCAAGGGTTTGCCGACACGATACAACCGAGGGGCCACTCCGAAGTCGAAGTGTTGTGTGAACCTGCGCCAGTTGGAAGTGTGCGCTGATTCAGAGACATTGTCGGGTGTCAATCTATCCTCATGCCCATCATCGATTGACCAATCCCACTCTACCATTGCAACCCTTGCTCCCCTTGCCCGAAGACCTTCTTTGTCATGTCATGTTACGGCACATTAGTCCGACTGGAACACGGCGAGATGCGATACTCCACTCAGCAAGTTCTCCACAGTTTCCAACTTGACTTGTCGCAGCAACCGAGTGTTTAAAACAGCTGATGGAAATGCTAACAAAGCATGTGATTCAGATCGTCCAAAGGTCACGTGTCAACACGTATAGGACCATAGTGCCTTCCTAAGAGGTTCTGATTTTAGGTCCCTCTTGCATTTTGCTTTCGTTGCCTCAGGGGTTTACGATTACCTTCATGGAACTCAACAAGATACTCCCTTGTGTGCCGAGAATGTGCGATTCAGCTTTGTTGCCTTATCCAACGCTGTGCCGCCTTGTCACTGCGCTTCGAAAGCCTGGAGGTCGAGTATCAAAAGGCAAGTTATTCTCATATGAGAAGACCACCTCTTTATGGATGTTTTCAATCTTAGACATCTCAATCTCTACAGTGTCTCCGTTCTTCAGCCAGGGCGAAGGCTTTATGAATGCCGCAATACCCTCGGGCGAGCCTGTCATGATTGTCGCCCCACGCTCCAAGGGTATGCAGTGACCGAAATTCCGAATAAGCATAGGAGTTTCAAAGATCATGTCGTTGGTGCCCGATTGTTATGTTGTTTCCCATTCGAGATGTATCGTGGTTGTCAATTAGGATGGGTCCGGTTTGACCATCTTGGACACAATAAGCCGCCCAACTCGCACAAACCTGTCAGTCTTCACGACGAGGCTCAGCGGGATTGATGCACTTGCTGTCTCCCCATGATGTACTCCGTTCGGCCATTTTTTCTTTTCGGATAACGGGTCCCTGGCTTAACCGGCTTTCGGCTTCTTAAACCTGATTGGCTCAACGCCGACTACACTTCCGAGCTCCTTTCTCGGTACTTCCTCCTCTTGCTCATACTGAATGTGTCCATCAGCAGGACAACCGATGGAAGCATGGATTGCCGATCATCTTTTATATCTTACGACTTTCCTCAGGCTCAAGCTGCGCCTGCATATATCATGTGGAGATGACGCCACTCTGTGAATGAAGTAATGAATCCCAAGCTAATTTACTTACCTATAAATCATGATGTCTCAAGTCAACGGCGCCAAACGTGATGTCCTGTGGCCAAAGGTCCTACAAGGCAGTGCCACTCAACAGGTCATCGAGAGATTTTTCACTGCCGCAGACGATCCAACAAAAGAAGGAAGCACCATGTTCAGCAAATGCTTTACCTCAACAGGAGAATTGATGGCGCTGGACATGTTTGCAAGGGTCATGAAGGTGAGTACTCTCGTCTCACCACGAGTCGTCGACCCTGAAACAGTGCATATCGACGACTAATCAACGACGATGGACTAGAAATATTTAAGTTCCGCGATAGTTCCTGGGATCCTATCACTTTTCGCAAGCACGAGATTAACAAGCTTTACGTGTCAGACCATGATAATAAAGATGTCGTTATGCTAGGTCACGTCACCTTTGGGCACAAAAATGGGCAGAGGACGTCGGCAGACTATGTGGGAAACTTTGCCTTTGCCAACACCGAGCAGGGGCCTCGAATTGAGAAATATCAGTCGTGGATGGTAGGTTGTCGTGGAATGTGGCACTGGGGGATTTTGTTCTCAGAAGACTTGTGTGTGTGTCTGCTAGGATTCGAAGCCTTTGGCAGATCTGATGGCGACGGGAGATAAGCCATGATATTATCATCATGGCTGCGCAATAGTCATGAACAGATAACACTTAATGCGGCTAAGCGATGGGCTTCGGAAGCTCTGTCTGGTTTCTCAGAAAAATATCTATAACTGGATTTTGAGGATAGTCTCACGCCAGTCGAGTACCGTTAGATTCGATTCTATCTTACATATCGAGTACCTTCTATTCTTAACGACTGGGCGGTTGTTTTGCACCTCCAGCAATGCCCAAATCTTTCCTAATATCCAGAACCACTGGCTTGTTCTCCGCCGGTTGACGGTTCCAGTCCCACTCGGCCAACTTTTCATTTTCCGCGTGTAGATACAACAGGTCTGCTGCAGTGTTACGTACTCTGGGCCACCGGTGGAGAAGCTGGCGTGTCATCTTGTCTAGCGCTGGTACTCGATACGTGGCAATTCCAACAATGCGTGAGTATGCATTCAACAGCGATTCTGCGCGTGCAAGAGAGCACGATGAACCCTGCAGCGCGAGCAATGCCGAGAACAGATCCACGTCTCCAGCCTTTACGAGGTCAACGTGGAAGAGATCGTGGTCAATCATGACACCGAGGAAATCGAGCATCGGGAGCACAGCTTTGTCGTCTTGAGTTGCACTATCCGCGAAATGGTCTAGCACAATTTTGGACACCGATCGTACAAGGACATCTCGGTCATAGACAGGGAGAGACTGGAAATATGCCACAAATGCATTGGATGCAGCTCGGCAAATGTCTTCGGTCCCAGCTGTCGCAGATGATACAAGGCCTTGGATCAATGATTTTCGTGCCCATTCCGTAGAGAGAAGATGCAATAGGTTTTCGAAATATGCCACCGAGGACACCTGACCAAGATAGTCGAAGCGCGGACTGGACTGCGTGGGATGTTCCTCCGATAGATGTCGTTCTAGTGACTGCCACGCTCGAAATCGAACGTTGTTTAGTTTCTCTGCCGCAAGCTTGACGATGGGCGGCATCACGGCTTCTAGCACAGCACGGGAAACGTCTGCGGACAAGTTGACATTGTCCCTAAGCGAGTCGACTGCATCCAAGCTTTTGAGTCTCAGTGTGGAACCGATATCGCCTCTTTGATCATTGGTGTAGTCAGCCAGGCCACTGCTCAGCGCATCGGCAATGGAGCGTGCTTCTGCCACACTGTTGAGCACGATGCTTGGGAGTATAATGCTTAAACCCTCCATGGCGTCCACCCGGGTTTCAATTTTATAGCTGCCCTCGATAATTCCGACCAGGTAGGACACAACCTCCTTCCGGAGAAGAACCAGTTGGCTCGGCTTGGCTGAGACGAGATGGTTATGAAGGAGGCTGAGAGTCTTCATGCGTCCTTTACTGGTGTAGACTGTTGGCGACTGGTCTGCTGGGTCAAGCCACTTGGAAAGTATTGCAGCTTGCTCCTCAACAGGGAGATGTGTGATGACCTCGAAATTGGCATGGGCGCTGGCTTCGACAACGAGTTCGCGGCTGCTAGACCCTGTACAGTGAGATAAAATCTCCCACGCGGATGCAACCCATGATTGTTCCATGTCGCTGACCGAATCAGGCGCGATCGCAATAGAACTTGACATCGTACTGATAACGGAGGAAATACCTTCCATGATAAGTTCAACATCTGCAGTGAGCCGGCCGTCAATCTTCCCTGTTAATTTGTACAAATCGATGATCTTTTCGCCTTCTGGTAGCCACCTCACGGGCATTGCGAAGGTGGGGTCATGTTGTGCAAGAGCTTGTAATCCAGACGACAGCGCCAACAGGAGACCATGCCGGACGCCGGCAGTGCTGCCAACATTGAGAGATTTGAGGTCGAGAAGATCAATGTAAATGGTGCGTGTGAGCAGCAAGACATCTTCCAATGGCAAATTCTGAGCAAGTTTCCGTAGGGCGTTGGAGGCCCAACGTCTCTGATTTGGGTCCACGGCGCGAGAACCACGCCATTCGGTGAAAGCCTGGCAGAGAGTCAGGTGATAGAGCGGATCGAGAAATGCCGCTTCAACGGAGACCTCTAGCATGGCACGAGACAGTCGTGCAACAGCATGATAGTCAATTGTTTGGACGATTGAGATGCCTTGGCTAATGGTGTCTGGATGTCGGCCAATGAGTTCTTGCAGAGCAGCGGAAGCACCACGACGAATATTGCCTGAGGGGTCTGAGCAGGCCGAAACGGAGAGCCGGCAAGCCAGTAATTGGAGAACGCTCTGAATATGAAGTGATCTGTGGAGCGCATGTCCTGCAAGTTGTGAAATGTCGACGAGGGCAAGCTCAGCGGTGCTGTACTTTCTCGCTACAGACCAGAGGCCGAAGCATGCTGCATCCCTGACGCCGACACCAACTGAGGTCCCCACGTTGGACCGCTGTTCGAACTCGAGGCCTGATATCAACGCCTGTATGATCGAGGTGAGCATTGTCGCTGGAGGAGATCGACGGAACAAAAAGTGACCTAGAGTTAGCATCAAACCATGCCACTTCAACGGGTCAACAGCATCAATATTTGTCCTCAAGCCCCTTGCTTTTGAATTGTTGCGCTCAGTCAGTGGTGTCAACTTGCGAGTATGCGGATCTTCGAGGAAGACATTCTCTTTCAGAGTGGCAAGAACAGCCTCAATAACCTCTTCTGACATGTCTTGGTCCAATTTGAGGGCAATGATACTAAGTGCCTTTGCTGCAGTCATTCGCACGGGAGTTTCCTTGTCACCCAGACCATCAAGAAAGTACTGGATGCCTCCCTCAAGCATCAAGTTGAGGGAATCTGTTGATAAACGGGCCGTTGACTGACACCAACTGATGGCATGGGTCAGAACCACCCGGGTAATTTTCAAGAGCAACTTCCTTGCCGGGGCAAAGCTTCGGAGGAGGACATGTCGATCATTCTTAGATGTAGCAATAGCAGAGGCAAGCTGAAAGATTTTCTCGAGATAAGGAGCAATTTCGCTGTCAGACGCTGAATTTGAGATGCCATGTAACAATGACAAAAGGCCAAGAGCACGATAGGGGCTTTTGTCCACCAGAGTATGGTCTTCAAGTAACGTGCGAATGGCATGGTTGAGAATTCTGCCATGCAGATCATGTTGTTGCATATCTTTACGAAGACACAGCCGGACGAGCAGAATACTTGCTGTCTGCTGTTCCTTGCCAGATGTCTGAAGCTGTTCGAGCGCAAGGGGGGCCACATCAGCCGCGATACCTGGAAGTTGCCCCATGCCTAGACTTGATTGGCGGGATTCAACATCAGGGGTGTCGATATACATGTTGACCAGCTCAAAGGGCGCCAACATCAAGTGAGACAGCCACAGTAACATGATGTAGCGCTCTTCCCAAGTCATACCCAAGCCGGAGTGATTCCAAGCTTGAAAGGTTTGTAACATGGGGACAAGGTATCTGGGTTCATTGTTCAGCAAGCGGACAATTACCTTGTACCCTCTGACTTTGCAAAATGAATAGAGAAGCCGACAGATTGCGCGTGGCAAGGGTGATGTATTGGATATGCCTGCATTGTAACTTGAGCGGGAATTCGCCATGTAGTAGATGAAGGCATCAGCTAGATGTTGTACCATGGTGGCCAGATACGGATCGAGCAGCTGAGGCCATTCTTGAAAGCGATCGAGCTAGAATGGGATCAGTCGTTGTATATTAGAACCTACCGGCTGCCGGTGCTTACGAGTTGCCTGAGTTCTTCGCATTTGACATTGAGAACCTGTAGACGAGGCTTTGGGGGTTTTGTGCCAGGATGGGATAGCAGTAGAGGCAACTTAAATTTGATCTCATTCAGGAGAGTGCCGGACGCCTTGTAGAGTTTTGCGTCGAGATCTTGCTCGGCGGCATCCATTGAATCCTTACTCTCATGGTTAGACCAAGGCAATCGGCAGACCTTGGTCAGGGTAGGAAAAGAAGGAGATTGTTGGTTGTTGTTGGTCGTTTCAAGTTGAAGGGATTGGAAGGGACGAAGTTGGAGAACATGTGATTTCGTGTCTCTGGGCGCCCCAAGCTAAACCGGAAATGGCTTAAGCCGGCCCCCTCGGCCCCCAGCGAGACAAGGCAGGCGCGAGCGTCTGGCGCCGCGGCTCCTGCCGTTCAAAGTGGAAGCATGTTGGGTCGCACCTGCAAATCTGACGTATCAAGGTCAATGTCATCGTGCCTGCCTCATGTCCACCATATGGCATCATTGGCTGCAATCAACCCAACTCAACCCATCCCATCCAACCCATCCATCCCAATCCCTACCAAATATTCCAACTTCCAACTTCTACTACTCTACCTTTCATTGGGGGACGGGTGCTCTTCTCGTCCACCGAACGCTGCGCGTAACCTTCCTTTGCAGTGCTAGTATAAGCCCGTTTTCAGGCTAGGCATCGACCACTGCGGTCACAATAATGTCCTGTGTCTTTGACGGGCATCTCGCCATGTCATCGTCCTCCCAGCACGCCCTCCCCTCTGCGGTTCTCGACGTCGCTTGAACCTAACTAAACTAATCTTGCCACACTCATCAGATCATTCTTCGGTTTTCCCATTGTCCTTCGACTTCTCCCACCGCCCGAACGCAGCGACTTCTTTGTTCGTCCTGGGCACAAAGCCAGACATGGCGGCCGCGGTGTTTAGATCGACTTTTGGCTTTGTCTCAAAACTCTTCAACCGCACTCATGCATCTCAGAGTCGTACTGCCGAGGTCGAGCCTCGAGGAAAAAAACGCAAGCAAGTCGAAAGCGACAGCGAAAATGAAGATCTGCACGACGGTGACAACAATCTTCTCCGGTCTGCCAAACGCCCGCGTCTCTTCAAAGGTCGACCAGACTCGGTTCCATACTCGCTAGACACCACCTCAGACACAATTACACTTGCGTTCCCACATCAGCCATTCGGCCACACCTCCAAAGCTGACCGAGATCGATCATTAATGCCACCTCCCACAACACCCTTCGGTCAACCACAAAGGCCCAAAGAAGACGACGCCATTTCATTTACTTCGATGAATACGACCAAGCGAAGAATAGCAGACATGGATGAGGATCAGATCGAGGCTGCAAGGCGCCATGCCGCTGCGATCAGGATCCCCGAAGATTCTGGTATCTGGTCCGAGGCAGAGCAGGACCTTTACTACCACCTCGGCTACCGTGGCTTTGAACCTCTTCTTCCACAGAGTTGGATGATTGACTTTGACACTTTGCCTCTAAGTGTCTTTGCTCATGAGGCTTCGACCGATCTACCACTGATCCACGGGACCCGAGACAATCAATTTCGCGCTGCACATGCCCTTCGCAATCTCCTTGAAGCAGGCCATGATGTTCGTGACAGAACCCATGTCAGTCCAGGCTTGCGCAGGGAGAAGATCCTTGAACGTGTCGTCAATCGTTATCTGACCTGGGCATTAGCGGACATTGGCCTACGGCCTAGATCAGACCCGGACTTTTTACCCACCCACATCGTCCTCGCCCATAGGAAGGGCCGCTCTACCTTGGAGACTCTTCAAAAGATGACCACAAAACTCCACAGGTTAGCCGAGCGTCATCGGCAGGCGCGGACAGTCTACAAAAGTGTCGAGATCGATCCCTCCACTACTCCTTTCGTGGACGCTCATGCCGACGAAGAATACAAAGATTGTCCAACCATGATCGGCCTTGTAATCGTTTCTTCAGTTGTGGTTGTGGTGACGCTAAATCACTTGGGGGACCAAGACCAAGAACACCCTACTACCATCGCTCCAAAGGAAACAGCATTGAAAAACATTTCAACGACCTTCGAACAAACGCAGCCCGGTACTCTAAGAACCATGATCAACCTTGACTTCAGCAAGAGCGATCAAGATGTTTGGAATTCGCTCGGTATAGCCATTGTGGCGATGAGTATCAGAAAAGAAGCACTCAAGAGTAATGTCCCGCAAATGTTGGACGACGGATGGGACGCCGCTTCATTCGTCACATCGCGCTATGGGGACGACGACATGACAAGTAGGCTTGGAGACCTTGACGACCCAGACTTGTGATGATATGGGGTTGCACACGAGGAGGATGAGCTGGAGATACAGAAATGTGACCCAAATTTGTCAAAGGTGATTGTTGCCCTGTCAAGTTCGATATCGATCAGATACTTGAACGTTGGAGCATTGGTATCGACACTCTCATGAGAGAAGAACTTCTTGCCTGGAGCTTCCAGAATGAGCGGGATGGGGCTGTTGGTTGAGGCTCAGGGTCACACTAAGCGAGTGATTAAAGCATGTTTCCTTCTTTTCGAGATCAGATACCCCAAATAGCGAGTTGAACTACGATTTTGGCCTATGTATGACTCTGCCTCTCATGACGACAGCCTATAGGATAATCATTACCGTGATCAATACCTGAGTGAGGACGCCTCTGTTTTATCATCTCACTGATCCCACGAATTCAGGTGTTACCAAGGATGCGAGAGACACGCAACGCCATAGGATCATGTAGAAAAAGCGAATACGTCTTCGTATCATAAGAACTCTGTCTTCACACGTGAATCTTCGCTCCAAAGCACGGATTGATAGACCAACACATTGGTTCAGGCCACACCAGAGCAGACCATCCTCCACAAATCACAATTACCAAAGCGCACCAACGTCATGATCAAACCTAGCCAACTCGCGGCCAGATTCCTCCACCTCCTTACGTGCCTTCATACGCATGTAAAAGATGGGACAATCTTTACTGGAGCACAAGACCTCAGAATGCATACTGCCCTGGCATCGCTGACATTGAGTCCACAGGCGATTGAAGCGCACTTCGAGGTCGCCTGTTTTCTTCACCTGGCGTGAATACAACTCGCCGATCCGCGGCCGGCAGTTCTCGCACACGGCACCCTGTGCTTCTTCCTTGCCGACCAGCGGTTTCTTGCACCCCATGCATGTCTGTGTCTTTTTGGCGAATTTCATCAAGCCTCCCAACGTCGGTGCTGCCACTGAAATCGACCGGGTGTGATCTCCTGCCAAGAGGGAATTCGCGCGACGTTCACCAAGGATGGGTTCGAAGATCCGCCCTAGTGGATTCGCGAGTTGGTTGTCCAGGTAGTATTTGGTGTCGATGGGCACGTTGTTCTCTAACACGTACATGGGGTCTTCGGATTTTTCGTAGTTCTTACTGCCGGCGGAGCCCTTGATGATCACGTAGGCGACACGATCGCCGAGGGCGGGAGCTGAGCCTGCATCACGTTTGCGCATGCGTTCTGCAAGTTCCACGTGAGCTTGTTTGCCGTCATATTCTTTCTTCGAGAGGGCTTTGGTGATGACTAGCATAGACAAATCGATCTTGTTCTGGAGAAGGTTGGAAATGGTTTCTTTGACGTAGTCTTGCGCTCCGTCCAGGTCTCGATCGATGAGAATCTTCTTAAGGACAGTCTCGATCACGACCTGGACGAGCCGGCAGTTGTCTCTTCGTACGGTCTCGATACCTTTGCTGTCCATTTTGTCGTGCTTGTCAGGATTGGTCCAGTACAATCCTGCGTAACGTTTCTTGTTGATCAGCAGGTACGGAAAGTAGACTTTCTCGAATTCCAGCTTGATGGGTTTGGTGAACTTTGAACTGACAAAATTAGCAGCTTCATTGCCTAATTCCATAGTCTTCGCTAGATCTTTCTCTCCGAACTTGACCATGACTGAATCCGTGTCACCGTAGATGACCTGTGCATCATGGGAGTAGCCATTGGCGATAGTGTACTTGGTCTCGACTTCGTGCTTTGTTTTCTCAATCATCTGACGGCCATAGGCAGTCGTGCTTGACGCAATAGCAAGACATGGTAGTTTTCCGACCGTCGCACCAGTGATACCGTAGACTGAATTGGCCGAAATCTTCAAGGCCAGCTGACGACCGTTAAGAACGGCCTTTTTGAAAGGGTCTGTCTCGCTCGCGAGCTCTTTCTTTGCTCGCTTCCGTGCACCCAGCAATTCTTCCAGAATTTGCGTGAGCAGACCTTTGCGGACCTTGGCAGTACAGAAGTAGTCGCCGTTGGGAGTCAGGATGTAATCTTCGTCTTTCTTGAGGTTAAGTTTGTCAATACTATTCTTGTTGAGGAGGGTCGTATAGCACAAGTTGTGTGCTTGCATGATTGAGGGATATAGAGAAGCGAAATCCAGTGTAGCGATAGGGACATCGTAATATCCTCGGATCGGTTCGATGACAGTCGCACCTTCATACTGGTCGTCAGAACTTTCATTCGGCAGATTCGGAATGACAAGCTGGTGTTCGAGTGCTTTGCGAAACAGCTGACTGATGAACTTGACTTGCTGACCACGAGCGAGGAGATAGTTGAATGGGACACCAGTGACTCTGGCCATTTCGGTATAGTTGACCAAACACATGAGTTTGTCCATAAGCCGTTGTGGCAGGTATGCATCTTTGAGACAGTATACAGCCAATCTTCGTCGGGAGTCAGGTGTACCATTAAACAATTCTGTAATCATTGTATGGTGGACATCTTCTTTCTGCTCTCCCAGGAAATGCGCACACACCGAGTTGAGAGTATAACTGCGCAGTTGGTGGTCGCGCTGGACTAATTGTAAAAGATCAAGTTGGATACGTCCATTGGTGTTGGTAGATTTGGTGTCGCGGTTGCCCATCTGTTTACTGCTGAAGCTTGTGCTTTGCGAAGAAGATATTACGCTCTTCATTCGAGTCCAGTATGGGAACTTTGTCAGTTTCAAATGTCTTGCTCTGTCGAGAAGATATGGAAAGTCGAAGTTGGCAATATTGTAGCCGATGATGACATCGGGGTCGACTTTTTCGAGAAAATCGCGCCAGGCCATGAGCATTTTGGCCTCGGAGTCGTGCTCGTAGATTTGGGTGTTGACTATTAAGCTGCAGGTATCCAGGACGAAAACATTGCGGACAAATGGTTTGGTTTCTCCGTATCTGGTGACCACATTGGCGATTTGAATGACAGGATCGATGTTTGGTTCAGGGAAGACACCTTTCCTGCCTGCACACTCGATATCAAAGGACAAAATTCTGAGTGGGGCCATCTTCGCCCATTGTCCTTCGGAGCCGTGAGAGATAAGATCTCGATAATGGCAATATGCTTCGATCTGGCAGTTGGACTGGCGTTCGTGCTGAGGCATGACATTGTATTTTCCTGGCCCAACGCCAATCCAGGACATTCCAGAAACTCCCGTGTCAATCATGAAGCGTAGAACATATTGGATGCTGTCAAAGGTCAAGATCTTGCCCTCGACCGCTTTCCACATGCCTTTATAGTTCCCCCGACCGTCTTCAAGTGCCGAACGCAGTTTGTTGATGAACTTGGGGTCTGTGACGGTGATTTTGAGGTATGGGCTCTTCTGATTGCCCTGGAAGCCATATAGATTTTCACGTAGAACCATTTGGACGGAGTGGATTGCGGGCTGATGTTGTGCAAGTTGGGCCTCCAAGAAAGCTTTGTACCCTTCGACATCTTGACGCTGGAAGTTGACGGGGGCGGCGACATAGAGGTAATGCAAAAAGTCGGTAACATGGAGGAGAATGGAATGGCCGGTCTGTCAGGTTGTTAGTCTTCGTTGATCACTAATGGTAGAGAACGGAAGGTAAGATCACACACCTCTGAGACACCAAACATTTTCAACGTGACTCTACCCCCGTGAAGAGTACCCTCTTCAATCTCTATCTGCTGAAAGCAGAGGTCATCTGTGTCGGGTTTGAAATCATCGAGACTCGGACGGTCCCATTGCTGATCTTTTTCTGAATTATTCTCCTTCAAGCCAGTGATGTCCTGGGTCATCTTCGCAAGCACCTCGGTCTCGAAATGGCTCTTGGGCTGACTAGACCCAAATTTAGATCGTACGCCATTCTGGGCGGCTTGTGAGGATGTGAAATTGGCATTGAGGCCGGTGTCGTTGAGTTTCCTCTTCTTTGCCGAGGAGGGGGACTTGAGGACATTGTGGGTGTTGGTGGCGTCAGCAAGGACTCTCTTCTGAGACTTCTCTACCAGTCGACCAGGCATGATTGCTGCGAGAGAGACAATGCCTTACAATGTCAACGTGGAGAAGAGGTGGGAGGATTCTCGTCAGGTATATTGTGGCATTGAGCGATGTTCTGAAATCGTTTGGTCGCGTCAAGTCGCGTCACGTCACGACGTGATAAAGAGAGACTTGGCGCCTGCCACTTCATGGATGTACAGAAATAGTTTAGCGCGGTGCCTCTCCCCGTCAACATCTGACCTTACCGCATTGGGAAACATGCAATCTGACCGCCTCTATGATTCTATTCTTGCTACGCTTCATGTCTCAGGTGCCCCTCATATCCGTCTGCCCAAGATCTTGCTTGGGTTTCTCTGGACTTCGCTGACTCTACACTGTCTGTATCCGAGATCTCAAGATTGAAACTTCGTCGTCTAAGACTTCGGATTTATTGCAACTCAGAACACTCAATCAAGGGACCAACATGGCGGACGACGCAGCGGCGGACAAGACGCCAGGGTTCAAGGTGGGGGAGAAGAAGACATTGGACGAATATCACAGTCTGGGTAAGTAAGTTCACATCAACCGACATCTGTGGCACAAGGCTGGTCTATTGTCCATGATTGTCGTACGTCTACTCAATAGTCTTGTGTATCCTTGGGATTCTCTTCAACCACTCCCTTTGACTCTTCTTGGCATGCCTCTCATACCAGCCAGAACAAGACAATAACATGACCATACGACTAACCAACAATCACACATTTCAGATCAGGAAGACGATGCTTTGAATAGATGGAAGGCTTCTCTTGGTCTAGCTGCTGGTAACTCGGTCTCGGATCCCAATGATCCTCGGCTGTGTATCATCAAGTCTCTTGCTCTGGTATCTATCTCGCCACCAAAGTTCTTCTGTAAATCTATTTGAGCTAATCACCCAGCATAGGAAGTCGAGGGTCGACCTGACATCACGATCGATCTTTCTCAGCCAGGAGCTTTGGATTCATTGAAAGGCAAGCCCTTTACCATCAAGGAAGGGTGCAAGTATCAAATGAAGGCCGTTTTCGTCGTTCAGCATCAGGTTCTCTCTGGTCTGAAGTATGTTCAAACTCTGAAGCGCAAGGGTATCCCTCTCGGCAAAGACCAGGAAATGATTGGCAGCTATGCACCAAATACCAAAGACAAGCCGACATACACCAAGAAATTCGCACCTGAGGAAGCGCCTTCCGGCATGATGGCTCGGGGTCACTACGATGCGATTTCGCGGTTTGTCGATGACGACGATGTCACCCATCTGAAGTTTGAATGGTCGTTTGACATTGCCAAGAACTGGTGATTGACGATAGCCCACCATGGGAGTTATGAGGAGTTTCCAGACCAGACCAGTTGCCTGGTGCACTGAATCTCGAGAGCATGATGATGAGATCCAAGGCTGGGGTATTCGCGTTGTAGCTGGTCGGTCCAACACGTGACCAGCACTTGAGCGCGAGGAGACAACATTGTCTCTGTAGTGAGTTCTTATTCTCCTAGTTCAGAATAGAAACATGGGAAGGTGTAGAATCACATGTCTAGAGGAAATACTCGATATGAGAACCTTGGCCGTCTTTGCCCTGATTCTGTTGCTGCTGTTGCTGTTGCTGCTGTTGCTGTTGCTCGGTTCGATGGACATCATTCTCCGGCGCTGCGTCAAAGATGTTGAAATACCGGTCTCCGGCGTCGCTAACTTCAAGGACACTGGCCAGGTTACCACATCGGTAGCAGTAATTGGGAGCACTCCAAACGGTACTCAACCGGTCATCGTACAAGACCTGATAACCCTCCTGACACAGCTGGTGGGCACGTAGAATGTGGGACATGCTATTGACCTGCAAGAACTTCTTGACCACATCGCCTCCAAAAGTGTATCCAGCGCCTCGAGGCGACAGAGAGAACTCGTCCCTTTCCGGGTCAGGGTCGGACCAGACCAAGTCGGCCATGGGACCTTCGTGGGGGATTTCTCGATATCGGTCGATGATTTTGATCTGGTCGATCGAGTGGATGGAAGGTGAAAGACCTCCGTGGACGCAAAATATTTGGTTGTTGATGACGACACTGAGTGTCAGGAAATCGAACATGTCGGTGAAATAATGCCAGACGTTGGCATTGCCGTATTTTCTGGCGCACTCTGTGTAGAACCCGTATGACTGAGTGACGCCTCGTGATTCATGGTTGCCACGGATCAAATGGACTCGTGACGGGTATCGTAGCTTCAGGCACACTAAAAGAGAAATGGTTTCGACGCTGAACAGACCACGATCGACATAGTCACCTGGACAGGATGGTCAGTTACGTTGCGCCCATGAATCAACCCATCTCCAAAACAAGACAAGACTCACCAAGAAAGAGGTAATTGGTATCTGGACAAAATCCTCCAATCTTAAAGATCTCAATCATGTCAAAGAACTGGCCATGAATATCCCCGACAACAGTGACCGGTGCTGAAATATGGACGACATTGCTCTCTTTCATCAACAGCTCCTTTGCCTTTGCACATATGGCCTCGATCAGGGATTCGGCGAGGAGATTCTTCTTGTACAGTTGGGCGATACACTCGTCGAGATCAATACTGGCTATTTAATAAAAAGTAAGTCAAGAGAAGATCTGCTTGCGAGTGTAAACAACGTACCAGGAAGTCCAGGCATGGCAGGAAATGTTGATCGTCGAGCGATCGACTCCCGCGCAGTGAGACGACGAATGGAAACAGGGACTGGAGGCAAAAGAATCAACGGCGTTCATTCATGTTGTTTGCTACTGAAACCGAGCCCTCCACGGTGGCAAATGGGCGAATGTCGTCAACGTCGTACTGGTCGCATCGAGGCAATTGATGAGTTCGCAGGGTCGAGGAAGTTGGTCGCAGCCAAGGCGAGAGAGGTGGCGTCTCACCTCGAAAACCGGGGGCAAAGATGGAGTCAAATGAGAGGATCAGGGGGGGCTGTGGGTTCAATCTCAGTAAGGTCAGTCTTGTCGAAGGGTCAACATTGTAGATTCGAGGCAAATTCAACGTCCCAATGCTGAGTTGACCTGCGGAGGAAGATGAACCAGGATGACCAAACCTGTTGAAGCGGCGGGTGAAGAAATGCCACGCGAGGCTCTCGCATTTCCCAAACAGGCAACGCGTCATATGTCACATATCAAGTTAACGTCGTCTGGGAGAATCATCGTGTATTTCGTTTAGATGACCTACTACTCCGTATGTTGTGAATTTGACAGACAGACTCACTTTGACAGAACCAGGAGGGACGTTCAGTGAATCCTGCCGCCATTCAGTGAAAACTGCCACTAGTCACTTGTCAGTGAAGTGCGCCACTACATTAACATGAATTCTAAACGACGCCCATTGATACCGCAATACGTTAATCAGGTAAGGGAACACGTTAAGTTGGTAAGAATCCATGACTGGCTCTCTCTCAGACTCATTTAGTTCTCAATATCAACTCCCTTCCATTCACTACCGTGAGTCATTCATCGCACCAGATGCCTATATAAATCTCGAACGCCGCGTATCTCCAAGTTTTCTGTTTCCCCCTTTCCTCGTTGTATATATATATATACATACCTATACATATATATAATTATTTCATCTCGTCATCAACGACACATGGTCCTCGGGCTGTCGCCCGCGCATGGGTCGCGCGACGACATCGATGCCAATGCTGCTGCATGGGTTACGAGATCGCCATGTCGACGCACTTTGCGCTGGTCGCTTTGTCTGAATGAACGCCATTGGGGTCGGGCAGAAATGTGACAGAACGCCATGCTCATGCGAGACCTTCTTCCCGATGCATTCACATTCTCACATTCGACGAGCTTGAAAATAAAAAGTTCACGGTCTTGTGAACTCTACTTTCTTGCTGAGATTGTGCTTTGATTCCTGAGTCATCTGTCCTCTGTCTTCTGTCCTCCTAATCTTTTGATCTCCAACGGGCTTCATCAAGATGGTTCGATACAAGAATCCGCCAATGTATCTCGGCCAAGGAACGGCTCAAGCCAGCATCGAACAGTCTGCCTCGTCTGAAGAGCTGAGCCGACAACAATCCAGCCATGACTGTGGCTTCAATGCCAACTCCCAGACACCAGCTTATGGTGTCGGGCCAGGATCAATTGAAAATACGTATGTCCTTTGCGATCGACATCCTTTTCTGAACCCCGTTCCTCTAACTGACGAAGTCATAGCAATCACCATCCACCGATTGATCCTGCTCTGGATCGGACTCTCGACACGGCCAGCGGGCCTTGGGAGGCAACAACAGCAGCAACAACAACAACAAACCATGGTTTCCCACAACATCACAGCTCATGGGGAACGCCGGCACAGCCATCCAACTGGGTGTATCCAGATCCCACAACCCTCGGCCTTCCACTCCCGTCGACGATTGATAAACAACTCCAAGGATTCGTTGTCCCTTCCGGAAGAGCCATCGGAGCGCGGTCCGTGGGAGATGATATTCTTGACGAGCTTTACCAGCGATCTCAAGCACTGGACATGTCGCTCGGAGGATCATTCGAGGAAGATGGCATGATTACTTCTGGCTCAAGACAGCCGACCTACAACATGAATTTGAACGACACAACAGGCACATACTGGCCATCTGGCTCGTCAGCGGCGCTGGCAATGGTGCTGTTGGATACAAACGGAGATGCGAGAGAGATCGGCCATTTTGAAATTCTCGCCGCAGCCGAACATCTAGTGAGAAGCAATGCCAAGGGCACAGAGACCTGGTCGATAGGTCAATCAAGCAATTCACGGCAACTTCGACAAACAAAGATCACTATCAGAAAGAGCCCCGTGAGAAAAAGCCCTACCAGAAGAAACCCAGATAGAGAGGCAAAAGGAAAGACTCCAGCAGCAGCAGCAGCAGCAGCAGAAGAAGAAGAAAGAACAGATCGAGCCTTTGGAAGCGTTCAAGACCATGGTGATAATCGGCGTCGTGGCGACAGTCGGGGTCAGAATGGCAACGATAACAATCGCAAGCCCAACGGTACCAATAGCGGCAATGGCAAACAATCTGGTAATGGAAATGGCAATGCCAAAGGAACCAAGTCAAAGGTCACGGCACGAGGACCACGACAGCAGCAGTCATCACCACGACCACCACCATCGTCGTCGCCGCCGCCGCCGCCTCCTCCACCACCTTCGCCACCCAGGCAGGAGCTGCAGCGAGCGTCCCGCGCCATGCCACCTCGAGCTCGCGTTTCATTGCGTCCTGAACCTCGACCAAGTCTAAAGCGAGCGTATGCCGAGATGATGGAGCAACTCATGTCGCCAAAGACGGGCCGGCCGAATAAGAAGGCTCGGAAGGCTTAGCTAACCATGACGACGAAAGTGTTGGAGCGTCGAAATGAGACAATGTTGGTTGGAGCGCTCAAAACTGAATTGTCAAGTCATTGGGCAACTTATGTCTTTGGCCACTTTGAGAGAAATGATCTCGACTGGAAGAGCGGAAGTCATGGGTTTGCACTGATAGATGGATCGAACGAAGAATGGGGAATGAGTTGCAGTAGCATACATATTTTCATCTGCATGGCCATTCAGCCCGGGGGGTGCAGGCTAGCTGGTGAGATATCTGCCATTCAAGGTGTCTCAAATTTTAAACGTGCAAACCAGTATTGAACTAGCGTGACGTCTTCCCACATATCTAATAAGTCGGTCACTATCTACAGTAACATTGGAGATGCGAATAAAATCGACAGTCCATACATATAGTAGTACGTGGGACTGGCTTTCAACAGCCTCTCTGCACCGGTGCTATTACCAGACTGGCATGACCCGGCTATGATTTTCGATGCATGACAGTTGCGGCGGCCTAAACAATGTCAGATGCTAGTTCTTACCATGGCTGATGTGAACAGATGAACACTGGATGGGACTGACCTGGTGATTGGGGAAAATCAAGGTGTCGGCAATGACGACGTTTTCCCTTCGTCCGACTGTGAAGACGACGATCTCTGCAATGTCGTCGGGGGTGAGAGGCTCAACACCCTTGTATACGGCATCGGCCTTGGCCTTGTCGCCGCCAAAACGAACAATGGAGAATTCCTAATGAAGTCAAGTCAGTCAAACCAGTGACAACAACGGATTTCATCTTGGAGTTGGGTGAGCTTACCGTCTCGACTTGGCCAGGATCGATCTCAATGACCCTGATTCTCGTGGCAATCAACTCTCTCCTTAATGAATCGGTAAATGTCCGGACTGCAGCTTTGGTGGCACAGTAAATACTGCCTCCGGGATAGCCCTCACGGCCAGCGATGGAGCCAATGTTGATGATATCCCCGCTACCACCGTCCTTACCACCATTCTTGGCCTTGAAGATCTTCAAGACCTCCTGTGTCATGTTAATCAAGCCGGTGACGTTGGTGGCGAACATGACGTTGATATCATCAGCCTTGATGTTGGGCGCCTGGTCGACACCCTTGACTAGGCCAGCATTGTTTACAAGAACATCGATGTTGCGAAACTCTTCTGGCAAACCACCAACAAAACCAGCCACGGCTTTGGGGTCAGAGACGTCGAGCTGGACAGGGAGGACTTTTACACCGGAGCCGACCTCGCTGTTGATCTCAGCAGCCACCTTTTTGAGAGTGTCAATTCGGCGAGCTGTGATGACAATCTTGAGATTGTCCGGGGATGTGCGCGCGAACTCTTGAGCGACGGATTTGCCAATGCCGCTGCTGGCGCCAGTGACAACGATGGTCTTGCCAGCGAGGCGCTTAGCCTGGGCAGAAAGGGAGGACATGGTTCGAAGGGCCGGGGAGGCAAGTATCGACTGATTCAACTGAGGGTTCTGGCCCCGAGGACGTGGTATTGAGGAGAGTGGGTGGTAACAACGATGGTGGTTGTGAAATCGGTGCGGGGAAGAGGGCGAGAATGCAGCTCGACGCAGGAATCGCAACGAGGCCAATGGAGTGGCAGGTTGGGAGAGACGAGGCATGTACTTGTCTTGGAGCTGTAGAGGATGTGAGGTATTGAAGATAAGGACAATAAGACGAACAGATATCTGGTCACAGTCAATGCAATATGGGGTGCGACGGTGGGTCGGCCGGTCAACTAGGATGATAGTCCGGAGGGGGTTTTTGCTTCTCCAAATTCAGAATTTGGAGATGAAATGATACAAGGTGTCGGTAGAAAGGAGAGAGAATATATATAGTCATGAATCACAAGAGACTTGGCCGCTTGAGTAAGGTGGTTGATGCCTCTCTACAAAGTGAGTAGACAAAAAGTAGACAAGAAGTGGCCAGCGACATTCTTTGTAACCTCACGGAAGGAATGTGCAGACCTGTGACTTCCCTGACTTGACCTCGCTGGAGCAGGAAGGAGCGACTGCAGTGGCCTTGGGATCATTTCTTCTTCCTCTTCGTATGCGTCCATCTTTTCCATCCATGGCCACCAATTCTCACAAGGACCCTGAAGACTTTTGTTCTCGCCCTTTGCCCTAGGGACTTCTAGTACGACGAGAGAAACAAACAAACGAGTCAATAAGAATCATAATGATGACAATTGTCAATTCCCCATCTCCTGACCCGTGTGGGAATCCTCCGTCAAGGAAACATCTCCATCTACGATCACCGCAGCGTCACAACGCAGCCTGGAATATTATCCAAAGCTCTCCGCTCACCCCCAATTGAGTCAACATGCCGAACAGAGTCTACCCATGTCGGGCCTCATGCTAAGTCGTCCAATTCATCATGATGTTCAAATTCAAACGGTCTGTAGGGGTATTCACCAATTCCCGCCATCGTGTAAGCACAGAGCGCTGTGTGCCAATGTCCAAAGAAGGTCTTCCCAACCACAGATTATCCCAAAATATGTCATAATGGTCTTGATATCTCATAAAAAGCCCGACTCAGATAACAGTCGTGCAATCTTTTCCTCCTCTCGCTCTCGAGGCTCCACCTTCAGACTGCGATCGTACATGCTCACCTCTTGCACATCGCCTGCATTTCTCATGTTATTGAATATCCAGTCTTGCAGTTCCGGCACGGGCGCCAGTCCGTACGGCACATTCTGGTATGACTGAATGTCTCGAATCACCTCCGCCGTCTTGGTACGCTTCGCAAAGTTGATCAACTCCGTGTTCTTCATCAACGACGCGATTCCGTCCTCAATGAAGATCAGATCCGTCAGGTACACTCCCAGGAATGGGATACAAGGAGGTGTCGCGGCGTGCAGTGTCTCTCGGTACACACTAAAATTCTTGGTCGTCGAGATGAGATGGCGGAGCGATTCGAGTATTTGATTCGTCTTTGGAGGCACTTGCTGCCACGTCCGGTTCAGTCGCTGAATCGGAGACATCCCCAGCGCTGACACAATCGCAGTCACCGCTGAAAAGTTGTTCAGTTGTCGACATTTCTGCACTTGTTAGTCTCGTCTATCCTCGCCCATTGACTCATCTGCTCCACTTACTTCTGAGATGGCAACAAATTGTTTGATCACATACACCCGCTTCTTGACCTCCGGGTAACTCAAAATCATCTCCGCCGCCCAGTTGGTCAATTGGTTCGAGTGCAAAATCAAAGCCTGCACGTTGGGAGCGGCTTCACTCGTCTCGGCACTCGTCTTCTTCTGCCACGTCTTTTCCAAACATTCCACCGGCTTGATCTTGCCGTATAGCTTCGCTTCCATAATGGTCAGCTGTCTTGCAAACTCCAGAGGGTCAATATCCAAAAATTTGATCTTCTTCATGTTCTTGGGTAGGATCGGAAGCGGCGCCGAACTGTTCAATGTTAATATCAACTTCTTGGACGTCGTCTCCTGTCCTTTCATCCGTTGATCAACGATAGTGATCAACGCTTTGGCCAGCGGTATCTTGGTGCTAGCAAATGTGCTTTTCGCAAATGCCAGGATCCTTTCTAGGATGTTCTGACTCGTCTCACTCTCACTTTCCATCCAGTACAGTTCCAGCCACGACTTGAGAATGTTCAACACTCGAAATCGTGCAGGCTTTTGTTTGTGCTCTTCCCAGATCAAGTATTCGTCCCTCGTCAGCCCTTTTGGTGGTTGCAGGTTGAATCGCCTCACCAGAAGCTCAAACAGCTCCGACGCTGATGTGAAGGAGCGGTAGGTCAGCAAGAATGTGGTGGCAAACATGGTATCGGGGCGATCGTGCCGGGTCAATTGTTCCACCAAGCCGGTCAATGATCCACTCTTGACCTGTTGTACACCGTTGACCGTATTATATTGAACTTCATCCACGTGATCAAGTTGTAGGTACCAGGGCATATCTTCTCCTGGCGTGAAACTCGGTTCGTTGGCTGTCTTGATGTTGGCGAGATTGGGTGGCAGTTGACCGAAAAATTGCCTGGCTTTGTCCTTGGTGGGCGGTCTTCGCAGCTTGTCTCCCGCAGCATCCTGACCCATAGTGTATGATTTCGACTGACCAATATCTGCGAGTGCAGGTCGCTGCAACGAGTCTCCTCGCAGGTGATGACTTTGGTAGATTTCGCCCCCGTCTGTCAGTCGATGGTCCTTCTTATTCGTCGACGACGTGTTGAGCGCCGTCACAGGTAGCAATAGTTGGAGGGCATATCCTAGCTTGGCAATGCTGGTGTCCAGCTCCTTGGATGCCTCGCGGACGTTGTTTAGGAGACTGTCCAGAGGGTCACCTCGGGTCTCAGCCCATTCGTCCGGCAGAGGAGACGTAATTTCCTGGCACCTTAGCAACAGCGCAGCCGCCGCGTCGTACGCTTGCTGCTTCTGGGCTGCAAAGTCTGCCAAATTCGGGTTCTGGAATGAATTTCCCACAGCGGACAGATCGATGGATTCGATGAGTTGGATCCAGGGCCTGAACTGGTTGAACGCAATGCCAGCCATTTGACAAACAGTGTCACCAATGACCGCCTGCCTGGTGGGAGTGATAATCTTTTCCGGAAGGTTCAACGACTCTTCCACTTGTCGCAATGCTTGGGTGATGTTCTTCTTACACTCGTCGATCCTTCTCAACACGGTGGGGTCAAGGGGCGTGGACGGTCGTGAGCGAGATTCATCACCAGAGTCCATGAATGAGACTTCGTCCAGATTGGCCTGGAAGTCAAGGTTATTGTCGTGCCAGTTTCCACCCGCGTTGCTGCCGACAATAAAGCCAGGATTTAATCGCGGAATTTCTTCCCCTCTCTGTTGTCGGGCCACCTCAACATAGCCATAGACCCCATTCATCACTCCGTCGGCCTCTTGCAAACACTTGGCTAGGGCATCTGGGCCTGGCCAATCTGCTGCAGCAATATGGGACGACAAGACAAGCTTGGAAAATTTTGACATCATCTCCCGAAAGTGTGGGTAGAGAGCCTTGTTGGATGAAATGATAGAGGGGTTGCCTGAATGATTGTCGGTGGTTCCAGAGCCGGCTGTGAGAAGGATGCGGAGATGGTCTGAGATATCCTCCGCTCGACGCAGATAATCGGCACGTGCGCGAGTGCGAATAGCGCTACGATAAGCGTCAATGGCAGAACGCATGTTTTCAATCAGTGTATCCCACGTGGCTGGTGTGGCCATGGTGTTGTCAACAAAGTACCTGGGAACGGGTGACTTGACGAGACGAGGCTGTAGTGGAGTGGTGAACGAAGTTGTTGATATGCCCAGGGGGGGCAGGGCGCTGGAAATGGCTTGAGAACCAAAGGTGCTGGTAGAGCTGGGAGGAATTTGTTTGCCTGCTTGCCTGGCAGCGCTGATGTCGATTGAGTCCATGGACGTCGATGTCGAGACACCGTCGGAGGCCAAAGAGCGGTTTCTGCGGGGAGACCAGCTGGACGGTTCGCCGTCGGCCTCCGAGGCAGAACCGTCATACTCGTCTTCAGCTTGATAGTAGCCCTGTGCCATCATCTGGGGTGGGGGTCTTGTTTGTTCGGGGACATAGAAATTGGTGCGATCCCTAGGGCCTGTTTCATCGGGGCTGGTGGGGGTTTCTAGAGGTAACTCCATAGTGCTGACGCCAGTCTGGGTGTTGAAATAATATAAACGTCCGTCTGGAGTGGCTTGGGGAACCCAGAAGGCTGCCTCATCCTGGAGGAGTGTGCTATTGCCCTCGATGGGCAGGTCGGAGTCGCCATCTTGGGTATGGTTATCAGAATCATCCTCCTCCTCTTCATCATAGTCCTCCTCGGTACCAGAGCCTGTTTCGCTGTCCTCGTTGCCAGACGCAACCATGTCGTCCGCATTTATTTCGACGGTATAATTACTAGGGAACCAGCCCCTGACGTTGTTAATGACCCCATCCCACCATCCACTCTCCAATTGAGTTATTACATGAATGATATCGCCCTGTCGAAAACTCAGACTGGTCTCGTCGTCGGCGTTGTAGTTGTACAAGGCACGGACTAAAATGGGCGGTGGAGGGTCGGGGCTAGCGATATAACTGTCCATAGCAGCCTCCTGAGCGGCCCGGCGCCGGGGAGAGACGGCGGACATGGCGGCCGATTGCAAGGGTGGTGAAAGACGATCCGTTGGAGGAGAGCGAGATGGTTCAATGTAAGTAAAGGCGCCGCCGAGCGCCGAGCGAGTCTTGACGGGCTCTGCCTGCAAACTGTGACTCTGTCCTACCTTGTGCAGATCTTGCATCGCCAATATCGACTATGCAGTGTGGGAGAGGCCGAGGGTGATGACCTGCCTTCTGGAGCGCAGTGTGGTCATCAAGAACTGCATGATCGCCTGCGTCTGGTTGTAGAGATGATCGAGCACGGTGGAGGCTGAAACTGTGCCAAGTAGGGCAAGGACGATGAACAAGGCGTGTATTTCAAGCGAGAGAGTGTGTCTGGTCGGAGATGCTCCTGGCCAGCGTCAAGTATAGAATGTCAACGAGAGTACCGAGGTGAAGGGTCTTGAGGATGGCTTGGAGGGTAATGAGGTCGACAAAAGGGGAGGTGAGCGCTTGAAGGCGGGCTGGGTTATTGAAGCAGCGGTGTCGGAAAGTGGGGGGTTATCCTTGGGTCGGTGGTGGTGCAGAGGAGTCAGGATAGAGGCAGGAGGACAATGTAGGCAAGGCGAGCGGATGAGTAGGGAGACCAGCGGCGAAGTGAGAGGCTGCAAGGCTTTGGAAGATGGAGCAAATCTTGTCACCAAACCGAGTTCGTTTCGAGGTCAGGACGAGATGGGAGGGATGAGGTGGGAAGGGAGATACAGGGGAGCAGCAGTTGTGTGATGGTGATTCGCGATGAAGGTGATGCACGACTTGGGTGGCACCGAGTTGGCCGAGGAGGCCATGCGGGATAGGGTTTCGAGATGGAAGTGGATGGAGTACTTGGATGGAGAGAGTGTCTGGGTGGTAGTCAGGAACTCAGGGCAAAGTCTGGCCCAGTACTAATTGACTTTAGAGCCCCTGGGGCCCGAGAGGCCCTCGAAGCTGTGGTCCAGGCATGATAGCCTGATAGGGCTTCTTGGGTGTGCGTTTGTGTGTCTTGACCACAGTTTTCTGTTCCTCCTGGGATGTCCCTTGAACAATAATGGCGGGGAGTCACGGGGGCAGTGGCGGTTCAAGGCTGTAAAGGAGGTTGCCTGACAGCTGGTCCGTCACGGGTCGCCGTTTAGGGGACCTTGTTAGTGGCGGTTAGTTGAAAAGCATGCGATGTGTGAGGACCCCCGGGCCGCTGGGGGCCCCCAAATGCCTTTTCGCCCTCTTCCTAGGTGGGCAGTAATTGGTCTTTACGGATGTGCCTACCTGAAGTAGTAAGTATTCAGTATGAAGCCGCGGTAGGCACACCTTCCTATACTGGTGCAGATGTCTACTTACTACTACGGAGTAGAGATTTCCAACCCACTACTAGGTACTTAGTAGGTAGGTACATACCACTTAGCCGTAGCAAGGCACTGACTAGGTACCTAGGTACTGTAGCCAAAACTCAATAATTGTCACCCCAATTGACCATACGCAGTAGATTCAGGTGCACCCCTTTTAGCCTGTGCTTGGTCAATGTGCCAGATTAGCTGATTACCCGATGCCTGGATTGACGCCCGAACCCACCTACTGAGTTGTCTTCGAGCATTGCCAGGTCAGCCTTATAAAGACCATACTGTTCGAGACGGGCAGACACGGCAGTCATCCTCAGTGCCAACTTTGTGTGACCCTGGCAGGATAGTGGAACTAAAATCTGCCCTCACCTCACGAGCCGGGCCTACTCATTATGCTCATCCCCGTGTCCTCCGCCCAATCCAAGGTAAAAGTACAAAATTCTTACAAGTGGCAAAGCCTGCTATCTCAACTACTCTGCGTCCATTTTTTTTTTCTCTTGCTATTCGTTTCTGTGGGGGCGCCCGTTAAAGGAGCGGAAATGAATTGTTAAATACTTAGTCTGGATGACCACTGAATCGATTATTGAACCGTACAGAGTACTCCCTTAGTGTTTGAGAAGATGACGGCGTCACAAGAGATGAATCATCCAAATATCCTGATGCACATGAATGGCCTGGCGATTGAGAGAACGTCGAGAGACACTCATCACAGATGCGACGGGAATGCCAACTTAGAACGGAGCCGGAAGACATATTCACAATTATCCTTACAGTAACTGAGCGCTGAGATGCATTCAGAAGGTGTCCAGGTCTTCGTCATGATTTCAATAGTACCTAATGCGACTTGAGGTTTATCTGGACTCTCTCATCCCAAGCCTAAGCCCCGTGAACGTATACACACCCTTTTGTGGCTGCATCACAGCATTGCTTACTTAACGTATACAGGCATATTAAAGCCAGTGTTATATATGAAGGCTGAAGTTCAAAATGATGTCGAGCCTTGACTGGAGGGAAATACTTTCCCATAGAACCCTACCTGGGCGCGCTGCGGGTGGAGGTTTGCAACAAGTAGGAGCAATCATTTCTGAGTAGATCGCGTTGGCTTCCATTTTGTCCGTCAATTCCTATCGGTGAGTCGTCTCACACGGGGAGGTTGAGTAACTGCGGGCAGAGGCAAATGGTGGCCCCATGATCCAGGTAGGCCAGTATTCCCTGTAAGAGCCGGAATAATGCCACTAGTGATAAGCTTGACAACGGCCAGCGACGAGATTGGAATCAAAGAGACAAAATCCACGAGACCACCGCCGTAGGGACCGGCAACCCAACAGACAGCCCCTGCCAAAAGGAAGCTCGAAAACAGGCAGACAAGGTATTCTGCGACATTGCCGGTCCTGATTTGACGCTGCGCGGCCAAGTGTGCATCCCAATGTTGCTTTTGGTACCAGCCAGCATCAACCACAAGGCACACCTTCCATGGATCGGGAAGTCTCGCAGCCGCTAAGTAAAGCGCTGCCGACACAAGAGCGCAGTACTCTGTATGGTCAAATCGATTCTTCAGTTGATCCGATTTGCGCCATGCAGTACGGTTCGACCATCGGAATGCAATATTCTGGATGATACGAAGTAAAATACACAACACAATTGGTGGACCAAAATTAAGTACTAGAAATTTGCCAAACCCGACAGCAACGTATCCCCAGTGGTGGGACTCCTGAGGTATCTCCGATGAATGCTCAGCGAGCGTTGGAGATGAATCTGGTGGCTCTTGGGCAAGGACTGGCGATAGCAGCTTAAACGTAGATGTCGTTGCTAGAAGGCGCTGTAAAACTGATAACTCCGGCCCTTCGAGCACAGCTCTAATCGATTTGTTCACCACGTTTTGAAATCGTCTAGCCGTGTTTGTCCAAGGACTCAGTGCCTGGAATTGGTTCGCATTTTCCGTCGTAGATTCAATGAGGGTCGTAGGAGAACTTCCTGCAGCAAACGGTCGTCTCTTGGGGTCATGGTATGCATGATGAGTAAACTACAAACCATTATCAGTGAGATAACAGTAAGATAACACTGCACACTTACGAGCGCGTGGTGGCTTGGGTGCTCCAGCATGCTTTCGTTCTCATCGACCTTTTGGCCCTCGAAAAGGTCGGGTGGATAGTAGTATAGTGCCCAAAGCAAGCCACGCACGAGGAAATCTTCAGGCCATTGGCCACCAACGAAATTCTGTCGATCCAGGTTCTCTTGGGCCTCACGTAAGAAGGGGAGGATATTTCGAGTTGTAACTTCATTTGGCTGGTCCAGCAACGGCGAGAATAGACGCTCAATCGACTCTCTGGTGTCAACAAATGGAGTGGCACATACCAATGCCTTTGAGTAGTAAAAAAGTTGGCTGACGACATTAGGTCTAGCTAGTACCGCTAGATGGTGCTGGATCCGTCCTGCAAGAAGAAAACCATTAGAAGAAGAAAAGAATAGAGCATTAGGGTACCTGTATGTGTCAGCAAGGCAGTCCCTTACCAGTATCTGGCGAGCGATCAGCAGCACGGTTGTACCACGTCCTTGCCACATTTGACCAAATTTCACGATCCCTCATATCTGTTTCCTCAATCGCCATTCGATATCGAGCCAGATCGCCGAGGCATTCAATCCATGTTTCATGAAATGCTGGAACCGACTCCATCAAGAGGCCCATCATCTGATACGCCAAGTAGACGAAGCTCAGCATATGTTCAAGCGAATGTGGCAAGCGATGCCTTAATAATTCGAGGAAACCATGGATCCCATGCCGCCACATTCTCGCTGGCATGGCATATTTTTGTGGGAGTCTCCTCAGTGCAGGAGTGGCAGTTGGATGCTGGCTTGCCAGAAAGAAGTCGTGATGCTCATGTAACAGCGTTCGATGCAGAGCTATCAACGCCTGCCACTGCTCATCGGTCAACTTGTTTGTTTGCTGCGACTGGGACTGGCATATTTCAACGCATTTTTTCTCTACCATCACAAGCCCGGCGTAGATACCTTTGACCTCATTGATAAGCTGCTCTTGGCTGATCGGTCTAGTATCTGGCTGAGGGAACATCTTGGTCTCTTGATGCGACCACTTGGGGTCATATAGGTCGCGATGGGGTCCTTGGGTTGTGCCCAAAGCACCATGTTGACAATGTTGAACCTTTGGGCTGGACTTGGGTGGAGATGAACGATACGTCTGCTGCGACTGTGCCTGGTATATTTCAACGGATCTTTTCTCCGCCATTACAAGCTCGGCGTATGTACCCTTGAACTCATGGATATGCTGCTCTTGGCTAGTTGGTCTAGCATCTGAATCAAGGAACATATTGGTCTCTTTATGTGACCGCTCGGGGTCATATAGGTCGCGATTGGGTACTTTGGTTCTGCCCAAAGCACCATGTTGACAATGTTGAACCTTTGGGCTAGATCTGGGTGGAGATGAACGACACGCCTGTGACTGCAGTCTGGGAGAATGAGACGCGCTGCTGCGACTAGACATACTTTTGACCGGTCTCAACTTGCTCGGTCTTTCGTCGAGCACAGTCCTTTTACCTGAAGGTCGATGGTTTGATGCGGAGTCTGAGCCTGAGCACCTGTCTAGCGACAGCGTGCTAAAAGTTGACAAGGCTTGTTTTTGTTCAACCTCTATCCTCGCTGTGAATACGGGACGTGCTCGCTATGGACTCTATTGTCTAGGCACAATTGGAGTAGCCATGTAGAAGGTAAAGGAAAGCAAACATATACATACGCCTTGGCTCGAAAAAAAGTAATGGTAAGAGATCCGGGAATGTGAGTGATATAGGGGAGGAGGGTGACCGATTGCTCCCACCCTGGTCAGGATGGGATGGGATGATGAATGGGATGGGATGATGAATGGGATAGGTAGGTGTGGATGGGTAGTTATTTTACTTCTGTGACTTCAGCCTGGTAATAAGCTCCTAATGTACCTAACTTACTGAGATCGGAGTTGGCTGCTGCATCAGAAGGATGACAATTTACCTTGCTCCAGCTTGTCCGCTTCAGCCACAGCCACCAGAAGATTTAAAAACAGGTTTCCAACCCTGTTAGAAGTGTGCTGACTGGTCAATTTAATCTCACTGTACGTTGGCACTCGTATCTGGTTGCCTTTTGGTTGCCTTCCTCACCACCTGGCTTTTGGGCCCGTTTCGGTGCTTCCCTGTTCTCTCTTTTGCTCCTCAAGGCTGGGTGAGCGATCTAGCAAAATAGTCATTCCTCCTTTCGCCCAGCCCCATTCAACTGCGACATCAACACCCTTCTGACTTGACTGGAGTTTCCCGCCTGCCTATATGTCTCCCAGCTTTTACCATGGAAATAAGTCCTGCTCCCGGCGTCGCAGTGTCGTTTCCGCACTTACTCGAATCCACAGTACGAACGATCGCCTCGATTGCGTCCGGGTTAGGCGCCGCGTTGGTTATTAGTCAATATGATATGAGACACAAACACACGAGTTACCATTCGGGCATGCTAGACGAAGTTGCAAGCATCAGATATAAGTTGGAATCTTTAAGAAATCGCATTGCGTTGGAATTTGGGAAGGAAGATGGAGAACCGAGTTTCCACATCGAAGAGATTTATACGCTGCAAAAAACTGGGTCCGGCGGCAGTTCCGGTTCATATATGTGTGCGAAAGCATATAGGGAACTGCGAAACATAGTGGTAAGTCTCGGAAGTATGGGATGGCAAATACTGACAACGCTGGTAAGATTGAACTCTGTCGAGATCCGTCACCGGAGGTATTGATGACTGCCATAATCATCTTCGCTGTGTCCATGCTAGTGCTTGGAAGGAGAAAACATAGCCGCTGGCGAAAGTCGATTCTAACGATAGCAGCAATGGTTGGTGTTCTCTTGGGTGTGACCACAAACTGGATGAATGCCAGTGCACCACACATCCTTCTGCAATACACACCGGGGTGTCTACTATGCGGACAAGTGGTGGCAGCTATCATACCATATTACGAGGAGCATAATTCGAATGAAAGCAGCGGCGCTCCGGAGGAAGAGAAGCAAGCGGCCGGAGATTCCAGGATTGAGATACAATGTTGAGAGCAAGATATTCGTTGTGAGCTGTCCTCCAGATGGCTCCAGGTTGGGCCCTGTTTAGGGCAGTTGTGTTACATAAGATGTTATTGCAAGTTGTAGCATTGTGTGGAGTTGCGTGGAGGGGCTGCACTATCATATGAGGGTTATACAAGTAACTCTCCTCCACTGTAATAGACTTCGAGAAGCATCTCAGAATTGACTGAAAACACAAGGCGGCGACACCCGGATTCCGATCGAGGGTGAGTTCGGGGCAGATTTAACTCCCCTTTGCGATCGAAGTCTCGCCGATCGTCCTCGCAGCCCAGCCCATCGAACGCCCATACCAAATTGACGAGGACCATTCGCATCGCCATTAGCCTGAGGTGCAGGATTTGGCCGTCCATCAGCTGCCAATTGCTGTTGGAGCTCTTCAAACATGTTTCCACCTTGGACAGCGCCAACGCCAAACCGCAAGGGCCCAAATTGGTAGTTTCGCGGCCCTTGTCTCGCACCCTGCTGTGCTGCCCTGCCTCTCCATGGTTGGAGATTGATTTTCTGGGTCGGAGGAAGCATTGTTGTTGGTTTTTAGAGCATGAGCATCCTGGTATTGTGTGACAGCGGTTTGCATTCTCTCTTTCTTGGTCTCCTCAATGCGTTGTTTCTTCTGTTCTCGAACCATGCCGATTTCGACCAGGTTGATTGCATATCTTATGACGGTACTGATGGTTGTTATGGACAAGACTGCGAATTCAAAGCCAAACATGACCATCATGTCAGGCCGGGCCATTCGCAAGACTTGTTTCACGACATATTCCAGCATGGTCAGATCGAAAGCTCCTCCGAGACCCAGACTCAAGGCCAGACGAGTATGACAGAGTCGGAGGAGCCAATGGTTGTGGAAGACCCTATTGGGCTTGCTGACCCAGTCGTCGAAGAATAGCCACCGGAACTCCCTCCGGAAACGGTCGGGTAGCCTCCTACTCGACGAGCTAGTGACATAAGGATGGCTTGAAGTAGTTGAGGACGATGACTACGAGCCACCACCATGTGTCTGCGAAGCTCCCGAGCCGGGAGTAAATCGAGGAGGGCGGGCGCCAGGGATGTATACACCCCATTCAACATCAGCGAAGACCAAGACATCCCGGATTTCTTGATACTTTCCAGACGCACTACAGCTGCGAAGAGAGTCGGCGAACTCTAGCTTGTCCACCTTGAAGTAGCAACTTTCACCTTGGGCCTGGCCGCAGAAGCCAACCTGGTTGGCGACGAGCAGCAGGGATGCAGTGCTCTGCCACGCTGACTTGGCTTAGAGATAGGAGTCTGCACTGGAAAAATCAACGATAAGTCCACCACTAGTACTGGTGCGGTGGGCGATGAAAGACGAATGATCAAGGATGACAGCAGTGTCTGTGTAGGTAATATCTACCCATGCCATTTGATGTGCGTTGTTGGCATCTGTTGATGATAAGCTAGCCATCCTCCGAACTATCTCAAGCGACGATTTTAGTTAGATCTGGATCGGGAGATTTATGTTACCACACTCTCCAAGAAAAAAAATCTCGATGTCTTTGCGTGATGTGATTCACATGACAGATTGTGCCTCGAGGCAGATAGTCCGTGAAGTCGTGCAGGGGCCTGGTGGGACGACTTAACCAGTTGTCGATAATAGTCTCTCGTAAGACCTAGAGAATAACCTACATAGGTAAATCAGGGGGTACCGATTAATTAGCGTACGAATTAACCCTCGTTTAGTCCTCGTTATACTAGCCAAAGAACCACTACTACGTTAGTTAGCTCCTTGGCCTCGGTATCGTTACTTGTATATTAATACCGAGTACTTGGGTAATTAACTCGCTGCCATGCACCTACATGGGCTTAGACTACCCAGGTAACCTCATACTCCACCAAGAATTGCGTCTATATGAACTATCTTCATTTCTACCCAGTCTCCTTTGAAATCACCTTCCAGGTCAACATTTCAGCAATAGCAAGTCGCATCCTCCTCGCGAATCCTGGAGTCCATGAGAGAATGTCGGACTATGGACCCAGTACAATACTTCGAGTAGATAACGGATGATTTTGAGTCTTGGTTAAGATCGAGATGAGGTGCAGAGAGGAGGGGAGGGGAAGGTCGGAGGGAAAATGGCTCTCCCTCACTGCGCAATAACATGCTTTGTGAACTGTGATGCAGATAAGCTAGCGTCATGAGCCCCTCACTGGCGAGAAAGAAAAGCCGAAGTATTTGGGAGGATCATAGGGACGACACAGAGGCTTGGAAAGCAGCGACCGCCAGATCCCGAGATAGCAAGGCATTGGCAGTTCCGGTGCTATCGCTTGCAGCTTCCACACCTGGGCACGTTGTACGAATCACGATCTGATGACTATCTCCGCGCGAAATCCTATCTTATTAACAAGGTCGCCTCGATGAAGAGGGTATTATAAACCACCGGGGTTAGGAAATTCTCGCCTCCTTGATTTTCATCACCTTTCGAAAATGGCCACATCCGCAGAGAGTCTAGTTCTCATTATCCGTAATAATCAATTGACAGGAGTGACCAGCCTTGTGCGTGCGTTAAGAAGGCTTGAAGCCACTGACTCGAAGCTGGAATTGCTCCAAACCAGTCTGCAGGAGTTGGAATCACAAGGGGTCTCGATCGGAAATGACCGATGCGAAGTTGCCCGCGGTATCATCGACTATGTTGAGGGTTGTCGCCGAAATTCGAAGCAAACTGAAAGATGTATACATCGCGGAATGGCAAATGACTGATGGGCTGGCTGGGCCTACGCAAGGTGAGGAAGTGGCTCTAGCATTCTACAAATGTAGCCACATGCAAGACTGACATACTCGCTGAAACAGCTTTTGAATATAGGTAGCTTTATCAATTCTTGGACAAGCTAGGACCCCAGAGAGATTGACAGAGGCATTGGGAATTGAACTTCGAAGGAGATCCTGGACCGTGGCTGGCAACTTCACCTTAAGACATGCGAGAAGAGGGCAATGGAGTGGTTCCAGTGGGAGGACCAAAAGTGGTATTGTAGATCTCGACACTGGCAGCAACCTGAGATAGCCTTTATGAATTGATATCCTGCGAACCCACGCTTCGTCTGGTTTTCTCCTGCGGCCTAGCACACTTTATCCTTCGAAAAAGGGTGAAGTGGTGTCAGGGTGAGCATGATAGATGAACGTCAGACAGCCTAATAGTCAGAAACTACTAGGTACTATAGTTTTTCCTGCGTTGTCTGGACGGTAGAGTTGTCTCAAAATGCTAGAGAGGGTTGCATGATGATCATCGGTTTCCACGCAAAGATATTCGATGGTTGCTTATCACTTCATCATTGACAAAACAGTAATTCATAATGCCTTGATAGGCTCGAGTGTATTGCTAATCGTAGCATCATCTTACCTAACTCCCTAGGTAGGCACGCAATGTGGCGCCAAACCCGCGAAACAGATCTTGCTTCCACTTACGGAGACCTCCGGCCTGGCTTCGTACTCGGACTATGGCGGCGTGGCCGTCCTATCTGGGACGATATTGTGCCTCACATGTTGATCTTCACGTACGAGGCAATCTTCGTTGTACACCTGCGATGACTTCACTTTGCCTGATTATTAAGAGGAGGTTGATTCGAAATAATGGTTATAAAATCAATGCCTCCCAGAAACATGTTGGTTCTGCACAAAGCCATTACACAATCTAGTGCACATAGACGAACAGCCCTCACGAGTTACGACGAACACTTTAGCACATCCTTTGCATTGAATCGGTAAAAGCACATTCCGTCAATCAGCCCTTTTGCGATGGCAACCATCACTGTCCAACCTATCAGTCCAGCGACCCCGGATCTTGGAGCCCTGGTCGAAAATGTGGACTTGAATTCTCTATCAACCAAAGACTTCGAAGTCCTTCGCAACGTTCTCTATACGTACAACGTGATTTGTATCAAATCGCAAGGAAATCTCACTCCCAAAGCCCAAGCTGAATTGACCCGCCGCTTCGACCCCGACGCTATGTCATACGGACACGGGAAGACGATAGACGCGAAGCGTTCAGTTCTCCATCCAGACCTCAAGACCATCCCCCATCAACCAGAAGTTCAGGTCATCGGCAATGGCTTTATCGCTGAATATGAAGGTCTCACCAACGTTCAGCTAAGACATCCTCACCACCGAACTTTCCACCAAACCGTGATTCCTAATGATCATGATTTGGACTATACTCGATTCTACCGTTGGCATATCGACGCAGCCCTTTATGGAGAGCTCCACCCACCGCTTGTCACGTCTCTCCTGGCAGTCCAGGTTCCTAAGGGCAGGCGACAGACTCTGTTGTACGACGATGGTTCAAACGATACGCTCGACGTTCCTCTTGGGACCACCGCTTTCGTCTCCGGCTATAAGATGTTGGATAGGCTCAGTCCCGAGAAACGGGAGTTTGTCTTGACTTCGAAGATAGAATATGCTCCACACCCGTATGTGTGGATTTCATCTGTGAAGTCGCGCCCCGATGGCCTCGGCATAAGTTCAGAGGGTAAAGAGGTTCCCCTAGACCAACTTCCACCCGTCGAGCACGAAAGTGATATACAGGTCCTGCCCATGGCATGGCGAAATCCAGTGACAGACCAGCTAGCTCTCCAAGTCCACCCTTCCGTGGTGCGTAAAATCCATCTGAAGGATGGCAGTGTGATCGATGATTTAGCAGAGGTGCGCGAGATTCTCCACGACTTACAGCGACCCGGCATTTCTCCCGAACTCGTGTATGCCCATGATTGGGAGGAGGGGGATCTGGTTTTGTTCAACAACCACGGCGTCCTGCACAGCGTCGTAGGTGCATTCGCACCAGAGGAGGTCAGACTGTTTCGCCAATGCAACCTAGCCGCGAGCCGGCCTCCCCTCGGTCCACGGGATATTGATGTCGCTGCATGAGGGAGACACAGAGTTCGTGGCCCCTCTCCGCTCGTTGGATAGATTGTGGGGTTTCGAGGTAGCTTGGAAAATACTTAGAACGGCGAAAGGCGAAAATTTGTTAAAATTCTGAAATGTTACTCCCAATTTTTTAAATCGATGAAGACGGCTGTATGCACTTGAATCGATAAATTTGGTGATTATGACACCGTTGATCCAGTGTACTCATCCGAGCGGTTTCATACATTAGGTAATTGTCATGAGTGTAGAGCAGGAATCCATCAGCGCGGACGAGCTCCCAACCATTTGAATTGGGCCGCCTCGAGCGAGGTATGATTCTTCAAACACACTCTTGACCTAGCTGTATGATTTTAGACTTTGTAGCAAGGCCAATATTCAAGTTCTGGATGTCCTCCGACGCCCAGATCCCAGGCGAGCAGGGTACACTCAGTCCATTCGATTGTCAACACTTCTAGCACAGCGTACGCGGGATTCTCCGTCACCCCTCGAAGCCGCTTCGCACAAGTGGTAAGCCTACCGAGGTCAGGCGCCAACCCCAACAATTGGGGGAATTTCTCTCTTCCTTTTGGTGCAGGCCTCGTTCTTGCGTAGCATAAAAATCGAGTCGACATGGATGCTACAGAGCAGCAACGAGCCAGCGCTCTCTTAGATGCGCAGACCATGGCCCTCAAGCTCTTTGAAGAGATTGGACGGGATTTGATTCGTCCCGGAGTCAGCGAGAAGGCTCTGAGCAATGAGATCCATGAGCTTGGGTCGAAACGATTCAACGTGCGCACGCATTGGCACAAGCGCGTCGTCAGAAGTGGTCCTCACACGTTGATGCCGTATGCCGAAAACCCCGAGGATCGCATCATACAACCAGACGATATCCTTTTCGTGGACCTGGGCCCGGTGTTTGAAGCTTGGGAAGCTGATTTTGGGCGCACCTTTGTGCTTGGAGAAGACCCAGTCAAGATGAAGCTGCGCGACAGCCTTGAACCGGTCTGGAACAAGGTCAAATCTCGATACAAAGAGAACGTGGATATAACAGGTGGTGAATTATATGGCATTGCTCACGAAGTGGCTCGAGAAGAGGGTTGGGAGTTTGGTGGGCCCATTGCTGGCCATCTAGTTGGGTCCTTCCCTCATGAGAGGATCCCAAATGACAAGATCACCCTGTATATCACCGAAGGCAATCAAGAAAGAATGAATCAGCTTGATGCGAAAGGGCAAAAGAGGCATTGGATCCTCGAGATCCATCTGGTCGACCGCGCACGTCAGATTGGCGGATTCTATGAGCAACTTCTGACCGTTGATTGTTGCACGGGGGAGTGGCAGCGATAATATTCGCCTGTAAGGAGCCATTGGGGTCTAATGGCGTCCTTCCAGTTGGTAGACAAATTCACAGAGTCAGAACTGGGCTCGTTGACGATTTTTAGAGACCGTGATCATTATCCAGTAGCCATGGGGCAGTGCCCACTACTTATTTGGTGTTCAGTACTTGGGTAAATTTATGTGCCAGTGACACTGAGACAGCGAAAGTTGAGATCGGGTTGTAGTTGTATTTAACTCTTGCTAACTTCTACCATCCATGGGCATTCAGGGCGAGCTCGGCCATGGCATACAAAGTAGGTAGTTCAGAGCGAGACTGGAGGATCGGTGCCTAGGTGCTGCCTCATCCGGACGTATGGTATCGTAAACAAAACGACTAAAATCCTTGGCTGATGCGCTATACCTATCCTAGAGATTAGTCACTAGAAGAGGCTGAACATCGGATTCCAGTTGGCAATACTAATCAGTCGATGGACTTGCTCGCAGACTATCACAGACATCATGGCGGCCATGAGCGATAGACCTGCCATTTGAGCCGTTGCAGAAGCACGGAGTAATTGTTCTAGAAATTCTCACCGGAAAATCCTTTGAGAAATGAGGGGCTATATCTGCACTCCGAAAAGGCATCGCCAGCCATGGGCACTTTGGAAACGAGAGATCAGTATGAAGCTTAGATCGAAGGCATACCCGTCCAGATTCAGTTTCTGTGAGGTGATGGTTTTGCACATAGCTTGGTAGTTCCATGTCATCAACTATTTCTATATTCGTTCTCTGGCAACAATTTCAAACCCTCCCCACGGTTTTCGGGTTGAAGTTGTCAGATCTTGTTTCCTGTGGTGGACAGCTGGAATGCGTTCAGTCGTGCTTCAATACTTAGGAGCCACGAGTTGGTCAAGTTTAGCGGATCTTGTAGTCTCATCTTCAACATCCCTGAGCTGTCAAAACAATTTTTGGCTGATGAGAAGGAATGCCGAGATTTCTCTATGTCTCTCCCCTGCCAAATTTAAAAGGCCTGCGAGACACCAGGGTCCTCTGGCCAACAACGTGAAAGTGTCTGGAGAGGATAGTATTTCGAAAGTCAGTCCAACTGAGGTTGAGCAGTCATTTCGTGGCCATTCAAGAACGACGCAATCTTCGTGATGAGATGAATGCACGTATCTCGAGTGAATCGATACCATTGGCTTTACCAGTATCCCGATCGAGGGTGAGGTAGGGGCAGATTTAACTCCCCTTGGCAGATATCGTGCTATTTTGATGCATGTCCGGGTGCTCATCAGACGTTTCATCAGATGTCTCTGGAGAGCCCAACGTTGAGGTGCTGTGTCAGTAAACAACTGGAGCTGGAAATAGTTGCCGCCAGAACTCCCGTATAGGATCGTTGCCAGTGACATTTTCCAGGATTTCCGGCGTAGATGTCGTGATGTTTCGCCAAAAGACCGGAGTCGGACAAAATGGAGCCATCTGAGTTGTGTTTTACCAGGAAAGACGGGATTTATGGCCTGTCCGTCATCGTCTTGTCCACGCATAGCAGGAGATGAGTGCAGGGTAATTTTGTTCGCAGACTTCCCTCTCCATCTTGAACAAGGAGAAGCTCATCTCATCGTATCTCACACCGATTCATCCGTCTTCTTCTCGTCGTCATCATCAGCCTTCTCAACCGCACCAGGATGACCATGTAAAGCTTGAGCAAAAGCAATCCAATCCTGGACGCCTTTTACAAAGGAATCATCTGCGTCAGGTACAGCATCGTGACCCCAAACCACGACTTCGCTGAATGTCGAGGCCTGTTGCAACAGCCGGACTGGTTCGGGAGGTTCGTCATCTTCATCTTCATCATCTTGGTCTGCCTCTTCAATTTCAATGTCATCATCGATGGTAGTATATCTGGGAACAGAGGTATGATTGGCGGGTTGTGGGAGATATCGATCAGTGGATTCTGCGACGACGCCTGTAATGATAAGATGTACATATCAGTCAGTCACTGTGTACAGCACTGTTTTGCAAATTCATGCATAACACGTAGGTAGACAGGTATGTACCTTCGTAACCATCCGCAATCTTGATTACTCGTCCTTTTAACTTGCGGCCTCGGAAATATGATGTTTGAGTCTCATTGGAGTCTGTTGAGGTATAATTGTTAGCTGGTCGCTAGTCCATGATTCCGTACTAGAGACCGGCTCATTTCCAGCAGCAGTACAACAGACACCTACCTGTTGAGACGGGGTTCCAGTATCGTTTGGTGACTTTGGTTGGGCCATTGTGATGGATGCGACAGGGCATGATATTGAGGGTGCACCTGTCTTGTTTGTGAGGTGCAGGTCTCTGAAGGGCGAGCATGACTATGAGATTTCTTCAGTTGTCGGTCTCAGGCGACGGAAGGGGTATATTCTCAAGGAATGGGTATTGAGGTTGTAGTGGTTGTAGGGGTTGTATGGTATTGCCTGCGACTGCTACTTGAGGGGGATTTACTTAGAATTAGTTGTCCCGTGACCGTGTCTCGACGCGTCTTTGGGAAGAAGCCCCAGACGCGTGCGGGCTGGCCCCTCGGCCCTCCACGATGTGACGTCATTTTAATGATCGCCATTCCAAAGTTAGGACACAATACTGTACGGAGTACATAGTATATCTGGATGCATCATTTCTGTTGATACACTTCTCTTCTAGTCTGCCATTCCTGCCTCTATTTTGGTACAACGCTAATGTCCTGACTTGAAATTGATCTCCAACCGCCTTCCATCCTTCCCAGTCAAGTCTCGCATGACGAGACGTTCTCCTAGTTACCGTTCCGGCCGGGTATAACCAGTGCTGTCCCTTCGACCTCAACCTCCTGGCTTCAACTTCGGAGGATTTCTGAACTGGCATGGGATGTCATGATGTTACAAGTACCCTCTGTGAACCAGTTACCGATCCACTCGTCTTCCAAGATATATGGATAGGGCCGCTTGATTCCTGGTTCGAACCCATCTTTGGCCATTCAACCACACCTCCCACAAAAATATGCTGCTTTTGGCGAAATACCCACCACCCGGCTTGCAAACGCCTGATCCCATAAATGTATGCCCGCCTGGATTGATCGCTCACCGTCTATCATGGTCCCATAGTCCTAGTCGTACCCATAGCAGTAATGTAATCCTGAATCATGTTTGCCAATCGAGAATGATGTCGAGAATTCTTGACCTGCCTGCCTAGGCTTAGTGTTCAAAAGCCACAGGTTCGACGTCGTCTTCCATCAGCTTGCCGGGCGATGCAACCTGAGCCGGGCCCTCGTTCGGTTCCCGGTCGTCTATATCCTCGTCAGAAATCTCGCCACTCGGCTTCTGTTTCTGCTTCGTCTTGGCCACGCTTTCTGCAATCGCTGCCTTGTCTTTTTCCCACTCTTTGTCCACCGTTTGGAAGGTCTGTTGGACTTTACGTGCAAGCTCGGCAGCTTCTTTTTCTTGCCCTTCTCTAGCACGTTTCTCTGCTTCCATCTCTTCCATGTGGCGGATATCGTCCACGGATGGTTCGTATAGATGCCACACTGTGTAATGTGGTAGGCCAACCACGGAAAAATCCATTCGTTTCGCCATTTTCCCAAAACCTTCCGTCTCGGCGTGTCGCTCGAATGAAAAGGCAGGAAAGTGGACTCCGGCACGCGATACGCGGGCTTTGGCGAGGATGGAAACGCCGCCAATACCATCGAGCTCCATCTCGACATCCGGGTCACCATAGGGATCGCGGAGATATGCGAGATGGGGTCTCCAGGTGGCATACTCGGCATAACCTTCGACAATAACGGCATCCTCGTCCAGGGTCTCGGCCAGAGCAATGGCAGTTTCGGATTCTTGCCAGGAATTGAGATCATAAGGCTGCTCACCGCCCAGCCAGTCAGGGAGAGGGCGCCAGATATCTGCAAGGGGTCAGTGACGGATCGATCGCAGGGGTGAACGCAACTTACTCGGCACAATGATGTCTCTATCATGTCTCATCAGATCCTCAATGACCGTAAAAGGACACGTCTCGACATCAGCGTCACGCCAATAGACCCAGCTATGGTAAGGTCTGAGGGCGGCACTCAGCAGCCAATTTCTTGCTCGAGCCATGAGCTTTCTTCTGCCCGCCTGTGCAGCGAAACCGTGACGGTTGTCCACATCTTGACCCACGGCTTGCCCAAAGTCCTTGTGTATGACGGAGATTTCTCCATATGGCTGTGACGGGTCGGGATCGGCTTGTAAATCTTCCAACATGCGAGTCAACAAGCTTTCGGTGTCATCCTTGGAGTCGGAAACCAGAAAGGCCAAGTCGATGAGATGGTGAGGGTAGGTAAAGTTTCGGAGATGGGAAAAGAACATAGGCAGGTGAGGAGCGGCGTCTCGTAATGGGGTGCACAGCAAAACCCTTTCTTCTCTCTCCCAGCCCACCGAGGTGCCTTGCACATCGTCTAAGTCGTAATATCGTAGAGTTTGCAGCTCGTCACCGGCCCTCGACTTGGTAGAAGAGGTGGATGAAAGCGAAGCAAGATTTTTGGAGGATGGAAAGAAAAAGTATAATGGGAGTGCAATGAAGGAGACCGCGAGCAATGCCAAACGAATTAAGCGGTTCCGGTTGTAGACAGCCTTCTTGCGTGGCTCGAAGCGTCGGCCAAATACAGAGTCTGATCTCTCATCGTCGACCAAGTCGTTAACACCCCAGATATATTTGCTCTCGAGGTCGGATTTTTCTGACAGATAGTATACATCGTCGTCGCGCTTCTTACCGGCACCGTAGCCGTTGGCTAAGGCGTGATGCCTGTTCATCCCTCCAGGTCATCACCCTTCTGTTCCGTCCACGCGGTGTGTGTTATAAGCTGGGAAGAATTGTTCTACCTGACGGACGTGGGAGTTGTGGGTCGAGGATCAAGGGTCAAGGGTCGAGGGTCGAGGGTAAAAGGGTGAGGGAAGTGGGAATGAGTGTGTGCCGAAACCGGTGAATCCTCTTTGTGCAGGAGGAAAGGGAGGGTGTGGGTTGAAAGTGGTTGGGGGAATTGTTGAGTGCAGGTACTGAGGGAGAAAGAATGATGCCAGAAACTGCGCGACGGCAAGAGAGGGTGATGAATGGATGCAGCGGTGAATAGCCCAAGAAGGATTCGATCCTGTGGAGGGATGTCGACGTCGATGTCCTCTAGCTGAAGCGAGAGTTGGATGCTGTCTCGAGAAGTGCATCTGCCAATTGAACTGCGGCGTCACTGGCTAATGCGCAGAAGAATGGAAGAACGACGGCTGAGGGCTTGGCCCCTTTACCACTACTGGACGAACCCGAACTGACGTTTCAGGCGAGACTTGTGCAAGGCTGCATGCCGAGGGGCCAATGTACTCGTACTCCAGGGGCTTCCACAGCTCGTAGTTGCAAGCGTGGGCATTTGAGACTTCCTACTTAAGGTAACCTAGAGATCTTACCTATCGCATGTGCCTTTCTGCGTGCGTAAGCGGGCGACTTGCAGGGGTGGTCAGTGGCCACAGGATCCCAGGCTGTCCCCCCGGCCGAGACGGCCTGAATGGGTTGCCTGAGATGGCATGATGATAATTTTAGTGCCAGATCTGATTCCCCATCACTGCCGACGTCAGTGACACCAACCAATTCCACAAATAATTCTTTGCGGTGTGCAGTTAGTAGTAAGCGAGGAAGAACAAGCGATTTTTCTGTCCTCTAACTCGCCGATACCTAAGCTTTTTCTTAGACGAAGAGTTGCTTAACTTCTTATTCAGATACACAGGAATTACGTTGATCATCATGAGAATAATCGAGAATAATACCTATTTGTCTGGCCCCCGTCAACCCATATATCTGTCCTCTTTAGTGCAACGCATTGGCCATTCGCTCGATGTCACTGCCGCTTTCGAGATAGGTTACCTCCCTCGTTCTTCTTGTCATTCTCAGGACCCGTCAAACGCTCATCTGCTCTCGAGCTGCTCAGGCTGACTGGTGCCCTCACAATGAATTGTCGGCACAGGTGAAAACGCCCTTGACATTTCCGGCCTCGTAATCTAGGATGATGCTGTCGACCGAAGCCTAGTGTCATTATGTTAGTCATCTGTTGTTCCCATTGATCTTCCCAAGAACCAGTCAAAGAACCACTCACATAAGTGCCAGCACCCAAGAAGAAGAACCCCACGAGGATGATGAAGATGTTGACCAGAAACCCGATCCATCCACGGATGCCTCTTTTCGTCCAGAACCGGGGTCCTAGGTCCGCGTATCTCATCCTAATGTACGCCGTCCCCCAGAAGATCCAGCCGAAAAAGGAATCAAATAGCGAGCTCATCAAGGATAGCAAATCCGCAAAGAATGGAATCACTTCTGCAATGATGAATGCCATGATCCACGTCGCCGCCAAAATCCCTGCCCATGCCAGCCATCCAACCACTGTGTGACTCGTCTTGTGTCGAGTACCTTCAAAGATGCGGAAGAAGAGAAACCGGGCAGACACTGACGCGTATAGGACGCCCAAGAATATCAGTGTTGGGATCATGAAAGAAAATGACACCTTTTTGTACACGTCGTTTCCCAGGCTGCCAAAAGCCGGAGCCGTGTTGTACTGTGTGCCCGTGTATCCGTATACTACATTGGCTGTCAGCCTGAGATTGCAAATTCGGCAGCTTTGTTTCAACTTACCAATACCGCCCACCAGGCTAAAGACAATAATCTCACAGATGGTCACCAACCAAAGAGCCTTGCGGAAGTCGTATGGGTTCTTCATTTCGGCAATGAAACTGGGCAAAGTGATCTGCCCGATGAATGTGTATGCAATGTTCAAGAAGGCATTCATGCCTGAAACGAAAGTCGTTCCAGCCATGGGCACTACCAGTACCAGCGGCTCCCCACCAATATTCTGGCCCGCCTCATTAATGAAATTAGGATCTGGGTTATATCCCGCAGTGCCATGTTTCCCTTCTGCACCTGCAAACGCCGCCGCCAAGATAACACTGATGAACGTAAAGACGGCCGAGGCAGCGGCGAGCTTCGACAGGGTGTTGAAGGTTCGAGGCATAGAACAGACCCAGGAGATGACGGCTCCGATGGCGGCAAAACCAACGGTGCACACACTGTGGTCTTTTGGACAAGCGTCAGCATTACCATACGCTTGAAGGTGTGCAGAAGTACTCACTTGTCATCGTATTCAGATACCTCGAAATGACCAGAACATGCAGACCTTGAATAAACGTATTATTGAGCAAAAACATGACGGCAGTGAAGTACCATGCAATCTGGGAGTTCCAAAACAGCATCTGGCCAATATCACACACATCTCTGACCTCAGGATGGCGCAAACAGAACTCCCTTGACAAACTTTAGCACGAACATGGCTCTTCCAACTAGTTTCATTCGCTTACCAGACAATGAGAGAAGTGTAGAGTACAAATGCGGCTTGGACAACAGTCAGGATGATGCCAGGGACTAGGCCCAAGATGGAATACGAATAGGGAAACGACATGATTGCCAGGCAGATATACTCTGAGAAGAGCAATGCAGCAGTCTATGCCTTGTCAGAAATTGTCCGGTCATGAGGCTTCCAGGCCCGTTTAGAGAAGCCTTTTCATTCTCAAGCATCCACTGAAGACTAACCTTTTGCCAGGAACATGTCCTATACTTGATGGCATCATTGGCCTCCATCTCCACGAGCCTGTTGTACTCATCGCCAGAGCCCGCATCATCGGTTATATTCAACGACGACTTGCGTGGGGGACCGATTCTACTCATTCTGCGACCATGGACACTGGTAGTGGAATAACGTCGGTCTTGTGCGTCAGTTGGTCCATTTTCGTCAGGCTGAAGAAACCCCGACTGCCCAAAACCTGGCTCCTCTTTCTTTTCATTGATATGTGACATGGTGAGCAGGTGTCTCGGAGTTTAGGGTGGATGGTTCAACGCCACTTGACAGCCCGGACGGCCCGTATGAAACAGGCGTAGAAAAGGAGATCGAGATCGCAGCGAATTGATGGCTGCATGTGACTGTGCGAGATTGTTGCAGTGTCCTAAAGTTAGAAGGTCGACCTACAATGGATTCACCGTATAGCAAAGACACAAGAATAGCAAAATTGCCCTGATATAAAAGGTTGGAATGGTACCTTTGACAAAGTTGGAAAAAATGACGACTCCACGGGCGAGGCGACCCGGGGGTTTGTGAAATGCAGAACCATTGAGACGGTGACGTGCGTGGCAGAACGACTGACGATCTTCAGCGGGTCGAGGAGCGGGTTGAGGGTCGAGGATTAGTTGTGCATAAAGCTATGAGCCAGTCATAATTCAGAAGAGTCAAACCTTGCGGATGGCGCCATGGGTACTGCTCGATCTTCTGTGTTTAAGCCCGGAGATGCAACTCTAGAAGGCACCTGGTACCGTCAAAGTCACAGCTTGTCGCAGGGTATACCTGTGACAAAGACGGTGCATCAACAGCGATGTTGGGCCAAAGTAGATGACTATGGCGTCTTTTTCTCAACGCAGGCAAAAGCTGACGTGATGATTGCAGTCAACAGGCGCCCGTTCCTACGGCGGCAGGTGCGATTACGTCTCACCTCGCCTTGCGGCAAGAGCGATTGATGAGGCGAACGAAGCATTGCGCTAAAGCTTGGCAGACTTGGCCACAATTCTCGAGGTTTGTAACATCATCCTTCTATCACGGTCGATGGCAATGCTCACGACTTTCACAGATGATTTGAACATACAACTAGCACATCACCTTTTCACAAAGGCCATTACTTTAGTTTGATGGCTCGAAAACAGCCATAGAATCGTGCATAACACCCTCAACCGTGCCATGGAGTCAAACCTGTCAGTTACGAGATTGGCGTGGCGTTGGCCAAGCTTATGCGTCAAGATCCTCCAAGAAGGCTTGAAAAGAGCACCCGTAAGAACCCCGGTCTTTGTGACGCCCGTCCTCTTTCGTCATTGGTTTTACAGTCGGGGCCCTGGCCGTTGCTGCGAGAATCTTGTATGAAGCAAATACACTCACTCCATTCGTCCGCAGAGAAGAGATCACAGATATACTTGTCAAGCCTTTCGCCGAGTATCGTCTGCTGATTTGTATCTGATCCAGATCGCAGCTCTGGCAACTGGACACGTTTTGTGCAGCTACTTTCCACGTGATCTCCATTACAGCCTCAAACTCCTCTGTTCTCTCCGACACTAGAAATCTTCGTTCTCATCATCCTCAATCAACTTCGCATAATCCTCCACTGAGGCAAACGTAGGCAGCGCCTTTTTCCTTGCCTTCTCCTGTTTGGCAGCCTTGCTCTTCTTCTTCTTGGCAGGCATCTCTTCCTCATCGGTTTCATCAAACCCTCCGAATTCCTCTGTCTCAAGTGTCACGCCTTCGTCCAAGTCCATTAGATCATCTTCTGACTCGTCAAAGAGGGCAGGATCAATATCCACGCCTTCATCATCGGAAACTCCTTCGCCCGCATCCGAGGCGTCCATCTCAGCATCAAGTTCTGAGAGGTCAAGATCGTCATCACTTTCCTCGTCTCCTTCCAGATCAGGAGCACTGTCCATCATAGCCTTGAACACTTCATCTTCATCATCTGACTCGTCCTCATCGTCGCGCTTCTTCAGCGCCTTCTTCAGCGGTGCTTTGCCCAGGCTGGCAAAATATTGGTGGAAGAACACTTCCTCTGCCGCCACATCCTTCTTCACTAGGAATTCTTCGCTGTTGACTGGTACTTTGCGGCGTGCGCCTGAACTATCGCCAATCAAAACACCTTGAGAGTCCGCTGCCGCCATTGGTTGCATAATTGACGAGCCCTTCAGGCCTGTTCCGCTTAACTTGGGGTTACGATAGACAAACCTATCCAGGAAATGACTGAGCGTATGCAAGCTGAGGTCGGGCTTTCCGGGCAATTTAGCATGTCGTAGAGTATGGTCCGCACTGAGGGAAACTGCAGGATGGAAATGGGCAAGAAATGGTAGCACTTCCCAGGCACAGCTGTTGTCAGCGTTGGCATGTTCCGGGGCACGCTTATGCCCATCGTATAACCTCACATGACCATCACTCGTTCCAAGATCCTGTGCTGGTTGACCGTCTTCTTCAACGTCCCGGAAGACTTCTTCTTCATCGTCGTGATCTTCGGGCTCGTCGAACAACCCTGCCAACGATGGAAAGGTGGACTTCAGGTCTTGCAAAAGAAAAAATGCCCCAACTATGAATGAGGAATCATGCAGCGACAGAACTTGTATCAGTCTCTTGACGAATGCCTTGACCCGCTTCTGGTTGAGATCAGCCTTGAGCGCCCTGTGGAGGAGGTTGAGGTAAAGCTGCTGCTTTGAGGCTGATAATAGTCGTGGATCAAGGAGCGTTTCATACAAAACTCGGTAGAATCGATCGTTGGATGATTTGTGAGTTGTCGATAGCTGCTGGATCAAAAGCATGGCCTGAATGCTGGTGTTGAAGTTGGAAGAATGGGTAATCCTGAACAATGTCTCGATGTGATCGGAAAAGCTCTTGTGGCTGTCACCGGCATAAGGGTATGCCCGGTTCACCCCCGTCAACACCGCCGACGTCAGCTTTTCTCGCAGATCTTCTGCCTGCGGCTGCGCAGGGGCCTTTGGTTTCTTCGGCTTCTTGCGTCTTCGAGGTTCCTGTTCGTCGTGAGGCTCTTCTTCCGCCACAGGAGCCTCTGGCAATTCGTAAGACTTCAGGAGAATGGTGAACAATCCAAAGTAGATGTCGAGTAGCTTGATCGCCACTTCTTCTTCTCTGGTGCTCAAGGTTGTCTGATTCAGCGTCACAACGGCGTAGTACTTGGCGTGTAAGGTTTGGCCGGGACGAAAGATGAAATCCGTTTCGATCGCTGCTACGACAATTGGTTTCATGGCCGGATGGTGGATCAGCAACTGCATCAGAAGGTATGATGCTTGTGACGCAATCTTCTTGACCGGGTCTCCAAGTTTGTTGACAAGAAGACGTAGGAGATTGGACTCCTGCTCAGGCTTCTCCTTCAACAACTCATACACAAAACTGAGCGCCTTTGATTTGGAGAATTCAATCTCATCATTGCACCAGACTTCGAGAATTTTGAGCACTTCAAAATATTGCTCCTTCAACCAGTCTTCGTAGGCCCATACGACAAGATGTTGTTCTGTCAGCCCTCGAGGCAGCTTTTCTCCTCTTTTCCATTGCTTGGTCTTGGTGAATAAATGTGGCAACGCAGGTTGCGAGGCAAACGCATACAAGCGTCTTGACTCTGGAAGTAATGATCCCTGGGCGAAGAGATCTTTGAGCGACCGAAGAACATCGACAGCCTGCGATCGACTGCGTTTTCCGGCAAGTCCGATCAAGGTTTCGAGGGCTCGGACATTGTGAATTGGAGAGTCTTGAACTGCCAGAGTCAGAGCAGATATCTTATCGGACAGCGTTCCAGACGCAATGACAGTGTTGTAGAAAGACTGGGAGGAGGATGATTGTTGAGCCGCCCTGAGCTTGCGATTTTCTTCATCCAGCAAGTGCTTGGCATATGCATGCAACTCGTCGATTGTGGCAGCAGGCACTCGAAACTTGATCTGGGCATTAGAGTCAAACTTTGGTTGCTCGATATTGAACCAGTCTGGCTTGAGTTCGCAGATATAATTCGAAGGCTTTCCTCGTTCGATTTTTGTGATTTTTTGTGTAGTGACCTTCGATGTGGACTGAGGTTCATCGTCGTCGGATGGCTCTTCCTCGGAGATATCTTCGTCCGCTTCGACATCGCCTTGTGCTAGCGCTATCTCCTTGAGAATGTTATGTATGCCCTTGTCAAGGTCCTCAGATTTTCGTTTGGGATGAGATTTCTGCGGTGCTTCGATATCACCCTCCACTTCTGAGTCGGTTTCCACGTCAGCAATCAGATCGAGGTCTTCAGAGGTACCACCGAGCAGTTTGACTTCGGCAAGAAACTCTTCGTCGGCATCAGCGATCGTGTCTGTAGGTTGTGTTGATGTGCTAGACACTTCGGGTTTGACTTTTCCATTGCGTTCGCGCTTCTTCCCACGTTTTCCGCTGGTGGCTTCTTCCTCTTGAGGCTCCGTAGTCTTGCTCTTGTCGGCCTTTTCATCATTTGCCTTGCCCTTTGGCGTCTTCTTTTTACGATCGATAGTCTGGAACTGGGCTTGGATCTTGGATCGCAGGTCTTTGAAGGCATCGGTGGAAGGCTGAGTTGTAGATGTCAATGAGACGTCATTTTCTGCTCCACTTGACACAGGAGGGTCCTGGCCCTTTGATTGTGTCTTAGCCATAGTGTTCAAGGGCTGGTTTCGTATTCATAGGGTTTTCGCATCGTGTTGTATCGCTGTGTGAATATTCTTCGACATGCGGAATCTGCTGCAGCGACTCCAAAAAAAAGTTGCGGCAGCCGGAGTTACTATTAATTCCGAAATGGCGCCAACCGCTTTGGGCCTAGAATCATATTCTCCTTTCCATCATCTGATTCGTGAATGAAAAACATCCTCTCTTCTCATTGAATATGATATACATCTGACTGCTACCTTTTGCTCGATTCAAGTATAGGCTGTCATCTGGAGAGCTATATTTTCAACCTCTGAATCAATCCACATCATATATCTCTATCTTAATCCTAATACCGCCACGTTGGGCACGCGGGATACACTCATGTCAAGCTGCAAGTTATGAGGCTTCGCATAATTGCCCAAGCCGGTCAGAGACCCAAAGCTGGTCGACCCTGTTGTCAGTATGGCTCGGTACGGTTCAACCATACCGATTCTCGACAGAGGCTCAGCTCTTTCTGGATACCCCACGTCCGTGTGGAGGTCAAGGAGGGTGCTGTGACTGATGCGACCACACTTCTCATGCAAGCTGGTTATGTACGACAGACATACGCAGGGATCTTTCATATGTTGCCTTTAGGTTTGCGCGTCCAGGAAAAGTTGGAGCGTTTGATCGACAAGTACATGAGATCACTCGGTGCATCCAAAGTCTCATTATCATCTGTCTCGTCACAAGCTCTCTGGGCGAAATCTGGGCGTCTTCAGTCTGACTCGGAGTTTTTCAAATTCAAAGATCGCCGGAAAATTTCTCTGCTCCTGGCACCGACTCACGAGGAAGAGATAACTACCCTCATGGCACCTGCAGTCACCTCCCCCAAAAGCCTTCCTGTTCGGCTGTATCAGATTGGAAGAAAGTATCGAGATGAGCTCCGTCCTCGAGGTGGACTCCTTCGGGGTCGAGAATTTCTGATGAAAGACCTTTATACCTTTGATGCCACAGAGCAAGATGCCCACAGAACGTATGATGAGATCAGACAGGGATACCGGAACTTTCTCGATGAACTCACAGTCAAATACGTTGAAGTTCGCGCAGACTCGGGAAACATGGGAGGGAACTTGAGTCACGAGTATCATTTTCCAAATCATGCCGGCGAAGACCAAATCTTGACCTGCTCCGAGTGCGACCTAGCCCGAAACGAAGAGTATGTCGATCAGACCCCAATCCTCTCAGTCCAGAATTTGCAAGATGTGCCCGTGGCTGGTTCTATCCAAGATAAACCCATCCCATCCTTCCGGAAAGATTATGTCAGCAAAGATGGCCTCACGCTGGTGAGGACGTTTGCACCACGAAAGCAAAGTGAGCCAGGTTCCGAAACTGCTCCCCGCCAGGAAATCAACTCGTATATACTGAAAGCCATCCTCAATCGCATGGTTGAATTAGATACTGGTGTTGAGAACCCCCTCAAGCGTTTCAATCAAGCCCGGACTTCGACACAGCTCGAGAAGATACCCCAGAAACCCACGGTATATTATATCTTGGATTCCCAGGTTTCATTTGACGACATTTCCGAACAAGTACAGGCCGACGTGAAGGAATTTTCAGCCGACATGCAATACTTTGTGGTACAAACAGCTGAAGGCAGCCCGAACCCCATCAGGTTACGGAAGCTTCAACAAGGCGATCCCTGTCCACAATGCGACAGTGGAAAGATAGACATTCAACATGCGATTGAGATCGGGCATACGTTCCATCTTGGCACGAGATACAGCTCCAAATTGGGCCTCAATGTCTCAATTGAAGGGCACGAAGGGCAGCATAACCAGGTCAAGACTCCGGTGGAAATGGGCTGTCATGGCATCGGTGTCTCAAGGCTGATCGCCGCCGTCGCCTCGTGTCTGTCAGACAACTACGGCCTGAATTGGCCCAGGGTCATAGCGCCATTTGAGGTTGCGATACTGAGCCACAGGACTGAGGAGGCAAAGTTGGCGGAAGAGTTGTACGACAACCTGTCATGCGTTCCAGGGAATCCCGTTGATTCTATTATCGATGATCGGCTCAACACTCTCCCGTTCAAGATGAAGGATGCAGACATGATCGGATATCCCATCTTGCTGATACTAGGCAAAGGCTTGAAGGATAACAAAGTCGAGGTGCAATGCCGACGCTTAAAGTTCCGGGAACAGATCGAGACAAATTTCGTGGTGCCAGTCGTCCAGGGGTTATTACAACGGCTCTGAGACGTGTATAGTAGGACCGTGCTTATATACCGTGCTTGTAGCACACTAATACCCCTCTCGTGTGTAAAATATAAAGGATGTGTTGTGTGTGGCCGTCTTGCAATCTGCTTTGTCTTCGATTTGGAGGAGTCTTATCACGTGCTTGAAAGGGGCTGTCACATGATATCCACGTGACTATCTGTCAAATCACGTGTACCCATGCTCGAAAAGAAAAAATTGATGCCGACCCCGGCGCACGCGATCCTCAATTGCCCCCACTGCTCTGGAGTTCACCCCCATGACTGAGGATGACTCGACCACTAGCAAAGCGGCTTTTGGTTATTACTACTGTACTTTTTTAGTCTCGGCCATTTCATTGATCATTTCTTTCGGTTTCTGTCTACAACACTGATTCTTGCCAGAGGTTTGCGCTTTGCGCCTGGGGTAACATGTCTTGTCGAGTGGTAGGTGATATTCTTCCTCTCTTTTATCTTGAAACATTTTGCATTTAGCAGACGCTAATCTTCCTCAAAGGTAGTGACAGCCAATCCTTTGGCTCGGTCGCTCATTCGTGACAGCCCTCGTCGAAGCCTTGCGCGTTCCCAATATAACCACAGCTCATTTCGCTGTTACGCAACTACTCTCTCCTCCTTCCAGACGAACCCTCAAGAGCAAGCGCCGCCTAACTTCGCGACCGGAAATGAAGTGACAACGCCACAAACGCTGACGGAGAAGATCCTTCAGCGTTACTCGGTTGGCCTTCCAAAGGGCAAAGTTGTTCGAAGCGGCGATTACGTCCAGATTCAACCTCACAGATGCCTCACACATGACAATACATGGCCTGTGGCCATGCGATTTATGTCGACGGGTGCTACCAAGATTAAAGATCCTTCTCAGCTTGTCTTTGCACTTGATCATGATATACAAAACACAAGTCCCAGCAACTTGAAGAAGTACCATCAGATAGAAGAGTTTGCGAAGAAGCATGGCGTCAACTTTTTTGGTGCAGGTCATGGCATCGGCCACCAAATCATGGTATACTTCTCTGCGTCGTATTCATACTAGGGACCTTTGGTTTGCTAACGGACTCTTAGGTGGAAGAGCTTTTTGTTTGGCCAGGAACATTATGCGTTGGATCCGACAGTCACAGTAACATGTACGGAGCCCTGGGAAGCTTGGGAGTGGCTTTGGTTAGAACCGATGCGGCCGGAATATACGCTACTGGGAAGAGTTGGTTCCAGTGCCCCCCAATCGTGCAGGTGAATCTTCTGGGGACACTACCCCCAGGCGTTCGTGGGAAAGACGTTATTGTTGCACTTTGTGGGCTTTTCCCACTGGATGTGCTGAACCACAGTGTTGAGTTTGTGGGATCGGAGGAAACCATGGCGAGCATCCCCATGGACGACAGACTGACAATCAGTAACATGTCGACTGAATGGTCTGCAACATCCGCAATGGTATGGCACCTCCTTGAGCTACAGTCTGCATTTCTATGAACCCGACTAATTCTTCTTTTTACAGTTCCCCTTGGATACGACACTAGAACGGTGGATGCGATACAAGGCTACAGAGGCAGCAATGCTAGAGCACCGAACGACTCGACAACGAATTACGCACGAAATGGTTGACGAACTCTTTTCCACACCTCTCCGGGCTGACCCTGGAGCGCACTATGCAAAGAAACTCTACCTTGACCTTTCTACTCTGTCTCCTTATATCTCTGGGCCGAACTCGGTCAAAATCTCAACACCCCTGCATGACCTCGCAGCACAAAACATCAAGATAAACAAGGGATACATTGTTAGCTGCACTAACTCGCGAAGTTCAGATCTCAAAGCTGCAGCCCAGGTATTTCAAGCTGCCGCCAAGTCAAATGGTGGCAAAATCCCCAAGATTGCAGATGGTGTCAAGCTATACATTGCAGCAGCTTCAGCCAGTGAGCAGGCCATTGCTGAGGATGAAGGTAGCTGGCAGACCTTGGTCGAAGCTGGAGCTACTGTTCTCCCACCTTCATGTGGCCCATGTATCGGACTGGTAAGTGGTCACCGCTCCGCATGTGGAATTACGTCAATTGTTAACATTTCATAGGGCACGGGTCTATTAGAAGATGGCGAAACTGGGATCTCTGCATCAAATCGCAATTTCAAGGGCCGTCTCGGGTCAAGACGTGGGTTCTCCTCTTGCTTTTTCAAACACTCCGAAAGACTGACATCTAGAAGTTGCTCATGCGTACCTCAGTAGCCCCGAGGTCGTGGCTGCAAGCGCTTTAAACGGCGTTCTTTCAGGTCCGGGCATCTACCAGGTGCCTGAGAACTACAACGGCGTCCAGTATGGTTACGGCACCGGAAAACCTGCAACAATCGAAAACGAGCTCGGCAATGCTCTCGAGCAGCTCGAGTCTCTGATCGACAGGGTTGAGACGACCGCTGGTCTCGGCGATGATCCTGCTGCCCAATCAGGCACGAACATCCTCCCAGGCTTCCCGTCCAAGATAACTGGTGAAATCATCTTCGCTGATGCTGATAATCTGGATACCGACAACGTATATGCCGGCAAATATACTTATCAAGATGATATGACAAGGGAAGATATGGCACGAGTCTGCATGGAAAACTATGACCCAGAGTTCAGGTCAATCACAAAACCCAGCGATATTCTCGTCTCCGGATTCAATTTCGGGTGTGGCTCATCGAGAGAACAAGCAGCTACAGCTCTCCTGGCTAGGGATATTCCACTTGTTGTGGCGGGCAGCTTCTCCAACATTTTTGTCCGGAATGGCGTCAATAATGCACTGCCTTGTCTTGAAGTACCACGTCTGGTGGAACGTCTTCGCGCTGTCTTCTCGGAAAACAAGGTACCCACTCGGCGTACTGGATGGACCCTGACATGGGATATTACCCGGAGTGTCATCGTGGTGCAGGAGGGGGAGAATGGGGAACAATGGGAAGAGAAGATTGGAGAGTTCCCTGAGAATTTGCAGGAAATCATTGCAAAGGGGGGGTTGGTTGGATGGGTCAAGAATGAGCTTGCTAAGGCTGCCTAGTTGACCAAGAGACTACATGGTCTTGAGTATGGCCCGCGGTCTGGCGGCAAAGACATCAGACCGAGAATACGGCACAGTCACGGAGTCACCGGACTGTATGTTAGATGACCGAGATCCGTGACAGTACATACATGTCCTATCACTGTGGCTGCACAAAAGCAGCATGAGAGGAAAAGGAATAAAGGGCGCATATACCCCAAAAGTCACCAATTTTAAAACATTTAAAACATTCCACAAAAGAGTCATTGTTGCTCTTAATGCCACTGTCATCTATATATCTGTTGTCTTTAGCTCAAATACGGATTGTTCGAGAAGTTGAACATCGACTCAATGCTTCGAGCCCCAATGCACGGAATGTTAAAAGGCTTTTGCGATCGATCAGTAGGCAATACCTGTCGACGAGAATGTAAGCGACACGACAATTATTACCCCTGAGTGCTTCGGAGAGACAGTGAAGAAACATACCGCCATCCACAATCAACGCTTGTCCAGTGATATTTCGGGATCCAGGCCCAGCGAGAAAACTGACCATTGCAGCAATATCATCAGGAACCTACCAAAAGATGTTTATCGTCAGCGACCAAGGTTTCTAGAAGAAAATCTTAGGATCCCAAGATAGGATACGATAGGAAAAGACATGCTTACCGATGGTCTCTTGAAACCGCATCGTGCTTCGACAGATCTTGCAAAAGCCACACCCTTCTCGAGACCTTGTTCTTTGGCCAGAGTCTCGTCGATTTGCTCCCACATCTACATGATATTGTCGAGATAAGCTAGTAGCCCTTGACTGGTTTTCGATTGAGTTTTCTTCATCACCTACCGGAGTATCCACAGGACCAGGACAGTATGCTTCAGTCGAACAGTGTTAGTTAGAGCTGAGACTGATAAAATGCTATTAATGGGCATTTGTTTTCATACCATTTACCTATAATGACGAGATGAGATGATCAGTTGGCTGTTTTCTTCGAATCCCGCAGTGTTTGGAGGGTCTGTTCTTACGTTGATGTTGTGTTCCGCCAGATCATATGCCATGCTCTGTGTCAATCCTCGAACTGCCCATTTGCTGGCTGCGTATGGGGTTGATCCGTGTGACTAAATGAGAACAACATATGAGTAGGTCGCCAGTATAGAGAAAGAAGCTGAGTCTGCCAAAGTGCTACAAGCATACGGTTTGGGGTACGTACTGGTCGATGAGCAGCCAGGGAAGATGCTCCAATGAGGCGGCCTCCTTTTCCTTGAGCGATCATCTGACGGGCTAAATGTGGCCATTAGATGTCAAAGTCTTGTGGCGAAATGGAAAGGGAGAGTTGATTCCACATACCTGCTTCGCGAAAACAGATGAATGTGCCCATAACATTGACCTAGAAGCATATATTAGGGGCCATTCTTGAAGACATAGTCTTGGAAAGGGTTTGATAGGTCTCTCTGCCTCGCACATTCATAATCAGACTGAATTCGCCCATGTCGGTGTCCATCATTGGTTTTGGGATGATGATGCCCGCATTTGCTACCATGACCTGTACAAGGTGAGACTAGGACTGGTGGATTGATACTTTGGAGAGCGGACATACTGATAGGTCTCCGAACGCTTCAACCGTCTTCTTCACCATATCCCGTACTTGGTCTTCGTTGGCGACATCAGCTGCAAAGCAGAGACACTTTCGACCTGAAACACGGGAAATGTCAACCATTGTGAAGCAAAAGCGGCAATAAACAAACTGATTTATAGCCGAATTTGCCCTACTGCAATCACAACTACTAGTACTTACCTTTCTGCTCAACCTCTGACTTGACCTTTTCAAGAAGCGGTGCTTGCTTGGGGAGATCATTGATCTGTTAAGAGAGAGAAAGTCAGCCCATCATCATTCCCATCCGACACTCTACCTGAAAATGAATAGAGAAGGATGCCAGTGAAAACAGACGGCAATATCCATTCCATCATCGGCAAGTCTGAGAGCGACAGCTCTCCCAATCCCTCGCGAAGCCCCCGTGACGATAGCAACAGGCATGTTTACCAAGTTTTGATTCGACAAGTCTATGTCCTGATCTATGATGCCGCGAAGATTTAGATCCGAACAAATATGGCAGGAGATACTAATAGGGAGCAAATGTCTCTGGTCTGGACCTCCCCATGGTCCGAAACAAACTGTGTTGATTCCTAGGGAAGATCGAAGTTCGTACTAGCGTGGAAGGTTGCAAGCACTAAAGGGACGAGCCATGTTAGGATGGTTTGCCCAATGGCATACTATACTGTTGTGCTGAGCCACGGGTAAATTCAATATACCTACCGTTCCACAAATCGGAAAGTCGGAAACGTGGAGTGGAGTGTATATTTTGCGGGGAGGCCGTGTTCAGAACCTGGGGATATCTCTTGTGCCACGGAGCTGGTAAGGAGGACAGTACATTATCCGAGAGGCTCTATCCTTTGTGGGGACCCCTTGATGTGTTGTTTTCCTTCCGTTGCCGCCGCCGTGGGCACACACAGATCTTCGACGAGGGCCAAGTAGTCGCCAGAACGAGACCAACTCCACAGTCTGCGTCGGTGACTATCGGGAAATGGACTCGGCCAAGGGTAAGTGACACTGAGGATTTCTATTCCGAGGGAGAGGAATGTGGAATTCTTCTCCTTAGGTTTGTCGAAGTCATCTCTGTCGGGTTGGCTGTTTAGTCAAAAGTAAAACACACCCGACTCTTTTATTTTGCAGGAATACATCAGCCATAGGACACCTGAAGTGTTACACAATTGTCGAATCTTCTTATCATCAGGAATTCTATCGAATTTATTCATCTCTATCATACACGCCATCATCCTTTCCTTCACAACCAGAAAACATGTCTGCCAGCAATGGAACACCACCCCAATCAGTCGACAAACTCACTCTGGGCCGTCAGATGGTGAGGAAGTTTGCCGGAAACAAACACGTCGACGCAGTTGCGGCGTCCATGGTCAGTCTTATCTCTATTCAAAACTAGTCAAATCCTTCTGCACGAACTGACCATGATTTATCGATCTAGAAAAAGGACTACTTCTCAACCGTGAGCGAGGAATTCATATCCGAAGTCTGTTGGTCTGGGTACGCTCGACCAGGATTGGAATTCAGGGAACGGGCATTGATGAACATTGCCATGTTGACGGCACTGGGTAGAGCTCCTGAACTGCGCATTCATATCCGTTGCGCGGTTTATAATGGATGTACGGAGGAAACTGTCGCCGAGGCTTGTCGACATGCAATGGTTTACTGTGGCGTCCCTGCTGGGAGAGATGCTCTCATTATCGCGAGTGAGGTTTTCCATGAGTTAAGGCAGTCTGGAGATTATCCACCTGCAAAAGATTCAAAGTAATGCGATGTGTTCGTGCCGTGTGACGGTCCATTGGCCAGGGATCATGAGGTTGGTCGAGGTTTGTAGTCGGAATGAGAGATTTCACTCACTAGACTTCGTCGAAAAGCGTAGAATCGAAGAGAACAACATGGGCTCAGGTACTTGTGGATGCTGATCCAGTTTTCACTTTTGCCGTGATTTGCTTAAGATCTCTAGAGACGAGAGTGAAGACAAAGACGGCCTACCCGTCGGAAGCATCAGAGAATCTCTAGTCTGTAGCATTTTGTGTACTAATTCCCTCCAAGCGAACTCTGGATTCGAATGTGCCAATGGGCATGGTTCATCTATCTATTCTTTGTGGTTTACGTTGATATGGTGACAGTGGCAAAAATAACAACAAATGTTTAGTTTAGGTGCATTTGTTGAAGCTGACATAGACAGTGAAGAACTATCATTGTTACGACTGTACATCGTGCCTTTGCGGCTCTCCTACGGCGGATTAAGTACTCCCTTTACCCTTTATAAGATCTTGATACCACCAGGCCCATGAAGCTTGAGATTCTGCAAAAGTAGAGCCACCCCCTTTTTTGGGCTTTCTTAATGCCGCCTTGCCATAGATGATTTTACCGGCCTCTTCAGACTCACAGAGGATATCTCCAGTTTGGATGATAATCACAGAGAGTCTCAAAGTCACCAATATCATCTGGCAGTGGTGGTGCAGTTCCATTACGACGGGCCTCGGCTGCAGCATCGCGTTTGCGGTTTTCGTGTCTCAGCCAAAAGTACAGAATGGCAGTGCAAGAAAAGGCGACAACGAAGATGCCTAGCAGGATGCCATTGCCTTTGTAGAACTTGGGTGGGGTGTCAAAGACTTGGGTTGCCATGATGATGAAACTGTTGATGAAAATCTGTTGGATACCATAGACGGTGCTTCTCTTGGTGTATCCTCCGTGGATGGTGCTGATCCAGGCGACGGCGATGGGGTTTCCTGGATATGTGCCAGCGGCAACAAAGCAGGTGCCTGCCATGGATACAGTGGGATTTGGGGATGCTAGGATGATGATGATGCCAATGAGACAGCAGCCAAGACACCCGGCCATTGCAATCCCACGTTGCTGGTATTTATCTGACAGCCAACATGCTAGAGGCATCGACACCACCGCGAAGCTGTAGGGGATGATGGTGTAGAGTTGAGAAGTGAGTCGATCGAATCCAAAGGCGTTGATGAACGTCGGTAAGAAGACAGAGAACGCGGCAGCGCTGGTTCCCACCGCAGTAAGCATCAGTGATCCTAGATATGTTTTGGGATCCTTGATCGCAATCCAGATTTGGCGGGGAACCACTTTAGCACCAGCTGTATTCTGACCTATTTTATTTTGGAAGTTAGTCAGTCCCTGGTAGAACGACGATTCGTAGGAAAGAGGTCAATACGTACTGGCCTTGATTCGCGCGAGAAGAAGTTCATTCTCGGAGCTATTGAATAAGAAATGCCCCTTGGCGACGACTTTGTCCGGATATCCTGGCAACAGCGCCATGATGAGGAGACCAATAGCGACAGTTGGAACTCCCTCTACAATGAACAACCATTGCCAGCTTCTAATGCCGTGAGCGTTGTGGACGTTCTTGTCCACACCATATGCGATCAAGCCGCCTGCAAAGCTAGCGACACTAGTCGACCAATAGATCAGACCTGGATGAGACCGCTGTATTAGTTCCCAGAAACATTCAGTCTTATGATCGTTCAACACCTACCGCCTCTCAAAGCGAGTTCGTCATGCTTATACCACATGCTGAGATACAAGAAAGACAGTGGGACAATAGCCTCGCCAAACCCCAGTACCAGACGAAGACCAATTAGATCAGCGAAACCGCGGGCCACTGCGAACAAGGCGGCGACCATGCCAAACATTGTGATCGAACCGCCGAGAACCCAGCGGGGAGCCAATATTTTCATCAGAAGTGCTGCAGGGGTCTGAAGAACCAGGAAACCGATATCTGGAGAGCAGTAGCTGCGTTAATCTATTTGTTGTCCCAAGGTATGCATAAATACATGGGCGTCGACTCACAGGTAACCATCAGAACCTGAAAGAACTGATGATTTGTCATATTGAGATCTTGCTGGATGCCCATGAGACGGGCATTTCCAATGTTGCTTCGGTCCTGCAGAGAGCAGAAGCGTCAGTTTCGAGACACAGTCAACCAACCAAACACAATAGAGTCCTTTTCATACCAATACACCCATCAAGTATCCAAGGCCCAAAAGAGGAAGAATAAGGAGATCTTGTTTTCGCACGAGTTTCCTCTCGGCGGCCCGGTCGATGACTGGCGTTGCATCTTCGACATAGGCCTCGTCGATTTTCTCAATTGCATGTTGAGAGTCAACGGTGGAGTTCTCTTGAACATCGGCAGCCAACTTCTCGCGAGGGTTGACAACAGTGGTGTTGGCGGTGGTGTTCTGCATCTTGATAAACGACTGAGAGTCGACTCCAATTGATCGATGGTTCAAGATCCCTTTCAACATGGCGGGCGATTCTGATCACTTTATATATGGTCACTCACTCATCTGACCTTTTTGACAGACTCCAGACTGCTCACCATTTCGCCTCTTTCTCCACGCCAACTACTTCTCTCCACGATAAACATGAGAATGGAAAAAAATCCGGGGAGATGAGACTGGGGTCGACGGCACGGCCAAACTTCCCCTCGTTTGACCTGAGCCAGGGACCATTTCCTCGGGCCAGGATAAATATGTCGTTGGTATGGCCAATCGGAATTCTGACCTGGGACTTTATCCCCGGTTGAATGCACGATGGTGTGGGTCTCCTATTGGTAACCCTAAATATTGTGGGCCGACCTGCGAGACGTCCTGCCTGATGTCCCCCCCCCCCAAATCAAAGTTTCAAAGGCCTTGAAGTTTTTCCATGGGACAAGTGAGAACAGGTCCGAGGAGTCCAGTCTAGACTCATCGATGAGTGAGCCCGAAGCGTGGCTTGGAAATATGTCGGTAGAAATGGTTCCTTGGGCAACTCTGGTGGACTGATGCGAGGTTTCGAGTTGATCAAACACCACGTTTGACAGAGAACGTGCCACTTCGAGTTGACGGTTTCTGCCTCTGTGATGAATCATAGAAACCTAGCATCTTTTCTAGCGATATACTTATTACCCATGTCATCGGACTGGCGTAGTATTCTCTTTGTAGTCGAGCCATGCCTGAGATCAAAGTCCCTGTCGAGTCTAGTATTGTCTTGCCATCTAGCAAACATCTTCCCACATCCTCAAACGATCAAAACCCAGTCCATAGACCTGCCGACATGAAAGGCGCTGGTATCAACGGCGCCTATGACAGTGGACACGAGTTCCTCAATGGCAATACTGATCCTCTAACGAGCCGGGCCCCGGCCTGGACACCACAGAAGAAGCTCAAGGTGATCACAGTCGGCGCTGGCTTCTCCGGACTGATATTCGCACATAAGCTGCAACATCAATATCCTGATGTTGGAGCCTTGATAGACCATACTATCTATGAGGCGAGACACGATGTTGGAGGAACATGGCTGGTTAATACTTATCCTGGCATTCAATGTGATGTTCCGGCTCATATCTATGTTCGTAACCAATTCTCCTGTCAATTTAGCGATTTAATCGGACTAATTAGTCTCTCAGGCATTTCCATTTGACCCCAAACCAGACTGGGATAACTTCTACGCGTCTGGGGCTGAGATCCAACAATACATCAAGAGCACAGTGAAAAAGTGGAATCTTGATCGTGATGTCAAACTCAACCACCGAGTAACTGAAGCTATCTGGCAAGAGAAATCGAGTCAGTGGAAGCTGACGGTGGAAAAGAATGGACAAGAAACTTTCATCGAGTATACCGACATCTTGGTCTCCGGGCAGGGAGTACTTAACAAATGGCGGTGGCCGAACATCGATGGCTTCGACAGCTTCAAAGGGCATAAGTGTCATTCGGCGTCGTGGGATTCCAACTACGACTATACCAACAAGAGAATTGCAGTGATTGGAAATGGCTCATCGGGAGTCCAGATTGTGCCGAAGCTCGCTCAATTGCCAGGAACCCACATCCTTGCCGTTCAACGAAGTGCCAACTACGTCTATATGCCCCTGCCTCCTGCGGCACTGCTGGGCCGACAAGATGATGACCGGCCAAACCCGCCGTTCACCGACGAGGACAAGAAACGCTTTTCAGAGGATCCCAACTTTCACCGCGAGTATCGACGGAGGATCATTCACCAGATCAACAGCGCCTTTCCCACTTATATCAAGGGATCCGTCGAGAACAAAGCAGCCACTGAAGTTGCGCGTAAGCAGATGGCGACTAAACTCCAAAACGATCCTGACTTGTGTGCCAAACTGATACCGACTTGGTCTCTTGGATGTAAACGCATCACGCCAGCTGAGGGGTTTCTAGAATCCCTTCTGCGCCCCAATGTCGAGCTAGTCAGCAGTGCAGTAACCACCGTGACAGAAAACTCGATTGTGACGGCCGATGGACGGTCTTTTGAAGTCGACGTGATCGCATGCGCAACAGGGTTCGATGTCTCACTGCGGCCACAATGGCGCATGATCGGTCGTCACGGTGTCGATCTGGGCCAGGAGTGGGCGGTCGACCCTGAGTCGTACCTATCGGTGGCGGCTCGAGACATGCCAAATTTCTTCATGTTCCTGGGACCTAACGCCGTTATCGCCCACGGGTCTTTGTTGGAGTCCATAAACTGGACGGGAGACTATATCGTCAAGTGGCTCCGTAAGATTGCCACCGAAAACATCAAGGCCGTCACGCCCAAGACAAAGACAGTAGACGACTTGATCCGATATGGTGACGGCGTCCATCAGTCATTAGTCTGGTCAGAGGGCTGCTCGAGTTGGTTCAAGCGAAATACGGTTCACGGAAGAGTCACAGCAGCATTTGCTGGAAGTGCCCTGATGTTTCGACGGCTTATTTCAGACATTCGTGGCGAAGATTTCGACATCGAGTACGGAAGTGGTAACCAGTGGGCATTCTTGGGTAATGGCTTTACAAGCCTAGAACTGGACCCGGCCAACAATTTGTCGTGGTATATTGAGAACTAGATTGAAACCTTCAAATGAGTATTCATAGAGAGGTATATACATTGAATATTTGAATGTTGCGGCGATTCCACCGTTGAAGCTCACAAACTGGGAGAATTGGTCGATAAATCCCAGTCTGCAGTTGGCATACCCACCCACATGTCAGTCAGGTTGGAGAAATCTAAGTTGAAGAACTCATCTTCTGGCAGGTTCAAGACAGTTCCGAGGGCAGATTCCTCGTAGTTGGAGAGTCCAACACCGGAACCCTGACGAGTATACATCTCAATGGCATTGATGTTAGTCCAGTCCCTCGTCGAGGAGTCATTCTCCTGCACCATGTTTCCGGTGGGGTGGGATGTGGTGGTCGTGGTAGCATGCTGTATTGAGTTTGACGTTGAGCTTGCCAGACTGTCTGTTGGAGCAGAAAGAACTCGTTGTCGCTTAAAAAGTCGGGTAACGTGCGATGCTGCAAACGTCAGAAATGCAATGGCCCATTCTGCAGCCACGTTGCTGTCCACTAGCTCCCGGAGTGCCAATTTGCATTCCTCGAAGCGGCGAGCCCCTTCTCGACGTATCTCGTCACTAGGAGATTGCAAATCGAAAACGTGACTCCAGCTAATGGTCAGGATACACGAGATACCAGTACCAGGGAGACGACGCATCAGGTCGAGTCTGTACAAGTCCATGATGATCTTGTTGAGGTTCTCGGCTGCAGCCCGCATAGACTTTTGTGACGCCCTCATTTGATCATGACCTGCTCCTAGGCCCATACGATCTGCCAAGGCACGTGGTCGGTGCAGACAGAATTGGGCCACTCGATACATCATGGCCAAAAAGGCCCGGTGTATAATAACGGCCTCCTCGGTCGAGGAAGAAACAATCGGGACGGGGGACTGGTGCAGTAACTCGTCTGGTACTTGATCACGCCACCTCTGTAATTCTTGTTCACACATGTCGAGCTTTTGAAAATCATCAATCGGAAAATTCCTGCTTGATGCGGCCGCGCGGTGGTTATCCTGTTTTGGGTAGAGGACACCAATATGGCCAATGGGGTTCTCGGCGTAGAAGAGGTCAACAATTGTGCTGAGAATTCGGCAAAGCTTGGTTGCTGCAATCCAGATCGAAGCAAGTTTGACCTGGGCTTGATCAGAGTGGTGTTGATGGGCGAGCGAGCCATTCTCAGAGCCTTGCATGTCATCCAATGTGAGTGGAGCCATTGTAAAGTCGTGGGATCGAACCCTTGGTGCACGGTTGCAACCTAAGGAGGTTATGGCATCGCGTGCCAGGCAACACCACCAGATTCGTCTCCGAAGTCTGCGAATCGACGGCGATAGACCCTCACTGTGGACCTCTCGATGCAAACCGATGGACTTGGCTACAGTTAAGGCAACGCTGCACCAGTAATACCCGTCCTTTTGTTCTGTCGGAGCCACCCACCAGGTGGTGAGCAGAACGAGTGTTTGCACAATGGCAATGCGATCTCGCTCGCAGTTGAAGTCATAGAGCAACTGCCATACGGTGAGTCGAGAAATATTTTAAAGGGTGGATGGCAAACCTTGGCTTTTTGATAGTATGCCCGCCGCATGGCATCACGAGTCAGGAAGCCTGCCCGACGGACAAGTTTGACATCTGCCAGTGCGGTGGCGGAGAACATTATGGCCTGCAATAGAAGGAGGCTAATCCGCCCATGGCGTACAGGATCGTTGAGAGAGGCTTGGAAGGCATCTAGGTCGACGACAGGCAGGCAATGATGAACTAGCTCCATGTAGTTTCTGAGCAAGTCATTGCGCAGCTCTGTATCAGGAAGCGTCAAGGCACCCTTGCGACGCAGGAAGAGCAGGTCATCGATAGCCAGGTCCGAGGCGATTGGCTGTACAAACGGTGGAAGGTCTGGATCTTGAGACGATGGTGCACTTGTCTCTGGAAGGACTGTCGCACTCAACGATGCCGCACTATCATCGGGCGATATGGGCGAAGTCAAACTTTGCGTGGCAGCTCCATACCAGTCGAAATTGCGGTCAGGGGCCACGGTCTCGTGGATGTCGTTCGACTTGAGAGAAGAGTCCCCGCCAGAAGGATTGCGCAGCAGGCGAGGCTGTATTGCACAGGGCGACCGAGACATGTTCTCGTTGCGATGAGGGTCCGGCGGAAACCATGGATCTTCCTGTGTATCTGCAGTCTCGAAAGTCGGTCTCGGTCTCACGGGAGTGCTAGAGACGGCAGGAGAGTGAGCCATGAGGCCCTTGGGCTGAACGGTGGCTGTTGGTCTTTGAGCTTTTGGTTTACCTCGTGGTCGAGGTTGAGGGAGGATGCATTCTACTTGTTCTAAGACACAGTTGTAGCATGTATTGTCTCTGAGCACGGAACATTTGACTTTGCGGAACCGGCATTGGTTACAGGCGACGCTGGCTCGCTGCTTTCTCGCCGAAGATCGGTTGATGGGTCTCTGCGTGCTCAACGGAGCGATTAATGTCGCTGGTGGTTCCATATTGGAAGCAGGCTCTGTGGGTTGCTGGTCGGTCATCTTGTCGCTCTCCTGTTGCAAGCCAGGGATCTTGGGAGATGACTGCATCCGTTGAATGGGCGAGGAGGTGGTGAAGTGCGAAATCGAGAATCTTTCAGCGGGAATGAAGTGGAAGGAATGACTAAGCTAGATCCACCCCAGATTTTGTGGAGGAAGGAGCTGGTGGGGGAGTAATGACGGGAAGCACCTTCCTCAAATTCTAAAAGGTCTTCCGCTCTTGCCTTGGCGATGCTGGATTGAGACGCTCTTTCCCTGAGATCTCGGCCACTATAGAACATTACTTCTGCTATCTTCTCAGATATTGCATTTCTATGCAAAATCTGGGGTGTGGTACCCCTCAGACTTTAGAAGTGACAAGCCAGGCCGGTAGAAGAGATCTTCCTCGGTTAAGCTCCAGGCCAATCGGCTTAACCGTTCCTCAGACCAAGATGATAACGCAAACGCATTGAGCGAATCGGGACGAAGCATGACTACTTCATTCAAGATCAGATCTTCACACAGTAACCACCAGGTGCCCTGAATCAAGTGGCACACCAACGCCCCTACACTCCAATCTATGACTTATGGGTTCATCAGCCACGACAATGGGGTGATCATCATGCCGCTCCGTTGGCCTCTTTCCCATCAGCTTCCACTGCCACCTTGAAATCCTTGACAAAGTCCCAAAACATCTTGGCCTTCCAACCCTTGCTCTTCCAGTCATTGGCTTTGAGCGGAAAGAGATCCGCATAACGTTCGATGGCCTTAGAATGAGCATAGACAAATAAGACATTGTCGTCTGCATCGGCCTCCTGCGCTTTATTGATCGTTCTCATGGTTTCTGATGCATCAAAGCAAAAGTCCGGATTCGGGATGAAGAAGGGTTCATCTACACCGCGCGAGCGATTCTGGTTCAGTTGCTCTAGTTGAGACCCAGGGCATACCCACGGAGCGATTTGGTCCGGTAGCTCTATGTGAACCTCCTTGGGGAGATGAATTTGCTTGGACGGACGTATCTCACCTCCGTTGTGACAGAGGTCCCCGCCGCAGAATATAAAAGTGTCAGGGTTCGAAGTAGTGCGGACCAACCCCGAAATGTGCCCTACTGTGTGACCCGGGGCATCAAGAAGATAGAAGGATCCGTCCCCAAAGAAGTCCAGGGCCCTGAACTGCCCGATTTGGAGTGTGAGTCCTTCATCAAAGTTGATCTCTCTTGTAGTTCGGCCTCTGTATTGAGAAGTCGCCATCAGCTGGCTAGAAGGCAGTCAATCAACCAAAAGGTGTACTTACGCAAAATCACTCTCCCGTACAGGAGCATCTTCGATAGCTGGGTATCCAGGGAAGAACTTCTCCTTGAATCCAGGCCCAACCACCAGCTCCGTCGTGCCCGGGAAGGTAGACGGATCTCCAATATGATCGAAATGCCAATGACTGAGAAATAGAGTCAGTATGCACCCGTGGAATCATTGCATGCCACCACGGAATAGAGGCTCACCTCCAAACAATGGAGTCAATTGAAGCTGGATCGATCTGGTTCTCTCTGAGAATATCCGCAACATGTTTCTCAGAACGAATTTCCCATGCTGGATTCCTTAGCTGTTCCTGATTGACAGGAGACAAGTCCAGGAAATTGGGTGTCACTCCCAGGTCGAATAAGGCTTTCTTGCCTGTCGGGCTCTCAATAAGGAACGCCCAAGTAGGGATATCGGGCATGTACTCCATTCCCTGCATTGGAGGTTGCATCAAGAAACCGACTGGAAGCCTAATGATTCTCGAGGTACAGTCGATGATACTGACATCAGCTACGGCACCAGGAGGTGCTGAAAACCTGTGGTTCTTGCTGGAAGCCATTTTGTAGGAGTTCAGGTTGGTGAATGGTGAGCTTGAACGTTGAATCGTGCGACAATAGTAATGGTTCACTGATAAAGCGATGTTCGAGGGAAGCTGTACAATTCTTCAATTTAACGTAGACCGGGAGCAAGAATTGTTCCAAAGTGTAGAGATACTGTGTCTTCGATTGATGTAAGGATTTCCCATCATTTCCTGACGTGAGATTTCCCCACATACACGCCCATGGTGAGAATGGCCCGGAAGCACATGAATCTACGAACCCATGTCTCAATAGCCATATCTGTCCATCCGATAAGCCCACCTGGTACTAGGAGGCCTCATTCTTGCGGTACGATACCGAGGCGAGGAATAAAATATGTCTAGTGATCTCCAAGAAAAGAGTGGGGATATACCTCCAACCTACCCGCTCAGTTCCAAGCCAGTAGAACTTGTCCGCGTTCCTCGGCCGGATGATGCGAAAGTCTGGAGTAGCGCATTGGCATACAGAGCGATAATGTTTATTCGTTGCACAATGACCTTGAATCTGATACCGGGCAAACGTTCTAGATGATATCGTGCATACAAGCTGGAGAACTGGAACCCTCGCGCGGTTAAAATACCAACTTACTTGAGAACGACGATCGAGTTGGAGTTTCTTCGAATGTGAATCTTTGGCCAATCCAATATGTCCCTGCAAACCGTGTATCGACTGACTTCGCGAACGGGGTTCGATGGGTTGCAGTCTTTTCAAGAGCCGGTGCCTTCAGCGGCCAAACATGAGATTCTCGTCAAGGTTAGGAGTGTGGCGTTGAATTTCCGTGACGTTGCCATCGCCACAGGAACGTATCCAGTTCCAGTGAAGGACAACTTGGTTCCCTGTTCGGACATGGCGGGCGAGGTGGTTGAAGTAGGAGAGGGAGTCAGTGGTTTTGCTGTCGGGGATTGGGTCACCGCGCCCGTCAGCCTCGATACCTTATATGGCCCAGTCAAGGATGGAGCTGGTAGTCTTGGAGGCTCAGAAGATGGGGTCCTTCGAGAGTATTTTACTTTGCAGGGGAATACGGCAATAAAAGTACCGAAATCGAACCACAACCTCAATGACTGGGCGGCCACGGTGACAGCGGTGTATACTGTGTGGAATGCATTTTATGGGGCTACACCACTTAAGCCTGGCGATACGGTATTGGCGCTAGGTAGGTGGACTTTCGACATAGACTGTTGAGAGGCTGTTGGCTGACCGTTGTCTGTAGGAACTGGGGGAGTATCTCTTGTGGCTGTGACGTTAGCCAAAGCTGCCGGAGCAACTACCATCATCACCTCCTCCAGCGATGAGAAGTTACAGCAGGTTAAGTCGCACTACGGAGTCGACCATACGATCAACTACAAGACTCATCCGAAATGGGCAGAAGAAGTGATGAAGATCACTAATGGTGTTGGGGTGGACCAGGTTATCGAGGTCGGGGGCGTCGGGACGATCGAACAGAGTATAGCATCTGTGGCCCACGGTGGCACCGTCTCGGTGATTGGATTCCTTGCCTCACTGTCAGACGATAAGATGCCCAATGTCACGCTGCAAACGCTCCTCAAAGGAGCCACCCTCCGTGGTGTTCTGGGTGGGTCTAAACAACAACTTGAGACGGCGATTCGGTTCATTGCCGTCCGCAACTTACCTATGCCAGTCCATAAGGTATTTCCATTCACCAAAGAAGGGATCCGGACGGCCTTGGAGTATGTTGCATCTGGTCAACATGTGGGCAAGGTCTGCATCAGCTTAGACTGAGACAACAGCTTGCCAGGGCAATGTGTGCACCATTTCGTGGGGCATCGAATTCGATTAGGATCTTATGGGCAGAGAAAGTCATGTAGAGAGTATTCAGAGCATCGCCATTTAGCTGACCAACGACAGAAAATTGCAGAGCGAATTCGAATTTGGGATTAATGCCTCTGTGCGCCAAGGACTCACACTAGACACATAATGCAGGTGCCAAACACGATATTTAATCCTTGAGAAGGCAGGTGCGTCGTTTCGTACTTTGGGCAGGTATAATCTGCTCATGGTCGAACCCCATCTCGATACAGGGGCTACAATTGATAGAGGGCACATAGGTGCATTGACACTCCCTGATGGTATCGGAGCAGCAAAGTTCTCATAATCAGCTGAAAAGAGACATTGAGATCCGACATTAAATGTCAGGTTTGTTCAAGAAGAAGAGACGTTGTAGTTCTGCTGACATAATTGTGGATCAATCCGGCCAAGGCCGACAGACATCAAAGAAATTCCATGTCCAGCAACCGCATATCATCCCACTTTTGGAACAACTGCACAACGTCCAGCCCTATCCCCCTATCGACGCCTCGACTTATTCCTGTGTGAACGTATAACCCGAAACTAGACTCAACCCACCAATTCCCACCATTTGCCCGCCATGTCTTCACCACAGAATGGCATCGACATCAACTCACTTCCGACTCAACAACTGGCTGCGCTCCAACAGCGCCTGTCCCAAGAACTCGAGCACCTGAGTTCGTCGTTCCAACGCCTACGAGCCGCTCAGTCCAGATTCCGAGATTGTATCCGCAGTATTCAGGATGGTGTCCAGGGAAAGAGTGGAGGTAAATGCCATTCCTATATCCGCTCCCATTCCTTCGCTCTCTGCGCTGGAAACTCAAGTCTGCTCATATACTAACTCTCACCACCTAATAGAAACCCCGCTCCTCATACCATTGACGACATCGCTCTACGTCCCAGGCACACTTGCCAACCCATCTCAGTCGTCATCCTCCTCCTCCGGAAAGGCAAAAGCTACCGTCCTCGTGGACGTCGGCACCGGATTCTATGTGACTAAAACAACGGACGATGCTATTACCTTCTACACCGGCAAAGTAGCCGAGTTGGCCAAGAATCTTGCGAACATTGAAAAAGTTGTCGCCGGCAAGAACGAGAACCTAAGGGTCGTGGAAGATGGTAAGTTATGGCCCACCCCCTTTGGGATTTGCTACATGGTCATCGTTTGGCGAAGACTAAGCATTGATGGTTTAGTCATGAGGCAGAAAATGCTAGCAGAGCAACAGCAGAGCAGCGCTGGAGCAAGAGCGGGACAGGCACAGGCTGCGGCGGGTTAAGACGAAGGACATTACTACTACGACAAATACCATGACATGACTATTCATAATTCTTCATTCATTTCTCTCAAGTCTAATGATCTATGGATGCTCCAGGGACAGCATCTGTATCGATCACAATCCAGTTGGTTGAATGTCGTTGTTGATGCAGATGGACATTGCTGGTGTCTCTCACTAGCTCTCTTTGTCAGCTCCTGAGCGACAAGTGCCACTTTGTGTTCAATTGCAAAAGCAATAAACATCACAGCTCCAAGACTGAAGATATCTTTCCTTGTTGTGCGTCTTAAGGTTCATTGGCCAGCTTCGAAATCGCCTCGGCCAAAAGTCTCTGAACGTCTTCTACTTCATCCATGAAGCTCTGGAACCCCTTGGGCAATGCCAATCCCTCGTCTTCTCCATTCTCTGGAAAGAAGGTCGCCACCGACTTTCCCCATGATACCTCCTCGCCAGGCCGCGCACTCGCCAATTCTGACATTAGATTGTCCCACTCTTGGTAGTAGTAGAATGCGTGCCACTTCGAAGGCTCCCTTGGCAGTGCTCCTCCCTCAGTGTCGAACGTATCCTTTCTCCGCAGCTCAAAGATGCCATCTGTATCTTTGAATCTCCATCTCATCACCGTAATGTCGGACACACTCTCCAGTGCAGTTCTCCTGGGCTTAAATCTCACGCGACGCACCGGGCTGGACTTCATACCCCCTGCAGAAGGAGTGAACTCGACTGTATTCTGAAAACTCTTCATGTCCTGGCTCACGCGTTTGTCGTCGTGCAGTGGGAATGCATCAAGTGTGATTTGATAGTCGGGCGCTTCAAAATCAAAGATGCTGACTTGAAGTCTCTGCACCATCTCACCGTAAGTGATCCACCGCTGCTGCTGCACCTCAAGGTCATTAGGGTCTTCTCTGACTTCGCTGGAGATGCATTCCAGTCGAAGTCGATCGAACGCACCCTTGGAAGGTTGGAAATCAAAGAAAGCCCCATAGGTCATGACAGGGTCTTTGAATGCACCGAGGGAGGAGATGGCGTCGGCGAGAAGCATGCCGTCTCCCTGTCGGCCTGGCAAGCTGTTTAGCAAGACCTTGGTTCGACTATCTGTCAACATTCGGGAGAAATCGTCAAATGAATACCCGTCAGTCCCATTCACCGGCTTCTGGAAGCGACTGAATCCAAGCTCGCCAAATACGACTCTCATTCGGACATGGCACTGAGAAACTCGGAGGCCCTTGATACACTCTTCCAGTGCCTTCCGTGTTTTCCGACGTTCCCGACTGCGCTTTTCGTCCTGAAGACTGTCCCACTCTTCGGCACGGGTAGTTGGATTACCAAAGAGTGTCGGTAGGAACAAGTTTGTAACAACATCCTTGTCCAAGCGAACCTGATCCAGATAAGTCTTGCTTGACGGGTGATGAATGAGATTGACTTTGACCAATTGATCTCGGTGAGCGACCATTTCTCGGACAAGATTTGTTAGTCGGCGAAAGATTATGTCGAGGTGTTCCCTCTTCTGGGCGCCAATGTCAAGCCGCTTGTGTTTAGATTGTGTGAGGGTGATGCGGCAGAAGAACTCCTTCTGAAACTCCTCGATTGTAGTCATGTGTTTTGCGATGAAAACATCCATATCCAAGTCCTGTGGCCACAAAATGTACGCCTCAATTGGAAATTCAAAGTTTTCCCTGAGCAAGACATCGTGGAGCTCTCTCTGCTGCTCTGCACGGGCTTGACGATGCTCTGCACGACCGTCTAGAGCATTGGATCTGGCCCATGCGTCTGATTTTGCCTTTGGGGCCGACCGAGTGTGAACCTCAAATTCTCGAAGCGCTTCTTTTGCTTTCGCAACCTGATCTTGGTCTCCCCAGATCAGAATTTCGGTGCTTTCTCTCAAAGGCTCCTTCAGAAATGTGCTAGTAGATATCATAATCTCACGAAGTTTAGCACGGGGATGTACCATGGCTGCTCCTAGGTCTGCCCGAAGTGCCATCATGCAGAGTCTGTTCCAGACGAGTCCCAGCTGGTAGCGGTCTGCTGGCGGATCATGCCGCTGAAACTGTCGTAGTGCAGCTGTCTCGGGTAGCGATCTTCCATAGAGGCCATGACTAGTTCTGATGGGATGATGACCGTACGGTTGGTTTCGAGGTTGGGTAGTCGCGCTTTCGGTGTTTTGTCGAGAGGGGTCCCTTTGAAGAGACAGGTGAGAGGGGTTAGAGGCCTGGTGCGAGTAGAGTCCTGTCCCACGGACGGTACTGGCGCCAAAAGAGTACACGGAGCCTGGAAGACTGGCATTGTCCCATTCTAAGAACAGTCAGCAACCTGGAAAGTAGAGAGATCCGGAGGCCTGGTCATTGAAAGTTGGGTCAAAACTCACTGTCGAGGTCCAGGCCTTCGCCTTCGTGGCTAAGAACGAGGTCAGCTTTTGTCGAGCCTGAAGAAACCAGTGACCTACTCGCTCATTGGGGCAGCAACAAAGGAGAAATTCCCGGCAAGGTCGTTGGAAAACAGTGAATGAGCACCAGCTTGGGAGAATGAGCAGTAGGGGAAGCCTTAGGCAAGTGAGATGAAGATGAAGCCCACCAACTCCTGTCTGAGAAGATTTCTTTGTGGAAGAGGTTTTGAAAGGGTAGTGGGCTATGAGGAGATTTTTATCAACAAGGAGACGGATAACCACGTGTTTGGCAAGTCACACATGCTCGAGCCCGGTCCTAGAGTGTGAATTCTAGTGATCTGTCCAATTGAGGCGTGAGCTTGAAGGAAAAGCAGTAATTCTGTCCAGCAAGAAGTCAGATAGTCAGATAGTCAGTAGGCTGAAACAAGACTCCACATTCAACCGTAACAGAATCTATTGATCTAGACAGTCATCAAGAATTGTATGTGCTGACCTCAGAGGGAGTGAAAAGAGCATCTAGAGTCATCTAGCATGCACATTCACGTAGAGACAATCCTGGAGAGGGAACTTGCAAGATAGGAGAGATGAGGCAGGTATCCCGGATAATCTCAAGCCATTGCAGGAGATCAGACACAGGATGTACCAGCATTTCCATAGAAGGAACGAAGGACTGGCGGTATTAATGATTGTTGTAGATCACGTGGACTAAGCTCAAATTGACTCTCAATAGTGGTCCATAATCTAGGCCTAATTTCTGGACACTGGCACACCTCAACTTATAGACTACCTGGTAGATACCTTAGGTACATGTGTGACTGTTGTAAATCACGTGCACTCGGACCCACCAGCAAACCCGATTTTATACTCGTACTATACCTTGCTGAAGACAAGACCCACGTGACTGTTGTAAAGCACGTGGGCACCCCGATCACAACAGCCACTCATTTTCACTAAAAAATTACCCTACAGTGCAACTTCCGTCAGTCGGTGCATCAAAGTTTGCAGTGTTGCCCAAGCGCAGCAGTCAGAATTCCTAATTTAGTAATATGTCCACTCACCTTTTTTGTGCATACTGACAATCTTCGACAAGTGCCAACATTCAGCGTATCATGTTCAGACCCCTTCACTAGGTACTTGCTGAGCTGCATGAAGAAAGGACGAGTACTTCAAATAACCTTTCGGATTATCGGGTTTAGCAAACCATAGAAGCTCCCTCTCTTCCCTCAATCATTATCATCGGCAACTGAGTTCGAGTGAGTCTTATCCGATCGGATGACCACGCCCCACGCTGTGTGGATACCAAGGTCCATACCATCGTCGCCTCGACCCGAGCTTGAGTACAGGATCATTGGAACGAAAGGAACTCATCGGCCCCAACTTATCGCCACAAAGCTCTTCACCCACGTTGAGGTTTGAAGTATGTCGTTGCTTGGCATCTCTCTGATTGTCTTACCCGCTCCGCTTGTGATTTGTGGAATGTCGCTCCTTTGTCACCTGAGTATCCAGTTTCCAGCCCAAGTCTTTCGATAGTGCCACTTGCCTATGCGTAAGCTTTTCCAAAGATATCCATCAACCAGCAACGTCATCCCATGGCAAATTTTGATGCGCAATGCGCCTCCATAAAATGGCTGGCTCCAACCCACGCCGACCTTTGACCAGGCCGATCATCCAACCTGCAAAATCTTTTCAACATGGGGAGATTCGCTACCCTTTCGACGGTCTGCCTCGCTGCAACTACCACCATCTCTGCTTCTCCTTTACCGTCTCTGAAGCAGAGGCAAGATGATTGTTCTGCCGTGCATATCTTCATAGCCAAGGGCTGGAACGAGACATACCCAGGTCGACAGGGCAAATTGACCGGCGCGATATGCTATGGACTCGACAGTTGCAGCTATGAAGATGTTCTCTTCAGCAATACCCCGGAAGACGATTACTGTGGCTCGGTGACTGAAGGCGCAATCAACGGCGTGGCTCAGGTCACTGCCTACGCTGAACGCTGTCCGCAATCCCAACTGGTTGTTTCTGGTTATTCACAAGGCGCCAATGTTGCAGGCGACATTCTCGGTGGTGGAGGTGGTCCATTTGGCACACCTCCACTGAATTGCAGCGTTGGATATACAGATGGTCTCGACCCAACCACAAGCCCCGGAAATCAGAGTAAGTCTATCGGCTGTTTCAACGCCTCCTCGGAACTTGAATGGAGCACATTGCTGATCACAAACAATTCTAGTTGGCGCCGTGCTTCTCTTTGGCGACAATCGTCATGTTGCTAACCAGTCGTACAATGTGCTGTCTGGAGCCAGTGCCGCCGCCGAGAATCCACGACCCGAACCACAGCTCGAACGCCTCAATGCTTTTGCTAGTGTCATGCGGTCATATTGTGACATTGCTGATCCCGTTTGCGCCGCCGTAGGAGGCAGCGACCCTGATGTCGAAACTCACCTGAATTACTTTGACCTGTACAGCGATGATGCTGCGGGATGGGTCAAGTGGATTTTGGAGAACCCTCCCTCTACAGAGTAGATAGACACTGAGACCGAAATACCGGGATGGAGTTCAAGATCTAGTAATCTGCGAAAGCCACCTGTTGTCACATTCCTACATGGCTTCTGTGAAGGAGTTCGACTGGTGCATAATTCTAGCTAATTGACCTGGAACATAAAATAGTTTTGGCGTGCCATGGGTCGAAATGAACGTGAAAATACGCTGGCTAGGATCACAAGGTGAGATACATGTCACGTGATTTATCTCCGCCCTTGGCATGCAAGCACTTTGAGTAACCACTAGCGTGTGACGCGTTCTAGAAGGCGCGTCTCTTCACGCGTCAAAAGGATTTCTACAGGTCAGAGACAACACTGTGACCAAGAGAGTATCACCAGCTTAAAACAACTCCAACTCACTTGACGACTGAATTCCAATCTTTTGGCGGTCATGGGTCGCTTGCAAACGTACTCGACCAAGGGTGGCCTGGCTCGAGAAGATTCGGACGATGAGCTAGGATATGAAGATCACCCCTGGGAGTGGATCTACAACGAAGATGAAGGTCAACGCGAAGAAGAGCCTGAAAATCCAAGAAAGAGAAAAGCGAACGCCCTCCGAGACTCATCCAAGAAGCCGATTATAGTTGGAGCACGTATGTCGTCGTTCTCAATTCGAGTGGGAGAAGCAGTCCTCCTGAAATCCCCTGAGCAAGGCAAAGATTGGGTTGCTCTAGTCTGTTCATTCTCTGACACCAACGAAGATGGCGACGATGAGAAGTCAGTCTATGTCCAATGGTTTTGCTCGCCTGAAGAACTTGCTTTTGGCAAACGGTCAAAGACTCTTCTGGACGTGCTCCCAAATGAATCATACATCACAACAGATTTCAACATGAATCCATTGACCGCTATCAACGGCAAGGCTACTGTTCTCTCGAAAGATGCGTTCATGAAAAGATACCCTAATGGTGCACCGCCAAAATCCAAGTCAGCTGCAAGCCAGTATAGTAAGACGATCTTGTGTCGAAGAGGTGTGAAGCAGAGGACTCTGCGATTCACTGAAGACATGGTGTGGGACGAAATTTACAAAGGATCCAAGGACCTGTTGTACTTGATCGATTGGATTAAAGATCAAACAAAGGCGAGAAAGTCACAAGCGTCCCTGAAAAATGCAGACACAGAGTATCGAGAAAAGAAAGAGGACATGGATGACGACGAACCAAAAACACCTAAGAAGAGGAAGAAAATGACATCGACTGTAACGACTCCCAAATCATCAGTCAAAGCTTCGAAATACACTACACCCTCTCACAAAAGAATCATGATCAAGAAACCTCTCGAAATCACACCCCTTGGCACCAGAATACTCTCCCCTAGCCAAATCATGTCCACTCCTTATTCCCACGCCCGAACGACTCTTCACGTCTCCGCCGTCCCTACCTCACTACCCTGCAGATCCAACGAATTCAGTACCGTCTATTCACATCTATATTCGGCTATCGCGGATGGGTCTGGAGCCTGTATCTATATTTCAGGCACACCCGGGACTGGAAAGACTGCCACGGTTCGGGAAGTGGTAACATCGCTCCATCAATCCGTTCTCGACGAAGAATTGGACGATTTCAACTTTGTCGAGATTAACGGCATGAAGGTTACAGAGCCGCATCAGTCGTACTCGCTCTTGTGGGAGGCTCTGAAAGGAGACCGTGTCAGCCCAAATCATGCTCTGAGTCTCCTCGAACAAGAGTTCTCCTATCCTAGTCCTCGCCGGATCCCATGCGTGGTGCTTATGGACGAATTGGATCAACTTGTAACCAAAAATCAAAGCGTCATGTACAATTTCTTCAACTGGCCCGCCATGCGTCACTCCAGGCTTATTGTGCTTGCTGTGGCAAACACCATGGATTTGCCAGAGCGAACCTTATCGAACAAGATCAGCTCTCGACTCGGACTGACGCGAATCACCTTTCCTGGCTATACTCATTCACAGCTGATGGAGATCATCTCTTCTCGATTGGAAGGAGTTCCTGGAAACATTGTTGATTCAGATGCCATCCAGTTTGCCAGTCGCAAAGTCGCTGCTGTCTCGGGAGATGCGCGGCGAGCTCTTGATATTTGTCGACGCGCGGTTGAAATTGCAGAACAATCTCAGAATTCTCAGGCCCAGGGACTCGAAGATTCCGTCGCCACCACGCCGAGCAAGACAGGAAGAAATGAGCGTAAACAAGAAAGCGACAAATCTAATACCATAGCTACACGGACAGCTAGGGTGACGATTGCCACCATCAAGCAAGCTATCAACGAAGCTACCTCGTCTCCCATTGCACAACATTTACGGTCACTGCCCTTGGCATCCAAGCTGTTTCTCGCCGCAATTTTGGCTCGCGTTCGTCGGACTGGTGTAGCCGACTCAACACTCGGCGATGTCATTGTAGAGGCAAAGCGGATCGCTGATATTGCTGAGAACAGCGCCATCCACGATTTCTTACTATTGGACAGTGGAGCAGAGAAACAAGCCGATGTCATGCCGAGAGTGCTGGCATTGGGTGGAGCAGCGATGGAGCTTCTAGAAAGCGGCATTATCGCAATGGAGGCGAGAAGTAGAGGTGAAAGGGCTGGCAAGGTCAGGTTGAGAATAGGCGAGGATGAAGTCAAAAGTGGCCTGTTGGGAGATCCTGATGTCAAAGGGCTGGGGATTGCAGCTTGAGCTAGTATCTGAATGACGAATAAGTCAAGAACTTACCAAAGTATTGCTCCATGCTGGTTGATAGATCTCACATTAGAAACTCACGGGTGTTTCTTGTGACCAGTTCACAAGAGGCCGTCATCATTGTCGTGACAAAATGCGGAGATTTTTGCGGAGACAAGTTGCACCGTATAAACCTTCGGTGGGTATTTAGACCAACTTATGCAGTTCTTCTTTACCTTGAATGCAAGCATCATAAGACTTAAATTTTGATTCAACGACGGCACTCCCTTCATATGAGCTCAGCAATGTGAATACATTCACCTCGTCAGGATCCTAGCCAATTTGTCTCCGCGGATCAAGTCTTTTTACTCAGCTATCACCCATCCCACCCCTCCACTAAAGCCATCATCATGTCGACCTCCACACCCAACAAACCTCCAGAGCCTTCTACGGATAGACTCCAACGAATGGCGGCAGATTACGATTCCTTTGTCAATACTGTCACTCTAGCCACCTTGTTTGTGGCCCCCGCTCTCATCGCTCTACCTCCACGCAAGCTGGACTTCTATACCTTTTCTCTCGCTAGCGTTTGGATCCTGTCTGCGAATTACCGTGGTACATTCTCTGGCTTAAAGCCTTCCTTCCTCGGCATGCCCGCCAAAGCTCGGGAGATACAGGAGCAACAACGCATGATGGCGCAAGCGCGGGAACAAAAGCGATTGCTAGAGGAGTCAGGCTATGCTGCCGACACCAAAAGTAAGAAAGGCACTTTATTGGGGGAGAAAGCCAAAGAGATCTGGATGGGTGGCGAGACAGAGGGATGGAAGGAGCGCAGACTGAAAGAAGAGCAAGAGAAGATTGATCAAGGTGAAGGTTATGGGTCCATGATCATGGATCAGATTTGGGATGTATGGAACCAGGGTAAGAAGTATGACGAGGAGACCGGAAAAGAGATTGAGAAGAAGCCTTGAGATGAATAACAGACAGGTTCTCTCTTTGCGCCGGCTTCAGCGTGCTTCTTCCCTGTTCCGGCCTTTCCATTCAGTTCCGTCCTCACCAAAACCCCACTGTTTGCCTTGACAACTTGGACTATTCGGCTCGGTCCAGTTGAACGTGAGACTTGGTTCCTCAAAATGCTCCCTGCAAGGCATAGCGTTTTGCATCAGCCTCGACCTGAAAATCTCGAACCTTGATGCCATGTCTCAACAATTCAGCCCTAGCGTTCTCGCTTTCCATCGTCACTGAGTTGGTCATTGAAGACGGCTGGTTGATGATGACCGGTGCTGGCAAACTTGAAGATGAGGAGGTGGCAGAACCGGTCCTTGGTTGATTACGAGCTTGTCCTGGATGGGATTTGGTGCTTCGCCGGCTTCTGTCTCGCGATTTCGACATATTCAGATCGGCACGTCGAGCTGCTGTGGAGCCTTCTGAGGTAGACCAGCAAGAAAAGTTACACTTGAATCTGTGGGGCATTTCTCTATAGGGATGGTTGCAAAACTAGACCTTCGCCGCCGCGAATAGGACAATCCGTGTGCGCTGCAGAATTGGCCGAGATGATGACCTTCGGTGGTCTGCGACAAGGAGAGATGATATGCGAGACGTTGTTGCGAAGACCAAGTGTATTTCACAAGATCTATCGTGGAATCCAAGAAGAGGCGAGTTTGAGGAGACGCGCAGACGTTCCGAACAAAAGCTACCACGAATCGCCGATCTCAAAGACCCGACGAAATGAGATTTCTTTGGTTTGAAACGAAAAGATGGCACACCTTATATGTATCTCATTGAAGGCTCGACAGATTACATCCAGTTGATATGTTGTGTACTGGCACTGCAAAGTTACACAGACTGGAGAGGGCGGGAAATTGGGCTCTAATAGTCATGGCACTGTGTCACAATCAGTGACATGTGCGGCATATTCCACAGCAGAGATCAGTCGCATTACACAAAGGCGCAATCAGGTCTGGTGTGAATGGTGACTGGCAGTGAGGTGTTGGAGAACACAGAGCCTTGATTTTGTATACCGGGTTTTGGACCGTGAGATTGGAGGGCTTTGATCTAGGGCCATACCCCGTCCATACCTCGATATCTAGTGGATCAAGTTACAACAAGGCTGAGGGCTTTTTGATGGTATCTGATCCGACCGCTTCTGATCCATACAATATGCCACTCGTGTCATTACTTCATTTCACTCATATCATGGGGCCTGCCTTGACCGACTAGCAGGCAGTCATCTGGTGTAGCTGCACAATAATACAATCTCCCCTCAACCTCAATCAAACCGGAAAAAGTCTCCACTCCTACTTCGACTTCTTTCTCCTCTTGCTAGCTCGTTGATTGTGCGAGTCACCATTGACAGCCCCTCCACCACTATTTCTCTTTTTCGGCGCTGGACGAAGTCCCAGATTTGTCTTGGACTCTGTGCCCGACGGATTGGCTTTCGGCTTCCCATTTGCTTTCTTCATTTTCTTGTTCTGGGTTGCTTTATTTGATGATGAGCCGGGGCCGCTAGATGAATCACTTTGCCTCTTCCTCTTCTTATTGCTTTTGGCTATTTTTCGATCCTGTTTGGCCTTCAATCTTGCTGCAACGCCCTTTTCGAACGAGTCGTCTGCTTCGGGAATATGGGTTGAATCTTTGCCGCGGTTCTTTTTAGGAGTGTGCTCACTCGAGTTGTATTCTTCTAATGCAGCCCCTTCTGTCTGACTGATTTTTCTCTTATGACCCCTGTCATTATGCTGCTTCCCGGCATGAACTGGTTTGGCTCGGATGAGTTCTTCAATAGGAGTTGGATTTGTGTCGACGGAGAACAGCCCGCTAGGGTCGATGGTGGGCTCTGCGGGGATATGTGGCGTTGAAGTAGTTTCTTTGTCGTCTTCTCCCCTTGAAATTTCAGCTTGATGTTCTTCGGTGGGTTCTGGGCTTTTGGGCGGAGCTGGTGATGCGACCGGTCGCGTGGCAGGCTTTGACTAGAGACGCTTAGATCATGGTGAAGGGGATCTTGGGGATATTTGTTCACACATTAGTCGGAATTGATTGTTTGAATATCACGATGATCTGTAGCGTATGCTCAAGTTGCTTTTGAATCTGTTCAACAGCCAAATCATTTCGTGATATCTGTGAAGGCACGAGACTCTGGAGTAATGTACGATGCGCCTCGAGTTTCTCCAGGGTAGTGTCAAAAGAGCTGACGATCTGTGTTGGGAATTAGCTGAGTTTGTTCTCGCTCGGAGAGAATCCTGACCTCATTCCAAGAAGACTCCGATATTTCGGTAGCCATGGTTGTTGTGTTGTCCTAAGGCACGTTGCGCATTGAATAGGAACCCAATGACGAAGATATTTGGTTCTAATTTTTGAACTTTTTACCCCAGCCGCAATATGGGGACTTGGAGTTATTAAGACACACCCACTTCATCGTTGGAGAACTACATGGTGGAGTATAATGCTTCACCCTATCTCAAATCGTCACACGTGACCTACCCTCTACGGTCAAGTATGAGTAAATGCTGAGTGATGCAGATCTTCCGACATCAACGACATCAGAGTATCCCAATATTCCTCCCACATGGTCGATGGAACGTTTTTTCTCGTCTACATGCCTTTGGAGGGCATGAATCGGCTATTCATCATGTTACATCATCGCCCCTACAGTCTCAGACCATTGGTGAGTACTAGACGGACCTAGGTATTGTCCATTGGGAACGGGGAACGGCGGCAGCTGTAAGTCCAGGAAGAGGGCACAAAGGTAGCCTATTCAACCCATTCACAACTGGCATCTATGGATGGGACAATACTGCCTGTTCCAACTGGTGCGAATACTTTTCAGCTGTATTCAGCAGAGATAGATCATGAATGGGTCATGATTGTGTGTCAATCTTGAAGTCGCCAGCTCGGCACCAGAAAGACTCGAACAGGACACGTTGGGTTGACAACGAGGGCACCCTCCTATTCTGGAATACTCCAATGTGAAAAATTCCGGCTGCTCTTTCTAAATGAGCATGAATGGAGACAGAATCATCTGATTTATGCAGGTAGGTCAATGGTGCCTGCAGGCTCCAATGCTATTGTCAAGAAGCTCCTTCCCATGTTGAAAGTGGATTCAGCTCTTTGAAGACCTCTCCCTCGCCCTTCTCTTCTTCTCCTCAGTCTTCTTCCTCTTGTTTCGTTTCTTCACTCTCTCCATTATACAACTGCTACAGCCTTGCTTCCAGAATTTGGCTGTTAGCCTCTTCTCTCTTAATCATCCATCCTGCACTACATCTTGGCTTGCTCATTGTACAATCCTCATCACTGCTCTATTCATTGGGTCCAGCCCCAACTTCTACGATCAGAGCCCTGGCAGAGTCCCGCAACGCTCAGTCAAAAGGTATGCAGTTTTCTTGAGCCAATCATCTGAGGATCTCCTCCTTCCCTACCCACTCGAATCGTTGTCTGATCTCTGACTATCTTGTGCCAAAGGACCATGTCGGACAAACCAGCCAGTCAAGCGGTGGCCAACAGTTACAGTAGCTATCCACAAGGTCGACTGCCATACACTACTCCAAGTATTCAAGGCTACGCTGCAGGTGAGTAAAGCACCAGGTCCTTGAACTTCACTGTTTCCCATCCACTGACCAAGTTCAGGTCTCGGCTTGTCTGGCACCTCCCAGTTCACCAACATGCAGGCCCTGAAGGCTTCCCTTCCGGCACCCACTCATGTTGAGAGTGAGATCAATGCCTCCAGTCGTCAAGGCTATAACAGCCCTCTGATGGTCCTTCCTTCTGGTCAAACCGTTTCCCTCAATAGCTTCTACGGCCAAGGTCAATCTGGTGGCGGAGATACAACCAACTCTGCCCACCTTCCATACGTCCACACTGGCTTGTTTCCTGGTTTCGTTGGCAATAGCAACATTTCTGGAGCCGCGATTCATGGCTATGGCTGGCCCTATGGACTGACTTCCAACATCCCTGGTTTTGATCCTGCCCGTCGTGGATCTTGGTCTTCCACCGAGGATCCTTCCACCAACAATCATGGTGCTACGGTGGCTACACAGGCTGATTGCTATCCTGGACATTCATACATTGCAAGTGCCATTCCTAACCAGCACTACATTGCTGGGCCCATCCAACCCTTGAAATTGCCGGACAACAAGGCTTATGAGTTGGCCAATCTTGACGAACTCGTCTCTCGAGATCCTCCAATTCCTCGTGCGGTCCCAGCGCTATGGACCAATCAAGAAGAACTCAGTCTTGCCAAATGTCTTCAGAACCCAGAGGGTATCACCAATGTCTACATTCGTGGCTTCATGCCAGACACCACTGATGAAGATCTCGACCGCTGGGCATCTCGTTTCGGTGAGATCGAGTCTTGCAAAGCCATCATCGAACAAGACACGGGAAAGTGCAAAGGGTATGAAGAACTTAACCCACTCTGGTCTCGAATTGACAAAGATTAGGTTTGGATTCGTCATGTACTATTCTCCTGCCTCGGCTGAGAATTGCATTCGGGGATTTTTCCATCTAGGGTTTCAGGCCAGCTATGCTCAGGTACGTTCAGCCTTGACCCGGCAAGACGGTGTCTAACTTTGCAGAAATCTCGCAACTCTCGTCTCAAGGACCTCGAAGACCGAAATTCGACAAACATCTACTGCACTGGTGTTCCAATTGACTGGAACGAGTCGGTATGTTGAATTCTATTCTGTATTGCATCGGGAGCTGACAACAACACAGGACCTGGCCAAACACTTTATTCCATACCTCGCCGTCTCTACCAAGATCTGCCGTGATGCCCCATCTGGAGTCAGCAAAGAAGTTGGATTTGCCAGGTAAGAAAAATCACAACCAAACTCGAGATCAAGACTTATTCATGGGCCAGATTTGAAACTCGAGACATTGCGGAACGTGTGGTCAAAGAGTTTCACAGCACGCTGACGGAACATGATGGTGTCAAGCTCTTCTTACGCTTCGCAGACACAAAAGCCCAGAAACAACTCAAGCAACAAAGTCAAGAACGTCGCAACTGGCGCAGTCGCGAGTACAGCTATTCGGTTGAGCACACTCCATCTCCAACCTTGACTCGCCTTCAGAATGTGAACAACCACATCAGTCCAGGAAGCTACCAATCCCCGGCCGGTGCAAGCAATGCATTTACCCCCGCGACGTCAGTCTCTCCGGCGTAAGTGCAGTTTAATTACTCAACTCGTCTCGAATACTAACAATATTCCTTCAGTGACATGCCCGGTATGAACAAGGCTCGAGGTTCTGCTTGGCCGATGCAAGGTGGTCTCCAGTCCATTACCAACACCAGTGCACTCCGTGGAAGTGTTGCCCCATACATTGAGATCCCATCAAAGGTTGCTTCTACCATCCCAATCCTTGCAGACAACTCGGATTCGAAGAAGGTTCAAACCCCAAGTCCCAAGAAGGTGACAATTCGCATCGAGCCTGCCAGTGGCAAAGAAAACTACTCGGGCACTCCTCAATCCAGCAAGTGAATGCATCTCAGAACGGTTTCGCTACCACCAGTGCACAAGCTTTGGGTCTGCACTGTCCTCTTGGTGCGGCGGTTTCACATCTTGTCCGCCTTGTCCATTCTTGTTGCAAGCATGGTCAGACTAAAAGTTGAATCGTAAGAATACTCGATGCATTCTTCACTCATGTATTGGCAAGTCATCGCTACTTCTGCATGAACAATATGTCGACATGGATCAGGAATTAGCAGGGATATGCAAGTCAGTCATCATCGTTGAACTCAATATGTGCTACAAAGAATGTACAAACAACAGAGCTGTATATGACAGGGGGAGAGACACTGTATTCAAACTGTGTATCGTGTCAGATAATATGACAATCTTCAAAAAGACCCGGTCTACCAAAACCATGACTCCCATTGGCAGATCGTGACCTTTGCTCGTCAATCTGAGTAGCTCTTAGACTCTGTAGTGGTGTTAAGCCACAGGCGCATCTTCCTCTATTTGCGTAGTGGGTCTCCTTATAGAGATCTCTCACCAAGAGAACCCTCTCTCTTCTCCAGCTCTTAGCCACCTGCAGTCTGCAGTCATTACATCTACATTGCTAGTCAACAGTGGCAAATAGGGGGGTAGTTTGGGGGCGCAGGCTAGCTAGTGCGTAAATGGTTTAACGTTTCACCGCATCGCCATTCTGGCCACGGTGGAGTTTACCGCCATAAACGAAAGCCTCGGTTGGTTGTGATTGCCGCCAGCGCAGTTTGGATTGTCGATTGATTCTGTTATTAAGTGACAGTCATCCGCCTTGCACTGTTCTGCTTTGTGCAGTGGGGAGCTGCTCTTGATTTTGTGTTCACACCCATGTGCCATAGCGCCTGAGACGCCATGGAGTATATCAGCGCCCTTCAGTCCCCTGTGGATGATTTGAAGCCTTCGCTGTTCGAATTGCTCTCCGAACAACAGCTTGCTGACCTACTGCCACCGACCCTCCGATACCTCCTTGCCATTGCCACACATCGCTATCCTAGATATCTGTTAAGAATATTGAACAACTACGACGAAGTATATGCATTATTGAGCGTGGTGGTGGAGAAGTATTACCTTCAGACTTTCGGTGGCAGTTTCACAGAGAATTTCTATGCCTTGAAACGCGAGAAGGTGCTCAGTGTCCAGGGAGGCGAAATCAAAAGGACTCAACTTGCAGTTCCCGACGAAGTCCGTCAGAGGCTGAGTCTCGCAGGTGCAGACGTCTGGAAAAACCTGGCGGTGCTGGTGGGCATCCCATATCTCAAGAGAAAGCTCGATGAGAGTTACGACATCCATATTGCGCCCAGTGCAAGTTTACTTATGAGTGGCAGCTTAGGAGGACCTCGATACTTGGACCGTGATGCTCTTCCACACAATGCTACGATCAAACAAAGGTTGATGTGGTACTATAAATGGTTCCTGCGGAATGTATACCCAAGTTTAAACGCCGCGTACTATTTCAGTATCCTTGCGTTCAGCCTTGGCTATCTATTCGACGGCACCAAATACTCCAGCCCCTTTTTGTGGATGATTGGGACACGGATGCGAAGGATGGGCCCCGCCGACTATCGCGCTATCGATGCTGCTTCTGCCGCCGCTGAGAAGGCTATTTCAACGAGTGGTCGTCCTGGTCAGGGCTTGAGTGGCTTATTGAACCCCCGGACAATGTATCCCCGACTCTTGTCCAGTTTGAAGATCCTGTTGCCCACCAGTATCTTTGCGTTGAAGTTCTTGGAATGGTGGCACGCCAGCGACTTTTCCCGACAGTTGACCAGAAAGGCAGCAGAAGGGTTGGAACTCCCACCCCCGATTGTATCTGGGATGGGCCTGGCGAAGACACCCTCGGCAGAGAAGAAGGCTTCAGGAGCAACGATGCCATCCGGTGGATCCCTCCAAAGCCCCGTTTCAAGCACGACTTATCTCCCGATATTTACAGTACCACCTCCCGCCTCAAGCGATTTATGTCCCATTTGCCTTCATCCGATCTCCACTGCTGCAGCTTGCCAAACCGGTTATGTATTTGATTACAAGTGCATTTTTCAGTGGATTGAAGGCACTCATGAAAGGCAAGAAGCATTCATGAAAGGGGAAAAGATGAGTGAATGGGAAGAGGATGAAAACGAGAACTCGGACGAAAAAGACAACAACGGTGAACAGTCGAAACCTGTGAGCCTCGAAGGCAGTTGGGAAAGCGGCAAGGGTCGTTGTGCGATCACAGGACGCAGGGTCCTGGGCGGCACAAGCGGGTTGCGTCGAGTGATGGTCTGAATTGTGATGGAAAACACAACACAGACCAGCATACTTTGAGGCTCTGTCTGCTGCCTCTTCTGCACTATCCGACATGGCTTTGACCATCCTACTCGCTCTAGGTGGAGGGATTTCGGTGCTGCCGAGCGTGGATCACAATGAATTCTGGTGCTGGGATTGATATCGGACACACGACCACCCACGTTACCAGTCACTCGAATCTTCTATACTTGGCCCACTCTGCTAGCATGCTAGTGCTCGGCGACACTCTCAGGCATGCATTTAGCGAAGCAATCATGTCAAAATCCATGGCAAGCGCAGTTGATATACAACGGTTGCAACCGGGCCGCGTCAATGAGTTTCGACTACAGCTCCTCGTCTTATTGGCACTGGAGGTCAAAGCCAAAGTTAAGAGGGATGTCCAATCTCATGGCAAGCCTCGCTTGTGTGAGACGACGAAAGAACCCCGGAGCAGAGCCGAAGCGCCACAATCACCCGTACCCAGGTTTGGTGTACGACCTCCTCGCTTGTTCCTCCTGAAGTCCTGGTGCCACGCATCGACGGTCACGGAATTGCCAACAGGGATGGACGCTGTTCATGATAGCCTCCGAGTCATCTAGATCAAAAACTGTCCAGGTGGGGTCAATCCGGGCGAGATTGGCTCAAGAGGTTTTCGAATCCTCCAAGTCAGATTTTCAAGAGGGACATAGTAGTGATGGCGGCCGGCCAGGTCAAGGGCAAGCTGAAGACCTACCGGGCCATCTGACAGCATCATACTCAGTGATATACTATGATACATATTAGCTATATAGGCGATGCACATGTAGACTCGAGAACTGATATAATATAGAGATCTCACTCTGCTTAGGACTGGTCATCCCGCTTCATTCAACCGGTGGACAATGGTCAAGACTTTGTCAGTCCATATCAAGACCAACCGACCTAAGGGATGAAACAAATCCACTTCTTGGCACTCGGCTAACCTTTGACCAATAAGCTGTCGTTATTCCACCTCATGTCTCCACAAATCGAACCTCATCCCTCCCTTGGCATCATGCCCCCCTTCTCTTCACGTCAGGATGTGATATTCAACATGTCCAGACCCGTTGACAACAGTGCTCGAGGTTGCTGCTCTTCCCCGTGGAGTGACCATGCTAAAGACAGATTTCAAAGGCCGACTGGTGTAAAGATGGTGAGTTTGAAACAATCGCAGGAAACCAGCGACTTCATCTTGCAAAATCACGAGACATCGGTCACCCCTGTTCGCCACGTTAATCCTGAAACATGCCTATTTACCTTCCCTGGCATGCCCAGTACCGAGTACTCGCATGTCTATGGGAGCAGATCTGATATTATGCAATACCAAGATCCAGTGTCTCCGATCCAGTGTTTGACAAGCGAAGGGCAAGACGCCACTATGGAGCCCAAGTACCCCGCCCATCACCCCCCATCACCGCAGTCTGGCCGAAGAACCACTCTGCCTAGCACATCTACATTCCAACTGAACGACGGTCCCATAATCTCCTATTCGTGCCCTGCAGAGCCTTGTTGCTGCTGCCATCTGGACCTGCCCCTCTGACATGAAACTTGCCAGCAATGCACTTGAAGGGCTTTGAAAAAGTGTTATCCACCACCAGTACTGGTGATTGCTTGGACAGGGAGTACACCTACATGTCTACTAGTGTGGACTCGGCAATCATGACTTGCATATATCTTTCCCAGAGGTACTTCCTTCAGGGCATATTCTGTTCCTTTCTTTCCTATCCAGAGCTCATCATTCCCTCCCAAAAGCTTCAAAGCAGGTCTTTCGTTTGCCAGGTCATCAGACCGTTCCATTCACTCGTCACGTTCTTTCATTCCTCAGGTCTTCATTGATTGAAGCCAACTGTTGTCACTCCTTCGAGTACATTTTGAGCAAACAACCCAGAGAAAATCATCTATCGAAACACTCTCGCACCCCTTTTGATTAAGATGGCATACTTCAAATCAACGGCTCTATTCGGGACACTTGCCCTTCTATCCAAAGTTCAAGCCCACGGCCATGTCACTGGTGTCATTGCCGATGGCGAGTGGTATAGTGGATACATTCCCTCATTCCAGTTCTCGAACCCCCCTCCAGTGGTGGCAGGCTGGACAGCCGACAACCTTGACAACGGATTCGTCAGCGACTATTCCTCCCCAGACATCATCTGCCATAAGCAGGCCACACCTGGTGGTGCTTATATCAAGGTGACGGCCGGCTCGACCCTCGACCTCCAATGGACAGAATGGCCTGAATCACATCATGGCCCGGTCTTCGATTTCCTCGCCCCTTGTGGTGATGACTGCACAACAATCGACAAGACCAGCTTGCTATTCACCAAGATCGACGAGGCTGGCCTCATCGACGGAAGCTCGCCGCCTGGCCACTGGGCTTCGGATGACATGATTGCCAACAACAGCACATGGAGTGTGACCATCCCATCCAGTATTGCTCCCGGAAAATACGTCCTTCGCCACGACACGATTGCCCTTCACGCTGCCCATGAGGTGGGTGGGTCCCAGGCCTATCCTCAATGCTTCAACCTCGAAATCACCGGTTCCGGCAGCAACCCACTGACCAGTGGCGGAGTACCGGCAACCGAATTCTTCCAGAACGACCACCCAGGCATCTTCGTCAACATCTACCAAGTCTTGTCCAGCTATGTCATTCCCGGACCCCCTGTGCTGGGAAGCTCTGGATCCACCCCTCCTCCATTTACCAATACGAGCGCATCCGCGACCACCTCCGCAGCGGCTGTCAGCAGTACCACGGCAGCTGTGACCTCAGGCGGATGGGACTACAGCACCACCTCCGTTGCTGGGGATGTCGACATCACTGCGAGTATCACTGCTCCGACTGCCGTCATTTCCACCACTGTTGCAGCCATCACTACCACCACCACTACATCTGATATTGTCGAAGACATCACCACAGATCCGGTACCTCAACCCACCCTGCCGTCGGACATCGAAGACCCTATCTCGACTTCACCAGTATCTTTCAGCAGCACTGTTACTGGCCGCATCGGCAAGCCAACCAGATTTGTCTGTTACATCGAGGAATAGATTTTCTCGCTGTGTCTGTGGGGTAGAGACCCGGGTTGTCTTTGCCACCATTGAACAGTGTGCGGCAATTGTTGTCTCGGAAAAGACTAGGGTGAATTCTTCGTTCTTGGACAAGATACCTACATCTACATCTGATTGTCTAGCTGCAAGCAAGCATACGAAGATTGTCGTTCCCAGTGTGAGAACGACAGAAATATATGATTTCGATTCTCGTTGTATATATTCACAGACATTTGTTTGGGGTGGGGGGTTTTATGGAAGCATCATTCTTGCGGCCTGAGGCTAGCATGGATGACGATATCCCTTTTTGGTGGAGCCTCTCTAGGATAAGATTCTCTAGATCTCTAGAAATGCATAAAGTCATGCAGTCATGTCCATGTCACAGGTACCTCTCGTGTTTTGTGGCAAGAATGGCCTAGCTGCTTTTTGGAGCGTTACTGACAGATTTGCCCTGTTTCAAGACCACTAACATGCATATGAATACTGCGTCTCCGCGTGAAACTCGTTTGTTGTGATCATCTCTCACACGTTATCTTATATTCATGTTTGGCTATCAGTCTTGTTCTAATCTTGAGGATGTAGCGGTTGTGCCCAGACCGATTCGTTAACTATACCGTAACTTTTTCTAATTCGTGTCTCTCTAAAACCCAATCAATTGTTCAAATCAACCTCTTCACCATTCTTCAACTTGCCAAAGCATTTCTTCCACAAATCATTCTCTTCGCCGACCCAATACTCGAGATCAACAGTATCCAGACCGGGATCACTCGTCTCAGCATCATCACCATGACCGTTCGTTCCCAAGGACTCTAACCAACTAATAACACTACCTAAACCGATCGCCTTACCTACACTCTGCGTGGTCCCCGCCTCAAGCATGACATGGACGACGTGGACGTGAAAATGATAATAAGTCGGCTGATAGTGGATATAGCACTTAATCTCATCCTGATCCACCTGACCCGGAAACACCTTGGTCGCCGCCTCGGTGATATGAGCATGCATAGTCTTCAACCAAGGAACGTGGGATTTCTTCAACGAGCGCAGTGAGTGCAGATCCCGCCGTTGAGGCAACGCCAATAAATGCATCCCCGTGACGGTCTTGCGATCCCAGTTCAGATCCGGTAGGAGGAGAAACCCGTCATCAGAGGGTGAGTCCCAATCAACTCGCGACAGCACGTCTTCCTGTTCGGTGCGTCCGTCGAGAATGTTGTAGATCCAATCCAGACGTCCGGATTGTCGTTGTCGTGAAATGAACGGAGAGATGTGTTGTTGGTAGATTGTGGATGTCTCCTTGACTTGCCGGACTCGTTGGGCGGAGTATTTCCGGATATGTTGCTCTGTGCAGGGATAGATGAGGTTGAGTTTTAGGTCGGGAATGGTTGGGACGGGTGATGATGATGTGGTTGATGTCAGTGTCGTGCCGATGGGGATGGCGGGTGGGTAGGATGTTCGGTTGGAGAGGTACCAGCGGTAGATGTCGTTGGCTCCGAGGTTGGTCGTGTTGGTGAGGGTTCCTAGGATGACGGTGACAAGGTCGGGCTCGATTGGTAGAGCTGCTCGTTCTAATACGATCAGAGCTGGTTGGAAGTCGATTGTGCCCACAATAGATATCCGCCGTCCACTCTGGTCTTGGTTCAAGACTTTGTCCACTTGAAATCGTGGTAGCAGTGCCTCGGCTTCGGCTTTGGTCTCTGGTGGTGTTGCCATTGCGGTAGTTGTGCGGTGTTAGACCTCTCTAGGCTCTGTGTGTCTTGTTGTGAAGACTTGTGATGTTGTGATGGTCTAGTCCCGTGCATATATTTTTTGTTGAAAGGCTGGATTCCGGCGAAGTTATATGTTTACTTCCCGTCAGAGTTTGTGGGCACCAAATGTCAACATCAATGCCTGTGCAGAGCAACAAATAGATCAATTTCCAAACCTTTTCGTATGCAAGCACCCTCACACACATCCAATGGACAAGGTGAATGTAGTGTTTGGGAGAAATCAAAAGGTATATGGAGTCTGATGAATCTATCGGACCGGATCATCTATAATCCCATAGACTGCGGATCCCCTCCGGGAATACTTCGGATCAAACTTTCCCAAAGTTGGTGAACCTGTGAATCTTTGAACCCCAGATTCTCATATTCTGCCCCGATCTCTCTCTTTCTGTGTTTCTCTCTCGCTATAATCCCATAGCCCCGTAGAGGGGTGAGGCAATGGCGACGGGGGAACTTTCATCAAATTGGAAAAAGCTACAGAAGACACTGACCAAGACCTCATCTGTCGAGCCCACACCATCGAAGAATGGCACCAAACGAAAGCGCGAATCGACGTTGAAGGCTCGAGTAGGCGCAGGGAAATTGCCCCAAAGTCGACAAGCGGCGATCAAGAGAGATCTCAAGAGAAAGAAGAGCATGGCGTCAGGAGTTTCACAAGTGCAAAGGAAGACTACAATACTTGAGGTTGAATCCTCCAATGACACTCAGCGTTTGCGGGTAGAACCACCATCGGCGGTGCTGGTCAATGCCGGGCTGTCTCATCAGTATGTTTCCATGCCCTGCTGGGTTTCAAAGAATAATGGCTAACTTCTGTGGTCTCTCAGCGTTGAATTGGGAAGATATGTCGCCATCGACTGCGAAATGGTTGGAGTGGGCCCCAATCCGGCACGAGAGTCGGCATTGGCGCGAGTCAGCCTCGTCAACTACAATGGCGAACAAGTCTACGATTCATATGTCCTCAGCAAAGAGCCTGTGACAGACTGGCGGACTCATGTCAGTGGAATCCGGCCGGAACATATGGCCGAGGCACGGTCGCTGGAACACGTCCAGGCCGAGGTGTCCAAGATCATCACGGGCAGGATTCTCGTTGGCCATGCCATCCACCATGATCTCGAGGCGATGATGCTCAGTCATCCGAAACGTGATATACGGGATACCTCTCGTCATCCTCCGTACCGAAAATGGGCTGGAGGGAGTTGGCCTGCGCTCAAGATCCTGACGTCCGAGTTATTGGGCTTTGAGATCCAGGACGGTGCTCATTCAAGTGTGGAGGACGCCAGAGCATGCATGTTGTTGTTCCGAAAAGACAAAGCAAGCTTTGAAAAGGAACACTCTCGGCGTTGGCCGGCTCCACCTGCGCCAGCGCCAGCGCCTGAATCTGAATCCCCTGCGCCCGACAACCAATCCCATCCAGCAAGGTCGAAAAAGAAGAAGAAAAAGAAGAGGCATTAAGATGCTAGGAGGCCAAACACAACAGAATTATCCAAGATTGGAGTGGCATGTCATTATGGTATCACGAGTGCTACAGAGGAACATCTTCCATCAACTCCATGGCTCCCTCCCGCGAGACAGTGATGATGACATCTCCCAGCGTTCTGGTATTGAAGCCTGCTTCACAATATGTGAAATAGTACTGGAAAGTCGTTGTTAGCCGCTGTGGACACGTACTCTTTCTGTGCGGCGACTTACCTCCCATTTTCTCCGGAACAGGGACACATCACTCTCGGTCATTCCGTCATGTTCTGCCAATAATGCCGGGCGGATCCTAGCGTCAAAGTTTTGCTGGAAATTGTCCTTCCACAGTCTCAAAGTTTTGGCGTAATGAGGCCCAATATTCTCTATTGAATCCACAATCAACAGACCTTTACTTCCTTTGTTGATGGCTTCTACCAGCTGGGATACAGAGGGGAGGTGTCCGCCGGGGAAAATATACTTTCGAATAAAGTCTTGACCTTTGGCATAAGCCTCATATCTCGATTCGGGCATTGTGATGGATTGGAAGACGGCAATGCCACCAATAGGCTTGAGCAGTTTATGGACACACTCAAAATATGTGGTCAAGAACTCCCGTCCGACGGCTTCAATCATCTCAATACTGATGATCTTGTCGTAGGGGCCTTCGCGAGGCATGGGAAGGGCTCGGTAGTCGCACAGCAAGACTTCAATGTTGTCGGTCAGTCCAGCATCCGCTATTCGGCGATCTGCCAAATCTTTTTGTTCATGACTGAGGGTGAGCGAGGTGACGCGACAACCGGTCCTCTGGACGGCTCTGATGGCTAAGCTGCCCCAGCCCGTGCCGATCTCAAGGACATGGTCGGAGGGTTTGATTTTGGCATTGTCAATGAACCTGTCCAGTTTGCGATACTGGGCCTCTTGCAGAGTTTCATCTGCCTTTTCTTCAGTCATGTCCGACTTCGGCTTCCATATGGGACAAGAATAGGTCATGTCTGGAGATAAAAAGGCCTCGAACATGGCATTGCTGATGTCGTAATGAGCACTGATATTCAACTGGGCATTGGCCAAGGTGTTTGTGCGGCGCAGGAAACCACTGATCGCGGAGGAGAGGGAGGAGGTGAGGGTGGTGGCATTGGACAGGTTGTCACGGTTGAGGATGAAGATCTGCCTTGGTGTCAATCAGGTTGTCCTTGCCCAACAGCAAGGCTCCATGGCTTACTCTAAAGAAGGCAGTCAGATCCGGACATTGTATTTCGCCCAGCATGAAAGATTCGGCGAAACCCTGTGCTATGACTTAGTCTCTACGCACCAGAGAACAGCTACAATGCGCACCATATCTGCAAAGAGAGCCAACCGCAACCAGAAGGCATCGCGCACTACACGCAGGTGGACATTTGGTTCAACAGGGTCACCTGAGGTTTGCCCGCATATGGTTGTGGTCCCATCGTTTTCTAGGATCGTGAGACGGCCACGTTGGATGCGACTCAATAGGGCGAGAACCAGATTCCTGGAGACGCTGACAGCTGGTCCCCATGCAAAGGCCCCAGCAAAGCCACGAGCCTGATCGAGTGCTGAGGTCACCAGGGAGGTCATGGTGAGGAGGAACAAGGAATGGAGGAGATTGGGACTACGGCATCGGAGGAGCGATAGTAGAAGCAAAGAAGCAACAAGTAATGATGAGGTGCCAAACGGCGCGTGTACGAGAGGAAATAGAGAACAAGATGAAAGATCACCCAACGCAGGAAGTTCACAGAGGGAAAAGAACAAACAAGTAAACGATGACGGCACGATCGAGGGACTTTTTGGACGATAAAAAATCAGGCAAGTCGGTGTAATACAGGCCCGTCCTCCGAGGGAAGGCGCGACTCAGGCAGGGTCCAGAAATGCACCAGGACTCGTAAAGGGTCCATCCACTCGACTGTTGACGCCAGCATCCAAGCACAATCGAGCATTGGTTGGGAAGTGGAAATGGAATGGTGGGGTGACTTTGACGTGTGGTCAACTCTATCAGCAAAGCTTCATCGTAAAGGCATCATTGAGCTCGCTCGAGAGCCTCTCCCAGATCGATGTCATTCGTGGGAGAGGAAATACATGGCCTAGCCATCCTAGCCATCCTAGCCATCACCTTCTTGTCCAACAGGCCCGTCCCTCAGGTCAACTGAAGCTTGATTCTCTTGTCCATGTCCTGTGTCCAGAGGCTGTACTGACTCACTGATCAAGGGTGAGGATGTACATATTATCAGTGGGACATGTGTAGAGGCGCAATCCAATACATGATAATGACGTTTACATTTTATGCTTTGGGATTGGGGCGAGTTGGTACCTGACGATCTCGTCCACTCGGCTCATGTGATGAGGGGCAGCACTGCCAGCCGAAGAAACGTGGACTTGGTGACTTTGTAACCTAATGTGCCTGGACTTACATTCGGATCTTTGGAAGCAATTGTTGACCGCCTGGTGGTCTTAACCCTAACCCTAAGTGAATGCAGTGTTCAAAGAAAATGTGTTGGTGCTTGCCCCGCTACATCCAAAGTCTTAAATGAAGAAACGTGGAAGGAACGATGGGGTGCCCCTCACGGAGAGAAAGAGGTATGTAGATCTAATCTAATCAGCTAACTTGATTTTTTAAAGTTCGGCTTAGGCGGTCCAGCCGTTTCGGGTATGGGTCGCGCACTAGTCACGCCGCCGCTTTTAACCTCTATAGACTGTCGAATTCTGTGAAAGCGGCAAGGAAGGGTAGTTGTACATATACAGTCTGTTCAGGCCAGATCGTGGCTTAGTAGGCCTAGGCGGTCATCTGTGACCTGGCGCCTCCTACGATAATCGTCCAGTCTCTTGACAAGAATCCAACTTGATGGCAACAAAAGGCACAAGACGGCAACTGATTGGATGACCCATTCGCCGAAAGCCAGTCAGCCGAACGAAACAGAATTAGCGTGATTGCATTGCATTGCATGGCTTCAACCTCTGTGGAAAACAAAGACGGCCAGCGCCTACTCAGATGGCACTATAACCGAGGGCTAGATGTCCAAGGATCAAATTCAGAGCAGCTGGCACTGTTCTTCTTTCCTTAAGCTTCCTCACTGAAGACATCTGCGGAAAAATAGCAACTCTCGGTCAAGCATGTCCGTACCGCAAACCAACCTCCGGCCCATCAGCCGCTTCGTAACAGGCCACAACAAAGCCACCGGGGCGTCCGTTTTCGAAGCCCTTTCAGTGCCAGAAACTCCTCCAATTTCAAGTTATCCTGGCGGCATGCAAATTGCGTTATACTACGCCACCTCTGGCTTTCCTGTCGACTTGAGTGTCGATCGCGACATCGAGGTATACGAGAACATAACTAAAAATCCTCCTGGGATCGTAGTCCCAGATGGATCCGCCGCCCGAGTCATAGACTTCCCTCCAGGTTATGAATCTCCCATGCATCGAAGCATGAGCCTAAATTACAACTTTGTCATCGAGGGGGAAGTCGAGGTCATCTTGGACTCCGGCGAAAGCAGAACCTTGAAACGAGGAGATGGACTGGTGCAGCGAGCGATAAATCACTCCTGGCGAAACACGAGCCAAACTGAGTGGGCCCGAATCACGGCAGTAGTATTACCTATCCATGACTTTCAGGTTGCGGGACAGAACGTCGAAGCGAATCTGCCATCTCGACATGAATAGGATCAACTTTGAGCATCATGTGATATAAAATACCGAGAATAGACCATTTTCCTTGACATGGTGTCTGTCTATAATTTCTTGACTGTGTTCACAAGTTCACTGGCGAACTCTATTGTTCAATGGACGTTAAGACAACCCCGCAGGTTTTAATTTACATAGATTTATCCAAAAGGGCTCGGCTGACTCTATTTTCCCGTGTGCTTGTGATTCCCGCAACCTCCTCGCTTACAGTGCCGGCAGATATACATGGATTGTTGTTTGACCCCTTTACCCACAAACCCCGCACGAGCTCTCAGTAAAAACGAACCGGTGTATAATTGAACCGGTCGTGGATCGCTGCAGCCAAGTCAAGTTTGACATGATCCCTTAGAAGGTTGCCGTGGATCGCCAGTCATGGCGAACGGGTCCAATTTTGGCACGAGTTCAACCTCCCGCCATCGAGCCGAGCCATTGTGGCATCGCAAAATTGACTTGTATGAAATGCCGATTCCTGCAGTCACTACCATATCGGCAATATATCACGCTCCCAGTCAGTTTCTGCCTCGTTTGCGGTGTCGTACCGAAACAAAAAAGCTCGAGCAAAAATGACGCTGCACAAGATCGAAAAAGTCATCATCGCTGGCGCTGGGCCCGTTGGGCTTTTGACTGCTCTGTTGCTAGGCCAGAAAGGCATTCAGGTAGACGTTTTGGAGGCCTACGAGGAGATCAACAACTCCCCCAGAGGATTGGCATATGGACTCCCTGCAATTCAGTAAGGATGGGCTTAAGGACTGTGCATAAGACAGATGCTGACTGACGACTCCTCTACCCCAGAGTGTTGGCCCGAGCTGGGATTCTCGATAAAACCATCGAACGCGGCTTCATTCCGAAAGATGTCGCGTGGAGGAAGCCTGACGGTACGCTCATCGCCGGATTTGATCGTCTAGAGGCTCGTATCGATGGCTTGCCACAAAGTGTTATCCTTCCCGTTGGCTCACTGTCTGCTCTCCTGTTGGAAGAAGTTCAAAATTATCCCAGCGTCAAGATCTACTGGGGCCACCGAGTCTCCAACGTTGGTCAAGACAGTGACAAGGCTTGGGTGGAGGTTAATGGCTCCAGCAATCTCATGCACGCCGATTTTGTCATCGGCTGCGATGGCGGATCAAGTACCGTGAGAAAATCAGTGTCTGGGGCTAGTTTTCCTGGTTCTACTTGGCCCAAAACACTTGTTGCTGTAAACGTAAGTCTCGGTCAGGACGAAGTTCTATGGTTGAGCTCTGCAAAGACAGGTTTAGGCTGATACTTGAAGTGTAGGCTCGTATGGACTTTGACAAACTTGATTTCTCCGATGTCCAGTGGATCATCCACCCTGAGGACTGGTTTGTCATCGCAAGGATCGACAAGAAAGGTTTATGGCGCATTGTCTACGGAGAAACGCCCGGGTTGTCGGCTGAGGAAATTCGAAGCCGACTCCCCGAAAGATTTCAGAAGACTCTTCCAAGCCACCCAGAGCCTGGTACTTATGAGCTTGAAACAGTTACTCCCTACACTGTTCATCAGCGATGTGCCGAGAAAATGAGAGTCGGGAGAATCCTGCTCGCTGGCGATGCGGCCCACTTGAACAATCCCATGTGAGTTGGTCACTCAAAGTTGACCGTAAAACCTGCTAACGCGTTGAAGGGGTGGCCTCGGCCTCACCACTGGCGTTTGCGACGTGGGCAGCCTCGTAGATTGCCTGTACGGAATCGACAGTGGAGATGCATCAGTAGATATCTTGGACAAATACGATGAAATGCGCCGACAAATCTTCAGCCAGGTCACCGACATCACATCCACGCGGAATTTCCACCGTGTGATGGCAGACCCAGAGACTGTCTTGGAGAAAGATCCATTTTTCCGCCTTCTTGACAAGGCGAAGACAGATCCCGACGTGGCGGTAGGCTTGATCAAAGTGAGTAGAACCCGTGGATATATGAGTCATCTGCTTTCCAGCCGCCCTACTGATAACCTTGTACAGCACGAGATGAGCATCGGATGTGATATGACACAGTTCTACTCTAAGCCGTCAGTGGCGTCTACCGCTGGAAGTGCCTCGCGGCCATGAACAATGTCACCTGCCAAAATTGGGGGGAGGGAAGCAAGTTTCAAAACGGTGGCCGCAGAAATGGAAATACTTTTGTTCGGGGTCCAAGTCATTGCATTAGCTTAGATTTTATATATCGAAGTTACATGGATTTTCGAACGCCTGGCTCGATTGACTCAAAATTGGATCCCTCGAGCACTACTACTTAATCGATCCGCCGACATCAAAGATACTTGAAACATAGGTTAATATATTGTATTGGAGGAAGCGTAAATGGAAACACTTTTCTTATTGAGTCACTCAACATGAGACAACTTGGTCTGTTTACAGAAATTTATCTAGTTCAAAGGATGCCTCCTCGATGGTTCACTTTCATAACAGACCACTCTGTTGATCGGATTTTGTGAATGCAAATTTGTTCGCCAGGCTTCCAAAACCTTCGATTCCCACCTCAACCATATCTCCATCTTTGATAAGCCCAGGAGGCTGCATGAAACAACCTACGCCACTGGGAGTGCCCGTCATGATCACGGTCCCTTTCCTCAATGTTGTTCCTCGGCTCAAATGCTCAATAATCTGTGCCACTGTCCAAATCATATCATCTGTGCAGGTATTCTGCCGAATTTGTCCGTTGAGGGATGTGGAAAGCTGCAAGTTTTGGGGATCGGGAACGGCGTGAGCCAGCACAATCGCCGGTCCTATGGGCGCAAAGCCATCAAAAGACTTAGCATAACAATACTGGCCTCCACTCGCGCCAGGGAGTTGGAAGTTGCGCGCGCTCACATCGTTCCCACAGGTATAGCCGAGGACGTAGGAGAGAGCCTGGGAAGAGGTGACATCTTTCGCGTCGCGGCCGATGACGATGCTTAGCTCGCCTTCGTAGTCAAGCAGAGACTGGCAGCTAGGGTGCACATCGATAGTGTCATAGGGGCCTATCCAAGTCGTCCAGCCCTTGTTAATAGTCCACTTCCCGGCATCACATCTGCACCACTATCCACTTACCAGTAAGAGCATCTGGTGGCTTCGTGAACACAACCGGATACTCGGGAATAGGGTTCTTGCCCTCTGCTGCATGTTGTCGATAATTAAGCCCGATACAGATGATCAAAGGTGTTGACTCAAGCGGACAGAGGATCTGCATTGACTTTTAGCATTGGAGTGTCGGACATGAAATGTACAGAGAGAACTTTTTGAGTACCTTGCTGATTACTATCTTCTGGTTGCTGGTATGAAAGCCATCCCATGGAGTGCCGCTCAGAGCATCGACGGCTATTCCCTTGAGGTCCGCTCCTAATTGCTGTTGAGAGACGGCCCCGTAATGAACGGACCCTTCGAGGTCAGTAAAACGAACGAATGCCTCAACAGCCATTATTCGGGTGTCTGAGGCAGCTAATATTTTCTGAAGATCTGAATGTGACATAAACTCTTCCAAAGGCACTGTCCGCGCATGGTTTCTACGGAGGACCTCAGGATTGCGTCTAAGTATACCGCTGCAAAGCGGACTGCTCGACAAATGCTTGTTACGATGATGCCGGTCAGACCATTGCGTCTTGTGATGAAGTGATACCACATTCCGCTTCGTGTTAGCTGCTGAGCGGTCCGAGGAAGTCCAGTCAGGAACGCCGAACTAAATGGGAAGACCAAACTCCCCGCGGGCCAGACCACCTGAACCCAAGCGCACAAGCCGGGATTTTCTCTTCTCAATTCAGGGATCTCAGTAGCCGCACAACGATTTGGTAATTTTGCGGAAGCTTCTCAACCCAGCATCGGGATTATGGTTGTTGTGCCACGTGGTCAACAGATCATATCAATTACAATGCTGGGAATGCTTTTATGGCCAAGCTACGTTCTCCTCGATTGTGAAAGCCCTCATCCAGAAGTTTATCTTTAATTTGCTACCTTCCTTCAGGACTCGAAGACTGTCCTCACGGCAACTACATTGAAAGCGTGATTCAAAGTCGACATCATGGTTTTCGACTTTGACGATACATCCAAGCCTATGGCACGGCCAACAAAGCTGGCCCACATAGTGCTGAGGACTAACGACAAAAGTGCCATGGGCAAATTCTACTGCGACTTCCTGGGTGGCGAAATGGTGCATGAAAACGAGGTTCTGGCATTCATCACTTATGATGACGAACACCACCGAATTGCGCTGGCCGAGATCCCAGGTCTCAAAGCAAAGGACCCTACTACATGCGGATTGGAGGTAGGTCATCTCGCTCAATGATTACTTTGGCCCCGCGTGATAACTGACACGTTTTTCAAAAACAGCACATCGCATTTACTTTTGATTCACTGGAGACCTTGTTCCTTGCCTATCGTCAGAGGAAGGCCAAAGGCATGCTTCCATTTTGGGCCGTCCACCACGGGCTGACTATCAGCTTATATTACAACGACCCAGATGGAAACATTTTGGAGACGCAGGTCGACGTTTTCGTCGAGAATAGCGCAGCAGACGAATATATGCGCTCTCCAGCTTTTGCGCAGAATCCGATCGGCGTCGACTTCGATCCGGAAGATTTTATTGATCGAATCAACAAGGGAGAAGCAAGAGAGAGCCTTATGCGCAGGCCTGACATCGGACCCAGAGGTATTGATAGTGTCCCGCAGCCTCGTATCAAAGGTCAACTATGAAAGGCTTTCAATTGAATAGTTTGGCTCATAGGCATTGATGTCACCTGAGCTACTTTTATAGTCAATGTACGTGAATGCGTCAAAAGTTAAACTTCGCAAGATCCTGTTGCCTTATTATAATCAATAAGAACCCTGTGAACTACTTGAAATATATGTATCTCCCCCTTATTCTGTTAGATACCAAAGAGAAGTGTCGATGGCATATCGCTTCAAACCCCTGTCAGTTCCACTTTTTACTCATACGCGCACACTCATCTAGTTCGCCGCCTCAATGTTGTATCCATTGTAACATGATTGGGGCGGTGAGGACGACTCTCAGGTCCTCATACTTT